ATCACACACCTGCCCAAGAGCCAAGGATTTGACGCAATCTTGGTAGTAGTCTGCCGCTTGACTAAAATAAAACACTTCCTGGCCTGCCACGGGACCTGTAACGCTGAAGACCTCGCCTACCTGTTCTTGAAACACGTCTAGAAGCTATATGGACTCCCTTGTATAATTGTATCTAATAGAGGCCCCTAGTTTATAAGCCAGTTCTGGAAACACCTGACGACCCGCCTAAAGACTAAGAGCCTGCTATCCACTGCCTTTCACCCAGAAACAGATAGATAGACCAAGCGAGCCAATGCTATCCTAGAACAGTACCTCCGAGCCTATACAAACTACCTATAGGACGACTAGGCTAACTGGCTTCCGCTAGCCGAATTCGCCTCTAACTCTATATAAAGCGAGTCGACTGGCGTCACCCCGTTCTTTGCTAATTACGGCCAACACCTAGTCGTTGGATTCGAGCCTGTCCGCCTAAGTAATCACCCCGCCGCCCGCGATGTAGAGAGGTTCGCGGCTCATATGGAGGAGATCACGAACTTTGTACGAGCCCAGATCCTGGCCGCCTAAGCTCGCCACAAAGAATTCGCCAACCATCACCGCCAGCCTGCCCGAATGTTCACTAAAGGACAGAAAGTCTGGTTAGACGCCCGGAACATCAAGACCCGTCGCCCCCAGAAGAAATTAGACTAGAAGAACTTAGGCCCCTTCGAAATCACCGAAGTTCTAAGCCTGTACGCCTGCCGTTTACAGCTTCCCCCTGGAATGATGATCCACCCAGTATTTAACATCTCCTTATTACGCCCTGCCGACGACAACCCGCTTCCCACGCAGCAACAAGAACCTGCCCCACCTATCGAAGTCGACAGAATCGACGAGTGGGAGGTAGAGGAGATCCTAGACTCCCGCTGGGAGAAACGTGGTCGCCGGGGAACACCACGTCTAAAATACGTGGTTAAGTGGACCGGTTACAATGACCTAACTGAAGAGCCTGCTGCTCACCTAGAAAATTATGGACAGTTAGTGAAGAACTTCCACCTCCGCTACCCGTCTAAGCCAGGTCCTGTCTACGCCTCTACAGAGCTCGGCTCTAAGGAGGGGGATACTGTCACGGTGCCAGCTCAGACAACTACTGATTGATTAGATAGTGCGGGCCATGTGACCCGCAACCTCATGTAAACTCAGAACCTTGTCTGAATGTAGCTCTTCAAGCTACGTCTTCGTCTTAGCCTGTCAGTCAATGCAATACTGTCTGTCCAGTTCTAGTATAATTCTATTCACCTGCCCGCCCCGTGACATGTTTACGCGAATTATCGATAGACCTGTATAACGGGACCCAGGGGCTCAAAAAACCAAACCTACCCTGAATCTGCCCTATAGCGGAATTTTTGACCTAACCCGAAGCTAACCTATAGTAGGTTAGAAAACATGGGCCCTTTGAATAATATGGTATCACTGAACTAGTCTAGCTTAATAAGATAGATCATATGATTGATCTAGGGTCTTGGCAGTCTAATAGGCCCTGTTCAGGGTTTTCCTGACCCTAGCTTTTTCAATTTTTTGTCTACTACATAGAACTATTGTCCACTAAGATTAAATATGTGGAACTTCGAGCAAGATTATATATAATAAAGGCTATTGGTCATACCACCGAGTTCGTGAGAAACTAATGAATTCCCAAGTTCTATAATAATTCAAAAATATAGGTATATAACTTGGCTCAGGAACCTTGAAAGGACATAGGTGTGGTAGTCTTAGCATCTGGGTACCGTTGTTTTGAGGTTTTGCTGTACTGTCTATATGGCTACTCAATTGAAGCGGCCATGATGGCCATGAGAATGACGATAAACATGATTTTCCCGTTCGACAGCTCTTTTAGGGATAGGGGTTTGGTGCTAGGCCCTTTGTGTTAGTGATGATTTTGATATATAGGAGAGTCAAAACTAGAAATTTGAAGAAAAGATAATAACAGGGGTGGGAGCAGTAAAGGAGAACATACTAAAATGCCGGATGAAGACTGAGAGCTAATCCAAGAGGCAGTTGGAATACCAGATGAAGACTGGGTGCCAATTTCAGAGGCATTCCAAGGTTGACAGGTCCCGGAAACAAAAAGAGGATTAGGCATTTGAGATACTGGGTCCTCTTGATACAATTGGCATTCATATCCAGAGGTAGAATATAGCCAGGCACGGCATTTGGTTAACCCAGCACATTTGGTAGCACAAGCGGAGGCGGTCGAAACATTGAATGAGAAGGTCAGCGGTGAATGGCTAAAGATAGATATAACATCGTCTTTAACATATTCCGTGCAGGTTGAAAGGGATGAAGACGAGGCTGCTGCTTTTGCTCGAAGAGCGAGCAAACTTCCTACCGTCCAAAAAATCAACTTCATGGTTTTATGAAATATTTTAAAAAGAATGAAGGGTGATAGTATAAGTAAATAAAACTCTGCGGCATATGTTTTAAATAGAAAAAATGAAATATTTATGGAATATTTAGTAGGACGCAGTATCAAAGGGAAATCTAGATACACTATCTTGGTGCCTATTCAAGTATAGCTTAGTTATATGAGCTACGCCATCTTCGCAGGCTCCTACCCCTATAGTTTACCGCGAAGGGCTCTATAGTGGGTACCTACCCATCCCCCCTCTACTCCGGCGCTAAAATAAAATACAATAGCGCTGAGTATGACTTATACATGGTCTCCATATTCTCACACGATTTTTTCTATGGTGACGCTAAAAAAAACTATGACTAATATTATATTAACTATGAAAAAATGTGATAAGATAGTACTTCTCTTGTTCATCACTCGACATATCATGTTAGTTCTAATTTGAGGCATTTTCCCTTAAACATTTCCTCGGATTTTACTCAATTTTTTTCTCTTCTAGTGCTCTTCAAGATGATTCGCCCCCAGGTGGTGTATCTTATGACACTCTCTTCGATTTTTACCTTAGTCAACTCACAACTTACTACACCCTGTTCATGGAACGCCTGGGTTGATCTTTTTCCGGCTTGTGTCAGACCCTGCTACGGTAAAGCCTATTACGACAATATAGTCAATAGTGACCAATGCGGTAGCGCCACTACTGCAATGGCAAGCATAAAACAGTCAGAGATCAAGTGTTTCTGCGAGATTGCTATACCGTTCTTGGAGAACCCCGAAAAATCAGGGACACAAGGTATTCTGGATACCAATTGTATGGCAACAAACTGTAATGGAACAAATCGAGCATACGTCAGGAACGACTCACAAATTATATCGGCCGAAGGGTCCTTTGCAATGTTATGTGAATACGGCAATGGTATGCTCTCTTTATCATGATGTCTTCGTCGCTGAATAATACTAATCAGGGGCAATTTAGGAGAAAGGAAATGCTCTATCGCTTCAAACTTGGCGCCCCCTGTGATGACTCTTATTTTCCTGGTTGGGTTTTTGATATCAAGAATATTTTGATGATTTTTGTTGGTATGATCAGAGATGAGATTACTATACTATACTTAGCTGAGTATATCATACTAGGGTTTCTAAGATGCAGTGCATCCCACTGGATAGTTATGTATGCTTCCTTTGCCAAGTCTCCCGGTCCATTTTATTTGAATGTTTTTCTTGATATGGCTGGTGCCGGGAAATGATCAACTGATTATCCCAAAAGACCTTGAGAACGCTTTCGGCCTCCCGTAGACGGGCCTGCATCCGCCGGAGACGCTATATAAGGTGCTCACGATGAGATTGATAGTTCTGTGTCAGAGTTCCTCGTCATTAAATTAAGGAACGAGTCTTCCAAGACTCTCCCGGCTGGGTTGGCATCGCGCTCGCCACCTACTTTCTATAATAGGATGATCAAGACGAGCAATTTCTTCCTGTAAAGCGGCAATAAATGCTTTTAGGTGATGGACTAGATGCTGTTAAAGCCATTTTAGGTCTCTATAGAGCCCGTTATCACTTAATCCCTTCTTCTGCCGTCGGAAAGACCGTAGTTCATGATATGCGGTGTACTATATTATAGCATCCCCTATATGTTCGGTCACCAGAGATCTATACAGGGAGCATAAACAGCAGGCCTTTACCTGCGTCGGTGATAACTCGTGATGAGTTTACCACCTGGACAGATAAAATGTTAGTTCCAGCAATGAGGGAAGTCTATGATGCATCTTTCTACCAGCACATGCCTTTAAGTGCAGCCCATATCCAACTCAATGCTACTGCTGCATCAAAAGAGAACCGGGTAGGAGGTCATTCTGATAGATCTTCTCCCCAGGATTTCCACTACCACCTTTCGAAAGAGGGACTAGGTCAACTCTGGAAGGTTATTGGACAGAGAATCCAGCAAGCTGGGAACTCCCATTTCTCTAGATGTCAAATCCCTCTAACAGCAAAAAATCTAAAACTTAAGACCCAGAAACCGGCCTCGAGCAGGTATTACCTAGGGCAAGCCACTCCGAAAAACTTTTTAAGCAACAACCACGCCAACTTAGTGTATATTCCTTGCCAGTGAGTGGAGTGACTTCTTTCGCAATGTCGTAGAAGTCATTGTTGAGATAATTTAGGTCAATCATCCGATTCCATTCTTTAAAAAACTCTATGTGTGATTCAGACCCAGGCCCAGATAGATTCCGGCGCTTTGACCTCGGCAAATGGTCTTGACTTTAATGCCTCCACGTGCCAAAAATTATGCTTTATCTAGGTATACAGTAGTTACGGATGACTCCTTAAATTCCCTAGCTAGTATCGCGCATGAAATAATCTACCTAGGTATTAGTACGTATTTGTGACCCGGGTACATATTGACGTATTTACTTTACAACCTCTTGAGAATATTTCGTCCGATATTGCGACTAGCATATAGGTACGTATAAATATCTAATCATATCCATCAAGTGTACTATAGCGTGGACGGGTACCTATATATACGGAGGCATACCCCGGTATCATCTACCTTCTCTAAGCTCGTCCTATCGCACTTTGATCCATTTCGTACCCGTGGATATTTCTTGAGACGATGAAATCGATTTTTTGGGCTTTGAGTACTTTACTTGCTCTTGAAGCAAAGGCGGCAACTTTACCTTCATTCCCCTCGGCCTGTGCCAATGACATCCAACATGATGTTATATATATTTTCAGTCATGCACCATTGACCTTTTCATTTGACGTTTTTACTGCCTCAGATTGTGCTACGAAATGTGCTGGGTTATCGGCATGCTGTACCTGGCTCTATTCGACATCAGGCTATGAATGTCAACTGTACGGAGAGGACCCGATATCTGAGATATCGAATCCGCTTTTTGTTTCAGGAGCTTGTTCACCTCCGACGGCCTCTCTCATTGGGATCCCCTCTTCGTCCAGCATTCCAGTATGTTTATCCTTGCTACAAAGTTACCTTCCAGATCCTCAACGCTACAGGAGATATTACTCGGAAGGAGAGGAAAAAGAAGGGGGAGATGGCATTCACGGCTAGGATGAGACAGATTGTCCCTGGTCTCTTCCTGGGGAATGTTGGAGCATCACACAAACGGGAAATGCTTCAAGAGAACCATATTAACGCAATTGTCTCTCTCACTGATGCTCGATGGTGTGGTAGAAGACCATTACAAGAGAGGCGGGCGTTCCAGAACATCGTCGCAAATGGGTTCAGTGTGTGGATTCGTCGACCCAAGACCTCCCTCGCCCATATGAGTGATATTTGCGACTTCATCGACCAAACGGCATCCCCGGCTCTTTCTTCGCTCCTCTATTTTTTATTCAGCTACTCTAAATGGCTATATGAATCATATAGAAAATATAGTAGTAGACTGTTCGGGTAGTTGTTACGCACTGGGAATCCGTAAACCTAAACTGTGATTACAACGTACCTCACTGATGAGCTAGACTCGCAACCGTGAGTCTGAAGAGTAATCGATCGAAGGTTCCTGAGATAGCAGTGTCGAATAGGTCAATGTAGGAATGCAATCCCCTACTCGATGATGTTTGGACTCTGGTTTCTTAAGGTAAAGTATCTTACGTATAGTTGATGGTAATCAATAATAAATTAGTTTAATCTGGTGTTGCAAGTAACTGATAAACTGTAATTGATATCAAGCTATGTAAACTTGTAACTGGTAATAAACACAAAGAAGTAAATACAGGAAATGACTGTTCTTAAATGCCCTTCGTCATCATGTCCTGGGTTCGAAATTAGGCAAATATTGAGATTGGGTTGCCCGACCAGCAGGGAATTACGTTATGTCAAAGGCCCGATTCCATTTATAGTTTAGTGCAGTTTAGTAGATTGGGCATTCCCGCCCATTTTGGCATAGTTGAATTAGAGGATATCAATTAAGGGGATTGTTATGTTGACGGCCCCCCCTTGTTATATTAAACCCCTTATGCTAGAGGACATGGAGCAGACTGAATGATGCGTTAGCGATTGCTTAAAATTGCTCAAGAGACCATATTAATAGTCCGATTAAGAACATCACGTAGGCATGACTCCCTCTCTCTCTCAACCGTCGGCTTATTCCGCATTCCGCATTCCGCCATTGTAAATATAGCCGCGTCTTGCGGCGTTCTCACATTTTTTCCAGCGCAGCAGTTGCCAGAGAGAAGAGTCTGTCCAATTTCTATCACCTGAAGGGTCTTCGTATGCTTGATCTATCTGATTTTTCTGGGTGCGACTTGATTGGTGATAGTCTTTCCAAGTGCGGCGAAAAGCAACTGCGCCCCAAGAGTTGAAACTGGCCTAATTTTTAATCTGAGGGGTACTGACTCAGTAAAAAAAATCCCACTTCCTTCATTATAAGCAAAAATTGTCCGAAGTTACTTCTTGTCGTCTGATAAAGATATTTTTTATCAATATGTCTGGCTTGCCCGAGGTAGATACTGCCCTCAATCAACTGCAATTTGAGCAAGGCTCTCTTCTTGACAAGATAGACGAGCTTCGGGCAATTGGAGTCGGTGGACTTGTTGGATTGCCGCAGCTCATAGTCTGCGGTAATCAATCCAGCGGTAAAAGCTCTGTTCTTCAGGCCATTTCTCGCGTGCGTTTCCCAGTGAAGAGCAATGTCTGCACTCGATTCCCAACAGAAGTCATCCTCCGTCGCCACCCAGAGTCCCGATTCAAAGTGTCCATCGAGCCTGGGTCATCTCGGACAAGTGAAGAAGCTCGTCAGGCGATTCAAACATTTGCACCAGCCGGGGTCACTAATAGTGATCAGTTGGAGTCCCTGATTGAGAAGGCCAAAGAATGTATGGGAATAACCGACGAAGGATTTAGCGATGACATTTTGAAAGTGGAAATACTGGGACCTGATCAGCCCGAATTAACACTCGTCGATCTTCTAGGTCTCTACATATCTCATAGCACATCTCAGGATGAGAAAGGAATTGAGATTGTTCATGACATCACCAAACGTTATATGAGTAATCAACGCAGTATCATTCTGGCTGTAGTTTCGGCGAAGAATGACTATCATATCCAGAGAGTGTTGGCCAGCTTCAATGGAAACGAGAGCAAAAGATATTTTTACAGGTCCACCTGCTCTTCTAGGTCCGAAGAATGAATTCATCAGTTGGCCTTCTGAGGAAACTGGGGAATGAAAGCCATAGTCGAGAGTGATGGCGCTTTGGCGGCTTAGAGGCGCTATACTGGTATACTGTAAAGCAGTCGCCGTGATAATGTGACAGAATGAGTCTACCTAGCGAAGCTTGTATGGAAGCACTCATCGGCGCCGTACCAGGTGGCATGCCTCCTATTAATAGCCCAGCTAAAGCTCCTGGCTCCTATGTTGCTGGTCTTCTGAGAGACGTCGCAGTCTCCGCTTTTTAGACTATATCTCTGCCACATTTACCTGGTCATCAGTCGTAAATGTTCTTAGCTACGCGGTATACAAGGGTGGTACAAGATCTCGGGAGAGGACGTATTCTGGATGGTCGGCGTCGGCAAATCTTGGGAGATAGTATACTCCACGACCGTTTCTGGAATCGACTCATTATTATTAGGAGAGGACGTGTTGTTAATCGTTGGTGCTGGAACCAAAATCTCGATATTGGGAGCAGAATGTTGTAAAGTCATCGGTAAAGAGCCTGGTCCTTCTTTCAACTATTCTAGATCAGGATTATTAGCTCTTGTTCTAGACTTTTAATGGAGAAGCAGACTCACATTATTCCCTAATATTACCACAAATCGTTCTGAGCCAGGCCCTTTTTGTATAAACTGTTGACATGACACATTTTCCCACGACTTCTCTTTAAAATGAATTGCTGACGGATGCTGTCTAGATATATGCTGTCTTATTTGGCGGTCGGTTTTATACTAAAATCTGTCAACTTCAACAGGCTCTAACTCTACCATTATTTTAGCTAGCATATTCTGAGAGCATGGTTGGATAGCTAGAGCTTTAATTGATAAATATGATGAATGGTTTTCAAAGTGGTAAACCCAAAAGGTGATCCAAGTCGAAGTCGGATTTTGCCTACTGGTCTTTACGAAACTAATTGATCCGAGGTCTAATACATGAGAACGATCCAACTAGCAACTAACTCTGCACAAGTTGGTCTTGCACCAGTGCAATATCTTGATAGACCCTATCAATTGAGGTGTATTTACCATTCCAGCAACCAGTAATGACGGATCTGAAAGCTAAAGTCTCCACAGATGGGAATTTCTGCTGCGAGAAATACTTCTCAACAGCTGTCACTAGCTTTCCCATCTCTAGAGTGCTTTCTAGCTCATGGTATGGGACGCAACCTGATTCAAGCTCGAACAGCATTGATCCAAAAGCGAATATATCCGAGCAAACACCAATTTCAACGACAGGATTAAAGCTACACCACTCATAGCAGACCAATGGCTCATCGCCATCGATACCAGAGCCAGCGAAGTCAATAAATTTGATGTGTTTGGAATGATCCACGATGATGTTGTGACAACCAACGTCTGCATGGATGATCCCTTTGCTATGGATATAGCTGAGACCTTCTGCAGCTTCCAGAGCCCACTGACGCTTCATGATCCAAGTAATGGCAGACTTGTCGAAATTCTGGAGCATTTTGCGAAGACAGGTTCCACGTTCCAGTATGAGACCCTCATCAGTTACCTCGCAAGACGCGATGCGTTCATGGTGCCCAAGTCGTTCATAACAGCGAATCTCAATCTCATAAGCTTGGCGTTCGAATATTCCTGATTTATTATGGCTCTTGATGACCTTATTGTTGTCAATGGCATATATCATTGAGACCGTACCGGCCGCAATCAAGGACTTGGCTTGGCTCAAGCTGGAAGATGATTCCATTTATGTGGCAAATTTCCGTTCTTTCGGAGGGGAATATTCCAGGTGGGAGAATAGTTGCTAACGGAACATCTCCCACCAAATGAGACTTAAGGGAAGGTGTTATATAGAACGAGAATGGTGGACCAGGAAATTAATGAAAAGCCAATGATGTGTGTATGTGTATGTGGGTGTTTACTACCGGCGGAATTCCCACCTGAATATGTGGAATGCTGACGAATACACGGAAAAACATAACATGATTCCGAGTCGCTCCGCCAACCGGATCGCCCCGCCACCTCGCCAAGACTTCAAATAGTAAAATCAGACGAGTATGCAGTGCCCCACCTGTTTTAAGTTATACACCCTTTGGGGTGGAAGACTTATAGAGAAAATGATTGGTTAAGCACAATAATTCATCTGATATATGGGCTAGGTCATTGTTCGAATTCATCACTTCTTTTTCAACATTCTACATCATCACTAGATTCAATGGAAATATCCATCTCATCTCATCGGCCTCGTCCGAGACCATCTGACCCTCCGAATGCTAGAACTATACAGCTCGGCAGACATCCTATATCTATAGATCTGCCATTCTCCAGTCTTCATGACTAGAAAAAAAGTATCAAGATTTACCACTTGCTCGTTTTCAACGGGACTCCAGGGAAACTACTGAACTTCATTTTCTGCTATGGGAAACTTTCCAAATAGGCTTAGCGCTATATTCATATCCCGGAAGTGGTATTCCATAACTCTTTTCATCTCTTCCAATTTTTTTTAGATTATGTAGCTTTTCCCCACTTTATTACTACTTATTCTCACATTTCAGCCCACGGTACAAAGATATTCTAGACCTAGGTGGGGCAACTCGTGGATAATAGGTTCCTGACTCGAAAAATCTAGATTTACACCCACTTTACTCTAGGACTGCAAGGAAAAATCTTTATGAGCTAAAATGATGTATCATTTTCATATCAAAGCTTCGGTGTTTAGGCCGCCTCTTCAGCCCCGTAGAGATACTATGTATAATCACACTATCAATTCTGATTGAATATTCGAGAAAATGCCTATAATTCTTTAGTCTCAATATAAAGACATGAGCGGTTTTTTTACTCTTTCCATTTTCGGTAGTAACTAAGGTTTGGACCAATTCCTATTTCGATTGAGGACACCGCTACGACAAATCCCGAAACCTGTCGGAATCCTTGCGGTTCTAGTTCTTTTTAGGATATTGCAAGGGCAGAAGTCGATTATGAGAGATTCACATCGGAGAATGCATTGCGGCACGAGCTTATATAGATATGCTGATCTAGACTCTCAACTAATCAGAAGGTAGAAATTATGAGAACTATTGAATCTAAATCTGAACACTGTCACATAGAATTCGGTCCGCATCTAAGCAAGATAGTTCATCTTTGCTATAGCCAGAACAGTGTTATGGATAAAATACTAGTCAGCAATCGTCCACTCAACCATGGTGATCATTTATATATATTTAGAGTAGTTCATAAGCAAATAGAATAATTGAAGTATCAATTGTGATACGTACTATTCGGCGTCAGATCATTTATTCTAGATTCCAAAAGAATAGCCATATATTTACTCAATTAGGATGGCTGTATCAGCCACTGTAAAAAGTCCCGAAAAACAGAACCGAGCATCATTTTGAAGTACTCTTATCATGCAATAAGCTCTGTTGTTATGTTAAGTCAATTCTTATTAAAACATCATGCTTTTTGCCACCTGAAGTCGCTTTCTGAACATGAGGTAACATTAAGGCAAGAGCATTTTAGGGTATAGAATGTGGAGATTCTCGTAAATCACTATATCACGCGGAATCACGCTGATTCACGTAGGTTTAGACTTCTTCACGAATCAAGAGAGATCATAGGGTCATGAACTAGGTGTACTAAGCAGTATCGTACGATATCACGTAGATTCACGCAGATTCATGTAGGCTTAGTTAAATTAGTGTATGAGTACACACATCAGTTGGCTGTGAAATTGTGGAGCTAGTTGCATAAACATAAAGGGCCGTGTGAAGGGTAAAGTATTTAAAGCAAGCTCTTGAACGGGATGAGACTGTAGAAGAATTATTTTATATTATTCTAGAGCTTTGACGGTCTTCTGTTTCCATAATTTTCTTTCTATACCTTCGCACTTCAAGTCACTAGAAGATGTGCAAATATACGAGTGCCACAATTACCTACCGTTTGTGTACGCGTGCAAACAAACATACAGTCGAAAAACGCTATTATGAAATGTGTGACGCCGCAAAGAAAACAGGAAAATACTGTCAGGATGCTCGCTATGATTCAAGCCTTGGCGTCTTTGGAAATACTACTCGTGGTGGCCCTTGCCCATTCTGCCGCGACTCGGGCGTGTCTACTGGTACCTTGGCTATCGAATCTGTAAGTATTATATCATGACCACGGAGAACAACATTGACGACAATAGCAAACTATCTGAGAAATGTCTGCAACCTTGAGGATAAGCTCCGGGAGAGCATATGTTATGGTGGGAAGTTGGAATTGACATTCAAATCAATAGCTAGAGATCAAGCTAGTCTAGTCAGGTCCTGCTTAGGTCTGTCTAGCTAAAGGTGTCATTCATTTCCTCTAGCTTTGCAAGGCGAGCTTCTATCAACAAGTCAAACTCCAATCTGTGTATTTTCGGCTCCATATTTGAAATATCTTATTACCTATGTTCGATCTTTTATTTCGTAATATAAATATACATTTAATTTAATTACATAGTAAATTTGCGTTCGATGGTTTGGTCTATAAATTTCCAATCACGTGAATTGTGTCTTGCTGAAAATCTAGCTTTCAGCATACATTGCGCTTTAGTGAAGCCCACTGGCAAGTTGTCATTTCTATGGAGGGAGGAGGAGGGGGGTTTGAAGAACCACTTGTGGTGCCTCAAGAACAAGTCCTCAAGCTCAAGTCCTCAAGCTCAAGTCTTACGGCCTTTACGGATGGCATCTAGGAAGGGGCATAGTGGGAAGTGGAGCAAAGAAATAACGTTTTGAAAAGCCAAATGCTTAATCAATTGGAAAGCGAGACTAGACGTAGTGATCAAATTTAGAATCAATCGTTTTCATTCATCCCGAGAGTTAATTATTGGCTAGGAGATAGGACTGTTTTTCTAGTATAAAATTTAGAATATAATATGCCATAGAGACACATTTAATAGTCTTACTACATGTTCTATTACCTTCTTGATACTTGACTTTCTAGGGGCTTTCTGGAAACTGAACCCCTAATAAGTTTTTATTGAAGAAGTTCCACCACAGCTAGAGCCTAGTTGATCAAGAGCCTGGTTTTAATTCTTAGAAAACACATAAGGTTAGGTTTGCTATCACGAATATCGGCGATCTGGTCAAATTTGTCCCGGCATTCAGTGGAATATTTCTTATTCCACTTCATCTCCCTCTGCCTCCCAAAATTTGTTTGGATCAACTTGGTTGAAAAATTGGTATTATCTTCCATTGTCAACATAATGTATTATTTTACATAATCAGAACCAACGCGTTGTAGGTTATCAGGGATGGGAGAGGGTAATGGAGATCACATCAAACCGGAATTCAAATAACGTACATATCATATAGCTGGCTCTTATCCTTATAGAGATGACTGGAGAAGATTAAACGCTGGCACACAAAAATGATGTGTAGATCTAATAGAACTAAGTCATAGATGAGATAATATACGAATGGAGTACAATCTATAACCACTGAAGTTGAATTCTTGAAGTTCATTGGCTATGTATCTTTTAATAATTCTTTGAGCGATTTATCTATTGACCTATAATATGTATACGACATAATTAGCGACGAAAAATAAAACGACTCTACGGCTAGTCTCCGCTTGTCTGATCTGTTTGTCTTCGTTCGCGATTTTACGGAAGAGCCCGTGAATTCCTATCATGCTACGTCAATTTGCGCGGTAATCTTTATCATTGACTTAAATATTTCCTGCTTGATTCCACGTGATTTAGCGCGGCTACACAGGATCTCGCGTGATCCTGCGTGATCTTGCGTGATTATCCTCTCACCACCATTCTTTTACTTCCCTTTACCTTACTACGAGTACAGTATTTGTTCCTAAGATGAAGTACCCATCTGTCATTTTACAGTCTAGCGAACACATGAGATTTTCCTGGAGAGACGGCTATAGCGATATTACGACGGAAGAATTAAAGGCACTTTTCCTCGAAAGCCGCCTCGCGACCTCGTCGATTGAGGCTGAGCTACAGCGCCGAGGAAGTCATAAAATTCCTAAAGTGCGAGTGAATGACTGCATGCAAAGTATCCGACAGGCCGCTCATTCGGTATCAATTCTTGAACGGCTTGACAACAAAGCTATCCCCATCGCAAAAGATCTACGCCGCTTGATGACTGATGTCCCTCCGGACCGCAACTTGAAGGTCTATCAAGAATTTTTGAACGACGTTCAGACGCAATGTGGTCCAGAGTATACACTTCTCTGTGCCATAGGTCTTGGAAAGCACAGGATCTCTAATTTGAGGGCCGACGAAAAAATTTCATTACTTGCACTCCTCAAGCAAGAAAAAACTGCCTTACATTCCACTATACTAAGCTCGCTTGCGCTCGATTATGGGATTAGTGAGTTTCAAATCAAATTTAAAATCAAATCACTCATACGAAACGATAGGTTCTCCGGATTTTCAAGGTGCGACCATGGCCTCTAAGCAATCTTGGGACAAACACCAAGGTAATCCTTATTTCTTTTACCTAATCTCTTTTATATTAAATTATGGTAAATGAATAAGCTAGTGGTAAAATACCCACCGCTGCACGACGGGTTCAGGCTCAGCAGGCTGCAACAGAAGCAAATTAAAATTAAGTACGCGCTCAGGAAGAGTGCGTGATTTCGACTACTATCTAGATTATGCTGCTTATTGAACAAATGAAAATTCAGAGCACAATACTTCAAGATAATTTCCAATCTACATTAGTGAAATCGACGAGAAAAAATAGATCGCTCCTTGTTAGAACTTATTCATTCGTAAATCAAATTCTGAGAAAAAGCATCGAAACAAGGTAGATACTGCCCTTTACCCTGTCTATGGCCTATAGGTAGTCTAGTAAGATCCGCAAGAGCTTTGTTATTGTCAATGCATTGTGTATCTATGTCACGCAATTTCAGACTCACTTCTCTAAAAAATATCTTTATCGTAGTGCACTTGCACCTCAATAGCCAATGGGAAATGATATATCTCTTCAAGCACTAGTTGTATTTTTCCTTGTACTCAAGAGTTCGATAATCTCATTTGATCTAGAGAGCATTTAGAATATCGCTCAGGACCACGGGATTGATACGATCACAATGTAGATCAGTAACTCACAGCTTCTTCGTCTGATTAGGTTTCTTCCCCTTTTCTGGTCATCCACATCTATGTCATAGCCTAGCACAGTTCAAACACTGCGGACGTTCCCGGCTGCAGCGTATCTTTTTTGTCTACATTGAGAGCAGGCTAAAAAACCCCATCCACGTAAGTTTGAAATCTTTCTTGTAGAACAGGCTGTAGAAGGTATAGAATAAGGTGGGTATCCGACTGTATACTTAGGCATATACCCAGACTTACTAGCATAATCATTGAGGCTCATTTCGCAAAAGATTATGTAGATTAGATATTGAAAGTTTCCTCACTAGCTGTTGAAAGACGCTGAAGCCAGAGAGCACATAATATAACTGTCGGAACGATGGTTTGACTAGTCTTACTGTTGCATATTCATCTACTTTGTAAATGTATCATTACGAGTTGTAAGAGGTGTGTTATTCAATCTTGTCCTCGCTGTAACTAAATAGATAAAACTCACTAGATTCACCTCATGTCAGACCAACAGCATCGTAATCATTCTCATTGGTCTTGTGCCCCACTGTGGTCTATTTGTATCGACAGAATCAGTATTGTAGAAATACCCAGGTGGTCTGGTGGGCGATGAAAATTTACTATAGTTTTGATGGGGTTGAAGATGACAACATACGGCAGTGTTATTCGACCTTGGTATTTTAGGTGTTTTATGGAAAAGACTGCCTCATATTCACCTGAGGCCGTTTGGGACCTCCAGGAAAATCAATACGCTTATTTTTAGATACGGGACAGATGCTAGTAGTTCAAAGCTGGGATGGAAGTTCCGAGCCTCCAATTGAACATTAGACAACCCCCGGAAGTTGGTTGATTTCTCATTAGGCCACCTCTGATCAATCAAATACGATAGCTGGGTCCCCACCCTTCCCCTCAACTCGATGGTATGTTCGCAAGCATTTCAGTGAGGTCAAGAACGTACACTTCATTAGATGGGGGTTTGAGCTGATCAGGTGAAGGAAGAAGGAGAAGTAGAAAAAATTAGGAGCTGTTGGGTGGGAAGGGTCTTAGGCGTTTAGCGACCAGTGGCGCTAAATTGTACTTGAAAAAGTCAGCTCACAAATCTCATCACAAAGTTATCAGTTATTTTCTATTTCTAAATCTTCGCTCAAACTCAATCAAGAATTTGGTTCTATTTTAAAGCTTTTGCCAAAATGCCATCCTAAAAAGAACCTACCGCCGTAGATGTGCCTGTGTTGTTTGACTGCTACCAACTAGAGGCCACATATGGACACGCCATCGATATCATAATAATTTTAGGGACTGGTGGTACATATTCTCAGTAGATATGTATGCATATTACTCCGTAGCGTAAAATTCCAAGTGACCGCCTCTTTTGGGATGGATATGAGCTGTATCTCCTAGATCGTGCATAAAGTTTACTAGTGACCGCTTCTTTTCAAAATGTGAGCTATGTCTCCTAGATATTTACGTCGACGCCCCATTGACAAATGGACTAATATCATGGTGAAAAAATTGTCTTTCCACAATATACCTACTATATCCCATATTCCAACACTCTTTAGCCTATTCATATCCACTCTCAAACCCCTTGGATGCAGGGAATATTACGCAAGTAATGGGATTAAACAAATAATACTTAGATTGACTTTAAAGTTTGTTAATTGATATATCGTATGTACGAAATACCACCTGGGCAAGTGATTACTTAAAATAAGACACTGAAAATGTCCTAACGCATAGTGACTTGGGCTTATATAAGGTAGGACCAGGTGTACTTCCGATTTTGACTAACATGGAGATTTTCTGATAATAACCTTGAAAGGTTAGGCTCCTTGACTACTATTCGACTACTAGAAAGTTATTGGACCCAATACAGTGAAAAAGTAGAACTACTTTGATTAACTGCCCATTTTGCTCTGTTGTCCCACTTCAAATCCCACGGTGGCTTGTTATGGATCCCAAACTGGCTCGACTCGCTCTCCCTAATGAACCTTTTTTCAAAGTGTTTTTGCAGCACGTCAAGGACTCTCCAAATCGTCCCATATTTCATGACTCCAAACTGAATATTGATGCCGACTACACGCAGTTTCTCCAGGATGTTCATGCTACCCAGATAGTGCTCCAGTCAGCAAAATCTACGGGATGTAGAGACTGTCCCTATGTGTTTCTTCTCAATACCTGCAACTATGAGTTCGCTGTCGCAGCTTTTGCAATTCTTGCGACGGGCCGGGCCGTGGTTCCACTGGGTAAGTCTCTCATTCATGTCTATCTACTCTTATATAATTGTCTACTCGTGCAGAATTGACGACCCGGGGCAGCCCCAGCAATTATGCCGGAAGAAGCTGTGCATCTGATGCGCATGTGTCGGTCGACTACCCTTCTGATGGGGTCAATTACCTCAGAGCGTGGAAGCGAGATTATGGCACATTCCGCGACTGAGGGCTACCTTGTTGGCGCGTTGCCTATATGCACCAAAAGCAATCAACCCGTCGAGTCACTCATTGATGACAACTGGGATATTGAGCCTAGCAGTCCTGGTATGATCGTATTTACTTCGGGGACATCGGGTCCTCCCAAAGCTGTTGTGCACGGCCGACGTCTGTTCTACGTGACGTATGAGCCTGACACGGGGCGCGTTTCTTTGTTAAGTGGACCTCCGCAGTGGGTTGGTGGCTCCCTTAGAATAATCCTGCATACATTTTATGGATATTGCATGCATATAGTCCCCGCTGACCCGGAGATCATGTGGGAGCGCTTACGCCAGGGAGGTATCACCTTCATGGCCAATCCTCCGATGATGTGGGGGAGATTGAGGGATTATTTCCAGCAGAATCTAGACCAACGACCATCTTCGGAACGAGATCAATATCTACGTGGGATGCAAAATCTCCGAGTAGCAAATGTATCCGGATCAGCATTGCCTGAGCCACTCGGCAGGTTCTGGCGAAAGATGGGGAGACCGTTAACTATCTCCTACGGTGCCACGGAGCTAGGCAGGATATGTCTAAGGACTTCAAAAGACAGTGATCCTGACCTCAAGGTTTGTCTACAAAGCCCAGCCTCTTTTAACAGCATTCAAGTGCGCTTCTGACGTGTGATTCATGGTGTACAGCGCTATATTGGTCGGCCAGTCCCCGGTGTTTCTGTTCGACTGTCAGATGGGGACCATGGAGAAATTGAGATCAAGAACCCTACAATCTTCTCCGAGTAAGTTGCCTTTGATCCGTTACAAAAACTTTTGTGACTTACAGTTGCAGATATCTGAATGACCCTGTGGCAACAAGAAGAGCGTTTACTGTCGACGGATTTTATAGAACTGGTGACTGTGGCCACAAGGTAGGAGACGATTATTTCTTCGACGGCCGAGCATCATCCGACTGTTAGTCCCAAACTTGGAAGCTACCAAACATTCACGTCTTGTGTTAACCATATGCTCAGTTATCAAGTTCCGCGGGTACCGAGTGCCTGTCATTGAACTGGAAACGCGACTGAACGAGGTTCCCGCTGTGATCGAAGCCTATGTCGTTCCTATACCAGATGAGAACTATGGGTATCGCGTGGGAGCATTGATTCATTTCGATATCAAGAAAGCGGATGACGTCCTGGACATGCAATATATCCGATCCCAACTATCAGATAGAGTCCCTATGTTTATGATGCCGACGGCATTGCGGGTCTTAGCGCCTGGTGATTCAGTCCCACGAACCGTGTCAGGAAAACTGATACGCAAATCTGCGGCTGAGAAGTACTTTCTGCGTACACATGGTCCTGGATTAGCTGATGACGTTGAGGTTTGGACTTTGAAGGCAGAGGAGCTGCAGGCCCGGAAGGCGTGGGACTGGGGAGGTACTCCAATGACAGGTTAGCGAGGATAATAGGTAACTACCTAGCAGTAACATACAAAGTTCCTAAATGTCCGACCCCCTGCAGAGTACATTTCTCAACAGATTGTCATTGATGACATTGAGCTTAGATCTGATGCATCTCATCCTCACCGCTACTTTACGCCAGATTTGGATCTGGATCGGGGCAATATGCACGCGTGGGCCATTGTACATATGCACTATTAAATCAAGTATTGGCAAAATTTACATAAAGATACATCTTGCATGTCTCCAGGGCTTATGGTCCCACATTCTGGTTAGCTTGTGGGTGTTTGGAGCTCAGCTCGGCTTCCTCCAAATCTTCGACCTTTCTTAGCCTCATGTATCGCACTTCCAAGTCTTCTTTTGTAGTGGGTACCTAGTTTGTCTTAGTAAACCATTAAATGCTTAAAAGATTTTCTGAGAACAAAAGAAGCCAATTCCAATTCCCTCTCTGTTGCTCACGCATCATGATGTCTCCATCACTGGATCGATCGCCTGGTCTCCCCGATGACCTGCTCTTTCAGAGGCTCCTATATAACGCGCAAAATATTCATTCTGTGTTGATTCGGGACACAGCTTCCGGCATTGAAGCCACGCCCGCTCAATTTCTTCGCGATGTAATTTTTTTTCAGGACCGTATCAACATCCAGTTGGCCACGAATGGCATCAGCGCCCATGATGTAACGGGACATAGGGATGTCTATATTTGCATCCTCGCCCCTCTCAGCTATGAATTTCTCGTCGCCTTCTATGCCGTTATTGCACTGGGTAGTGTAGCAGTGCCTCTATGTATGGCATTCATTATCTCCTTCCATACCTGCCGGCTAATAGAGATGCAGCTACAAGTATCCTCCCTGAAGAAGGTGCGTGGATTTTAAACAAGTGCCGTGCGACTTGCTTGCTCGTGGGAACCAATCAAGGGAATCCCGCCTCTCAAATCCGTGCCTTGCGACAGCCTGGTCTTGACATCCCTATCGAATTAGCACTGGGCCATGACTCCCCCGCCCTTTCGTCAACGGTGTCGAGAGATAGCTTTAATCCCAATGGGCCTGGACTGGTGCTGTTCACTTCTGGGACCACAGGTCCTCCGAAAGGCGTCGTGCTGCCTCGATGCTTCTTCTTTCCCAATGTCGAACTGGACTGCGCGTCTCATGATATCGCGTTGGTCTACAGACCTGTCAATGGTCTCTCCGGCATCCTCAACCTCATGGATCTCATATATGCTGGGGCCTGTGCAGAGCTTTTTCCTGGCGGCATTCAACCAGCTATCATCTGGGAACGACTACGTCAGGGAGGCGTAACAGTATTAGCAGGCGCCACACGCTTCTGGCAGTTGTTGATGTTACACTATGAGGAAATCCTCAGCCGGCTCCCTTTATCCGATCTGCAGGAGTATCGCGCCGGGGTACATAACTTGAGGGTTGCATGGTTCGGGGGAGGTCTGCCATCGCCGGTTGCGCGACGATTCTGGCTGCGACTACGCACTGGGAAGTCCTGGATCGTAAAGTATGGGTCATCGGAGACAGGACGCGAAGCATTTTCGTTTCGCTTTCGGGAGGAGGAAGAAATTGCCCAGGTCAGAGATCCTGTTGTCTAAATTGGTACTCGCAATGTGATACTAATCTTCAGTTAGCCCGTCATCGGCACTCCTCTGCCAGGTGTCACAGCGAAGTTGACCGAGGGGGATCATGGGGAGCTCTTGCTTAAGAGTTCCACCATGATGATCGGGTCAGTGCAAGCCCAGCAACCTACGAGCCATCTAACTCTATTGTGATCCTAGGTATCTTGATGATGAGCAGCGTACGCGCGAGACATTCGACAGTGAGGGGTACTATAAGACTGGTGATCTTGTCCATCGTGAATCCAGCGGCTTATGGATTATTGATGGACGAGCGACCGTGGATTGTGAGTGAATAGCCAAATTTCCCACAATGACCATTAGCAACTCACCATGCTCCAGTCGTTCGGTTCAATGGCCTTCGCGTCTCGGTTAATGAGGTTGAGTCACACGTTTGCGAACTACCCTACATCGGCGAGGCGTACGTGCTCTGTATTCCAGACCTGCAGTACGGCCAGCGGGTTGGCTGTTTGGTCCGTCGCCGGAATAAACCTGCGGACATGGATTCACAAGAAATTTCCCTGGGACAACTTCGAAGAGATCTTTCGGACGCCTTGTCGGTGTACAAATTACCCTCCATTCTGAGAGTCCTCGAGCCGCATGCCAAACTCCCCACCAGTCCCCAGGGTAAGCTGGCGCGCAGTCAAGCGATTAAGATGTATTTTCTGGATGATATGCAGTCTTCATGTATGGAGGTGTGGCCATTGGATGCGGAGGACCTAAAGCCAAAGAAAGCGTGGGATTGGGGTGGTGTCGCTGCATAATGACCGAGAATCTCATCACGATGTATGAGGATCTTCAAACGTGTGTTTTTTCACCTATACTTTTTCAGAATCAGACAATTGGACCGTCTTCTTCGAACTAGTGAATTGTTAGGGTGGCCACGATGATCATTCTTCTCGATAATCTCTCTTATTACTCCGTACTCGGGTATCCCTTGCATCTTCGGGCGCCAGACCATCTCCATTATCTATGTGATGTGGAAAAGTAACATGTTGTGCGATCTACCTATTCTGGAGCTATTGATATAAATTTTAATATCCAGGGATTTTGTATTGTATTGTATTGCATCTGCTCATCTTCATTTTTTCTTGCATCTCACAACCTTCACATCATTCTCACTCAACCAGCTGTCCGTAAATCTTTTCACCAGCATTCTCAGCCATGACTGAGGCAACGGATCATGAAAAGCCACCAGGAAATACCGATGCAGAAGCCAAAATTTTACGAAAAAAGGCCCTGTCGCCATCGATATTTTCACGGCCTAAAAAGATCGCAATCATCATCCTCGTTTTCTCCATGACCTTCATTGGGCCGATTGGGGCGGGGATATATTATCCATCTTTAGCTCCCCTTGCCAAAGATTTCCATGTCTCGCCGAACCAGATCAGCTTCACTCTCACTGCATACATGGTACTACTCCCCCCACTAGTACAGAACACGAGCTAACTCGTCCTCGACAGCTCTGCCAGGCTGTGTTTCCACTACTAATCGCGGGCATGTCCGATGAGCGAGGGCGCCGACCTGTGTTGATCGTTAGTCTAGTTGTATGCATTGCCATCAATATTGGTCTGGCGCAACAGACTACCTATGTCGGACTACTGGTCCTTCGCTGCCTGCAAAGCTGCGGCAGTAGTAGTGTCTCCATTGTCTCGATGGCTATATTGCACGATATCCTTCTTCCCACTGAGCGCAAGGACTTCCGAGTCTACACTTCGGTGGGCTATTCAATAGCTCCAGCCGTCAGTCCACTTATCGGCGGTCTTCTCTCGCAATTTTTTGGCTGGTCAAGTATTTTTTACTTTTTGGCTACTGTTGCGGGAGTTGTTCTGATCCTTGTCACTATCGTTCTCCCAGAAACCTGTCGGGGACAGGTCGGAAATGGTAGCGTGCCCCCAAAGCGATGGAATCGCCCTATTATGGAGCTGCTCTGGCCGCCGTCCAGTCCTCCTCCGGAATATGACACCTGCATCCCGCTCAAACCACGATCAACCATTCTGCAAACAATCCAGATAGCGTTCCGCAAGCAAATATTCCTATTAATTATATTCCAAGCAATTCTCTTCGGTGGTTCTATTGCAATCATCGTCACTATCCCTGTGGTATTCACTGCTCGATTCCACTTCAACGTCCTCGAAGTTGGCGCTACGCACCTCTCTTATGCGATAGGGGGGTTCACATCGCGTTGGATATTTGGTCCATTGATGGCCGCTAATACAAGACGACACAAGCGGCTGGCTGGAGTGGGAAAGGAAACCCAATTCGGGGAACCAATAGTCTTCCACAAGGAGCGAGCCCGGCTTCAAGTAGCCCTTCCCACCGTATACCTGGGGAGTGCATTTGTTGTAGCTTACGGTTGGGCTCTGCATTACGAAATGCACGTCGTATGTCCGATAGTGATATTGTTCTTTCTGGGAAATACGTTGACGGGTGCGAGGACACAGCTGGCGGGGCTGGTCTCAAGTCTACACTTACATCAGCCCGCCAGTACCTCAGCCGCTAGTAATTTCTTTCGCTTCCTATGCGGCGCAGGGGCTACGGCCGCGGTAATTCCAATGATCAAAGCTGTGGGAATAGGCTGGATGGGAACTATGATTGCCCTGATATATCTGAAGGCGTCTAGCCTACTGTGGGTTGTATACGCATACGGACACAAATGGCGTCCGGCGGGAATACAGATCTCCAGTAGTGACAAATAAATCGAGATGATTCATACTCGTCGACTGCTTGTATATAATGAGTTTGGACGAGCCAATGAACATACAGACATGCTCATTCAGACCGTGTCTGAGCGGAGTCCAAACCTCGGAAGTGGGTAACGCAATATGCAGCATAAGCAGAATACGGATTACTCGGTATTACCGATAGATCTTCAAGCCTTTGAACCTTGAACAGTGCTTGAATAAGACCAGATTAATGCAGCCAATTATGTTGTCCACTAGCCTTGTCGATCTCATCGATAGTGATCAAACGTCAGAAGGCAATTGACAGGTTATATTGCCATCTTCTACAGAGTAGTGTAACCCTCTATTCTTGGCCTGCATATTGACGAATTTGGCTTACAAGCAAGGGAACTGCACATTCCATGTGTGGAAGCTTTACTCCACGCATCATATCTGCAGTCTCGGGATTACCAAACAGATTCCGTGTACTCGATAGTTTCAACCGCTTAAAGTTATCTTCGCACAAGCTACCCAATTTATCACCTCTAACTTTTCAGCTCAGTTTATCTACCATATTACTACACGGCTACATCGTCTTCCATAAAGGCGACTCTCATTGTCTAGCATGGAGCCGCCTGATCTTTATGCCCGCTTTCCCAACGACCCTTGTTTCTCTCAATTACTCACCATTGCAAGGAAAAAGCGCACCTCCATCATAGTCAATGATCCTGGATCTGGCATGAAAGCAGATTATAATCGGCTGCTCAGAGATGTCTCTACTGTCCGGCAAGGCCTCTGCGAATGCCTGCCGTCACACTGCGTCCGTAGCGGTAGCATCTTTAGCGAAGATCCCGTCTATGTGTGCACTCTGCTCAGGCCAAATTACACTTTTATTGTTGCTATTCTGGCTATTTTGGCTACCGGTGGCGCGGCTGTCCCCCTTTGTGAGACTTCGACAACGGGGTGGTTTAAATTGGGTTTAGAAAACTAACGAATTCCAGCCACTACGCTCCTACTTGACGAAGCCCTGTCATTGGTTTTCAGATGCAGGGCTACATATCTACTAGTCGATTCGGAGAATGCAGAATTTGCCGAGAAGATACAAACCTATCTCCAGGAACACAACGGACACCGGCTGAATATCGTCCGAATTGACCCTTCGAAAGACCCTAACCCTGTTTCTGAGCACTACTGTACCATCAATCATGATATAAAGTTCTCGCCCGAAAGAATCAGCTTGGTTCTATTCTCCTCAGGCACCACCGGACCGCCAAAGGCGATAGTTCATAGCCGGCGCGTCTTTTATCGTGCGCAGGAGCTACTGCCACCCCGAGAAGATGGCCATGATATTTTCCTCGTGTACCGCACCGTTGTCAGCGCAGCTGGAGTTCTTCCACTGGTCCGATATATCCTGACTGGTGTTCAGCTGGAGATCTTTAATCAGAAGTGGGATGCCGCGATAATGTGGGAGCGGCTGCGTAAGGGTGATCTGACCATTTTTATCGGCGCCCCTTCTATTTGGCTCAGACTTATGAGGCACTATGAGACTTCTATCATGCATCTTCCGGAAGAGGAGCGTGAATCTTACGTCCAAGGTATGCGGGGTCTGCGTGTAGCGGTGACCATCGGAGCCTCCGCTATGCCCGACTTGAAGCAATTCTGGTGGAATCTGCGTGGTGGGCGAGCGCTGCAAAATTCATATGGTAGCACTGAGCTGGGCTGCTCCATGATCAAATCCTCGATTGACGAGCCACCGGGAAACTTCCACGTAAGTCTGCAACGGACTGGACTTGCCGATTTTTTCTAGTTTTGATTGAGAAGGACTGACAGAATTCGAAAAATAGAGGCCAACCCTCGGGAAACCGAAAGAAGGGTTTGATGTGAAGCTCTCAAATGGAACTCATGGAGAGATCCTCGTTCGGTCCCCGTTTGTTTTTGCTGGGTAAGATATTGGCCGATCATGGATAGAAAGATACCATTCAAATATCCTGCATTTTGCTCATTGATGTATAGCTACCTAGATGATTCGGTGAAAGTCACGACATCTTCGGTCCTGGATGAGGAAGGATACTTCCACACTGGAGATATTGCACATATGGAAGGCGATGACTTCGTGATGGATGGCCGATTCGGAACCGACTGTTCGTATTGATCGCCTGATAATGGTGCACCAGAGACTAATTTGCTATGAAATACGCACAGTCATAAAAACCATTTTCGGATTCCGAGTCCCAAGACTCTCGGTGGAAGCACAAATATCGCAACTTCCCCAAATCATTGAAGCTTTTGTCGTGCCAGTCCCCGATCCTACATGCGTGAATCGTATCGGAGCTATTGTTCACTCGAAGTCAAGCGATCTCTATCTTGATGAACTTCGCGAAGAATTATCACCTCACCTGCCGCTGTACCAACTACCGACAATCCTATACGTACTGAGGGGTGGGGAAGATATCCCCAGAACGCACACAAACAAGCTTGACATCAAGAAGGCTGTGGAGAAATTCTTTCCCTCGGAATCTCTCTGCTTGCTAGACTCACACTCGGGCAATATCCAAATCTATGATATTGGGAAATTGAAAGCCATGAAATCGGAGCGGCCGTGGGATTGGGCCGGATTACAGAGCTAGGCCGTTTGTAATAAATGCGTGGGTGAAACCCAATCGGTATAGCAACGGAGCAGTGGGATTTCTTAGCCAGATAATTTATAAGTAGACATTACTCCGTACATGACAAGAAATGACAATAAGCAAACCCGAGTTGGGTAAGTAACTAGTAGATAGTACAATATTCAAGTCAACGGAACAGAATCTTGTTGAATCTGGTTGAAAATTCGTGCTGCCGATCGCCCGGGAAATTATACCTGTTAAATGCAATAATCCCAAACTCATTCGGATTGGAGCGAGTTGTTTCTTAAACCTGAATATAGACATGGCGGTATGTAACTAATTTAAAGCGAGCTAGATAGGGCTAATGGGGCACATCATCATTATCAACTTGAATCCATAGCAATAGCGTGTCACCCACCGAGCATCGACATGAATACATACACGTCATCTTGAAAAACTTGTTCCTGTGCCAAGTGCCAAGCTGCACGCCAGTCCCTCAAAGCAAGGGGTCTCATCGCTAGTGCTATCCCGTACTTCTGAGCGATTCCCGAGGTCAAACTTCACATCTTGGGGAGCTAGAAGTTTTATGGAAGTTAATCACCTAGGGTTCATGTGATGAGTTATCACTCGTGGACCCCAGGTGAACTCTACAGAGGATATGATTTCTCGTGAGTTATCCATTCGCATATATTACTGTTAATTTCAAAGAGCAAAAGGCATGTCTCAGCCATTCAACTACCCAATTGCTAGTTTGTCGACCATCAAGGTCTCCAATTTACGAGATGGATCTCCATCAGCTGCCAACAAAGTTGTCAGGGCTGCTGAACAAGCTGGGGTGTTTTATTTGGATTTCACGGACAGCAAGGAACTCCCCTTCACAGGCATAATCCGAGACGTACAGACATTCAGCCGAGAGATTTTTCAGCTTGGGCTCGATCAGAAGATGGAATTCGACGTTGATCGACTGGCGACGCTCAAGACCAATGGGTATACTCGTTCATCGCGACCCCTTATACACAAGCTAATGGTTGGACTAGGTACAAGCCTATCGGTCGTAACATCGGGGGGATCGCAGGTCAAAGTGATGGATTTGAAAGCTATACCGTAAGTTAACGATGCTTCTGTTATATTTGTCATGGATATAATGACTGTTCACAATAGCTTCCATGCAGCAGTATCATCGCTGAACAGCCGGACAACTTCCCTCGGCCAAGTATCGTCGACTCACACATAGTCACCTTGCGCGACCTTACCTCCTGGTGCCATGAGATTGCACAATTGATTTTCCAAACCTTATCAAAGGCTCTCGATCTCCCACAAGAAATCGCGCTGGAGACCTTGCACAATCCCAGAACCTCGCACGACATTATTCGCCTCCTGCGATATGAGAAAAATACGTCCCCCGATGTACTTTGTGTGCCTCAAGCTGCCCACACCGACCTGGGTTCTCTGACCTTCTTGTTCACGGACAATCCTGGATTACAGACGCGTGCGCGGGACGGCAACGAGTGGGAATATGTCATACCCAAGAAGAACTGCGCGATAGTCAATCTAGGCGATGCAATGAGCATGTGGACGGGAGGAGCTTTGCAGAGTGTTCTTCACCGGGTGGCATCCATGCCGGGACAGGGAATGAACGAGCGCTACAGCTTTGCGTTACTGATGAGACCGACTAATACGGCTCCTATGTGCTCTCTTCTCCATGAGGTGGTGCCGGATGGGCAGCTTCGTTGCGAAGAGTGGATCAAAACCAAGTTTAAGGCCTTGAGAGGGAAGAAAGATGGTGATTCCGTTCGTTCAATGTGTCATGACGCGGAGATCAGGGCTGGTCGACTTGCAGGGCAAACGGATGATTGCACTTCTTTGGGACTAGACGTATGAAGTCAGGCTCAATTCTCGACTGGAAACCCGCTTAGAATCTTGTATGAACCAATTGGATGATAAGACTTCGCTTTCGTTCGAAGGCGCTGCATTCCACATTTACAACTAGAATATTTACCAATTTACCATGCTTTTCAAACATCAACAATGCCAATAGGCTAATTTTCAGTTGAAATATTGAATAGCCTGCAGGTAATCAACATTATATCGGTGTCATATCTGAGCCCCATAGTAGCAAAATGTGGAATGGAAGGGAGATTGGAAAGGGGAAATGAGGGCATTTTATAGAACCACGCACAGGGAGCTATAGACTCATGATATTTGAGAACTTTATAAATTGAAAAACGGAAACTTGAATATGTGTAACTCGCAGTGGAATTGCTATGATTATGTGTGGCATAGTTATAGAAATCGTGGTCTTTCCACCTAGCGAGAATAAAATAGATCTTAACTTGGTATCCAGACACCGCAGAACGCATCATCAAAAGTGGCAGAAAACTGAGTTTCTAGATGAACACCTGCCTCTATAACTTGTTAAACTCATACCACCTTTATTTTAAATTCTCCCTGTCTCACTAAAACAGCCTCTTCTCCTTCTACATACCCAACATGGCTAATATAATGAGATGGGCCACAAAGATGCTTCGAAAGCCTCCCTCCCTTCCCATTATATTTCCCACCGGCAGTCTCGAGACCATTTCTCCCTCAAAAGTGCTTGAAGAGGAACGATTTGAGCGATTCAAACAGGGAAAATTTTATCCCGCTGAGATCGGCGACATGCTTACTTCCAGATACCAGGTTATCGGTACTTAGTTTTGGGATTACTTCAACCGTATGGCTAGCTCGCGATCTTGAGCAAATCATGGCAAATCTACTTATCGTGATATTAACACTGAATCACTGAAACAATCAGAGGTCATCGATATGTGACACTTACAATCTACACTCTTGACGAAGATAGCGAGGAAGAATTTCATATCTATAAGCAACTAGACCAAGGGGGTTCATGGCACCCTGGTCATGCTCATATACTGAAAGCACTGGATATCTTCACAATCCCCTGTTCTGGTGGTAAGCATTCGTGTCTTGTTCAAAAACCGATGTGGACCTCCTTTATCGTAATCCCACCCATCGATTTACTGAAGATCTCCTCAAACCCGGTCTTATGCAAATATTTCTTGCACTTGACTACCTATACACCAAATGCAGGCTTGTCCACACAGATAGCACATATCTACACAACTTCGTCAAATTTGTTGCTCTAACCTCATTCCTATAGACATCAAAAGCGATAATATTTTCCAGGAAATAGAAGACAAGTCCATCCTTGAAAGTTTCATACAAGCAGGGATAAAGAGCCCTTCACACCGCAAAGTCGTCAGTGATTTGCCGATCCACGCGTAGCAACATTTTGACTTGCCAACGTTACTTGGCCGAGTAGTTTCAAGTGATTTTGGCCGTGCTGTAAAAGGAGATGAGAGGAGGAGCCATGATGCGCAGCCAAAAGTTTACACATCACCCGAAGTGATGCTGATGACTGATTGGAGCTACCCTGTTGATATATGGAATGTTGGTGTCATGGTATGCTTTGCCTATGCATTCCACTCTTCCATCATCAGTACTAAGCACCTAGGAATAGTAGGCGTGGGATTTGTTTGAGGGGAGGCATCTCTTCAACGGAAATGACCCTGACGCTTAACCAGAAGTTATAACACTAAACTTAACGGCGTAATTCCATGTACCTTATCCGATATGGTGTAACTCGGCGATTTTGCTTCAGCAACAGTCTGGGTGCGGCGACACCATTATTTGATTGGTCTTAAGGAAAGTGGGTCAAATATTGTCAAATGAGAGCTGAATAGTGGATTCGTGCGAGCAAATAGGAACAGAGTAGTCAAATATGTATGTGTGTGTATTTCCAGCAGTAAAATTTACTGCAGTAAAGCGTATAAGAGCTGACTAATAATGCACTAAACTAAACTTGGAATCGGTCCTTTGACAAATATCTAATATAATCTTAATATCATTGGCTAAAAGGCTTGTGGAATTTCTTTATGGGTCAGCGGCAGCGGGTCGACCCGTTGACCCATGGACCTTGAAAAATTAGCTCACCAGGTAGCAACATCCTAAGCCTAAAGCGGTGTGCTCAAGAGAAAAGCGTATAAGACGGCGTGGCGATAAAGCTTTTTTTGCCGCTTTGATACTATTCTGACATATATCGGCTTTACGACTCAACAACTAAAACTTTCGAGGAAGGACCGATTTTATTAAACCGTGACAACCAGTATTCTAACTTGTAAGTCCCTATCAATTCTCAATTAGTTACTAGCTTGAGATTATAACTAATTATACCCACTTTCTAGTTGCTGACGTCTGGTAACACTTTCCTCTTCAACGCACAATGACAGATATTGAACAACATATCACCTTAACCGATCGCTCGGTTCCAATGACGAATATCGCCGTGGAAGATACTCAGGCGCTATCATCCCAAAGTTTACCTTGTGCTGAATACGAAGAACTCGCAGTGGTGATCGCAATTTCTGCCGGCGAATTCTCTCGCCGCAAGCTCAAGAAATATATCTTCTCCCGAATTGAAGATTCTACTGAGACCCAGTTCTCATAATAGACGGTGTAAAGCCTTCGTGGGGACGAGACATCTTTGATTCGTTGAAGGACCATCGCATACGGTAAGAAAAAACCCGATCTTTGATGTCACATCTGAATACTGAAATGTATAGATCAACATGGAACGTGGTTACTGAAAATTTGACGATAAAAATCATGCCGAGTTGGATCCACGATTGCATCCAGCCATGGATAGTAGAAACTATGATTCGAATGGGCATCACTGGACTCATGACGGAGATAGAGCGCAGAAAGATCAAGTTGTTTATGGGGACTAGTAAGCTATGCTTGATTCATTATGATTCGCCTATCGCTAACTTATTATAGCCCTAGAATTCCAGTCTGGCCCGCATATAAACTCCCGAAAAGAGCCCGATCTGTTTATGAGGCCTAGGCTGGTTGTAGACAGTTTGCCAAGCGTGGTCTTTGAAGTCAGATGGTCAGAGTCCCACAAGAAACTGAAGGAAGACGTGTATTTGCTTCTCACGGGTGGGGACGACTCCATTAATGTCGTGGTGGTGGTGAAATGGACAAAACACAGGCCCAGTCAGCGAGTGCACGGATTTGCGGACGTATATGTACGAGACGTATTCGGCATTCCTGTGCTACGACAGCACGAGGTCATTTTCCCTGCTCCGCTTGTTCCCTCCGTTCCTGTGCTCAATTTACCTGTTCTGCTTGTTCCCGCCCCCATTGTGCCTACAGAGCCAACTCATCGAATAGCCACGCGCAGCAGCACGCGTCCTCCGCCTTCTCCACCTCTCCCGACTGGGGGTCCGCAACGCTTAATATTCAGTCATGAGGAGGTATTTGGGCCAACATTCCTACAAGATCCAGCTCGTAATGGACCCCCTCCTGCGACAATTGACCTCGACATCAACCTTCTGCGAGAGTTTGCCTCTGAATGTCTACAGGAAATAAACCTCCAGCCGGCAGTCTAGCTTTGAGAATCTGTTAACTCATTCCTTGCTTCTCCCACCTTCTGTTAGCATCAATATGTGTGCAGTTTTTCCCCTTATTTTTTTCGGCCTCTTCGAGGTCAGGTCCGGACTCCCTTTTCCTTTGTCTCTTACATTGGTACCCATCAAAAGAAAGTTTAGAAACCCAATATCATTTTTATTCAAGTGTCCTAAATCCCGCGGCTAGAACCTTGGGGGTATGTCTGCCGGCGAGAATTCACGGGCCGGGGTTGCAGGTTCGTCCACTGCGTCACCAAATGAGGGTGGTCTGAATAAGGTTTCCCCTTTGTATTTGTCGGTCTCCACTATTTCTGCTCTTATGATTAGCCTACGAAAACCCGGGGAGTGGAATGTACTAACCCCCATATGTTCGGGTATTTATATCATCCAATTTCCGTAGTTTCCACCCGGGACCAGTCTAGTTGTGATACGAGTGGATGGAACGAATCCCATTTCACAGGACTTAGGTGGGAAGATCAATACAATACATTAATTTCTAGAATACCGGGGAAAAGGTGAAGTAGTTTTCTTAAAAGAGTCTATCTTGCCGAATACCAAAATAGATAAAGATAAAATGCGGGAATGTGGAAGATGATCCCTATTGGCTTAGGAACAAGAGAGCTCTAGTTGGCTCAGCAGCCGAGCTTTTTCCAACAGATTTAATCCTCATATCTACCTCCCGAAATGCAAGATGCAAAGTCTTTTCCTTGGTGCCCTTGTCAATGTTTCTTTTTCATCAACTTTTTGTACCCGTGGAGATATTTGAGAGAAGATGCCCTATTTAAACGCTTAGTTGACAGCACCAAGCCCACGTAGGCTATCACACGGTAAGCAATTCCAATTGCAACCAAGATACTAAATAATTGAAAACGTAAGGTCAGCAAGTTTCCAGTGCAATGACTTGATCTTTTGTAGTTAATTGTCACATACCCAATATCATGGGCAGTTCTTCCGATTTGATAGCCAATAAAACGCGCAGCTAAATCGATGTCATATAAATATGAAAACGGCAAAGTATGCTCACTAAACCATATCTCGGAGTACCACGTCTATCAGTTTCCCGTTAGTGATGGTTCGAAAATTATTTTTTTCCCAGCAGATCGAGGTTTATTGAAAGCATACCCCTGGACACAACCACCAAAGCCATTTCATATCCCATCCACCGACTTGGTCTAAGCGTGGACCTTCACCGTCGAGAACACCAGCCACAAGACTTATAAGCATTGCTAGCAATAGAGCATCCTGTCTTGGGACAAATGATGCTGCAAGGGATGCTAGACCATAAATGGCTAGGGTACTGGTAAGCCTTTGTATTAGTATGAAGGATAGGATGTCTTACTAAAGAAATATGCCGCGTTTAATCCCAGAAGTGTAGAGGTTGGAATAATGGTAGCTGAAAGAAGCTTTATGAATGTGGTGAAATGTAGTGAGGACAAGAAGATGCGAGGCCATGTAGCCAAGTCCTTCCCGATAAAATAGGCACTCGATGAATGCCCAGAATCAACCTCATGGTAAAAGATCATTTCTAGTCATGAGTTAGTACCTAATTAATGCCGTTTAAGTGAAAAACTTGCTGTCTTCTGCAATAGTTTTGATGCCAGCTGGTGCAGCTGCAAGACCTAAGATAAAAAAAATAATTAGGTAAGTGCGTAAAAACTCATGAAGAGGAGAAAAGTTTGGAAGGATGACTTACTGATTGCTAAGGCTGAAAGAAGGCCCGCGATAGGAACGCTAGAATAATCCACCGCACTTGAAAGAGGCGCATAGGGTTGTTGGAAGATCCCTTGAAAGAGGTGTCCCTTGTTTTCGTACATGGAGAGGCCGATGAGTGTACCACAAGCTGCTGCCGTGAACATCTCTAGACCAATACCAAAAGGCTGTCCTTTTTGCTGGCGGAAACCACAAAGAATATATTGCAGAACTTGGTGGGGCCAAGCAGCTACTTGAAACTTCAATGTTGGCTGAGAGTCATTTGCCACTTGTTGAGTTTGGACTTGAGATTGTTGATTTCCTTCCAACACGTTTCCAAGTATACCACGGCGCTCTCGCCATAAAACGCTCAATCCAACTGATTCATGAGTGATTGTATCCATCACAATATCGGCGGGATTCTTTTCGGCGGAGAAAAAGACCCCAATGGATGTAAAATATTCTTTCATCTTAGAAGCTGCATCGAGATAGACTATTTCTCCGGATGCTAGTATGAGCACATTGTCCAAAAGCTGGAATATGTCAGCCCGGGGCTGATGAATGGAGCATATCACAGTGACGCCCAACGTAGACAAATTTTTCAACATGGTCATGACCGTGAGAGCGTTAGCGGCATCTAGTCCAGAGGTTGGCTCATCCAAGATCACGGCCATGGGCATGGCCGCAATCTCGCGGGCGATACAAACTCGCTTGCGTTCACCGCCTGATATTCCTCTCTGCTCAATAGACCCAACTCTATGGTCTTCGACATGAGATAAACCAAGGTATGCAATGATCTTGTCCACATGAAGAGAAATCTCTTCGTATTTCAATTTTCCAAAAAGGCGAATACGGGAAGTATGTAGGATATTCTCCCGGACTGTGAGATCCGGGAAGCAGATATCATCCTGTGCCACAAATCCAATGTGATGTGAATATCTACATTTCAAATTAGCAAATGGACGATTATATTTTAAAGTATGAGTAACCAACACACCTTTCCAAGCTGCCTTGGGGTCCGTCCACCTGAAGAGACCCAATAGTCGGCTTCTTAATTCCCCGGAGAACACTAAGCAATGTTGCTGAAAAGATAGCTAGTTAGCGTTGAGATGCCTGAATCAGCCATTTTCACCATAACATACATTTGCCTGCCCCGGATGGCCCTATTATACCGAATAAGCTACCTCTTGATATTTGACCCGAAATGCCTCGCAAAATCGAATCAGAAGAACCTCTTAGATTATAACCCAAATCGCAGAATTCAAAACATAAGCCCAGGTCATCTTTTTTTCTGCCCGCAATCACTGAGCTGAAAGATTCAAATGCTTGTGGAACTTCAGGCTGATCTTCGGAATCAGACAAAGTTTCATTAGATTTCTCTCTGGTTCTTGCCAACTCGATATCGTGGTTGGCTGATCCTCTGCACAATGGTCCAAAGAATGCTCTTCTTTTTCTCGATTTCCATTTTTTGAGACCAAGAGTGAGTGCAGCGCAGGCCAAATATACAAGTAAGAGGGCTAGTAAACTGGCCAGTGAAACTTCCCGTTGGCTTGATTCTTTACATATCGATAATGCCGAGCATTTTTTTGGCTCAAAGGATCCTTGAGGGCAATAGTGACCTTGAGGACAGGGAAACTTTTTTTGTCCACCGGGGGGGCAGAAGTTGCCCTTTGGGCAAATAATCGGTTCGAATGGACTTTGTGGATCGGGACAGATGTTGTTTGCGTTTGCTGGCTGTAAGCGGATTAATTGACAGCTTTCCGTCGGTGGGCAAAAGACTGCTGGATTATCTGCAGTTATGTTCGAGCCTATGAGAATTAATGATCAGTAATGGAGCATTCCATAGCAAACACTAAAGATCCTACAAAGAAATCCCAATTTGCAAGAATCTGACTTCAAATTAATAGGCTGCTGCCCTGAGAGACAAGTAGTGTTTCCCATTATTCCATGTGGTTATCAAGAACCCTTCGGTAATCGTATGAAATGTTCACGAAGTCAAGACCTAATCTAGAGAGATACTAATCTCCGAACCTTATAACACGAATTCGCTTCCTAGACCCACTATGATCAGCACTTGGCAAAAACCGATGTAAAACCCCACCTTTACAACTTTTTACACCTTTTGAGCCCAAACGCTGTCACAGCCAAGAATCAATGAACTCATTCACTTTTCTCATTGGACATCCAAACTTCATAAAAGTCGACGGTTATGAGCCCGGCGGTCATGGTTAATGATCGTCGTGTCCATTATCCAAGTCCGCGATCTGAAAATTTTACCATTTCTTAATGAATCATTAGATATGTGGATTGGTTTCGCTTAGTCAGAACCAAATCCTGCTTGTGACAGCGTATTCTTCAGATAACATAATATGTAGCACCTGAAAAAAAGCCTATAAACTCTGTCACAGCCAAGAATCAATGAACTCATTCACTTTTCTCATTAGACATCCAAACTTCATAAAAGTCGACGGTTATGAGCCCGGCGGTCATGGTTAATGATCGTCGTGCCCATTATCCAAGTCCGCGATCTGAAAATTTTCCACTTTGCGACCCACACGAGAAAGCAAAAATGGGCTTCTAGATCGGGTAAGACGAATGAGAACCTTACGTTCGAGACCATAACTCTTTGCCTTCTGAATACCAATTTTTTGTAAGCTGCAACATTATTTCCTATATTTTACCATTTCTTAATGAATCACTAGATATGTGGATTGGTTTCGCTTAGTCAGAACCAAATCCTGCCTTGGAAGGGGTCATGTTTACTTTAAACCTTATTTAGTTCTTAATCCCCGCCACTCCATCCACTCCTACCATCAAAATACTTTCCAAGATGGCCGCTCCAGCTGATATCACGATTAAAAACTTCACTGGGCAGTGGGTGATGGTAGGCCGACTTGGATTAGGAGATTTTCTTGGAATTCTAAAGCCATTCTGAACTAACATCCCTGTACGATAGGACACCACCCAGTCTGATCCCTTTGATCCTATCCTAGGTCTGGTATGTATCAAATCCTTAATCAGATGAGATAAATGAATGCTATACACTATTCTCAAATAAATACTCCAATAGCAATACCGGAAGCAATTCAGGTCAGCTAACACTCCGATAGCAAGGTGTGAGCTGGTTGCTCCGTAAAGCTCTCGGGTACGCCACCGTCACACTTCATATACGCGAGTATACCGACCCAAAAGACTCGATCTACCACATCGATATTCAGCAGGTTGTGACCGGCGGCATTAAGGGTAACAAGGAGGAGCGCAAGATGGACTGGGTTATGGGTGAGCACAAGGACAACGTCTTCGGCAGGGTGATAGGCTGCTCCCGCTTTATCTGCGGAATACAGGATGAAGACGGCAAATTCCGTCCCGCGCTCGATCTACAGACAAAGGTTGCCGAAAAGACTAATAACACAATCAAGCGATTCTTACGTGGTGAAATATTTGCCGATGGTTCCACTTGTGAAGGGTTTATTGCGGATGCGGACGTTGCGGACGAGGAGTTATCTGTACAGAGCTGGGTTGTAAATGCTACCAGTGGTTGGACTGCCGAGCAGGTATGACTCACCCCTATTCTAATCATTAGTTCATATAGTTAATCAGATATAGGTTTGGGGCTTTGAGATTATCGACGGAAAGCGCTATCACACTCGTCGTGTTGCGGTCGCTAAGGGCAGCAAGCTTGAAATGGCTCGCCTAGTTTACACCTTCATTGGTCATGAGCTCCTAGCCGAGGACCAGGAGGATAATCTTGCTTATAAGTGAGATATACATTATGTCTGATATAGATCGAGATAAAGATCAATTTCAAATTGGAAGACTCACAGATATCTTCACAGCTGAGCTCGAGAATAGCCTTAGACTTCTTATGTATTGCTAGTGTAAACCACGTACGAGCGGAACACTCAAGTAGAATTATAATATTTCGGGGTTGAAAAGAAAGGGAAAAGGCGACGACATCAGAGTCAAGCCACTGATAACACCAATTAGGCAATCAGAGAGAATTGAGCCTCACAGTCACAGATAGCCTGCACCTTAGCAGCAGAGCCACTCGTAGAGTCAAAGCGGTAGTCGAGCCAGTCAATAACAAGCTTCTTCGCCGACTCAATACAAATGACTCGTTGGCCCATACAGAGGATTTGGGCATTACTGCTCAGAATTGAGCGCTCAACAGAAAATGGATCATGGGCAGTGACAGCCCGAATTCCAGGGACTTTATTGGCGGCGATAGCAACACCAAGACCGGTGCCACAGAAGAAAAGACCACGGTCTGCTTTACCATCCTTAATCAGCTTAGCCCCCCTTGACTGCTGTATGAGGGTAGGCAGTCATGTCAGAAGCGGAGTCGACACCGACGTCAACTATAGACTCAACGAGGTAATTCTTCTCTAAAATAGCTTTGATAGCATATTTATAAGCTACACCAGCTTTATCGCGCGCTATAACGATGCGTAGAGGTTTTAGGTCGGACTCGGCAGGCATGATCGCAGGAAACCTCGGAAGTGTTTTTTGTCCAAATGGAAGCTTTGTGATGAAAATCCGAGAGATAAGAGATGTTGGTAGTTTCTGTACAGGAGGTACAGAACGGGGACTTCTCCCTTTATAGCTTGAACCTCATAGCAGATCAAAACCAATACATAATACATCAGACTCCACTGGAACCTGTTAGCCCAGGGCTTGCGGAACGGGGACGTGCTGAGAGCTACAAACGTGCATTTTTCTGTCAGGCGTCGCTGACCGCCCGTCATATTGGGACTAGCCCGTACCAGTGACGACCCATCTTCTTCACCTCCTTTCTTTCTCTTTTTAATTGAGAATTACGACTAAGAAATTCTTCCTGTTCCCGACTCTCATCGTCTAATTAGAGCCTAACCAATTCCTTCATTGTATTCTGGCGAATCCTGGCGAATCGGGCAGGCAACCTAAAACTAAAGTCGTGGACCAAGGCTCTGGGTCAGGTGGACCCTGCTTAAGTTCCAAAAAAGGTTACCTTAATATTGTCTATAGTCCCGAGGAACTGGTCCCGGGAAATGAACCCGAAATTTGGTTTGATTGGATATGGTATGAAATCTCTGCGCTTTCTAGATTGGTAGTTCCAAGGTTGCATCTTATAATATAGTCTAGTAGTAAGACACTACTAAGTCCAAGTCCAACTCTACTACAATTTACAACCTTGGAATAATAAGGTAAAATAACATATTCGTTGCATTGATAAGAGCACTATGAAAGCAAACATTGAATATAAACGAGCATATATGAAAACCGATGAGATCTAATGCCAAGTTGCAACCAATCACTCGAAACGAAAGAGGGCAGATATCGATGAATATTATTAATCAACTTAAGGGAAGTTCTATGTGGGATATGTGCAGTTGAAGTTTTGAGATCTCATGACCTCATAGCATAGAGATACATTGGTATTTTCTACTAGGTACTTCTGATTTCAAAGGTTGAAGTTGAAGACCCTTTTAGGCCTTCTTTTGCTTCCTGTACATTTCATAAAATATTCGGATATGTGACCACTTAGTGGCAGTAAAGATCATTTGGAACAAAATGAATACGACTCTTGCAAGTATCGGCAGCTCACTCCATTCAAGAAATGTTGCAGAAGAAACGGACACCAGTTCCAGAATCACAACTGACGTACCGGTGTAGAAAATGAGGATGTAGAGTCTAGATAGCGCAACGGCTCTGGACATAAGATAACGTCGCATAACATGACCGAAGGCTTTAATAGAGCTGTAGAAACCAGCGAATATAACTTTTATAGAAATTTTAGATCATGAACATGAATCAACCAGAATCAGGACTTACTCCATAAAAGAGCGATATCAACCACTTTTCTTGCTTGCATTAAACTGCTGATTGCCTCAACTGGCTGCGTAACAGACCAAACCAGATATGCTTGAGTTGCAAGAATAGTACCGAGATGATGAACCAGATCGAGTAGCCTCATATCTTCAGTTGTGCATATATCGAGTATAAAGAGCGCTGAGACCAAACAAGGGCCACTTGTCGATACAACGCCTAGAGTGAAAGGAGCACCACTATAGTATGGATCAGTCCAAAGCTGGCCTCTGATAAATACTTTGAATGCGGGCCTTGACATGAACAAGGTTGAAGAAATCTTGACAATCAAATCGATATGTTGAAAACGAAATCCATGTTTCTGTCGTGCATTGAGAATTGAATAGCTTTTTCCATAGTGTTTCGTGAAAAAAGACGATGTGAGCAATTTTTGGTAAATAATGCCGCATAGAATTACATAACACGGCGTCAAAAGAACATAGGTAATGTTTAGCTTCATCAAGAGCAAGCAGTCCAAATACAACTCATCGGCATTCACATCTTGTGACGACTCGTCAAGATAAGCCTTGCAGCCTGCATTGTAAATACTGCCCATGACACTAGCAAGTAATTTTAAGCCGCAAAGTGGTACAATGTATTGACAGTAGCGGATATGGAGAGAAAAGCGACGTGAGAACTAGATAAATTGCGAGAAAAAGGTATTTGAGTAATAATTCATCCAATCACAGTCGCCTACACTAACCGAGTGAGAGCTGTGCGGCCTGGTGGACCACCGCCCTGAATCGCTTCTTCCTTCGATACAAGTCATGGGACGACCACCAAAATAATCCCTGAAGGCCCTCATTCCACGGCTCACCACGGCATTCGGCCTTCCTACCCTCTGATATGAAGGTTTACCTCGGGTCCCTCAATCCTGCATAGTCTGTGGAACTGGTCATAATAACCAAGTTCTACGCTATAATCTGCACCCGATAGATACCCTGACCCGCTCCGAACCTCTCGGGTACACGGACACGCCGCAGAAGGTTGTTTCTAGTGGGTCGGAAGAGTCTATTCTGATGCAAAATTGAATTTCGTGGGTTTCTTCTCGAAAATCATACTTCAATCCTGCTTTAAAAAGCGATTTAGGGGAAGGTAAGGCGATGGATTATGGCGGGTGGCAACCCTAAAAGGATTGGAGTTATTAAGGCTCCAAAAATGAATGAGACGCTGTCCCACGTGGACCCTGATGGAATTGTCTAAGCTCGAAAAAAGATTTATTTAACATCGCGAGGCATCTGGGCTCATATTCGTGGGAAAAAAGTCATTACGCTTTTAACAAGTAGACTTGCCCTAATCAGTGCGAATATAAAATAAGCACACACTTTCTGTCACTATTGCCTTTCGATTATATTGTATGACGTTTATCCAAATGCAGGAAATGAGATCTGCAGTGAGCAAGTGACAATTTGATTGGTTTGGAGATCAAGTTTGATCTGAACCGAATCTTCATAACCACAATTTATCCAAGGTCATAGCTGGGTTTTTCCCGATCTAGAAACCCAATTTCGATATTTCTAGCGGGCAACACGTAAAGTACGAATTATTTCAGAACTGTGTTTCCGCGCCAAAATTGTAACCCAGGTTTGTCTACATTTCTATTATTTTAACCCTCCTTTCGTCATCGACAGGAGTCTATTTTACCCTCCTTTCGTCATCGACAGGAGTCTATTTTATCTTGCCCGAAATATTCCGATTTCTTTTTCCTCCGGCAATCTGGTAAAATACCTAGATATTACATTTTGACTGAATTTTCCCAGTCAAATAATGCATACGGAAATGAATATACCTACTATGCAAGCATCAAATGATGAAATATCCACCGTACACTCGGTGCAAGACTCGGTACAAGACTCAGTAGAAGAGGAAAACACGATGAAGTGGTACGAGAAGATTCACTGGCTCAAGATGACCGTTGTGGTCATTTTTCCTCTACTAGCTACTTTCAGCACTTTCTGGGTGCCTCTGCAAAGAAAGACTACAATTTTCGCAATCGGCTACAGTTTCTTGAAAGGAATCAGTATCACTACGGGTAGGTACCTACATGCGAAGTCATCTCACGAATACATAGATCGATTTTTGTTAATCATCCATAAAAGGCTACCACCGTCTCTGGTCTCATAAATCTTTTTCAGCTGGAAAACCGCTTCAAATATTCCTGGCCCTGTTCGGTGCCGGAGCAGGACAAGGATCGATCAAAGTTTGGTGCAGAGAGCATCGAGCCCATCATCGTTATGTGGACACAGATCAAGACCCGTACAATGTTGCAAAGGGACTTTTCCATTCTCATATTGGTTGGATCATCTTCAAGCAAGATCTTGACCGCATTGGCCGGGTAAATATCGAGGACTTTAAACAAGATTCGATCGTGCAGTGGCAGGCTCGTTATTACTGGCAGTTGTTCCTTATCATGTCATACATTTTACCCACTGTTATAGCAGGGCTAGGGTGGAACGATTGGTATGGCGGCTTGATCTATGGAGGCCTGCTCGGAACAGCTATCATTCAGCAGCGCACGTTCTGTATCAACTCACTTGCACACTATTTTGGAGATCAGCCCTATGATAGTGTCAAGTCTGCTCGAGATAATTTCTTAGTCGCGCTGATTACTCTGGGCGAGGGTTATCATAACTTCCATCACGAGTTCCCCAATGACTGGCGGAATGGGATAGAGTGGTACGACTATGATCCCACGAAGTGGCTAATCTGGCTCTGCAATAAACTTGGTCTTGCTTCAAACTTGAATGCCTTTCCCGCAAATGTGATCCAGAAGAATTGGTTGCAGCAGTGTCAAAAACGGCTGGATCAACAGTTCCAGACTATGACATGGGGGGTTCCCTTGGCAGGCTTACCTATTATGCCTTGGGAGGAGTATACGGCACAGAAAACCCTGAAACTGATCCTCATTGAGGATATTGTTTATGATATAACATCATTTATTGAAAAGCACCCTGGTGGTGCCGCATTGATTCGATCGGGGGTTGGGAAGGATGCAACGGGGCTTTTCAATGGAGATGTTTACAGACATTCCCAAGCAGCTCGAAACCTTTTATCAGATAAAAGAGTTGCCGTAATCAAACGAGCTGACACGCTAAAGATTTAGCTGAAGTTGTTGCGATAGCCGTCTAAGAATAGATATGGTCATTGGGTCAGGAAATTGACCAAATCAAAAAATGGGTTCAAATGTTTAATCTTGTCACGATCCAGGAAGGGCCGCTCTAGATTCTGGGGTTAGAGGCTTATATTCGAACTTGAAGCTCGTTCGAGCTTCAAGGGTACCTAGTTAGAAGGGGAGCACTATCGTGGGACAATTATTGATAACACTCTACATAGCAAATCATGACAACTCCCAAAATCTTCAAAGAAGGGTTATGGTTGATATGCTAATACCATCAGATTCCTGCTGTCCACAGCATTCTAAATTTTCTCTTTTCATTCTTCTACGATGCTTGGTTGGTGAGGTATAACCCAAAGAAGTTGCACTTCCCGATTAGGAGAATAACGGTGATAGCAAGGATTATAGTTAATATATTAGTACTATTAGATTCCTACTGTACACAGCATTCTAAATCTTCTCTTTTTATTCTTCTACGATACTTGGTTAGTGAGGTATAACTAAAGGAATTTGCACTTCCCGATTAGGAGAATAACCGTGATAGCTAGGCCTAATTCCGTAATTCGAGGAGCTCCCTACTTGTCGGAACATGGATATTGCAATCGTGCAATACCATAAACCCGGAACGGAACAAACAGACCCCCGGGTCACGGGGGAACGACTATATTAGGAACTCAAGTAGCTACATGAATCGAACACATTTCACACCACTTTGCACCACATATATACTAAGAATCTAGGACGAACCATACCCTTTTCCAGTGTATATAGTGTGTTGATCAAAAAACGATCAGATCAATCCACTTCTGATATAGTGGAGTAATTACTGTTTGCAGCCATCATTATTATGACTAATTCCGGCTGATTCCTGCTTGCATCAAAATTGTTCTTTGCATCTTCTTCACCTGATATTACTTATGTTTGCGTTCTATATCTTATCCTATATATATGACCCTGAAATCCAGAGATCTAAGGGTCAAGCGAATCTAATTCACCTCATCTTTACCATACCTTTGAGACATTATTTCACTTCCTTTGCTAGCAGTCTAGCATCGTATTACTATTTACCATATCGGCCTAATTCAGCCACCCTGACCCACTGATTCCCTGATCCGGAATTAGCTTTCCCCATTGGACACATTGTTCAACATAGTGCAACGTGTGAACCCTGTCCTTTCAACGTAGTTGATCGACAAATACCTTCAAAGTTTCTTGACTATTTCTTATGGGAGCATGATCTTGATTTATTAGCATATTATTGCGATCACCAATATTATCTAGATTATTATGTTAGACGCACCTTCTAGGCACTAGACGGTATCCCTTTTAGCTGCTAGAGAAGTTGACCCTGTTGTTAACACTATTTCTTTTATCATTTTAATTCTCCATACCAAGTCAATCAATTGTGAAGTTAATAGGAATATCGGTCATAAGGCATATTTAGTAATAAGCATGATTAGGTGGTTTGTCGGAACATTAATAACCGTACAGGGCTTTTTAGATCCAGAGGCTGTTTGAAATATATCTTTCGGTCATTGTGAAAGGACATAATATTATGATGGTTGTTTCATAATCTCCTCTCGTGGACTTAAAATGACTAAGAATAATAACTAGATTAGGCAAGGTAGCTAAGGTAGTCAAGTCGATCTATAAGACTGAGCAGTCCAATCTCGGCGTTTCTCTATTTCAATATCGTGCAAGCGCCAAAGCCAAGGCTGAGTAGCCCCTCGCTTAATAATTGTACCTAAGGCAGATTTGAAGCCCCGCCGTATAAGAAAATTTATTCTGAAAGGGTCTAGGAAATGGATCTGATGGCGCGAAAATTCGACTCAGGACCAGCTGATTACGCCGAGGGGCTAACGAGTCTCTCCAGAGATACAAGGGTGGTTCGGAGCTCAGTGATCCAGTCCAATGGCAAAAATACCTCAGAACATAGTGAAGGGAAACTGGCAGGGTAAATGAAAAACAAAAAAGTTGGAGGGGAAATAAGGGACTTTATAGAACTACGCACGGCCATAGAGACTTATGACGCTAAGCCGGAAGGGATAACACTAAACTTAATAGCGAAATTCTCTATACCCGTCCGATATGGTGTAGTGGCTAACATCGCCGTCTCTCACACGGCAGCCGGGGGTTCGATTCCCCCTATCGGAGTTCATCACTTTTTTGCTTTCACTTTTTACCCCAAACAAGCATTAAACCTAGTAATAAGCATTATAGATCCTCACCAGAAAACGTTCTATCGAACGTAATTCCCAGCCACCCCATCTAAAAAATCGTTTCAACAGCAACTCTCTGTTTTAGAACACACACCATGTCCCAATTCGCACTAGGAAACGACAGAAATCGCTAGAGCAGGAGGGACATACCGTATTAGCTATTTAAGATTGTCGATATCCTTCAGATAGCTGCTGCACGATCATTTAATGTTCCAAGAACAACCCTTCGTGCTAGAATGAAGGGCACTCCAAATCTATGGGAGCTTCTTGTCCACCTTTTCGAATAGCTATTCTACACTCGGTACTGGTGTACCGACATTTACAATTTTTTGAAATTTAAATGGCCGACCGGGAATTATGTTATAGACTATAAGCCGCATTGCTTCGTGCATCCGCCTTACATCTCGATTTCCTCGCCTTCATACACTCAATCTTTCAGTAAATGACACCTGCAAATGAGACAGAGCCGTGAGAAAAAGCAACCATAACGGTATATATCAATAAATCTTATATTAATTAGATTCGGAAAGATTTACGAATCATATCTTCAGAATTCGTAGCTCATCTCCACCTTCTGCCACCGATAATAGAAAATTTCTACCTACATTTCAATAACAAACTACCTACAGATCAAAACTTTACCCTGGATGATATCACAGAGAATCAACAAATCCTCTGAGTTCCGGACCTCGTGAACTCTCTTAACAGCTTATGACTCTCGATCTTTACAAGACAACAGTCGGAACCGATGTTTTTTGCCCACTAGAACCTAGTACGAGCGTAGGTGAATTCAATAACCCAGGAAGAAGGGAATTCTCGCTTACTCAATGAAATCGCCCGGTAGAAAGTTAAAAACAAATTATTCGGTGTAAGAATAATGCCATAGTAATACTACTCACAATCTCTTGAAAGAGATACGTTAGTACCCGAAAGAAAAGATAAGCAATAACGAGCACGACACCAAAGCAATCATGATCATTCCTTACAGAAACAGGGCTATTACTACTCCACGGACCGATCAGGCGACTTTGAAAGCGACCGAGATTGAACTGGATGGCGAAACAACGGCGACTTGACCGGCGAAGCGCTGCGAGTGGGTGAGGGAGTGGGCGAGAGCGGGAGCGAGGATTGTTCATCCCGCGCGAGGCGGGTAGGTCGCTGTGGCGGGGAGTTCTCACGAAGCATATGAGGTTCGCTCAGGTTCGAGGTTTGAGGCGAAAACAAACTCTCTCCCCCCCTAAGCGAACCTCATATGATTCGTGAGAACTCCCCGCCACAGCGACCTACCCGCCTATCTTCACTCTCCTCGGGCCACCAGTGCTCTCTATTCCTGCTGAGTATGTCTAGCCAGAACATCTCATTCTGCTCTCCTATTCTCCAATCGCGCGAATCTACATCTTCCCGCTCTCCTGCTCGCCAGTCTCGCGAACCTACACCCTCCCTTTCCCCTAGTCCCGAATTTCAGGGAGGCACCTATGTGGGCTCAAATCCCCGTGTTCCCCAATTACATCCTCATCGGATTTCCTCATCGTCTTCTTCCTCTGCGGCTCCTTGCATTGCACCGATTCTAGTTAAGTGCCATAGTAGGTTCAGTAGCTCCCACGAGGGTAGTGGCAGCTTGACTGGGTCATCAGTACTGATAGTAAAGATATCCCCAGAGCAGATTTCAACTTTGTCTTTCAGATGATACAGCATAACACCTTCTGCGGGACGGCTACCATTAAACTCGTACTCTTCTCTCCTCAATGGGTTCTCAGTGAGTTGAAGAAGATCTGTCTGTTTGAACTTCTTACGGCCTAGTAGAGGTAGCCAATGAAAAGAAATGTTCATCGAGGTTTTGTCTTCGTTAACTGAGATTGGGCGAAAGGCACAGATGGCCCTTTCCCAGTATGCATGGACTGGGCCGCTTATAGTAATAAGGTTTTCAGTGCGCTCAGTACTGATGGTGTCGCCTTTCAATATCGCGTCCTGCCATTTTTCGAGTTGCTCCCTTGTGTAAAACATACGGAGTCGGCTCCAAATCTGTCCTGTGCGGCGCGACATATTAAAGCCATTTAGCCTGAATGGTATAATATGCGCACACTTGAGAGTTGGATTTACGAGTTTTGTCACAACGCAATGCTCTCCGTCTCTTTTCAGGCACTTTGAATGATAAGATTAATATTAATCTCCAGTTAGATAATAGATGAGCTTGTATTTTTGATAGGATCCCTCCGTCGTTTCTCGTATTCGTCGCGCTCGGCCGGAGTATCATTACTCAAACTTGTTCGAGGATATTTTCGAAGCCGGTCATCTTCGAAAGCTACAGTAAGTAGTCGCTTCTTTTTAGAGTATTTAAAGCCGCGCTTTTTTTAGAAGATGATTTACTTGAGCAGAATTTGTTAATTCAGTATCACGAAAGCACGCGGAATGGTATACTTACTAGTGCCTGGAATATCGCACACAGGTGGCGAAGTCATGCTAGTTGCGATAAGGTTCAAGTAAATTTCGCTTTTGTCGTTTTCAATCATCTCAGCAAGTGTTGCTTTATCGGCGAACCATAGAAAAAAGAAGGTTGATCGGGGAACCTCATGTATACGAGGGCACATAGCGACCATGCGGCGAATCAAATCTTGTCTCTGGATCTTCAAACTCAGAGAAGGCACATTGGGCATCTTTGGGCCGGTCAACAAGAGCTCTGGCCTTCGACATACTAAAGAAATCATCGTTGAGCTGGACGGTGGATGTCAAAGAGAGAAAGAGAAGAGTCGGGTGCCAAGCCTCAAGGAGACTCGGACAGAGCAAAAAAAGAAAAGAAAAGGAGAAGTGAATGGTGGAAAGCGGCGTAGTATCAATAGATACGGCAGTAAAAGGCTTAGATGGTGGAGAGCAAGAAGGGTGAAAAAGGCAGACTCGAGGCAAAGGTAAACAATAAAGTGCAAGCAAGCGGAGTAGTCAATGAATTATGTAACCTTAATAGGGCTTAGTGCGGGAAATCCTCTGTCAGAGCTATTCTAGAACGGACAACCCACATTGCCCTGCCAAGACTTACCAAAAGTACGTAATTATTTCCTAATTAAGCTAACTATAAAACATATTTATTCCCTATTAACCTATTATAATCTAAGTCTTCATAATTAATACGGAGTACAGCTGCCAAGAATTAGATGTTTGTTCTGTTTGTGGGCCTGTAACGGGTCAGCGAGTGACCCGCATTCCCTAGCATTAACCAAATACGGATTAGTGTTCCGGCAGATCTGCTTTCCTTGTAGTAGAACAGACTGCTGCAAAGAGCGTAGGGAAGCTGACTAATAAAACAGACTAAACTAAAAGCAAGTTGCCCATTTGACCGTTCCAGATGGTTATGTGGGGTTGGTCACATAATCATAGGGTCCTCAAATTAGTTAACTATTCATTGTCCTATTACCTTCGTAATAACTACAGTTCTGCCTCCTGACATGACCAAGCTTCACCACCTTGTATGGTATATATACTAATAGTCCCTTGAAGCAGCAGGCTCCCAAAAAAACTGTTTCCCGCACCGGTTTTCTTCTACTTCATCAAAGTCAAAAGATACTTTTCCAACGTCATGGACGAAGTCATTACTCCTAGCAGTGTTCCTAACGTTGTGGACGAAGTCAACAGTACTCTTGAGAGCACTCCCAACAACACAGACGAAGTCATTACTCCCGATAGCGCTCCGAACGTTGTGGACGAAGTCAACAGTACTCTTGAAAGCGCTTCCAGTGTCACAGACGAAGTCATTGCCCCCGATAGTGCTCTGAACTTTATGGACGAGGTCAACAATACTCTTGACAAAGCTCTTAAAACTCATCGTTCAATCCGAATAATTGGTGATCTACCAACCAAAAAGCTGAATAGTCAAGACTATCTAGCCTCGACTCGTGAATTGATCGCAAACTTCGTCGATTTTTGGGAAAAGAAAGCAGATTTACGGCTGTTAGCGGTCGAAGTTTACTCAAGACACACTTATTTTGCGATTGACTTCAACAATGACGACTACGACTTTGAGAACGCTCATACTCAGCAGATTATTCTCCCTGTCTATCTGCTCCAGCTCTCTAGGAAACGCCATCACTGGACGGTCCGTCGGCAAAATTCCCAAGACTCAAATGTTGCCAAGAGAATAGCATTGTTGCATGATGACCATGGGCAGAATCCTACTCCTTTTCTTAACGATCATATCAAAGGCGTGGTGCATTATGACCCTCCTCGGACTCCCTTTCAATTCCTAAAGAACTCGCCCCAAGAGCAAACGCCCGTTTTGTGAAAGAATCCGCTCAACAACCCATCAAGATTTGATATTGAATCACGTCTCCTGAACCCACACGATATCGCCTCTGCTAGCTTAGATAGTACATATTTTCATGTGTTGTCTGCTTCATAACCTTGAAAGGTTTAGTCCTGGAAAATTCATAACGTAGCAGGGTAAAGTTCATGAATTACTAAATGAGTAGACTGAGTCCTTTGGTAAATTGATATATTGCCCAAGCCTACACTTTGAAAACAACCCAACGCGCAAGGGCTTCCAACCTGTTTTATTTTTGTCGGCATTTCGTTTTTCGTTCGCGACATAGTTTTCGTTCGCGACATAGTTTTCGTTCGCGACATAGTCTTCAGCAAGTCATTGATCATACCACAGATCGCTGATGCCACTAGATAAAGCCCATATTCCATTATCATCCCAATAAGCTAAGGTAATCTTCCAAGGTTGAGAGATTACTACCCTAACTACCCTAACTACCTGACGGTGCGGTACGGCTGAGGGGGCTATATCTTCAGAGGTTATGCCACTATAACTCTCCCGCATTATCCAAGCTCCCGAAACCCGGCCACGTGAGGCCCTCGTTGATTAGGTCGGGAACTTCAAATTCCATCATCATCATCATAGGTGACATTCCTGAGATTTGTCAACAAAAAGGCACACCTCCAATATCAGATAAGACGCTTGAAAAATATTACCTGGGAATGATGAGCCATTATCTTTATTTGTAGGCCCCTGTGAGAAAAAAGCTGAATTTGAACTAGAATCCGGGTTACCAATAACATAGTGTACAGCAATTGCAGCCTTTCGAGCTTCTCTTGAGGTCTCGCTCTCTCGAAGCCGGATTGCCTGGATTTTCCTTAAAGATGTTGTAGTTCTTCAATATCCACTAGTGATGGAGTGTTTATTTCGGACCTATTTTCGGGCTTTCAACGGGCTCAGAGAGCGACCTCTCCTATATTCAAGGTCAATGTATGCAGAAAATCCGTCAGGCGCAGTATCACGAAGGCCACGTGTACCACACATGCAATAAATGGCAAAGATTAGAACTGGACTCAGAAGGCATGGGGTATTTCTACTGTGACCTCCTTATCAAAGCCGACAATGACCTTGGCTTCCTCGGCGAAAAGCCTGAATCTTTTCTTCTCTATCAAAACTTGAGTGGCAATTTGGGCATAATGTTATACCGTTGAGTGGGCTTGAGATGTGAAATGGAGTGAGCCCTGCCTCTAGCCAAAGAGGTCGCTTCTCATCTGTTAGCTTGAGCGATAGATTAAGAAGCTATTGCATACCTGGCGATCTTCCCTTGCGATGAAATGGGCATTTCGACATTTGGATGATAACATTGCAATCCTATCCAGGATGGCCTTAACGTTAGCCATCTTCTCGTTGATCAAGTGCAGGATACTTACAGTAGTTTTGATTCGGATCGATACTTCAAACGACCTCCGGATCTGAAAAGCCATAAGGCGACCTCGGGGTAAACATCCATTTCCCTCAACCTACACCGTTTTTTCCTGTGCAGTTCTTCATATTCTGGCCATCCACGGAATCCTACCTATAATAAACTCGCCTTATGGTCGAAATCCCTCATGGCTTCACAATTGATTTAGCACGGAGAGTTGGACGGATGGAAAAACAGGGTTAATAACAGGGTTAACTTCTCTAGCAGCTATGCCGTGCGGATGGGGGATGATAGGGACTAAGCCTCTATGTTGGTTCATACTACACGTTTCATTGTCTGTCTTAAATCATGGAGAGACTGGCAGGCAGAGCTCAATTCATCCGATGATCGTACAGAGGCGCAGAATTGCTTCTTATATAATTGACTGATCCGCACACCTCGATTCATCAGATTATGATAAAAAGGTGTATAGGGGCCATGTAAGCGACACAGAGATAAAGCACTTCCAAGATTCCTGATCGCAGTGACTGGCTTACAGCGCTCGATATTTCCCCTGATGATATCAACGCGCAGGGGCTATACAGACGGTATAGAGATGAATTTCTCCATGGACCAGTGACTGGTCTATAGAGTTTGAATCATCTGGTGATGATAACAAGGCGCATGGGGGCCATATAGACAACACAGGAAATCACTTCCAATGTTCCTGATCATAGTGACTGGCTAAGAGCGCTCCATCCCTCTTCCAATGTATCGACAGACTACGTCTGAAGAACATTATCATACGTTCCACATCTCAGCCTGTTGAGAAATTACTCGATCAAGTCAGTATGGATATGTTGTGGATGTACGGTGTATGAAGTGTGCCATTCATAACTAGCTACTGAGAGGGTATATATACTCCCTCATGGCGGATGTTTACGCACTGTAGATCCATAGACCTAAATTATAAGTACAACGTACCTTACCGATGATGTAGTGTCGGAACATATGTATCATTACATTGGTCTGATATTGTAGCATGGAGTGCCTCTACTAGCTTCAGCCCGGTCAAGTGGGACGTATATTTACTCCCACTCCCCATCAGGATTCAAGACACACATACATATCAATCAATATACGAAGCTTTACAGTAGAGCACTATTCACTTAACTACGTACAAGATACCTAGCCGGCAATACCAACAGTAACACGTTTGCCTATTATGGGGGTTTCATCATCCCGCCCATGTCAGTTGACTTGTCTACGTACATATGCTTTCTGTCTCTCTAGTAACCAAATGTTGGAATACGTAGTGGTTCTAAGTGGTATATTTTTCCGCTGCCCCATATTGGGATTGGAACAACACTGGGAATACTTCTAAAGTTGCAAAACTGTTCCCAACTCATAACCATGCTAAAAAATTCCGAATACCCTCTCTATTCAACGAATCCCGCCTCATTCTTCATCATGCTCCTTCATACTTTTCTATCGCGTGAGCTACCAAGATATAGAGCGTGTCGAGGTTGATCTAGGATTTCCACTTACCTAGGATGACAGGTCGCTGTCCGGGGAGGGGTACTGGCAAGCAGCGCAGATATTGGCCAGAACCACAGTCGCTGCCCAAGTTTGGCGGGGGTTTTGGGTGGCTGTAGTACAAGTCGCATTGGGAGTACATCTCACCACCAGAAAAATGATGTCCAAACACCCACAGTGGAACAGACGTTCCATCCACATACACATCTATAGCAAGTATCGATGTTATTATTGAGCGACAAAAGAAAAAACATGGCAAGGCTATGAACCTTGAGTGTCTGCTTAAAGTGAATTGATTTGAACTTAATCAATCAATCAATCAATCAATACTCTATTAACCTGATGCAGCCTAACTAGTAGCGTATGGCTATGCAGGCGTTTCCTCCGGCGGAAACAGGAGTATTCCGAACGCCAGAATGTCAAGATAGATACAAAAGAAATGTGGCGTTGCGCCATTATACACCGAAATCCCATAACCCACTTCTTCAACCGTAACGCCCTCCATGTAATAGCGCTTGTAAATCACCCCTCCCCTGTTTCTCCTCTCACCACTCCTTATGTTCTTCTCCACTCCTGTTTTCCTCCTTTTGTTGTTCATTGAAGTTATCGATGTATTCTTCTGAAGCTTCTCGGTAAGCTCTAGGTTTCGTCGTTCCTAACACCCAGCGTCTTCACCCCGCTGCGCCATTCATAGCTAGTTGTCTTAGTCTCCTCTAGCCTGGGTCTTCGTCTTGTTCAGAGTCAGATCCAGCGTCTATATATCTAAACTGCCCGAGGAGGCCTGTTTGGATCATGAATTTGGCCACATAGCGGGTGGCTTGCGAGTTTGATACCAATGCATCGTAGTCAGCCATCTTGTTCATATCCAAGTCCGTCCGTGCCCGGATCTTGGTCAACATCCGCCTCCTCAGGCTCGCGTATAACGGACACTGCAGGAGAACGTGTTTCGGCGTTTAAGACCCTTCTCCGCAGTTACACTCGTCCGAGTCGGCTTCGTTAATCTTAAAGAGGAAGTGCTTGAGAGCAATCCGCATTGATCGCATCTGGATCATCACTGCAGAGTACGCCTTCGGTAACCCCTCGAATCTCTGTATATTCTTTTTCTCCGGCGCCTTCGTCAGTCTCTGATTCGGTCTACCAGTTGTTTCCCTCGCCCACTCCCACGCCCATCGTGCCCTCGTACGCGCCCGCACCTCGCGTTTTGCGATCGCCATTAGTCTGGTTCCTGGAGCGTGGCCGGAACTAGGAAAACCTTGTTCCGTCCCCGCAACATTCTCCGCAGCCAACTTTGATTCAACGTCCACGCTTTCATTGCCAGGCACACCCGCATGGGCGGGAATCCAATGGATTTCGATGGGAATCATATCGACCGCGGGTGTCTGTCGGAGCGATCGGAGGGTCCGGACGTGGTCATAAATTAAGTCGAGCACGTACTGGCCTAACGATCGCTTTAGGTTTTGGACTGCTTAGATCGCAGCCTAGCAATCAGAGAAGATGACCATCTTTATGTACCTGGGGTCATCTATTGAATCCTTCTGGAGTTTGGCGAAGTGGGCAATCGCCATCTCTATCCCGTTGAGCTCCGCAACGTGGACTATTAAGTCATTCATGGTTCCGAGGTGTCTCCTCAGGAACACCCCTTCATTTAGAGCAATGGCCGCGGCGCCAATTTATCCCTTCTTTCCGCTTCCGTCTGAGTAATAAACCAGTATCTGGTTTTGTCCGCACTCAATATCGTATATCGAGGCCTGGGCTACCTCTGGATCTAATTAGATAATACATAGGATCCGTGCCTCCCATGGCGCTAGAACGGACGATTTCCGGGTTTCCTACTTAGTTTCTTGTGTTGCCAGAACACCTCCCTTCCTAAACCACAGCGCCTCTAGAGGGCTCCATCCGCTTCTTTTTCTTTCCTCGTTGTTCCTTGCACGGTTCCGGAGGCTTTCTGGGCGAGCCTATTCTGGCCCTGTTTGGATTCGTAATACTACTTCCTAAATCATCTGGTCTATTAATAGCTTAACTAGGAGCAGATATAGTTCTATGTTAAGTGCAGCCGCACTTGTTGATTTAAAAGCACCGCTGATCATGATTGCCGCACGTCGTTGGATCTTGGTGAATTCGTTACTGATTCGCCGCAGCTCTCCTGCTGGGAGCGCTTTTGCTAGTGGACAGTACCATGCTAAGAGCCCATATAGCATTTACGGGATAACCACTACTTGATAAATCTTGCGCATTGCCAGTAGCGGCATACCCCAGGTAGATCCTGCTAGACCACGTAGTACCTCAAGGCTTCCGTTGGCTTTCACAAGGAGCTTCTGTCGGTGAATGTTGAATTGGAGGTGTTTGTCGAGATGGATTCCGAGATATTTCGCTGATTCCGCCGGCTTTATTATTGTAGTATTATTGATCTATAATAGCATTTGCGCGTTTCCTTGTGGGTGTGCCGATTCGATGTCGTATATGTCAATTGGTCCTGGTGTGCCGTCCTCCTCTTCCTCTTCTTCTCTCGGGTTAATAAAATGAATTAGTTCAAACTTATCTAGCGCGAACTTCGCCGCGTGTCGAGTGGCCTATATATCTGCACGGCTAAGTGCTTTCCCTAGGGCCTAGATATTTATGTGATATGACTCTGACACTACTATCGTTGCCGCATCGTCGACCCATCCTAATGCCTCGGTGGTGGCTTATTCTGTTTTAGTGCATAGTGCTTATATAAGCGGCGTGTTGAACAATAGAAACAGGATTAGCGATAGTGGAGAGCCCTATGGGATCCCTATCGGTGTACGAAACTGTTTTAATAGATAACCTAGCATCCTGATGCAGGTGCTTCTTCCCGTGAGGAATAATCTTACCCAGGGCATAAAGGTGCCTAGTCCTATCCTTAACATATTTGACAGAAGTCTCTCGTGAGACACATTATCGTATGCTCCTAAGACGTCAAGAAGTAGCATACTGACTTTCATGCCTTTGCCCCAGGCCCAGTAGATGCGATCTATGATTCGTTGTATCGCATGCTCGACGCTGATCCCCTTTCTGCCTCCGAAGTGTCCTTCTGGGAGGATCTTGTATTCCTCTACCAGCCATGCGATCCTTATAGCCACTATCGATTCAAGGAGCTTCCCTAGGGTGTTCAATAGGGCAACTGGGCGGTATGACTTCGGTTTTCTGAAGTCTCTCGGGCCTCCTTTACGGAGCGTGACTATGATCGAGGTCTGGAAATGGCGTGGGTTATAGCCCTTTCGCATACACGCGTCGAAGATCTTGGTTAGAGTTTCCAGAAACTCCGGAATCTCCACTAGTATCTTCCACACGCGGTTAGGGATACCATCCTTCCCTGGTGCCTTATCTAGTGGTGCACGTTTAATTGCGTTTATTACTTCCTCTTTATTGATCGGCGGCGTTTCGATCTAATCAGGAATCCGGGCGTGAGGGATATCTAAGAGGTCTGCCTCTAGTGGCTCGGGGAAGAAGACTTTCTGGAGTAGTTCAGCCTTCTCCTGGCTACTTAGGGCTAGCCCTCCAGAATCGTCCTTTAGTGCTGGAATATTGCTGCTTATCGATTGGTCCCTGTTTCTGGCCCATTTAGACACTTTCCATAGTCCTTTTGGGCCGTCCGCGACAGTCTGGGATATCCAGGTACGAAACCCCTTCCTTAGAGCCTTCCCTATCACTTTCCCCTTTACGTTTCTGGCGGCCTTATAGATCAGTGCGTCGACGTCGTCGTCTGATCGCCTCCACTTCCTATAAGCCTATCTCGCTGTTTTGATTACTTCAGTGCATTCTGGTGTCCACCCTTGGCGTGCATATTCTAACTATTTTACCCATAGTGTCGATTCCTCGGTGCCTCTTTACACGATATCGAGTAGGTGGTTGATTGATTCGTTAATCAGTTCTGGTGAGTGCATCCATAGCTTGTTCTTTAGGTTTTCGGATACGAATTTTATAAATTTGCTGATATCCATCTTCTTCCATTGTCGTCTTCGCGTTTCTAGGATTTTTGGTGTGTTGATTTCGAGTGTGGTTAATATCGGTAGGTGGTCTGAGTCAGCGTGGATCCTCTCTTTTGTTTCGCATGCGATCATACGCTCTCGGAGGGCATATGATGCCAGAACTAGGTCGATCGTTGTCTCCTGGAGGCCTGCTTCTCCTCCCCTTCTCCATATGGTTGTACCAGGTCTAAGCCATAGGTCTAGACCAGCGATGTCGATTTGGTCTAGTAGGTCGTCTGACCCTAAGTCCTGCGAAGCTCCGTCGCCGCCCCAGGCTGGATGATGAAGGTTGAAGTCGCCTATGACTAGGTAGGATATCCTTCTTAGTATCTGCTCCTAGGCTAGGAGGAGAGCATTTACTAGGTCATTCATGGCTAACGTTCCTCCTTTATTATATATATTAATGATGCGGAGCTCCTGTTCTTCTGTTTTTATCTGATACTCCTGGCAGTCGGCTGAGTGAACAATATGTGTGCCTAGTGCCATCTTCTTCGATATGAATAGGCACACTCGTGCCCTTGCACCAGTCTCCGCTTCGAATAGGTAGTAGAGGTCGTGTGTTTGTTTTACTAGGTGGTGGGTGTCGTCTTTAAAGCTGTTTCTCCAAGGTTCTTGGATAGCTATAATCTCTGCTAACACCACTTCTGGATCGCGCATGAACTGCGCCATTACTATATCCTTTGACCGGTTTATGTTGTATTAAAAGATCTTGAGTTAGGTTCCTTGAGTTAGCTGATGCGTTCCGTTGATCATTGTTAAGAGGGCCGGTGAGGCCGGTGAGTTTTCCTGCTATAAATCTTCTTGCGCTTTTCTGACGACAGCCAGGGAATTGACCGCTGGTCGCTTTAAGGTTGTTTTCGTTTATATGGTGTGGGCTGGTATTCGTCGTCGTTTGCTCGCTCTGGTGATGGCGAGCTAGTATGTTCTTCTAAATCTTTATCTCTTTGAAGTGCTTCTTCTAGCTCAGCCATATTCACCTCGTCAACCAAGCTTAGATCTGGCTCGCTTATCTAATTCCTTCTTTCAATGCTCCTCGTCTTTTTCACTCTCTCTCTGCTTATTGATATAGAGGACGTGGTTCCTTGACTCGCCTTTAATGAAGCTCTCTTCTTTGCTAGTGCCTCACGGGCCTTTGCCATTTTTGCTCTGATTACTTCTTCTCTCATTTCTTTTGTGGTTCGCGTTTCGTGAGCCATTTCGGGTTCGAATTAGATCACTCCTGGTGGCGTCGATGGTACCACTCTTGGGTCTGTGAACAGGTGGACTGCCCCTTGTCCGAATTAGAAAGCCTATCTGTTTATTTGCGGTGTGCCCACTGCCTCAGCCGATTCGTCCTCCTGCATGTCTATGTCCTCTAGAGTATTCATGGCTTCCTGGGATCCTTGTGGTGCTTTCCTTAGGCGGCCACGTTTCCTCCCTATGGATGACGCTTTCGATCCGGTTTTCCCCCCTTTGGTCTTGCGCTCCTTTATTGCTACGCTCGTTGTTGTCTTCGTTATACTGTTATTCGGCCCTCCGTTACTAGGGCCTGTTTCCTCATCGTCCTATAGTATAGGGCCGCTACCCCCGGAGCTACCTCCACTCGAGTCTGTTGACTCCTATGGTATTCCCCACGAACTGGTGGAGGAGACCTCGAGATGGCTTAGTGGCATTTTCACGCTAAAGTATGCCGGCACAGGATGGTATCTACCTCTCTACTTAGCTGACTGGTTGACGTGTTCTACCTCTACCTTTCTCATCTCGCAGTCTTAGCTCCACGCAGCATGTGCGCCCTCGCAGTTAGCGCACTTCTGTGTGTTCTCTCCTTATATGTCTTTCAGAGGGCAATCCCGAGACTAATATCCCTCTGAGCAGTACACACATCGCATGTTTTCGGCGCAGGTGGCTCCTATATGACCGTACCTTTGATAGTTGAAGCATTAACGCACCCGAGCAGTTCTGTCGTAGAGAACTACCTATAGCCGGTCGCAATCCCACAGGACTCCTCTTGCGATCGCCTCATTTGCTATGATTGGCGACACGAACTCGACGATAAGCGAGCCGCTCTTCTTCCCTGCCGGGATCTTAAGCCAGCTGATTTTCGTAATTTCGCTCCCGTCTTTCTCCCCTCCCCAGTTATGCACGTTCGCCGCCAGCATCTCCTTTATGATCTGGTCCTGCACTAGTCTCAGATCGTCCGTCGCCTTGTCAATGCCCAGCGAGCGTACGTTAACATCATGCACGATGATGCCCCATATTAGGAGATGAACAAACGCTGTCTTACAGAGACCCTTAGCCCACTTATCTCTATGTATTCTCATGATCTCAGCCTCCTTTACATTCCGCATCGTGAAGCGGAGATCGCCCGATCTCAACTGGCGCGATGCTAGGATCATGACAATAGCTAGGGCGGAAACGGGGTCTCTCGAGTTCGTTGCCGCCTTGGCCCTGGCCTGATTTGCCCTCTTTGTGAGCTCAGCTAGCGTCAACCGCCTGAAGATGCTGTTTTGCGCACGGTCGCCAAGACAGACGACCACCTCGCGATCACGTGCAACCTCCATTGGTCGTGCAGGCTCAGAGCCTGAGGACTGGGAGGACAGGAAATGGGCCGGCGCTGGCGCCTTGGCTGCCATTTTTGCAAACGATTCCACTATCTGCTTCGAAGGCTGCTCTATAGCTGCCTTGATGCCCTGGATGTCTCGTCGCAGCGCCCCCAACTCGTCCTGCCAGTCATTCATGGGGGTTAAGAGGAGGTCCTTGGTGAGCTCTTCCACACTCTTGAGGAAGCTCGTCACCTTGGGATTGAAGTTCTGTCCACTGCTGATGTCCTTCAGCAGGGCGTGCGCCTCTTGATTGGTGTTTCTTACGCGTTCTCTGTTCGTCGGACGCGTTAAATGCAGGTTGGCTGCGGCCGCCGGAACGACCCCAACTCCCTTGGACACGCGCACCATCGATTCCATGGCCATATGTGCTGGCAACTGGGATCAAAATGTAGCGCAGAGAGTTAGATTTAACTTGCCGTTGCGAGCTAGTCGTCAACTGGTCTGGTTCTTGAGAAATTTCAAAAATTAAATTTGCGCTGAGGTTGTTGTTTTTTGATTTGAACTTAATGATACTGGTTAGTTCGAGATATCCTAGTAAGAAGCTCAATATGCATGTGGTGTGTATGATCACCGAAGGGTTTATAATAGAGAAAGCGTGAAACATTGATGCACGATAGAGAAAATGAAAGGGTCTTCGCAGTGGAAGGAAAGCCAAGCGGAGCTTAGGAAACAGAATTGACTAACGTGAAACCTGGTCGCGCGGCCAACCCACCTAAATATTTGCTAGTTTTCCAACACACTATTTTCAAATCCTAACTATGCCCCCAATTCGCACTGAAAAACAAGGAAAATCGGTAGAGCAGAATGGAAGGCTCTTATTAGCTATTCAAGCTATTAAAAATAGGCAATCTCCTTCTGTTTTGGCCGCATCTAAGTCTTTTGATGTGTCCCGAACAACCCTGCGACGCCGACTAGCTGGTGTTGAAAGTGTGCTTGAAAAACAACCATCTGGCCGTAAATTCTCCTAAATTGAAGATGAATCGATAAAGGAATGGCTATTCTCTATAAATTTTAGAGGAGTAGCTCTCACCCATGCCATGTGTCGAGATATGGCCAATCTTTTACTCCGATCAGGGATTTCAACCCCCTCTGAGACGCCTATTTTAGTAGGCAAGGACTAGGCAAGGTCTAGGCTTCAGGGCTCATTAAACAAAATCCTGATCTAGAAACTCGTTGATCATGTCGATACGACTATCGGAGAGCTCTTAATAAAGATCCTATGATCATTCTACCATAGTGTAAGCTCGTTGAAAATGTCATCGCAAAATATAGTATCCACTCTAACAACATCTTTAACTTTAATGAGTCTGGTTTCGCGATAGGAGTAAATGGCGCCGAAAAGGTTATTACCTCTACTGAATACTATGATCGAAGGGTAGTCTTATAGCCTAGAAACCGTGAGTAGGTAACTATAATTAAGTGTATTAGGGCTTCTAGGGAATCTCTTCTACCTTACCTTATTGTCGGAATAATAGCTTGCAAAGCTGATGCAGAATGCCTGTTTACTAAGCATAACCCGAGTAGGTATCCCACTAGAATAGAACGATCATCTTGCAGCAACTGAATATTCTACAATACCTCATAGGGGCTACATATTAGTTTTCTGTGATAGGCATAATCAGTAAGCAAGGTAATTTACACGACTTTCCAGTTATTCAATCAAACCGCAACGTTGACGTTAAGTCCGATTCTATATTGCTAGTTCGGCCGGTTCTCTCGTCCCGATTGAACCGACATGTTATGCACCGTGGACCCGTAGACCTAAACTGTAAGTATAACGTACCTTACTGATGAGGTAAACTCGCAACCCGAAGTCTGTAGAGTGATCGATCAAAGGTCCCTTGGATCAAGAGCGCTGACTAGGTCAATACCGAAATAATCCCTTAGTCATATGGTTTCTGTGATCTGAAAAGGTAGTGTCACAGTCAAGTTACGATGAATGGAAATGAAGACTCAAAAAAAGGAATTGATCCGATGTAACCGAGAATACAGAGATGGAAGGTCTATCTACAGGTTGGGTTGTTTTTATCCCTTGTGTCAACTTGGGCCAAAGAAGTGGGATTACGTGAAGCAATCAAATGCTGAATAATATAAAGTATGTGTGTATTTGCAGTAGATTCCCAAAAAAGATCCATCTCAATCTGTCTCCGAGAAATCAGCCAACGATTTCAACACCGCCGAAGAATTCGAGAAACAAGTTTTCCACTTGCTGTCTGATGATCAGCCCCGCGATCATCTTTTCACGAAGGTACCTCTGACTTGGGGGCGATGCGTCGAGAGAGACCGCCGAGGAGCTGACGAGTCGCACCAGGGATAATAGAGGGGGATTCGGAGCTCGGTGAGCTAGTTTAATGGCGAAAATGTCTCGAACGAAAAGCAAGGCATAAGAGGGAAATTAAAGGGGAAACAAAAGATTTCTGGAGGGAAATGAGGGACTTTTATAAAGAACCACGCACAGGGAGCTATAGGGACTTATGACGCCAAACCGGAAATGATAAGATTAAACTTAATAGCGTAATTCACTATACCTGTCCGATATGGAATAACACGGGGTGACGGCGGAATTGCCATGATTTTACGTGCTCAGGTTGTATCATTGTAGAAAAAACATGGTGAGTAGTGATGTATATAGATTGAGGTGTGACAACCTTTTTTAATTAGACATACGGTACCTACCCACCTATCTTTGGTAGTGCGGTTTTATCACTCTACTTATTGCTTATATTTCCCCTGAAGTAAAGTAATAGTACTAGTGAGAGCATCGAAGAACATTCTATTGTAGAAGTCGAAGTAAGTGTGGGGCCTACCTTATTTTTCCTTCAAGTTCTACTTCAAATTCGACCTTAACTTGCACATTCACTTCCCATTATCAAGCGATGTGGTAAAGCAAACAATCAATTTAATATAGAGTGATAGACTTAAAGCCTTGAATTCTCTACTCCACCTCTTCTCTAGCAACTTTCTTCTTAATAATTCACACCCACCTTTAGGTCAATGGGTCCACTACGCGTAACAGGTATCGATTCAACGTGGATTGGAAATTGTGCTGGAACATATCCATTTAAGCGCCTCGTAAGATACCTAGTTATATTCAGTTCCAAGGTTCCTCATGATTAGCATGATCCCTCACTAATATCAAATGATCAACTACAGAGGAATAAACACAATACCTCTTTACCTATTCAACCTTGGAAGAGATCCAACAAATTGATCATTAATCAAGGGAGATAATTTCCTACCACAATTTTAAATGAACAATACATTGAGTTAGAGCTAAAGTAAAATAAAAAACAATGCATATCAAAGGGGAATAAAAGAGATAACGTAGCATCGTAAGAAGTAAAACACAAAAAAGCGCCAGGTAAATAGAGTAGGAAACGAGAGGACGAAAGAGACCCAAGCAAGAATAAGAGCGAGGGCTAAATATTTAGTCTTCTCCAAATGGTTTCTGCTAAAATATTGATGGTGAGAGGATCCAGATAAATATTCACTTCAGGAAAGACAGGGGCTCGGCAAAAGAGTTCCTCGAAACGAATCAAGAAGGGACCTCCAGTAGTGATGACTTGAAGATTTGCTGCCCGAGTGATGTCCATCACTTGTCTAGTTGCTGGGACGAAGCGCCTCCGACCGTTTCATAGCATAACCGCGTTGCTTATATACATGGCCTCGAATTTGATTATTGGCGCGCTGGTATTGACTGCGACGATAATAACCACCTTTACTTGGCCTTCTGAGTTGCTCAACCACCACAATGCATCGTTTCTGAGTCGGTTCAACTTCTCAGAAACTCCAGTTTCTACAACTATCGAAGGCTACTTATTAGAGCGTCCAGGTGGTAGGATTGCATCGCTAGGTTGACCTGACCAATCTGCTTCTTTCGAGCAAGAATTTCCATGAATTTGAGAAGCTCCCATTGGTAAGAATTCAAGCCGTAAACTTGGGTTTACCATCACTATTTGATCGGTAATCTCTTTCGAGATCCCGGTGGTGACGATCTCATGGGCGGGTCCAGCGAGCTTCATGATCAGCCGTCTGGTCTCTTTGTCGTAGAAGAGTCGAGAGCATCTCGGAAAGATCTTTCGTCGGTTTTGCTCGACGAAATTTGGGGGAACATTCATGTAGGCAACCCAGGTGGTCATTTTGATCGAGTCCATATCCTTATCCAGATACCTTTTGATTGCCAATTGGCTAGATGCGATACGAGGTGCGGGAAATTCGACAAGGAAGTTTTCAACCCTATCCTATGGGATACGGATTCTGGATCCTCATGGGATTCTTCCATTTTGGTTGCGAGAAGGACTGAGCGAAGATTGGGAGAGGGGCTATAGAGACTCATGAGGCTAAACTATTTATAATATCAAAAAGTGACCGATCAAATATCCAATATCCGATATGGTGTAGTGGCTAACATCGCCGTCTCTCACACGGCAGCCGGGGGTTCGATTCCCCCTATCGGAGAATGTTTTTTAATCTTCTTTTGTCTCAGTCAAAGGACTAGGATTAATCCATGGATACAAAACTATTATTTAATACTGTATATAAAACTTTTGTTTTGATTTTCTATATACGTAACGTAATCCTGGATTTTCCCTGCATGATTATGCAAGAAATAAGTCGAGTTATGCAGCTACCCGTGGAGGTAGTATACGTAGTATACACGTATCTATATGTACGGATTACATGAATGTTTATTCCAGTTCTGCTGAAAAGTTCGAAATTAAACTTTTATGAATACTTATACATAATTATAGGCGATTCCAAGTTCAAAGGAGTCATTCCTTAGATCAGCTAAAATCAGTCATAGGGACCTCGAAAGTTGAGCTTATCGCTCCCACATCACGAATTTTACTCCACAATCTTTCCCTTGTTTACAACGAAACCTTCCAGAGCCGAGATGGCGGCCCACAAGCGGTTTTCTGCCTCGGGGAACACCAGAGAGCGCGGGCTATAAAAGACTTCATCGCTCACTTCCTCGGGATGACGAGGTAGACAATGCATGAACTTCCAGCCATCCTTGGCACCACCACGCTTGGCCAATTCAGCTGTAATTTGGAAGCCCTCAAAAGCCTTCATCCGTTTAACAGCCTCCTCTTCCTGGCCCATTGACACCCATGTGTCCGTCACCAGGATATCGGCATCCTTGACAGCTTCTTCAGGAACGTTGGTTTGGACGAGCTTGCCTGGCTTTGATACACCCTCGCTGGCGCTCTGGATGACTTTGATCATATCGGCCGGGATCTCGTAACCTTTAGGAGTAGCAACTGCAATATCGACACCCATCTTGGTGGCACCGATAGCCAAGTCGAAGAGGACATTGTTGGCATCACCCACCCAAGCAATCTTCAAGCCCTCAAGACCGAGACTTGATATATTGTGATCCTTTGGTGTAAAAGATTCGTAGATTGTCAAAAAGTCGGCAATGATCTGAAGGGGATGGTAGGAATCGCACAGAGCATTAATGACGGGAACGGATGAGTGCTTAGCAAGGTCTGCGACGTCGGAGTGCTTGGATACACGCGCAACAATGCAGGAAACCATGGATGAAATGACGACGGAGGTATCGTAAAGCGACTCGTTTACGCCGAGCTGGATATCGTCCTTGCCCAAAAACATAGGGTGACCACCCATGTGGACAGTGGCAGATTCGGTAGAGATACGGGTACGAGTACTGCGCTTATTGAACATCATAGCCACGGTCTTGCCGGACATAGATCCTAAGAGTTTTTGCGGGATGGCCCCGGACTTGATGGCTTGTTTGTGCGACGAGGCATTGCGAACTAGAGTTGCAAATTCTGATGGGGTAAGGTCTGCAATGGACAGTAGATGGCGAGGAGCAGGAGTGGTTTGAGTCTGATGGGCAAACCGTCGGAGACCATTAGCTTGGAATTTTTGACGAAAAAAGGTGGAGCGAGCCAATTGAGTTACGTTTTGTGCGCCATAACGGCCAGCTTTAAGACTGCTAGCCATGATGTACTTTAAGGAAAAGAGTTAAAGGCCTGTGATAAGGTGCAGCAATTGGGGTGTAGTAGACGGAAGGGAATTGGGGCTCTTGTAGGATCTTCAATGACTCACTCCACCTTCAAATTCTAAAGGCAAGGTCTTGGCATTTTGATACTAAATATTAGTGCCTGACAAATGAGGCGTTAATATTCTCCACATCCCGTTAGCGTCGATCATACCGCTTATCTTCATCATCCATCTCACTTGCTTCATCTGCCGTATTCTTCAGAAACACAGAGGAAAATACTATTATTCCAGACAATAAATACTGATTTCATTTGCTATTGGAAATGGCTGACGAGGCGAGTCGTCCTTTGCTGGGCGACCGAAGTCGAAACCCGTCCCTGGATAGCGCCTCTCATCCAGATGAGCCTCAACAGTCGTTTAAGCTCTCATCGGAGTCAACCCCTCTCTTGCATCACCATAATGATGACATAGATACATATGGAACAGCACCTGAATCCTTATCGCCGCCAGTGAGAGAAGAAGTAACAGATGACGTATTCGCCACGAGGAAGAGCAGAGTGCGATGGCCAACAGTGATATCCCTTACTCTGTTGACGACAGCCATCCTTGCTATTCTGGCTTTTGCTTTTGCTGCACCGGCAATTGTTAAGGAATACGTACAGGAAGCGGCACAGCTCGATATCACCGCCATCTCTATCGATTCAACTACCCCCGATGGCGTGCGCGCTCGAGTGGAGGCCGATTTCGTCATGGATTCGGACCTAGTGAATAAACGTTTCGTTCGGACGTTCGGACGACTTGCTACCTGGGTCGCTGTGGAAGTTGAGACCGGTGAATCTAACGTGGAAGTTTACCTACCGGAGTACGGGAACGTTCTGATCGGAACTGCGGCGGTGCCATCGATCAAACTGAACATTCGAGACAACCACAACAATAAATTGGAATTCCTTGCGGATATCAACGCTGGGGACATTAATGGGATCCATGGAGTCGCTTTGGATTGGATAGAAGGCCGACTAGGCCGCCTTAGTGTCAAGGGAAAGGCAACGCTGCATCCGAGATCAGGCCTGATTAACCTAGGAACTCAAATAGTGACTGATACCAGGACATTCGAAGGTGAGTCGTCTTTCAAATCTATGTCTTATGACTTGTATTTACCCGAATACAGAAAATGAGGACTTCCCTGCGTTACCGAACATCGATATTGCCCAATTGAATGTACACGATGCAAACGATGGAGAATTAGCAGTCGATGTTTTGCTTACCGCACTCATTGATTCTCCTGTCAGCCTAACTGTACCTGCCCTTGGATTCCAGGTCTTTGTACCAAACTGCTCCCCAGGTGATCCCCCAATTCTAGTTGCGAATGCGAACACTGCGGAGATCCTAGTTCAACCTGGAGATCCTATCAGCATGAGTGTACAGGGTCTTATCAAGAAGCTTCCTGATGAGTTGACCACTACCTGCCCAGGAGGGGACGGCTCTCCCTTGGATTTCTTGGTGTCTAGTTATATCAGAGGCCTGGAGACGACTATATATGTTCGCGGAGCTGATGCACCTTTGCCTGGAACCCCCGCGTGGATAGTAGATCTGCTGCGCAGTGTGACAGTGCCCCTGTCATTTACCGGAAAGGCCTTGGATAATTTGGTGAAGAAATTCGCCATGTCCGATACACACTTCTCTCTTCCGGATCCATTTGCTGAGCCGGGGACTCCAGAAGCACAGCCCTCTGTGTCCGCTTTAGTAAAAGTTCTTGTTGCTCTGCCAGAACAAATCAACCTCAGTGTCGAAGTCCCGCGTGTCCGAGCCCTAACAGATGTCTATTATGAGGGCAAGAAACTCGGAATGTTGAATATTGAGAAATGGCAAGACGCCAAGTCAACGCAAGTGCAAGACGAGGATGGCTCTTCTGCGCTGCTTGTCGAATTCGCCATCGAAGATGTTCCGTTGCAGGTGACGGATGATGGTGTATTGACTCGGGTCGTTCAAGAAATGCTTTTTGGTAGCGGGTCAGTTGTACTGCATGTCGCTGCCTCTGTAGATGCGAAGGTCTCAACTGGCTTGGGACTCTTTGCTGTGCGGGGAATTCCCGCCGAAGGAAATGTCCCAGTTGAGAGTATGTTTTCAATGAAGTAGATAGGTCAAATCTATAAATGTTTATGTCATTAACCTGATGATAGCTCCATCTGAAAATTACCCAAGTCACATCGACCCTCGGATTGTGTCTGTGAGATTAGGCCATACAACTGAATCCTTGCTGTCCGTGTCTACCCTCGTGAACTTCACAAATCCAACACCGTATTCTGCGACAGTTCCATTCGTGGATGTTCTCATGTCATTCAACGGCACGGAAGTGGCCCATATCATTGCTCGCAACATCTCAGTGATCTCAGGAGACAACACAAATATTTCCGTCGACTTCCTATGGAACCCGTCGGATTTCGGCGGCCCTGATGGCGTTGAAGCTGGAAGAACACTCATGTCGTCTTATATATCCGGTAATACCTTTCTTACATCATTGAACGAATCGAATGCTAACTAGAAGACTTTCTAGGGTATAACACGACTATCACTATACAAACCCACGAGAAAAGTATACCAGGTCTTCCTGAGCTTGGTAGAGCTTTATCAATCATCCAAATTGACATCCCCATGCCCCAAATTACCACGCCTGGATCTCCGGAAGATGGCGACAATGGTGACGACAATGCTCATTTTATCCAAGATGCAACGGTATCTATTCCCCTCATTACTTCACTGGTGCCATTTTGGCAACTAACCTTGACTCATACAAGCAGGTCTATCTATGGTCTTCCACTGCCCAATTCAGACTTTTATCACCTCTAACAGAGAACAGCATTATGATCACATCAATAGCGGCGACTGCCTTTTATGAAAAAGATGAGCCAATCGGCCGGATCAACTACCAGAAGCCATTCGAGGTTCCACCTGGTCTCTCACAGACACCTCGTATACCAATTGATATGGTTCTAGGCGGTGTTGGGTACGATGCCTTGCGCAAGGCGTTAGGGCAATCTTTAAAAATGGATGCCGTGGCCAAGGTTGGTGTGCGCATTGGAAGATACGAAGATGTAATTCATTACCGTGGAAAGGGAATTGGCGCAAAGGTGAAGCTGTAGAGTTGTTTGATTATTATGTGTTTCTTTGTAATGACAATTTATGATTAGGCTAGTAGGTGTAATTTTACAGACCTTTGAAAAACATAACAGGGGCAGAATATTCCTGGTTGGATCATGTAATTAACACATGTATGAGAGTATTCTTATAAATCTTTTCAATTCATCAGCGCAATTGCGAGTCAGGAATTGTTCTAAAAAAAAATAAAACAAAAATTTGAAACTAATTAGACACGACGCCCACAAGCTGGAAAAAGCTGAACGGAATACAGGGCGGAGTAGCCAAATGACATTGAATATGTGGTTTTTAATCAGTGATTGAAAGAAATTAGCCAGGGGGAAGAGTGCTAGCATCAACCACATCAGCAGCATCTTTTTCAATCTCCTCTGTCTGTTCATACAGAGGTGAACGAGGCAGGGCCATAAGACCAGTGCGAGTCGACTCAAGGATACCGAAAGGTCCAATGAGCTTCAGGAAAGAGTCAATACGGTTAGGCTTGGCAGAACTATTAAGAGGATGAGTTAGTTCGAGCTTCAGCATCAGAATCAAAATCATCTATGTTACTTACACCTCAACAATGCAGTTGTTGTTACTGATATCCAGGATCTTACCACCGAACTGGTGAGTGAGACGAGTGATGGCATCCAAATGCTCATGCTTGTGGCGGAGAGCCTGGCTGGTGGGCAGGTTACGGGGGTGATACTCGGTGGGATGATCATCCTGGGTCAGTTCTCTGCCAGGCTCAATGGGAGTGGTGATCTCGCGGTGGTGCTGGAGCAGCTCTTCGAAGAATTCCGGACCAAGGATAGAGACCTTGGCAAGTAGCAGCTCACGCTGAACCAAAGCAGAGTCGGTATAATCCAACACAGCCCAAACGGGGACGAGATCATCTAGCTGGCGGCGAGCCTGCTCAACGACACCCTCCTGTCCCTTCAGCACAATGGTCATTCGGGACAAGTCCTCGACCTCGGTATTGCACACGACGAGACTGTCAATGTTGAAGCCACGGGCGGCCAGGATTCCAGACACACGGGAAAGCACACCGGGCTCGTTCTGGACCAGGCAGTTCAGGATGTGTCGCTTTGGGGGATTGGTGGGCGGCTCGGGAGTCTCGTAGAGAATCGACGAGACCGCAGTTGGAGCATCCCACTGAGGCGAGGAGTCGGACACCGGGAGGGGAAGAGGCGAGCGGCGATGCAATGCTTTGTAGGCCAACGCTTGGGTAGAGCTGGATGAAGCGCGAGTGGTAAATCGGGGCAACACCTTAGCGGTACAGGACCGAGCAACGACGGCCGTCGGCGACAGAAGTGACGCCGACGCTGCTGAGAGCGTCAATGATCGCCTGAAAGCCATGGAGAATTCAGGAACACCGAGGGTTGTGCGATGAATCACTACAGAATCTCCGGACTTCTTTTTGCTGTTCCGACTTCGGCCAAGCTGACTCATAAATTTACTAACATATAATAGGCTAGTGTCATTTTGATCACGTGACCGACTCGTGCATATCACGTGATTAATTTTATTGCACTATCAAAGAACTAAGAACAGCCAGTTCTCACCCTCCACCATTTTTCTGCGTTTTGAAAAAAAACACAATCTTTTCTTCTTGATATTTTTGTTTTTGATTGTTCACTTCACTACCATCCTTCATTTCTCTTACGACCCACGTGTTTGGAGAACTTTCCCCTCAAGTTTCCCTGCACTTTTCATTCGCGCCATCATGGGCGATGATCTCCGTCCTATCAAGCGCTCGCGCTTTGATCAGACCGATACCCGTCGCCGTGAACAGAACTCGCGTTCCCGGTCGCCATCTTCCCGTCAGACTGACAATCTCCGCACCCGTAGCCCGCTGAGTCGCACCCAAAGCCCTGCTATGGAATCGAATTCGAAGCCTGACCCGGCGGCTGCTGCTGGTATGTTTGGGTTTCTTTTGGGAAATATTCGCTTTGTGTTTTAACTAACCAGACTGTGTTTCTTCCCAATTAGCTGCCGCTGCGGCTCTCATCAACGCGTCATTGCGGAAGGGCACACAGCATGCCGATACCAACAATCGCTCGGTAGATCTATCGATTTGTGCTCTGTTTGCTTAATGAACTGACTTATGTACATAGAATGAGAGTGCTGATGATAAGTCGCAAGTTCCGGGGAAGATCTACGTCGCCGATGGCGACTTTATTAAAGACATTGAGATCAATGATCTTCGAAACCGCTACACCTTGACCAAGGGATCCACCCAACAAATGGTAATTACCCCTCTTGCCACTTTGCTGATCCTCCAGACATGTGTCATTGTGAAGACCAAGCGGCTGCTCTGTGCTTGTGTCTATCCCTCTTTCACATCTTCAATGTTGTTGTGTGGTTGGATAAAGCTCACGCAACATCTCATGCTAGCATCTCAAATTCCCTCTCTTGCATCTGCTGACCTTGTCTGCGTGACTTTTAGATTAAGGATGAAACTGGTTCCGGTACGGGTTTCCCTCTAATTCTTATAGGTAACGGAGCTTTTATCGCTTACACTTATATAAGATGTTACGACACGCGGCAGCTATTACCCGGATAAGAACATGGCCACAGCAGCCGTCAGTTATCTTTCCCGTTGGCCGATGATATTTTACTAACTTCTAGACAGAGCCCCCCTCTGTACCTTCACGTGACCAGCACCTCGAAGGATGGCCTTGAGAAGGCCGTCAAGATTATCGATGACCTGATGCAGAAGGAGCTTCCTAACTTGGTGGATGAGCGTCGATTCCGTAGACGCGAACCCACCGAACAAGCCGACCGGGATGAGTTTGGCCGCGTATGAGTCACTTAATTTGAAAGAGGATTCAAAAGAAAAACAATGCTAACTTCATACATAGCGTAAATGGCCCGAAGAGCGCATCCCAATCGACCTTGAGCCAATCGCTGGCTTTAATTTGCGCGCGCAGGTGGTTGGCCAGGGCGGTGCTTTCGTTAAGCACATCCAGACGCAGACTCGCTGCCGTGTCCAGATTAAGGGTCATGGATCCGGCTTCATTGAATCCAGCACCGGTCGCGAGAGCGATGAGGCAATGTTCTTGCATGTTGCAGGACCCGATCCGGCGGATGTCGAGGCCGCCAAAGCGCTTTGCTTAGACCTCTTGGATAACGTGAAGGAGCAGTACCAGGCTTTTAAGGATAACCCCCCGCAGCGCGGCTATGGCGGATATCGTGCTGGTGGTGATCGCCAGGACAGTGGCGGCGACCGTCACTATGGAGGATACGGTTACAACAACCGTAACCAACGCCACACTAACGGCAGCGCTGACGCTAATGGCGACTCTGCCGCCAACACTGATTACAGCGCAACCAACGGACAGTACTATGGAGCTACCGGAGCTGCCGGAGCTGCCGACCCTTACGCTGCTTGGGGCGGGTACCATAACTATGTCGCCTATTACCAGTACTATTACGCACAGGGACAGGGACAGAGCGCTATCGTCCAAGATCAGGAAAATGGTGCTGTTCCTCCCCAAGGCAGTGAGGTCCCTCCAGCTCCCCCGGCGTCTGGCTTGAGCCCCCCTCCCCCACCCCCTCAGTAGCTAGACTGCTACTTGCTATTATAAAAGCCAGCACCTAGTTCGGGGTGCATAGTATTCCTTCTTCCTGCAAAACCTGTGGTCTCTTTGGTCTTCCTGCTATCTTGGGTCATTTGCTGAATAGGAGTGTGGTCTTTCATTTCTGTAATCTAACCCTCAGAAAACAGCAGCTTCCTGAGAGGTAAAAAGGGAATCCTATTTTGAAAGTTAATTTACTCAATTCCCAGATATACACCGTCCACCTGAAATGCTCATTTGCACTATCACGATAGGTAACCTTTGTACTCCAACTAAATGCAAACAGGCTCACTAAAACCTAACAACCTCATTAAATGAAAGGAATCATAGCATAATCAAACAGACCCATCGTCTAGCATATATCGCTGGATAGCATCAGTCATCTTCCTCTTCCTTTTTGTCAAGGCTTGGCGGCCCTCTTTACAGTAGTCGCAGGCAAAATCACATGGAGATGGTGTTGTTTTACGAGATCCATCCAACATTATAATTTGTGAAGACGGTGGCTGTTGCGAGCCCATTTCCTCAAGCTCAAAATCCCCAAAGAAGTCCTTGATCAGTTCATGTCGGCATCTAGTGACAGCCTCGCAGTAGCGAACAACTTTAGTAAAACTCTCAAGGCGAGCCTCTTGATTCTTGAGCAGACCATCGATATAGAGCTTTGACCCTCCGCGGTTGCGCATATTATCTGAGTCGCGGTTCATACGGTCATACATACGGTCTCGTTCACTCACGTTGTAATAAACAAGTGATGCGGCTGCACGGTTATCACGACCTGCGCGACCTGACTCCTGCACGAAACCCTCAAAGCTACGTGGCGGTGTCCAGTGGACGACAAATCGTACGTGCGGATTATCAATTCCCATTCCGAAGGCGTTCGTTGCAACGATGATGGAGAAAGTGGGTTTAGTTCCCCTATTGTTGGCTGGTAAATATGGTTGTGACGAGGTCCACATCGCTTGGATGCGTGTTCTGTCTTGTGGTGCGAGGCCTGCATGGTATGCTACCGCTGAAATACTCTCCTCTCTTGATAGTTCGTTCGCGAGCGATTCTGATAATGCGCGCAACCCAACATATATGATTCCTGTCATCGGCGACAGACATGATGCTTCGGCGCCGATACGTGCTTCTCGTCTGTCTCTAATTGATTTGAGCCATGCGAGAATGTTACGCAACTGGACCTCGTCGGGGTTGAACCCAAACCTGTCATCGTCGGCGAGTCCGAGATAGCGGACCTCATAGTGGATGTTAGGACGGGCAGATGGCGTATTGAAGAGTCTGAGCTGGGTAGTGTCGAGTCCCAGTATGTTAATGATATCAGAGCGCACCCGAGGTGTAGCTGTCGCTGTGACTGCTGTTATCGAAACAGGAGGGTTAACAAGATTCTTTTTGAACCAGCCTAACGCTTGGTATGCTGTGCGGAAGTCATGCCCCCATTCACTGATACAATGGGCTTCATCGATTGCAACGCGGGTTAGTTGGCCTTGCTGGTGGACCACTTGGAGGTTGCGTCGAAAGCTATCCATTTGACATAGTTCCGGTGTCACGTAAAGAAGACGTGTGCGAGGATGGCCTGAGAGCATATCATCCATGATCAAGCGTCTCTCTGCTTGTGGAGTATTAGAGTTTATTGTTGAGACTGGTACACCAATGGATTCCAGAGCATTGACCTGGTCCATCTAGACTGATGTTAGATGTAGAACCGAGAGACGAAGGCTGGCCTTGAATAATTTACCTACCATCAGTGCAAGAAGGGGACAAATAACAATCGTCACTATACATCTACTTAGCTGGGGCTTTCTTGTTTGAAAATCCACGACTCGTGAAGAATAGCTTACAGCCACTGCCGATAACGGCTGGAAGTTGAAAACATAGACTTTTACCAAACGAGGTAGCAGCTTGTAGAAAGACATCATGGCCATCAAGAACCGCAGTGATAACTTCTCGTTGCAGCGGACTAGTAGCAATTTAGCGAGAGAAAAATATCAGGAAATAAAGGAAGCGAGCCTTCCCAGCCTCTAGGGCTTACTGACCGAAAAGAGGTCTTGCGGAAGACACGATGCAGGTAGAACTCCAAGTCTACCTTGCGCTTTTGTAAACCCCGACTGCTCGCCATTAGGCTGCACAATCAGGATTCAGAAACATTAAATATTCAAATACCAAGACCAAGAGATTATAGCGATCGAGATTTAGCAAGGGTGTCTATGTGTTGAAGTAACGGTTTATTAATCGCGACGAACGATATGCGGTCACGTGATGAAAAGATATTGTCAAATGGAGGTCGACTACCAAGGAATAGTGGATTCTAGTGGGCAAATGAGAACGCAGTATGCGTACCAAAGTGTGTATGTGTATCTATTGTAGAATGGAGGAATCCCATTGTGGGATTCCAATGCTGACTAAAATAGACTAACTGTAAATGGAATCGGGCCTTTGACAGATATTTCTATTGGATGGATTAGGTATATAAATCTAAGGAAAGAAATTGACCTCAAGTTGGAACAACTTGCAAGTTGCAACTGAGATCAGCTGGATTACCCATCGAAAAATATGTGGGACAGGCGTTGACTAAGTTGGACTCACTTCATGGGAGCTTTAACCGCTGTCTCTCAATAAATATACTCAACTTGACATGAAGGGACCACAAGATCGGTAAATTCTACAATCCACAGTTAAATTTCGACTGGTAATTGAAGGAGCAGAAAATAGGTAGTTTGTATCTGTAGTTGAACTGCCGTTGGTAAGTTTAGGAAAGGAAGGGAAACAACTGGTCGCATAGGCTGGCCCGTCAAATAACAAACAACGGTGGAAGCTATTTGTTGAAAGGTCTCATCTGGGTATTACCCAAGCCGGATATCACAGCTTGCCAGGGTTCTTGGGAGGTTAAAAAAGCCTGTATGGTTGCCTTGACTGTGTCCATATCGGCAACATCACAGAGAAGTACAGATTGAAACATGAGGGTCGTATATTCATCAGAGCTCAGACATACCTTCCAGCTCTGCGATGATAGTCTGGCCCTCGTGCGACGATGATTTTATAGTGTCCAACAATATTTATCACGTGGTTGACATGGTGGATTTTCTGCCTGGTTTAAGATGATAGTCAAGTCAAACAGGTTGGTAAGAGAACTTATTGATGGTTTCAGGAGTGGTTGAAGAGTATATATTCGTTGTGATAATCAATAAAGAAATGTTTGAAGTACAAGATAGATGATATCTCGGCATATAATTTGCGGCAAGTGAGATTGATCCCAGCATACAATATCAGGCTCTTCTGGAACGAATCGAGGTGAGAAGCCCAAATTAATGGTGTGGGGAAATTCAATCAAATATCAAAAAGCTGCAAACTTACGTTCAATGTTGGCACTAAGTTACACGAGCATCTTGGATTACTTGAAATTATACTTCATACCACATTTTTAATACAAAGTTCTATATCTGATATACTAGACATTAAACAATCTGGCAAGAGCCTATGAGGCCTTGCACGAGAACACACCTCCAACAGTACCATTAGCGTAAGAAAGAATCTGTTCGACAGAAGTTAGTATAATGATTCTGAATAGCAGGGGGTTGGAGTACAACTTACGATGTCTTCAATACTGGAATAGGTTCCCGCACCCAGCGTAATAATACCGATCAGGAAAACGAGAATGTTGATCATGCTTAGGAAAATATTCTTAGGACTCGTCCAGGGCCCCTCTCGAATGAGCATGAACCACATGATGGCGGGAAAGTAAAAAGTGAAGCCGGAGACGAAAAGTGACGTGATGATCGACAATAGATCACTGAAGAATGGGATGACTTCGGCAATGACGAAAGCAAGGACGGTAAGGATAGAGATCAAGAGGAGCCATGTGATCCATCCCATCTTTGTGTTGATAAATCGGATGTTGGAGTTCTTGAAGACTCGGCCGTGGATAAGTCGACCTAAGACGACTGTGTTGATCGAACCACTGATGAAGATAACGGGCAAGGCGATACCAAAAGCAACCTTGCTGAGCAAAGTCCCAGCAGATAACAAGGCAGGACTCTGGACATCTTGGCCGACAAAGGCATAGATCAAAGCACCGGTGACGGTATAGATGAAGATCTCAGCCAAGCCCAACGCCCACACTGACTTGGGGAAATCACGAGGAGTGTGCATTTCATCCATGAAGGAGAATTGGCATAGCGCAAAGCTATAAGCAAAGATGATGTTGGAAAGGGCGTTGAATCCGTCGGCGAATGTGATGTCGTCCTTGGGCCAGGCGGACCAGTTCACATTTGAGAGGCCGACGGATTCGTGAGCTCGTACACCAGTTCCGATGATAGTGATTCCGATAGCGATAATAATAGAGGCGAAATCAATATAGCCCAGGATGGCCATCTCTGAGAATGAGGGCGGGATAGCCAGTAGAAGCAGGATGACCATCGAGACGACGGCAAAGACGAGACTGCAAATGCTGCTGCCGGTTATATCAACCCAGGCAATGGTACCCGTGAGACAGTGAGATCCAGTCGACAAAAGAAGCTCCAGAGCCAGCATCACATAAAGGATCTCGTATCCCCATCGGCCAAACATCAATCTACCTGCTTCGGGGTAGTCTGTAACGTGTGGGAATTTCACTTTGACCTGGCCGACGATATAACTGGTGTACACGGCAATGAGACCAATGCCAACAGAGCAAATGACGCCTGCTACCATTCCCAGAGTAGCAAAAGTCTTGGGAATTGAGAGACTTCCCAGGGCAACAGCCTCAACAATAAGGACGATTGTTAATTGCTTCCATCCCAGGCGATTATACTTTTCCACGCCACCCTCGTAGATCTGCCTGTCACGGTCGCTCATGTTAACCATCTCCTCATCCTTCTTCATAGCATAATCTTTCTCCGCTAGGTCAGACATGATTTACAGGTGGATGCCGAAGACAAAAGGAGGACAACGGGATGGAACAAGAAACAGAGGCAAGAAATGAAAAGTCTCACAGACCCAATTTAAACAAATCAATGGCGCTAGGGTAAATCCACAGGCTTAATTCCGACTATAAGCGATTTTAAGGACTTTCTTCGGTGACTTCCAAATTAAGACTCAGTCTCCACTGCTCTTGTCCCCGATGAAGAAAATTTGATCCACCTCAGATCACCAAATAGTATTCTTTTGAATATAAGAATGAAGAAAGATTTGTTATTGCCATGACTGAAAGGTACGCTAGTCTTAATGATACATGTAGTTTGATTGGATGACCATGACCTGATGTAGATGTTCTGTATGTTTTGCATCTGACCATAAGCCTAACTCTATCTTTTACTAGTACTATCTAGGATTGTTATACTACAATGACCAGTTCAACCTTGGAATTAAGCAGATATCTTATAACTGTGTTATTGGCATTCACTTCCCCTTGAACATATCAGTCCAGTGTTCTTCTATATGAAGATACTGAATCGAAATAGAAAAGACTTTATAAATTAAGCTTTGAGTTCCAAGACTGAACCCAGGTACCATAACAAACATAGGGCTCGGAAAACCTCCGAGCCTTTGATTTAATCAAGCTTATCGAGCTCAATCTCAAAGGAACAGGTGGCATTCATTATTTACTGGGCTCTGGGCTCCAAGGCTGGGGATGCCATGCTTTGTTTTTCAAATGTTTCTGCGATGATGACTTACGCCGACTTTAAATCCCAGGACTCAGTGAACAGATCGAGCACTGAGCTCCTCTGTATCCATTCTCAGTAATCATGACTAAATCTGATATTTTTGACGGTCTACGGCTTCAACCTTGCCATGTTATAGATCACAACTTACCCTTTCTAATGCCAACCTCACATACACAATACCTCCAGAATTCACACAGAATAAAGATCCTTCATCCATGGCCCCAAAACCAAAGTGAAGCTACTTAATTTCTGACTATCATAAGTTATTTTTGCGGCAGGAATAAATTCTGTTGGCGCTAGGAGGTTTGAATAACGTAAAAAGGCTCCACAGCTTTAAAATACTAAGTACGCCATAGTGGGTCCAACCACTAAAGCGCTTTTACACAAAGTAGGTACGGAGTAGAAAATGTACTAAGTATTTTCATCTTTAGTCTTCTCGAAGGACGTGGAACTTGACAGTATATTCCATGTAGAGAACTCGATAAACCTCACTGGCCTTAATCTATTACGTCGGCAAACACGGATATGGAACAGATACTACTTACTGTTCTAGGAAGAATACCTACAGTGCGGAGTACGTAGAGAATCACATCAAGGACCAAGCTTGATATTTACTTCAAATCTTGACCAAGTTTCAAGACCTAGGTAGATCCAGAGGCTCCAAGGTTAGTTTCACCTAGATCTCTATCCATGGATGTAAATAACTTCAGATGCTCATATAGAATAAATTATTGAAAAACACCTCACTGATATGCATTTACTGGGCTATTTCACCCTGCCGAAAGCAAATGGGGTACCTGGGTAACCGTGCGTCTCAACCTGAATGGTCAATCGGAGCTGGTGAGCTGACGAGCTGTGCTGCGATCTTCTTCAGAATTACGTAGAGCTCAATATACATCATTTGAACATGTCCCCAGGCGAAATTATGCAAGAGAGGAGTACCACCTGAATCAGCTGAAATCTAGGAACCCTTGAATTCCTATGAATTGCCCGGGTAATGTGGAGGTGCAGTCCGAATGTCGCTAAATTGAATCAGGATATAAATCTATAGATAATGTACATAAAACGGGTATCACCCCTGTGTGTGGTCTTCGCCATATTTTACACTCCACGGAGGTGGCCCCCGTGCCATCTGTTCGTCTAGTACTTCTTTGATACCAAGCAGATCATTCGCCTTGCGCTTACTAGGTGGCCAGAGTTCTTCAAGTTGCAGCCAAACCTCCATGACCTCATGAGGACCATAGCAAGTACCAAAGGCTCGCAGGATCATGGTAATCATGCGAGGTCCGAGGAAGACACCATCCTGAAGACGGTTCTCAGACTGGTTAAGCTTGAAATGATTATCAGGCTGGTTGAGCGCACCTTCGACGGCGGGCGATTCTTCAGAGGCAGGTAATGTGTCCATGACCCAATCATACTCTGAGGTTTGATCGTTTTCGTAGCCCCAAGTCTGATTTTCGCTCTCATTTTCGATGACCGAGGCTTGCTCAATAATTTCCTCTTCTTCAATGGCTGATAATTTCTCAGCGATTTCAATCTCATTCTCTTCGGCCAAGTTGGCGTGATCTTCAACTTGTCGTTTGACTTTTTCTGTCGCATTTTCCAGTGTCGCTTGGCTGTTCATTTCAAGATGAGAATCGTGATTCACAAGAATCCCGAGGGCATCCTCGTAAGCCTTCACCTTCTCGCCAGGATTGGAAGTTGGTGGAAAAGACATATAGAGCTCCTCGTTCTTCCCAAGCGTAAAATTGGATTTACCATCCACAGGGGCTTCAGGAGTCCCGATAGCATCCTCGCGAGCCTCCACCTTCTCGCCAGAATCTGAGGTTGATGAAAAAGAAATATAGAGCCCCTTATCGTTCCCAGGCGTGGAATTAGATGTATCATCGACAGGAGCTTCGATGTCAACTCCCACGGGCCCGAACGGGTTTTCCCAAACTGCTGGGGTTTCGCTATGAACATCTCTGACTCTGATACTTGACTCGCGGAGAGCTCGAATGAACGCCATCCAGGTTAAGCGTAGTCTTTCTGCGGTCCAGAAGCGCTTCTTATGTCTCCCATGTAAAGCGAACGCTTCAAAGAGAAGGATGTAAATCATGTGGCGAGGAGGAACAGCAAATGTAGTTTCCATGTCTCTTAGGACATTCATGAACATGGTAAAATTACCACTGACCCGCGCACAGTGTTGAAGAAGAATATAAAAGGTCCTAGTGTCAGGAGTCATAGGTAATGAGTTTTGAAGGGCGCGGTGGATTGCGGGGCGGCGCTTTTTCAGCTTTTTAGACGATTTCAAAAAACGGCCGATCTCTCTCGTCTCTCTGCGATAAAAACCAAGATCTGAGGATAGGGCTGCAGTGTTGTCAAGAAATCTGGACTTTTCAGGATTATTGCTTAGTACGGCTTGCTGTGCATCAATCATTTTTGCATAGATTTCCTCGGCGGTTCCACGGTCACCGGCTCGTAGAGACGAGGCCAGCATACAATTCAAAACGACTGTGTCGACAAGCTCTCCTGATTTGACGAAAATATCAAAGGTTTCACGGATACCTTCCACATCTCCTTTCATCCCATAAGAATAGATCTTTGAGACGAGACCTTCTCGCGAGAATCGAATATCTCGCTTTTCCATTTCTCCCTCCAAACGATCGGCAACAATGAAGTTGTTGGATTTGATGGCAATATCAAACAAAATGTTGAAGACCACATCGTCTGCTTTGATCCCAGCGACATGTTCCATCTGCTGCCAGAGACCAATTGCTCTAATTAGTCGCCACTTCGACACCTTGCCGCTGTTACTTCGACCAGCCATGGAAATAGCCGTCGACCACATTGAACGAGACATGGCTAGATCAGCACTGATCATGTCATCCACAAGTGCTAGGTAGCGGCGGGCATCGACCAGACGCCTATTAGCAGGGCCACCGAACCGACGAAGAAGAGTCCCTCGAGAGGCTTTGGACAGATATGCGACTCCCGGTGATGGAAGATCTCTGTATAACCTAAATAAAAACTGAGGTGTCGCATTCAACTCGTTGGGAAGTGATTCCACAAGTCTTGCAACTGACGGAATCTCAACGACATCACGTGTATCATCCACCTTTCTGAAAATTGTATTTTTCGGTAACAATTCATCGACTGATTCTACCCAGGCAGGATCATCACGTAGGAATTTCCGGAATATATTCGAAAATGCAATTTGAACTCGTTCCTGGTATCTGAGAACTGGTCTCTCTTCTCCCCGCATCATCTCTGTTGTTGTATCCGAATGATGTATATAACCAGCTTCCTTTGCTGAATGAAGTATGACGGGTTCTGAACCTGACACTGAGCTTAAAAATCGGCTTGGAAACTCGTCTTGTAAATTCCCATCCGCGGCTTCTGATGACCTGGACGGTGTGCGGACGTCATTTTCTTCTCTCTCCACCATGGTAAATGGATTATCTTGCTCGATGCGATCATCTTCCATTCGTGCCAGGCCATGGCTGAGCCATGATCGACTTCGCGCCGATGGCACCGAACCAGACAAGACCAGTCGCCTCCCGACTGCCAGTCGACCATGACCTGCCATGCCATTGCCACGATATCTCCGCAATTGGTGCTCCGAGGTATTCAGCGGTGATGTATGTAGACCTCGACTCGGTGAGTGCTCATGGCAGAAACCTGCCAGGACGAGCGAGCCAACAAAAATGTCGGCTATTGACGCGACGGAGGGACGCGGGCGCCGTGTAGAGAAACTTCGAACGGAGCATCGTAGGGAAGCCGTTTTGGAATGTGACATGGAGCTTCGATAATGAGTGAGCTCATCCAAGGCCTGCTTGGGGGGATCACGCAGGCTCGGCGAGCTAGTGGACCTATTGAGATGAGGCATGAGATAGCAGACATTGTGGCACTAGGTCAACCATGCATGTCCAAAGAAAGGCCAGGGCCGCTTGCGAAGATTAAAATTGACTACTCCGCGGCCTTGGAAGTAGACAATAAGAGGGAGAAGGAGGAAGACAGATAGGGAGTGGAAGGGCTAAGAGTGTTTTTCTGATGGACGGACTTTCTGGCTTTGCAGCGGAGCCCTTGTTCAATTCGGGCCAATCGGCGCCTTGAATTTCATTTCCATCTTTTTCGACTCCCGCAAGCCTTCAACCACCAACTACGACTGCTACATCTTCGTTTGCGCTAGGGTCAATCCACGACTCTGTGTAATTATAGGCTTGCAATTTAACGGCAAACTGTACGGCTGTTTATTATAGCTGTCAACATGGGCAAATACAACCTTACAGCCCTCAAGGTACGACAGACCGCGCTCAACCAATTCGCCAGTGGAAAGATCAAGAAGCTGCCGCAATGGGTCGAGGTGGTCGGTGAAATCCCTCCAGCAGAGACTCTCGTTCGCACTCGCTCTCCGCAGCACCAGCTAGTCCGACAGCGGAAGAAGTCAGTTCCAGGACACGCCCACCCCCAAACCGTTTTCGAAGTCGATGAGAACCGCCGGAGGCCAAAGAAGGCAAGCCACCTTTTCTCACCTGTTGAGTTGAAGTATGAGGAGGATGAACTGCGACAAACCTTTTTCCAAGACCACCCTTGGGAGCTTGCTCGTCCCCGTGTTCTCGTCGAAACTACCGGCAAGGACTTTACCAAACATAACTGGCGGAACCTTCGGCAGCCAGGAAAGCATTTAGATGGTGAAAGGTGTGTCTCCTCTGCTCTCTAGATCTGCCATATCCTTCTCAATGTCTCTTATTCTAAATCCCTTTATTTTCACTAGTGTTGTCCAACGACAGCTTTGGCTCTTGAATAATGTCACAGATATGACCAAAAGCGCTGCGTACGATATCGCTCGTCGGGAATTTTACAAACTTCGTTTGCAGGAGGATATTGAGCGCCGTGTGGCTGCAGAGGAGGCTGAAGCAACCGGTGCCAACTTCGGCCCTTCATACCTGGAGATCGGTATGGAATTGGAGAACCAACAACATGAGAAGTGGAAGGACTGGGCAAGAACACAGGCCCAACTCTTCGATCAGCAAACAGCCTCACTTGCCGGTGCTCCAGAAATTCACACAGAGGCAGCGACAGCAGAGACAGTGGTGGAGGCGGTGACCTCCGAGGAAGAGGTTGCAGCTTAGAGATCATTTGAATGTCTCATTTCACTTTGTGGGATGGTCTTGATGCTTCAGTCACCTGTATTTCCTGGTCGTGTATATTATTTGATTTGCTCTGCTGGATGTATTCCCATAGTCCCATTCTCACAGCAATATGCTGCTTTTTGTTCTTCTCCTAGTTACCTATTTCTCATCTCAAGTCATGATATATGTCTAGTGGAACTTGAACTTCCAGTGTTGGATTAGTTGACATGACTTGGTAGCTGTCCATACTGGACAACTACATAAGTAGTTATTTAACTTGAATATAGGTTTGTAGTTTTATATGGCAATAAAAATATCTCTATTTACTTCTGATACAGTCAGATAGCGAGTATATTACAATATATACTAATAAAACCTTCCTTACTCATAAGTCTGTAAATTCGGTGCGACAATATCAAACATTAAGTGAAACTTGAGCGGGCGCGCCACTCACTCCACCTCAACCTTGCAAGGTTCCCTTCATTGACATTCCTAACTGGACTGGACTACGTTGTTCCTTTCTAATCAATCCCAGCCTGATAGATAGGAATAACGCTATTCCTGTTGGATCAAGTGTTCGAATACCTGACTTCTAAAGTCATTCATTTACTTGTCGCGCTTCGTCTCCGTGATCAGAAGTTTGACAGGCTACGCTGTTGCCACCTCCAGATTCACGAAACGAACTCCCCGAATTGAAACAACACTTGGCAGACGATCCCTGATAGCTCTTCGATATACTTGCGCTCTCCTCCCTATCGCACCCATCCTCGGTCCGCACCTTCAACCGAGGCAGTCAGCCGCCCTTGCTATCACGAGCCAGTCGACAATGTTCGGTTCGAGTGAGACTGCCGTCTACGTCTGGTAACGGTTGAGCATTAGGACGAATCCGAGTAGTTGTCTCCGTCGCGTGGCTTATTTATACAATTCAGTCAACAATGCTGCTGTCCACAATGGCCAGACCTGAAGACATCATCCGTGGGCCGCGGTCGCATCAGGCCCAGACTGACGAAGAAGATGATGACAAGAGTATCTTTATCGATTCCCTTGTGCCACCTCCGCTATCATACAATGAGAGCTTTCCTTACCTTGACGATGAAACAGGGACAAGACCGGGTACAGCCATGAGCATGAATGATGCTTCCGAAAATTCAAGCAGGCGGCCATCTGCTTCGAAGCTTTTGACGCACGAGGAAACCATCGAACTCGCGAGACGCAAACTAGAACTCGGCATTCAAGATACCGAACGCTCTCTAGCAGGAAGCGAGGCCGTCACAGATGTCGTGAAGCCAAAGCTCACCATCGATCTGGGCCATTCTCACATTGTTCGAATACCAGAACCCGTCGTAGACATAATCAAAGATGAAGTCGAAAGGTATGTTATAATATCAATGGGGCTCCCTTCCAGTTAAGACTTAATTTTGTTCTTGCGACTAATTCGGTTGAATTACAGACTCTCATTATCAAACAATCATCTATTTCATATTCCCTACCGCTTCGCCGAATGCTCTCATCTTAGATATCTCAATATCAGAGCAAACAATTTCCGTGAATTTCCTAAGGGTGTATGTATAGCAAAAATCGAATCATTGCATATTTGCTAATATCATGTTCTGCCAGGTTTACAAACTGCCGCTTCTTGAAATCCTTGATATCAGTCGCAACAAGATCAGTACCTTGCCAGATGAAATTAGCAAGCTGAAATCATTACGTGTTCTGTCGGTCATGCAGAACAGACTGGATGACTTACCGGCCGGTCTATCTGATATGAACAAGCTACAGATTCTCAAAGTTGCGGGAAACCCTCTGCGGCTTCCATTACGACGTGTCCTCGAGGCCGCTGAGGCTGATATCGCCCCATCTTTCATGACAGACAACGAGAAGGAGGTTGCTGTTACTGCGGATTTGAAGAGATTTCTCAAGACGCGACAGCCTACAACCACCCCAGAGCCAGACGATGAGGGGTCATTCGAGGTCCCCAAACCTATACCTGTCAAACGAAAACTCAGCAGTCGATTTCCAGTCATCCCCAGCACTGGAGATAGCTCAGCATCTTCATCTCGATCACCATCTTTGTCCAGGGGACCCCTACTTCCGGCCAAGTCACACTATCGGATGGCCTCGGGTCAACATGTTACCAGTTATGGTCCTCTGAGACCCGGTGTCAAACCGTGGACGGTCAATGAGCGCAACCGGAGCAACAGTGAAGGTATCATCCAAGGCTCACACGCTGCTCGAAACAAACGCATGGGTCTGATAACTCGCAAAAATACCGATCTCGTAACGTTGGACGAGATGAGACCATATCGAAACAGTCATCTGCGTGGCCTCAGCCATGGATCCGTCCTTCGAGCACGAACAACAGCACCAGCACCTGCTAGTGACAGTAGCTCGTCAAGTCCTAGTAGCCCGAGGGATCGCCGACGCCCGAGAGATGGCTGGGTGAACCGCATGTCAAGTCTCCCAGAACACAAAGGAGAGCGAGGGTCGGACAAGCCGATAATTGAGAGTGCTAAGGGCATCTTGTTCGCGCTCTTCCAAATCCACTCCCACATATCCACGTTGATCAACGTCATCAAACGGGATGATACGAGACGTCACAGCCTTGAGCTTGTGTTTTACAACGCATCTACTCATGTTGATCGGCTGAACGAGGCCCTCGAAAACGCAGAAAAATCGCTGCCTGCTGACCCGGACTCGGCACGGGTAGTCGCCGAGGCTGTGAAGCGAGAGTGTGAGACATGCATAATAGCTTACACGCATGTTGGCACACAATTGCGCAACAGTGCCACCAAAATCGTCTCTAATGGTGATCCTCGATACGTGAGATCTCTGATGTTGACGATGTATGGTAGTTTGGTGGAGCTACGGAATGCTTGTACCAATCTTCATGTTCAACTTCAACCATTGCATCACAAAATTACGTCCCCCAAGCCCATGATACTTGCAACAAACAAGAGCTCCTTGGCCACAAAACGCATTCAGAGACAAATGGTTACCCCTACAAGGGAAAGGGATCCAGTTCCCCCGCCACGACGATTCCGAAGTGAGACTACAATTCGCCATACTCCGCTTCCAGGATCGTTGCCGTTGACAGCAATTCATCATCCCCTGACTAGCTCACCTGGAATTACAACGACCGTCAATTCCTCCTTCAGCTCCTCGCGTAGCCGATCAAGCAGTCGATCGAATTTGATCAACACATCTGTGCCATCTTCGTTGGCCACTCCTCGCTCCGGAGAGTCGTTCCCTCCCATTATTAATGCCCCAAGAATGAACACGATGTCTGGAATGGAAGAGATTGAAGAAGAGCGAATCTTTGAAAAGATATTCAAACAACTTTTCGATGCCTGCAAATCCTCCCTCCGTGCTCTTCCATTGGCACACCAGCAATTCATGCAATGCCTCGAGGTAGCAAAGCAATCGCGTGAATCGGAAGGAGTCCAAATCCTATGGAAAAATCTCATGGGCCGATCTCAGTACTGCCTGGAGCTCTCAGAAGCATTGGGCATGCGTCTGTCCACCATGCAAGTGAAGGATCCAAATGGCGGTTTGCGGAATCAACGAGATTTTTGGCAGTTGTGCAAGTCATTTATGCAATCATTCGTGGATCTGGTGACAGATCTACGAGAGGTACGCAACATGCAACTTCTTCCAAGCAACATCATCATTATCTTGCGTCCCGTTCAAAAGGCCAGCCGCGAGGCCGGTCGATTAATCGAGGCCTCCCCTTGGTCTTATATTGCCGATACTGCACCGACGAACTTGCAAGTGAACACGAACACATATGGACTTCCGCTGCCTCAACCACCTTACCTCCATCAAACCTCCGTCTCTACTTCTGCCATCACTTCTCACCCAAATGGATATCATCTAAGTACGAGTATGTCTCCTCAGTCAGTAACTCTTCCATCCACTCCGTTGAGCGCAGCGCTTGGCCCCGCCGCACAGGCCACAGTGCCATCGACGCCTGCCAGCGCATACAGCGACAAGTTTTTTGAGGGCGATGTCTTCCAGCGTGCCGACTCGCTTCTATCTATGCCGAGCCAGACACCTTTCTTCGCTCGTCGGTAGACAGTGAGTACAAGTCAGCTGACTTGTTTTCTACGGTTGTGTATGATTATTTTCATGACTTCCTTATGATCATGACCTGTCCTCATTGATAAATCTTGACAAAGATAGAATTAACTCAAGTTTGTATTATAATCCTCATTTCTAATTAGCGATATCAATGGGATCTGTTTCATCTGATAGACTCAATGAAAGTGAAAGAAAACATGCAATCCGGAGTATGGAGTACCTTCACAGGCCTATTTGTCAGTTTATATTTTTTTTCACACAAATAGTCATACGTTGTATTTCAAGTTTCTTGTCCTTTCCAGAATGGTACACTGCTGAATTTGAGCATACATATTTGACCACATCTGATTGATGTGTTGACACCAATAAACTTCTTGTAAGTTTCCAATTCGCTGCCCTGGCTTCCAAGGTTGATGCTTCACTCATGCTGGCTCGTGTGTCATGATAGACTGCTCTAGACTATATCAAATGTACCATTCGAGATCCGAGCGAGATCCTGCACTTCCCAGGTGGGAGCTTCCACTTCCAATCTTGAGTGACTCCCGAGGTCATATGTACTGAGGAGGTTGATATCTTATATTACGATGCACAACGTCACTGAATGAGTCGGTTGATTTGTAAATATTAGACCTCTATCAAAGATACTAGATCCACATACATCAAACACTAGGCATGTCCGAGGCCTGTCTAGGTATCTCGTACATAGGTACACCCAATAACCATTCTCCAACGAAGCTATATGTTATAGATGACCTCTGGACCTCAGGAATTCACCCCCTCAATTCGTTTTCTCACTCACAACAACATCTCTAACAAAAGCAAACATTTCTTTCTGCTTAGTAGCAAATACACTATGACCAGCACCATTGAATAGATGATAAGACACTCCTCTTTCAGCAGCCCAAGTCCCAGCCGGCTTGCCCGTGGAAGACTTCGAACTTGTCTGTTTGGTCAAAGACGGCAACGCATCATCCGCATAAAACAACTGACTTGGTTTCTTTGAAAACCCCTGTGCGCCGTTCCATGTCATGTTTTGGATTGAGAGCTCCGTACCAATATAGTTGATGAGCATGTCTAGTTCGCCGTTGTAAAGATGGAGAGAGACATTGTGATCCGTCACTAAGCTTGGAAGAATCAAGTACTCTGGAGGCACTGGTGAAGCTGCCGCAAGAATGGTGGCCAGAATATCTGAGTTGCAAGCGCTGTAGTCGCCACTGTTACTGACATGCAGTGCAGATTGGACATCTTTGCGGCTGAAATAGGAAGCTAACAGTGGCAAAGGACTGATTGTGCTGCAATCGTGGGAAATGTCATAAACGTCATAGCAGGCTGGCCCTGTACCTTGTTCCGAGATAGTTGACATATAGTCTAACGCTGTGGAGAAAGTCGCGCAGGACCCGTAGCAGCTAGAGTTGAAGATAGAAGTTTCGACCTCAGCTGTGGTGTTGGGATTGATGTCACATGAACCTTCAAGGATCTCTGCATTCACATCACGGCATTTTAAGCGCCGATAATTCAAGCTTTCTGGATTCCCTTCGATATGAATCTTGCCCATTGGTGGGTAGATGCTAGCCTCTTGCAGGACAGTCTTGAATCCACACGTGCGGTCCGCTACGGAGAAGGCGGAAAGAATATCGTTAGGGACCTCGAGAAGCTCTGCTTGTGAGCGCATGTATGTTCCCATTGCAACAGATGACATGGCGGCCGCATTTCCCCATGACCCATCACCGAGAGACATGGATTGTATGTTCAATGACAGCGGGTAGCTGCCATCCAAAAGGGCTTGTGCAAAATAGGGTACATAGATTCCTGCGTAGGACTCGCCCATCAAATGAATCTTCTTAGACTGCAGATGCGGGAAGTATGTCATGAATGTATGAAGCCATTGAACAAAGTCATCTGTTATTCGCTCGTTACTTTGTACTGGGTAAGGATTGCTTGCGGTTGAAAATCCCGTGCCCACAGGCTGATCCACATATAATATATGGCCCAGCTTGGACCATGAATATGGATTTCGTTCTAGTCGAGTGGAATTGCCGGAGAAGGAAATAGGCCCGTTCCCGGTTATTAGCCCGATCAAGGATGAGCAGCCGGGTCCACCATTAAACCAGACTAGTATGATATTAGCCATGCTTTTCTCTCATTTCTAGCCATCTCCAGTCATCTCCAGTCAACTTACTGATCAAGTTATCATTGTAGACTAAGTTCTCGGCTTGAAGGAGCCAGAAGAATATCCCGTTTCCATTGGCCGTACCTGGCACCGGCAAACGCCCAGCCCAGCTAGGTGTTAGAGTTGGACTATCTGGTAGCGACTGGACTCTGAACTGGCTTACATTCAGAGCTCCTCGCGAACGAAGCAATGTCGGCACGGCCCACAAAATCTGAAACAAATAGAGAGCGGAGGCGATATTCATACTGATCAACTAAGACGGAGCCTTGGACGGCAAGTGAGCGACAGAGTGAATAACGAGTGATGAGAAGGGGTATCCCCATAAAGACATGTTGGTTTCTTTTATATTAATTCATTCTGATTATCTTTGGATCAAGTTCTTTGATCAAAAGCGAAGTATCTCGATTCTGGTATCAATAGGAGAGACCAAATGTCTATAGAGAGATTTTATAGAGAACCCGATTAGGAAAACCCGACAACATCACAATCAAGACAGCTTAAATTGAAGTCTCGGAGTTATTAAACTCGGTTCTAATTATTGCGATTGATCCTGTAGCTTGGCACGATCTTTCCTTCAATTTAATATCTGTTTTGATTACCCCTACTCCACATCATCGGGTACAATCTATGAATCTGGTGTAAATGGACACCTTATTACTAAGGCATGAACAGTTTCCATCGCGGGAATAGATTGGCGATGATAAAGCGATAAGGCCATATCTAGAACAAAATCCTAAACTACATAGTACCTTCCTCAGGAAAGAACGATCCCAAGACAATTCAAATCCCCTCCAAGTTTTAAATGTAAGCTCTACTTTGATACTGGATGAAAGAAAGCTCACCATACCCAAAGCAGCGGAAAAAAGCCATCGGGCAGATGCTCCTGCCTCCATGTCCTTTTCCTCACGTTCCAACGTATCGGGCTCTTTCTCGAGTGCCGTTCAAATGGAAACTGTCAGAATGGAAGGGCCGTCATGCTGGGTTTGTGGTACCACGCAGCCGGAGATTGCGCAAGTCGTTGGCAAAGCGGATACCCAGGTACGTTATCTTTCTAGAGCATGACAGAATAGACTTAATATGGCAGAGAAGATGCTTGATTGGTTGAAGGCCGGGCTCATTAACTTTCGTTTGACCTCGCAAGAAAACGCGATCCCCTTATGCCCCAGTTGTCACTGGCAATACGACTGCGAGGGCGATCCTGGTTTGGTCATCATCCCCGTGGATCTACAGTACTTTGTGGATTTTGAGATAGACGACCAAAAGAAGCGAACATCTATGACCGGTCGGCAAGTCCCAATACAGGCCACGTACGCACAGCATTGCCGCACTCGCTATCCCGATCAGTATGGGCCAAGCCCGAGCCCAGACAATCCTCAGCGTAGTGGATTGTATCGGGTAGTCTTCCTCAAGAAATATCTACTTCCTGATTTCATTGATGTTGCTGCACTGAGGCTTACACAGCCCAAGCAGTGGCATGGAGCACCCTCTGCAATGCTCAGACGCTGTTTCATGGCCTGTGGTACCGTCATTCGCCCGAAATCTAAAATGGGTAAGCAGACTTTCGACACATTATGCCAGCTCCGCGAACTTTACTTCCCGGAACAAGATGAAGAGATCGGTTACCAGGTCATGGTGCCCCAATCAGACGACCAAGACAGTCCTTCGTCAGACGAAGAGGCTCCCCCATCAGATGAGAAGGCTCGCAAGCGACCTGCAACTTGGGACGCTGGTCCACCTGCAGTCAATAGGGATAAGAAGAGGCGGCGAGGGAACACGGATTCCTCTCAAAACTTGCAAGACGACTGGCTGATGGGGCCAGGATGCACGGCTGCAGACTGCATCGCACGATGGGCGCCAGTTTGCCATCTGCTCACTCGCTGAACAAGCGTAGAATCTTGCGCACTGCGAGTTTGATGCCATCGCCATTCCTGTCTGTTACCCACTTTCACATTCTGCTTTTGCTATGATACCAAGTGCTATGTGTTATGTCACGTCGCTTCAGCTTTATTTGCTCTGACCATGCTTTTGATTTTTGATTTTTGATTTTTTTCCATTTCTTAATGAAGATCTCACGAATCAAAATGCCCTGCAATGGGTCTTTTCCGATTCTTCTTCCTTACTCTTGTAGTCCCAGTCCATGCTAATATCTTTCATAAAATTTTCGGTTTGGACGGCCATGCTTACAAGTAAGCGGTACTTTCACACAAACATGAGGGTTTAAGTCTAACTAGGTATTCAGCACCATAGTAAACATTTGAATTTCAGCATTCAACCCTGGCCTTTCCCGATGCAAGTTCCTTTCACGCCACAATCACAATATTCCCTACAAGCGCTAGCCATTGGCGAGCAGCCGCTTTACGATGCTTTCCTTGAAAGCAATGTAGGGCATAGCCATCTCGTAGTTCTATCTCTTTAGGATCCTTCAAACTGGAAACTTCGGTATGGCTGATATGATTGATTTCATAGGGATCTATTCCACAGGGGATCCAAGTGAGTTTCTCTGAAGGCGTGAGAACCCAACACACTGATGTCGTCAAACAAAAGCTAGTTAAGTTGAATTTTGACAGAACCAATAATGCTGCAGATATCTGGCGAGCAGTCGCTGAGTCATTGGAAGCCATCAATGAAGTACATATTTGAAGAAGAGGCCACAATTCGCTGAAAGTTTTATGAAGACTCGAGTCTAATTTGGGATAAGTAAACAAATGCGCCGGAGATATGCTACGAAACTTCACGGGCTGTTATATTCTCTCGTACCACGCATGAAATTTCGAGAGCTTCGGCGACCAGACCATGATTTAGAAGTAATAATGTCTCTTCCTAAGACCATGCTTTTCGGCAAAACCCATGATCACTTTAAGATCCCACGATCCCCTATTTCCCACGACTGACTACGATTTGTTCGGAATTGCTACGATCCCACGGCTGACTATGGTCTCTTTTAAAATGCTATTATCCTACGATCTTATCGATCCTTCGATCCTCTGTATCCATTGATCATGAGGTCTCGGAACCACTATAATCCTATGATATCATTCGTGGTAGTTACCCAACAATTCTAATTATCAACATAAGCTGACTTCAGCTCAAAATTTTGACTGTCGCCTCTAATAAATTTTTTATACATTTATATAGAAAGAATCATTACGGCTAACTGTATTTGTACTGCCCCAAAATTTCAAGAACCGCAATCACAGTTTCATGACTATCATTCATAAGAATCTGAATTATCATGGAATACTGTGCCTGGAAGTTACTTGACAAGCAGTTTGTTTGCTTCGCGCTTCTTTCAGTGTCAACATAGAAGTGTAGTACGGGCCCAAAAAATTTGATAGACAGCGGGGGATTGGAGTCTATAGCTCATCGGGTCTACATAGAATAGCTCTGATAGAAGGATTGTCCGCACTAAGCCCTATTAAGGTTACATAATTACTGACTAGGATGATCCCATCTTCTCTGATTGGTTGGCTTCCTCGTGTGTGATGGATCCGGTAACATATGCATCGTGATGGTACCTTCATCAATGAATCGTGCCCAGGTGTGCATTATTAATCTGTCATCATGACCCTGTATTTCATAGAACGATTGACCTTGTCTTCGCCCACGTTACTTTGAAGCTCCCGGAAAAATAATTTCAGGCCAATTCAATTTTTTCAGCTTATTGCTAACCCTGAACCCGATGTCTACTTTTTGCTGTGGATCTCTTATTTGGGCAACACTTGGAGCAATGCTTCGATGGCTTTGAATGAAAAGCAAGGTGAATCATTGTCTATAGTCCCTTATTGGATTGGAAGAATAAAGGTGTGTAAATGTAAGAGAAGGAATAAATATGGATAGAAGCCAGCTTATACAACTTCTGGATGGAAGGTGCTTTTATCTGGCAAGATCACGGCTCTTGAAAATAAACTAGGTACCTTCACATCTCGCTTTACTCGCAGATAAACACAAAGGTGGTGGGTTTATATATTAATTCACGTCTTTCTTTCGATCTCTCCTTATCCCAAGGTACCTTCGAATCTTTTTCATAAGATATATTGTGTTCCCGAGTTGGTGAAGTTCAAGATTCAAGGAGAAGTCCAACCACGTTCGTACTAAGGATCTAAATTAAAATGAAAGTGTCGGAGATTAAAGCAGGCTTTGGTGATTATGGTTAATCCTGCAGTACTAATTTTGCAAATTAATATTTGAATATTTGTTTTGATGTGGAGTGCGGATTAGAGACGGGAGAGAATAGACACCTTATTCCGAAGGCACCAAAGATTGCTCTAACATCTAACTTCTAGTGTTGTTGATGTCACCTCTGGTCCTCTAAGCTTCCAACTTCCAACCCCAAATCCCTCCAGAACTCATCTTCCGTCACCAATCCAACTGCCAACTGCATCGTCACTGGTCACTGGACACATAACAGTGGTTTCCCGATCAGTGGACCGTGCGTTTCTCAAAGTGAGGCGAAGGTCCCACAATCCCTTGAAGAAACCCTTCCATATTCTTTTTCTAGGCTAAACGGCTATCATTACGGAGGATCGCCTTATTGTTTCCCGTTACGATATTACGATCGATGAGAAAATCGAAAAGCGGAGAGACTCGGCCTGGTACCGGGTAGTAGCAGCAATGGAATGTGATGGTTGCGGTTTTCCCAATCCGTCTCTTGAAAACGTGCAAAGGTTGTTCTCGTTCGACCTATATCAGACCAACCCGGTCGCTTTTCCAATCGATCTCTCTTTTTTCTCTTGATCTTCCTCTTTTTCCCACTTATTGTTCCTCTGATTTGTTCAACCGAAAAAGTCCGGGGTCATTTAATATACAGCATATTCCTCTCCCATGTGGTGTCATTCAAGCTCATACAAGTGGCTAAGATTCTGATTTGGAGAGTTTTTGTTCTACTTTTTGGGCTCAACTCTAAGCTTCTTTTTGTGTTTTTAATCTTTAATTATCCTTTACTTCCCCCTGCTCTAATCTCGCCTTGTCCACGAGGGCCGATCGGCCGCAGATCCAACATCCTTGGGTGTGGCTCCACAGGAATTGACAGCTCACTTGCTTCACTTTGTCCCTCACGCGGATTGGCTGCCTGCCTGAGGCAGACCAGGGGTGAACGGAATAAGAAAGTAAGTCGAAAAAGGGCTTATAGGGGGGCATAGAGGCGTTGTCAGTCAAGTGGCAGCCACTGGTAGGGGGATCGTGGATGGTGACCTTTTGCACCCGCCGTGCCTCCCCTCCCCCCAAAAAGAGAAAAGAAGCGTCCAATCTAACAAGTTCGGGAGACAGTTGCTAGGAGTTGCTAGTGCGCTTTTCCTTTCTCACGGCGATGGATCTCCAGGGTACCAAAGAGGCGCGGGCGCAAGAAGAAGCCACTGATGGCCCTTTAGATGCTTATGGCGCCGGTAGTAGCCGTGGACGCTCGAAAGAGTTTCACAAGAACGAGGGTCGTGATGCTCACGGGCATGACAGCCAAACTAACGTCCACCCGCTCCGTCGTCGACAATCATCCTTTGCTTATCCTCCCGGGGCTCGCCCTTCCACTGCGCCATCCAGATCCTCCCCTCGGCCTCGAGAACCCTCACCGTCTCTAGAGGCTATCAGCATTCCTACGGAATTAGGGCTAAGTTCCCGCGACCTACGCTTACTTGCCAAAGCCCGAAAATACCCATCTGTCACCAAGAAAACGCTGAGCGAGCTCGACCTGCCCTGTATTATGGGCAACATCAATCTCCGTATGGACGCCAATTTTGATCGAGATCTACATTTCAAGCCCGATCTGGATGGGGACAAAGGTACGCGGAAGCGCAAGGAGGCAACCGACTACTGGGACTCAATGGCGACGGAAATTGCTATCTATGCGTTCCATGCAGCGTATCCAGATGTCGAGGATTTCCAACAAGAGAACTCTCAACGCACGTTTGAACCTCGACTACCAACCATGTTCGAAACCTTGCAGGAGGTAATCAAGACTCTTGTTCCGGAGCGCGATCATCCGAATGTGATGCAGAATCTAGAGGTCCCACTGCTCATGCAGCAGATTCGCAAGGGCGTCCTCGATATGGTCGCATTGGCGACTTGGATGGCTGCCCTTCTAAAGACCCACTGTGCACCTATGCGAGATGAGTGGGCGGATCGCATGGTCGAGCAAGTCACCGAGGGTTCACAGTCACAGGATCCAAAGGAGATTGTCAATGGACTTCAGACATTATTCTCGATTTTGGAGGCGATGAAGCTGGTAAGCATTCTTTCTTACTATGTAAATGTGTTTCGGCTAATGAGTGTTTCACAGGATGTTGCCAATCATCAAATCCGCACCTTTCGTGTTCTTTTAATTGAAGATACTGTACCGTTCCTACATGAATATTTCGAGGGCAAAATTGGGCGTGGTCGTTTCCAGGTGGAGCCTTCAAGGTTATGGTATTTGGCTGTGCGGGATCGAGCAGAGGAACAGAACAGCACATCATTATCACAGCCCGACGATGGCCTGAAGCCACTCGACGCTCTCTTCCAAGGAATAGCCGATAAATTATTACAGTTCGACCAACCTAATGACTTCCCAGAGACGTTCATTTTCGATTCAGACCGACTATGGCAGCTCCGCTCAACCATTCAGAACCTAATCAATCTCGAAATCGCATGGTACATCTTCGAGTCCTACGTACATACACAAAAGCGATATCTTTCTGCACGCGATGAGACCTACTCCACCTTCCGCTCCCGGATATGGTCTTTGATGGAAGAAAACATGGACCCAGATTGTCGAGGCGCCGAAATTGGAAATGATGATCTAGATCTAAGAGGTGGAGCGCATTGGTTGCAGAACATGCGCTATATCGCACTGGAGATTGCCCGATTTGCCTGCGCCGCATGCTGTCTCGATGTGGTAGTCGCAGATGAAGTCATCGCTCCCATCGAGGCCGCCCTGGAGTGGCACTTGTCCAACGAGTCCGAACTCTTCCGTTACTTCCAGAACAACATGCGCGAAAAGGTACTGAGTGCCACATTGGCTTCGGCGCGAAGATACCTGCCTCTGACCCCTCTCGCAATCTGTGAGTCGCAACGCACGCCCCTGCCTGCCTCGACGGTAGGCCCGGCCGCTTCATCCTCACCCTCTGCTACATCCTCGCAGCCATTGACACCACAGCAATGCGATATTGAACGTATCGGCATGCGCCTAGCTCATATAGGCGTGCTGCACTGGCGTGTCTGGGCCCCGCTGTTGTATCTCCGTGACGAGATCGCGCTCGGCGATCCATCACTTGAGGCTGCATAAGCAGTATTATTTCCTTGAGCCTGGCTTGACCTATACTATCTAACCGTTTATCCATTTAATCTCCTTTGTCCCTAATCTTTGTTTTCCTACGTTTTTCTGATCTGCTTTTTCAGCGCCTGCATCATGGCTTGTTTCTTTTGCTCCACTTACATCACAGGCGTTTGACTGCGGACAGCATTGCAACAACTGGCGTGGCTTTATATGGGAGGAGGCTTTGATTTTTACTCGATAGTCTTGTTGACATCTACTTTGTTTTGCGTTAGGGAATAGATTCATGGCGCTGGACTTTTTTTATTTTCTCCGGAGAGTTTTGACCCCGGAAATTGTATAGCAAAATATGATAAGTTTATATCCTCGGATTAATCCAATAACATTTACAAACGTGATAGTATCTTCGAACCTTGGGAAGTTGAAATCAAACATTCTGGGTTCGGACAAAAAAGTCCGTGCGATCGATCAGCATCAGAATCTCAAAATCCGGCACAATTTCATCCCGGAAATCTACAACTTTGGAACATTCAACCCCCTTCCAATTTCGAGTATAATAAAAGAACAGGGTATGAATCTATCATTCCGTTGAAACTCTATCGAAGAACTATTCTGGAATATTATCAATTCAACGATAAATTGATCCCAATGCGTCTCTCCGCCAAACTACTCTCCACATTACCATGGCTCTCCTCTCTGAAATCAGCACAATTGCAACGTATCGCGCGAGCAACAGGAATTCAATCATCAGGCACAAAGCCCATTCTCATCCAGCGCCTTCAGGCCGAACTACCAAGTCCGGAGACCAGCCTCTCTGATGAAAAGCCATGGAGTATTCTCAGCATCGACATGGGCGTTCAAAACTTCGCATTCGCGCATCTACGCGTACCGCATTATTCAAGGTCAAATTCTACGCCTGAATTAATGGATTGGCACCGACTCGCCGTGTCAGATATTGGAAATCTTGATCTAAGAGTTCAAAAACTGCCCATTCAAAAAAAGAATAACAACTCAAAAGATGTAGATGCAGATCCAAAGAGCGGTTATTCGCCAGATGTATACGCTGCCAACGCATACTCGCTCGTTACATCACTTGTCGCGGCCTATAAGCCTACACACGTCCTCATTGAGCGGCAACGTTTTCGCTCGGGTGGTGCTAGCGCTGTGCTGGAGTGGACCTTGCGAGTTGGAATTTTGGAGGGTATGTTGCATGCTGTTTTGTATTCTTTAGCTCGAGAGCGTGGGGGTGAAATGGCCGGAGTTATTGTCAAGGGCGTTGAGCCGAAAAGGGTGGTGGGGTATTGGATGGAGTCTGGTGGTACTGCGAATGTGAAGCAGGGAGATGAGATTAGGAAGAGGCTCACTGCTAGAGAGGTTAAGCAGATGAAGATTGATCTTGTCGGCCAATGGCTGTCTGCTTCTGTTTCTGCTGATAAATCTGATACGATTTCTGATGCGAGTGTACACCATGGCAAGATTTCCATTCTAGGGGATCGGCCTGTGCAAGAACTTGTCGATGCCTACTTACGGAAATGGAGGAAGGAGAGGCGTGCGTCGTCCTCTGTCTTGCAGGTAGGTAATATTGGCAAGCTGGATGATCTGGCTGATTGTCTTTTGCAAGGAGTGACTTGGCTTGAGTGGCAGACGCACAAGGAGCGATTGGTCCGTGAGGGTGAAGGGGCTATAGAGTCAATTCTGTAGCACACTAGGTCTTTTGTACATTTTATTATACCCCATTTGAGATACCTAATGCAAGTCTCATATTTGACTCAAGCCCCTCCCCCCCCCCCCCCCCTCCGGCCAAATGCAATGATCGACATGGTCGACGGATCAGCGACTAGGATCAGCAAAATTAAGCATTCAAGGGTCTGTAGCTTAAGGATACCTTACAGAGTACAGCAAGTCTAGATCTGATTACTGAAAGATTAGCTATATCACGTTAATCCCATTCAAATCATAAATCATAGAGAAGCAGCGAAGTTTATACAATCAGATGGAGAATAAGTACATTCGAGACATCTACAGCCATCAAATGCACTCCCCGAGAAAGAAGAGTAAATGGTAAACGAATACACACAAGAAACACGAAAAGATACCCTCTTCCGTTGAGTTCATGTCGCCATCTATGACAATACGTTGCGCATTCCAGGTCGAGGAAGAAATAGAAGAAAAATAGAAAGGGCTTGCTCATTTGAGAAGAAAGAAATAAAGTAAAAAGCGCAAACATACTGCATGTATCTCATGAGAAGAGAGGGCTTGTCAATTGTCTTGAAGGCCAGCTTGTGAGTAGTACAAAAGACAAGCGCTCTTTACTCTTTCGACTCCAAGAAATATCAATAAGAGAACCTGGTAAAATAAAAGAACAAGATTTTCTGAAACGGGAAATAAGAAGGATGTAAACATCAGAAGCAGTAACAAGACTGTTCGTTTAAAACAGAATGCTTGATAAATAGATACATAGCCAGCGCGCAACAGTGCGGAAAAGGAAGCATTCAATTCATTGACCGGCTCGCGTCGAACTCAACGGGCAAGGTCTCTATTGCCATAAACGTCTTTAGATGAATCGGCGACGGAAGTTGGTGGGGTAGGCGTTGTTGGGGACCAGGTAGGGGATAGAGGAGGCAGCGCCGGAGGGGGTAGCAGATCCAGAGGCGTAGAAGGCCGAGCTGCTGGTGGCAAAGCCAGACGGGGCGGGAATGCTGCTGGAGGTAATGGGAAGAGTACCGTTGCCGTAGTGGGCACCGGTAGCGCTAGGGGAAGACTTGGTGCTGGTAGAGTCGGGGCCAGCGCTGGAGCTAGAGTCGGAGCCACTGCTGCTGTCACTACCGCTACCACCGGTCTGCTCTTTACCGATGGTGGAAACAGAGGTAGGGGTGGAGGTGGAGGTGGAGGTGACACCAGCGGCGTTCTAATTAAATTAGTACAGATTATACTTGATATCTTTGGGTTAACTTACAACAGTGACGGTCTCAGTGGCCGTGACGGTGACAGTGGCCTGGTTGCAAGAACCCTCACCGCTGCTGCCGCTACCGCTGCCGCTGCCGCTGCTGCTAGAGGCAGAGGGAAGGTGAGTCAGAGTCAAGGTCTCGGTCTTGGTGCCCTGGACGGTGGTGGTGATCTCGACATCATCGGAACCGCTGGTGGCAGCATCGGTAGCCCAGGCAGTGTGCTCGTTAGTGGCAGTGCGGTGGATGGTGGTAGTCACAACGCTGGTGGAAGTGCCAGAGCCGAGAGTGTAGGTGACGATCAGATCGGAACTGGAGCCAGAGCCAGAGCCAGAGCCAGAGCCAGAGCCAGCAGTGGAAGTGACCTGGGAATCACCTTTAACAGCAACACCAGTGCTGAGGATGACGGAGGGAGTGGTCAAAGGAGTAGAGTAAGCAGCGATACCAGAGCTAGAGCTGCCCCAAGCCGAAGCAGCGGCACCAGAGGAAGAGGCACCCAAAGATGAAGCAGAAGCAGCGGCACTGGAAGAAGAGATGGCGCTGGAGGCAGCACCAGAGGGAGCAGCACTGCTGGTGAAAGCCTGGTGACCGAAGGGAGTCGGGGTCACAAAGTAAGTGGTAGTGGAGCTACCACTGGGAACAGTGCCGTTGATACCACGAGCGTGGGCAATGTGACGGCGAGGGAAGGCGTGGTGCTCGGCCTCACTGACAGCAGCGAGGGAGGCAACCACAGCCACGGTGTACTTGTTAATGAAGTGCATATTGATCGGAATTTTCTCTTGTAGATAGTACCAAAGTCGAGGGAATGTAGCTGTAGAAAGAGTGTGGATGTGCAGAAATCAATTCGCAACAGTAATGAATGGCGGGTAAGTGAAGGGCCCAAGAGAATGAAAGTGAGCTACAAGCTTGACAGAGAGAAGAAGAGAAGAGAAGGAAAGAAATAAGAAGGGGATAGTGTGGTTAATGAAGGTCAGCTAATCTCCAATCTACACGTTATGGTAATACCGGCTGAAGTATTTAGTGGAGTCTAGGCTTCATCTTTTATTTCTAATTAATTTCCTTGATATTGTTCAAGCAAGTATAAGATTGTGATTGGGGGAGAGAAGACATGATGACAGGCGTTACGGAGTACTTTTTAGTTAATTTAATTATCAAATCCACTTCGCCTCAGGAACGTTTATACTATTGGTTATACGCTAGATTAACGCCAATCAAACGCCAATCAAACGCCACTTAATGCCACGATGGCGGAGTTGCTTTAAATCTTTCTTGAATTGAACAGTTGTGTGAAGAATACGTACATAAATCTGATCTCACTTTAGAAGCAACTATACTAAATTGTATTATTACCTTTGTATTTACTTCTGTATCTATTGGGCGTAAAGGGCGTAGAATTGATAAAAACCTGAATCTGAAATATACTCACGAAACAATGCAAAACCTGTATTGACCCTGTATTGACCTGTATTGTCTCTGTATTGTGATTGAATCCTGTTTCATATATAAGAGCCAAACCCCACCTTAGTCCCCTCAAACCTAACAGCCCCGACTCCGAACAACTCATCCTTCCCGCCCTTGAAATTTTCATTATTTCATTTCAATCTCTTCTAATTCTAGACTTTATAAGACCGCTTGGGCCCAACACTAGCCTTACAACACATAAGCCTCCTATTCTCCAATCTATTCTCTCCCCTTTTCCTAGAAAGGCGGGAAGTACGAAGTATATACTGTGTACTCCGTCAGTTCTCGAAATGGGATCCACTGTCACGGATCAGTCTCGAGCCTGCACTCCTTCTACACCGAAGACGGCATAAGCACGTCAATAGACCCTGAAATGAGATAAGCCCATCATACTACTTAGTAGTTTGCGAAGGACTTGTATTTTTCAGGGTTCCTTCAGATTGGAAGTCCTACGTTTCAGGCTGGAAATTTTCTCAAATACTGTTTAGGTAGCATCCAGCTTGTATACAGTATGTGGTACAAGTATGGAGTAACGCTCAGGGCAATCTTATCCAAATGGGCGCTCAGGCCTAATGAACCTTGGAAATACGCACAATATTGAAATGAAATATTGCATTATGCCCGACTCACGCAGCTTAGCCCATTCCTTATCAAAGGAACTGTACTAGTTCGCGGCTAATACACTTACTATACAAACCTAGTATCCTTCCACTCCACTCTGTCTTGACTATTAACTAGTTATCACGCTATTTGCAAGCTCGGGAAGAACTTCTCTCAATCTGGAAAGATCGACTTATACTTCAAACTGCTACTCTTTATTGCCACCAAATCCTCTATGAACTACTTTCCACTTCTGAAACATGCTGCCCCAGCCACGGGAACATGTTCAGCTAAATCAATTTCAACAATTCTTATTTACATAACCATGGTAATGAACCCTCTCAAAGTTCCACATCGCACGGAAAAGACGTGGTCTACCAACCCTATAGCTCCAGGCTTCAGGGAAAAGGATCTATTTACCCCAATCTCCCCAGATACCGTATCCGAGCTGGACCGTCGTAATTTGCAAGCAACAACTGTCAAAAAAAAAGAAATAAAAAAACCCTGTCGTTACTCTGAACTCCATGGTTGATTTATCCACTTTCAGGTACCGACCTCAGATCCATGGACCTACGACCTCTCGACACATCTGTGTTTGATACTGAAACTAACCTTGGAATACTTCAAACTTCCGGCTCCTTAAAATACGCCTAAATTCTATATCGTCATGAGGCAATGTTGCTGATATGAAATTCCAACTAGAATACCTAATCTGTTCATGTTATGGGATATTCAATATTGCTATTCGCCGTCCAATCTCAATATGTCGTCTTGGGTATTGACGATAATGAGGCATATTGATAGGCTGATCGACAAGCATTATTATTCTTCCGCTCTCCCGGGGGTAATTGATCCAGATATCGGGCCAAAGGCAGGAACCCAACTCACTCCTACAATGATCCTCCAACATACTCGTACATCGATTTGAATGGATGATCCTAGAAACAATTATGGATAGACTGTACTCTGTATGTGACACTCAATCCCGAAATACTGTCGTTAAAGCCCTGGTCCTTTCATCCTTCCACTTTAAATACTGGAAGCTTCCCAATGCCCGCTTAAATCAAGAAATAACAATAGTCTCAGTTCAGGCTATAGCCTGATATCGCAGTCATCAATCATAATGAGAATATAAAGTCACAACCCGAGGAATCGCTTTAACATGATTCCCATCCTGTAAATCAACATCAGCATGGCAGTCTATGCGGACAGAGACTGAACATACCCCATTTCGAATATAGGAGGACAGCCATTGAGCTTGACCTTGCCTGCGGTGATGTTTGGCGCCTTCTTGCGATAATGAACAATGCGTCCGTTATTGCCTTTATCGTAGACCCAGTAGCCTTGCAGTTCGGCCTTTTCTTTTTCCTTTTCTGCCTTTACGCTATCGCTGTCGCTGTTCTTATCTGACTCGGACTAAATAACGTTGAAGGTACCTGTTAACTGTAGGCCTCGTATAATGCATGAAATGGATCCTTGGAGGCATCACGTACTCCGGGCTTTCTCCTTCGCCGAATATAGTAATAACCTTCGTTATCACCATAAGACCTCTAATAATGATATTAGACCCATCTCTTCAATTGATTTGGAGCATACTTGCAATAATCGGCTTCTGGTAGCCCGCTGCCGCGTGCCCCATATTTGGATGTCCTGAATCTGCAGGTGTATGTAGGAAAGTTGGGCAGCCAGAGGGGCTGTTCGTTGGGCGGAGGCAATCAAATAGGATTACAGCGTAAGGTACATAGTTCCTTGTATACATCAATTCCGAGGTCACATGGCTTTTAATGCGTGTACAAGTTCAATTGGATGATTCTTGCATAACGCTGGCCAATATTTGTTACCAGTTTCAACCGATGTACATTGTAAGAGTAGAAAGTAGTAAAGTAGATCGAATGATAAGTGTGGGTCTATCTTATCGTCTTACATCCCGAGGAACATCGCGACAACCTCCGATGTTTTGTTTAGATCATGGCGTCTCACGGTCTCCGTACTCGCTATGCCTCTCTGCTGAAACGATTTGTTTCTTCGTCCAAAGACTTTGATATTCTCACTACAGTGGCAGCTGGTGGCGCGGCAAAACCATGCATTTTATACGTGCTGGACTCATCCTTCAACCCGCCAACTCTCGCACATCTCCGCATCGCTAGCTCGGCTCTTCTGGAACGACTTGAGCCAAGCTCTCGTCTCCTTCTTCTGTTGTCCACACAGAATGCAGATAAAGCTCCCAAGCCTGCTCCATTTGAAGACAGGCTCGCCATGATGGAAATGTTTGCCCAAGACCTCCGGTCTCATCTAGCTTCCACATTCACACAACCCTCTTCTACCTTTTCGTTGGATCAAATACCTCCAATTGACATCGGGGTGACTAAAAAGCCATACTTCGTTGATAAAGCTGTTGCAATCGAGAATTCGGGCTGCTACCCAACCCCTCTCGAGCAGGTTCATCTTACAGGCTATGATACTTTGATCCGCATCTTTAATGCCAAATATTACCCACCAGATCATAATCTGCACCCCTTAAGTCTGCTCTTCTCACAGCATCGGTTGCGGGTGACGATGCGGCCGAGTAATGAGTGGGGTGATCAGAAAGAGCAGGAGGAGTTCCTTACTTCTATAGCTCGAGGTGATCGCGAGAGCGAGGGTGGTCGACGAGAATGGGCTCAGAAAATTCAACTTACTCCTGGTAGATCGCCTGGTTCACCCTCCGTGAGCTCTACTCGAGCGCGTGAAGCTTCACAGTCTGCGATCCAGGACCTGGATTGGCTGGTCCCAGACAATGTGCGGCAATTTGTATTATCCAAACAACCATACTCTGCAAAGGACAGCCCATAGCTGATTCATATACATTGACTATATAATCATATTACCCTTTTAGTTCCAGAGCTTTGATATCTCCTTTGGCGACAATCAAATTGACTGAAAACGCCATAAGTTAAACCTTTGAACCTTGAACTTTTGGTACCTGACTTGTAAAACATGATACATAAATATCAGCAGCATGAGAGCTGTACCAACGCCGAATCTCCACCATATAACCTTTGTAACCTTTTTTAATATATCGTACACTCCGCGCCTCAGCCCCGGAATTGATCCACTGGCAGCTCAGAGCTTCATTCTTCCTCCTCCTCTCTCTTTCCAAGAGTGTAAGCCAGTCCACCCCCGATCATGTTCACCAAACAGAGGGCCATAGTGCCGCCCCGGACAATTCCGCGAGCTCCGAATTTCTTCATCAATGGCTGGCGCCGCCGGCTAGCCAGGAGCAAGTACAGTCCTGACCACGCAGCGCTGATTCCAGCAGTGTCTGTCTTGAAGCCCTGGAGGTTCGCATAACTCGTGAAGAGCAAGACGGGTGGAAAGAGCATGGGGAAGAATTGGAAGGGACGCGCATGTTGCGCGGTGATGAGGGCAGCGAGGAGGGTCGGCGGAAATGAGTTTTCTATCAAAAAAACAATTTAGTATGCATTGCTTCCCACTTTGAGCTTAACCAGAGCATTTGAAACGGGGATTGGAAGAAAGGAAGCCGATAACGTACCACCCCAAGTTCGAAAGCGCTGCACTAGCGTTTGCTTAGTTTCTTCGATTGCCGACTCCGTCATGGTGAATGAACTTCAATTGGATAACTTCAATTAAAGATCTTCTGTAAAAGTAGTTTTGGCTAACAGTTGCTTTCAGCCAATACTCTATTAATAGCAGTTTGGGCGATGAAGGAATATGTATTGAATTGTAGAGTGGGGAAGATTCGCCGCAGTCTGTGATGTCGATACCAAAATTGATAAGCCCAAAGCGCAATTGGCGTTGTCTTGGCAAAGGTGTCTTTTCTCCTCCCCCAATTTACCACTCTCCACGCACGTTCGATTTCATCCCCCCGCCTGTTTCTTGGTGTGTCGCGTGTACCTCTACACTCGACGTGCCTATCAGTTTCCCGGGGGAATCGCGCACCCCTTTCGTCGCTCACGCCACCATCTCGCCTACCTACATCTACCCAATCCAGGACTCAACCCACCTGTAAGATCGGTATCTTTAATTCTGGATCACTATGTCGTCGGCCAAAGCATCCGGCTCAGATGCCAATAATGGAAGCGCAAAGTCGCGCGATAACGGCACCCAAGATCGCAAAGTCACCCCCGAACAGAAGAAAGAAGTATTGCGCATCCTTGGCTGCGGGTCTGATTTCTACGTGATTCTCGGAGTTGATCTGACGAAGTACTCAAAATCAGAAGTCACAAAAAGTGTTGTCAGAAAGGAGTACATGAAAAGAAGTTTGTTGGTCCATCCGGACAAAAACGTTCATGATCGTGCAGCCGAGGCCTTTAAGAGTGAGTGACCTTGCAATCCCATACTACTAAGTTTGTCTACTCACCCATCCATTTACAGGACTTTCACATGCCGCCGAAGTTCTTATGGACGCCGATAAGAAGGCTCATTTCGACAGATTTGGAGCGGACCCTGATGACAGATCCAGTGGTAGACCAGGACCGGCAAGTGCTGGTGCATCTCCATTTGGAGGTGGCTTTGGAGGTGGCGGTGGTGGAGGCTTCGCCGAAGAGATATCACCAGAAGAGTTATTCAGCCGATTTTTCACTGGTGCCTTTGGTGGAGGAGGTGGTGGTTTCAACACATTTGGTACACCGAACCTAAATACGTTATCTCGCGCTTTTCACTAATCATTCTCCCACAGGTGGTCAACAATTTGCGTTCAACATGGGAGGTCCAGGTATTCGCGTGCATCAGTTCGGAGGGGCCACACCGCGACGACGACCTCGTAATGCCGCGGGCGATGCCAACCCTTCGGCTGGAACTCCTCCCGATGCATGGACTCTGATCCGTCAATTACTACCTCTCTTGGTTCTCTTCATCCTCCCCCTCCTCTCATCACTCTTTTCAGGCTCATCTACACCCAGCGGCCCAACTTTTCGATTCAATAACGTTGACCCGTACACCCAGAGTCGCACAACATCAAGGCTTAATGTCAATTATTTCGTGAATCCAACCGAAATGGAGGATCATAGTCCTCGGAAAGTTCGGCAACTGGATCAGCGTGTCGAAGTGGAGTATGTGAACTCGCTGAAATTTGCCTGCGATCATGAGATACATACACGGGACCGAAAGATCCAAGATGCCCAGGGCTGGTTCTTCCCGGATGTAGAGAAGATGAGGGAGGCGCGAGCAATGGAATTAAACAGCTGCAATCGGCTAAACCAACTCAAGGGGAGATACTAAGTTAAATGACCGTGTAATTGTGTTGGTGGATTCATTCTTTCCATGTCTAATCATCGAGATTTTCTCAGTGCATGGAGAGTGATATGTGCTGGTGTTTTTTTCAGCTTGGACTATGTGTATATGACTTTTTCTGAAATACTTCCATTGATTGACTTGTGTAATCAAAAATAATAAATTCCAGTCATGAGTTAGATAATAATCGCATTCGAACTGAATAGATAAATTACAGAAATCAGTTGTAAATAAAGTATTGTATGTGCTTAGTCAAGGTTGTTCTCCAACGTCGGAAAACACTCACTTTGAATGACGATATCAATCTCCAACTCACTTGGACTTTCCCTCGATTATTCTCATCTCCTTTTCATCTCTTTTTCAATTTTCCTTCCCATCTGTCCTCCTACTTCCCCCTCACCTTCCATCCCTAACTTTCATCATCTGAACCTTTTGATTGAAAAAACCCCCCGCTTTTGGGATATCTTTTGTTATCCCCCCACTCCACTTCAGCGCCCTTTCTGTTACTGTCATTTCCAAATCCCCTCAGCTGGGTCTCACTTCTAATTCCGACCACGTCTGGCATCGTCAGGCGCCATGTCTAACCCCATGTCTGACGCGGAAAAGGTATGTTTCCCCTCTCGTTCCCACTGAAGCGACATCATTTTTCTAATCCAACACCTCGCTTGCTTAGATTCGCCAAAAGCGTTTGGCGAAGCTTTCAAACCCAACCCCTAAACCTGCATCATTTGACGGTCCCTCTGATTCCTTCTCGGGGTCCTCAGGCCCACCTCAGCCACGACAACAACCACCAGGGCCACCTGAAGAACCGAGGAAGTCACGCAAGGTTACAAATGCACAACACAAGGCAACAAAGGCAGCAATTTCAGAAAAGCCAGCAAATGATTCCAACTGGAAAACAACCACTTCTCATCCAGGAATGTCACACTTCACTCCTAAGTCTCCCTCCGAAATTGAAAGATGGGAAAACCAGTTCTTGTGCGATACCTTCGGGATCACATTGGAAGAAAACGACGATGATCGTTCTCGGATTTATCTGCCCAAGTTACGCAGAGAATTGCAACTAAACAGTCGAGAGCATCTCATTGGAATTCCCATCTTTGATCATGCCATTGTTGAGGCTGCGTCTGCATCGGAATGCTTCCTCCGGTACTTGATACAATGCTGGAAGCGTATTTCAAAAGTTCACAAGTATCACCGAAGAGCCCGGGAGCACGATCCCCACTACGATGTCATGTGTGAAGCACGGCGTCTGTGCGTGAGTTACTTCATCTTTGGTCTTACCATGCCCGAGATGTTCCCGTAAGTTCCACTTCAGTCGGCATAGTAGCGGATTTTGCTAATGTGTTTGTTTAGGGATGGTGCACAGAAGTCTTCGTTCGCTGATATGTTGTTGCGGAATAATCATGACGACGGAATAGACAACGAACTTTTATCTGAGATTGCGGGAAAATTTGACGAATATGATGGTCTTAAGGAAGTCTTCATTGAGGCAGTTCAAACGCTGAGCATCAACCTTCGTCACCAAATTCCCGGTGCGCCCCATGTCGCAATTCATATTGAGGTTGGTATCATTTTTCTATGGAGTGTTCAACCCGGGTGCTAATGAGATCTGTAGACAATGCAACGTCTTGTGCGATACCCCTCCATTGCGAACGCAATCACAGAAGCTAGCCTTTTCCTCAACGCGAGTTCTGCGTCTCTATATGAAACAGATGCGATTGAATTTGAGAGGCTAACCCTTCTAGGAACTTTTTTTGCCTTGTCGCCTCTGCATGACCATGTCGTGAATCAGAGTTTCGGCCACGCGAGTTCTCGTAATCCAGCATACCTCGAACAGACATATACTGGTATGCGTATGTCGCAGAATCGGTTCAACGAACAAATTTTTGACATCATTAACCATTTGCTTCGTGCCTCCACGAAGGCTCGCGACCGAGTTCTCGACTGGTTTGCGAAAGCCGTCAACATAAATCACAAGCGCCGCGCTATGCAGTTTGACCAAGTGAAAGTATCGTCTGATGGGTTCATGTTGAGCCTGACATCATGTCTCGATCGACTTTGTGAACCCTTCATAGATGCTGCTTTTTCCAAGGTCGACACAATCGATCCTGGCTACCTTCGTCGCAACTCGCGAGTGAATATGCGCGACGAGACAAAAATCAATGCGGATCTCGAGGCATCAAACGCTTTCTTTTCGAAACAGGTTGATGGCAAGTCCTCCTTTAACACTGAGCTCTTTTTCCTTACCGCCGCCGCTCACCACTATGGAAGTGGATCTTTGATGTCGAAATTGGAGCAACTTGAAAAAGACATACATCAGATAGGGGCTCATATCGCTAGGCTTGACCTCGAGAGGCCTCGCTGGAGCGACGACCCGAGGCGGCTCCAAGCATTTGAGGAGACGTATCGTCGCTACAAGTGGAGACACGATATGGGACTTGTAACGAAGTCTGGCTTGGAATGTTTTCTCGTGGATGAACATTTCCAGGCCCGGTCACTCAATTTCGAGCGTTTCCTCATTGTCTGGGTGTTGCGACTCGCCTCGGGTGTGAATTACCCACAGGAAGGATTCACGTTGCCTCTCCCTCAGAAACAGCCAGAGGTATTTCAGTGCCTCCCTGAGTACTTCCTTGAAGATGTTGTGGACAACTACAAATTCGTCATTTCGTCGTTCCCAACTACAATCCCCGGGTTTCAGGGCGATGAGCTTGTCACGCTCTCTATTACCTTCCTGGAAAGCTCTGACTGGGTCAAAAATCCGTATCTAAAGGCAGGTCTTGTATCGACCATGTTCCGAGGCAGTATCAGGGGCCCCAATCAACCAGGTGCCCTGTCGGGTGTGCTCAGTACGCTGCCGTTCGCCAACAAGTACCTTTTGCACGCTGTAATGAAGTTTTACAGCGAGGCCGAGCATACCGGCACTCATTCTCAGTTTTTTGACAAGTTCACCATCCGATACGAGATTTTCCAGATCATCAAATGTATTTGGCCAATCCCTCTCTATCGCGAGCTTCTGTCAAACCAAGCTCGACACCACCTGGATTTCTTTGTCCAGTTCGTTAACCTTTTGCTCAACGATGTCACTTACGTGCTTGACGAGGCTTTCGGTGCCTTCAAAATAATCAAAACCATTGAGCAAAAGTTGGATCGGGAAGGCATATCGATGGACGCTACTGCGCGACAGCAGCAAGAAGAGCATTTGGTAGCCGCCCAGCGCAATGCCAAATCCTACATGCAACTCACAAATGAGACGGTGGCTATGCTGAAGCTTTTTACAGAAGCTCTAGCTGACTCATTTACCATGCCGGAGATTGTCCAGCGTTTGGCTGATATGCTGGATTTTAATCTCGATACGATGGTGGGCCCCAAGAGCTCCGATCTGCGCGTCGGTAATGGGCACGAATATGGCTTTCACCCGAAGCTCCTGCTCAGTGATTTAATGGATGTCTATCTCAATCTGATGAGAAAGAAGAGTTTCATTGTGGCTGTCGCTCGCGATGGCCGCTCTTACAAGCCGGAGACATTTCAGAAGGCGGCAGAGATTGTACAGAAGTGGAGTCTCAAATCCCCTGAGGCCCTTCAACTTTGGAGTCAAATGCGTAAGCAAATCGAAGAGGCCAAGGCTATCGACGACCAGGAAGAAGTTGATTTGGGAGAAATCCCCGACGAGCTTCTCGGTATGTTTAATTTGATTGTTGTCCGAGCGTGAATTTTGGTTTCACCACTAACGATCTCGTAGATCCCTTGATGTGCAGTATCATGGAAGATCCTGTCATCTTGCCCAAGTCTGGTGTCTCAATTGACCGGTCAACCATTCGCTCGCACTTGTTGAGTGACCCTCACGATCCTTTTAATCGTGAACCTCTCAAAATCGAAGATGTCATCCCTGGTAGGTTTACCCAACTGATAGGACGAGCAACATGCACTGATTATTTTTTAGATACCTCATTGAAGGCCAAGATCGAAGCATTCAAGGCCGAGAAAAGAGCCAGCAAGGCGAATACTGTGAATACTTCTTCGACTTAACTATTCCTCATAACTGACAGATCTACGACCGAATAACCTCGGGAGGTTTGCAGATCATATTTTCATTCGTTAGGCCTCTCATTCTGTACTTATGCCACAGTCAGAGTGTCTGTCGAGATGCATCATGTATTTTTTTTTCTCTTTTCTTTTTGGCCAATAGAGTAGCTAGTTCGTCTCGGATTTAGATAATAATCCTTGAAAATAATCAACAGTTATCAGCCCAGGCCGCTTTCGCATCTTCGTAACCGTCACATGAGTAGTCCTCTAGCGGAAAGATCATTAATATGCTCTTCTCAGAGCTGACCTTCATGTCCTCAAGTTTCTTGCTTGGTGCATCATTTTATATCGCCGCGGTCACGTGTCTGTCGCGGACACCATTCCTCTTTAACACTGAAGTACAAGGTAACCAAGACATACAGTACAATCTTCTCTTCTTTCCTTCATACCCTCTCAAATTAGAACTAGTTTTTACCGAGATTCAACTATGGGAGCTACTTGTTCCACAATATGGAATGAGATACCGCCCCTCATAGATTTCTACCCCCCTTGCCCAGCTAGCTACACAACTCTCCTAAACATCTTCCAATATTTCCCATTGGTAAGTGACCAGATACATCCAAGCTTCCTATTATCAAAAACCGAGAAAAAAAATAACCCACATACCAGTTCACCCTCCTTCAATGGATCATATCATGGCATCCAGCAGGGAAAACCTCTCTCCAAAGCTCCATCTTCAATCTACCAGGACGCATAGCCTGGTGTATAATGGAGATTATAGGCCCAATCAACCTGATCTACAATCTCTCCCTAAGCTCACCGTCTTTCAGTGAACTCGGAGTCTCAAAGCAATTGGTAGCATCCCTCTACTGCTTCCACTACCTCAACCGCGCTATTATCTCGCCATTCTTCTCTGCTCCAAGCATGTCTCCCATCCACGTATTCATCATGCTCAGCGCAATGGCATTCAACTGGATCAATTCCTCGTGTCTCTCTGGCTGGCTGCGTGGCTTACCAGTCGCCATCCCAGGCTTCCAAACAGACGGCTCTGGCGCTCTCTATTCCTCAACGAGCAGTAGACTACTCCTAGCCCTCCCGGTAATAGGAGCGGCCCTGTTCACCATCGGAATGGCAGGAAACATCTACTCAGAAAATTCATTCTTCCACCTACGAAGACAAGAGGCAGAGAAGCAAGCCAAGAAATCAGACTCGGCGGAGTCGTCTATCGAATTCCACAAAGTCTACGCCATCCCGCCTGTCAAAGGTGTCTTCAGCTCAATCTTGTACCCGCACTACGTCTTCGAGTGGATAGAGTGGTCTGGATTCATGCTAGTGGGTATATCTGTCTTTCCGCTGGGTGGATTCGTCCAATATGCAGCTGTGACTCCTCCGCTTCGGCCTGCGCCTTGGGTTGTTCCCTTTGTGTGGGCGGCTGACTTCTTGGCTATTCCGTTACCTTTACCTGCGGTGCTGTTCTTGATTAATGCTATTGCTAATATGCTGCCCCGTGCCCGCTGGGGACGACGGTGGTATGTTGAGAAGTTTGGGGAAGAGGCTGTGGCTGGTAGGGGTGCTGTCGTGCCGTGGTGTTCTTGGATGTGATTTGATTTGATTTGATTTCCAAGCCTTCCAGTTTCTCGTTGATCCTTTGAAAGACAGGTACCTAGGTATAATAGATGAAATTAAGAGCCTGGTGGATCGTATTGGGTATTTTTCTATTTCCTGAGCTCAAATTTTGAAGTTGAAGCTTTGATCTATTATTATTTTTCTTCCCCCAGATTTTGAAGGGCTTAGGGGGTCCAAGCTCCTAGCTTAGTATTCTTGGAATCTTATCGACCCGAACCTAAGTCTACGGGGTACTTTCTTAGCCTCCAATGATACACATCTACTCGATCTACGATGTACAAAGAACAGAAAGTAGTATTGATAGAACAGTTAAATACATTGATAACTGCTTCTAAAATTGACAAGTCTGCCTAAATAGGTATGACTGTCCTCAATCTCCAGGTCCATCGCAAGGCTGTAAAGCCCCGCGAGGACGGGAAAAGGAAAATGTTGAAATAATCGGCACCTTTAAATGGCGGCACCCATGTTGAAATCGTTAAATGTTGAAACTCCGTAAACCCGCTTTTGGTGCCCTCTAATCCACACAAAACCCGCTGAAACCCGTATGTTGAACTTTTGGTATCATCGTCATAATCTCATATCATAAAACAAATAACTTCCCGTGCTGGAGGTGGCGGGTTGAGAATGCCACCTCACATTAACACATTAAGAGAAGAAATCAAACAAAAAAAAAACAAATGAAAATGCTCAGAGTTGTTAAAATTACTGAGCGTACTTCTGGCGGAAGTACTTGGCGGCGTTAACCATGTTGGTGAGAGCCGCCTTGGTCTCGGGCCATCCACGGGTCTTGAGACCGCAGTCGGGGTTGACCCAGAGCTGATCAGGCTTGAGGAACTCAAGCATCTGAGCGATACGTTCCTTGATCTCCTCCTCGCTGGGGATACGGGGAGAGTGGATGTCGTAGACACCGGGACCGATGTGGCGGGGGTAATCCTCATCGATGAAGACCTTGAGGAGCTTGGCGTCAGACTTGCTGTTCTCGATGGACAGAACATCAGCATCCAGAGCAGCAATGGCGTGGAAGAAGTCCTGGAACTCAGAGTAGCAGAAGTGGGAGTGGATCTGAGTAGCATCGGTGACACCGGCAGTGGAGAGACGGAAAGCGTCAACAGCCCACTTGAGGTACTTCTCACGCTCAGTGCCAGCACGGAGGGGAAGACCCTCACGGAGAGCGGGCTCATCGACCTGGATCATGGCGACACCGGCAGTCTCCAGATCAACAACCTCGTCGCGCAGAGCGAGAGCGAGCTGCTGAGCCTGGACGGACTGGTGGACGTCGTCACGGGGGAAAGACCACCGCAGGCAGGTAATAGGACCAGTGAGCATACCCTTCATGGGCTTCTTGGAGATGGAGACAGCGTACTTGGACTCCTTGACGGTCATGGGAGCAGGACGCGAGATGTCACCAACAATGATTGGGGGACGGACGCAGCGGGATCCGTAGGACTGAACCCAGGCCATTGTGGTGAAAGTGTAACCGGTCAAGCGCTCTCCAAAGTACTGAACCATGTCGTTACGCTCAGGCTCACCGTGGACGAAGACATCGAGGTCAAGCTCCTCCTGGATCTTGACAACGTCCTGGATCTCCTTCTCAATGAACTTCTCATACTCTGCAGCAGTGATCTCACCCTTGGTGAACTTGTTGCGCTGAATACGGATCTCCTTGGTCTGGGGGAAAGAACCGATGGTAGTTGTAGGGAAGGTAGGGAGCTTGATAGTCTTGGTCTGCTCGGCAATACGAGTAGCGAAGGGGGACTTGCGGTCGTGCATCTCCTTGGTGACGGCAGCCTGACGAGACTTGACAGCAGGGTCGTTGGTGCGCTTGGATGTGGCACGGGACTCGACGGACTTGGCATTGGCAGCGAGCTGCTCGGCGACGGCCGAGGCACCCTCTGAGATGGCCTTGGCAATGACAACGACCTCAGCGGTCTTCTCAACAGCGAAGCTGAACCAGTCACGGATCTCAGGGTCGAGGTTCTTCTCGCTGGCCAGAGTGTGAGGGACGTGGAGGAGGGAGCTAGAGGTAGCGACGATAACACGGTCCTTGCCGAGCTTGGCAATAGCAGCATCGACCTTGGCGATAGCGGCCTTGAAGTTGGTCTTCCAGATGTTGCGACCGTCAACGACACCAGCGGAGAGAACCTGCTTGGGGCCCAGAGCGGCGAGGACGGTGTCAAGCTGCTCGGGGTTACGGACCAAGTCAATGTGAATGGCGTGAACGCCTTGGAGGGCAGAGAGCACCTCAATGTTGTGGACAATGTCACCGAAGTAGGTGGTCACAGTCAGGCGGGGAGCCTTGTCAGTGGCTAGCTTGGCATAAGCGGGCTTGAAGGCAGCCTTGGCCTCAGCGGGAAGGTCAAAGACGAGGACAGGCTCGTCAATCTGGACATCCTCAGCGCCAGCAGCCTTGAGCTGGGACAGGAGGTCAACGTAAAGAGGAAGGAGGTTCTCCAATTGAGTGATAGGGTTCACATTGGCATCACGGTCGGCCTTGGCAAGGTGCAAGTAGGAGACAGGACCAATGATGACGGGACGAGTGATGATGCCAGCGGCCTTGGCCTCGAGGAACTCACGGACGGGCTTGGGGTCAGCAGCGAGCTTGAAGACCTGGTTCTCCTGCAGGGCAGGCTTGACGTAGTGGTAGTTGGAGTCAAACCACTTGACCATTTCCAAGGCGGGAACATCGACACCTTCCTTCTGCAGACCACGACCCATAGCGAAGTATGTGTCAAGATCGTGTAGGTTGTACTTGCTGTAACGCTCGGGGATGACACCGAACAGTTGGTTGTGGTCAAGAACCTGATCGTAGAAGGCAAAGTCGTTGCTGGGGATGATATCAACACCGGCATCCTTCTGGATCTTCCAGTGCTCCAGACGGAGACGCTTGCCCTCGGCGAGAAGATCATCACGAGAGATCTTGCCACCCCAGTAGGCCTCAGTAGCCTTCTTCAGGTCACGGACCCGACCCATACGGGGGAAGCCCAGAACGGATCTAAGGGGTTAGTTAGCAAATGAGTCAAATAGATAAAAGAGCTAGGGGGAGGAAAAGCAGGGAGACATACGATTGAACCATTCTGACAAATGTGTGAAAGAATTGAAGAAAAAATTGATACGGGTCTCAGCAAAGATGAGAATGAAAAACCCGAAGCCTTGGAGAGGAAAGAAAAGAAGAAGAAGGAAAAGAGGGAAACGAGAAGAAAAATGGAGGGGAGAGCAAGGTGGGCTAACCACAACAGGCAATCAGAGGGGTAAACGTCAAGTCCGGTAAGGAAAATGATACAAAGCCTTAATCTGGGGGAGTTGAGTGGTAAACATGGGTATATTTGGTAATGAGGGTGTATTTCAATACATGAGCAAGGATTCAGGCAGTAGTTGATGGGACCGTGATCGGCGTAGATCACGCCATTGGAAATCACCGGAGGAAAGTGGATTACAGTCTCCATGAGTGCATCCAAAAACGCAATAGATTAATACCTTATATAGCCAATTAAAACCTACGATGGTTTTTTAAACACCCACAGACAGAAGAAACACAGGAGGATTGGTTGTATTTACTGTATTTATTGTATTTACTGTATTTACTGTACTCCATACTATGAGTAGAATGGAGACCAGTCTAGATCTGATCGGCCAATAATACCCACATCTACAATTAGCGAGATTCATCTACTCCGAGACCGGGGAATTGCCACTTTGTACTCTTTAAGGGCCTGGTTTTAGTGATTTTCCTATCGACTAAAAGTGTCGACTTTCTCTATCGAGGGAAATGTAACTCCATGGCTCGAAAATTATGCCGTCCATTGAAAGTTCTTTTTTTGAGGGAACAAGGGAAAGAAAGACGAATTATGACACCATGTGATTTCTATAGCCATAGCCTCTGATGAGAATCCCATACCAGCCTGGAAGCAATTTCTGCTACCAGTAGTGAACGGACAGCGACCATGAAAGAGCTAATTAGCTCATTTATTCAAATTCTTTATGATCCACATCTCCCCATCAAAAATCCCACCCTCAAATCCAGCGGCTCCGTCCGCAGTCCTTCTGTAAACATACACATTCGATATATCCAATTGGTCCACCTTTAGGGATAGCCAGATGATTGCGCTATTCTCTCCCACGGCCTCAACTCTATGGCCGATGACTTCAGGCAGGCGTCCCGCCCTATCCAGAACCCCTGCAATCAATGGCATAATAGTCGATGGGTCAGATAATTGTATAAGCCGTTCCTCCGTGGAGAAAGAACTGTTGGGAAGGTAATAGGTGGCCATCTTGGTAGCACGCTCAATCGAGGTTTTAGAGTCGGGCGAGAGGAGGGTGGCGCAATAGGAGGCAATGTGAGTCTCAGCAGCAGCACTGATGCTGGTGGTATCTTGTTTGACAGCCATGATATGATGATCGATCTTGTCTTGAACGTAGTTTGACAAAGCGTAGATTAGGGACGATGGATATGATTTGTAGTCTGTTCATTTACTTCTAGCCGAGACCTTGAGTTCTTGTAGGTATCAGTTCAGATTGCCCGACATGTCGACTTCCTCTTGTTTCACCGTAACTTGGACATTCGTCGGATGAATTCGGCCGATTGCAGATATAAGTTATATCCATCCGTCTTTCGGATTTCAGGTCGGGGCAATTCGGCCGATCGTAGAATTACTTTATATATCCACCTTTTAAATTCCAAGGCACTGTTAAGGTAAAAGATGAGGTACGAACATTACTATTCGTTGGGTTATGTATATTATATATGAAGCGAGGCATATTGACCCTGTAGTATTTTTGATGAATCTCGTAATTACAAATTTCAGTCTAGGGGCACGAACTAGATATTCCATGTACCTACTAAATCTGAATCCAATAAACTATCAAAGAGTATCATATCCGTTTCCTGAGTTGGTGATTCACCGAAGAGAGTATCGTTCTGGATGAAAGAATCATCAAAAGGCTGAAAGTGACCCCTGGACAGCTGTAGAAACGTATTGATATTCTCAGTATAATTACCACTGCCATCACTCACCGCCTGTCCAGCAGCCTCTACGTGGGCTTGAGCAGGGGCATGAGAAGTCGGATTTGAAGTACAAGTTCTTCTTATCTCGGCTGAAGATAGAGCCGGTTGATCAAATTGAGAGAAAGACATTTCTTGGCCCCCGTTCGCTCCGAGAAGCCGCTCGCCTTCTAAGGGCTATATGGTACAGCCATGAGCTACCTTGATGATTCCGAAAATGGTATCTGAAGGCACAAACTGCGTGATATGTTTTTATCATGGTGGAACTTTTGGAGCGCGCGAATGACCGAGATACTCTGAGAACTAATGGACTTCCTAGTCTCATCGCGTTCGGGTCCTTCGAAATTTCGAACAACCATCTCTATAAGCTGAGAATCCTCCTTTTGTTCCTGGAAGATGATGTGGCTAGATATCTTTGTGGAACTTAGCAGCCCGAGCAAGAGAGTGGTCGCTGCTGTGAAAGCCTGGAATTCGAGGAGATTGGAGAAGAGAAGGGTATCATGATTCTCACGAATAGTAATCCATCTCTTGATAAGGTTTCGACTAGCATTTAAGCAAGAGATATGCGAATATTCGTATCGTCGATCATTCGCCGCGCGAAGCATGAAGGGTAGGTGCAAAAGTATTTTCAACTCAAAATGGCCATATTTGACACATGATTCGCTCGAACTCAACGGACGCTTTATTTGTGCGTGTTGAAAGTAAGCTGGCAGGGATCTCCCACCAGTCTGGCGACATCTGCTTTGCGAACGAATCAAGCTGTTCGCCAATTCTCTGGGTCGTAGAAAAAGAATGAGTAAAATCACCCTGGTTGCGAGCAAGTATGAGACCTGATATTTGGTATAGATTCTTGTGATAGAGATGTTCCGTGGATAGCCAAGGGGCGTTATAGTGAGAATTAAATGCCGCGGCGCCTATACTTGAAGGTACACCAAGCATGACGGAGAGGTAGCGTTCCTAGCATAGTAAGTATAGTTCGGTGCATCCCGGTGGAAATTCATAACTTACTGCTCTGGAAATCTGATACCATAGATCACTTCGTCTTGCCTGCTCAAGATCTATATTCTCTTGGAATATCTTTTGGGATGTCTTGACTGTCGCTCTATGTAACCCCAGAAGTTGGGCGACCGTGATAGCTTTTCGGAAAGCCACGACCTTCGAAGATTGCCGGTATTGACCTCATATATCCCCTGGAGCGCAAGACATTCAACTCCCTCGAGGCTTCCAGTCATTTCATCATCAGAAGCCACGTTCTGGGCGATAAAGCCCACGATACTGCTCATCGTTTGTCGAAGTGGTACAGCTGTCTGAATTTTATATATATCAACGTCGGACGAGAGCTGCTGAATGCAGATTGCAATACAGAGGAGGAGTCTCGTAACCGCCATCAGATTTTCTGTTAAGACAGTGCCGACACTGAATATTCCGCGGGGGTCAATCTCATCTGAGCTCGTTGCATACGGCATCATATGCTGTTGAATGAGCCACCATCCATAACTAGATGCGAAAAGATAATCCACATCTTCTTGACAAAAAAGCATCGCAGTCAACTGTCGGCGTAAGCTCTCAAATTTTCCTATCGCAGGGCTTACATCGGCCTGCACCGGAATACCGTCAGTCAGAGAAGCAAAGAGAGGTTGTGACCGTCCCATTGCTGCCGGAATGGATGAACGTGTCAAACCATCAACTGAATTCTGGGGGGGGGGTTTGTCCATTAGAGTCTCTAGCAGTGACTCTACCCTCGCCATTCTGTGGGCCATCCTCAGGTCCTCGGCAGAGGGGGAGTGATGATCATCGGCATATTCCTGGCTGAGACATGGCGTGTTTCTCTCTTGACAACCACTGCAAATTGATGAACCTGCAGAAAGAAGGCATTTGATCTTTCTTCTTTTACCTGCATGCTGTCAGAGGCGCGCTTTATTGCGGGGATGGGCACTTACACTCGGAGCAGCTCTTCGTTCCCTTCCGAACTCTTTTCCGCCGATTTCCCTCCGGTATCCCGTTGGTAAACATTATGATGAGGTTTCTTCAAGTCTTCTTCTCTCCAAATCAAAGAACAGATACCGAGAATGAGGTCACTGCTCTGACACATACCATCTCGGAGAAAGGTCCGATGCCCCTATGTTTTCTCTTGTTCGGCCGAATTAAACCGAAAACCCCTTTAAGGCATTTCTGCTTAATGAATGCTTCTGGTGAGTAGAAGGCTTAAAACGGCCTCCAAGGCGGCCGTTTCTGGCCTCCCATTCACCGTCTCATTGTTATAGTAAGTATATCAAATGAAACGGACTCTTATCATCTATATAAAGGTTACTATTCTAACCCTGTGTACTCTTTAGTCTCTACTCTTCTAAACTCTACCATGGAATTCAAAGACGACTCAGTTTATCCCTTCATTAGATCCCATTGCAAATTCAATCATCTCCACCACCAATCGAGACCTTAGTCTGGATGAAATGAAATCTTATAGCAAGCTAAACACAGGGGTTGAGGGTGAGCCTCTCATGATACTCCCTTTTGATGCGAAGACTAATATGATAGGATTGATATAAATGCTCTAAGCTTCTTTCTATTGTTCTTTACACCTGATTGATATCTTCTCATTACTATACAATAATAGTAAAAGTATGAGGTAACTCAGGGTGCTGGAGGACCTCACGCACGACCATGAGAATCAATTATGCTAGCAGAGATTAAAACCTTCATCGCTTTTTTCGTCTATACTAGCATCGAAAAATACTGCTGAAGAGAATCTTTGGTCTAAAATAGAGAAGCCTTCTCATCTTCCACTTGATTATATCTCACTTACCCGCTTTAAGCGCTTTTCCCCAGATCTCCGATCCTGATCAGAACAAAAAAAATGCTGAAAAGCTACCTAGGTGGGGCTTTTGGAATCGCAAATATGGTGGTGTAAAGTAGAGCCTTTAGCGGGTCTAAGTCGTGCTGCATCTTGGAAATCCTGGCTTCCATTATACATAGCAAGCTTGATATCCTTATTATTCGTGATTATGCCTTATCAGCTGTACTAACTATCGATACCACTAGACCAAAGTGGGGCACAGGACCAATGGTTCCGATACTGTTGGTTCGACATGAAGTGAATCTAGCGAGTTTTGTCTATTTAGTTACAGCGAGGATAAGATTGAATAACACACCTCTTACAACTTCGCATCGACGCACCTAGATCTATTCCATCGAGAATACTAGTTGCATATGCACCGTAAGAACGTCACCGTTCCGACACTAACAAGTCGGCCTCAGGTTACATATTCTGGCTGTGAGTAGAAAGGTCGTACATATATACGATGCCCTATGTGTATTAGTTGGTCAATTCATTGTGTTTTTCTGGTGTTTAATCTACCTGGGTACGTTTAAAATCTGTAAATTTGAAGTTCCGAACAAGTCAAGTTTGTGCTCTTGATAATTCCCAGTGACAGTAGTAAAAATTGTGGGATGTAGCAATTCCTCTCGGGCCTCTGGAACTTGATCACAGCAGCAGCTAGATACTGGATGAAATGTTACACCACATGTGCATTCTTTCCGGATAGTTGACATGGCATGAATATCGAGTACAAATTGTAAAATATTCTCTCTTTGACAACTTCCTAGAGCTACCTAGATACACTGCAAACAACTCTACAGCTACAGCAGTGAACATGAAATGAGACTGTCCATTCTCTTCCAAAGTTCAAATGAGCCTGAGCCGAAGATACCGCGAATATGGAGTCTGGGTTAGGAAGGTACCCTAGCCCTCGAGGTGCACCTTCCCTACCATAACCCCCAATACCAAAAGTATACCATGTTCGCAGCTGAAGCCTGAGCTCCAGGTCCTTCATGTCTTTCGCCCATAATGACATTCTTCATTTGCCCTCACCGGAAGAAAGAGCACCCATTGTCGCCCACGGCCATCACGCGATCATGTCGGGAAGCTGAGTCTAGAGAAGCGCAAATGCGGGAACTAGGTATGTCCTGTATATGAACATGCCCTTCGTTGTCGGCCCTGCGGCTCGTTTAGTCCTGACTGTTGCAAATATCTGCAGCACGATCTGGCACTTCATCTCCACGTGGAAAGAAGCCTGAAAGTTTCACCCACAGACTCCGCCGAAAATTCTCTCTGGAGTCCAAGCTGTCGACAGATCGCCGCGGTATTAAGAGACTGGGATTTCCCTTTACACGCAAGGCAGGCAAGCTGGTCGCGCCGAGGCCTGTCAATGGAATTACAGTGGTGAGGGACAACGGAAGTAGTCTGATGAGTGCACGAGGATACGACAGCGATGCGCAGTTCATTTCAACTCCAAAACGTGCCGCTTACGAGAGATCTCCAGCCAGTAGGACTTTTCCCAGAGGAGAATTGAGCGATCTGATCGAGCAAAGTCAAGAGCGTACTGAAGTTGAACGATCAGAAGCTGCACGATCAGAAGCACGAAACAAAGCCGAGCATTGGTCAATTGGCAAGAGTCTGAATTTCTCAAGCACACAGCAGTCTGAATCTGGAACGGGATACATGCCAACTCCGCCCAGCACAGCAAGAGGGGTTCCACCTGCTTTTTATGCACCCGAATATATAGCAGGACCATGGTCCCAGTCGGTTCCATCATTATCCTCCATAAACCAAGAAGTTGGTCCGCCAGCCCCAGGATCGTCTCCTATCATCGGTGCTCATGATCATAGCAACCAACAGACTCTGATGGGAGAATGGAAGCATTATATGAAAAAAAGCTGCGATCAGTATGGTGGTATGGCTTCTACGGGGTCACTATCATCCCCATCGGCATCAACAACCACAGAAATCGCAAACCCCAAATCACGACTGCCAGCGCATTCGGCAACCTCATTTACTGAACCTCAATCACTGAATCTAAGTGCACTGGGTGTCAACCGGCGGGCCTCGCAAATCGTATCATCTGATCCTATATTGTGCAATCAACCCGCTTCTGGGCTGGTACGCGAACACAGATATGGCTTGGTGTTTCCTAAACCATCTCAAGAAAACTTTCAACTTCGCTCAAGTCCAGCGGCCTCGATGGTGCCCAGGCTGAGTCCCCGCGGTCCAATTATAGACCCACGAGATGTATCTTCATGCTACTCTCGCGGAAATGCATCCTCTGGCAACCAATCGCTCAATAAATCTCCTGACAAGTCATCAGAGCGTATTTCACTTTATGACAATGTGCCAGTTCCTGAGAGCAGAGTTTTGAGCAAATTCCGCGAGCATTGTGACAGTAGTATTGCTTCTCTTTCCTCTTCTATTGTCCCTCAGACGAAACTGAACCACAACAATGATTCGGGTTCGTCACGCAAGCTGAGTAGCGGGTGGATGTCTGGAGGTAGAAGGGTCGGTTATGGATACAGTCCTGTCTTTGACGATGAGAGTGATTCGCTAAGTCAGGATGAGGGCGGTCGTCTTCGACACAGTTATTCACCAAATCCCGAGGTAATAACATTGCGTGGTCCTATTCTTACCCCTACCCCGACGGCTGGCCCATCAAATCAGTCTGTATCTAGTACATCGGCTCTCCCTAAACCGAATACATTATACCGTATAGGTAACGGATACATCGCACCGCCACATCTGCGGGCCGTTTTGGAAGGTCACTCAATTCAAGATCGTGCTTCTCCGGCAGCCGTGGTGGACCCGAAACGAGCTCGAGATCGTTATACGCCAGAGTTGGCTCCTATGCTCCAAGCTGAGCATTGCCAAGCTCGGCAGAGTTCGAATTATGCCGATGGAGGAAGTGATGCTTTTAGCCGTCATTGGAACCGTCGCAGTCAGTCTCCAAACATGCAATCACGAACTCGGATGGACAAGAACGATGCGCACCAAAACGTGTTTTATGATTCTTTTCCCCCGGCCAAAAACCCAATAGCCACTTTATCCACTCAAGATGGCTTGGAAGAACTAGAGTCTGATCATGTTGATGTGAATTTGCCCGAAAGCCAAGACCAAGCTCGCAGGCTGAGCAGAAGCAATTCTCGGGTAGCGAAGTGGGCACGACGGTTTTCCAAACATAAAGAATGTCGACGGCTCTCAACTGTACACCAGAAGGAAACTTCACAGACTTCTTCAGATCAATTCGAGGACTGTGAACCAAGTACCCCGACGCCGAGTGTTCCTGCAAATGATGGCGAATATTTTGAGATGCCGGGCTCTTTCGAAGGGAGTCGCTGGGCAAGCCGAATCAGTCGGTATTTCGGCTGAGACGTGCGTTGTCAACTGGTGTTTTTTATATGATCAGAGCAGGGGAGAAACCGAAGGAGCAAGAGTGGACCAGAGTCATGATACCAGAGACATCATCTGTGGTCACAACCTGGCACAGGCACGCGAATTATATTGTTATGCCGCATTATGTTTCGGAGTTTGGAGCTTGAATTATGGATAGGACTCAGAAAATATTTCATTGATCATACAGAGCTTTTCAGATCGATGTGTCAAGAGGTACAACGTAGCTGTATTAATACAGTCCCAATAAGTGTATTTGAATCATTGCCTCGATAGGAAAACGGCATCTACCGACGCTGTCTCTTGGAACTTTTGTTACTGACAGTGCTGAGAACACTAGCAGACCGCTTGTGATTCCCATCCGCTTGTCCAGAGACATCTACAGTAGATTTCAAAACGCCATGTGCGCCATCTTCCGCTTCGGTCTTAACCTCGGGATGTTCATTCGATTTCCTCTCGCGCTCAGCCTTTGCGGCTTCGAGAACGCGGATCTCGCCCTCCACCTTCTCAGCGACCTTGCGAGCATCCAATAGCAAGTTGACAGCCTGAATGAGTTTCTCAAAGTCCTTGCACACGCGATCGGTAGGCATGAGTAGGCGCAGGGGAATACCGAGCTCGGAAAGGGCGCTGGCCAGCTTTTGGGTTTGGACATTTGACTTGGCCTGCGTGAGCTTCTGCGCACGGTCACTGCGGAACTGCACACCGGCCGATACACGCTCGTGATGCTGCACACCATATCTGGCTTCCTCGGCTGGGGTAAGTGTGCGCAATGTGTGCTGTGGCTCACGCTGGGCAATGGAACCCTTCTTGTTTGCTGCAGCTGTGCTGGGAGTTTCGGCACGGCTGAGGACATTCGCTGAAGGGGTTTGACCTGCCGGACTGGGAATGACGCCATCAGGACCGAGAATTGAGCGGCGTTTCTTGCTCTTGTCGGCTTGTAAGAGGGTTTGTAAGAGCTGGTGCAGGCCTTGGCTGGACTGGTACATGGCAGTGTTGCCGACGCTGATGGGGACTTCGAGGCGGGAGTAGAGTTCGCGGCGTTCGGTTACAAAGGTCTGCTCGTTTGCGGTGATTCGCTTCAATTCTTCTAGCAACATTGCCTCCTCGCGCACCTCATCAGCTGAGCGGTTGAGTTGTAGTGCGGCCAATTCCTTGCGATCTCGTTCTCGGTCAGGGTCAAACTTAAGCATCTTGTCATGTAGTTCAAACTCGGCCACAGACATCTCGGAGGGCGGGTGCTCAATCGCCAACATCGTAGCTGCGACGAAATAGTACCGTGCCTTTATCTGTTCCATCGTCCGATAGGTCTTGGCGGGTACGAGTGCGCCGGCATTTACCTCGGAGTTTACGCGCGGTTGGTAGTCGTATCGGTCTGCGACTAGCACCCAGCGCAGATCGTATTCGTGTGCCAATTCCGTCAAATAGTCTGTCTCTTCACGAGTCCAGTCGTCGTTTTTGAGGTTTCGATTATACTCTTCCTCTGTGTACGGCTTCGGAACACGCGCCTTGATGTTGAACTTGGCGAATGGATATTCCAGCTCGGCTGGTTTATTTGCTTCCTCTTTGCCTTCTTCCCATGGTCCATCCACTTCAATTTGAGATACCTCGGGCAAGGGGGGCCGGGTCGTCTCATGCTTTCGCTGCCAGTGGTTCAAGACAAGGTCGTCAGTTCGAGCGCTGTTTGTGAAGGGGGTCATGCTCCTTTATGAAATCAGCATTTGGTTCCATCACTTTCAAATATAATGAGGTACGAACCATGGTCGAACCCGAAGCTTGTTCATGAACTTCGGGCGGCCCTTGTATTTGTTCTCATTAATGGCGATTGGCGGCGCACGTTCGCCCAGTAGCGCGTAGAGTTCACGGGTAATACCCTCTAGAGAGCAGAAGTTAGCTCAGTTGAAAATAGAGCACACGTAGGATTCGATGGACCTGGTCGCTTCTCTACTACTTTCTGCTTCTTATGCGGTCTGGGCTGGCCCTCCGCAGGCAGATCCAGCATGTCGCGCACATCGGCGGAGGACATGGTGCTTCGTGGGGGCTTTTCAAACGCAAAGAGAAGATATTTTGGACGGTAATAGTATTAGGGTAGATTGCGGCGATAATCACGTCAGATCGTTTCGAGTCCTTGATGAATGTAACGATTTAAGGTGAAAATCGAGCGCGGCCATTGTAGGGAGAATATTGCCGGGTAGTTAAGGCGGTGTGAGCCTGCGGATGGACAAGCGGCGTGTTGACAAGGAGATTCTGAGATCCTGAGCTCCCCCCAATTAATCAACTCCCCGCCATGGCTTTCTCAGGTTCTTCGCAGTCATGGTTTGCCACCGCCCTGGCTCTCTTATCTTTCTTCTCTCTTCTCCTCCCAGCCAACGCCCTCTACTTCTACGTTGATGGCCGCCAAACTAAGTGCTTCTTCGAGGACCTCCCGAAGGACACCCTGGTAGCGGGTATGGAACTGCCCCCCAAGCTCTACAAACACTCGCAAGAGTTCTCGTTCATTATCGGTTGACCTAATGTATTTATTCAATTACAGGCAAGTTCGACACTGAGGTCATCAACTCCCAAAGCAACACATATTCCGTCGACACCAGCCTGAAGATGCTCATCACCGTCGAAGAGACATTCGACAACGACCACCGCGTTGTGTCAAAGCGCGAAAACAATTCCGGCCGCTTCACATTCTCTGCTGCCGACGCCGGCCAACACCGTATCTGTTTCACAGCCGAGACCGACGCTTCTACCAGCGGCTGGCTGTCTAGCGCCCAGGGAGCCGTCAGGGTGTCACTGGACATTGCCATTGGCGAGACCAGCAAGATCGAAACTGAGGACAAGGATAAGATGAAGGATATTGTCCAGCGTGTCCGCGATCTGAACAGCCGCTTGCATGATATTCGTCGTGAACAAGTCTACCAGCGTGTAAGCATACTACTTGATCCAACTCCTCCCCTTGCCCGCCAGTACCGTGGTTGTTATTGGCGCGGAACTACTTTTCGCACTTTGGTCATTTTACAGAATACTAACTGAATATTTCACAGGAACGTGAGGCGGAATTCCGTGACCAGTCTGAGACTACCAATTCCCGTGTTGTTCGTTGGACCTTGTGCCAGCTTGCGGTCTTGTCTGCTGCGTGCGCCTGGCAGCTTTCGCATTTGCGGTCGTTCTTCATCAAGCAGAAGTTGACTTGAGGTTGTTGTTAGTCAGTTCAGATGTACTTGAGAAAAAAAAAACACCTTGCATCTTGCTTTCAGCTCTTGTTACGTCCATTTTCTGCGGATGATGATCTATGGTTCTTGCATGGGGGTTCTATAATTACAGCTTTTATGGAATATAATGATCATGCCCTATCTCTTCCTGTTATCCATGGCTAGGTAAGAAGCTCTTTCTAAAGACAAGGCATCTTGCCTAGGTTTCGATGGAAATAGGAGAGGATTATTGCCTATACCTGCAGCGTCGGCGATGGCGAACTTTATAATGGATATGACAGCGTTTTTTTTTATTTACTTGTCTCTTTTAATTATAATAATTCTGTATCATGCTATGGACATTGAGTGCATGAAGGTGAAGGAACATGAAATTGATGCAAGGATGTACAACTCATGAAAATGGAGCTCGGGGGGTCATCAATCATTAGCCCATGGCAACAGTAAACAAAAAGCTGTAAATGTGAAAAAATATCCCTCGTTGGTATATGGCAGGAAGAAATAAAAATGAGCTGAAAGCAAAGGCCGAAGAAATGGCGGCAAATGGCAAAAGGGTCCTTGTCTGAAATGACAGCAATTGCCGTATGGAGTTATAGGCAATGCTTGCGAGCGAACCCAAAGATCGCGATCGCGTGGGCAAACAATTCTATGGGTATAAATCGGAACATCACCGAAACAGCTAAAGGGGGAAAAAAGGGAGTGAGAAGAAGGAAATGACTGGCTGCGACAGAGCTAGTGCATATTATGACCGCAAAATTCGACAATCAATCGTTCCAGGTCCATTAGTTTATATGGCTTGGTCATGTAGCCTTTAATTCCCACTTTAGAGGCGCGATTCAATGCCTCGTCGCTAACATCCGCGCTTACAGCCAGAACTGTGGGTGGCTTTGGAAGAGCGGTATCTGGGTGTGTGTCGATGGCCATCCTGTCAGGACTTCGGGGGTCTATTTGAGGAAAGACGCCAGCAGATCCCGAGAGCTTGCCGTGGTGTTCATCGATCATCTGGAAAATGCGAGAAGTTGCTTCATAACCATCCATTATCGGCATCCAAAGATCCATCAACACCACATCAACTGGCTTCACGGCGTTTTCTGTTTGGAAAGATGTATTAGGCTTACCAGCCGAGGTTAATGAGATAATGATCTCCTGGACAATTTGAACGGCCTCTTGACCATCGGCTGCTTCGAGGACGTCTCGATATCCCAATTTTCGTAGCATGTTAACCAATACACGGCGATTGATTCTGTTATCTTCTGCAACAAGGAACCTCAGTGGATACTTCTCTCCAAGCTTCCTCTTGTCATTTGTGTCTCTGGGTATCGGCAATTGATTGGGTTGGAATTGCTGCAGGACCCTTGGGGGCGTTGGGCTCTTGGACAATTTTTCACCACGTGTGCTTGGTGACGTTTCTTGAAGCTGATTGTTTTGTGTAATAATAGGGGAGGCTAATAATGAGGGCTCCCAGCTGAAACTGCTAGCGCTTCCATGTCGGGAGTGGCTACCGAATATCGGTGGAGTGCTGAGTCTTTCATTAGGGGTTCCAGGGTTATTGTGAGTGTCGCGCTGGTTCACTGGGACTCGAATCTGGAAATCCGAGCCACGATCGGGGCCAGTAGTAGAGGACCGAACACAAACAAGATCACCTCCCATCTTGCGTGACAGGCCCTTGGCTACGAGAAGACCAAGCCCTAGCCCATCTTTTCTTCGTGTGGTCGACGTATCTTCACGCGCAAAGGGCTTGAAGAGATTTGGGAAGAATGCCGGAGGAATTCCAGGGCCAGTATCGCGCACAAGGATCAAAATGTCATTCGACTTGGGATCAACAGTTGCACAAACGGTAATAGTGCCGTTGTTCGTGAACTTTATGGCATTAAGAAATACGCAAGAAATCAATTTAGCCAGGTCGCGGTCATCGACAAGGAGAGAATCGGGTAGCGCTGGATCAACCGACCAATCCACGATCTTCGTCACAACATCTCCATTAGAAGATCGAGTCCTGACCTCTATCCTTTCACCCAGATCGGTTGCGTTGCTTGTAGCTGATTCGGGTCGGCCACCCACATGAAGGGATTCATTAATAACCAGCCGAAGAAGATCTCGCAGCTTCGTAAAACGTAGGGCTGTACCCTTCATGTTCAAGTTGATACCTTCCAGGAGCATACGAGGCGCAGATCGTCGTGAGGAGATCGAAGTAGATTGGTAATCCATGTCAGTCATGTCAGTCATGTCAGCTTCAACCTGGCGAGCTGGGGTGGCGTGAACTATTTTTTCACTTTCATGAACGACATTTTTGACCTCTTCGCTCCGAGGCGAGAGCTCTTGTCGAATATCTTGTCGAATAGTTGATGCTCTGACTCTTTGCTTTCGAGGGGGACTGGAAGCCCTATTGTGGGGAAGGCTTCGCCGTCTCTTTTTATAATGATTCACGGCGATGTTATTTCCTTCGATGAAGATATTCGGTCGATTTTCGGTCGATTCAGTCGATTCGGTCGATTCAGTCGATTCAGTCGATTCAGCCGAAGGGAAGAAATCATCCGGGAAGCTAGGACCTTTTTCCCGCTGTGGTGTTTTGGGCACCTGCATGTTGAGATCATATGCATGAACAATATTATCAGCAGCTTCGATCGCACGTCTCACGCTGTCCTGAATCATTTCAATGCCGTCCTTGAGAAGCTTGAAAACTTTCTCGGACTTTATAGGTTTCTTGCCCTCTGAGGCCTTCCGTACTGTAGCGTGCATGATATCAAGCATTCCCACCACTCCTTGCATGGGAGTCCGTAGCTCGTGGGATAAACTGCGGGCATACGGCTTAAGCATATGAGCTGTGAAACCAAGCTCGTCATCTGTGGGGGAGGCGTGTGAACTTTGGGTGGCCGATGTATTGACTGTCAGAGGTGCGACAATCTGGGGCTCAGTGAATGCATGGTCTTGTAACAGCCGATAGACGATAGTATCGTCCAGTGAATGCAAAACCAACTCCAGAAAAGACCACGACAAGGTTCGATTTCGATTGCCATCTGGAGACCACATCAAGCCGAGGTATGCTAGGCATTTGCCATCCGAAATGAGTGGGATAGCCAGATAGGCATCAGCAGGAAAAGGCAGCTTGTCATCACCAAAAGACACCGTAGAAGTGAGGTTCCCAGGTATCAAACACGGACGCTCATGGTCCATATGCAAGAGGGGATTGCCCCCTGAGAAATACCGGTTTCTAAGCAGTCCAACATTCTGATAGCCATCATTCCAGTAAAAAGCAGCGCAAAAAGCAGACGGGTTCCGCCCGTTTAACTCGGCCATCGGACCACCGTGTGCGCGGCGAGCCACGAAGGCATATTGCGCTTTTCCAATCAATGTGAGGTGTTCCATAAGACGGTCCCAAAACATGACGGTGTCGGCCCTCAACCCCTGCTTGAGGGTGACAAGACGCTCAATGGCGGTTTTTTGGGCGCCATCATTCCAGGAACCTCCGCCCTCGTTGGGTGCGGTGGTCAACCCTTCGGCGAGGCATTCGGATTGGCAGGACGGGAAGGGCATGGAAGGACGAACGGACGAAGGGACATCGGACTCGGACGAGTCGGTCATGACTCCATGTGGGAGATGATGTTGGATACTAGTCAAACAAGATGTATGGTGTGCCTTTTTGCATGACAAAATGGAGTAAGATGAGTAAGGCAGAGATTGAGGTCACAAGAGACCGCAAAAGACCACAAGAGACAAGAGGGGAAAGTGGAGGGGCTTTTCGGCTCAATGGGGCCACCAGCGGTCTAGACAATCGTCGGTCCTTTGACTGAAACAGACTCCTATTAAGAAATGAAATCTTTTTGTGTAATAAGGAAAAAAAGCCAAACTAAGACTTTAGTTTAGATCTATGGAAACTCATCCATTCTGTTCTTGTCCTTGCGGATAGCCGGAAGGATCTACAAGTCTACAGGATCTAGACCGGGCATTCGGGGAGTAACGAGTACCTGCGAAATGAGCATGGGGCACCCTTGGGTCTTTCCCACTAATGTATTGGGTACCAGTAAGACTTGCTTACTCTGTATGGCGACTCGCATAAGTGAAATTAAGTAGCTCCATCTGTGCCGTTCATTCCACATAACAGGTAATTCCTCCACTATTATGCATATAATATTTACAACCTTAGACCCTCAGTAGATGGTACCTATTTACTCTGTATCAATTTACCTAGCTATGCAGGCAGATGATATTTTGGGATAAATATACCGGGATCCGATCTGTAGCAGTAGAATAGGAGTAAACAGATTAGGGCTAATCCCTAGCCTAGCCTACCTAACCACATAAGTAAGAAATGCGGAAAATTATACCTTAGCGTACTATTTACAAACCTTCGTATTGTCCAATAAACACTGTTCTATCGTTCTTCAGTCCATGGGTTCTAAAGTTTTACTTTATTGTAGCGTTTTGGCCACCTGGGCGCTTTACTAGGTTAGGTAGGAGTCTGTATTTAAATACCTAGTAGGTAGTTAAATATTAGATGCAATTTTTGATCTTATCTAGATCTTCAAGATGTAAGTAGTTGAAAAATCAACCATATACTCTTATTCCTTCAACGGAACCCTCCCAAGGTTAACTGGCCACATTGACATGTCTCATATGAGGAGTGGGGTTGTCATTGAAATCAAGGATGATTATACTTCCAATACTTTCCCAATCTATCAAGGCAGGTTTGCCTACCGCCACCACATAGATCCGCTCTGGTGACATCCATTGATGGTGGCGATTTGGTGGTGGATACCTAGCTAACGAGGTGCATTATTTTATTATTATTCTCTAGTCATCTCTATTGGATATCATACTAAGATATGGCTTGGAATGGCAGTAGACGAACACATGTCTGAATCTTGACCTGCAAGGATGAAAGACCTGTAACGGGCTGATGCCCGCCATAGGGATTCTGGTGCCCATCATCCATTTTTACTGCAGTAAGAACTGTAACGGGTCGATGCCCGCCATATGGATCTCGGTGCCCATTATCCACTTTTACTGCAGTAAGATCACGTGACTCGAAGAACCTTCATCCTCGACTCCACGTCGACCTTCTTACAACCCTTAAGGATTTTGTACACAGTTTGTGACCTAGCTAGTTCTGAATCTAAGATTAGCTTTAGCCCTTCACATATAAAATCCTTCCTCTAACGAGAGTAAAACCCACGAACTGACGATACGAAAGCGCTCTCAGAAAGCATCTGATTGAGCCACCCACGAATACGAATAGCTCTTGGAAAGCATCCAATCGAGCAACCCTACGATAACGAAAGCCTCATCATGACGGCAAGTGAACCTTCGAGTCCACCCGAAAAGGCTAGGACACTGATGTAGTACTTCACCTAAGCCAGCATCACGACCGACGAGAGAATTAGAAGACTTGAGGAATTAGTGGTTCGGTCCCACGAATAGGCCGTTCCCAAGGTACCCACGGAACCACAAGGCATGACAATTGAACCAACCCCGGAAAGCCACCTTACTCGACGACCACGACCCCGCCTTCCTGACCTAATGATGTATAGGAAGCATCTGACTAGCCATCTTGGAGAATCACGATGGAAAACAAGCTCCTAGTGGATGGGAATGCCATCGGTTCTCTAAAGAATAGTTCCTATATATATTCTCTTATTTAGAGAAAATGGCCTGGAAGAACACCACCACCTTCGTGAAAATAAGTCGGAACGAAGGCGATCTATATATACTTCTGGAGTACCTTGAGAAGATATACGGTGATCTAAACACTCGCGCACGAGCAGCTCGACGCCTATACTAAATCAAGCAGAAGCCAAGCCAAACCTTCTCAAAATTCCTGCCCTAATTAGAGAAAGAATTCGCCGACGCTGATGTACTTGATTAGCCCGACGAAGCTAAACGACAAGAGTTGCTGAACGCTCTTAATCGAAATATGACCGACGCGCTTAGGAATCGTGGTGTTCCTTATGATTTTCTGGGGCTGGTTAATCGACTCTGTCGATCAACTACGTTGAAAGGACAGGGTTCACACGTTGCACTATATACACTGGAAAAGGGTATGGTTCGTCCTAGATTCTTAGTATATACGTTATGCAAAGTGGTGTGAAATGTGTTCGATTCATATAGCTACTTGAGTTCCTAATATAGTTGTTCCCCTGTGACTCGGGGGTCTGTTTGTTCCGTTCCGGGTTTATGTATGGTATTGCACGATTGCAATATCCATGTTCCGACACTTACCAAGGAATCTATCGGCTACAAGATTTTCGCCATCGGGCAGTGAATCTGCTGAAAGCTTCCGCAGGATCCTTCGTTAATCTTTTCACAAGATCCGAGGTTTTATAAACCAAGTCTTACCCCCGCCCGGTGACCGGTCTTTGCCTACCTCTATGACCACCTCCGTCGCTAGTTCAAGTCGACTAAACTACTGTTCTGTCTTATAGGTATTTAGACCGGATCATCTTTTCAATATGGTATATGCATCATTGTTATGGTTGATTATCTTTTTATTGCCGCTGTCTACTTTGCAGTTTTTCGAAAGTTGTCAAAGGTCCGATACGGGGTTTATGCTGTACGTAAGCAGGATCCATAATGTGTGTATTTGAGCGGGATTTCATCCCTAGATAGACAATCCAGTTTCGTCAACCAATCTGGTTGGACGGTCAAAAAATCTCATTTGACAAAAGTCAATACCAAATCATGACGGGCGGAAGAAATTGCGCTGGGGTATACTACGCGCCTGTATGATCGCTGTAGTTCTAATATATGTCGCTGTGCCCGGCACTATTTCCAAAAGCTGGCGGTTATCATTCGAGGTATAAAAACAGTCCTCAAGAATTATTTTGATGCTTAATGTGCTATTTAACTGACTGGACTATCCTAAATACCAATATGTTTCTATTGGGTAATGCGCCATTGTGTTGGTCGCAGTACTGAATTATCAGCTTCTCAACCTGTGATGTAAGCTCTGTTGAAATTCCTTCCGCCCTTGATCGAAGCTCCTCGGCCTACCATAGATCAATATATGGAATTGAAATCATGCAACAATCTTTGCCCGAGCAGCTCGTCTTAATATGTTGATTAGGCTTAAAGCCCGGGTCAGTTCCGATTGGATAAGAGAAAGAGAACTGCTGAAAATACAAGTCTCAATGAGAAGCGATATCGGCACCTATCGGGATATATCCTTCAGCCAGAATAAGCTAGCGGTAACTTACCGCTGGCGACTGATAGATCACATCTCTGTGACTGGCGTACGTAACTGTGCGCTAAGCTGCGGCTACGGTATATATGATTTAGGGGGAATGAATAGGAACACATATCTACATCAATCAATCAACTTTCGCTTTAGAAGCATGAACATGGTACCTAGCTGGTGATACCAATACTGATACTTAGAGTTGGTAGTGATCTAAGCAACAACTATGTTTATGGGTTTAACAAACGGTAGGGACAGCAGGAGTGGCAAGAGCTGATGTTGTATTTGAAGAAATTGTGGTTTGTTTCACGGCGCTGGTGGCGCTGGTAGAGATAACATGCTGCTAGAGAACTGGATGTTCTAATTCCACTGATATATGAGCTGCGCATCTCCTTTTCTAATCTAGCAAAACCTTGCATCCTTCGGCACTCATCACTATAATTGTAAGAGCTTGTTTCTCCTCTCTAGGTGGAACACTAGATGCTTCAGGTGGTAATCTGAGCTCGGGAAATGTCTGAATGATCCGTATAATTGTATACGAAGCTTCTACCAGTGCGAATTCCTCTGTGGATTCAGTCAGCCTATGCGTTATCTAGACTCCCGCAATAAAATAAATACTTACTATATAGGCATATCCTTGGCCCACCATGGAGAGGTATAAATCCCTAGCCAATACCTTCTAGCTCTTGACCCAGCCATCTCTCGGGACGAAAGTCGTTTACATCTTCACCATACAAGCTCCGCAGTCTGTGCATATGGTAGACTAAGTAGCCAACCCCCGTGCCTTTACGTATAAGTACCGGCGATTTTCCATCCGGGCCTCCTCCGCTTGGTATGATTGCCGTTTTAGCGGCCACTCGAACGTTTATTGGAAGTTGCGGATATAGTCATTAAGCCGAATAGAAAGTAAAAATGAGCAGACGTCTAAATTTCATGGTTATTTTATAATAGGCTTACTTTCATTAATCACACATCGGAGATACTTCATTTTGTTGATCTTTGCCCAAGTCAATACAGGTGAACCTCCAGTAGTCAGTTGGATCTCAGAGCGAAGTTTAGCGAGAGTTTCGGGATATCGCACAAGAAGGAAGAATGCCCATGATATGAGACATGCTGTCGTATCCCTTCCTGCAATTAGAACATTGACTAATTAATCCCTCACGAGCGCAGCATCCTGCAACTCCTTATAAAGGTCAATAATGAATGCGTGCTTCCCCGACGCTGCTTCTTCGCCGTTCTTTTCCATGTCATTTAGGGCAATATGTACGAAATAAGTCGCATATTGTTTGATAACAGCATAAGCTGCCCTGAACTTAGCAGGCTTCCATATCCATTCAAAATCAGCAAGACGAAGCCTAAGGGCACTAAATGCTATATTGATCAAATAGCCCTCTTTAATTTACAATACCAAGAGTTTCTGACTAAACGGCTGACTGCCATATCTCATCCCCCTGGGCCCAAAGCTCCGCGGGTGGCATAGCTGTAAGCATGGGATAAAGCTCTGGGATCACCGAGTCCGCAGCAACTCGGAAATATCCTGGATATTCTCCCTCTTCCACTTCGCTCGAATGATCAAAGTTCATATCTAACGCGTACACCCATGGCAGGTCACTGTTCATGGACTCCACAGCGGCAGTATCAGCAAGTAGACACAGGCCCACATCTAATCCTGGAGCCACGCCCTCAGTTTCTAGGTACCCATAGTATGATCTGGCTCGTATTAGTGATCTGTATTAACAACATTGAAATTCCAAGGATGATCTTACCGTTGAATCTGCTGATGAGTAGCACCATGTAATTCCGGATCCTCAAAGCGAGGCATCAAGCATTTATCCATGATCTTCTGACCGCCAGCGGACCTTTCTATCGATAAATCTGTTCGGAAAGTAATGAAACCGAAGTCATCGAATTCATTATCTTCCACGACCTGGACGACTGCATCATCGGCTATTTTGAATATATCTTTTGGAGGGGCAGGGGGCATGCCCTTTCTCTCGCGACTTAATCTTTGTTCCTCGAACAATTTCGCGAATGAGATAATTGTGCGAGCTCGAACATTGTCGAAGGGGATCAAATCTAAATCAATTTGGCGGATTTGCTGAGTTAGTGAGAGATGGTTAGTACGAATTAATGGAGGGTTCCATGGAAGTTCGAAGGTGGTCATAGCTTACCACCTCCGGTATTTGACGCAAGTCATCCTCGGTTATGGTTTGAAGTCGCTCTTCGGTCCATCCGGGTGGTAAAGAAGACATCTCCGGCGGATAAACTTAAAGCCTTTGATATTCAATGTCTTGGTGAATGATCCTGGTAAGGTGACTTTGGGCGAGGAAACTTTTCTTGCGTGAACTTTGATATCTTTTCTTCTTTTCAATTCTTGGAAGAGTCTTCGCGGATCATTTTTCTCGGCGACAATAAAGGAGATGAAAGGTCGTTTTCGGTGGTCGTAAAATTTGCGTCCGTCTCCCCTCTTGCGTTCACGTAAATATGGTTGACTGGACCACGTAAAAATTTGCCGTTCATGAAGCTTCAACAAAGAAGGAACAAGGCTGTGTGTCTCCTCCTCGATGGGGCCGTAATGATAAGGAGACGATGAAGTTTCACCTCGGAGAAACTTTTTATTCAGTTCGAGTAGAGCAGTAAAATCAGTAGAGAGATTCCAATTTTGGATGTCTTGTGGGAGCTCGGCCATAGTAGATATTGTGTCCAGTGACAAGAAGGAGGGAAAGGAGCTGATGTTTAAATAGCACCGAAATACCTTTGGAGTCTGTTCATCAAGTATCAACAAGGTGATCAATTCACCTCTCTCCCTCAATTCATCACTCTCCCTCAATTCATCATTCTCCCTCAATTCATCACAAATATGCCCGAGTTGTTTTTCAAAGTACCTTGCCTAGCGATAGTCAGTATTCTACACAGCTCGTGGTCCTTGATCAGCCAAACATACGCCGGCGGCCCAGGCCTTCTCCATGATTGCAATGAAAACGGAGGCAGATATTGGTTCATCTTCTACTGGTAGGTATTTACAACTGCTTACCATCTGGCCTTCTAATGCTGGAAGGCCTCAATGTCCATAGGTCTGTTTAAATGTAGATTCATATCCTTTATGTTGGCCACATTTGTAATTGGAGACTACGAGTATGAAGAGAACCTTGAAACTACCTACGTAGGCTGGTTTATTAAGACACGCAACTAAGCACATTCTGGTGACGTTCCACAACAGCAATAATTCTCCGACAAGATCATATTTCATGCCACCCGCTCCCCAAGGTATAGAAAAAGTTGAGGTGGTCCAACAATCTGACAGGTTCCGCCACGAATTTCAACACCCATTTCAAGATTGATGCTATCATTCCCAATACCAAATCCACAAAGAGACATGACTCTTGAACAGAACAAATGCTCCACAAGAGAACATAAGTACAGTGCTGTGTCATCCGTCTATCGGATTGAATGGTGAAATTATGGAAAGCGCTCTTCCTGGAACCGAGCCTCTATGTCTTAGTTTTCTTCTCTAGCTGGTTTCTCTTCCCGAAATATCTCGTCCCTCTTATAGAACTCCTTCATTAATTGTGGTCTTTTTAAAGCCTCAAGGCACAGTGATGAGCTAAGTGCTCCGTTGCTTGTTTCGTGACATGGTATGGAATTCCAGCTATGGCCATCTTGACAAGGACTTGCCTGGCCCGAGTGGCCCAAACCATCTAAATACCATCGAATTCATCATTGCGATCTCCTGGTGTCAAACTATTGGGGAGGCATGGTGCATCTGGGATACCAGAGGCGCTGAGTTGGTTGTAGATTCCTGCATTAGATGCATAGGTACCTATAGATACTTTGTCATGGCAGAATGTACACTGCAGTTGAGTGATATAAATTTGTGAAAAGTGACAGGTGTTTTGGTGTGGTTGAATTGTTAAAAGTAGAAGTAAAGTGAATCTGATACCCTCATCTCCGTGCGCTACCGCCAGAAAGAATGGGCTGTCGATATATCGACTTGTCTCATTCATCATCGATAATGATCATTGAGGGCTGCCGCGGTTGCTATAACCACGTCCCCAACCTTGGAGAACTTCCAATTAGAGGTAGAAGAAATCAAGATACTTTGAAAATATGAAATTATCCCCAGGGGAAGATGAAACACAGCAAGGTTCCCAGTGAGTACTAGGAAGTATTTGCAGCATAATTGAAGAGAATATATTCGATCTTCGTCCAAGGTTGTTTGTAGTCATATAGAAGCGAGAGTATCGTGGCGGAATTCATAAGCCTTGAAAACTTCGAATGTAATTGGTGCCACCGAGTCAGATTGGTCTCAGCCCAGCAGCTATATCTCACCTATACTCTGATGGGTAAAATTATGGCGCCAAAGAAGTGCAGGTGGAATTATTGTCACTAGTGGTCCTTTAGTGGGAGTTAGGCTCATAGCTACCCGATTGTTCCTAGATAGAAGTTAAAAGGCGAATTACTTGAAACAGTTCTGTATCAACCTTGGAACTTTGGAAGTTCAGGGAGAACTCCGCCCTATCACTGGTGAGATTTTACTCTGGTGGTCTCTGAATTAAGGGCTGACTTCTGTCTCGAGATACGGACACTAATGCATCGAGGAGGTTCATCGACCAAAACGTTCGATGATACATTGAAAAGGGTAATATAATAGCCCGTAGTTATTGATGCAAGATTTGCTATCCAAGGACAGCTATGATACTTGAATGTCAGACTGGATTCATAAGGGATGCTCAAGGTTACATGATGATGCCGTGCTCGTCGATGAAGGCTAACTTCCTGTGATACGGATAAAGAAGGGCTGTCTATACTACGCTTAAATAAAGTAATTTGAAAACAAGCTTGGAAGGATGTAAAGAGGTGTGAGCTAAATGCTTTAGTGAGAATTGAACAGGATGTGATCCATCCTTGGCAGCAAGTAATACCTAGGTAGGAGGAGTCAATATGTACAGAATAAAGTGGGAACGCCGAGCATTACACTAATTGAATTGGCGTTTACTTGCCAGTCAGTTCTTATTTGGCTACAAATGAGCCCAAGGTATGATACGAACCATTCTTTGCTGGAGGATATCAAAGATTGCTATGAATCTGTATTGATTGAGCAGGTTGGTAGGATAATCACCATATTACAGCTCAAATATAAGTAGACAGAGTCATGTGTCGAGATGAAGGAGCTTGTATTATCGTGAAAAGTTGATATTTGCTCTTAGCCAATAGAAAGCCCAAAATAGTCGACTCGAACCCTTCTGATCCCCTCTTTAATCCTGTCGTCCCTTCAGTAACCGCTGAGTGACCTTATCCTTCTCAATAATCCACACTTGGGCACCCCAACCGGAGAGGGCATCTCGGTCCACAGCGCTCAGTAGCGCTTGGGAAATGGTTTCGAAGAGGTCCTCGGGAGCCTATAGTTCAATTAGCTCGTGATTTGATTAACAAAAAAGAATTATAGTGACTTACAAGATCCGGCTCCCACAGACCCTCGCAGGTACCGAAGAGCTGATCGCTAGCGGTTCCAGCCACAATGAAGTCCTTGGCAAAGTCGATACAGCCGATGCTATCAAATCCGCAGATAAACGGCTTTCCTGTTGTTTGGTTGATACCAGCCAATACAGGACTGACAAAGAAGGGACCGAAACGCTTCTCATATAACGATGAGCTGACCAGGTTGGCCAAGGTCTGGGGTGCGATATCGCGCTCCTCTCGCAAGCGGTACATGTTGACCTTGAAGCGGAAAAGATCAGAGACGGTGTTGACATCAGTAGCCAATCCAGTCAGGCCAAGGTAGGTAGACGGGGCGTAGTTGAAAATCTTGGGAAAGTTGTTGGAAACAGTCAAGGCTTGCATGCCCAGGCGGAGATCACAGGCGATGGCGACACAGTCCTTGCCCACCATGGCGACACAGGCACCGCCATCTAGAATGAGGGTCAGTATTTGAATGAATTGCGAGAAAGAGAGACTTTTTCTGCGTACTTATGTCGAAGGGAGAGCCCTGGCGATGGAAGAAGGTCAGCTTTGAGGTCCAGCGGCTCAGAAAGGTCGGGGAAAGGGATCCATTTGCCTACCATTATTGCGATTCTTTTTATTCAATTCTGGTAGCCTGGTATATTTCTCCAAGCTTGACGAGAAGAAATAAAGCAAAATAATGACAGGTCAGAAGGGTTGAGGTGGGTGATGAAAGAGGTTGGAGTTGATGATGGGGAGCTTGTTAGGTACGCGAGTGACAGAGCTCGGATGACGCCGCCCGCGGCGCTGCCTATCTGGTTCGACTGCGGCCTTCGACTGCGTTCTTTCTCTCACTCATCGCTCATTATTTACTCAATTTACTTCTGCATCTTACATTGTAGTTCTTTGATTATTCTGGATCTCTCTGCTTACTTTACAAATTATCCAACAAGTCTCGAATAGCTCAACCATGAGCGCCCACGTCGTGGTACTGGACGCCACAGCCAGGCGGGCAACAATCAAAACAACACCGGCCAAATATTTAACGGATATTCTACAAGAGGCCTGCTCGAAACTTGGCTACAATTCTAACCAATACGGGTTGAAGTGTGTCTCTACAGTCCCTGTTGAGTCTGATCGCAATGACGCTGACTGTAGGCTTTAGGCACAATCGCAAGCAACTAGATCTTTCCCTCTCATTTCGTCTCTCTGGTCTTAGCAGCGGTGCTAAGCTTGAGCTTGTTCAGCTCTCTCGCTCACCATCCGTTGTCACTGTCGCCCTCCAGCTTCCAGAGTCTGAAGCACGCGGGGCTCCAAATTCCCGCATAATCGACAAGTTTCCCAGCACGACTACACTATGGTTAGTGCTACGCAAGTTCGAAGCGGGAGTTGCCGGTAGTGGACCATTGCGAAACCTCACAGCGCGCGGAGTGTCTTCCAGCACCGTTTCTAACAATTTACGTCTGTTCTACGAGATACCTGTGCTTCAGATTATGGGACGCGAGCTATCAAGCTTTACAGACCTGCAGAAATCTCTCGCCCAGTTAGGCTTTAACGATGGTAATCTGCTTATTCGACTAAGCTTCCGTCGCACAGAGGAGCCTCTTGACGAAGCTATGCCAAAAATTGCGGAATACTTTAAATCAACAGGTGATGATACACCACCTCCTGTGAAAACCCAAGCCTCCGATATTACGATGGCAGAGGAAACCCTCGAAAATCTCCCACAGCAACCTACAATTCCGGCATCATCTGAATCTACAAGCGAACAACCTGTGCCGTCAGCGACGAGCCAGGATTCTGCGATCTCAGAAGCTCGTTCAGATCAAGCTATCTTGACCTCAAACCGACCTGTTACCGTTTTTTCTCCTCCATCGGATGACACTCCTTCGTCAGCACAAATACCATACAATGAAGACGATTATGTTCCCTCGATAGAACATGCAAAAAGCCACCAACGGATACTCCAACAATCGTCCCGCAATAAGCGCTTACCTACAGACGCTGAAATAGCTGCCAAAGAAGCTGCGGACGAGAAAAGACGGGCTGGAATTCAAGAAGTGGATGTAAAAGTCCGCTTCCCCGACCAGAGTCAGGTAGTTGCTAAATTTGGCCCTTCAGATACCGGCCAGTCACTGTATGATTTTGTCCGCAGCTGTCTGGTACCGGAATTTGTTGCAGAGAAGTTTGTTTTGAACGCCTTTGTGAGCTCCGCACATGCAAATGTGATACCCGAGTCCAACAAGTCACTTCTAATCAAGAACCTGGGTCTGGCTGGCCGTGTCCTTGTCAATTTCACGTGGGCTGAAACAGCTGCGGCAGCAGTTCGCCAGCGCCAAACGGAAATCCTACGCCAGGAACTCCGTAGTCAGGCTCGCGAATTGAAGGTCGAACAGCCGCCGCCTGTGGAGGAATCGCCGGTTTCGAAGACAAACGAAGCAGGCCCTAGTGCTACCGCCGAAGGCAGCAAGCCTGCCGGAACTCGAAAGAGTGGTGTGCCCAAATGGCTGAAGCTGCCAGGGCAGAAACGTTAGAAGACGGATAAATCATGAATGATGCGTGATTCTAGATGATCTGGATCCCCGCAATTTAAGCGCAGATGCATTGTTTGGACCTTTTATCGGATACCTTGAATATGTCTCTAGATTCTCGATAGCTATGTAGTCGAATAGCATTAAATCGATGTAATGCTTGCTCTAAATTAACCCATTTACCCATCAAGGTACCGAGTATTCACCGCGGAGGGCGTACTAGCTAACAGTTGATAACCTCAAGACTCCATTCAAAACCTTTGAGCGAGAACTTCGGAACTACTGGGGGCAGAAGTACCTCAGATTACCCGTATATTGTCTCTTGAATTCAATCAACCATTGGCTACGTAGATATGAAAAGTAGACTTTACGCAAACTACAATGCACAATTGTTGAATTGAAACAATGTTTTCATTATGGTTTCTCTTCCACAAGAGGGAAGTGATCCCACTTTTGCCATCCCCGGTGGTCACAAAACTCCCATATTTCCGATCCGCAAGCCATACGCTAATTGGCGGTCAAAATTCATATCAGACCGGCCAGCGTAGGAATAGAAGAAGGCTTCGGTATTTTTTTCGTTCCTGATCCATTGCGCGCTCCAGGTATTCGAGTCGTTAAACGAAAAGAGATAAAAAGGTTCCGGAATGGAGCATTTAGTGACCCTGGACACGACGGGACTCGGCGATGACACGCTGCATGTCCTCGACCTTTCGCTTACCGCGGACAAAGGTACCGAGCTGGAATTGATGTTAGTTATTTTGCCCAAAGGTACTGATTGTATACCCATCTGTTTGCTAGTTGGATTGATAGAGTTTGTGGTGGTGTGGTTGGGTACTGGAGAGTATCATGAAGATTAAACAAACAAGCACAGCCTGGGTTGACTAGGATTTTCCAAGGTGGCAAATTTGTCAAAAGCGTCATGTGAAACTCCCAATAGTCCAGTCACATATTCCCGCAATATACCGATCGTGTCCAACAAGCAAAACAGGGTAGGGTGGAATATATTGGTATAAACGTACGCGCTTCTTAGCGAGCTTGCGGGCACGCTTGTCCTGAGCGTTTCTCAACAACTCAATGACACGGCGCTCATAGGGGGCAAGACCGACGACCTCACGGGCAATCTCGCGGACGAACTGGGTGCGGCGAGAAGATTGGCCCTTGGAACGGCTGATCTTAGTCTTGGGGGTGTTAAGGGCGGTGGTTTTCTAGAGTTGCTCAGTCAGTCAAATTATCTCAATGTATTTCATTTGTAGGCATCCTGCTCCTCCAGTTATCTTTTTTGAGTCGGATTAGCTTAAATTCTCAAGCCGAGTTGGTGTTGCCAGATGCATGGTCAAATGTCTGTCCGTATCCAGAATCGTCGAAAATTTCCATCACATATCTTCAATGTGTCATAGTGTCCACCTCTTTTCTTCAATTCCTCCTTGAGGCCCATATTGATCGTATATTGGATTGTTGAGAGCGACATTTGACCATGAGATACAGACTCGACCCAACTCAAGAGCGAGAGAAAAAAAAGTTTGACCGATTGATAAAAAAAGACCGGAAGCAGAGATGCCAATAGGAAAGGAATCAAACGTACCCGGCCGCTGTTGGTGCCGACCACGATTCCAGTGCGCTCCTGGGCCATCTCGACGGTTGGTGACTGAAGGGGTTGGCGGAGGTTGTCGATGATAGGGAATGAGGAAGTCGTGTGAAATCACCTAGTGCTCCGGGAACCGCACAGCCCAAGTCTTGGCGCCGATTTGGTAGGCGAGTAGCTAGGGCTTAGGGCTTATTAGTCATTAGATGTCTTTACGGCCTGAGGCAAAAAGGTTATTTTACCCTCACGTGAACATGGTATATGTCCTTTCAAAACACCATAGGAGGGCTTCTACCTGCATAGATACATCCAACAATTGTTGGAAATGATTAGTTTGCATGATGATTATAAAAAGCTGCTTTAGGCGGTCAGATTCTAATGGAAATTGGCAGAACAGAAGAAGTTTGGACCGCAGAATCAATGTTATTGCTCCTTAGTCAAAGTGACATTAAGAACTATGCTGGTAGGCTCGGTATCCACATGGCAAATGGCAAGGAGTGCTGCGATCCTATAAAACTACATAATTGATACTTCCACCAGTCTCTCACATCTCCACGGACATCACACCATCAAGAGCCTCCTCCCAGCTCTCCATCAAACCTGCGGCGAAAAGTTCAACGTCAGACTCACCAAAGGTAGTACCCATGATGCTCTGGAGTTCTTTTCCTGCGGGATCACTGTGATCTCCAAACATAATGAGATCAGACAAGGAACTCAGTAGGCCCGATTCCGAAATGCGTTTTCTCAAAACTCGGGTGTTCGATCGGACAAGGACAAAAGTCTCCTTCACCAAGGCGTTCAAGCGATCAACTCGTTCCTTGGGAAGCTTTAACAACTTTAAATCCTTGCGAGAAGCGAGATCAACCAGCTTGTTCAGTGCCTTAAGAGTTTCAAGGAGACTGAAGATGGCATGCAAGTATTTCCAATTCGGGGCGTTGGGAGTTTGCTTGTCCAAGGAAGTCGAATTCTCGGTAACAAAAGGAGAGACGTTTGCATCGTTGAGAGTTAGGTAGGCCTTCTTAGCAACGAGCCACTCTTCCACCTGACCAAGAACTTTGTCTACCTGCTCAGACGTGGTGGCCTTAGAACCAGCTATGAACAAGGCAACCTTGAGTAGATCGGAGTGAATCTTGGCTAACTCCTTCTCAATTTCTGTCTGATCAGTCTTTTCGTCGGAGAGGGAAAGAGTAGCAAGATTTGGAAGTTCAGGATCCGGGGATACTGGCTTTCCAAGAGGAATAGCCTCCAGCACAGAGAAAAGCTGGTCAGTAACCCTGTACCAGGCGAGCCAGTTTTCCTTAAAAAAGAAAGACAATAAGTCAGGGTGAAAAAATTAGAATGACTAGAGATAATTCACTCACCTGGGGGCGAGGTCCCGGTTGCGTTGCCTTTTCGACGCTAGGCTTTCCAGGGAATTCGCATATCATGAAACCATCAGAGTCTCTGTGATCCTTAGTTGTGCTGTCGTCATGTGCTATAGGAAAAAATTAGTAAGCAGGCTGGAGGTTGCTTATGAGATATAAAGGTATTGAAACATACCAAGCTCTGCAAATTCCGTCAAAGGCCTTCCCCCGAGTAGTCTCTGGATACGTCGCACCTCCAGAACAAACATTCGGCGGCAGATGTTTCTTTTGAGAGAGTCACCAAGGTTGATAAATCCTTGAGCATTCAAATAGGTCCCCTTAGAGAGTGCATTGGACCGACTCTCCATGGTGCTGAAGTCTGACTTCGAGAAAAATTTGAGAGCGGCGAGAAGTGCCTTGCTTGGGTCGAAATTCGTAACCAGAGCCCCATCAACCGGTGGTGCGCTGTGGGGGTGAATAGTAGCAAGACGCGTGTAAAGATAATGACTAATAGAGCTAAATTGGATTTGTTTGATCGCAAGCTTGCTGAAAGCACTCAACGCAAGAGAGCCCGCTCCGAGCAAGAGGTAGACACGAACCAAAAGTAGGAGTGCCTGGTAGTTGTGTGGAGAGTCGCAAAGAAGATGCTCAAGAATAGCAGCTGCGCGGATCAAAGAAGTTTCTTCGATCTGACCATGTCCCCATACGTCACTCATGAAAAGAAGACCTGTGGAAGCAAGAATACACAGATCGTCTCTAGGAGAGCTTTCAAGGGGATTTGATGCTTCCTGAGATTCGTTCTTGGCCTCCTGATAAAGTTTCAAGCAATTCACGACAAGCTCTTCGATCTTTTGCTTAGATGGCTTTTCATCGGGACCTGAGATGTTCAAACAGTAGTCAAGCTTCAGTGTGTTGATCTTAGATACGAGGCTTTGCTCCTCCTTGCATTCAACAGCATACTTCATAAGCTTGGCCATGGCGTCCCATTTGTTGCTCGTGAAATGTTGCATATCGCTAAATGCGTAGAGTTTATCCTTGTGTTGGTCCCAGTATCGCTGACAGACAAGGACCAAGTCATCCGCAGTCGAAGAGCCATTTAATATGCTAAAGTAAACGACGTTCAAACGAGCTAAAGAAGCATTTCGAGATTTGGGGTCGAATTCAAGGAATTTGTCAATAAACTTCAAGGTATCAGCAGCAAACCTATGCGAGATGTCAGTCCAGTTCTATTAGTAAAGCAGCGCTGGCAAACAAACTCTGGTTCCTTGATGAATTTTGTGCTTTGAGCTAGCACTTCCCAAATAGCCCACTGGTCAACCGCTGTAATGGCCTTTCGCGCACTCTCGTCTTTCGGATCTACTGGAACAGTATAAAGTGTCTTCACGAAAGATGAAGCCTTATCCCACTGCTTAGAGGACCCAAGATGTTTCGCTTTGTCAATTAAAAGGATTGGATCTTTTTGAAGAATACGTGAGTTCAGTCCCACGTTATCGCTGTCCAGAATTCGCACAGCTTCTTCAGAGCGATCTTGTGATTTGAGAATTTCCATGAGCAAAAGCACCTCTTCAACGGATTCAATTCCATATGACTGGTTCTGCGAATGAGCCTTGTAAATATCAATATTAGTGTTCCAATTCATATCTATCAGCCTTTTCAAAACGTACTGGGGAGTCAATTGGAGTATCGGCGGCCGCTTTCGTGATCATGCGATATGCCAATGTGCCAAAAAGCTTACGATCGCCGTCCGATGCAGATTCATCTTTGGAGATCAGAAGGCTGTAAAAGATGGACCAAAAATGGTATTTCCTATCCCGGAAGTTGTTGCGGAGACTCGAAGAAGCCTGTATAGTAGTCACATTTTAGCATTCAATGCGTCATTCCAACCTGAACCGTATTCTAAGAGACTGACCTTTTGCGCAGACTTCCAGTCATTGATGCGATTTGCTTCGGTTAACCATCTAATGTGGAGCTGAAGGTCCTGCGGTTTGGCCTTGGCGGCCTTCTCCCAGAGCGCATTCCGAATATCACGATGCTCATTCATAGTGATGAGAGTCGAGTACATCATTGCAACGGTATCAACATCGGTAATAGGCGGCTCAGAATTGCATAGTTTGAGAGTCTCTGTAACCCCACGCTGCCGAGAGACATCATCCGCATACCGAGAAAGAATGTTTGCCTTCCATGCCTATTGGTGGTGCGGTCAGTGAGGCTCGAGGGTCGAGTATTGGGTGCCAAATGAGCATTAAAGCCCAATTGAATCAAATTTGGATCATTAGTTACCCTCAAGAAATGAGTATTCTCTCCCTTCTTTATGCGCTTTTCAACCAGCTGTAGGGCCAGCTTCAAATTCTGCCCGTCAATGGCATCTCGGATTTGATTATTGCGCCGCTGAATAACAGCATCTCCGAAGAGGCTAGGGGGCATCCCTATTCAGAAATTTATCAGCCCAGGCCAATTAGGATATTTTATTATTGGTGAGGTGCTGAGCACAAACTTAAAAAAAAATGGATAATGTCGAGGAAAGTAAACAGATACTTACATCTTATCGGTTCGTTCAGACATCGAGGCAGTTCTTAAGGCGGTGAGAGTGGGAGCGGTGAGAGCGGAAAGGTGAGGGGTAATACGGCTGTTCCAAGACTCTGCAAATACGATGCCACCTACTTCGTCACAGCCTCGATACTTCCGAGGCTATCTCTATTCAAAATTATCTTGTAAGCTAAAATCCGATACCATGGACTAAAAGAAACTTGGGCAATTACCTACCTAGGTAGAGACTATCTAGGTATTACTCTTCTCGGTATATCCAGATGGGTACAATTGAGCGACTTTGGGAGTGGACAAGTTAGGTATAGTGCCGATGTGGATAAGGATTGAACTTTCCAACTTGGAATTAGGCACAGACATTTTAAGACTGAGAACCATACTAATACATGTGTCCTATGATGCACTCGTGGACAGGTCTACGAGCGTATAATAGGCGGAGGGGATTTATTTAGAACCTGATGAAGGAGCAGCCTTTTGGTTCAACTATTGATTTGTTAGCGGATATACAAATCTTTCAGCTTAGTTCATGATGCATGACCTTGAAGCTGATAAGTATTAATTGGAAACTATCTTCACATACCCAGTTTTTCTTGCAGTCACGATAAGCCCTAAATACAGACATTAGTCTGGGAGGATCAAGGGGTGATGGCCAAGGATGAGAAAAACATGTTATGTACAACGGATAGACATCAAGCAAGAATGCTCGGCTTGAAGACACATGTAATAGCGGACGTGAACTTACTGGAAGTAGTCATGGCACATTTCACGATCGAAGGCATTGCGCTTCATGCATTTGAGACTCCGATCTGCGAAATCTTGGCAGGGGTCATAGTATTGGCTGGCACTTTTGCTAAAGAATTATGTTAGTCACAGTCGTATTTCAAGTACAGCATTTATGTCAAGGAGATTGATCGAGTAAGCGCAGTTAGGAAGATGTCCTAAGTTGTTATTGGAAATGATCATATAGGTGGCATCACACAGAGTTTCGAGCTCAAAGGATTCATATGACAATCAACAAAGGAGCCCATGAAACAGCTATGGGTTCCTCAAATCCCAGGAATATTGTACAGCAGTTCACACTTACTGGACCATTCTCCGCTCAGCTTTCTCCCAAGCTTTGGTCTGATTGTCATTCTGAGAGGATTCGGGGGATTCAGTGGACATATTGAATACCTAGATGTGTTCCAGAGGTCGTATGAGGTTCTAATTCATAAGATAATGAAAAATGACACCTATCTCTAGGTATGTAGATGGAATTTGGAGGGAAAGAATGCCAAAGAGTCAAGTTTAGAAAGCACCGGAGGTTTGGATAGTGGATTCGAAGTCTTGGCGTGGAGATGGTCTAGTACATACTACAACCTCAACAATATTTATTAGTTACTGTCAAGTTTTAACAGTTTAAATTGAAAGTTCAGTCTAAGCTGTCTAATGTATCACGTTTTGATAGCTGTAATAGTGACAATCAATCCTTAGGTCAACTTATCAACAGCCTTGGAAACATTGGCAACTAGCAAATATTTGAAAGTTGGGATGCCTTTTTCTGCCTGCTTTTTATCAGTTTCTAAATACAACCTCCGTAGGTTGGAATGCACAGCGAGAAACTACGGCCCCGAGGTTTATTATAGCTAACCAATATCCGTGTTAAACGGTTTCAGGGTTCTTTCCTTCACTCATACCTACCGCCTTTACATTATCCCGAGCTCTTCGAGCTAGGTTCATAACCTTGTATATATATATATATATGGGCGGTGGACAGAGCGGTGGCAAAGGCGGTTAGAAAAATTATCATAGTATCAAGAACAGCTGGGGACAGTGCTGGAATTAGAGAATGAAGTAGTGAGAGATTATGTATGAAAATCAACTGGGCAGAACTCCATGAATCAGTACACTGTACTCGAAAGTTGAAATCTGTTATAAAAGCCGCATGATATTTTACATCGCTGTTAGGAACGCTTACATCACCTTGGTGCCTTAGGCCGACGATAATATTATGCAGGTGTGGTTTTCTTCTCTTCTCTTCACTTTCGTCCTTTCCTTCCTTTCCTTGACACTGCAGTTTTTACTTGGTGTATAATTTTGTCCAGGCCCTCCCTTCTCAGCCTATCTGAGTGTGCTCTCCCTTCAGCTTTGATCCTCTCCAACTTTCCCTTGACCCCAAGACTCCAACTCCCCCTCTTCCCTCCCTCCACTCAATAACAGCCCCACAAACTACCAACTGAAGTCATTCACCTCGGATGCACTCGGTTTACAATCTCCATCATGGCGGATATCTCCAGCGAGATTGATATTGAAATTGACGGTGAGATTGAAGTAGTAGTTCATCTGACCATTTCAAATGATATGCTCAATACTGATGCGATCTATAGGCTGCCCATACCCTCGAAAGATATACGAAAAAAAATGTTGGCAATCTCGACAATGTCCAATCATCCGGTGTGAGTTGCTCATATGACGAAACGTTACCAAATTATACGTCCAATACTGACGTGATGATAGCTCATGGATACGCTCCAAGGACATGTGAGTGATATGCGCATCTTGATTCAATGTAGCATTTGTACTATGCCAATGCACGAGCCATTCACCATTGCCTGTGGACACACTTTCTGCTACTCGGTAAGGCACTCTATATTATCTTAAGTCTAGCAATCACCTAACTCTCTTCAGTGTCTGTCGTCATGGTTCACTAATAGCGGACAAACGAAGAAAACATGTCCAGAGTGCCGGGGTCCTGTCAGAATTGCGCCGGCTCCCTCATACATAGTAAGCTCACCATTGGTCACAAGATGGCATACTTTTGTCTAATAGTTTGCATTGAATAGGTTCGTACACTTGTTCAGATGTTTACCAGTCGCGCAGAGCTTCTAGACAAGGGAGAGACCACCACGACGTACGCGAAACACCGCGAAGAGGCAATCCAGGAGCTCGAATCCGACAAGGCAAATGCCGATCCATTAAGTGGCGGTTTGTTCAAAGGACTATTCAGAGATAGTCCATTAAGACCTACTGTGGATATAGCTGATGGCGTTGCTCGGTGCCCAATGTGCCACTGGGAGATCGAGAACAACATGGACTGCGTGAGCTGTGGTTACATATTTGGTCAAGATTCGGATGCGTCTGACGGCGAATCGCCCTTTTCATTCGCGTCCTTTTCCGAGCCTGAAGATGATGAACCTGTTCGAGGTCACCCTGTCATGACTTATCATGATCATGAGACCAGCGAAGTTGACGACAGTGGTAACGATGAGGATGAAAATGATTACGATGAAAATGATTCGTTCATTGACGACGAAGATCAACCCATAGCCACAGCTGCACATAGAAGTGCACGTGAGCGTCATCGTGCAGAACTGCATGCCCTCAACGCCGGTGACCACATCCCCAACAACAGTGATGGCCCCGGAACTACCCCCGACGACTCGGATTACGAACCTGGAGGTACAATCGTTCGCAACTTTGGCAGTTACTATTACCGAACTCGACAGCAAGGTGAATGGCATTACCGAAGTTTAGCGCCTCGCGAGAGACCTCGTCACGTCATCCAGATAAGTTCAGATTACTCGGATGACGATTATGACGATGATGTTATCGAAACTGGGAGCCGCCGCACTATCCCTATAGCTCATATCCAAGAACGCTCTGAGGATGAGGGTGTATATGCTGAAGCGTACGATTCAGTAGACTCCGAGGAGTCGGATTCGGAAGCGGAAGCGCATGGCTCAGAGGAAGATTTTATTGAGGATGACGAAGGGGATGATCACAGAACATCCCTTCCTATGACCTCCACACGGTCTACAGCTACTGCTATCATACCTTTCCCTGGAGCCATCACAATCAATGTTTCCGATTCAATCGATGAATCAGATGACGAACCTGTCGGCCCCATGAGAAGAGCTCCACAAGGAAGACTCTATCGGTTTTCTCCATACTGATTACTGGTTGATCTATCAAATGGCTCGAGAACTTCACTCACAAACGGCCATCATGCCTTTTCCTGTTGATTCTTTGGGTAATTTCAACACTACTTCTTGGATTTCTTTTTTCTTTTCGCTATTCTTCACAATCAGCACCTCGCCCTTTTTCCATTTCTCATTTCCCTCCATCCTCATCCCATGGGTGGTAGAAAATTAGATTGGCAAGTAGCTTCTTTTCTTTTTTTCCCTTATTTCCCCCTTTTTCACTTCTCTTTTATTCACTTCTCTTTTATCCCTACATTTTTATCCCTGCACCTTCATCCCTATCTTCTCCATATATTTAGTCTTCTTCATACCATAGCATGGCGTTTTGTGGGAGAAAATCAGGTCAACGCTTACTCTGTTTCCGCGAATACCCAGGCCTTCTGCTTCTACGAGGCCCCCAAACTGTTATCTCTTTACGATCTCTAGCCAGCACTTGACCTTTTTCAAATGGAATATCGTGCTCTGTAATATTTATTCACGTAGTCCTTACCTCGGCTCTATTTCTATATTTCCTGATTTGGCTCCCGCTTTTACCTTTACCCGACACACATGAGTCACCTCAACATCTTCAAATGTTCGCTCGATATATTCTTAAGAGCGTCCACTTTGCCAGGACTTATTCATCATACGTCAAGATGTCTGTTAAAAAGACTGCACCGTACGGACAATGGAGTAGTCCGCTCACCGCTGCTCGCATGGCACAGTGTAGTATCTCGCTCCATGAGGTGGTTGTCGAAGTTCGTATAACCCATCAGCACCTCGTCGCATCGCTGCTCACTGGATCTAGGAAGTAACGGGTACTATATACTCTGTCGAGTGCCACCCCACTGAGGGTGGCCGCTATGCCATTATGGAGCACATCAATGGATCAAAACGGGATGTTTTGTCGCCTAGCTTGTCAGCTTTTGCCATGGTCAATGAACTAGGCGGTGGATCTATTGCAATGAGACCCGGTGGAAAAATCATATTTTCAGACGAGGAATCACGCAATGTTTATCTCTTGGAGCCGGCTGCCAAGCATGCCGAGCTCGTTCTCTCCGCTGCGGAAGGCCACCGATATGGAGACTTTTGTATCCACAAAACAGATCCGAAGTGGGCTCTTGCTATCAAGGAGGATCACCAGGATGCTACACCAGAAACCCAGGCTACTGACGTTCATAACACTCTAATAGTAATCAACCTAGAAACTGGCACTGAGACAACAATCGCTCACGGAGACGATTTCTATTCACACCCAAAATTTGACCCTTCTGGCAGGTATGTTTCGTGGATTCAGTGGACTCATCCCGATATGCCATGGACCGGAACTGTGCTTTACCTGGCCGATTGGGTGGATGGTACACTAGCAAATGTCACCCGTATCGCCGGAAAATGGCAAGAGGAGAGCATTGCTCAACCAAAATGGGGACTAGATGGACTGTTATACTTCGCCAGCGACCGCAGTGGATTCTGGCAACTGTTTTCCTTCGATCCAAAGAGCCAAAATTTGAAACCGCTCTTGTTGAAGGGCTTCGAAAACTCAGACTTCGCGGTTGCTGAGTGGGAGCTTGGAAGGTACTACACACAAAATGATTCAATGGCTTGAGTGAAATGTTACTAACAAATTCTTAGCTCAACATACATCTCTCTTGATGATACAACTATTGTGGCAACGGCTATTACTCATGCTACTAGTAAAGTTGTTTTCATCGACACATCCACTTTGACAGTGCGAGAGCTGGATCTTCCTTATGTGGACGTTGATGCAATTTATCGAGTATCGGACACCTCGTTTGCGATCATTGGCGCTTCGGCCACTTTCCCCCAGGAGTTAGCGATAGTTTCGATCACACCTTCATTTGAAGTGCAACGAACTGTCCTTACTTCTACTGTATCATTCGATCTCCAGCCTGAATACGTATCTATTGGGAACGAATACACTGCCAAACAGAAATACGGCCCCCATCATGACGGACAAGTACACATGTTTTACTTTCCCCCATGTAACCCCGAATATCAGGCAGATAGCAAGAGCCTTCCCCCTCTGCTGGCCTACGTACACGGTGGGCCCAATGGATGTGTCAGTCCAGCATTGAACCTTGAATTCCAATATTGGACCACTCGCGGCTTCGCTGTCTGTGCAATTAACTACACGGGATCTACTGGGTACGGTCGTGAATATCGCGAACGCCTTTCTGGCCACTGGGGTCTTCTCGACGTAGGAGATGCTGTCAGTGCAGTCGAGTATCTTGCGGACCAAGGATTGATTGATAAGTCCCATGTCGGAATCTACGGCGGTAGTGCTGGTGGATACCTCACTCTACGAGCCTTGCACATGTACCCGGATGTTTGGGCAGCAGGAGTCAGCTCATATGGCATCAGCGACGTATCGGCACTGCAGGCTGACTCTTACAAATTTGAAAGTCAGGATGTGGATCGTTTGCTGCTGAGCAAAACCGAAGCCAAGGACAGAGCTGCTGAGCTTATAAAACGCAGTCCATGCCATTTTGCTGATGAGATCAAGGGGGCATTGCTGTTGTTACAGGGAACTAAAGATGTTGTGGTTCCTGTTGCACAAGCCAGGATGATGGCTGATGCTATGAAATCCCATGGAAGATTAGCAGATGTGGTTGTGTTTGAGGGAGAAGGACATGGTTGGGTGGGAGAGAAGGCCATTCGTGAATCTTTTGAACTAAAGGACGAATGGTGGAAACGCCATCTGACTTGAGTGAGATGTACATTTGAAGATACTATTCTAGTAGTACAAAACCTGCCAAGGTTATCCAATACGTCTCATCCTGATATCATGGGCCTCTCTACATTAGAAGGTGTGTACTAAATGAATCCGAAGTCCAAGTTGGGCCAAGTCTCGTCCCACACCCTCATCCTTTGTACCACGCAGTTCTGCCACCTAGTTGTGCTATTCATTTCTGCCATTCCTCTTCATCCTCAAAGTCATCACGAGTATAAACAAGTCCAAAATCAATCATCTTGACTATCAAGCCCCATTCATGAATTATGAATCATGATCTTTAGTGATAATGAAATATTTCAACTGGATTCTGGAAGTCATCAATGGGGACTCCACATTCATTAACGTATTCAGATGGTTGTGAAAGGTACGTAGTGAACCCAGAAGGCGGTCTGCGGCGGCAGAACCGAGTTATCATCTATTGAAATGGTCGATTCAGCTAGGAAAAACTAACCACGACCACAAGGGAAAGCTTAGTGAGAGTAGGAAGTCAAAAAGTGAAGTTTGTAAAGGTGTTCATTCTGTAACTATCACGACTTCTAGATAAATGGTACTAGTTGGTTCTGCCGTCGCAGACCAGGCTCCCCACTACACTATCTAGAAGTCGTGACAGTTACAGAATGAACACCTTTACCAACTTCACTTTTTGACTCCCTACTCTCATCGAGGTTTCTTCTGTGAATATGTTTGGTTTTTCTTGGCTGAATCGACCTGCACGTGCTGCCTTGAGCGTTTCCGTTTCACTAGGTATGATGTTGCAGATAAGAAGTAAACAAGAAGTGATAGAATAATATGTATTATTTACATATTTAACCGTTGAACTAAGTAATTATCCACAAGCAAATATCATTATAATGTTTAAAGATAATTTTAATAGAAAAATCCATTTTCTTTTATCAATCGATGAGAATACATAACTAATTATATCAAGTATTTACAGCCCCAAGTTCGTTTGTCAGAGCCACGATATATACTGGGCGGGGAAATGATCTGCGGAGAGCCGCCACCGATCAACTTCCTCCACACGACCCTGCACATCCAACATCTAGTCTTTATTTCCATTTCAGGCTGGTCCTGTTCGAGCAAGACTCGCTCTTTTATCTCACTCCCTTTCTTCCTCTCCCTCTCCCTCTCTCTATAACGTAGGCCCCCCTGTTTTGAGCATGTCATATTAGTTCTAAACGACCCCCGACCACGAGATTTACAACTCAATTGCCGTCGACGGCGTTGTGATAACCCCCTCCTTTTCAGTCTAGATAACTGTGGAAGGCTTCGAACATGTCTCTCCTCCACAATGAAGAGTGAGTTCAGCTTGGGGTCACTGACCCCTTCAACTCCCCTCTGTACGACATGACCTTTGGTACTAATAAATACTCAGCTTTACCATTTGGCAATTGCGCTCCTCTTACCTATCCACAATCAAAGATGGAATCGGAGACCGTTTGATCAATGTGAACAACTCCGTCCTCAACACACCAGGATTCCGTGCTGCAGGGTGGTCAACCGTTAACACAAATAACAACTCCTCCAACGCCGCCCATGTGAAGCGTACCTATTCCCCACCGATTCCGACTACAGCCGCAGTCTCCTCAGAATATTACCGACTAGCAGTACGCGATGCGAACGCCGCAAGGATTGCACGAGATGAACTACAGGGCCTCGGCCTCGAGGACGGCGAGGACGACGAAGGGGGCATGGTTACTGGAAAAGGAAAAATGGATTCTACTGGACCACGGCTCCATGGACGTCCTGGAAAGAAAAAGAGTCGACGAGACCATCACCAACAAAATCAAAGACAGTTAGACGTGGACGACGATAGCAGTGATTTGAGTGATGATAGCGAAGATGACGGAGAGCAAGAGCACAGGTTGGTCCTTCCGTATACGTGACATATGAGGTTGAAACTTACTTGAGACGTCACAGGTCGGTTGATCAAATCGACTTTTCCAAAAAGCCCATTCGCCGGGACCGAGCCGATTCATCGCCAATTCGTTCAACAGAGCCCCGCGAGCGACCAGAAGTGATGATCACTTCGCCCTCTCTACAGAACGTTGCGAGCGAGCAAAGAAGAGGATCATTGGGGACCAGTATGTCGGGCAGAGTCCAGCGGCCACGACGAGACACCACAACCAGCAGTGACCTATCGACGGATAACGAAGTTGAGTCCCAAGTGTACTCGACGGGACAGGTGCAATTTTCTGTCAATGATCAAATCACTGAGCGCTCTCGTCGGCGACGTGAGAGGACTGGCAGTCGAGGAGCAGATAGCATAGCCCTCGAAGACTTACAGGAGCAGGATGAAGACGAAGACTCAGGCGCCGAATCTGTTAGTTCGGCGCTTTCCTCTGAATTCGCTGCTACAGCTGGGTCTGGCTCACTGCTTCTGGCTCAGATGGGCCTTCCGGGCACTTTGGATGCATCCTCGCCTATGGTATTGATGCACAAGTTACCGAGTGGAACCGGCCCCCAGCACTCTTCTCCCCGTAAACCAAAGACTGCACCAGCACTGGAGCTACATGATCTACCTCCTCCTCGTGCACCTCGTCCTGTCAGCACAATACAGCCGGTTAGCTTGCTGACTCGACAGCTGAAGTCTCGCAAACGAGCACCAAGCAACCCAGTGGAGAAATTCATGGTGCTGTCTGGAACAGGCCTGGGAGATCCGCTGTACCTGAAGATCTTCGTTCCCTTTTCGTCAGATCCAGAGGATGCATTGGATCTAGCGCTTACTCGCGAATCTAAAATTGCAGAACAGCCTGCACCAGTCACTGTTGCCGAAACGATTGGCCTTGCACTTTGGAAATACTCAGAAGATGCCCGAGACCCCGGTTTGGAACGCGAGAAGTTGACCGTCAACCGGTGGACACTGCGTATGGTTGATGATGGTGAGGTCGAGTATGATTTCCCAGCCCTTGGCAGGACGCTCCCGATGACCGACTTCACTTCAAACAATAATCAGGCAGCGAAGGGACGAGGCCGTTCACGGGGAAAGCCCTACGATGAATTTGCACTAGTGGAAGCCTCACAGTCCGAATTTGAGGACAACGAGAGGCTCTATCCTCAGTACGGCCAAAGTCAGGGGTCTGATGAAGGAGAGGCACCGACTAACCTCGCGGTTCCCGGTGCTCCTCAACCATCACTCCAGGTTAAGACCTCAGCAGGCCGCCATAACCCGATTTTGGGACAACCGTTCTCGTCCGCTCTCAATGACAATACACTCACCCCAGCCGATCGACCTGCGGTGCCTATATCGCATGCAACTCCTCGACTTGGTGTCTCTAAGACCTTGAAGATTCGCTTTCTGAATCTCGAAGGCTCTGCACATGTGATGACACTTAGTACCTCCACTGACAGCTACATCGCGGAGATTCTGGACTCCGTATGCAAGCGTTGGGGACTTGACAAGGGCAACTACTTGCTCAAGGTGATGGGATCTAATACCATTGCGCCTCTTGATCGTACAGTGGAGGCACTGGGTAATATTACAGAGCTAGACCTCGTGCGTCGGCGTTTCGGAGCAGGGCCACTATCCCTTAGTGGCTCTCCTGGTAGCATATCACCGAATGCACCTTTGATGGTAGATGGCGGCAGCACAGCAGCAGTGGACAAGGGAAAGAAAAGCAAGAAGGCTCATCAACGCGTTCTGCCTTCATCGACACAGAAACAAGATCTCATTGGGGGTTATTATCGCCGCTATCATGTCTTCCGCAAACAACCTATGTCTTTTACAGCCTCGAATCATCGCATCCTCACCTTTGACAATGACTACATGCATATTGTGCCCGGCGAGACCAAGACGGCCTCTGATACCAAATCTCGTTCTATCAACTTCAACGATGTGGTGGGATGCAAGGTCAGTCGACGCCATCCGAAGAGCTTCCGGGTGGTGGTTTTGCGTGGCAATGAAGCCAATGAGCAAAAGCGATACGACTTTGAAGCGCGGAATGCATTAGAGGCAGTTGAGATTGTTGATGAGATCAAGAAGAACATGGCACATTATCGTATTTGATTTAAGAGACGTCTTCCTTGATTAACGAAGACCAAGAAATGGCATTATCGATCTATGGTAGCCTACAAACAATCCAAACAGTATTTCAGTCTCTTAATTATCGGTTTTGTAGCTTTGTAATTTATATCGATATTGAAAACATTCGAGTTCAATGATCTATACCTAGGCCTAGGTACAAGTTACTGAAGATCTTTGAAGAACTTCTACAGAGGCACTAATTTTGCATCATCGTCATCAACCATGAACTATAATTGACCATCAACGATGACGTTCTTTTTCGACTTCGAATTACTTATTCATCTTTTTATTTAGGTATTCTCCACATACTCTTTTGTTTGCCCCAATACTTAAAATACGTTCAACTCTGGAGCTTTAATATATGTTTCCCCTTTATCCATACTACGGACTTGAAATTCAGGCATCCGCAGGTGGGGCGATAAGATCTTATCTTCGTTACTTCTGGAGTTTCCTCTACATTCACGTAGACCTCAACCTTACTCAAATCACTCTCCACGATGGAGAGCATTGATCCAAATATCAACAAAGAGGACAAAACCCCCTTGACGTCAGAAAAGAATTCGGAAGCAACTCGCAGCAAAGGAAAATTCCGATTCAAGCGCAGTTCTTCCAGCTCAAGAAAGCACGAAGACCGAAGCCGTCGCAAAAGACACCGTCTCGACGATGGGAAATATTCAGATCACGCTCAAACTCGAAAAACCCGTGGTCCAAGATATCACCATGAAGACTCCAACACAGCATTCGAAAACGAACCAAGGGGGCTCTCACCCGGTGCAGCATTTCGCGAATCCCTCTTCGATGCGCTAGGTGATGATGAAGGCGCCGCTTACTGGGAAAGCATCTATGGCCAGCCAATCCACAACTATGCTGTTCCCCAGGTTCCCAAGGGACCTAATGGTGAATTAGAAGAAATGACCGACGACCAGTACGCCGAGTATGTTCGCACGCGAATGTGGGAGCGCACGCGCGAAGGCATAGAGGCAGAACAAAACCGTCGACGAGAAGAGCAGAGAAAGGCCCAAGCAAACAAGAACAGGGCCGATTATGAAAGAGCAAAGGAACGTGAGCGTATGAACTTTGAGCAAGCCATGGACGATAGTTTGCGACGGGGTGCGGAGCGGAAATCGAAGAAGACATGGCAAGGGATCTGGAACGCCTACCTTGCACAATGGGAGGACATCGCAGAGAAGTTGAAATTACACGCTTCTACATCGAATCAGACTCATGATAACAAGGATGCGCCCAAGAATACACCACTTCGAAATTTGCTTTTTTGGCCTGTTAAGTCTGGGAAAAGAGTGGATGTTACCCCAGACGCTGTCCGAGACTTTATGTGCCTTGCGCCACCTACTTCGGATCTTTTGGCTACCCTGAAAGCGGAGCGCGTGCGTTGGCACCCGGATAAGATGCAGCATCGCTATAGTGCTCTGGGAATCGATGATCTGGTCATGCGCAGTGTGACCGAGGTTTTCCAGATTGTGGACCAAATGTGGAATGAGGAGCGCGAGCGAAAAAGCTGATTTTACAAACCTTTATTACTACACAGCATATGATGGCGTACTGAAAGGACGGTGTTCCTTTATTGTCTATTTCAGCATGATACCCAAGCATTAGTTAAGCCAGTTTTTATGCAGACTGAATTCATTTCAATATAGATCAATAAAGCTTCCCAGCCAAAAAATAACGCAAAAAAGCATGATGAATCCACAAACAGGCTATGCAAAGAACAATTCATTCGAAAAGCCAGGACGATTAACTCAAACCATGTCAGACAGGATATTGTGATTAGTTTTGTTTTTTTTTGTTAATTTATTGAAGTTGCTCGCCAGATAAACGATGGGAAATTGAAAACCTAGACCCTAGAAACGCGAAGACCGCGTCTTGGTGCGGTAAATTGTCCAGCCGAAGTAACCACCACCGATAGCACCAAAGAACAGCACGATCTTAAAGAGGAACCATGACCAGCTGCCACTCTTCTTTTTGGAGTTGCCGCCACGGTTGGGACCACGGGTGTCTGGGCCTCGGTTACCACTGCTACGGCTGACGGAGTACAGGTTGTCGGCCTTGAGAGAGACAATGTCGTGGTTGTCACTGAGCTCACCTGTCTCAGCGGAGAGACCGAGGTATGCGACAGAGGGGATGGCGATCTTGTGTTCATCGGCACTGAGTCGGAAGCAATCGACCCAGGTGTCCTCCGTCTTATATTGCAGTTCTAGGGACAGTGACTTGTCCTGGAAATAGGTGAGGCGGGCTTTGGTGGGGACTGGGGCGTTGCGAAGGCCGCGGGCCTAAAGTTGAAGAGCTAAATTAGTTTCCAAACGTGAGTACGATTTCATTTTGTTTCTTACAGAGCAACCGGCTAGCTCGTTTCCCTTGCCGTCGTGTGCTTGATCGTAGGTAGTCTCGCCGTCACCCATCATGGCCATGACATAAGGGAACGAGACGCCGGGACGGTTGTTCTTGTACGTATCGAAGAAAATACCGAGACCTTCAAACTTATCGGTTGATCCGAAGACGGGACCCTGAGTAGCGCGTTGCTTTGTGAGCCAAAGAGCAAAGCCATCACCGTGTAGATTGCCATTGCCGTGTATTTCGAATTCGAGCTCGATCTGAGATTGAGAAGAATATTTAAGCTCGAGAATCCTTCGAGATGATTAATTCAAGTGTAATGCTTATGCTCACCTGCCAATTGGTCGCGGTCAGAGGTACGCGCGAGAAGATCCATCCTTGCTGCGAGGGTCGATCGGCTGTGAGACGTATATACCTAGCACACAAGATACGATTAGTATAGAGATCAAAGCCTAAGTGTTGAATTGAAGATCTTACTTGTCAGCTCGGACAACTGTATCCCCTCCGAAGTCGAACCAGCGGCTTTGGAAATCCGAGTCTAGGTATGGCTGTTGAAGCGGTCAACAAGGGTGTTCGACGTAGGTGGAAAGGGAAGCTTGCAATGCGCGAGGCAAACACGCTATTATGGGAGTCATACCGGAGAGAGACTGTGGGTTCGGAGCTATAACATATAATTAGTACCGTGGATCCCCGTTTAATTAAATTAAGTAAACATACCGGGATGCTTTTGATATTGGGATCATCATAAGCATTGACGAACCCAGAAATCAAGCCAGCAAGACACAACAAAGAAGAAATGGTTGGAAGATGCATGTTGGAGTGTAATTAATGCACAAATCAAGTGTTGATCAAGGAAAGTCTGTGGGTGTGATTCAATGAGGGGATTGAGGGGAAATCTCAAGTCTCCAGGACCCGATAAGCCCAGAGTATAAAACTGCAAATGAGCAGTGAGAACGGCAAAAGAGGGGCGAAGTGAATGGAAGGCCGAGTTTGGGTGTGGGAGCTCAAGGATGTCGAGTTTAGAATAATAAGTAGCTAAAGTTGATTTGAGCCTGTAAATATGGTAAGCTGTCCACATCGGCTGTGGCTTGACTGTGGCGCAGTTCCGTGTGTGGCGCAGTCGAAGCTGCCGATTGAGAGAATCTGGAAACTTTTACGAGCTCTTCCTCGTTGATTATCCATCAAACCACATTTCCACACATATCAACATGTCTCTATTCGGCTCCGCACCTTCTTCTGCTCCCACCACCTCCGAGGATATCAAGTCCGCCGTAGTGCAGCAGCTCCAGCAGGAGGCCGCTGTGAACAATGCCCGAGCCCTGATCACTGTACGTCACCATTCGTCTATACTTCATCCGATATCTTCAATCTGACAGGTTATGCTAGAAAATCAACGAGAACTGCTTCAAATCATGTGTTCCAACTCCTGGATCATCCCTGTCTTCCGGAGAGACCACCTGCCTGTCTAACTGCATGGAGAAGTACATCGCCATGTGGAACATTACCAGTCGCACTTATATTTCTCGTGTCGGCGTGGAGAGCAAGCGTATGGGAGCTGATGCTTCTGCCATTGCCACGCTGGGATCTGGCCTGTAAAGCAGGTGAACTCGATGTCATCAAGCACAGAGCGGAGGAAAGCGAAGATCTTGAAAAGTCTTGTGTAAGAATAGAGAGGAATTGCCGAGTACCCCGTGTATATTCCAACGTTAATGGGCGTGATCTTTGGGAGGTCCGGTAACAAGCCGACTTGGAACTACTGCAAAATAGAGGTTCCAGGATTTCATTGTTGAAGCATATGGCCCGGCTGTATATCAAGTCAAAACAGACAGGAGAAGAAAAAAAAAGTACAAGAAATTCAATCCCAATTGCTACTATATATGATTCCGATTGCAGGAAAAAAGGATTTCCGTACATGATTACTACTTTCACTCAAGTTTTTCACGGCGACTACTGCCAACACGCCAATAAGAAGGGCCAAATCGAAAAGCCCACTCGGCTTCCTAACGCGCGGGCTTTCATGTCATTGTAATTTGTACAAGCCCGTTTAGAAGTCGGGGAAAAGGTGGCCGTATCTGGGGAGTTGTTAGAAAAAGTGATTCGGGAATATCGGTAAGAATAACATACGCATCTTCCCCGTCAATGCCATAGTGCTCTGTCTCTTCTGGATATTTGTCGTATAGGCTGGCATCACCCTGACCTCCACGAATAGGTGGAATGTAGGGAGCATCGATATCCTTCCGTTCCAGTCGGTCCCACGTGACCTCAGAAAACCAGGCATGGTTCTTGACGTCCGAGGGTCCACCGTGCAAGTTACCCAGACGCTTGGTGAGGTCGGCGGTGATCAGCTGAGATAGTAGATCCACTGCATCATCGTGTAGGTATGGCGGGTACTTGACCTTGCCTCGCAGGATGTTCTCGTAAATCTTCACTGGAGACCCGCTATCCCAGAACGGTGTAAATCCACACAGCATCTCGAAGATGAGGATACCCAATGACCACCTATAGAAGTTAGTACATGGTTAGACGAAAGAGACAGTTTAATTGAGATACCAATCCACAGATTTATTGTAGCCCTTGGAGGAAACCACCTCCGGAGCCAAATAGTCGGGTGTACCGCACAGCGTCCAAGTGATATCGGGCACTTCCTTTGCAAAACCAAAATCTGTGATCTTCAAATGACCGTGACGATCGAGGAGAAGATTCTCAGGCTTCAAGTCACGATAAATAATCTGGTGCTGATGCAGATATTCCAAGGCCAAAGTAACCTCAGCAGCATAGAACTTGGCCACCGGGTTGGGGAATCGCTAATGACATAGGTTTAGCCCCCATCTGGAAGTGTGTTGAGTTGAATAAAACTCACCTGTGACTTGCGCAGTAGGCTAAATAGCTCACCACCCTCCACAAAGTCCATGACCATATACAGGTTTCGCGAGTCCTGCCACGTTCCCCATAGTGTCACTAGGAACGGGTGCCGGACCCGGTTGAGCATCCGACGCTCGTCATTGGTGTGTTCGATTTGTTTCATCTTGACGACCTGGGCCTTTTTGAGCACTTTCATCGCATAGAAGCGGTGATTGTGCTTGGATTGAACAAGATGAACTCGACCGAAGCTACCAGTACCTAGAGTGCGCTGTAGAAGGAAGTCCTCCTGCGAGTACTTCCCTCTTGTAGTACGCTCCTGACGAGTAGTAGGCTGTTGGCCATGCTGATGTTGAGAAGTCTGCTGCTGCTGGGTAGACTGTTGGGAATTGGCCGGGGAATTTATTATATTGTTAATACTGGCGGCATTGTTGGACTGCTGGTCAGCGTGCGGAGATCCTTGCGACGTCACGGCGGGTTGCATGGCGTGCCTTTCGGGCGTGGGGTTGGTATTATGATTGGGGTCGGCTGCGGACAGTTCGCTGGACAAGGTCTGCGACTTGGTTCGCCTCTTTTTCAACAATCCTCCTAAGCTAGGCATGGAGAAGGAGTATTAAAGCGACATATGAAAATGGGAAAGATCAAGGAGAGAGTTTGGTCCGGAGGGAAGTAGCGGGGCAGAATGACGCAGGGTATTTGGTGAACGGAGAGGAAGACACAGAGTCGGGAGCTAATGAGAGCTCCACCCTCAGTACTTAATTTTTGCTCACTTTTGATTTGCTTTTGCTTTCATCCTTAGATTACGGAGTACATTCGGGTATTTCTCTCTTTGTCCTTATCAATTTACTTGGAAACTAATATCTCTTGATATACTGATACCAACATCGATTAGGACTCAATGACAACATCTTAGTCTCAATTAATCTTCAGTTCATATCTCAATTACTTTTCCATTAACTCGAGAATGCTATAGTACGGAGTAGTTGTTCAAACTCGGTATTATAGTGATGACGCTATGACATAGATCTCGGCTCACTGAGATATACTTGGGCTTGTCTGGGTCACAGAACTATGAAGAACGCATCCGGAAAACTTTGAACGCGATCCAATTCTCCATTTGAATATGATTGACGGTATCCTTGATTCCATTTCTATTTAACTATAACTAGCGTGTTTGGGAAGGGGGGCGATGATTAGGTAAGACCAGTCTGTTTCGACACCTGATATATTAGGTGTCACATAAATCATCATAATCGCAATCGGTCTATCACTTGTAACCCAACTGTTGCACCGTCCTTTGTTTCTTCCCCACCCACCCACCCACACTTTATTCACCATGGCTCTAGTGGACTACTCTGACTCCGAGAGTTCAGATGCTGAAACCAATAACACCCCTGATCTCTCTGTCAATCAATCTAAACAGTTGAACTCAGCCGATTTTCAAGTTGACCGCAGTAACCCACGCAAGATCCGTGTTGCTCTTCCAGAAACAAGACCCGAGCATGATGCCGATGCCGATAATGGACCTGCGCGTAAGAAGCTTCGTCTGGGAGGCGGCGCAAGTGGTACTTTTTCGGGGTTTAATTCGATTTTACCCGCTCCAAAAAAGGCTCCAACAACCAGCAAATCTGCCAACCTGAAGACTGGATCCCAGCCTAGTTTTGATCGCTCGGAGCTTAAAAAGAACCCAGCGACCAAAATTTCAACGCCCACCAACCCTGTTAATGATAAAGCGAAGCCTACGCCAGACAGCGCCAATTCAGACACCAGTGGATGGAAGATGACTCCACTCGGGCTGGTGAAGGTGATGAGCAATTCTAAGTTTCGACCACTCTCGGCTGTCCATCCAAAGAAGAAAACAGTCACAACCTCTGCATTTCAATCGACAACTTCCATCGTGTCTACGTCTGCAACTGCCCTTCCCGCACCTCAGCAGCCTCCCGCACAGGCATCCGACTCGAACGAAATATCAGCTCCAGCCCCGCCAAAACCAAAAGTTAGTCTCTTCTCCATGTCATCTGAGGACTCGAGCTTCCAGCCAGAGAACAGTTCATCAGTAACTGGAAGCTATGAGCCCTTGGTATACCATACGGAAACGGAGAACCCATCTTTGGGCCCAGATCCTGCACCGGATATGATGGAACCCTCCTCGGAAATTCCCGCCAGTGCCCCAGTTCAATCGCTAGACACAATTGCAGATGACCTTAATCTATCTCGCGCAGATAGACGACAGCTTTTCGGACGCAGCGGACAATCTGCTGGGGCGAAAGTCCTTACTTTCAACACAGATCAAGAATACATTTCAAACCAGAATATTGCCCAGAGCGAACTGGCAGCTGCTCAGCATAACCCTGTTCGTTCCATTGCTCCTGGAAAACACACTCTTCAGCAATTGGTCCATGCAGCCAGCTCGCAAAAGGAAGCTTTGGAGGAGAGCTTTGCCGCTGGCAGAAGAAACAAGAAGGAGGCAGGCTCCAGATATGGGTGGTAGATTTTCTGCGCGAAACGCTTTCTGATTTACTGATACCTATTACTGTGTGGCATCCAATCAATTTACAACGGAGTGGTACATGCTATTCTGCTAGGTAGCTTCGACTCGAGCAAAACCCCAAGTCTCCTTCTTTAACCCCCATTTATCACACAAGGCCCCAAGCCATTCATTCACAGTAGTGGTAAGTTTGTTGGCCGTGTCCACTTTCAGGTCCGATCCACTATTGATCTGTTTTCGATAAGCTTGTAGAAGGCTGTTCAAATCCCATGATGGTAGACGATACCACTCATGCGTGCCCCGACAAGTCAGCTGTTCAAGACCTTTCGAAGAGCACAGGTTTCCATGACAATCTTCACAAAACCTCGCTGAGAAACAGAATTGACAAGCATATAAATCAGAACCAAAGCCATACATGTCACCGCAGATGGCACACCTCCAGTGAAAGTCCTTCTCAAAGATTGCATTCATGCTTTCAAGTACAGCCAAAGCTCTGCCCCAAGAAATTGGCTCCGAAGAAACTTCTTTAGCGATCAAAGTTGCATCTTTCAGTAATGTCTTGATTATGGCTTCGTTGTCGTCGTCTTTCCCCTTGTCACAATACGCCTTGTAGATTGCAAGAATCCTGGTACCCGCCTCGTCTTCCATTTCGTCTTCCGAGCTCAGGAGTGTGCATAAGATATCTCGATCAAGGTACTTATACGGAAGGAGCTCATAGGCCATCAGAGCATCATTTTTTTCTCCACAGTGCGTTAGAATGGAAGCAAGGCTGCTATATGCTATCCAGTCGTTTGCGGGATCATCATCAGCGAAGATGTTGAATGCGGTAATCACATCTGACTTGAAGATATCCCGTGCACGGCTTTGATCTCCTTTTCGTGTATAGTGAGCAGCTAGATAGCACTTTGCCTTTGTCAGTCCGTTTGTTCCATTCAGGGCTTGAAGTCTGATAATCTCCTCGATCTTCATCACATGATATGAAACATCCTTCTCTGGATGAAGGTGCATTTTGTCGAAATGATACATGCTTAGAAGCTCACCCGCCTGTGTGAGAAGAGTTCTGAAAACCTTCTCTCCGTCTTTGTCGCTGTTCAACTTAGCGAGAGACCAACAATCTTCCCAACAAGACATCGCCCTTGAAACACTATTTTCATCGTCACAAAGGGATTCTGCGATACCCTTTTGGAGCTGAAGAATAGCAAGGTGATCAAAGCGTTCTTTCGAGCGAGCCTTTGCGATTGCCAAGTCCATGCACGTTGTAAGTACTCGCTGGAGATCTGGTCTACTGGACACAACTGAGATGAGGGAATTGAAAAGATTGTTGTCGTCAAGGTTGTTCTTTCGTTCCTCAATGATCATTTCCAGAACGCTAAGGAGTTGATCCGGGTGATCATCATCCTTCAAGCCGGCAATTTCAATGAGAATAGAAGCTGCGTCCTTCCACTCCGCTTTCAAGATGTGGTATTTCAAGATGGCGTATTGGACGTCTATGCTTTTCGGATCAAGGGTCTTTGCTTGCTGGTAGTAACTAAGCTCGTCCTCCTCAGACAACTTCCCGGCACTGAGAAGCGCGTCATGAAGTGCATCCTCATCAAAGCTTTCATTTGATGCTCTTGCCTCCAGCATCATTTTAATTGCCTATGTTGTTGTCAGATATTTTCTCCGCTAGACTAGAACCAAGTCAGAATTGATAGAGATTACCTGTATATACTCTTCGAGGGCCTCTGCATCAAGGGTCAATTCTCGATATGTGTCGCCGAGCCGCATGTGGCAGATGCTATTGTATTGGGTCATACTCAGAAGCTCTCTGCAACATTCTCCAGCCTTCTTTATCAATGCTACAGGTATCTCATCAGGGTCATCATCATTCATATAATCCAAAATATCCTGATTTTGCGCGAAATCACTCGGCTGCGGATCATCCTCTGAAATCTGCAAAGCATAGTCAGTTGGGGGAACATGAGAAGGCTTGAGGCAACAGAAATACCATTATAAGTGTGTCGGAGATAGTACAAAAGACACCAACAGCATCCCAGTCTCTCTTCGTCAACCATTCGCTGGCAATAATTTTCATCAAAGGAGCGAGTAAGTTTCTTGTTCGATTTGGGCCTTTCTTGACAGAATCAAGCCAATCCCGCTCTGCTCGTCGAAGCTTGCTAGTGGCCTCGGGGTCTCCCAGCCAGTCCCAGAATACTTTTAAATCATCTTTGTTTTGTATCCATGAGATAGGTTGTTTGCTATCCCAGTGCTCTGTGAGGAATTCTGGGCTATAGAAGAGATCGAAAATTCCCTGTGCAATCTCTTGTTTCTCTGCCGCACTTAGCTCTGTTTCCTCTGCTATGCCGAGCTCGATTGCATCGTCGGTACTGATTTCACTCATGTTGTCCGTTTCAAGCTCGGTGCTATCTTCAATTTTGATATGCTGCTCTTGAGAGTCTGCTTCGGTAGACAGCTCGGCAGTTTGACTTGCAGATTCTGCATCAGTTCCAGCGATCTCGGGCTTGGAATCATTTCCGTGATATAAGAACCTCAAGATGTCTATAAGCCCATCCAGCAATGTGTTGTCCAAAATATCTGTCTTTTCGTTCGGAGGATTGAAAAGCAATGAAAATGTGGCTTTCAGCATAATCATATATGAATCTGTCTTATTGATTTGGATTTTAGCCTTTTCTAATCTGGAGACCAAATTAAATTCATCCATGACAGCGAAACGATTTAACTCCCAGAAGAAACGTTGGACGGTCTCCTTGTTCGCATTTGCGATACTGATCGTGGCGCTGATGGTTTTCTCATTGGATATTTGCTTCTTTCGTTCTTTGGTGACCACACAGCCTCTGATGTAATGCTTCAATATGATGTCTTTGTCTTGTTTGACCTCGAAAATCTTCGAATACTCTTCTTCAATTCGGTCACTCAGTGGTTGAACGGGTATTGGTCGCTGGCGCAGGTGCAGAATGGCTTGGAGTTGCTCCACATCATAGTAGTAAGGCCCAAAATGAACCCAAAGCAGAAGTTCGTTAAGCTCATCGACCAAATCAGGCTGGAGAGATATCCACAGAGACCTCAAATCATCTTTAACAACGTCTTTCGGACTCTTTCGCTTCTCATCCAAGGCTGTGATGATAGCCTCCTTGGTCGCTTTCGATGCTACCTTGTCCTTGATCATTGCTATATCATGCTGGGCTTTGATGAATGATCCTTCAGCCCGGCTGACAAGACGTTTCTTCACGTCGATCCAAATTTGGAAGAGACCTGCTCTCTCAATCTCTCTTTTTGCGTATTTCTCAATGTTTATCGTGTTATGTTCCTTGACGTTAATCCAAGTTCCGGGCAGCTCATCTGTGCCTGTACTCAAAAGTTTCGCCTGAAGCAGTCGCCCGGACACTATAATGCGAGTCCTTCCACCTTTGTCCGCGGCGATTTTCCTAAAAATCTTAGTGAGCTCCTGAAAATCGTTTTGGGGTAAGTTGTCAACAGCATCCAGGAGCAAGAAATGGATATTTGTTTGTGTCGGAACCCCAAGCCTGAGGTCATCCCAAAGCTGACGACATTTCGCTTCCTGGATATATTTGCTGTTTTTGGCGGGAGCCTTGAAACTATCGGCAATGCATTTTGCATAAGCGGAATCTTTTGCTGCTAACTGTCTGCAGAGAGATTTAAGTGCTGTTATTGCAGGTTTCACATCCTCTCCAGTCTTTCCAGTCGCTATTGGGAAAGAGTGATAAGTTACCAAGGTGCCTCCGCCGTCTTGGAATTGTTTGTCGCTTAAATGATGGAAAATAACCGACGACATGACTGATTTCCCACATCCAGGATCGCCATTCAGAACAAGCAAGGGGCTTGTTTCAGCATCTCCATCTCTCCAATCAATGAAATCTTTTCGTTGTATTAACCAATGACCACTGTCTTGCACAGAATTTTCCCAGAGATTCTCACAAAGATCTATTGAGTTCGAGATCTGAGCGTCATCTACTCCAAGGGCTTTCTTGATCTTCTCAAGATGATATTTTTCCGTCTGTGCCAATTGGCGTCCCTGTTCAGCAGCGATCAAATCTCCAATTTGCTCCCAGATATCCTCTACATATTGTCGGAGCGTCTCGCTAAGTAAGCTAAGTTGCTGAAGGTAATGACGATTCTCAATAGCCAATCCAAGGGTTACAGCACCTTGAATATCACGCTGACTCGAAATTAAGTCACTGAGGTTTTGTAGCTCGGCTGTGGTGTCATCGTCAAATAGAGCTGCTTTGCCCCTTTCATGCCATCGATGACTTTTGCTTTTGTTATAGTTGGTACATTTGGCACATAGCATTACAAAGCAGCTCATGACCCTGTGGATCGTGAGGACTAGCTGTTCATCGATTTTTTCGATCCTTTCGATCTTCTCATAGATCTTGAACTGTGATAGAACGGGCTCAATCTTCAGGAAAATATCCTCAATGACAGAGTCGTAACCTGCAACTCTCTGCACTGTATCCAGCAGCAAAGACAATGCATTGAAGCAAAGCTCAGAAGGTGGGAAAGCCTTTAAAGAGTCTCTGTTAGGCCACTAGTGTATTCATACGATTTTATGGTGGTAGTACCTACCAGTGAGGCACCCTGGGATGCTACTCCACCCAGGAGTTGTACAAACTTGAGAATCTTCAGCCCAGCCACCTTTGCTTTCTTTCCACGAGTATTCTGGGCGAACTGGTTGTTCTCGATCGTTCGGCGAAGTGTCTTTAGTGAGCGCTCGGTTGTTGGCTCGAGCCTCTCCTCAGTACATCTCTCAAACTCCTCCTTCACATGTTCCCAGATTTCTGCAATTGTTTTAGGTGTCGGGTCTTCTTCTTGGTTGTATTCCATTTTGGCAGTTATGATAATTATGATATGATAAAGATTGGAATGCAAAATTCGAATTTGAGGGGCTTCAGCTTATGCCCAGTTGGTGTGCAGCGTGCTGACCGTGCGGGGTTCCTATATTTAAGCTGAGGCTGATTTGTATTGACTACCTAGATAGATGGTTTTTAGCTGGCAAAAATTACATTGTTTTCTCATAAGCCGTTCCACGGTCATCTTGGAACTTTGGACTGTTTGAAGGCAAGCTACCCATCTGTACAAACCTTTACTTGGGCAAACCTGGGAGTTGACCGAGTTCCTTTGCAAGGGATCAGGTTATGTAACCTAATTTCTTGTTCCCAAATTCTTTTGAACATGTACTCAAAATATAAAAGTTGGCAGAATTTCTCTTCCGGAATATTATTTGAAGGTGTATTGAAAACCTAAGAACCCATTTTAATCAATACGTACTGAATAACAAACATAGTGAATCAAGTGTCTAAGGTTGGTCTTTACATCAAAAGAGGGCATCTTAAGAGTCTCAAGACATGATTTCAACTTATTATCCGGCTTCATTTCATCCAGACTAAGGTTGCCGGGGTTAATTGGTGGAGATGATAGTATCAGAGGAGAAGGAGCTACAGATGAGGTGATAAAGGGATAGCCTTGGTCATCTTCGTATTCTACGTCGTACAGTAGAAAGACTAAAGAGTAAGATTATCGTAATAAATACAAAATATTTAGTACTTTCTTATATAGATCAAAGCCAACCAGAGCTATTTATTATTGGAAAGCATTACTGTTTTATAAAAGCGGTCAGAGATTTAAGCCCGTCATAGCTGTATATTATACTCCACCATGGTATACGCTAAAACGACACTCCTCAGCCTTGTTTTGCTTGTTCTGGGCTTAACAATATGAACCACTTACCACCAATGTATTATTATGTAGGGGTATTACTGTAGTCTTAATAGTAATGCAACTTCGCAGTACTTCTTAGTTCTTACCTAGTTACTCAATGATCTAATATCGTATTTGAATCGCGCATTTAATTATAGACCTAGGCTACAGCATTGACTCACACTGACTAATCCCATTTTGGTAACTAGTCATTAGTTAACCTATTAAATCAAATTTTGGTTGATAACATCTTATCTAATACGATCTTACAACTAAAAAAATACCTCCAAGGCACTCAACCTCAATTTATTCTTGCAAATTTGTATCCCGAGGACATGGGAATACGCAACAGACCAGCTAAAGAAGTCGATTTGCATGTTGACGGCCAGTGCTCCTATTGAACCCCGAAATTCCAAGGAGCGCAGTCGCTTTTAAGTAGGGACAATATAATTAAAGCACGCCGCCCAACCTTGAAGTGAAATTGATTATCAATTCAGTACGGAGTACATCCATAGAGGATCAGAGTAAAAACCTGAAAGATGGTCTTCGGTGGAAAACCAAGTACTGGATGTCACTTGTGTCGCAAGCGGAAGATCAAGGTACGGAATTATCTGCAGTGATCCATTTCGATACTAAATAGCTCCTAGTGCGATGAAGGTCGACCCGAGTGTAAAAATTGTGCTATACATGGCAAACCATGTCCTGGGTATCGAGTTGAATCAGTCTTTCGAAATGAGACCAAAAAGGTCGAACGCCAGGTCAAAACTCAATGGGCCGTGCAGCCCCAAGCCATGGACCGATATTATCCTTTAACACTGCATTCCATTGCGGATTCTACATGGGAAGAACGTGCACTTTGTTTTTTTTTCGATCAGTATACGATCGACCCAGGTGTAGAGGAGGGTATGGGCAACTTTGAATATTTGCCCAGAATGTATGTACATGTCGGCAATATCAAGGAACCACCGGCCTCGGGTCTTATATCGGCGGTCAATGCCACGGCGCTCATGACTTTCGCTAATGCCGTACATGCACCTTCGCTGATGGTCCAGGCACGTAAGAGCTACGGGAAAGCTTTACGGTCCCTTCAGTTGGCAGTATCCTCGCCTACCCAGGCAGCCCAGGACGAGACGTTCGCTTCGGTTATTTTATTATCTCTTTACGAGGATATTACAAGCGATCGCAATAATTTACTGAGCTCTCATACGGCTGGCTTTGACTTCCTGATGAAGGTCCGAGGCGAAAATCAATTAGATGACCAGCAGGGCCGAGCTATGTTCAGCTTCGCCTACATACAAACCGTACGGCTCCTTCATTTATTCCTTTTTTTAAGGATCCGATGCTAACAACTAGCTGTTTAGTATGTTGAAATTCTTATGCTAGGAGATAAGCCTCGACATGATATTGATTGGATTCAAGGGTTATTGGACAAGAACAATCCCGTTGAATCTTTAATGATCGCTACATGCAGTGTTAGCCAACTCTTTAGAGATATGCAGTCTGCAACCAGCCCGCCCCATGAAAAGACCATCAGGTCCTGGATTGCTACAAGTCATGAGTGCGATTTTGAGCTCTTACAATGGCCACTACACATACATGAAAACTGGTTGCCTTTAAATGTGTATTCTGATAACGGCGAATTCCTCATCACATATAAATGTATCGCGAAGGCCATAGTCTGGAACTACTACCGCGCCGTCCGCATCATGGTTCAGCATGTTCTGCTCGATCTGGGCCGATCCCTCACATCCATCATTCAAAAGAGTGGAAGGCCCTCAGACCCATGTGTGGCAAAGATTGAGGAGTCAGATCCCAATGCCATCATCCAAGAATTGACCACAGATGTTTGCCAAACTCTTCCATTTGCCCTTGCCGATGTTGACATCCTTGGTCGCCCTACCAAGCCTGGAGTCGGCAGATCTATTCGTTCTGGTCAAGGGTACGGGCTGCTCTGGCCCCTTTGGTATATTCTATCCAACGGCATGCCGACACCAGAGCAAATAGCGCAAATCCAATCTACCCTTTATAGAATTGGATCCACGCTCGGTATTAATCTGGCACTGACTTTGGCGCGCGAGACTGAGCCCTTGTCTTCCAATCACAAATCCAAATCCAGAGATGTTTGAAGAGATGTTGTTCTACGGAGTAAGGTGCATAGCATGGGATCTGTCAGATCTGATTAATGATGTGAGCATTTTGGAGGGAACATGTTGAAACACGGTAGATATTCTACTTTTCTACTTTCTTGGTTTTTATACAAAATCCGGAGTTTACGGCATTGGCGTACCGTGACGTCATACATGGATCTACTCCAGTGAGTCGCAAGATTTTGATGTAATCAGGACTTTTCAGATAATTGTAGATGACCATTGATGGATATTTGTAATTATATTGATAGCTATATTTTGATATCAGTACATATCAACTGTTCCTAGGCTCGATGTCCAAGGGTGCATATAATTCAGTGTGATTGACGGATCGTGCAGTGATAAGCCAGCCCCATTTGTGTCTAATGCCGGTCTAGCCGCTACCGTCCTTGATAGCTGAAGGATAAGTAGTTCGCTCTGACGCCATTCAGCATATCATATTTCTTCTTTCACTCTGCTTCGTTCCTCCATTCCTCAATCTCCCCTCTTCGGTTTGTCTTTCATCTTTTATCTTTTTTGCTTGTATTTCCTCTTTAGCAGCCATGTCTCAATCTTTACAAGAACGGACTCTTCCTTTTGGAAAGATCGAACCTAACTCGACCAAATATTTCCTCAGTTGCGCACTCGGCGGAGTCATCGGTATTGCCTCTCTTTTGTTATTTTACGAAATTCTCAGTTGCTAACCAATTCGTCTTTACTATAGCTTGTGGTAGGCGAAATCTGATGTATATATACATATCGGCTGCGGGAAATGTAATTGACAGCTCTTCCTATAGGACCGACTCATACTGCTGTAACACCGCTTGATCTGGTAAAATGCCGTCGCCAGGTTGATCCCAAGATCTATACCTCAAACGTCCAAGCATGGCGCTCAATTATTGCCAAGGAGGGTGTAAAGGGCATCTTCTTCGGTTGGTCGCCCACCTTCCTTGGCTACTCTTTCCAGGGTGCCGGCAAGTATGGTCTATACGAGTACTTCAAGTACCTATACGGAAACCAGCTGTTCCCACAAGGCAATCAAACTCTCGTCTTCCTAGGAGCCAGTGCCTCAGCTGAATTTTTCGCCGATATGGCTCTGTGTCCAATGGAGGCGATCAAGGTTCGCATGCAGACAACTCTTCCTCCCTTTGCCAACAACCTCCGTCAAGGCTGGAGTCGCGTCGTGGCTAAGGAAGGTCTCGGTGGTCTATATAAGGGTCTTTACCCGCTGTGGGCCCGCCAGATCCCTTACACTATGACTAAGTTTGCCACCTTCGAGGAGACTGTCAAGCAGATTTACAAGATTATTGGTAAGCCCAAAGAGGAGTTGAGCCAGATCTCTCAGACTGGAGTCAGTTTCCTTGGTGGATACATTGCTGGTATCTTCTGTGCCATTGTCAGCCACCCTGCCGATGTTATGGTGAGCAAACTGAATGCTGATCGTAAAGGTAAGTTTATGTCCTTTTTAAACAATACCAAGGGTCCGATACTGACTTGTCTTGCCAACAGCTGGTGAAGGTGCTTTAACTGCTACCTCGAGAATCTATGGTAAAATTGGGTTCTCTGGTTTGTGGAATGGCCTACCTGTCCGAATTCTAATGCTTGGAACACTTACTGGATTCCAATGGCTCATGTAAGTTGAAATTGTTGTCTTATTATATTTGTGCTGTGCTGACCTTGTGAAACTTGCAGCTATGATTCTTTCAAGGTGTTCTTGGGTCTTCCCACCACTGGTGGACATTAAATTGATTTTGATTGATATAGCAGATATTTTGTTGTGGATAGTTTAATCGCAAAGATACAACCTTGCATACTTACAACATATCCATGGATGTAGCTTAATTTCACAGCCTACAGGTCTGAAAAGAGGTACAGTCAACTGGTCTCCAGGTGTTTATTTTCTTATACCTACCCATGTATGCTGTAGAATATGGTTGACAAGAATGCCATCAGGTATCTGTACATAGATCCATACCTCTATATTAATCAATTCCATAATCAACCATTTACTACGAATTAACTATACGGATCCACTTTTACTAATAGTCACCGCCCTGTTTATGGCGGCAGAAACAATGGATAGGCTCGAGCTAGAACCTCCTTCCAACAGCATCCACCTTGACTTAAAAAGGCCACGCGCTTTTTGAACGCCAAGTCAAAACAAGTAATTCTTCCCTTCTACTTATCCCACCTCCAAACCTCTCGATCTCTCTTTCTTCTCTTCCACTATCGCAGATTATTACCATTTTTCATTGAACCAAACAACCTCGTTTACTTACTCGATCATATAAGAGCATCCTACCAGACCCTTTGTTCCTCTTTTCTGTACACCAAAATCATCAGACTCGATAAAACACATCTGCATAATGGACCCCCCAGTCCCACCCCCTTCAGGCCCTTCTGCAAACCCTCCTAGCGTCGAAATTGCCTACAAGCGCAAATGTATCGAACTGAAGAAACGTCTGAATGAAATCGAGACTGAAAATGAAGTTATGCGCACTCGGAACCGTCGCGGTCACCAGTACATCCAGAAAATGCGCCTCGAGTCCTGTCTGTTGCTTGAACGACTCGCCAAAGTGACTGGCATGACTGAGGAAGCGGAAGCTGGTAACCCAAGTCCAGAATTTTGTGCCCGCGCCGCTGCCTTGATGTCCAATGCTGCTTCTGTCAATGGCCTCGGTAGTGCTGCTCGTGCTGGAAACGGAGTACACCTCGATGATGAGTCTGAGGGTAGCTCCGTGGAACAGCCTCCCACTGTAGGTTCATCTCCCGAAGATGATGATGCGGCGGTGATTGAGACTACGACCACGACCTCTAAGCATCCTACCAAATGGATACACTACAAGGTTCATGTGTCATATCGCAAAAATATTTCCCCCCACATTTTTTTAGTGTTGATCTTTTTGCTAACTTGTTATAATCTAGCCCGAGGAACGACCCCTTCGCGTTAAGCGCTCTCGCAAGTCCAATGCGAACGCCGATGGCGAGGATGATAACCCCGGCCACGAAAATTCGGCTGAGCACGCCGACGGAGATGCCGGCCCAGCCCTTCCCCGTCTTGCTCCTGCTCCGACTCAGCAGGATCTCTCCTCCTCTTTCCGAGTCCAGGGCGGTAGCAATGGTACCGTCAACGATGGCGAGAGTACTCCTGCTGCAGCTAGCTCGCACAGCCACGAGAACCGCGAAGCTCAATTGGAACTTGTACACCCTGATTCGGGAGCTACCCAGTCGGATGTGGGTGTCCGCGACCTAAAAATGGAAGATGTCTAAAAGTCTTCGATATTGCTTTTTCCTTTCATTCTTATCCCAATAGTCTCTTTATCCTGATATCCTTTCTTCCTGAATTTTTTTTTTTCCCTGGTGTCTTTTTATCCTCACATCTTTTTCATATGTCCTAGCCGTGCCTAGGATATTTCTCTTTCCCAATTTCGAAAGGGCTGATACTACTACTACGCCGATGGACATGGACATGCATACCCGAGAACCAAACTAAAAGATGAAAGGTCTCCGATGTTGGTCAATTGCTTGTTTTTTTTTTTTTTTTTTTTATCTTGATGTCTTTTTTGACATCTCTTGTCTCTGGTCGCGTCTGATTGTATTTTACTCTTTCGCATCTGCTTTAGGTGCAATGTGTTTTATGCAGCGGACATGGCTTGCTTTATCCGTGGACTATGTCGATATGGGCTTACAGCTGCCCAGATGATACGGGCAATCAAAGACTTCGAACTTGAACTATGTGCTCAGAACTTGTCAATGGTACTTACGTACACAGAGAAAATATGGCATGAGAATGAATGAATATGGATGCTTTGATAAAATATGCAATCAAGAAATAGGCCGTACATTTAGAGGCTAGACGCCATAACCCCGATTCTGTATTTTGAAATAAGCAGACAGACAAACTCCAATACAAATCCATAACGCGGCCGAAAATTTATCTTGGTATTGGATGCCCTCTTCAGTAGAGTGAGAACAAGATGTAGCAGACTTTGGGGTAGATTGATTGAGAAGGATTGGTGCTGTCGAGATTGACGTCGTAATGAATATGATGTAGGGATGAAAAGAGTCGGGCAATTATTGACATCTGAAGAATTGGCGACGAGATAGAGCAATATCAGATGGTAGAATGTTGTGGCATGATGTTTTTGAGGACTTAGTCCACGCCGGCGTAAATGTCAACAAGAATGTTGATACATGCAACAACGATCTCGGCCGCAACCAAGGCGATGACTAAAAAGGTTAGAATCACTGAAAAAAAAAAAAAAAAAAAGCAGCTTAGTACTTACCAATCCATTCGAGATATTCGCCATGGCGATGTGTAAGCTGGTCCTTTAACACAGCAAGAAGATCGGCAATAACATCCAATCGATCAGTGAGCAAATTAACACGCTGGTCCATCTCCAGGTAGTTTCGGACAGCCTGGTAGACAGGCTCCAGTTGGGGCTCTGCCCAAAACAGTTCCGGACTATCAAGAACGGATCCTTGCAGATGGATGTTGATCCGTAAGATGAACAACTCTCCAATTTGCATATTGATCTCCTTGCGCGTAAGGTTGACGGTACCAGTATCGGCAATCTGCGTAGGCAACGGTGCCGTATTGGCGATGGTTGTGGACAACAGGTCCTCAAATAGAGAAGTCTTGACTGATTGCGAAATAGCATGCGAGATGGCTAGCTTGGTCATGTGGTTTCGTGGATCGCGAAGAGAGATAAAATCGTTGTAAATTCTTGCCTGGTATTCGCGCGCATAGTAAAAGTTGAAATTCTCGACCTGTGTATCATCCTGACTCAAAATTGAGGTAGCGAATTTCGACACATCAGACAGGAAGCGCGATTCTTGAGCAGGAGTCATGCCCCAGATGACGACTGTACCATAGTCGAACAGGAAGACTTCCGGGGTGTGGATCGTAATGTCGATTTCGAATGTCTCTTCAGACTGAGGAGTAATGGCTGGGTGATCAGTGCTGGAATCTCCAGCGCGCCCAGCTTCCTCATGGAAATCGATCAAATCTTCTCGTCGGGATGTTGTCTTATCTTCGACCTCCACTGCGCTGTCCGAGTAACGGCGCTCGCTGTTCCTTCCATAATAACCATTGCCTGTTGCAGAAAGGTGAATCCTGATGTCATTCTGCTTTTCTTCAAATTGATAATCAAATGGAGAATAGACACATTCATCATAAAGCTTGGGATTTGCGCCGCGGGTTTTGGATCTAGATTTAAGGAATTTGATCACGCCCTCTAGCCTGTAGGAATTGGCTGTGCAGTATGCAGTAACCCGAGGAATACGGTCGCGGTCAGCCTTTCCCAGTCGTGCGGCATGGCTTCGAGCAGCAGGCTCTTTGATACGAGTGATCTGTGAGTAGACCTCACGAGGAAAATCGGTATCTGATTCCTCATCTTCTGCGGTCACCGGATCTGGTAGCAGCTTCAACTTCTGAGCCTTTTTTGTGGTACGCTGCGGTCCAATCTTAGAAGCGACCGGCGTTGGGTTCGGAGGAGCGGAGGGAGCGCCGTGGCTGTTGCGGCGACGCAATTTGCTATTCAATGCAGAGAGCATAGGCTGACTGGCTGGTCGGGGACTTGTACCATGTGCATTGAGGTTATGAGCTGGGGGAGAGCCGGTTGTCAGTGGGCCAATAGTGGAATCCGAGGCAGTGCCACCATATATACTAATAGTCGTCAGTGGGTTAAATGACACTGATCGCGAATTCCGATTGGACCGTGGGGATGTATTGTGCTGCGTTGGCAGCAATGGAGATTCTTCTGCGGAAGCCATGGTCAAATCTGAGCCAGGCGATTCCTGGGGAGAATCAAAGCGAAGATGAGAAAATCCGTGACTTCAGAGGTTCTTGGAAGGTTGGAGCTTTGCACGTGCGAGCTCCACCTTATTAATCCTTATCAGTGACTTTGCGACCACTATACACTCACGCCGCATCCGCTCAAAATAGAGAGTATATATCTCTCTATCGCCGCCACTAATGAAGGATGGTCAGGTTCTCTTGATCTATCTCTCATCTTTTCCTCCTCTATTTCCATCTCAGCCTCCTTCTCTTCCTCCTGATCCTGTTGTTGTGGCTCATAACCATATCCTTTGTTATACTCTTTTATCCACTTCTTCTCTTTCACCGCATCTTCTTTAGCTTTCCTAGTTGTGATTGCGCGACTTGAATCACATACACGTAACATACTAGTATCCTGAAGTCCTTTAAGCTGTCGTTTAGTTTTTGGGCGGCGGAGTGGTTCTTGAGCAACCCTGATATGCTTAACTGTATCTTTACATAATTGAAGCTCTTCCTGGAGTAATCAGGAGTGATAGCAGAGACGTGTAAGCCTCCTCTGTAGCTTCGGTGTAAGAAGATCTATATGCGTAAGTAGCTTCTCCTGGCTCTTCTAAAGCGTTTTCGTGGGGTTTGGAAGAGTATCTTCGATACTAGACGATGACGGTGGCAGAGATGGTGTCGGGTCTTTAGGGAGTTTAGTAAGACCACCTTCGGTAACAGTTAACTATAAGGTCATGATCCTGCTGATTAGGGAGCTTACTTAAGACCTTATTACTATCTACAGGATACCACACTCTTTAAAAGAGTCTCGAATGATTCGTGGGTTAAAGGTCTTCTCGTATAGGGTGAATTACCGTTATAAACTCAGCCTTCATTATAGGCTCGCCAGCCCAATAAGAGATATCATTATTAAGTCCTCGAAAGTGCTGTTGATAACTTAAATCGCTTTCCATCAAGTGGCTGGCAGAGATGCGTCGAATATGGTAGAAAACAAAAAGGTATAATCTTATAGTCTTCACATTTTTATAGGAATTCAAGTGTAAATCAAAGATAAGGACACTTTTCCCTACTATAGAGTCAGTAAGAGTGGTATACCTTTCTTTTGTGTAACTATATATCACGTGCTGATACGAAGTAGTCTGATAAGAGTTAAATATCGGTCACATTTCACTGTCACAATTTCATCGAGTATTTAGAGGGGCTTTTGGCCAAGATGATGATTGATCCATTTGAAGTGCGAATGCGCTTCACCTTGCAGCTTCAACACCTTAGTGCTTCTGTCACTTCATCTCAAAAAGCTGCCCATTATGCCCTTCGATTCCGCGACCTGGATGAGGATCTTCATTCATGCATTCTTGAGCAACTGGAGAAGGTATGATGCCTTCATTTTGTTGAATCTATGTTCAACTCTACGCTTAACACAGTAATAATTCTTTAATTTACAGAATAATTTGAATACCAGAGCCAACATTATGTCCTTCATTGAAGTCCTCTGCGACCTGGCCACTAAAGAAAAACACCCCTCCTACACTCGAATGATTCAACGCGATATTCTCAGAATTGTTGATGCAGTTGTCCCACCTGACGGGACCGGGGCAGCTAATGTCAAGCATGCTCGTCGTATCCTGATCAGCCTTAAGACGAAGGGAATTCTCAGTTCTGAGACTGTTACCGAGATCGATGCAGCTCTCAAGGATCGAGACACTCATCCCACTCATCTTGACCTAGAACAAGAAGAAGGCCTGGGAGACAGTAACCTCTCAAAGTCAGGCTCAAACAAGGCTGTCCGCCTCGACAAACGCCAAATTGAGCAGCGCATCGAAGAAGACCGTGAGCGGAATAAACGTCTACGAGAAAGTATGTGGACTGTCGCTGGTGGTGATGATGAAGAATTCCAAAAACTTTGGGATGAAGCGGTTCCGTTTGTGGAAGATGACTATATCAGAATGAAAGAGGAGGCCGATGCATGTGAGGCAGCTAGAGCTTATGGTGAGGCCTACATGAAGACTCAGCGCTTTCTGTGGACTGATGGAGAAGGGGCCGCTGTGTGCGAGTCAGCCCCACCTCACTGGATGAAATCCTACCACATGCAGAAACCCCAACCCGATGGAGAGCAGACCGCAGCGCAAGCGAATGCAGCCCGCGTGACCTGGATGGAGAGCAGCAAGGGAGGAGAAAATTGACGGTGACGGAGACGATATCTTATGATTTTCACTGATTTTGTGCGCTCAAATTGTCGGCGCTGATTCTTCAACATTTGTGGTGTTATGAGGTCTCCAAAGAAATGATTCATGAAACGGAATGGGTGGTTTTGGTGTTTGGGCTGAAAGGTTTTAGTTGGTATATACCTAGATATGTTGACCTCCAATGTTCCGGAGTTCATTACAGTTCGAGTCTTCAGTGGGCTTGTGCTTACTGACCTTACTAGAGCCAAAAATAAAACGAGAATAATTTCTTGCCTTCTAAGATAGTTTGAACCCGTATTTCCAAGGTTAACTACCGAGATGTCTAAGTATTTAGGTATTAGAGACTACTATATGACGTATCGAGACCGGGAATATTCCTAGGTAAAACCTTCCTTGGAAGCGGTTTGACAGCCACAGTCACGATGGCCTAGATGCGGAGAAAAAAAGCATACAGTAGTACTATTTAGGTAGCCATGAAGGTAGTCTCGGGTAAACTTCACTCTTGTGAGTTGCTCTTCGAGTTGAAGTCAGACATGAAGAGCCGTAGCTAGATAAGTAAAAATTGTTATCGTGCCAAGACTTATACGGGTGGAGTCCCGCCCGGGTTATCTTATCACCGAGTGATTTTTTTTGGCTCTGTGACATCCAACACAGCAAACTTTCCTCCGCATATTGGACCAATTTTGACAATTATACTCTCTATGTTCTCAAACATAGTCACTGCCGCCAAGGGACTCTTCACACGTGAAGAGTCTCAAGAAAATCTGGAAAATTCTGCTGGCTCAAACATGGCGACTGCCAGACACGAAGCTGCGGAGCAGGCCCCCGATGTGCCGAAGACGAATGATACTGCCAATCAAGGGAAGCGTAAGGCGCAGCCAGCCAAAGCTGAAAAGATTAGTACCCAAAAGAGCAAGCGACAAAAAAAAAATAGCATAGAAGCTGCAGATGACGAGGACAAACCAGCATCCAATAGCAAGCTTATTCGTTTTGGAAGTGAAGAGCCTGCAGTACCAACTACTCAGCCTGAAGTTACACCTGCTGTGATAGTCGATTCCGATGACTCAGAAGATGACAGCGATGATGATGCGCCTGAGATGATTAACAACGCTTCTGAGCTCCTCAAGATGAAGGAGCAGGCCAAAAAACAAGAAAATATTAAGAAATTGTACGTGAGATTTCTTTCCTGACCCAGTATTGGCTTAAACTTTGTATTTTTTTTTTAACATCGGATGCAGAGAGGAACAATTGATGAAGGAAAAACGAAGAAAGCTGGATGAGCGCCGCAAACTTCAAGCGAAGTCAACGAAGAAGGATGTTCCTGTTATCAGCGATGACCTCCTCTCTGTCAGCACCGCCACTCTGCAAGGATCATCCACACAAGAGACACGAAGACGGGCTCTCCCTGCACTGCTTCCCGATGACATTTTGAACGCCGAACCGGCTGCCCGCCCCCTCACACCCCCAGTAGACGATCCTTTTGCTACCTCGAAAAAGTCGACCAAGCTGCTTTTCCTTGAAAAGTCGGATAAAGCACCCAAGGATGTGCAAGTTGGTGATGTTACTATTCGTGTACTTGATGCATCATCCAAAAAGCAAAATTCGAAGCCGGTCTTGGCCCCCAAGGCTTCCAAGTCAGGAAAGAATGTGAAGGATACATGGCTTAAGGGACAGCGAAGTACGGGACATGTGAACGGACTACGAAGAACAGCAGGTGGTACTTCTGGATTTGTACGCCGGTGAAATATGTTATCAGTCTATCATTTGACATTATGCATATTAGCGAAAATTTACTTGTCCAAATTCAGTAATGCTTTAGAGTGTTGATTGTATTGCTATATTGGTTACCATAGTAGCCATTATGTAAGATAAAATAAAAAGAAAAGTAAAAATACTTCAAAAACTTGGAGTAAGCTACCTGCCTACCCTAAGGTCATGGATTAGCTCATGAGATTCAAGATATCGACAGGCGGTAGTAGACTCAAACCAACTGTATACCTACACTTTCACTCTCACTCTCACCAGGGCACTATCCTCAGTGAGACCTCTAAGGCTTAGGAGTGTCGGATATTTCGATTTGAATCAGACGTGCTGCTTTAGGTTGTATCTTAAAGTTGAAAAAATAGAGTAGAAAAAATAGAGTACATAAGTATGTATCCACAGAAGAGTCCCGTATCTTGGAAGGTTAAGGCCTTATTTATGCTTCAAATCCAAGGCTGTAAGTAGCAAGAATCATAAAAGACTCTTGCAATAGATGTCAAGAGAAAGTGAAATGACAGAAAATGTACAAGTGAAGATGCTAGAAAGAAAAAGAAATCATCTGGAGCAGGTCATAGCGAGTCCCGCCCCAATGAGCTATTAAGACTGCTTGTTTCGTCATCATGGAGTAGGCCGATCTCTTCAACCCCACCTTCATCATGGAAGTTGTGGCCTCGGAGGGCCTCTTGTCGACTGAACTCAACACCATTAAGCACCGTCCATACATCTTTCTTAGTCAGTAAACCCTGCAGAATTCCTTTGTTGGAGAAAAGGACGTAGCGCAGGCCTAGTCGCTGGAACATTCGCAGCACAATCAAGAAACTAATGTTACTATTAAGCGTTATAGGGGTTTGATCCATCCAAGGTCGGAGGTCTAAGGTCTCAACAGGGTCTGCAAAGGGTTGGTGGATAAAAAAGGCCTGGGTGACATCGGATAGATTGCGATTTGCCGATGTTGAAGTCTTCAAAGCAAAGGAGAGCTCCTTGCGTGTAATATAACCAAGAAGGGTGGGAGTGGAAGGCTCCGTAATGACAGGGAATCCGCGGTATCTGGTATTTGCAAGAAGCCCGCGAAGTGAGCCAATCGTATTTCCAGTGGCTGTGATAACAGAGATATCGTCGAATGTAGTCATGACTCGACGAGCGAAGACATCTGGTGGATTGGAATCATCTCGGTGATCCAGGAAGGGATATTCGTTGAGTTGAATCCACGATTCATAGATGCCGCGCTTTCCAAATATATCACCGCACCATTTTGACAACATGACGGCAATCATGATTGGAATGACATATGTTAGGGCTCCGGTTAACTCAAACATGATAACAACAATTGAAACAGTCATTCGAGTTGCGCCACCCAGCGCGGAAGCTGCACCGATGATCGCATATAAGCCAGGGGTTACACACGGAATATCAGGTGAACATTTGCTGAAGAGGAAGGCATTTGGATAGGTCTCTTGCCACATGCGCATAAGCATTCCCAAAGCACGACCATAGAGTGCACCAATGGCGACTGAAGGAAGTATGATTCCAGCTGGGATTTCAAGTCCAAAGGTGATGGAAGCGAGGAAAAAGGCCAGGACAGCGCCGACGGCGAGAAGAGCAATTACGCCGAGAGATGCAGCACCACTAGTACAAAGACCAAAGCGATCGTACGTATCGCTGCTGCACTCCGCGAATAGTGCCTGAACAAGCTCTGTATTTTGAGCTCTCATGAAGTGATTAGGGAAATTGATCAAAGCTGTGACAAGAGCCACGACAGCTACCTCTGCAACTGGCCGCGCAAAGTTCCTAGTACGCCGCCACTTAGCAATTTTGATATTTAGACGGATTAGAAAAGCCCCGAAGAGTCCGCCCATAATGCCGAGAATTACGAATGGAATGACCTCAAAACGGTGCCATCCTCGAGTGTAGGTAACTTGATACAGCACGATTTTCCCCGTGCGAAACGGGTTCAGAGCTTGAAGGGTGACAGCTGCCACCATGGCACATACAAAGCTTTGCCACATCGTTTTGTCTGGAAAATAGTATGATAGTTGCTAGATAATGTCAGTAACTATTGAATTAAACATGTATTGTCGGCACCTACCTCCAAACTAAAGAGCACACCTCCGATGGGGGCACCGAAGGCTACAGAGATGCCTGCAGCGGCAGCTGCAGAAAGAACCTCGCGTTTGCGCGCTAGATTATTAGTCTTGAGATGAAAAAGTCAATGGTAGGGTTACACACCTTCATTTCCATTCAAACCAGGAAAAGGCTTCATCAAGATATTGGCACAACAGCATGAAACATGCACCAGTGGACCTTCCTTTCCTAGCCATAGACCGGACGCGACTGCTAGACACTAGTAACTTTATCAGTGTGAAAAAACTAGGTAATGGCCGGTTAGACATACCAATCCAAGCGACTTGATGCTTAGAGTCCAAGGTCCCATTAAATGCCGAATGACAGTGCCTCCAAGCACGGTTTTAATCTCGGGAATTCCACTGTGTTTTGCATAGATGGCGAAATTCCGCACCAGAACACAGGCAATCGAGGCAAATAGTACCGAAAAGACGATGTAAAACAGAAAATCGATTGTGTATTTCCCCCCATGAGAAGGCACACCAAGAGCATTCCCCCAAGTAGTCCAATCCATACATTTGGAATAATCTAATTATCGAAAGCAAATCGTTAGGATCTGAATGCACTTGAAAATAACTTGTGTTAGACTTACCATTAAGACCCCAGCAGCAGAAACTGCGATTGAGATAGAATTTGCCTCCATTGCCAGTTTTGCAGTAGCCGGTTTTAATATCCCCAAGCCAATCAGTTGCGATATCTATGAACGCAGCAATTATGCCGACAGAAATTCCTGTTCCAATCAAGACAATCCATATATTGCTACCCTCAAGAAAGCGACGGATGTATCCCGTAATACTTTGGCCGCTTGAGTATAGTAGACGCTTCCGTTGCCGCTCTCTGGTATATTCGTAGATCCAATCAATGGCTGTGAAGTCGTCGTATCCCACGCGTCGGCCAGGGCCCTCTATGTACCAGTCTAGAGGTGCGCCATCTTTAGAGCTATTTGGATCTGCGTTTAATCCAACGGGATTGTAAGCATCAAGTGGGGAGGTATCTCCAGTATGTCCAGGAGAGTCTGAGAATCCGAGTCTCGAAGTCGAACCGCTGGCGGTATTCGAGAAGATATTTGATAGACTGAATCGCGATTTTGGCTTTGGCTTTGGCTTAAATGAGATTCTGTCAAAAACACAGTCAGATACATAATCGAGGATTCTAGTCTAGGGATACCTACGGTTGGTGCAGCCCTTCGGCGTCGCGAAGACGTTCCTGGGGTTGTAAGAGATCCGATTCATACAAGTGTGCTGCTGCTCCAGGCTGGCTATCGCTGGTCTCACCCTGATCTGTTATTGACATTTTGAACCATTAATACCTGCACAAACAGCATTCTCCAGCGCCAGAGAGATAGTGTCTTTATCGCAATTGGATCGGAACTGCATTGAACTGCATAGCTTAGTGTGGCTTAGTCATGCCAATTATGGCAGGCGGTATAAGCCTCCAGTGGGGCTAGACGTCGAAGATATGGCAGAAAAAAAAAGTTGATAGGAATTCTTTACTTCCTCTTGTACCCTAAAAGAGTGTCTCTACGCAGCCGGGCTCAAATATGGACGTAAGGCCCGTCTACGAGAGGACTCTTAATGAGTCCCAGCTACTCGAGCAGCTACCGAAGGAGATCTCAAGTCTCATTCAGTCTACGCCAGGGACTCAACAGCTACACGCGCTTGCGCTTGGCGCACTAAAAACACAATTTACTGAAACTATTTTCCGACTCTACGAACCAATCTTTGTTGACCTAGCCGCTCGATGGCTTCGGTCAGATATTAATGCGGATTACATTCACATCTTGGCCGCATTCGCCCGTATCCTACCCTTTTCGCCTTACCTGCGATGCTTTGCTGGCCAATATGCATTGTCGCAGGCTGGACCTCTATCGGCACTAGCAGGCTCAAAAGAATTGACTCTGCGACAGCTAGATCAAAGTAGTGCTCAAACTTTACTTCTCGCACTATTTCGACTTCTCTCGTGTGACCTCGAGACTTTCTCCAACGCAGTATCCCCGATCCAACTGCAATCTCTGTTCCCACACGAAGATCCCGTAATTCGATACCTCGCCATTCGATGCTTTGCTCTCTACATGCATGCAGCAGATGCTGCCACCGAGAAGATGTTGCGCGTCAATACTGGCACCGACCCCATCAAAGGAGAATGGGAAGGTATTATCATCGACTATCGTCTTCTAGGTCTGTGGGAAGAGCGACGATGGGAATCCTTTGGCAAAACCATCCAGCAAGAGCGATCCCAGCGATCAGATATTGAAGAGACAGCGTTGGTTGAGAGGTTGCGTGACTCTTTGACTCCCCGGTCTGCCGATGTATGCGGCGTCTTAATTCCTCGCTTAAAGGACGGACAGTCATCATCCCTCTCATCCTCCTCTATCGTGAAAACCCCCACAGCAGTAGAGAATCAACGTCGTATCGCAAAGTCACTTCTTGGCTCCAAGCCTGTTTTGTTGGTAGGATTACCGAACTCCGGAAAAACTTCTCTAATCAATGACATTGCAATCACTATGGGTCAAGCAGAATTGATGGTTACGCTGCATCTAAATGAACAGACAGATGCAAAGAGCTTGCTTGGAATGTATGCCACATCTTCCGCCACGGGATCGTTCTCCTGGCAGCCTGGCGTCTTGACCAAGGCTGCGAGGGAAGGCCGCTGGGTGCTGATCGAGGATCTCGATCGTGCCCCTTCTGAAGTCATCGGTTTAATTCTCCCAATAATTGAGAGAGGCGAATTGACCATTGCCAGCAGAAGAGAGCGGATCAAGTGTGCTGAAGGCTTCAAGATAATTGCAACCATGAAGTCTTCGTACAATATCGCTGGCGAGGAGATCACTCCAAACGCCTCAATTCTTGGCAGCCGGCTGTGGCAGAGAGTTCAAGTCTCATCTCTTCCCATTGATGAGATGCGAAATGTCATTTTGCAAAAGTACCCCTTACTAGAATCTCGCGTGCCAATCCTTATGGATGTATACGGACGAGTTTGCGCCGCATTCCATGGTAGCCTTGCAATCAGGGGCTCTCAGGGCCGAACTCCTGGATTTCGTGACTTGATTAAATTATCTAGTCGGCTTCATAAGCGCCTGCAACGCATTGGTGCCAAAACTGGCTTTGAAGCGACCCCCGAAGCTATTGATGATGAAATTCTTCTGGATGTCGTGGACATCTTCCTGAAGTATATTCCAGATAAATCGATGCAAAATGCCCTCGCTTCCGTTGTGGCCGAGACCATGCAGATATCTCCTCAGCGAGCGCAATTTTGTCTCCATGAAAGAACTCCTACTTACATGGATAAACCTAATAGCCTTGTTCTTGGACGAGAAGTTTGTCAAAAGATTAAAATGCCAGCTGGCTCGGCTTCGAAGCTTACAGCAGCAGCCGCCGCATCACGTTTCGCTTCTACAAGATCAGCTTTGGCAATCATGGAGCAGGTGGCTGCATCAGTACAAATGGCGGAGCCGGTATTACTTGTCGGAGAGACCGGCATTGGAAAGACTACTGTTATCCAACAACTCGCCACTTTGATGCGGCAAAAGCTTACTGTGGTCAATCTGTCGCAGCAAAGTGAAAGTACTGATTTGCTGGGAGGTTTCAAACCTGTCAGCATTCGTACAATGGCCGTTCCGATGTTGGATGAATTCAATCAGCTGTTCGAACTCACATTTTCCGCTAAGAAGAACCAAAAATTTATGTCTTCTGTAGCCAAGTGTGTTGCTTCTGGAAACTGGGTGCGTCTGGTAAATCTCTGGCACGAGGCTGTCAGACTGGCCAATGGGGTGTTCAATCCTCAGCAGAAAGAATCTGAAAATGGGGAAGAGCAACCGTCCAAAAAGAGAAAGTTGGACTCCCCGAAGTATCAACATCTGCGACAGCGGTGGGAAAGTTTTGAAACTCAGCTTGGAGATTTCGAAGCCCAAGTATCTCAAGGTGATGCTAAATTTGCCTTTGCCTTTGTTCAAGGAAAGATCGTGAGAGCCTTGCGAAATGGTGAATGGGTTTTGCTGGACGAAGTCAATCTAGCATCCCCTGACACTCTCGAAAATATTGCTAGTCTTTTGCATCATGGCAGTGAAGGGTCTCCGTCTGTATTGCTCTCAGAAGCCGGTGAAATGGAGAGAATTTTCGGCCATCCTGATTTCCGCATTTTTGGTGCCATGAATCCTGCAACAGATGCTGGTAAACGGGACCTCCCACCAGGCCTAAGATCCCGTTTCACTGAATTTTATGTTCACTCCCCCGATACCGACCTAGATGATTTACTCGCTTTGATTCAAAAATACCTTGGAGACTTGACAATTCGTGATCAGCGAGCCGCGCCAGACCTTGCACAATTATACATGGAGGTCAAGACACTAAGCAATAACAACAATCTCACCGACGGTGCTGGCCAACGACCTCATTTCAGCATCCGAACTCTTGTTCGCGCCCTTATTTATGTTATAGATCATGCACATGTCTATGGACTGCGTCGAGCAATTTTTGAAGGGTTCAGTATGAGCTTTTTAACTGTGCTCAGCTTGGAGTCTGAGCGATCGCTTGTGCCTCTTCTTGAAACATTTATCTTTGGAAATGCGAGGAACGCAAAATCTCTTCTTGGTAAAACCCTCCAGCCACCCACAGATGGTAAAGATTATGTCCAATTCAAACACTACTGGATGCAACGCGGCCCGTTGATTCCGGAGGAGCAGCCGCATTATATTATCACGCCGTTTATCGAGAAGAATCTGAAGAACTTGGTCAGAGCCAGCTCGACACGGCGGTTCCCTGTTCTGTTGCAGGGTCCTACCTCTGCAGGAAAGACAAGTATGATCGAATACCTGGCAAAGGTCTCTGGTAACAAATTCGTTCGCATCAACAATCACGAACATACAGATCTACAAGAATATCTGGGTTCTTACATCTCTTCCGATGATGGCAGTCTTCGTTACCAGGAAGGTGTTCTGGTCGAAGCTTTGCGCAAAGGATACTGGATTGTTCTTGACGAGCTTAACTTGGCCCCTTCAGATGTTCTTGAGGCATTGAATCGACTTTTAGACGATAACAGAGAACTCTTCATCCCCGAAACCCAGGAAGTTGTTCACCCTCATCCCAACTTCATGCTGTTCGCCACTCAAAATCCAGCTGGTCTTTATGGCGGCCGCAAAGTTCTATCGCGCGCATTCCGAAATCGTTTCCTTGAGCTGCACTTTGATGATATCCCCGAGAGTGAGCTCGAATTTATCCTGAAAGAAAGATCTCAAATAGCGCCTTCATTCTGCACACGAATTGTCTCAGTGTATCGTAAATTGTCACTCCTTCGCCAATCAAACAGGCTCTTCGAGCAGAAGAACAGCTTTGCGACTCTTCGTGATCTTTTCCGTTGGGCTCTTCGCGAAGCTGATGACCGTGAGCAGTTGGCAATCAATGGTTATATGCTCCTGGGCGAGCGCGTGCGAAATCCCCAGGAGAAAGCTGCTGTCAAGAGTGTGATCGAAGAAGTCATGAAAGTTCGTTTGGACGATGATGTTTTGTATAGTGCAGCCCAGCTAGAGCAAAGCATTCCCCAACTTACAGAATTGCCTGCTGGAATTGTCTGGACGAAGGCTATGAGACGTCTGTTCATTCTGGTCTCTAAAGCCCTCAGAAATAATGAGCCAATCCTTCTTGTTGGCGAGACTGGTTGCGGTAAAACTCAACTCTGCCAGGCGGTCGCTGAAGCCTTCAAAAAAGAGCTGTTTATTATGAACGCTCATGTCAACCTCGAGACAGGTGATCTTATTGGCGCTCAAAGGCCCATTAGAAACCGTGCAGCTATCGAAAAACAGCTTATAGACGATCTTCAGATTCTCCTTCAAGGCGACGCATCTGTATCTCATTCTCTCGACCAACTCAAGGAACAGTTCTCTGCTCTTGATGCGCAACAACGACAAGATAAGGACAAAGGTCTTTTACACAAGATTGAAAGAAACCTGGTCCGTTGCAACGCCCTCTTTGAGTGGTCCGATGGAAGTCTCATAACTGCCATGAAAACAGGCCAATTTTTCCTCCTCGACGAGATTTCTCTTGCCGATGATTCGGTTCTGGAAAGACTCAACAGTGTTCTCGAACCGCATCGATCCATTCTTTTAGCAGAGAAAGGACCCGTTGATTCCATGATTGTGGCAGATGGAGGTTTCCAATTTCTATCAACTATGAATCCTGGTGGTGACTACGGAAAGCGAGAGCTTTCAGCTGCTCTGCGCAATCGTATGACCGAAATCTGGGCCCCCCAACTGTCTGAAGATGAGGACATTCTGCCTATTCTACAGATGAGGTTAACTGTTCAAGACGAGCAAGCTGCCAAAGGGATGTTGCAGTTTGCAAAGTGGTTTAAAGCAACCTTCCAAAACACTTCAACTACCTCACTATCGCTTCGTGATCTTCTTGCCTGGGTAGACTTTGTGAATACAAGCCAAAGCACAGATAAGCCGTTCGCTATAATTCAAGGTGCAGCCATGGTGTTTGTCGACACTCTTGGCGCCAATCCCGCCGCCATGCTCGCAATCTCTCTCAGCAATCTCGAAGAAAATAGACAGAAATGTCTCGTTAAGTTGAGTGAAATTTTCAACGTCAACGCCTCCGATATCTATGGGCAATCGGCGACCGTATCTTTGGAACCAGGCTTCTTGCGGGTCGGTCCATTCTCACTCCCTACAGTTGGGGAAACAGACCCCGATCCTCAATTTACCATGGATGCTCCTACCACCATCGCCAATTCCGTGAGGATCGCCCGTGGTCTTCAGTCATCGAAGCCAATTTTGATGGAAGGTAGCCCTGGTGTCGGTAAAACAACCTTGGTCACCGCACTTGCGAAAGCCCTTGGAAAACCCCTTACTCGAATCAATCTTTCTGAACAAACAGATCTTACAGACCTGTTTGGATCCGATGTTCCAGTTGAAGGAGGGGATATCGGTCAGTTTAGTTGGCGTGATGCTCCATTCTTGCGAGCCATGCAGCGTGGCGATTGGGTTCTATTAGATGAAATGAATCTGGCTTCACAATCTGTTCTTGAAGGTCTGAACTCGTGTCTTGATCACCGGCAGCAGGTTTACATTGCGGAACTCGACCAGACATTCAAACGGCATCCGAACTTTGTGCTTTTCGCCGCTCAGAACCCTCATCACCAGGGTGGCGGTAGAAAGGGTCTTCCTGCATCCTTTGTGAATCGTTTTACGGTCGTATACGCAGACAGCTTCACAGACGACGATCTAAAAAGGATTTGTGCCAAGCTTTTCCCCGGAAGCCCTTTCATCCAAACTGAAAAACTTGTTGATTTCATCTCTAGCTTGAACAAAGCAATCGTCACCGAGCGTCGCCTGGGCGCCATTGGCGGGCCATGGGAAGTCAACCTGCGAGACGTTCAAAGATGGCTACAATTAGCAGACAGGGGCAGTTTGCAAATTCCGACCAAAAACTTCATCGATATCGTCATCAGTGGGCGGTTCAGAAGCGAGGCTGATCGTGAGATAGTGTCACAGATTTACAATAGCATCTTCACAGACTTGCCTGTTGGCCAAAAAAGCTACTACCACAACCTCACCCCGGAGTACATGCAGGTTGGATTGGGTGTTATGACTCGAGACACCATTCTACAGAGATCGATTGAACCAAATTTGAAAATCCTTCCAAAGGATCTTCAAATTCTGGAATCGCTCATTCTATGTATCGATAACTCTTGGCCCAGCATCTTAGTTGGCCCAGCAGGGTGTGGTAAAACTACCCTGATAAAAAAGCTTGCTGCTCTTAACGGTGCGGCCTTGGAGGAGTTGGCTCTCAGTGCCGACACTGATACTATGGACTTGATTGGTGGGTTTGAACAGATTGACCACAGGCGCGAGGTTTCTTCATTTGTACACGATGTGCAGGCCTTCCTGCATCATCAAGTGATTCACTCATTTGCTTCTGGAGAGGTTTCAGATGCCGTGGCCTCGGCTCTTTTCATTTGCCAGCACTTCCAAATGTCTGAGACCTCGTTGGAGACGGTGATTTCTTCGCTATCCGAGCTCTGCAAGTTTTACCTCGATCCAACTCTTCAGCAATTCCTTGAGCGAGCACAAAAGCTATGGCAAGTCATTCAAAACTCCGAGAAGATGAAAGTCGGATTTGAATGGACAGAAGGAGTTCTCACTCGAGCCGTTCAACAAGGAAACTGGGTGGTCCTTGACAATGCAAACTTGTGCAACCCGTCTGTTCTGGACCGATTGAACTCTTTGATGGAACCCAATGGAACACTCATCCTTAATGAGCAACGAACTGAGGATGGATCTGCGCGAATCATCACACCTCACCCGAATTTCCGCATCTTCTTAACCATGGATCCTCGCCACAGTGAGCTTTCTCGTGCCATGCGAAACAGATGTGTTGAAATCTGTTTCATGTCAAACGATGTTCAGGATTTTTCTCCAACAATCAGCCCTTCTTATACCTGCGAATCCTCCCTATACCGACTGCGTCACGTTTGGAACCTGAACACTGCTCTGCCATCTGTTCCCTTCCAAGACTTGTTTGAAGTCTGCCTTGATCATCTTGCCCCCGCCGATTTGTCTTATCTTCAAAAGTCTTCTAGCTCATGTCTGCCTGAAAACAATGTGAAGCAACTTGCGGAAAGCACTATGCAACGCTACGCATCCATTTTGGGCGAAAGTGAGCAATGGAAACCCCTTAGTTTCATTGCCGGCGAAATAGTCGTGGCCGGAGCGACTCTGAGCATGCAAGGAGCACTACAACCCATTCATCCTCTTGTCAATGAGCCCTTGGTGTCAATCGCAGGATCAAGCGAATATCGCTCAAATCTTGTAATCCTGACTTACCTCCAGCAGTTTAAGCTTGAGGTACACCGCCTCCGACAAAACTTGGTTCAAGCTCACGATTCTGGCAAACAACTGAAACCAAGCCAGATGACTCGCTTGGAACGATCATTGGCTTCGAGCCGGATCCAGTCACTGATGAAGGATTCCACACAACCTGTTGGCCATTTCCTTTCTGATTGTGGCCAAGCTTTATATGACTATATTCAAAATTTGGATGTGACCAGCCTTCAATCCCCCGAAATTGCAAGTGCACTTCAGACTATCATCTGCCTTTGCTGGGACATTTATCGCGCAACAGATGTAGACCAGGTTGATGAGGGTGAATTCCAGGTTTATCTCCAGGTTGGTAGGAAGGTCTGCGCATCTCTACTCAGCTCATCTCCTCGGCTGAAGCCATTGGAAAGTGCTCTATCACATGCACTGGCCCGCTTTCAAGCTGGCTGGGCATTGACTACTGGACTTAGTATGCAAAGGATCTGGGATGATTGGAGACATGTCACACCTTCGTCGCAGAAGCAGTTGAACTCTCTTATTGAATTAGAAGAAACTGTTGCTGAGTTCACCACACTTGCGTTACAGACGCGTGTGGACTTGTCTCAGCTGAGTGGTATTTGGGACTCATTGATAAACGCCCATCGATTCATTCTTACAGATGGTGCCGATGGTGATGTTCTTGTTCAGGGTATCAAGCAAAGCGTGGCTGAGCTTGGTCAAGCTGTTCGCCGCTCTGACTCAGTGCAGTATCCCTACTTTGCAGAGGAGTTTGAAGCCTTATGCCAATATCGCGATATTGCCCCTGCCGAAAGCTCTCACGGCAACAATGAACAAGCAGTGAAAACAATTGTTCCGTTGCTTGCCGGTCGCCCTGCTCGATCACTAGACTCGTCTGCTTCGCAAAGCCGAGTTCCGGAGATTCTTCATAGACTTGCATTGTTTTCGGGTGCCGGGAACCCCACGGCTTCCCCGTTGGCAATTGGTGGTGTTCTGCCATTATCTTTGCTAAGTAAATTGTCTACTGTGGGTGTTACAACCTTAGGCCAGATGGATATGCTACAGGCCGAAAAACGTGCACTTTCAAAGGCGGTATCTTTGAGCACTCAACATATTGCAATGAGCCAGTCTGGCAATCTGAAACGTGCCCTCTCCTCGCTGACGATTGAAGTCATCTCTTGTCACCGGGAATTTTTTGAGCCGGGTTGTGCTGAGTGCTTAATCTCAGGTCTGCAAGCCATAGAGACTGGGAATCCTGTGGAGTTCCCCATTGCGATTCGCTTAAACCAAGCCATTGAAGAAGGTCATTTCTTCAAGAACTTTGCCGAGACTGCCCTTCCGGCGCTCCTTCGATCTTTGACATCGACCTTGCCTGATAGCGAGAGAGATATTCATGGCACCGGGCTCGCAGCAGTTCAACTAGCAGTAATCCTTCTCCGGCTATTCGTGCCAGACAAGTCTTTTGATCCTTCACTTGGACTTGTTGTTCAACGTAAAAGATACTATCAGCGACTTGACGAAATTAGTGCTAAGTCAAACGCCATTCTCTTTTTTGAGAGCAAATTCTCCGGTCAGCCATCTAACCTGCGGTCTGTTCTTCTTCAAGAAGACACTAACGAATTGGGCTCTGCTCCACCACCATCATCTGTGACTCGACCAGACAAATCAGAGCTTGGCTTGTTGCATGGAGAGTTCACGAACTTGATCAATTCGGTTCTCAACAGGAAGCCAGACCTGATGATTGAATCTATCAATTCCGCTTCTCAATCTCACGAAATGATTAAGCTCCTTCGTGAGAACATTCATCAGCTCAGCAACCGCCTCAGCACCTATTACAGATCATACGATGATATCACTGTGCCGATAGTTCGCTTCCTTCAACTTCTCGATCTTGGTCTCTTCTTGGGCTCTAGTCAAACCGAGAAGCCTGGTGAAATCAAAGATATTGAGTCCCTGAGCCACCGCACTCCCTTCCTGGGAGGTATAACTCACCCAGTCCTTTCCCAGGACGATGCCTTCCAGGCCTCGAGCTCAGCAAATGTAGTTGAAATGCGACTTCACGAATTGTCCGCTCTTTGGGTTGCCAATGAAGCGGACTCCACGATTCTTCAACTCACATCTGGCCGACAGACAATCCGCCGTATTTTTGCAGACTTCCACTACCTCTGGAAAACAAAACTTCAAGAGGATCAAGAGAAGGAAGCCGAAAAGTCTGAACTTTACCGCTACCGAGGCTCATGGGAGGATGAAGAAGAGATCGATGAAGCTGAGCTGCACCAGATGTTCCCGACCTACGAGGATGAGATGGCTCCCAGTGATCTTCATGATGTAGATCAAATTGATCCTAGAATTATCGCCGTTCGTCTTGCTGCGCTCCACGCGAAGATTGTGGGTGACAGCAGTACTGGAGATGCGATGCCCACTTTTGTTAAACAAACTGGTCGTATCTTGGGATCGATGTGGTCGAAAATAAGTAATGACTTTTCTCCAATTTCCCCTCAGCAACATCTGCCTGCCGTGTTTCTACTCCTTGACGATGTGGTAGGCGAGGACTCCTTGGACCGGAAAAAGAACTACAATTTCTACACCGATTACAACGGAGTTGAAGCAAGACGGCTGGTTACTCTTGCACTCTCAGTGCAGTCACGCTTTGTTCAGATTCAAATCGCGTGGCCAGAGCACGCTGTGCTTCAAGATGTCATTACCTGCTGTTCAGAGATTCTACAATTTAAGCACACTGAGCCAGTCGCGAAGTTTTTGACAAAGGTCGAGAAGCTTTACTCTCTTGTCCATGAATGGCAGCTTGTTGCTAGCAGGGAATACTCGGCTGCTTCTTTGTATGATGAGATTACAAACATGATTATCAGTTGGCGTCGTCTTGAACTTACGACGTGGGCCAAACTGTTGGATCTTGAGAGAGATCGGTGTGAGGAGGATGTTAGTTCGTGGTGGTTTGTCGCCTACGAATCCCTTCTCGCGGTTCCTCTTCAGATGGCAGAGTCTGGTGAGAAGGATATGACAGAGCACACCCAAGGTGTCATCTCAACTCTTGAACTATTTTTCACTTCTACCACCCTGGGCCAATTTTCTCGTCGCCTCCAGCTTGTTTCTAATTTCGAAGCTATTCTCTCCATATTTGCTATGGACTATGACTGCTTGATGCCCCTCGTGTCTGCACTGAAGAACTTTATTTCTCATTTCCGACCATTTGAACCTTCGGTCACCAAGATTTTGCAGGATAAGAGATTGACACTGGAGAAGGACCTCAAGGAGCAAATCCAGCTGGCCAGTTGGAAAGATACCAATATTGTTGCGCTCAAAGCAAGCGCCCGAAGATCGCATGTCAAGTTGTTCAAGTTGGTGCGCAAGTTCCGTGTGGCTCTTTCTCAACCAATTCAGCCGGTTCTCGAGCAAGGAATTTCCGAATCCTCCAGCGAAATTACCGCATCTTCCACGCCAACTGCACTGTCAACAATCGTTCGTCCTGAGGCACTGTCTATCTGTCAAAAGGAACAAAGCATCTGGTCTTCGAGAGCCCTTCGATTTCAAAATCCAGATGGCACAGCTCGTAATATGATGAATCTCTATTCGTCTATCCCGTCTGAATTTGACATTGCCGAAGAACTTGATGGGTTTACTGTTTCTGTAATTCAGAGCATTGAGGAATTTAAGACTCAAACGCCGAAGACCCTGACAGAGGAGAACAAGGATGATGTGCAGCATCTCAAGATTCAAAAGCGTCGTCTTTACGCCGATACTTTGAAGACCATCTTCGAGATGGGTGTTAAACGCAATGCCGGAACCAGCTTGCTAGAGACTCAAGTGTCTCTCGCGCAAGTTTTGGCTACGAGTGCCGCTTTTGAATCTGGTACTACAACTTCTAGATTTATCCAGAGTGCAGATTCCTATTTCCATAGGCTTCTGGATCTTCTGCCTCGCGCTCGCTTGGCATCACGCAACTACTCTGAAGACCTGAGTAACGTTGAGGTCTTCAGAAGCATAGGCTCTATTGAGCACTTCTTGTTCATGATTCGACGACAGAGAAGTATTCTCTCGCCTGCCATTTCTCACATTGGTTCCTTGAAAGCTACCCTTGACAAGATGGATCATCTGTGGACAATTGGCCCCGAATCACTTGCCAAGATTAGCAGTACCGCCGTGGAAGAACGGAACAGTCTTACCAGATCCTTGGCGTGGTTGATACCTATCCTTGGACTTGCCTCGACAATTATCGAAGTTCATGCTAAATTTTCTGGGCTGGAGGCCTCCTCCATCATCAATGAGCTTCGGTCAAGAAAATCTTCATTTGAGGAATCGCGCAAATCTCTTGAGTCTCTCCCGATACTACCCCCAGGAATGACATCCACCCTGGAGCAGGAGCTTACCGAGAAGGCTCGGTCACTGCTTAATCAACTGCGGCTTGATGTGAACCAATGGTCGCAAAATCGACCGGATCTGACTTTTGCACTGGGTCAGATTTCTCCATGGATTCAAGCCAACAGTGTTGCTGTTGCCAATTCCATCAGCAATGGCACTGTGTCCATTGAGAGCTTTGATAGCAGCCTCATGGCAGCTATCGACAAAATTCTGGTTGGCCTTCAAAAGCTCAAAGATGTACCTACAGCTCTTGACTTCCCCGGTCTTATATCCAGAAGCGATGAGTTCTTCTCGCGGGCCTCCAAAGCTGTACATGTCCGCGAAATCACCGTTTCAATCACGGGTGTCCTCGACCAATTGCAAAATTTGCAAGACGTCTCTTCAGCAACTTTTCCGGTTGCTGCTGCTCTGGTTTCCAGTATCCTTCCCATTGCCAACAAGTACTACGAGATATGTCAGGACCTCACAGGCCGTTTTGTCTCTGTTCATCGTCAAATCTGCAAGACCTCTTATGTCTTGACTAAGACTTTCACTCAGGTAGCATCAGAGGGTCTTTGCAGTCCTCTTGAAGCATCCCGAGAAGAAGGCAATGATAGCAAGATAGAAAGTGGAACTGGTCTTGGTGATGGCGAGGGTGCCGAAGACATTAGCAAGGATATTGGAGCTGATGAAGATCTCTCGGAGCTCGCACAACAAGAACAAAAAGATGATGCCAAAGAGGACATAGATGACTCCGCTGATGCTGTCAATATGGATCAGGAAGAACTGAATGCCGAAAATGGTGATCATGAAGAGAAAGAAGGCGAAGATGAGGACAAAGACGATGGTTCTGAGGAGGAGAATGATCTTGATGAGGAAGTGGGTAGTGTAGATGGTCTCGATGCTGGCGCCGTTGATGAGAAGCTATGGGACGGTGCCAATGACGAGCAGCAGAAAGAGACCGAGAATGAAGAAGGCAAGGGTCAAGAGGAGGCTGATCAATCCGCTGCACAAGAGCCAAAGAAAGATCAAGAGGAGGGTCAGAAAGGAGACGAAGAAGGAAGCGAGGAAGAAGATGAAGAAGATGAAGAAGCACCTGAAGATGAAGGCGAGGCTGTCGGTCGTGAGGATATGGATGTGACCGATCCTCAGACTAAGGAGGAAGAAACGCTGGATCTCCCCGAGGAGATGCAGCTTGATGGCGATGAGAAGGAGGGAGCTGATGAAGGGGATGACGATGATGGCATGGATGACATGGATGATATGCCACCTCTTCCTGAAGAAGAAGGAAAGGTTGAAGACCAAGATGATCAGCCAGGTGATGAAGACTTGGATATGGATACGGCTCCAGATGAGCAAGTCCCCGGCGAAGATGAGGAGATGGTCGATGAAGATGATCCCAGCAAAGCTGATGCTGGTGAGGAGGAAGAGACTGAAGTCGGAGGGGAAGACCCAGAGGAGCCCGACCAAGATGAGTTCCTTGCTCAGCGTGATGACAATGAAGCCGCCGGTGAAGATGTCGCCCCTAGCGAGGCCGTGACAGGCGGACTTGCTGCAGATCAAGACCAGAATGAAGACAAAGGTACTTCTGGAGATGCCCAGCAAGAAAGCGGCTCGAATGACCCCACTGCTAGTGCCGAGCAGAAGACTGGCGCTGCCAAAGACAGCGAAGAAAGCAAGCGAAGTCGTGATGCCGGCGGTGCTGAGGACTCGGCTCCCAATGATCCTCAAATTCAGGCCTTCAAGAAGCTTGGAGACATTCTGGAGCAATGGCACCGGCGTCAAAAGGAAGTTCTCAATCCGTCTCAAGAAGAAGAGGACTCGGAAACTCTTCCCCAAGACACAGATATGGCGGATGCCGATTTCGAACACCTCAAGGACGATGAAGATGTGGCCGACACTCAAGCTCTGGGACAAGCAAACGATGATCAGGCCCAAGCTCTGGATCAGAATAAGGGCGTGGAATCTGATATTAAGCCTGGTGAGAACGACGTTTTACCAGATGCGATGGACGAACAAGATGCTGTCGACAATCAACTCCAGGATGAGATGCAACTGGACCGCGACGCAGCTCCTTCTGACAGTCAGCTCGCTGGAGCTTTTATTCCTGGCGATCACTCCTCTCGGGATCAAGCAGATGGCGCCCCCGGAGCTGAAGAAATTACAGACGAGTTGGACGAAGTCGACACACAGCTCGCAGCCATCCATCTCTCATCTTCTCTTGCACCCTTAACACCAGAAGTTGAAGCTCGCCGTCTCTGGTCTCATTACGAATCCGCTACAAACAACCTTTCCCTCTCCTTGACCGAACAGCTTCGTCTCATTCTCGCTCCCACGTTGGCTACTAAGCTTCGCGGTGACTTCCGCACCGGTAAGCGACTCAATATCAAACGCATCATCCCCTACATTGCCTCTCAGTACAAGCGTGACAAGATTTGGATGCGCCGCTCAATTCCCTCCAAGCGCAACTACCAGATCATGCTCGCCGTTGATGACAGCAAGTCCATGCTAGAAAGTGGTAGTGGCCAGCTCGCCTTTGAAACCTTGGCTCTGGTGGCTAAAAGTCTAAGCATGCTTGAGGCCGGAGATCTGTGCGTCCTCGGCTTCGGTGACGAAGACCACGTTCGCGTCGCACATGAGTTTGGCAAACCATTCTCCTCCGATGCTGGTATGCAAGTCTTCCAGCACTTTAGCTATCAACAAACTGGTACAAATGTGCGCAAGTTGATTGCTGATTCTATCGCCCTGTTTCGCGAAGCTCGCTGGAAGCGCTCTCCAGGCTCTGGGTCCGGAGATCTCTGGCAGCTTGAACTGATTATTTCCGATGGTATTTGCGAAAATCACGACACCATTCGCCGGCTTGTGCGACAGGCACTTGAGGAGCGTATCATGATCGTCTTCATCATTGTCGATGCTATTAAGGGAAGTTCTATTCTCGATCTGTCACAGGCCAGCTTTGAGGCTGATCCTGCCTCTGGTGGTGAGATGAAGTTGAAAATGAAGCGCTACCTTGAGGGTTTCCCCTTCCCCTACTACCTTGTTGTTCGTGATGTGCGTGAGCTTCCTTCTGTTCTGGCTACGGCCCTTAAGCAGTGGTTTGCTGAAGTTGTGGATGTTTCTTCTTAATTCACCAAAAGAAACACTGTCATTTCTGATTATTTGTACTCATCTTAGTGGCGTTTAGGCTTTACATAGAATCTTTAGATTTTAAATTTTGAAAATAAAATACAGATCATATTCTTCAGAAAAACAAAGAGCAAAAGTATCTAGATTTGGTCGGCGTGGCGTCATGTGACGTCGCAACTGAAACCTTATGTACGTTTATGCTTAATCTTACTACATGGCCAAATACTTAAAAAGACCTAAATGCTTTCAGACTAATTCAAGTATACTGTAATACATCGTACGGTTACTACGATATGAAAATATTGGAAAAGATTGCTTTTCAAGTTATTTATGGATCAACCCAAAGGAAGCTTGATAAGTACCATCGCACGATCACTCAAGGTACATCTGTCGTGAACTATAGCCAAGGCTTATCGATGCACTTTATCTTGACTAAATGAATATTGACAGATACCGCTCTCGATGACTTACGCGTTTTTCTGACGCGTTATCGAGCCGGAATTAATGCCAATGTGATATTTGACGCGTGCTGCGTCAAGGATCACCCCCAGGGGCAACCATGTAGGTGATTTCTCCCTGCGATAAATGCCAGGGTCCTAACTAATTGCCACCCTGATACTGATAAGATTGGATAGATTGGACAAAGGAAAGCCTTTGCGATCACATTACAAAAACGCAGGGCATTATCATTCCAGAGATAGCCATCAACGTCCTATGGTCATGTTTCTATTTTTATGCCTATCATCCATTTCCAACTCGAGACAGCAAGAACGGTAGACTAGGACAACCCGAATTTGAGCGTGCCATAATTCTGCTGGCTTGCCATGGGACAGAGATTTTGGGAACATTCGACCAAGCGGACGTTCACTGGCGATTCACCGAGAAACCCTGCTGCTCGTGCAGATCTAATATTGACAGAATCTTCCGAAGTATTAGTCATGTCAATTATGAGCCATACCCTGGCTCTGGTAATGGCAGTTTATCCATGGAAGATGATGTGATGGATGTGGTAGCTTCAACACAACCTCAAATGCTCCCATTCATCCCATCCTCTGCCGCGCTGAAGCCAGTGGCACAACGTCTTCTCCGAGGCGTGAATCCTCAATACCGGCTTCATAGTGATAACCTTATTGCCTTGGTCTGCCTAATCAGCTCTTTGAAACTTTCCAAGTCAACTTGGGGTGCAGGTTTGCACTACGGCTCCCTTGAAGAATACAGTCCCCAGAAAGAGGAGTTAGTGAATATACTACTCCGACCATTTTGTCTTGACCATGAAGGCTTTATCACCCCCAAGTCAATGCTTCAAGGCCTCGATTTTTTGGTAAGCACCAATCCATCAGTCCGATCAATATTTTCTTCCGAGATGGAATCTAACCTTCTATGACCAGCCAAATCTTGAGCAGTATTTCCATCAACTATGGGCAATCATATTTCAACCTTCTACATCTATTATTGATTTTGAAGTTGAAGCAGAATCACCACCTGATTTCACTATAAGTGACATTCTTCGAGTGGTATCACTGGTTGTACCTCCATATATTGCCCATGTAGAAGATGAAATGAATTGGAGATTCCGCTCCACTCCATTTTCATTTTCAAAATTACATCAATCATCGATGCTGGAATCCGAAGATGATCTGGCTCTTAATTATCTCATTCACAGTGTTGTTGAAAAAGGGTGTAATAACGAACCTTGTCTTCTTTTGTTCCTCGGAGAACAAACTCAGAACCAAACTCCGGAAGTTGTGGGTGCATTTTTTCCCAAAGGCTTGATCCAACCGAGTATTGAAGAAAATCATTCCAACGAAGACGCAGAATATGAAGTTGGCCTCCCACAGCTTCTGTTCCAGCTTCAGCCTAGCTTCAAGCTTTTCCAGTTAAACAAAGAGAGAAATCTCCCTCGATCTCCAGTCCGTGGATCCGTAGTAGGGCTCAAAAACCATTCGGTTGCAGAATACTCGATTGGGGACCTAAATGGGTTCGGCTTGACGATTGATCCAGCCACAAGAGAAGCGACACTTGTGCACAATACGACCACCCCAAGTCCAACTAAGTGCTTATATGAGGAAGTCTTCGGGAATAAAGAGGAATGTGATGCTTATTGTGGGCAGAGGGCAAAATATACAGAGACAAGTTTCCTGTTGACCGATATACTTCTATACAGAGTAGAAGGTGGCAGGTCTGATACCTGAGGAGTCTTCCAAGGTTACTTTCATCTTCATTCTCGCGTTCACCTCCAGGCCCTCTGACTTTCTCTCCTTAATCAATTTTTCTTGAATAAAATCGAGCCTTTGAACTCTACACTTTGCGTTCGCCCCGTAACAAGGATCTCATCGTTGGTATTCTGCTCAGGTGGATGACATTCAGTCTCTAGGTCATGCGATTGAACAGTTCGGCTATGGAATACTAGCACGGGTGTCATAGAACAGAACTACAAGGATCATCCAGGCGGAGTGACACATGTTGCACTGTGCCCAAGTACCTAGGTAGTCAATTTTAGCGTCTACTTCCATTGGTCAGACCTCTGATCAGGCTACAAGATACCCAGACAGGTGTTCCCCTCCAGCCAGTTATGAAGGGCCACTCACGCTCTGTTTTTCTCTATCATCCTCTTCTGATGACCTACTTTTAACCTCCAGATCCTCCTCTAGATATAAATTTATACGGATTTGGGATATCTCTAGGGATGTTCTATAATTAATCCTAATAGGTCATTCAGATTTGGCCAGTGGCATATCCCCTCATCGCCAAATCCTGATATTGGCCTCGTATAACTAGAAAACTCCCAAGGTCAGCTCTAGGATTTACCTAGGTAGCTATAAATACTTCACCCTAAACTATCAAGGACCACTCAGACTAAATTTGGTCAATTATGATACCTCCTGATTATCGGGCCCTGACTTCTTCTTTATAGGGCCATAAAGTCAAGATATAGAATTTTACTACTGAAGACTTATAGTATATGATAAGGGGTCATACTTATATGAGCAGGTTTGTGTAACGGGTTGATACCCGATGAAATGCTCAGTCCCTGGAGAGACTACGCTCCTGGCATCTGTGCGGAGCCGAACGAGCTATAAGAACACCCGGTCCCCAGGACCCCTTTCCCTCCCTTAGTTAATTCTTCTCGTTTACCAATCGGATCTTTACAGCGTACAAATTCCTGTATTCCTCCCGTAACAGTTTGGGCCAACTTTTGGCGATCGCCTTTTCTCCTAGAAGCTTCTCCCTATCGTCTGCTTCATATAACAAAATCACCACACTTTAATATATCGTGATAGGTACGCTTCTATCAAGACTTAAGGGTCACTAGGATCTAGTCTGTCATTGTATCTCGTTTAAGTTCAATCCATTATATAATCTTCTGCCTTAAAACCTAGGTCTCGAGCGACAATACAGTAATTTGGCGGGAAGTGAGTACAGATTGATACCTATATGCTTATATTATCTAGTTACAAATTGGCAGAAATTGTCCTAGTTTTGTCAAGATTAATAGCAGGTATTCACTCGAAAGACCTAACTCAGCTAAGACGATCAAGGAATATCTGTATCTCTGTCCACAACCTTGGCTTCACAGATCCATACACCTGATGCTCCTCAACTCCCCGTAGCAGACCTATACTTTAGGCTTAATATCTATCACAGGAGAATTAGGCCTGCCCTTAATGAACAAGGCTCGAATATTCTCAAAGCATTCCAGCGTAGCCTTTTGAAAAGATTTCTGAGTCAGACCACCATTATGCGGCTGTACAACAACCTTGTCACTCTGCAGAAAGTATGGATCTGGATTCGGCTCATTAACGAAAACATCCAGACCAGCGCGAGTGATCTTGCCGCTTTCCAGCGCGGCAATAAGTGATTTCTCGTCAACGACAGGTCCTCGGGCTGTGTTGATTAGATAGGCACCGTCCTTCATGGCGGCGAACTCGGCATCGCTCAACATGTTTCTTGTGCTGTCGTTGAGTGGACAATTGAGTGAGATGACATCACTTGAACCGAGGAGATCTTGTAGAGTCTTGTCGTATGTGGCATTATACTTGGCTTCTTCCTCTGCTGGAAGCTGGGTCCGGTTATGATATCGGATCTTCATGTTCAAGATTGCAGCCCTTTTTGCGAGGTACTAAGGAGGCTGTTAATATGATTTCTTTGATATTATCGTGAGTGGTTACTCACTTTTCCAACAGAACCTAACCCAACAATTCCCAGTGTCAATCCTGCAGGATCACGAGTTGGTACGACTTTATCCCCCTTCCAAGCACCACTGCGAGCGATTCTCTCCGCATTACTGGTGTTTCTTAGGACGGCAAGAATCAAGAAAAGAGCCATGTCGGCCGTGGGCTCTGCCACTGCATCGACTGTATTGCAGAACCAGATGCCCTGATCAGCCATCCATTGTACATCGAAATTGTTGTAGCCTGCACTGCCCGTTACGATGATCTTGCAGCCTGGGACTAGCGCTTTCAACAGGTCCTCGTCAACTTGACCAAAGGACACTGCTCCCCAGATCAGGGCATCGATGGTTCCATTTTCGGCAATCTCTGCTGGCAGCTTCTCCTGTAGATCTGACCGGTCCTTTGCGTTAAGAACCGAGTAGTTGAAATCTTTCTTGAAGTTGGATAGGTAGTCGGCGTCGATGTACCAGGGCTCGCCCAAGCTAACAACTCTTGGGATTCTTTTCGCAGGCATATTATCTGTGAAGTTCAAAAGTTCAAGATTCAGAGAATCGAGAAAATTGGAACTACCAGAAGTTGGGACAATTAAGTAGTTTGTTGTTCCCCCACTTCTTACCAATGTGAATCTGAACCCGATAGGAATCTATGGTTGTTATTGGATCGTGAATACGCCATAAGAGCGACAAACTACTTATCTTTAACAATCGAGTTTACTGTCTTATCTATACCTGGGTCTAATTCAGTTGTCAATTAACCAATGGATCCTTCGACTTTGCCCATTTTCTGCTTCCATTTCCAGGTACCTATCTATTGTCTTGGGATAATTGGAACTTTTCCGAGGTTTCAAGCAAGATTTGAAGCTTGAGATGTTGATGTCCCGGTGCCGGATTACCCGGACTTTTCCTAGTTAAACAAGTAGAAGTTGCTAGGTAATTCAGTTCCTCGCCATTACTAGTTTTATAACTTGATTATCTGTGGAACATCCTTAGCCCGGTCGCGTGATTTTTAGGTACGGACCGACGGACGTCCATGTGGCCCCCTTGTTACCTCAAAGAGGTGACAGATTAAAAGATGGAAATTACTAGGTGGACATATCCCCCTAGCAGTTCCCTAAAGGATATCAGATAAATGAAGTTCGGTGTTCCATGTGATAGATGCAAGTTAATATTATGAAGGCAAAACAAACATCCAAGGTATAATTGGCCCAAGAAAATACTCCAAAATAATCCCAATCGCAAAAAGCAGTGATAGAAACCCCAATGAAACCAAAATCCAAAAGAAAAAAAATGTATGATGACCACACCAGATGATAGGTAGCATTTGATGAATGATGAATGGTGATATGATGGCGGCGATAGATCTTGTTTCCAACGGCGAAAGACAAACGTGAGAAATAAAAACGTAAATTCAACGCCCGATATGCAGTAGGATGCTCTAGATGGAAGAACATGACGGTAAATGGTGAAGAAATGGGTACGATCAGGGGGTAGGGATAGGGAAGAGAAAGGGGAAGGGGCTGAAAGTTGACCCATGGCGCTAGAAAGCGGAACATAAGAACTCAAAGGATATTGGTCATTATTTGTTGATGTAGATTCAAGATGAATATGATATATATTGAGTGAAAACTGGTCAAGATGGCACGTCTGTCATTTGCTGATCAGCATCGTGAGTGATAGTTGGTGGAGCTGAATAGAGAGCTCGGCGTTGAGTATTGGTTGTCGCCTCGAGGTCGTCGAGGGAACCGATACCGGGGGTACTAGAGACACTTTCGATGGCAGCGCCGCGGTCGAAGTTGAATTCATCAGGGGGAGGGGCGAAGGACCAGACCTCCATGACTGTACGACCAGATCGATTGGCCATGATAACAGCCTTCTCATCCTCGAAAGCAACCCGCCATACAGCCTCGGCTGGCGCTGAAAGTTCACGTAGCAATTGACCGGTCTTCAGGTTCCATACCTTGACACGGCCATCACTGCCACCACTGACAACGCGGGTATCGTCGAACTGAAGACTGGTAACGCTGTTATCATGCGCTGCCAATCGATGTATAGCCACATTCTCCGTTAGTGACCACACACGGACAGAGCCATCCGAGCCACCAGTTACCAGAGTATCACCACGCATCTGTAATTGGCCAACCAAGGAGGTGTGTCCTTGCAAGATGGCGTGGCACTGTCCGGTTTTCGGGTCCCAGATTCGGACGCTGGTATCCAAGCTGCCTGTCGCAACTCGTCGCCCATCGAAAGCGATCGCATAGATCTGACTGAAATGGCCGGAGAGTGTGCGCACACATCGGCCTTGGGAAATACTCCATATCCGGGCCGTTGTATCGTAACTACCTGAAACTACTAAATCTCCGTGGATCGCAAGACACCTAACACTGGCCTGGTGCCCAACAAGAACGTTACGACAAGTTCCCGTAGCCAGATCCCATATCCGGAGTGTGGTGTCTCTTGACCCGGAAATGGCCGTGTTTCGATCAGACATTTTCAAGCACCGGACTGTGGACGTGTGACCACGAAGTAAATGAATATTTGCTCTGTTAAATGTCAGCTTTTGCTTTTTAAGTGTTCGGAGTTGTGACCTACCCAGTCGCCATATTCCATACCCGCACCTCTCTATCGCATCCTCCGCTGACCAATATGTCGTCCCATGGTACCATGGCCCATACGCCCATCACGTGCCCTTGGAGTGTTTTCTGGTTATCACCGTTGGTGTCATAGACATGGATCTTGGCATTGTCCAGAGCGACAACAATATATTTTGAGGTAAGGTGCAGACTGGTAACAACGCCTTGATCAGGATTTATATGACGTTGTGTACAACGGCCTCCTTTGTTCCAAGCGGATTCAACCATGAATTTCTGCTTAAATTGTGATCGATATGAAAAAGGCTGAGAGCGGCGACTCCTTGAGGGAAAGTGAAGCCACTCGCCGGAAAGAGTGCGGGGCAGCCCAGGAGGAGATGCGATGGAAGATTCAGCAGCTATAGCCGAGCGTTTATGGCGCACATTTGCAGCATGCATATCCACAGCTGGCTCTACAGGCGGAGGGGTCATCGGGTCCATATAATCCTCCTCCGGCATGCACTGTACGGCGTATGCATGTTTCTCACAAAGGTTCTTCCATGTTATGTCATCTGATAGTAGTGTTCGCCACCGCCATGAGACTTGCGATGCTCGGGCTAACGTCTTGGGATCGTCAACGAAAGACAGAACCTAAGGCAAAAAAAGTCGGTCAGTAACAGGTTCCTTAGCGCCAAATTGGAATCTTGACTGCATTTCCTTACCCTCAAACTAAGTTCAATCGGCAAGGCCCGAAATGGATCCTTTCGCAACCGAGGGCCGACGTAACTGGAGACAAAGCTGAGTTGTTGGCTATTGCATACGTCCAAGAGGCCCTCTAGAAGTTTTTGTTTTCGTGAATTTGACAGTTCGCCAAAGTGAAGTCGGAGATTCATCAAAAATATGCAGTCCTCCTCTTCGGTGGCGGTCCAGTTCGGTGGACGCTGATGCGGAGTGGGACTCGGTGCGGGAGTCGGTGGAGATGCAGGAGCTGAAGGGAGCAAGTTTGCGGGTATTGAAGTGATATTTTTCTTGCTGGTGTTAAGGGGTCGAGCAGGAGTAGCGATAAAACTAGATATGGAGTCGCGAGTGTTGGGACGAGAATGTGACTCGAGTTTGTCCATCGCCGTTCTCGACTCATTCTCCGGATCGAGTATTGGAGAATCCATTATGAGAAGCCGAGCGCCTCTCTCACCAGGGGGTTTCGCCCGTACTACTACAAAGTACGGAGTATTATATGTCACTTTTTCTGATACGGCAAGTTAACAGAAGTTGACAGCAGGCATCAAGGAGAAGCTGGAGAGGTGGAAGTTTAGAGTGTTATCTCTATGAGGGGCCGTTTTTTCCGGTGTCGTATCGGAGGCTGGGTAGAAGTGATGACCGAGGGAGAGGGGGAGTAAGAGAGAGAACAAGTTTAGGCGTATGGAGGATAGACGGAAGATGAATAGAAGTTTGTATAAAGATAAATAATCTCCTTTTTTGTTTTTCTGCCTTTGCGGCCCAAAGATAGCGATATTGGGAAAGGAGTTGAACATTCCAAGCGGAGTTTCGAATGTCGTGACCCCGTGACAAAGCCGCCAAGTCTTTGCCTTTTCTTCTCCACTTTCAATACTTCAATTCCCCCCGAAACATCAGTTGGTTTTGCTTAACATTGTTGCTCCACCAGTGGATTCGATGACTGAGACATGCCTGATCTTCATGAAAATATAAAAGCTCTCTCAGAGTCTTAGAGTCTTAGAGTCTTAGTATATCTAAGTTTTAACTCAAGATGTTACCCGAGTCCTTGGTCTAGGAATTGTAACCATGGAACCAACACTCGAAAGAAGATGATTCAGACGAAAACTGACGAAAAACTTTCATCAGATGAAACCCCAGATCAGCTGAACGAGCAAGATCGAGGTATATCTCTCTCTTATATAGGAATCATGATCCTGATCCGGTGTATCCGTAATCGCAATTATGACCATGTTTGTAATCTAGACTCTCTGATATTACCCCATTTTAGATCTCTTCCATTCCTATATTTCCTTTTCTCTCTCATTCCAAAAAGGGTATATACTCTCTTCACGTTGCAGAAGAAAAAATATAAGGCAAATTATTCAAACACATCTCATCGGCTTTAACATTCCGGTATTGCCTTCTCCGGTTATACATGCAATGTTGAAGTTAGATATCAAGAGGCAAAATGAAAAAGAAATCGAGATCAATGAGCATGACCAATCTGCAAGAAGAGTGGCAGAACCATACCCACCACGGATGCGATCAAGTCTCTCATGGACTTGTCTGATCCATTCTGAGAGTCCCGGGAATCGCCATATCCATTAGTAGGCAGTTCTCGCGTGCTTGAGCCGGGCCCGTTCTCTTCCATCGTGTGCATTGCCACATACCTACGTCCAAGTTAGTCAATTATTAGACAATTAATGGGCGATAAACTTACAAGAAGGTACCGCCGGAGAAAAGTAGGAGCATTCCAGTCCGCCACAGAGAGCTGGCCTCGTCAGCGTTGGATGAGCCTATCAGGTGCGCAAAGAGAAAAGTGGCCAGAGCACCAACTGGAGCTGCTAGACTGAAGACCAGCAAATGGGCTCTCGCTGTGCGACTCGACAGACCCTGCTTAAGCAGTACAGATGTAAGTCCGAACGATGCAGGAGCCTTATGCACCATAATGGCGAGGAAGATAATAAAACTCAGTCCAGTATCCGAGCTGGAGGCACCCAATGCAATACCATCTGCCGCTGCATGAATCACTAGACCCGTAGTAGTGGCAAAACTGTGACTACGTCGCGAGCTAGATTGGCCTGGATTGAGCAATCCTCCGTCACGAATAGGTGAAGAGCCCCTTCGCAAGCCGGAGCCAAGGTTGTCAAGGGAGATGTGGTAGGGAGTTCTTTCCTGCTTGGTCGAAGATGCAAATTGAGGCATTTTATCAACCAGATACATCAGTATAAATCCACTGATAAGAGCAACACCAATCCAAGCATGCGGTGAGCTCTCATGCTCCTCTTTCTCTTCTTTATGACTGGATTCGCTCGATGTGTCCTGCTTTCGTACACGGAGTAAAGCATGCGCATCAGCCGACTTTCGATCGTCGGAAATGGGCAATGTCGATTCGCTGTCCGGAGACAACAATGAAGCAAGGGTATCAAATGACAACGTGGAGTCGTCGTTTCTAGTATACAAGATCGGTGTGGCTGCCGCAGACACCCCCTGCGATTGCCAATCGATGTTGACTGATCGCGTACTAAGGCTTTTCCGAGCGACTGCGCTTGAGCTGTAGATAGTTTCAACGCCCTCGGGTATAATAACAATCAAGGATGTCCCGACAAGTACTCCCATTCCAAGAGAGGAAATCAGGCGCAGTTGGGATGGAGATAATGTAAACGCGAGAGGTAGGGACCCGACCACGAAGGAACTGTTCAGGGGGATCGCATGTTAATTCATTGAAATCATTTGTCGCATTGCGAGTGATGGATAGGTCTCACGTAATTGCCATCACAGTGCTCAAGGCGAGCAAAGTGAAGAGTCCGTCCATAGTGGTTGTCGCAAGGAGCTTCACACTGTGCCCTGATTTTACAACACGTTCATGACACAGGGGTCTTGTAAATGGTCTTCCTCTGGTGGAATTAAAGGGAGATGAGAGGGCTGATGAAGGAGGCAAGATGGTTCAAGCAAGTTCAGGATCCACGGGCAGGTCTCAGGTACCGCCCACTTCGGATCAACACATCCCCGCTAGCTACTACTTAGATTTCTATTTTTATGGTCTTTCCTTTTGTTATTGTTACTTGGATTCCAGTTCATTGAGTACACTAGTAGATTTTGCTCTGTCTATATGTGCTAATATGCACGTCCAACGCTCAAGTCCCAGCTGTTTCTGGAATATCTTTTTTGTCTGACAAAGAAAGGGATAGGTCAAATGCAAAGACTTTCAAAGGTCGACACTGGGAGGCTTAGGCCAGTGCCAGAACAGTTGAGTTGCCTGATAAATGGGCGCTCTATACATCTCGTATAATAATAATTATTTACTCATTTTCAAAAGTTCATATTCCCTTGAGTCTCCTGTAGAAGTCTCATCAATCTTGGAAAGCATTTAGTTACGGGTTTATAAGGCGGTAAGGGTAAGGCGGTCTATCAACATGGGTGTAAATGTGGGCTCCGGAGTTACTCCGCATTTAACTTATGTTGAACTTTTTGGATGAGGTATTTAATTGATGAAATAGATGATTGATTGGTCTAGTAGCTGAGCATTCTCAAGGATATGAGAATCTCAAATCAATGCAAACTAAACAAACATAATGACTAATGAATTAATCTAACAACTTATAAATCTGACTCAAATTTCAAATTACAACTGGGAATAAATTCGATTACCCTCTATGCAATAGACCGAGGGAATAGATGGACTAGAAGTGTCCTCCATTTATAATCTCGCACATATAAGATCTCCCGCTCTTGACCAAGTCCAAAACTTACAGATATGACGGTTAATACTCGGATGACAGAGTCACGCCCTGGCGATGAAAACGACCGTATAGATGAGACTACAGCTCTCCTTGGGTCTGAAACAGAACAGACTGAAGTAGAAGAGGATGAAAAGCCGCTCCCCACAAGCCAAATTCTTCTTCTTTGTTATGTTCGAATTGTCGAGCCACTTGCATTCTTTAGCATCTTTCCCTACGTCAGCCAGATGGTTCAGGAGAATGGTGGCATCAAGGACGCGGATATTGGCTTCTACAGTGGACTTATTGAATCATTGTTTTCCTTGACACAGGCCATCGTTATGATCTTCTGGGGCCGAGTATCTGATCACCTCGGACGCAAGCCAGTCCTAGTCACATCCCTGTTCGGTGTGACTGTGTCGATAGGTTTTTTCGGACTGGCAAAGAGTCTAACGCAGATGGTTTTGTTTAGATGCCTTGCCGGTGTCTTTGCTGGTTCTATCCTCACCGTCCGCACCATGATAGCCGAGCATAGCACGGCAAAGACCCAGGCGCGGGCATTCAGCTGGTTTGCTGTTAGCGGCAACCTAGGCATCTTCTTGGGGCCTCTCTTAGGTGGCGCTCTTGCTGATCCGGTTAGTCAGTACCCGGGAGTCTTTGGCGGTGTCCCCTTCTTTGATAAATATCCCTACGCGCTCTCCAGCTTTATAGTAGCGCTGGTGGGACTCACCGCTGCAATTACCAGTGCTCTGTTTGTTGAGGAGACCTTGCAAAAGGATCCCGTAGCGGCGAACGGTGATGGGGAACATGCAGTACCAGACACGTCAACTCAGAGTGAAGACCTCACAACATGGCAGCTGCTGAAATCACCAGGGGTGACTATAGTCATATATGTATACGGACACATCATGACCCTTGCTTTCGCTTACACAGCCATTATTCCTGTCTTCTGGTTCACCCGCGTAGATCTCGGCGGGTTCAGCTTCACGCCACTTCAGATCTCGCTGATGATGGGGCTGAATGGTGCCGCCCAAGCAATATGGCTTCTCCTTGTCTTCCCCTTCTTACAACATAGAATCGGGTCGAATGGAGTCATTCGCCTGTGTGCTATTGCCTATCCGTTTTTCTTCATAGCCTGTCCTTTTGGAAATCTCCTCCTGCGATTGGGGACCGATGCATCCATCAAAGCTTTCTGGATCACCATGCCAGTGATGCTGGCTATCGGATGTGGAGTCAGCATGAGCTTCACGGCCATCCAGCTCGCTCTGAATGATGTCTCACCTTCACCAAGGGTCTTAGGTACTCTGAATGCGTTAGTACTGACTGGTTCAAGTGTTCTAAGGGCCTTTTGCCCAGCCCTTTTCACTACCCTATTCGCGCTGGGAGCGAGGACGCAGCTGGTGTGGGGTTACGCTATTTGGTTGCTGATGCTCTTCCTTGCCCTCAGTTTATCGTTTGTAGTGAGATATCTGCCAGAGCCCCATGGTGTCAAACGTCTAAATGGTCAGTAGACTCATGCGGAGAATAGAATATAAAGAATCTTTATACCAGCAGAGACAAAGAAACTTCAAGGTTAGAATGAAGACCAATTTTTCAAACAGAGCTGTCATTCAAATACCTAGGTAGCCCGGGTGCTAGAGTACCTTCCAAGATTTATAGTTTATACTTGCCAGAGCCATATGGCCTTCTGGGGAGCCTGGAAGTGGATATCAAGCACGGTGACAAGTCGCAGCCGAGCGAGCAAAATAGCGCGTCAAACTTTAAAGACCATAACATTAAAAGCCCTGGAAGACTAAGAGAAGTGCAGGCTGCAGGATAAGTTCCCACCTAGGCAAGTGGTGTTCTGGAAGCAGAGGTTTCTTCACAACCTTAGAACGAAGTTGTACCTAGCAAAGGTACCTGAATATCACAGCGTCTCGCAATGTGATCTTCTGTTTTGCGTTTAGATAATTTATGTAGGTAGTCATCCAGCTGGTATTCAGGTCCACGGTTGGAACCTGAAAGTGTAAGTGAGAGTGAGAGGTGGAGTGATTTGAATCGGCGAGACGACAAGTGACTTGCTTTTACGAAACACTTGGAAGATGATAACTCCAGGACTGCTGACTATATTAATCCGACTTCTTGTTATGGCCATTCAAAAGTCAGACTTCCTTGGTGATTGCTTCCATCTTTCGAAGCAGGAGCTGCCTCCGCATAAAAAGATAGCGGAAGCCCTAGCTTCATTGTTGAAGGGAGAGAATTTTGAGGAGGTGACTCAGAGCTCTCTTCTTCATTAGTGTCACTTTCTCTCGCATCACCATGCAAGCTGATTCCCGAGGTCTGTAATATTGCGTTGTGATGCTGTGAAAAAGGTTCAAGTATAGTGTTGGAGCCCCAGTCTCCGTTCCCAAAAATCGATTGAGTCGGTGGCTCCAAGAATTGTGACCTCAGTATGACTCCAGAGCTAGTCGCTCGGTAACATTGGAATGTTGATTTCTTTATTCTCTGCAGAAAGTTGGTATGAGAAATACCCATATGATGAGATACCCATTGACAAGAAGGATAGTATGAACAATATCTTGGAAGTTTATTGAAAAGCAGATATTCTACTTGTTCAGCCTCGTTCCTGGGAAAATCTTTTTCATACGTAGATACCCTTTTCAGCGAGATATACTTCTGTTTGCTAGAAATTAGGCGAGCAGATATTGCTGAGTAGAGCTGTGACGATAGCCATGGTGGGGGGAGATGCAGGTGAGAAATTAGAGTCGAATCCTGTCACCTGGGAATGGATTTGTAGCCTCAAGCTCCTAAATAGTAAACTGAGAGTGTCAACTGGTAACGCACAGCGAATGATCTATTCGGTTTCATACAATCATTGATCAATGCATCCATCCAAAATATTCGCCATCCCGAGCAAAAGGCATCGTTCTCACCAACTTTCCTTGAGAAATGCCACAACTATTTTGAAAATAGCCCAGAACTACGTATCATTGGCTACTCCAACCTTGAATAAGCTTACGCTGCTAAGCTCCACCCAGCTCGCCAATCAAGAACCGGCAGTTGGTCCACGCGTCTGACATGGCTGCTGGCTCCCTAGAAAACGATGTGAAGGAAATGAGTGGGGTATAGGATACAAACAACAATGCCGTTTTATGGTGTTCCGAGCAAGAACTGCGAGAGTTGTCGAGAGAGGCGGATTAAGGCAAGTGTGGTATCAATAAACAACTTTGAATTGAACTAACACCCGATAGTGTGATCGGATAGAGCCAGTCTGCTCACAGTGTAGAAGAGCGGGGAAATCCTGCGGTGGATATCATGATATTTCATCTTTGGTGTTCCGCAGTGAGAATGAAAAGACGGCTCGACGGTCTGCAGAAGCAAAATCTAGGTCGGGAGAGCGAAGGAAGAAGCCGGATTCCAGTCCAGATTCATCATCTTCAACCTCCGAAAGCATCTCACTTGCAGTACGGAACAAGAGATATATTGTTCCCACTCCCACAATCCCTAAGCCGGTCTCATCGTCCGTGGAGGATCAGGGATTTAACTTTTTCTTCTATCGTTTTGTGATCTCGGCTTCAGGAATACAAAAAGCATCATACAATTTGAATACTTTTCCTTTTTTGGCTCACATCCCCAAAGAACCTCCCCTGCAAGATGCTATTGTATCAGTTGGGTTAGGTGCCCTGTCAAATATCACTCGAGACCGATCTCTGCAGATTATTGCAAGAGAGAAATATGGAGCGGTCATTAAAAGTATCCGCCAGGCTGTGGGTAATACTCAGCAAACCAATCCTACAAAAATAATCAGGATGATGGTGTTGCTGAGTCTATATGAGGTACGTACTCAGCCTAAATTGGCGTGATCTACAAGCCCTAGAGTTTAGCTAATTTTCTATATAGATGGTCTCCTGTGGCCCAAAACAAATTGATTCTTGGACAGTACACCTTGATGGTGCAGCAGCTCTATTGAAGCAGACTTCATTTAGCAAAGCATTGACATCCGATGCACGCTCGCAGCTGCAATATCTCTATATAGGCATTATCAGATACTTCTTGACGCCGGATCATATACCACCTCAACTGCTGAACTATAGTCTAGAGGCTAGTTCCTCTTCCTATCCCGATACACTACCAGCCTTTCAATTGGTCGATCTGCTCATTCGGTTTATGAAGCTCCACTTGTCTATCCGCCACAATCCAAATGTCGATGTTGGGGCTATAATACGCTCAGCATCTGCTCTAGATACAGAAATGGAAATGTGGGCGAGAACTGTTCCAGGGGAGTGGACCTTTTCCATGTACGAATCCAACGATATGGAAAATACGTTCTACGGAAAGTACCTTGTCTATCATGATGTGTGGGCAGCAAGGGATCTCAACCACTATCACTCGGGGCGAGTGATGATCAAAGAGTTGATATTGAGTCAACTAGCTCGGAAACATTCTATCACCCCAGATGACTTGAATCAGCGACAGCAAGCATTGGATACAATAGCTCGCATGGCAACAGGCATCTGTGCCGGTGCTGCCAGCCAAATGAAGGCTTTTAGCTCTGGGGTGGCAACACAAGAGTCGGGACATGCACCACCATTGAATGGTGTGTTCTTGTTGCTATTCCCACTGTCTGTTGCTGGTAGTGCAGCTGCCCCAGAGGAAGTACATGAATGGGTTGTTCAGTCACTCCAGAAGATTGGAAATAGAATGGGAATCCAACGAGCTCTAGAGTTGATCCCGAGATTGAAGAAGGCTCGAGAAATTAAGCGTCGACAGAATGGCGGAATAGCAGAATGGCAGTATGATAATGAGAGGAGACAATTATTAAATTAAATTGAATGCGGAGTACAGACCCACTAGTCCTGATTAGGTCATAATCAGACGCGCAGAACGCGACTTTTCTTATCCGGCGCATCATCTTTATTTCTTTGTTTCTTTACTTCCTCACTTCTCTACACCACTTGAAAACTTTCCAACCCTCAAATCTGCCCAGTATGGCGGCAGTTGATGAAGATTGTAGATCATCCTGATTCCACTATGCTTATTGATGAAAATATCTAATTGATACCTCTAGGGACATGCGATGCCAACGATGCGATCCATATCACTGTCGTGCAGCCCGGCGAAACCAAACCCCAGACTCTTTCAAGCTTTCACCCTCAGTTTACATATTCCATCTTTGGTGACGAGGAACAAATTTTTGGATACAAGGGTCTGATCATTCGCTTGCGCTTCGCTGCCCATGACCTCCGTCCTCATTTACACATCTCCTACGACCAGAAATTCAACGCTGTCGATGACACAGTTGCGGACGATGTTTTGGAAACTTTGAGGGAGTTTGTGCAAGAAGGTTGGTTTTAATACTCTGCGTCTGAATGAAATGGAAATTAATGACGATGCTAGACGCCTTGATCACTCTACCCGAATACGAAAAAGCCATCCAAGAGGACGCTGAAGCAAAGGATTTTACCCCGCCTGGAAAACTCGCCTACAGCTATGAATCAGATGGCAGGCAATTTGAGATTTGGTCTGGATCTCTTGCGGATCCCAAGGTGCGATGCATCCTGGACCGCGCCCAGGTTCTGGTGTCTCTGTTCGTTGAAGCCGGAACTCCGATCCAGACAGATGATCCGGAATGGAGCCTTGAACGATGGATGGTGTTCTTTGTGTAGGCGCTTTCATGAAATTGTTGCAGATTATTTGATGCTAATTAAGTGCCTCAGTTATGAGAAGGTAGCTCCCACAACCCCAACCGCTTCATCATATGCTATCGTTGGATACGCAACCACCTACCGGTATTGGCTTTACAAGAAAGATGGCTCTCAAGATCCTGATTTCAAGAACGCATCATTCCCTCTCCCCGAGATCAAAATCTCTGAGCTTCCCGCCCGGCTTCGGATTGCTCAATTTATGATTCTCCCTTCCCACCACCGTGCGGGCCACGGCAACAATCTCTACACTACTATCCACGCTGCTTGCATTGCGGATCCTACTATCATGGAGTTGACAGTCGAAGATCCCAACGAGCAATTTGATGCACTTAGAGATACTGCCGATTTCTGCCTCTTGCGGCCCGAATTTCTTAAGCATCACATTAACATCAATCCCGATCCGAACGGGATGTATTCTGAATCGAAATCATCGTCGACAAAACTCACAGAGCACTTGATTCCGCAAAAGGTCTTGAGCGACATTCGCACTGAGTTTAAAATCGAAACCACCCAGTTTGCACACGTCTTAGAGATGTTCCTACTGAATCAGATCCCTAAAGGCCATCGTGGTGCATCAGCCAATCTTGCGCGATTGCTGGTCAAAAAGCATAATGCTGAGGATCCTAACGACCGCCGATACTTCTGGTGGCGCCTGCTTATCAAGCAGAGGATCTACAAGAAGCACAAAGAACTACTGGATGAACTGGAAATTCTTGACCGCGCCCATAAACTGAATGAAACTGTGCTGACTGTTGAGGAGGGATACGAAATCAGACTGGAAGCCTTGAAAGGTCGTTTCCCCGTGCCATCCACCCGCCGTGAGAAGCGTAAACATGCTGTCTTGGACGATGATGATGAGGAAGAGGCAGAATCTGGCGCAGAGCTTGTCAAGCGTCCGAAGAATTGAAGCTCCCAAAAATTGAAGCTATTGAAGAGATGAAAACTCCTCTTTCTCTTTTTTATTCCAATATCGATATGAATTATGTTTTACTATTAAAGAGCGTTCAGGATTTGGGATATGTTCGGTTTTAATCTTCAATTCCGAACAAGGCCAATCAAATATGACTACATCATTAGAATCTACCGTATGGGGAGACTTGCAAGGTTGGTTCAAAAGTTGGGTAGTATTGTAGATGTATACAGAAAGACAACGAAGTTCGGTAGGGTATGTTATCACACCGGAGCAGAGCAGAACTAATATGTAATACCTACATAGGAACCAAGTTTATAGAGATCAGCAAAATCATCGCATTGAATTGATAACCTTTGGACACTCAAGTGCTGCTTCCAACCTTGGAAGATTATATGAGAGTTTCATACTAGTCCACCTACCTACTCGTTGGGAAATATATTATTGTCTTATATTTGAGGACTATTCATTCACTCACCTATGGACCATGGTTTTAGAAACTAGATTGAGAAATTCAAATACTTCATTTCCTTTGTATGTGTCAAAGGTCCGATACGGGGTTTATGCTGTACGTAAGCAGGATCCATAATGTGTGTATTTAAGCGGGATTTCATCCCTAGATAGACAATCCAGTTTCGTCAACCAATCTGGTTGGACGGTCAAAAATCTCATTTGACAGTATGTCAATAGCACGTGATAGTTTGGATTTATTGATGACTCATCAGTTTTCCCGTTCAGGCTTCGTCACTGTTGGTGCGGAGCTCAGGTACAACTTGCGCGCGCTCAACACTCTTGAATTTTAATCTCTTCTTGTCGACACTAGTTGCTCCTAGATTGAGAGAGTACCCTACTATCAGCGCAACTGCTCCCATTTATCCTTCCAATAGTTGTCATTACCAATGGTAGGTCAACCAACCTTCGTTCCGCCTATCCTTCACACCAGCTGACAGTCCTACCAGCTCCCTAACAGTATTCTGGTGGTCGCCCACGGCTCTGGAGTTCTTGTGGAGCTCAAGAGCGGTGAAACCCTGAACGGCACCCTTGTTTCCTCCGATGCGTTCATGAACCTCGTCCTTTCGAAAGTGATTCAGACCAGCCCCGACGGCAAGCAGTTTTTAGAACTGTCCGAATCCTACGTTCGTGGTAGCAACGTGCGTCGACCCAATTGAAGATCATCCTACAAATCCTACAATTTTTGACCTTGGCTAATACCTCCCCACAGATCAAATGTCTCCAACTCAGCGATAAGGTCATTGATGATGTCAAGAAGCAGGCGGAACAAAACTCAAACAGTCATCATCGCAGTGATGGTCGTGGACGTGGACGTGGTGGCCGAGGACGTGGTGGTGACCGAGGACGTGGTGACCGCGGCCGCGGCCGTGGAGGACGGGGTGGTCCCCGTGACTAAGTGAGCTGCTCTGGACAAGAAGAATGGGAAATTCGGTGGAGCAAAGGCATATCGGGATATTCTGGAGTTTTAACAAGGGACCTCGATATGCTAACTTTCATGAAATAATGACTTCCTTAAAAAGTTCACATCAGTCTTCAATGTAACACTGTGTTACCAGGCAAGGTACAGTCAGTAACTTATCCTTTTTGTTCCACTGAATCTGGGTCATTTGGAAGGCCTAGGTATAAAAAATCTAAAATCTTGAACCCTCAATCTTTGTAGAGTCTGGACCTCTAACCCGGTGCTGTTGGAGCTATTATATGTCACGTGTTTATACCTACGGCGAAATCTGGAACTCTGGAATTCTCGGCGCAGACATATCAGCATGTCGCGGCGAACATTGGTACTAGATGGCTTATGGTACACATTGTGCCCATCATTTAGCCCTTCAACACTAAGTCGCCCACCTATATCTTTGAAATCAACGAGGCAAAATCGCAAACTATGCTTGTTTCCGGGTATCGCGACGGCCACCCGGAAGTGCTACAGCACCAATACCAGCGGAACTGGCCGTGTAATTACCCCTGGTGATCATTTACAGTCGACTAATTCACACAATGGAAAGCCTGCTTCTACCGAATCTGAATATATACCCGATGAGCACCCAGAGAACCTGCTCCGTCATACATCGGACAGAACGACCTCGACCCCTCCAGAAGCATCCATATTTTTTAAGATGCGTACACATAACAACTCGGAAAGAAAGGTTCCGGTTCATGATACCCGAAGATTCTACGAATATCCCAGTTCGGATCTGGAGCATATGCTAAGGAACAAACCCGGTGCCCTTTACAGAACGATGAGTATTCTACGGGCTTTGATTGAAGATCACCACATTCAGCCACAGGCTTTCCACTACAAGTCGTTGATACTCGCAAATTCCGATAGCATCAAGGGATCGCCGGAGATGGTGCGGGCTCTTCTGCAAGAGATGGAGGAGGAAAAGATTACCGTGGACTCGGGCATACTTCATGTTGTCTTACAGGTAAGCCATCGTTCTTAAATAATTGAATGCTTTTTAATTTCTGTTTCTTGCATTCATTAGGTTCTTGCTGTGCACCCAGACTATTTGCTACGCCAAGAGATCCTTCGCAGTATTCGAGACCGATGGTTCACATTAAGTCCAGACGGATGGCATTTTGTGGTTGCAGGGCTTCTTCGAGAACATCAGTTTGAGCTGGCCCTCGATCATGTGGCGCTGATGGAGCGAAAATTGATACCGGTAAAGAATTGGCTACATAGCATGATCGTCTACAATCTGTGTGACTTTGAAGAGTTTGATGAAGTGTATCGCCTGATGCAAGCCCGCGTCGAACAGGGCTACGATATGACTCCCGAGCTATGGGGTCACGTCCTCACAGCAGCAAGCAAGTCTCGACACTACGAATTGACTCTCTACATTTGGCAACGAATGATTTATCTCGAGTACATCCAGCCATCGGAGGATGTATGCAAGAATGCCCTCGCGACTGCTTCGCGTGCTGGGGATATTGAGCTAGCGCAGAACATTTTTAAGTATATCGCGAAGAAGGGGACTCAAATGGATGCTTTGAGTCATGAGCAGCTCATCCTGGCCTATTTGGATAACGCTGACTTGTACTCTACAATGGAGGTGATGAGTACAATGCACGAAGCGGGCTGTTCACCGACAGATAGCTTAGTGGAGTCCATTATCACCCACATGATCAAGGAAAAGACAGATCCCCGAGAGGTATGGCAAATTCTCAAAGCATTGAAAAACTCCAAGCGAAAAATCCCCATCGACTCTGCCCGGGTTGTCATTGAATTCTGTGAGCGGGTCGTCAAAGATGACCCATCGATTGCATGGGACGCCATGGTATTCCACAAAGAGCTCTACTCAATATGTCCGAATAGCGCCGATACTCGTATATACAATACTCTGATGCAGATATGTCGCCGAGCTGGAAATCGGGCACCCGCCATGTTCTTACTGAAAGAGATGGTTTCCCTTCGCGTTGTTCCAGACGCAACCACTTTTGAAATCCTCATTTTAATGTGTCTTGAAGCTCGCAACTACAAGTCGGCCTACATGTACTTCCAAGACTTACTCAAGCGGGATGGCTCACTACGTCAAAAGGCGCGGGAAGAGATCCGACAGTTATGTGCCCAATCTGTGCATGAATTTGCAATGCAGCTGCAGTATAATCCCGGAATAGGGGATGACGAAATTCCAATTGACTCATCAACCAGCACGAGAAAGCTCACAGAAAACTCATCGATTGAATCGACTCATTCTATCGACCTGATCGACCAGGTCAAGGAAGAGGACTTCACCTATTGGGTACCAGCCGCTGTCCGTCGCAAAAGACTCTCGGACGAAGAGCGCAAAGCGTGGAACAAGAAGCGACGTCAAAGCAAACGAAAATATCAGGCCCTTGCACGGATAAAGGCGGAGAAGGCGGATAAGGACACCACTTCAAGCTAAATCGACCGAATCGCAATTAAGCTGTTGCACCTGCATTGTCTCAGGATGTCTCAAGCGTCAAGCTAGTCAATGTCAGAAACTTTCTAAGCTAAATACAATCAGTGCCGAAAAAGAGTGGGTATGCATAGGCCGTGCGCTGGGGACAGAGAATTTCGCCAGATTTGTACGAAGTACATTAGATAGGGTTACACCTAGAGCCCAGAGCCCTAGACTCCGTATATTGTACTCCACTTCACCAAGCAGACACTATTGTCAATGGACAGGATGCTGTTCAAATCTGGTTCAAGATATGAGACGAGGCTCATTCAACTTGTGAAGTTATTTATAGGCGATAAACTGTCCTGAAACACGCCCCTGGGCTGATCCCTTGTGGCCTTCTCCACGAACCAAGAAACCAGTTATGTTAGGCTGTCGAATATGGTTATCCTTCAGGATGAATGGAAATTCAAAATCTTCGAAGGAATAGGATTATCATTTAATGAATCACGAATCATTGTCAGATCCAGGAAGAAATATGGGGTCATTGCCCCGTATGGATCGACAATAACAATAGTGGGTCAAGGGTGCCCTGAACCTGATTGAAGGCGGATCGAGGAAGGAGAGCAGAGGTTCCCGTCTTTACGTCAGCATTAACCAACACCTTTTGCGTTTCGTTGTGAAGCTAAGTATATAAGGCTCAACCACTCCTTTTTTTCATTTTAATTTCAACTTTTCAAAATCACATTTGATTTCGCTACAATTTATAAAATTTAAACTTCGTATATATACACTTCTATCCAATCATGCAATTTACGACTCTCTTTTCCGTTCTTGCTTCCCTGAGCCTCTCCAACGCCGCTGCTCTCGGAAAACCCTCTACCTGGAGGGCGACCAACTGGGACATCGTTTGCTCCGGTGGCTGTGTATACTCCTTCGACATCTCTGCTGCTGCATCTGAGTATACTCCTGGCTTCAATACCCATTGCGAGGGTATCTCCGGCAATACTACATTCTGCGACAACCGCAATATCACCGCAACCGTCATAAAACAGCAGCACCCACTGTGGAAGGTGACCGTGAAGCACTATTGGGCCACCTACGAAGGCCATTACTATAATCGATTTTCGGCAGCTGGTAGTGCCAATGTCACCGAATCAACTGACACCTTCTCCATCAACCCCAATGCGCTATATGGAGCTTAAAGCGGCCTTGATCCCATTTATTTTCCGCGTTTATTGGCAGGATCCAAATATGAGAAAACTACAATCATTCTCGTGAAGCGCTGGTGCGCTGGGTCTCTAATTGCTTCGTCATGAATTCGCCGGCGAAAAGCTACATGTCTTTTGTTTATCTCGATCATTGGCGTTGAGATGCTATTCGTTATCTTGCGCGGGCGCATGCATTCTTTTAATTTCTGGGACCCCTTGGACCTAGCCCGCGATGAGATACTGCACATAATAAAACACTTTGTTTAAAAAAAAATATCTAAACTAGGTTTCGATCGGGGCAATGCAAGGTACCGCTTGAAAAAGGAGCGTCACAAACAAGTGACATCATTGCTAATCGCGATAAACATTCCACTACATTAAATAAGCAAACTACCTGTTCCCACTGCAACATCAATCACAATAATCATCATACATACCCATGTCCTGAGCTTGACTGGGAGCTTAATCCCTTGTGTAAATACTTATATCATGGTAATTGTCCTACCCCTGTTTGCTATCGTGGGTAACACTGACATTCCTCTCCACCCCGTGCAGGCTTCAATCCTCCGCCAAATCGTCGCAAGTCCTAGACAAAAGCATCCAGAAGCAGGGTTAGATCTGTGCTACGTAACCGATAAGAGTACTACTTTTCGACAACTCACTTCACCATATGGAAGCTAAAAGGCCTTGACAGTAATCGCCACATCTGGCCCCTCCGCAACGTATCCAAAGCGAGCATACCGCAACCCACTCGATACGCTAGTCAATTTCCTTGACTCCAAACATGGTTCAAACTGGTGCATCTGGGAATTTCGAGCTGAGGGCACCGGCTACCCTGATTCAGAGGTATATGGACGCATTCACCATTTCCCTTGGCCAGACCACCACCCTCCGCCTTTTGCATTGATTCCGAATATCATGGGGAGTATGCGCAATTGGCTCTATGGGCTAGAAGATAAAGATGAAGTTCCCAAGGAGCAAGAGCTTGGCGAGAGAGTGGCTGTAGTGCATTGTAAAGCGGGGAAGGGTCGGAGTGGCACGATCGCGGTAGGATACTTGATCAGTCAGGAGGGATGGACAATGGAGGACGCGCTGCAGAGGTTCACAGACCGGCGAATGCGCGTTGGATTTGGGGCTGGTGTGAGCATATCCAGCCAGCTACGCTACGTCGGATACATTGATATATGGGCCAATCGACTTCAGAAGCAATATGTTGAGCGACCGGTTGAGATCCTCGAGATACACGTCTGGGGACTTCGAGAAGGAGTCAAAGTTGCTGTGGAGGGGTATGAAGATGAAGGCAAGAAGATCAAGTGCATACACACATTCCACCACCACGAGCGCACCGTCATTGAATCTGGGGGCGACAGCGGGGATTCAACACAGAACTCTGCGAATCCATCCGCAATCTCGATCCCATCTACCTCGCAGTCCGATATCTCTGCCACTGAGTCAGCTTCTTCGTCGAACGGCAACATGTCCGCAATCCTTTTCCGCCCAAGCAAGCCTCTGATCATTGCTGGATCCGATATCAATATTGACTTTGAGCGACGAAGCAAAGCCTCCTACACCGGCTTCGCGATGGTCACCTCTGTCGCACATGTATGGTTCAACACATTTTTTGAAGGCGGCCACGAGCACGACTCGGGCGTCTTCGAAACAGAATGGGAAGCTATGGATGGAATCAAAGGTAGCACACGAAAAGGAATTCGTGCTCTCGAGAAGCTCCAGGTTGTGTGGCGGTATCCCACACCGTCTGTTGCAAAGAACCAACACCTAGAAGCTCAGGATGTCAACGACACTGCTCCTTCGACTGGTAAATCTATCAGTGAGCCCAAGCCCGGCGAACCCATTACAGAGAGTCATCCTGCCGATTGGCGTGGGGCAAACAAGGAGAATGACCCTCCAGTCAGAATTCAGGACAATGTCCCAAGAAAAGCTGACAATCATACGGCACCGGTAGCCGCACTACATAAACTTGAAAATAAGTTGGGGCTGCGGAAGCAGGATGAAAGTAAAGACGTGAGTTTGGCTGGCAAGGATGATACGTCTGCGACTGATGAGGGAAAAGCGAAAGTAAAGATGGATCTTCATCGTAATGGCAGTGATATCGATGGTGTAAAACCCTACATTGAGAACGATGGGACGGGTAATTGAAAAATTCATGGATACTGTATACTAATGAACTTTGCAGATAAGCTGCAGGTTGATAATTACAAGATTTTGAGATTCATATCAGATCTTCTCAGGGATTTAGGATATCCCCAGGGATGTATGTAAATGTGCAGATGTGGATGAAATATTGGAACAACATATATCAGCCCCAACAACTCATATGTGATTTGATACGAAAAAAGGAATATTATCCAGATAGCCCCGACCACCGTAATTTTGTTCCAACGTTTGTCTGTACATAATCTTAATCAGATGGAAAATGAAACTTACATATGTAACACATAATAAATAATACAATAATACCTGTAACGCCTCCAATGCGTGAATAGTTAGAGATGAAACATCTCTACAAAGGGACAAACCCTTCCATGCGCTTGCGAGACTCATCTGCCTCGCGGCGCAGCCGGTCAGATCTCCTGCGCTCATAAACAGCTCGAACAACCTTGCGAACCTGCTCTTGGCCCTCCAAAAAGTTCGCTTTCGCCAGCCCTACCACCGAGTCAATTTGCTCAGGTGTATAGATGAAGTTCCAAGTAGAGAGGAAGTCATCTAAATTGGGATCGATTGAGTTGGGTTTAGGAGCTATAGGGTCCTCAGAACCTTGGGCTTTAAGTAGTAGAGACTTAGCAGCCGCAAGAGGCCGAGTCTTAGGAGTCGGCGGGGGAGTTGGAGCCGATTTATTGGGTATGAGAGGGAAGTAGACGACAGCAATACCAGCGTCTGGTTGCATAAGGTGAAATTCAGACTCGGAATGGTCTTCTGCACTTTCGTGGAAAAGGCGCTTGGAAGCTGGAGGTTTGTCTTCGGAGATTCGCTCTTCCTTTGTTCCAACCCAGACATTGCAGTAACCGAGGTCTGTATCCCTCCCATTTGAGGTCTTTTGCTTACTCTGGGCATCGGCTATCTTTTTATTCACTTTTTGGTCCGTCATATTTTGTGGCTCTCGAAGCAACTGCTCCGTTTCCTGGATGCTATCGCCTTCTTTGGGCCATCCAGCACCGATAGGCCAGCTCTTTATTCCTCGTTGGCGGGCATAGCCGTCGACGACAGATAGCCAGTTCTCCTGCTTGATATCGGCGGATGCATCAAAGGCGACGACGATGTCAACGCCTCGCCCAGGCCGGAGGAGGGGATATATCGGGAGATTGTTGCTCATACCAGCATCCATAAGACGCAAGTGATCGTTTTGAAAAATGGATTCCGGGCATGAAGCGGGAAGCTGATCTTTCATTCCCATCACAAAGTTCGGAATACCAGCTGGATCTATTGGGTGGACTCGGACCAAGTCCTTATTTTTACCCTGAATGAGCGAATCAATCCCGCCGAACCCAGTTAGGCCTCTGACCAAAGGTCGAATCTCCTTATAGTAGTGAGATAGGGTTGCACAGAAAGCACTTCCCCATACGCCCATGAGTGCTGGAACTCGGATCTCGGGAATAGGGAACTTCTCCTCAGTGGCCAAGCTCTTACCAGCCTGGAAATGACGGCCCATAGCCCACGTTGGAATACCAGCGTTAAGTTCTTCACAAAAGAATTCATATGGAGTGAACTCAAACCACTGGAACCAAGCCTCTTTCTTTGCATCTCGCATGGCCTTCTCAGGCGTATCATGTACCTTAGCTGGATTCTCTTCCTCTGTTTCGAGTATGGGAATTTCATGTCGCACTGCGGTGTAAATTGGTAGAGGGTGCGCTCCGTTCAATAGGTTGGCTTTTTGGTTGGACAACTTGAAATCCACGGCTGACACTCCGAGTTCTCCGCGCGGTACTAGGAGCCTCGACGCAAGCAATATTCCGTAAATGTCCACCAATCCAAAATCAGCACCAGGGTCTCCTTTTAGTTTCTCAACCAATCCGCTGAGAAGATACTTGTTGGTAGGTGCGGTTGTAAGCAGCTTTAGCACATTGGGAGGAAATGCCATGTGGACTCCCAGCCGACTTTTAAGGTGGTCTACAAGTTTGTTGAAGTTGCGGTCGGTAATTGACGAGTGGTACAGAGTCTGCAGCCAGCAGCTACCGCTAACTCCTGCAGTGTATGTAACAATGTCGAATAATCCTGCTTCCTGTGCAGCCAGATATGACCCGGTCCCGGCGACCAAGGCACGAAGTCCTCCGCCAGAGCCGCACATAGCTATCACAGGTACATCATCCGGATGTATATCCTGCTCTGGGACGCCGAGATACGAGGCTAATGCCTTCACTGAATGCTGTTGACGCTTTCGTCTAAATGCCAGCTCTTCAGCGCACAAGTCACCGCTTACGCGTACTTGCGCGTCTCTCACGATCTCTGGGTTGATATCCGGGTCCTGAGCCTCCTTCCAGATTTCATCTGCCAGTGAGCCAGGTGCAATTGAAAGCTCCCGTTGAAGTTTTTGAACCGTTTCTGGTAGCAACTTGGCCCAGTCAGGCATGTAATTTGTAAAGTTTGGAAGTTCTACCCATTCTGACGATCCAACGGTGTGCTTCACGCTATCAAGCTTGTAGAATATGGAGGACCAAATAGAATTTTGTTCTTCTTGATCGTCGGAAGGTTTGCTTTGCGGATCTCGATTGGCATCAGAACGAGCAGAATTGGTGGAAAAGCGGGCCTTTTGAGGCAGATGCTTGTTCCACTCTCCCGCAGAGTAGGTGTAAGTAGCGAGAACGGCTGGTGGGACTGTCCAGCGCATTCTGAACCCACCTGGGACACCCATTGTGGTGAGTGGAAAAAGATGTACAGCTGAGAATGAAATAAGCATACGAATTCCTATCAGGGTGCGCCGGGAGCTTAAATCCCACCGCGAAATCATTATTGGCCCTGTTTTCTATATGTAATGACGACATGTCACGTGAAACCGGAACAATATATGGGCCGGCCAACTTTATTCCAATTTCAGATTAGCGTTCTCGGACTGCGGAGAGCTTATCTCGCGAACAGCGGGTAACGCCCCTGTGCACCCCACTGTCGGGAAATATGAAGGCTTCAAGTGTTACCACCTTAATACATACCCCCCTTTGATCGAGTACATATAATCACCTGGTCCATAATGGTGGCCCCCAGAAATACCGCCTATGCGGAGGAAAGTGCAGAGGTGGAAGTGCTGTACGCTAACCTCGACAAGCTCAATCTCCTCACCAAAAAGATTCGAGGTTCCTTGGTCCGCCTAGAGACCAGCGGAAATGTTGTAAAGGAAGCAATTGGGCCCATCTACAGCAACACCCAGTCTCTGCAGATCACAAACAGTAACATTGACAAGGTCAACGATGCAATCGACCGCCTCCGCCAACCTCTCGATGCGAAGAGTCGCGAGGAGGGCATCATTCGCGCTGGGTATGATTTGCCATCAAGACCAAGAATATGCACCTAACAAGACTAACCCAATATAAAATAGACCGCTAAGCTCTGGACTTTCACAATACCTTCTGGCGATGAAACGTGTCGAAAAGGCGCTGGTCGACCTCAATACAACAAACCTCCGCGCTAACCAAACCGCAATCGCAGAGTTCAACGCACTTTTGAACACAGGCAGTGGTAAGCTGCAAGATCTGCTTCGTAGCCAGTTGAAGCAGCATGCTACCTCAATTGAACCGTTACATTACCTGACTAAAGGTCTGTTTGATCGAAATTCATAGATTATTAGACTTGACTGATCCCGATTTATCTGCAGAGCTCCCTTTTCCCACCATCCCTGAAGAAACAATTTCCCAACTAGCCCCATTATGTGCAGAAATCAGCTCAGCGTCTGCTATTAGCCTAAAACGCGATAATCCTTCCATCAAAATCTACGCGGAAATTCGTGGACCATATATCACCGCTGGATTGCAAAACTTGTCAATTGCATCCCTCAGTACCGTCAAGAGAAGGGCTACAGATGGTCCATATAAACAAGGAACCAATGGTATCGGTCTCTATTCGAGTGCGTTGGAGGCATTTATTACCACAGAACATGGAATCATTGTTCAGGTATTCACCGGCGATCAGCAAGGCCTCGCTTTGCAAGCCACTTTTATTCCTGCCATGGCGGACTACTCTAAGACTTTGCGGGAGCTCAATCAATATATCAAGCAAAACTTGATGACGGATTGTTTCTTGGCTTTTGAAATTATCGAAATTGTGACAGCCATGTCCTACCGCATTGATTCCAAGACAGCAGAGCTCAAGACTCTGCTGATTGAAGCTTTACGTCCTGTTCGTGAGACCGCCAAATCTTCTCTCTCAGAGCTACTCGAGGAGACAAAACGAAAGGCAGCCACTGTAGCCCTTCCCCGGATGGTGGCTCAGTCCCTTTGGTTTCGGAAGTGATGAGCTCTTTAGCAATGTTGACCGGGTACTCGGGCCCCCTTGCGTCAATATTGACTTCTCTAGGAGATGGCAACTGGCGATCCAGGTCAAACACTACCGGTACGGCACCTCTAGATGTTGGGCCAGACAGCGGTACCCTTTTCTCTCATTTTATTTTGGACATGATTGAGGCCTTGATGACCTCACTGGAAGCTCGCGGTCGGGCAATCCATCGTTCCAAGGCGGCCCAGGGTGTATTCCTGTCAAATGTATTTTGCATTGTGGACCGGTTCATTCGACAGAGTCCAGAGCTGGCTCGTTACCTGGGTGCCCCTGACAGCATTGCGCGGATTGATACTTTCCGCAAGCGTGCCACCTCGACCTACCTTGATGCATGGAAAGAGACTTCTCAATATCTCCTAGACGTGCAATATACTTCTCGCTCTGGGGCACGACCCAGTTCATCGGGCGCAGTGGATTCCAGCGTCATTGTCAAAAACTTGTCGTCCCGTGATCGGGACGCGATCAAGGAGAAATTCAAATCATTTAATGCCAGCTTCGACGACATGGTTAACAAGCAAAAAACATTACATATGGAGCGGGAAGTACGCTCAGTGCTGGGCAGAGAGCTGCAGACTGTTCTCGAACCGCTATATGCGCGATTCTATGATCGCTATGTTGAGATCGACAAGGGTCGTGGCAAGTACATCAAGTATGATAAGCCTAGCCTGTCGGTACAACTAGCGCAGCTTTCCTGAGACACAGTGTCACTGAATAACTAGATACCTTTGCCAATAGCATCATAATAATTAAAAGAATCGTCAAATATTTCCTACACTCTATATCCTGCACGTGATCCGCCCCCACGAAATCAATTTGTGATAAGCCCCCGCTATCGGCAGCGGTAAAAATCAAAATTTCGAACTCATTTTCACTTTTCTAGTTGAAAATTCTATTGAAGTACAATTCTATATCGGCATCATGTCCGGCAGCAACGACGTTTACCAGACTCCCCTCAACTCGCGTTATGCGAGTAAGTATTTCCCACCCCTCTCATATAATGAATGAGCGGACCGGATCTGGATGGCGGGGATTTTGTCCAGTGGGGTATTAACGAATTGATTGAATAGGCGATGAGATGAAATACCTCTTCTCCCCTCGCATGCGGTTTTCGACCTGGCGCCAACTTTGGATCTGGCTGGCCGAGTCCCAGAAAGGTACGAGAGCGAATTGGATTGCCAATGGGACATTGGAAAGCCGGACATTCAATTGACTGGGTCTTGTCTATAGAGCTTGGTCTTTCCATTACCGATGAGGCTATCAGTCAGATGAAGGCCCATGCCACTATTCAGGACGCCGAGTTCAAGGTTGCGGCTGAGGAGGAGAAGCGCCGTCGCCACGATGTCATGGCCCACGTCCACGCTTTCGGACAGGTCGCCCCCGCCGCCGCTGGTATCATCCACTGGGGCGCTACTTCTTGCTACTGCACTGACAATGCTGACCTGATCCTTCTCCGGGACGGTCTCGATATTCTTATCCCCAAGCTGGCCGTTGTTGTTGACAAGTTGTCTCAGTTCGCCAAGCAGTACAAGGACCTGCCTTGTCTGGGATTCACTCACGGCCAGCCCGCCCAGCTTGTCACTGTCGGTAAGCGTGCATGCCTGTGGATCCAGGATCTTCTGATGGATCTGCGCAACCTCGAGCGCGCTCGCGACGATCTGCGATTCCGCGGTGTCAAGGGTACCACCGGTACCCAGGCTTCTTTCCTCCAGATCTTCGAGGGTGACCACGCCAAGGTTGAGAAGCTAGATGAGCTCGTCACTGAGAAGGCTGGCTTCAGCTCTGCATTCATTATTTCCAGTCAAACTTACTCCCGTAAGATCGATGTCGATGTTGGCAACGCTCTTGGCTCTTTCGGTTCCACCTGTGAGCGCATTGGTATCGATATTCGCCATCTGGCTATGCTCAAGGAGGTCGAGGAGCCATTTGAGAAGGATCAGATTGGTAGCAGCGCTATGGTGAGATGCACTGAATTATTTGGCTTATTAAGACGGCGGCTAATACTTGGCATTGACAGGCTTACAAGCGAAACCCTATGCGCTCAGAGCGTTTGTGCTCCCTCGGACGTCACCTGCAGAACCTTCCCAAGGATGCTTTGGACACTTACTCTGCCCAGTGGTTCGAGCGCTCTCTGGTAAGTGCCAATTCGGTTGGGCCCCCCTGCAGTATATACTAACTCATAATAGGACGACAGCGCCATTCGCCGTATCAGTATTCCCGAGCTTTACCTCACCGCTGATGCCTGTCTTATCCTCCTGAGTACGTATATCTTCAATACTGACCTTGTATAATTGGAAGCTCTAACTCTTTTGCAGACAACGTCTCCTCCGGCTTTGTCGTCTACCCCGAGGTCATCAAGCGCCGTGTCAACGATGAGCTTCCTTTCATGGCCACTGAGAACGTACGCACATACCGATGCTATCTATGAGTACATTGTTGAAGCTAATTGTCTTAGATCATTATGGCCTGTGTCAAGAAGGGTCTTTCCCGCCAGGATGCCCACGAGGAGATCCGTAAGTGGTATAATCTGCCATATATGAATACGATCTAATTATTTTATTTCCTAGGTGTCCTCTCCCATCAGGCCTCCGACAACGTCAAGAAACAAGGTAAGGACAACGACCTCCTCGAACGCATCCGCCGCACTGCCTTCTTCAACCCCATCATCCCCGAGCTCGATGCCCTTCTCGACGCCAGCACCTTTGTCGGCCGTGCCCCACAACAAGTCGAGAAGTTCACCAGCACCGAGGTTGCCGCTGCTCTCAAGCCTTACGAGGCTGAGATCGCTAAGCAAGAGACCTCTGCCCTGTACGTTTAATCATGATACTACAATGGTCCAAAAACCAGCGCAGATCTTGATCGATAGGACAAGAATATAAAAAATGATTTCCAAATTTAATGCCGATTGCCATGACAGTTAATCCTTTGATTGTGAGAGAATGTAGAGAAGATTCAGATTCATTGAGTATTAGCCTATTATGCTAACAAACAATATTATACCTTTGGCTTTTAACCGAGGTCTACCTATACTATCCCGAGGTCATCGGACAGGACAGCACCTGGACACTGAGCTGAAAATGGCAAGAAAAGAAAAGAAACTATTCCATTTCTGTCGACCAAACCCAATCTATAAACACCAGAGAATAGAAATCACCACAAGAAATGCTGAAGACTGAAAGATTGTGTACTACCTAGCTCTGTACATAGGTACCTATGTACCTATGTAACAAGCAACCCTGCAGAACGTACAATCAAGAGAATGGCATGATACCTAGGTAGGCCTCAGAAAAAGCAGAAGAAATGGGAAAAGAGAGCTTAGAAGTGGTCTAAGAGATAAAGAGGGTCTGCAAAACAAAAAATACGAAAAATCGAAGCACACAGAAATAAACTTATGATAGAGAAGTATATACTCAAGTCGTATTCAATACGCATATTTCCGTCGTCACTAAGAGCCACATTGGGCAGCTGTACTCTCAACAATTCCTCAAATAGTGCCATACCCAAAGATGCAATGCAATAGCTCCTGATGAAAAGAAGAAGCCTCTGATCGACTCAACGATCTAACCCAATCCCGAATAGAATCAAGATGCTTCAAAAGATGATATATGAGATTGAGGCGTGCGAAATCATCCCTCTCGGCAAACCGGAGAGGGAAATTTCAAACGCGGCGGATGATAAACGTGCACACAAACGCTATGGCGACCGAAATCAGCCACAGAAACAGAACACCATCTTCGTAGACATAGTTCTCATTCATTTGCATTTTCAGGCGTGCGAGACTGAAAAGGAAGAGAGAATAGGTCTCTGATAAGCCACAAGATCCAAAGCATGCCCAACACCCATAGAGAAGCCATGAGCTTGTATGTCGATGAGCGCCATGTGACACGTCGGATTAGACGGCGGCCATTTGGACCCTCGATCGGCCCGCGGACCGGAGGGCTGTTGAGGGTGAAAGGATAAGCCAGGGCCTCGTTCATGGTCTATAGTCTTTGCTGTTTTGGATGGACTAGAGTCTAAAAGCGACGAGGCATGCTATTTGAAATTTCTCTTTAGACAATGTTCGGAGAAGGAGTTTGGAGCTTGGAGCTTGAAGCCGGGAGAGGATAGAGAGTTTTATAGTCGGTGATCCGTGGAGGAAGAGATGGGTGTTTTGTGTTGGTTCCGGTAGGAATTAGTATCTTTTTTAACGTGCTTTTTAGGCTCTTCATCTTTGATGATTTGTTGTCTCCCCACCTTTGATCCTTGCCACTAAAAGACAACAAATATTCAACAGTTGGCATTGAACATTCGATAGAAACTAGGATATTGCCGTTTCCAAGGTATAGTTCAATATTTTTTTTTTTTGGATTATTATCTCTTGTATTGTACATGCTTATTTCCAAGGTTGTCGGGTCAAGTATGGATGCTTTCAACCCAACAAAGCATGTGGTTACGAAGTGCTTGGGGACTACTGGCTAGCTCACTAGTACAAAAAGAAGCTTCTAAGCCATATGCGTATGTTGAGTATAAATTTGATCAACTTTGGAACACTTGCATGGATCCTATTCCTCCGGCCCCTCTTTCCATACCTACCTAGGTAATCATCTACAATCGATCTATCATATTCTCACAATACAAGTTAGACTGGGGCGGCTAACACTCCACTAAAATCCATTCCAAGATTAACCTACGTAGGTGAACCTTGGAATACGACGTATAAGAAGCCGAGTATACCCAGGTCATCCTTGAATTCTTTCATACTTGAAACCTACTTAGGTACCTAGTCTCGACGTCTAATTTGTTCTATAAAAAGCCGAAAGGTCCCAATACCATGTCTTGTAGATCCCGATATCTCTAACTCGGCATGAGAACCGTGTATGAACCCCCTTACAATAACCTTGGAAGGTTGGTAGAATTACAGTATCATGTCAGCTTTCAAATCTGAAAGCTATATCAAGTCTTTCGATATCAGCTAGCTTCAAATTCCTCCCCAAAACGCCATCTACCTAGGTATCTTCAAATGCATGAAACCCTGAATCATGCCTCATATCATAACAAATCATAAAATCAGCGAGTCCCAGAAGCAGACCTTGATCCAGCTCTCGAATTACCACCAGAGCCCGGATTCGACCGAAGACTTATACCTCCGTGCTGGAGATGTCTCTTCATCCCACCACTATGATCAGACCTCTTCTTCTGACCTGGAGCCCACCACCCGTTCTCATCATGGTCGACAATTTCCCTCCAAGTCCCACGAACCAGGTATGCAGTCGAATTACCCAAACCCATTGCGCTCTCTGGCGCAAGAGGACCTTTAGCATCAACATGGAATCCCGGAACATGATGTGACTTGGATGCTGGGACGACGAAGCGCTCTGCATAAAGCTCTTCTTCTAATTCGTGATCTCCTCCGGAGAGAAGTTTAGCCTGGAAACGGCGGCGAGTCTGAGGAATTGACTAATTTTTTTGTCAGCCTTTCCTTTGAATGCTCTGGGCAGGTTATTTTCGATACTTACTCGACCCGAATTCAAGGAATAGGTCACCAGTAACTCCTCGTCGTTCAGAACAGTCAGTGCAGCATGTTCTTCCTCGCTCATGCGTTTACGCATACGAGGGCCATGGGGCTTCATTTCCCCCTCAAAAAATTGGTTTTCGTCATGCTTGGGACCATAAGGGCGGTACTGAGTTGGCGATGGTGCCTCTGTGGAAGAATAAAAATTGACTGCTTGTGTCAGCCAGTTGCAAGCACATATTAGACAACTTAATTTGGGACTTACTGTCATTGACCAGGCGGTTGATAAATCGTTGTGGATCCGGTAGGCCGATGGCAGCTGCGTCAACGGGAACTCCGTCTGACCCGCCGATGGGGGTTCCGAGTCCTCTGATTGTGTCAAGCTGCATTTCATCAGCTGAAGCGTGGTCCATCTCCTCGTCGGAACCGTCAAGAGGTATCCCGTCTATTGGGCTCTCACTTCCTGTGGACATCCTGTAAGTAGGGAGATACCCAGAAGACAGAGCAGACCCAGGGGTTCCGAGCCCGTGCACGGGAGACTGGCTAGTCTCCATGACTGGGTTGTGTCCAGGCTGGTCCATTTGTGGAAAATTAGATGATCAAACCTGAAGACTGAGAGCCAATGATATTTGTGAAGGTTCAAATGTAAGAACCATAGACAGACGGCTGTCTAGATAGGTACTGGGGAGGTGAAGGAAGTCTTCAGGATTCACAACGAGCTTGGTGCATAAAGAAAATAACAGTGGGTCTGATATTGAAAGCCCGTTTAAAATATCATGGAATTCTTATCCATAATCAGCGGTTAAATGTTCATCGAAGGTAGTACAGTTCTCTCAACTGATGCTCGTGTCTATGGGGGTGTCAGCCTGGTCAAGTGTGGAAATACCATGGCTTTAATTTATTTACAGAAAATTTAGGAGCTCAAAATGTTTGAGGACTGTGGTATCATCCGTCGAGACCTCACTCAAACTATGAAGGGCAGGAATGGGATAGCTCGAGAGGTTCTAGAGTATAGTAGGGGTGATGATGAATTGGGGAAGAAGGACAGTCGGAGATGATAGGTTTCTATCAGCGGCCAGTCCTGAATTAACAGGTTTCAGGGGTTTTAGAAGTTAAAGTGAAAGTGAGCTCGAGAGATGCCATAGTTCAAGGTGAATCGGATGATGCTTGAATGTGTGATGAAAAACAGGAGGGGAGATGCTGAGTCAGCCTGCATCTAACATGCACCCTGAGATGTACTTTCAAGATTCTTTCAATTCTGAAAAATTAAGTGCATTATCATGTTCAGACTTCAGTGTTCTTGATTTCATGTCCATTAAGATGTACATAGTCATGTCCTCTGGTTGGCATTGGGCAATATGAATGACCCGAAAATCCATCCAGGGGAACATGCTCCAACTTCATGGATTTGCAGGAGGCACTGTCCACTTTTCACTCCAGGGCTGATACATAAGTAGCTGGTAAGCACGCCACATCTGTAACTATCCGCGGTCTATATAATTTGTGCTCTGCCGATATGCGCAGTCCTGGAGTACTACTCCCGAAGGGATGAAGATGTGTCATCTATGAAGTTGATTCAGGCAAGACACAAGCGACATTAGTAGCCGAGTACAATTTCATCAAGAGCTACAAAACCATTACTTCAATCCAATATTAAATTTAAAGCTTAGAACTTACCGGATCACAGCAAGCTGCATGCTGATCAGTATCACAAGAGCTGTAAGTCGTCGTCCCATCCGCAGCTTCGGACAATTCGTTTGCATTTGTGCCTAGATAAAACCATCAGCTTGACTTACTTGGCCTCTAAGACAAAACAGAATACATGGATTCTGGGGGCATCATACACATCTTGCCTGTGTATAGGAATGAGAGCAGTTGGCTCTGAAGAAGCTCCTTGCAGCATACACCTGGAGGGCCTGCTGGAATTGGGTTGACAGGTTTGATGCAGGTGAACTCGCAGGTTACCAGAGTAGCGAGAGTGAGAAATGCAATTATCTTCATGTTGGTTCAGACGTTTATCGCTTGATGAACATGTTGAATTGGAAGTTGGAATTGAATTTGATAGCTCAGTATTTACTTTTTTTTTGCTTAAGTTATATGATGTCATGAATATTGTTTAGAAGACATTCGGACTCCAACGTCGGCAATAAGAATGGAATAAATCAGATAAGTGTGGTTTACATAGCAGAAAGAGAGAACGGGCGTTTACAGCTACAAGAAGAGGAGAGGGAAATGACCCAGTGAATTATGTAATGAGACAGTATGGTCTTACATCAACGATGTAAGTGAGATGATAAGAGTAAATAGTATCAGGCTATCGAAAAGAGCCAAATAAGATAACGCCAAAACAAAATGCCGCTAAAATGAGGCAGAAAAAAGTGAAGAAATACCACTAGCATTGATTCATGTAGCTATTTTGCGGCCAATGATATCCAGCATCCTCCCTGTCAAGATATCAGTAATTGCTACAACAGAGATCAGTAGATAGATGTCAAACTTACCAAGTAGTCAAGTTGTGGTTATCGTATGCCCGTTGATGCTGCTTGATGTACTCCGTTGTCTCATATCCCGGAGGGTCACATGTAACGCTCTCATCATCGGGATCCTGATAAATACGAACATAATCAAAGCGTAAGTACGCCGGCATGTATTCGAGAATTGACTTGTTCTGTGGCGCGAAGTTGTCCGCCATGCCAAGGTTCATGACGATAGACATTGGCTCAAGGGGGATCATGCGCTGCCCGATGTTGCCGTTGGGTCCAATGGCTCGGGCGTCCAGCGTCCAGGTCTTGTCTGGGCCGACGAACCAGGTGACATCTCCTTTGTCTCCAGGGGTATATTCAAAGGAATAGCTTTGGTATTCAGTTCCGTTGTACCAGCGATGGTTGAGGTTTGTCAGGCCTGACATTGCTTGTTGGTAGACGCCGCCACGGTAGGCGTTGATCTCGGTGACACTAGAGTCATAGACAGCGGTATAGTCTGGGTAAATCAAGTTAATGACCTGGTCTAGGGATGAGCCCTCACTGGGGTTCTTACCGTAGTCTGGCATATACCAAATATCGAATGGGGCAGCTTGCATACTCTGCGATACAGTGCCGATCAAGTTGTTCCAGTCATTGTTCAGCGGGCCAGTGCTCGCTTCAAGTACATCAATCTCAGGGGCGCTTCGAGCTCGCCCTGGAGTAGGGTGGTCTGCCTTGGGACAAGTGCATCCTGGAAGACGCATACCAGGTAAGAAGTTGATTCCATCCGGGGAACTTTGGTTCGGAGTAATGCCCGCATCACACCCATCGTGATAGCTGTACGGCCACAACCCATCGGTGGAGGCTGCATGGCCGGGACGTGCTAGATTTCCCATTGCCCAGAAACCGGGCCAGAAACCTTGGATATGTCCGTCACCAGGGAGTGAGAGACTGGCTTCCAGCCGACCACCCTTAAAGCAAAGCTTGTTCCAACTCTGTATCATTCCAGATCTATACTTCACCCCGTGATTCTCGAAATTATCAAATCTGATTTCCATTACACCCTCGTTTGTAGTGACTGCATCAGGATCATACCACTGTGAATGTTAAAATACATGGTCCAGCGACCTTGACATTTGAGAAATCACATACCTCTTTGTCCATGGTCACACCGTACCACATGTCAACTGCTTGGAAGAATGGGTCGTCTTCGTCGTAGAATGTGCGCCCAGGCATATTGAACTCATCTGAGAACTGAAATATCAAGTTAGTATCAAATTTCCAACCACTCATGAAATCCCACTAACCACTAGCTTCCACTCTTTTCCATCTGCATTCTTTTTGGTAAGTGCTTCCTTCGGGGTATCGGGATCGATCAAACCCTTCCGGATATTCTCCAGCAAAGGCTGCTCGCCAACGTCAAGACAAAGCAAGTCATTACCCCTACATGCATGCCCGGGTTTGAAAGCACCTTCCACCCATGTACTATAATAGAAAGTTCCGAGATTAGCGAATATAGACAAATGCCACAAACCAACACAACATACATCACTGGGTATCCAATGAATAGACACAAAATTCCGAGAGTCATGAACACCAGACCGCCCATATTCAAGATCCCACGTCGGTTGCAAATGTCACAGTCGCGATCCAAGTCCGAAGAATCAGGATTATGCAGATAATCGTCCTTCTCTACATCTTCAGGGAAAAGCAACAAACCAGCAGTGGGCATGATATTGAACTTCTCCGAGACAGTCTGCGTGTTGATATCGTAGTCATCGCTTCCAGAGCGAGACGATGATGTTTTCCGTAATTCTGCAAATTGATCTATCGCAAGTCGACTTTCTCGACCGATGGAACCGATACTGGACGGTGAGCTAGTCCAACGATCTGGTGAACCAGATCTTTCGGTGTCATCTCGTGGCGTAAGACGCATTTTGGGGGGGAGCAAGAACTCGGATGATTCAGGAACAGCCGATACTCCGTAGGGCGATACTCCTTGTAGATTGACAGGTGATGGACCATCGCTTGCTGGTGTGAGAGTTCGTGGGGATTGAGAGTGAAGATCGACTGGTGTATAACCCTCGTGGGATTCGATGAATGGTTCCTGACGCCCTGAGTTGAGTCGAATATGAGGCATCCCAGATCTCAAGGTATTGCCCGTGTTCGTCATCTGATATTGGCTTATAGCCCTGTTTATATCAAATTACCGAAGTGCTGAAGGAAGTATTCTAGGAAGTCGTGCTTTTCGATGATTCTTTCAAGTTCTCGCCCTCAACATAATCAAACTATGTAGTGACTGAATGACTGATACCGATTCTGCACAGTCGTCAAGTGCACAATATGTGAAAGAGTGGACAGGACTGTTTGGATGATATCCAATGTCCCAGACGAAGCCAAATCGATTAAACGGGAGTGGTAGCAAGGAAAGGAAGAACACTGGCAACGAGAGCCCAGAAGAAGAGAATATTGAGCACCTTAGCCTAGATTTCTCCGAGGGATCCATTGTTTTTCACGCGCACGAGCGGGCAAGAATGACAGACTGCCAAAGGGGCAACCCGTGGTATGTGTAAACCACATAGTAGTTGCGCGTCTAAAGGTCACGAAATACTACAATTATATCGCTTTCTGTCATGAATACCATATTTTGCTCTCAAATTTAGAATTGAATTAATATTGTCATGCGATATGGTGGTGCTGACGGCCAGTATCTACAGCTCGAAGCTATCCAGGGCCGTTGGAGGGTGAAGTGCATTCTCAGTACCCTCCCCGGGGCCAGGAATGGACAGTCATGAATGTTGTCCAGGAATTCTAGGAATATCAGCTTAAGCCTATCTGCTCTAAAAGTTCCGACCAATAATGACAATTTTAGTGGGGGATGGAAAGTTGCTTGATGTTCGGGTTGTAGAACCGAGGCCATATTCATATCACCGATTTGCGTCTAGTCACCACAAAACCTTCCAAGGTTTTACTAGGAACTCCGTAGTAGCTAACTCTTAAAGCTTCTAGATTCTTCGTTTTCTAGCTGGTCATCAAGTATAATAATCTACATCAAGGAGCCTACCTAGATACCCAGAGAACAGGATCGTGACCATTCCCAGATACCTACGCGTCCCTTCACTCTCAACGCCGAGCAACTCAAAAGAATGTCAAGATAGCCTCGAGGCTATCAAATTATGGTCTTACTTTAATTTCCTTGGATTGCGCATTCTCTTAATTGATCAACCTGGGAAGTGTACTATCTTGTCTAGGGTTGTACGTAAGCAATAGTTCAAGGCCACTATTTAGATATCACACAGCTCTGTAGATCCAAGAAATCGTCCATAAATTAATCCAATCAATTTTAAAGCTATTTGATTTGATTATAGCAAATCTCATGAGATTATCAACTCTCAACAGCCTTAGCCCGAAGACCAACAACCTGGCCCTCAGCCACACTCAAGGCCAAAACCCAGTACTCAAGCTTCGTGCTGCTCAACTCAACACGATAAACCTTGACATCAATAGAAGACTGGTCTACAGTATCATCATGCTCAACAGCTGCAGCACGCACAGCCCGGAAAACAGTAGAATACTGATTCTTCGGATCGAAGGAGGAAGCCGAAAGGGTGGTAATGTCCTCCGAGAGGTCTTTGTTTGGGGAAATCAAATTGGAAAATTGATCTGCAGATAGAAACTCGTAGGTTAGCCAGGTACGAAATCTTAGAACATTTCGCAAGACCAATCACTCCCTTCAAGGGTAATTAGGTATCTTATATTCCAGAACTAAAACCAGAACTAGAACCAAAACCCTTACTAGCCCTGGACAAGGAGCCCGTGGAAACAGAGGTGGAAATGGATGGAAAACTTAGACATACCGGCACTAGGCCAATCTCCCCGGCTTGCACCATCCCACTTGAGCGCAACAGGCTCGAATGGTTCGTCTGTGTCAGAGGTGTAGTATTTGTCGACTGATGCGAGTGATGCGGGGACCTGGACAGATGTATGGATGGTCTCGGTCCGAATGGAGTCGGTCCCTTGCTGCGCGTAGCCGGCATTCGGGTCTGCGTTTGCCTTGTCCAGGAAGGAAATGTAGCCGTCAGACATGATTATTGAGGCTGTGGAGAATAGGGAGGATCGAGGTGAAGTAAGCTGCAGTGCAGGCGGTGATGTTGGACCTGCGGGGAAGCGAGGGTTGTTTTGGTGGTTATGCAGTAGTTTTTGTTTAATATCGTAGGCTGATGAAGAGTAGGATGAACGGGGTTTTATGGTTGGTGTGGAAACTGATGGAGATAAGATGAGGGTCTGAATTGTTTGAAGTGCAAATGGTTTCTTTAAGTGAAGGAAGTTTGGGATGACGCAATGTATCCTGTTTGACGGCATCCTGTTGTACAGCCAAGTTGTAATATATTGTGGCGGAAATTTGTTGTAAAAATCAAGCTTGCAGAGTTGCAAGTGTTGTGTTACCTTGATAAACGGTCTAGACATTCTCAGATGAAAATTTGGGAAAAAGTTTTTTAGTAGTAGCTCCAAGGTTCCAAAGGTTGATGTATATATCCATGTGTCAAGCGTCTAGGTACCACCAACTTCTGCTTACCTAGGTCCACCAGTCAAGCAACTGGTTCCAAGGCCACTGACATGTTCCGATACCAGTTTCAGAAAATATATGAGAAATTGAAAGGTAAGATATGATAAGACATTAAATATCGAATGCTTAAGAGCTAGTCAGACTACAGCCTACAGGAAAAGGCATGAAGGTATTGTTCGCTTTTTTTATTGAACCTGAAAATACGTAGCACCACCAAAAATTTAAAACATCTAAGCCTCGGTAACGAGGTCCTTCTTGAGGGTACCCAGGAAGGCGCGCTTCTCCTCGGCGGTCTGGAAAGCACCGTGACCGAACTTGGAGGAGGTGTCGATCCACTTGAGCTCGACCTTCTCAGTAGCTCTCCGGTTGGTCTGGGGGTACAGAGTCTTGCGCAGGGTCATAACACGCTTCTTGACACCAGGGACGGAGCCCTTGAGGAGAACGAAGTCGTTCTTAACCTCACCGTAGTGGACGAAACCACCAAGACTGTAGAAAAGTTAGTTTCATATAAAAATTGAAAAGTGATGAATAGGCAAAACGTACGGAGTGATGTTCTTCTTGGAGATATCGAATTCGGTGGAGGCATTGCCCTCATCGGATCCCTTGCCAATACGGAAAACCTTGTGGTTGCAAGAGGTACGGTGGTGGTATCCGTCCTGACCGGCACGGGCAACAGTCCACTGGACGTGGCTAGGGTGCCAAGCACCGATACAGGCAACCTTACGGAGACCCTTGTGCGTCTTGCGGGGAAGCTTGGTGGTACCCCAACGGCTGGTGACACCGGAGAAACCGTGACCCTTGGTGACGGCAATAACATCAATCATCTCGTCCTTCTCGAAGATGGAGTCGACGTCAATGGTCTTCTCGAACAAGTTCTGGGCGAAGTCAACCTTGTCGGAGATGGAGCCACCGTTGACCTGAATCTCCATAAGGTGGGCCTTCTTCTGCTTGATGGGGGTCTTGCGGATCTGGGTGTGGGCGAGGACACGGACGACAGTGCAGTACTTCTTGATACGCTCAAGCTCGCGAGTGACGGAGGCACCGCTGTTCTCGGCGTGGGACTTGGCGTACTTGGTGAAGGCCTTCTTCTTGCTCTTGTACCAGTTCTTGTAGAAGCGACGCTTGACCTCATCGCTCAGGTGCTCAGCCCAGACGGTGGTGAGGGAGCGGAGACCGCGGGGAGTCTCGATGTAGCCAACGACACCAACGGCGACGAGCTGTTAAAAAAAAAAAAGAACCTAGTTAGAAACAGAGTCCCTCTCACAATTCCAGCTGTGTTGCAAACTTACAGGAGGAGTCTCAATGACGGTGGCAGCCTCAACGATCTCCTTCTTGTGCATCTTGGCACCGGGACGGTCAAGGTCGCGGACGATGGTGGTCATACCGGCCTTGTAGCCCATGAAGGCAGTCAGGTGGACGGGCTTCTTGGCATCATCCTTGGGGAAGCTGGCGCACAAAAAAAAATCGTATTAGTATAGCGCACATTTCTTAACATCGCAAATTTTTGCATGTCCGTAGAATCGAGTGAAACTCACCTCTTAACCTTACCGCGGTGGCGGGCAGCACGCTTGCGCGGCAGGTAGGCCAGAGAACCTGTATATCTAGCATCAGTAAAGCCGGACACTGGGGTTGTCGAAATTTTGTCGAAATTGATCACGAACCGTGGCGGGGAGCTTCGAACTTCCGGTGACTCCTGAATAATTAATGAAGGTTAGCAATTGCACTTGATAATATTTGAGCATTGTACGGGGAAGCGACTAACATCTTGGCCCTGTTGTCGTTAGTCGTCGAGGTGGTGAGAGTGACGATCTAAAAGTGTCGGAGAAGGTGTATGGATTTTGCACGCTTAACGAATGTGGGATGACATAATCAAGGGTTCCTAATTTGGATTTAGCGACCCGTAGTTTCTTGAATGACTAAGACTTAGCAGTGCCAAGTTTTCAAGTCATGTGACAAGTCGCGAGATGTGAACCTGAATGTGGATTATCTGCTATTTAGTATTTAGTATTTACTACGAATAGTACTTACTACCTTGGAACAGGCGGGAATAATTTTCAAATGATTTCAATTGGCTATCGGAAAAGGGGTCTGATGCCTAGTGCATTTGGTAAAAATTCACAGGGAAATAGAAAGGGTCAAAGAAATCATCAAAGAGTAGGGAAGAGAACGGATCCAGGCCTTCGTCGATTCAGAATCTGAGACTGATCAAAGAGGACCAAGGTAAGAGATAGGTTCGTACCGTACATCACTATGTGAAAATGAGGATAGGGGGTAAAAAGGACATATGGGAAAAGGACAGCCAGAAACCGGCGAGGGAAGAGGGTGTTTTCAAAAGTGGTCAGATCTCGTTTAGGCTGAAGACTCGGTCTTTGAGGGTGTGCCTTGACGACCATTAGTGGAGACTCCATTACCATTGACCGGATTACCAGTGGTGCTACCATTGGGGCTACGGTTGGCAGCCGCACCTGCCTTTTTCTCATCTTCTATTTCGTCATCGTAGTCCTCATCGACATCCATTTTGCGTGCAGCAGGCTCATGAGATAGAGGAGCCTCGGGACGAGGAGGCTCTTCCTTGACCGGAGTGTTGGCCGAGGGCGCAGCTGAAGAAGGTCCGTTCGAGACGGTAGCGGAGACTTCAGTCATGGGCGGGAGGCTAGCACCAGTTTGGGGCGGCATGGTTTGGATAGAGGGCAAAGTAGGAGGGTGGTGGGCAGCTTCTGAGGGGTGATAGTTCTCGTTGGCACGACGGGCATCTTCACGGCGAGCTTCAGAAGAGCTGCGTCGCTGCATCTCACCAGGAGACGGTAGGCGAGCAGGTGGGCTTGCGCGGCGGCTGTTCTGGTCGTCAAGACGCGCACGGCTCTCCTCATTTGCCTGTTTCTTCACAGGTCCGCTTTCCGCCTCCCATTCACGGCCACGCTTCATCGCAGAAGATGGACGCTCTTCGCGGTCGCGAGCGGCGGCTTCAGCGGCTGCTAATGCCGATGCAGGAGGAGGGGCACCAGACGCGATACCAGTTGAGGCACTGGGAGGATTGGGTGCACTGGGACCGTGGTGGAACTGTTGATGAGGGTAGCCCGATCCAGGAGAAGACGGGCGCTCATCCCGAAGGGGACGAATCTCAGTCGGAGGAGTAAAAGGTCTGTGGTAAGTGGGTGCTGGGCCGTTGCTAGGAGGACCACTAGGAGCAGGAGGCCCAGTAGGTGCGCCAGTAGGTGCGGGAGGAAGGGGTCCACGAACAGCAGATCCGTAGCCGTTACCGCCACTGAGAACTCGCTCGTGACCAGGAGTTGGAGCACCTCCTAACTGGGGTAGGGTATGAGGCGGGGGATAAGCACCGGGAGGACCACCAAGCTTCGGAGAGCGGGGTGGGCCACGAGAGGGATCAGGGAAGGCCCGACCAGGCTCCTGGCGAGGGCTGGTCAGGGATGTACCCACGACTCGGGGTCCCTCGCGCGAATCATGACCACCATTCATGGGAGGAGCTGGGCCCCCAGACTGTATGTCATTGAGACCACGGTCCCAGCCGGCGATCTGACGAGGAGGAGCGGGTGCCTGAGGAGGGGGGCCAATCGGGGCTGGAGCACCCCACTGGGGAGCCGGAGGTCCACCAACACCGGGCTGGTAAGTTATGGGGTGGACATCCTGCGGCTGAGGTGCAGGAGCATTGTTCTGTTGAGCCCCAGCACCAGACAGCTGGCTCTGAAGCAACTGCAGGCGAGCCTTGATATGGACGTTTTGGGGATCAAGATCCGCAGCGCGTCCATATGCATCGAGAGCGTCGGCAATCTGGTTGTTGCAAGATTCATACTAAAAAGGAAAGAAAAAAGGTTAGTGCTGTGCGATTTTGCAGTAGATCATGCAACGGAACTCACCAAAGTACCCAGATCGTACCAAACCTCTGAAATGTAAGGGTTCAAGCGAATGGCACGAGAGTACGCGTCAAGTGCATCACGGTACTGATTGATCTGGTAGTAGAGAACACCGATCGAGCACCAGAAGGTCGGGTTGCGTCCGTCACGGTAGACAGCCTGCTGATAGGCTTCGTAGGCCTTGGGATATTTGTTCTGGGACATGTAGCACCGACCGAGTAGATACCAACTTTGAGCATCGGAGTTGTCTGATCAAAAAGAAGAAATTGTTAGGAGTTGCCCCATTCAATGATGGGAGATGTCGACATCATACCTGCATTGACAGACTTCTCCAAGAACTCGATGGCCTTCTCCTGGCTAGTGTAATTGGCACTCTGCTGGTGATAGAGCCATCCGAGCTGCTGAAGAACCTTGGCATGGTTCGGGTCGCGATCAAGCACCCGGCGATAGGCAGATTGAGCGGCTTCAAACTAAAAGGCCATTAGCACCAAATTAATCTCGTACAGTCGAAGAAAATCACTCACGTCTTTTTGCTGTTCGTGAACGTGACCGATTTGGAACCAGATATCCTCTTCAGTCAAAGGACGGGGCGGGTCATTGACAATATATTTAAAGCACTGTATATCGTTAGCTCATCTAATGGAAGTATATGCCGGAAGAACTCACATCTAAGCTCTGGGAGAACTTCGACTGTTGCTTGTAAATTATACCCAAGCGGAAGTAAATTTCGTTGGCCTTTTCGAACTCTGGTGCCATGCGCATGACCTGCGAGAAAGCTTCCTCAGCGTGATCGAGAGATCCATAGCGATCGTACAGTATACCGATGCCGTACCACAGTTTCGGTTCCTAGTTTGAAATTAGTTGTTATTCACATATTACCAATGAAAATGACGAACCTTAGGATCACGCAGGTGGTACAGCGCCTGTTGATACGAGGTGTAAGCCTCTTGCAAATTGTCCATCATCAAATGGCAGTGTCCCAAACTACCCCAGGTCTCTCCGTTGGTCGGATCCAACTTCAAGATGTTTTGGAGGTACTCAATTGCCTTCGGAAATTGCTCTTTCGTTCGGAGGATGAGGGAAATTGCGTTCATGGCCGGGATGGACCATGTGTTATGGCGCAGGGCCTGCTCATAAGCATTCATAGAGCCATCCAAGTCACCCATCAGTTCAGTCAGGCTACCTATAACTACAAGTTAGTCTCGCAATTTTACGTGAGTTCTTATGTTAGTTGTAAGTACCCACCAATTTGGATCCACACCTGCTCATTCAGAGCAGCAATCTTTTGGGCGGTTGTAAGGGAGACACTCTTTTGACCTTGCGCGGGCATGGCCGACATGTGGCCGTTCACTTGGGTGTGTGCTGCGATGGCGTGCGCGTGATGAGGAGCCACACCAGTGGTGGGCGATGGTTGAGTATGAGACATGATGTTATGAGATAGGTTCAGTTAGAATCTGGTTGCGACTACAAGTGGATGAGGTGTTGCGTTGCGACACGATGATGCAATCCACACGAGAGGGGAGCACGCGAGGGTAGGAGCGGAACGGGAACGAAAACACAAATTTCTACTACGCGACAGAAATTTGAAGCAATATCGCGAAGTTGAGTTAACGATCGACAATAGCCAATTTCGCGTTGATGGATCAGGCGATGGATGTGCGCGGGTAATGCGCCTCTCTCCTCGTGGGGGGGGGGGGTGGGGAGTTGGGGGACAAGATGGAGGAGAGAGAGCTTTCACAGCTCAAGAGGAGCAAAAGAAACAAGTGCAGAGATAAGAAGTGTGGTAGATGGGGAAGGGGATGGATGGAAGCCGTCAAGGAGGAAAGGGAAAAAGGTCGAGGGGCTGGCACGAAAGGTGTGAAATTTGCCAAGAGACGCTAGTGGTTGCGCAGCTGCCGGCCGTCACCACAGACACGACAAAAGCTGACAATCTAAAATGGACTAGTGTGGTGGGGCCGATCTGGAGGCGGTTATTCTTCTGTGGATTGGGCTTCATCAACGGTGTGGGGGCTTTTGGGTCTTTTTTTTTTTTTTTCATTTTTTTTTTTGGTATCTCTCTTGTTGATATGTTACTTTTTTTCATGTATTAGTAAATTGTATTTGATAATATAATATTTCAGTTTAAAAGATACTAGAGATATCGAATTTTAGTACTTTTAGTACCTCTAAATAAATACTATCCCGAATATAGTATCGAACACGAACCCCCGGTTGGGCCGAGTGTGGCGCCTCAGTGGGTCATTTACCACGGGGGTCAGAGTCCTCACATTAGTGCGACTGTTCTCCGTGCTACTCCGACTTTAGCCTAACACGGAAAGGCTAGACTTGGACCGTGCGGGCCTGCCAGATCCCTGGCCATGACTAAGCACAGCCCTGCTCCCAAACTCGGATGTGTGCATCTACAGGCTGCAGAGCAACCCTGCTGTACATGTATTGTCTTATATAGTTTATATTTATATTTATATTTTGATTAAACATGTAGTAGCTGGATTTGATCTTTATTCTATATTTTATTTCTATTTCTCCGGATTATATGTTTGGGTTCTCTGCAGGGTTTTTGCATACCATCAAAAGCCCCGAATGTCCTGATGCACTACTGTCCCCTTCCGTAATTGATCCCCATTCTACCTCCTTTCACCTTCAACTCCACACTTTCTTATTTTAGTCTTTTTAGAGTATTTATTTTAAAATGTCTTAGTCCTTTTATTCTCTACTTGTTCTCATTTCATGTCTTCTGTAATTCTATTTCAGCCACCCTCAAGCCACGCTTGATTGCCGCATTCCAGTGGATAAGTCCAATGACGACCCAAAAAGTGGCTCCGTGACAATGCACCCCCCTTTTTTCTTTTTATTCCTTTTTTTTTTTTTTTTTTTTTTCTTTTTTCCCAAATCCAGGAAATTCCCCTCCTCCACTTTCCACATCCCTGCCGCATCCAGCAGAACCTGAACCTTTGATCGGCCCCCCCATCATCAACCCAGAAAGAACTCGGTGGATACTCCCCTCCTCCACTCTCCACTCCTCCATTCCATTCTATCCGTTCACCAGGGTTGGCCTAGCCGAGCCGCTGCCGTTACGTCGCAATTGGTGAATTGGTGAAACATATTTAAGCAGGGTAAAAGAACTTTGTACTTGATTCTTGTCAATTCACTTGAGTGGCACAGATGATTATACCTTTACCTTAGGTCCCACCCCAGCCTGTCACTCGACATGACACAATCTCCACGGATCTGGTACTCCCAAATCCCTGCACCTGGCCTTGACGAGTCATCCTGTACCGACAGGTTATGGCATGTTATTTATTGTATCTGCCGCGCGCATAGCTCGAACCTCCGTGCCCACTGTGGGGACCTCGTGAGTAAAGCACAGCCGCTTAAGGCTGGACTTTGTAACCCCACTTAAGGGATAACTTATCCTGAATGAATCACATAAGTTGCAATACGGATTAGTGGTTCGAGAATTGGAGATATCAAGGCTCGATGCCCGTGAACTCGTTCCATCGTTAATCTTGGGGCAGCCACATTACTGATCAAATTACTGATCAGGTCTTACAAAGTACTTTAGTAACGCTTACCTTCTGAAAGCTGTCGACTAAACTAATCAAGTAGAGCTATACAATGCCCAGTTGGCACTAGGATTCGAATATACAGAGCATAATCCATATACTTGGAAGACAGTGGATATTAGACCCCAATTCAACCTTAGCTACTACCAGCTTACCTGGGTATGAAGAACTCCGGAAAAATACTTGCATATGTACCTACCTGGATAGGTATTAAAGAATCCATCCTTGGAATTTTCCAAGGCTGCAAGGGTGAAGAAAGATAAGTCAACTTTAAAAATTAAACACGGACTATCCATTCTTTCAAGTTTAAGTTTTTTTTTTTTTTTTTCAGCCCAGGTCAGTTTAGGTAGATCCGTATTCAATGCTATAGAAGCTGAAAGAATATGACCTATAACGCTGGTTGTAACCTTGAATCACTATCACTACCTAGGTACACCAGCATCTTCCCAGCCCTCGCGACAGGTACACCCAGCAGTAACACCCAGTAATGCAAGCAGATAGCAGATAAAGGGGAGTTGGGGCAACCTTTCAAATAGAACCGGGTCGCATCTCAATTACCAGCCACAAACGAGGTCATCTTGCCCGGGTTCACGGATCATCGGGAGAAATGATATCTGTCAAACTGGATAGCGAGTTATGATCGACGGGACTATTTTGAAGCAATAACACCCGTCAAGTCTATTACTTCTAAATCCTGAAGAGAACCTACTCGATCCCTAACCTCCAACCTCAATCCTGATTGGCTGATTATCGCATCTTCGGTATTATCTCGGTCAACGGCCCCCCGCGAAGGCTCAAGTGAGCGGGGGAATTTTGCAGCAAATACAATGAGTGGTCGGTTTAATACGGAGTACGGAACACCGGCATCTAGATTCAACTAGGGGGGGGGAACAAGCAACAGGGCTTCGGAACATTTTCAGGGTTTCAAGGTTGTTTTGGGGATTTCCGATGTTGACTGATCGTCCTAGGTTAAAGGGTTCTTGCCCGTGCCCAGTTCACAATTTATCTAATACAACCTTGGAACACCAAATCGTCCATTTACAACATTGAATTCCCTGGGTAATTTGTGTAGTAGATTTGAGGTTGGACTTTCCCGACATGGTGAATTTCGGGACTCATCTAGCTAGGTACCTAGGTACCTAGGTAGTTAGTTGATGTTGACATCCATACTAGGAACCTTGGAGTACATACCGTCTTCTGCCTGAGATACCAGGCATGACATTGTAGCACACACCCGTGGGCTCAGGTAACCTTGAATACAGTTAATCGCCCCTCACTACTTCGTACCTAGGTATAGAACAGGGTCTTGGAAATAGCCCTGGAGAATAGTACCTCTCAAACCCACCCGGGCATTTCCTAGATTCCAATACCAGAGCCCTGCACCCGCCCGAGAAACCATAGCATTTCTTTTTGGGACAACCACTCAGGACTGCCAGGATGTTGAGCATGCAAGGTATCATTGAGATTAAGTATCTGTCCACCGTCTAATAGCAGTAGAATATTGGTGCCTGTTTGGCAGAAAGCAGGGGTCCCTGATCTTACACTGTACACCGTGCACCGTGCACCGTGCATTGCTTCGTGCCTAGGTGCCCTACATGAGATCCCTTGCTGCATGCAGCCTTGATCTATCATTGCTTCCAGATCATATTGTTATTGATGCATGATCGTTTGCCGATGATATATTTACATTTACATTGCACGAGATAAGTGAAGAGAGGTGTAGGCATGGGTGCATGTGCATGATTCATTGGCCAATAGTCATTTCACCCATTATACCTATCTTCGCTGTTTGATTGCATGAAACTTGGAATGCATTAAAGGATGTAAAGGGGAAAGGATTTACACCGCTTAGGAGTAGTACATTTTTATTCCAGACTATGGGGTTGGTAAGGCTTTATTCAAAGTTAATTAACCATTGATGTAGGAAAGAGTTTTAGCCTCCAGGCAGCAAAGCAGCAAAGCAGCAAAAGCCAAGCCGATAGTAGTGTCAATACATACTTGCATGTTGGACTTAACTGTAATAGATCAATATACATAGGTCTATGGTATGACGTGCTTCTGATTGAATAAGATTACTGTGGAGGAAGGATTAAAGGTGGGGCGACAATCTGGCAACCGTCAAACGTGCTTTGCGCAGCCTAGTCCAGGCTTTTATACAGTTTACTGAGTTGGTATAAGGGCTAAATTGCGAGTTCAGCAAGGCCAAGACTGAAGGGTCCAAGACTTCCAAGCGAGGAAACCTTGGAAGACAAGACAAAGACGGGATCTGGGAGAGCCAAGGGCTGGGCATTGTTATGGAGAGATGATGAGATGGTGTAGTCATTAGTTGAAATCTGGTGAGTCTCAAATGTACTGAAAAGTACTTTATTGCTTACATATAGATAGTAAGAAATGAAGAGTAATATCTCATATCCCATCATATATATACCTATGTAATGCTTTCCCCGGACTTTACTCAAGATATATATATAAAGTCACGTGTGTAGGCATTATAGTGCCAAGAAGATCAGATGTATGATCCACTCTTTTACAACCAATAATATTGACATCTGGTCAATGGTCATCCAGATTGCATCTTGGCATCTTGGCGATTGGAAAATACTCTCGAAGACTGCGTAGGACAAGTTCTTGTCCGACCAAGCATAGGACCTACAATAAGTCTCCCAGTGTTTTGGGATACGATGTGTGAGTCTGTAAGCCTTTGAGGTAGGAATTCTCTCATTGATAGACCTACTACAACGTTGCCTCAATTTCAGTATTTCTCTAGCCTAGCTATGCCAAGGGCTCGGCATCTGGGCGTCTTGGCAAGCGCAAACTGCAAACAGCAGTTCTTTTCCGCTCCCATGGCTCTTTCCTGGGTTTTCCGCTGTGTACTGCGGTAGTCATATAAGGGTCCCCCTTTCCCGCCCTTGCTGTCCCCCGACTTTTGTCAGATGGCCGACCTTCCTCCCACCGGTTCCACCCTATGAACGTGAATTATGCTCCTTGGTCTGGGAAGTCATGCAGTTAGCCCTATAGATCATAGTCGCTCTTCGTGCGCCTGTACGACTCTCGGTTGTTCACTCTACTCCCAGCTGCTCCCTCACCATGCGGCCTCCGGAGATGTCATATAGTCCTGCCTACCACAAGGCTCAGGCTCAGGTCCCCATCAGCACAGAACGCCCTTTGATCGTCCCTCGCACTCGTCGGTCTCCAGATCTTCCCAATTCTAGCCACTCCGGCCTGCCTCGCCCATCTAACGATTGGGGTCACAGCGTTAGGCCCCATACCAGCCCCAGCCTACAAGGATCTCATGCCTATTCCCTGGAAGCCTCCCGGCGCCAGTCTCGAGTTGAGGACGACATACCTGTGACCCGTATTGTTGTGAGCGGCGCTGGTCTTTCACACCAAGAAAAGCCCTCTCGCAGCAGCTGGGCTGACCAGCCGTCATTAATGTCGGCCTCAAATTCTGGTACTCCTCGTACGCATAATCGAGGTGTCCCCGATGCAGCATCCAGGGACAAAGGTCAAGATGCGCTTCTTATGCTGGTAAGTAGCAGGCCTCAAAATTGTTCTGACTCGGTTCACTGATCAACTCAATAGTTCCGCCTATCCATACCTGTCCCTGTATATGCATTCGTCGCCTGTCTCTACACCTTCGGCGCTCTCATTTTCGCCATACTCTCAACTCCTCTCCGTCTCTGTTCAATATCACCTTATCTTCGCAATACTTCATTCAAATCCCAAATATGTGACCTCCTGTCACCAGCTCTTCACACCCACGAGCGCCTCGTGTGCATGCGGAAATCAAAAATAGACCGTTCCTCATCCTCTCAATGGATTCACTCGGATGACGCCGAAGAGAATGCGATCGCTCCCGATTCTAGCAGGTATTACTCTGTTGGGACTTTGATTGCCGTCCTCGTATTCTCCCCCTTTTTCAGCCTCGCTCTGCTCCTCTTCGCTTGGACAGCGGCCTTCTTCTGGGTATTCACCAAGGTTATGGGAAATCCAGATGGAACAGAGCGCAAAGATGATGGTCGTGCAGCCGTTTTGGGTGTCTGCAAATGGTGGCAGAAGTGGCTAGGCAAAGCCCGGAAACTTTGACTGCCCCACATGCGAGCGATCCGATCCCCGATTCCTCTTAAGGAACAAAATGAATATCAAATTTCATCTGGTCTTGAATACATGCCAAGAAGAATATGTGGAATGACCCCTTATTGAAACCCTTCGCCTGCCAATATTAGCTATGTCTCCACGAGAGGCTATGATTATACACACTTGCTACGTCCTTTTTTTTTTCACAGTTCTGGAGTCTGAGGGTTATGTTTTTACTACGGTGCTGGGTCGGGCGCAAAATCTTCTCCCTAGCTGTGCTTTGGGAGGCTTCATCACGCTTGCTCTATTTCTATACTTTTACGTCTTCGGAAAACAGACGAGGTATGTATCTGTTTACAAATTTGATTGATACCCTAATCGAGTAGTGGATATAAATTTAAGACGTACCTTGGTACTCATAAACTCTATCCCCACATCGTATCTATCATCATAGACTTATTCCAATGTACGTCATAAGTTCATAAGTAGAGACCTCGACTACTAAATGGCTCAACTTCATCATCTACATCCGCATCTTGTAATCAAAACATGTCAGAAATAGCCTCTGAATCAATTCCTGCTGTACCCGCCAGCGACGAATACTATGATCTCGGCAACTTCAGTCGAAAGATCACTACCGCCTCCCCGGACGCCCAGATATGGTTCAACCGCGGCTTGACATGGGCCTACTCATTTAACCACGCAGAGGCCGCCTATTGCTTTGAGCAAGCAACAATCCATGACCCTTCCTGCGCCATGGCCCAATGGGGCCTGTCCTTCGCACTAGGCCCGAGCTACAACAAGCCCTGGGAAAAGTTTGACCCGGATGACCTCAAGAAATCCGTATATCGTTCTTACCACGCCTCGCGAAAAGCGAACGAACTGGCCACCCACTCAACCCCGATTGAACGGGCTCTCATCGATGCTATCCAATTCCGCTACCAGACAGATCATACAAGAACTGATCTAAAGGGTCAGAATAAAGCATACGTCCGCGCGATGGAGCTCGTATACCATGAATCAAAAGACGACGTCGGCACCAACGACCTCGACGTTGCAGCCCTGTATGCAGATTCACTCATGAATCTAACACCCTGGAGTCTATGGAATCTCTTCACCGGAAAGCCAAACCCACTCGCACGAACCATGGACGTGAAACAGGTCCTCGAAACCACTTTCACTCAGCCCGGTGCAATCAAGCACCCAGGCCTCCTACATCTATACATCCATTATATCGAAATGTCACCGACGCCCGAAATTGGCATTGCCATCGCTGATAACCTGCGCGATCTTGTCCCAGATGCAGGCCACATGCGCCACATGCCTACACACCTAGACATCCTAGTCGGCGACTGGCAGCGCTCAATAGCATCAAACCACGTCGCCACAATCGCTGACGAGAAATTCTTCCATCGCGCCGGCGCTTTCAACTTCTACACTTTTTATCGAATGCACAACTACCATTCTCTCATATCCTCCGCCATGTTCGCCGGCCAATTAAATACAGCCCTAGACGCCGTAACCCGCATGGAAGCAACTCTTCCAGAAGAAGTCCTCCGCATTCAGTCCCCGCCCATGGCAGACTGGCTCGAGAACTTCCTCACAAGCAGAATACATGTCATGATCCGTTTCGGACAGTGGTCCGACCTTATTACCATGGACCTCCCAGCCGATAAGGAGCTATACAGCGTCGTCACGGCAACAGCGCACTACGCAAAGGGCGTAGCCTTCAGCGCGACAGGCCAAATACCCGAAGCAGAAGCGGCGCGCAATGAATTCCGCAAAGCTCTCGACAAGGTACCAGAGTCACGCATCGCGTACAATAGCACTTGTGTCCAGGTCCTAACCGTAGCATCCAAAATGCTAGATGGGGAAATTGAGTATCGCCGCGCTGAATACGAGAGTGCGTTTTCGAGTCTGTCAAAAGCTGTTGCTCTGGACGATAAGCTTCCTTATAGTGAGCCGTGGGCGTGGATGCAGCCGACTCGACATGCTTATGCGGCTTTGTTGCTTGAGCGCGGTCTTGTTGAGGATGCACTGGCGGTTTATAAGGCTGATTTGGGGATTGATGATACTTTGATTCGGGCGGCGAGACACCCGAATAATGTTTGGGCTCTGCAGGGGTTTTATGAGTGTTTGGTCAGATTGGGTAGAGTTGATGAGGCTGGTGCTGTTGAGCCAACTGTGAGATTGGCACTTGATAGGGCTAGTGTTACTATCAAGTCTTCTTGCTTTTGTCGCTTGGATACTTCGTTGGCTCCTGATTTCACGTCTTGTTGCGATTGAGATGAGTTCTAAGATTGAATTGATGGAAGGTCTGTTAAAAAGTTATAAAAAAAAAAAAAGTAGTTAGGTATGATTCAATTTGGATATTGACTAGCTCAAAATGTGACGGCACTTGAAATGAAGAAAATATACCTAGATATTTTAACTATCATCCTAGGAACTGCAGTTCAAAGCATTCGATCGAAGGCCTCGAATGCGAGGGATTGTTCAATTATATCCAAATTTTGTATCATTAAAAGCCAAGGAGTAGACAAAAATGATATGATTTCTATGTGCAATGCCCTAACAAACTTTTTGCTCGTAATCAAATCATAACAAGAGATAAAACAGGTCCAAACAGAACACATCAGATAAGCTGACCACCCCAAACAAAATCACAAATGTGCCGAAGGTGCAGAGTGCAGAGGGTATTGGTTAATGGTATATGAACGAACGTTACAAAAACGAAGCGACATATAGTTTTAACTGCGGCCACGGCCACCGAAGCCACCACGGCCGCCTCGATCACCACCTCCTCGGCCTCCTCGACCTCCCCGGAAGCCACCTGAGCCCCGGCTGCCCCTGTCACCGCCACCTCTGGGACCGCCGCGGAAACCACCTGATCCTCCACGGGGACCACCTGGGCCACCACGGAAGCCTCCTGAGCCTCGGCTGCCCCGGTCACCGCCGCCTCTGGGTCCGCCACGGAAGCCGCCGCCACCACCCCTCCCGGGGTTGCGGAACTTCTCGATGCGACCACCGCCTGGAGCTCCAGGGGTCTTGGCTACGCCAAGACCGCGACGGCTTGAGGTCTGGCCCTTGGACCGCATGCTCTGGCCGATGGCAGCCTCGTCTTCCTCGTCTATGTCCATATCATCGCTGGACCGCTTGGCCTGGCTCATCTTGACCTTGCCCTTCTGGCCTCGGCGGGCGGCATCGGGGCCACTGACGGCTGCCAGGTAGGCATTGACACCGCCTGCACCCTCGGAAGCACCGCCCATCTCAACGTCAGCGGCCTCGTCACCGAGAAGGAGACGACCGTCGGCATCGAACTTGGCAGCGTGTCTCTTCTTGGAACCAGGGCCGGTGTTGAGGAAGCGCAGACTAGGCTTTGTGGTGGAGATGTTGGCTAGAGCGTCAGGAGCCAGCAGATCCAGCGGGCTGTCTTCCGGTGACATCTCCCGGATGTACTGGGTGCTTTGGGCGGACTTCTTCTTGCCACTGGCACGACCCTTGATTTGGGTCTGCTCGTCGATGTCGATATCGCTGTCGTCATCTCCATCCTCTGAGTCGTCTGAGAAGTCGGAGCCGTACACGGCCTTGTCGAAGGCGTTGTTAGGCTGCTGGTCAGCAGCCTTATCATCGCCCTCTTCGTCATCCTCGCCGGCCTCGCCTTCCTTCTTCTTACGCTTGCTGCGCTCACGCTGTTTACGGATGTTCACTACCAGCTTACGGTCCTCTTCGCCGACCAGGTTCTCCATCAGGGGAGCACCGAAACGGCGGACTAGACGGTCAATGATGCCCTTCACCTTGCTGCGGAGACGGCCCTTGTGCTCCTTGTTCCATGCCATGAGGTTGGGGACGAGGGAGGACAGACGCGGGCGCAAGGCTTCCTCGGGAAGAACCACAACGGCAACCTTGACGAAACCGAGGACAGAGCGAACGATTTCACGGTTGTTGCTGGTAAGGAAGAGCTCAACGGTCTGAACAAGATCGGTGAGAACCTCAGCCCGAAGCTCCTTGTGGAAGTCGAAAAAGAGGCGGGACAGGGCAGTGACTGATGCAGCAACCATGTGGGGGGATGAACCGGCCAGACCAGCAGAAACCATGGTGAAGAACTCCTCGATATTAGCCGGGGCATCGGGTGAGTCGTCGGGCATGTGCGGCACCAGGGAGTTGCGAATCACAGTACCGGCCGGGTTGCGCTCTTCGTCGATAGTGCGGCGAGCTAGATGAATCAACAAGTCGAAAGCAGCAGTGCGCGCTTTCTCGTTGCTTTCTTTGCATCCCAAAACCACCTCGGACAGGATAGACGGGATGAAGTGTAGTTCGGATGTGGGAAGGTGGGTGATCAGCTCGTGGATGGCGAGCATGCGGTCGCGCCGGCCAGAAGCAGGGGTCTTGTCAGCTGTGGCAAGCATCAGGGCCTGAAGCTCACCACTGCGCTCCTGAAGAGCAGCACTGCCTGACTCGGTCGAAGCGAGACGGGGAATAAGCTTGTATGCCTTCTTGATGAGCTGCTGGTCTGGGTTCGGGGAATCCCCGTTGAGAATGGCGGCTGCCATGGCGAAAAGCCCAGAAAAGCTGGAGCGGGGCAAGTAGATAGACATGGCAATGATCAGGTCGATCAGGGTGTGCGAGGTCGGTGGCATCTTGTTGGATGGATCCGACTTGATGGGGTTGCCTTGCTCGACGGCGAGAGAAGATGAGAGCATTTCAGTGACGCGAGTAAAGGTTTCATTGAGTTCCTAAAATTGGTAGAAAAGTTAGTTGATTTGTGCGATCTGCTATTGTTGGGAAGACGGACTTGTTCGGGAGTAATGCTCAGATAAGAATTGATACACTGCAAGATATGTCCGCGGTGATGAGGAAGTGTCTGGCTGTAGACGTTGAATAGAACAGCCAACAAGTTGCTAGCAAAGCCAGCCAAGTGGGCAATGTTCTGTGTTGCGGCAGCCTTTGTGATTCGTCGCTGCAAGATTAAATCTTCCTCTTCAGCCTCGATGGACAGAATGGCCTGGTTTGATTCAACCAGGTTCTGGAGGGAGCGGCAGATCTCAACACGCAACTCAGTTTGCTTGTAGAGGACGTTGGACAAAAGCTCAGCGAAGCTCTGGTCAAAGGCCTCAACCACGTCCAGTGGCAGTTCGCAGTAGCCGGGAAGAACACCCCAGGTCTGCTGAACCAGGGTCTCGAAGATCTTCTTTTCTACATGCTTTTCGGCACTTTCGAAATCCACCATCTTTTGGTAGAGGGTCTCGCTGAGAGGAACGAGTTCTGAACGGAAATGACGCAGGTTGGTGTTGGTCACGCTATCACGAAGAATAGGCAGCATCCAAACACGACCAGGTTGGCCATTCTTCTGCTCGATGATGTTCAGCGGGAGGATCTCAAGTATGGCCTCGGGGCCCATGGCCTCAATGGCGCTTCCGAGGACAATATCAGCCTCTTTCTTGCCGTGGAACGACTCGTTGCTGCGCAATTCACCAACGGTTGAAACAATATCTACGAGGAACGGGCTCGACCGCCACTTGAAGCAGTCAAACATGGCAGAGCAGACGTTGAAGACCTCCACCCATGCTGCCTGGTATTTGACAGACAACAGATCAGAGGCGGCTCGTGCCAACTGTTCGAGAGTTTTTTCATCATACACGGAAGGTTCAATGATGACATTCTTGGGAATGCAGTTGTTCAAGAATGAGATCAAGCACTCGGAAGCCGAGACACGGATATTGTGTGAAGGAGAAGCCAAGAACCCAGCGATCAATTGGAAAAGTTCTGGCAGCTTCATAAAAGTGTCCTCGGGGCTAATCTGTGCAGACACATCATAACCACGAGAAAGGACTGCAATCCAAGGTGGGAGAAGCTGGGAGTCGTTCTGTGCAGGCTTCAGTTCGGTGATGGCATCCAACAGACGGGGCAATTTAGAGGATGAGAACTCGTCAGCCATGCCCTCAAAGATAACCTCGAAGACCTCGAAAGCACCCATGGTGATATACTCATTGGTAGAGCGGGACGCATTCATCAACAGTTCGCAGAGCGCTTCGATCTTCTTACTCGGCCAGCCACCAGACGCGGAGGCAATGGTCTTGACCAACTGCAGTGAATGAATAACTAGCGGCTCGTGGTTCTCGCGGTTCTGCGCATCCTGACGGCCCTTTTTCTGCTTAGTAGCAGCCGCAATGCTGTCGCTCAAGGTCTTCATCGCTGACTCGGCGCACATATCTGCTGCGGGATGGTCCAGAGATGGGCTCGGGGGAGGTGCCTGAAGAACCTTGATAAGAGCTTCCTGGGCGCGCTTCCGCACCTTGGGCCGGTGGTCAACTGAGAGACTTAGCAGACCAGCCGTGGCCCGGCGTGGGCCAATTTGGGTGTGCGGAAGATTCCATGCTGGACCATCCTGAGCGATGAGCAGTGACTCGAGGCAGCCAATTGACGGTCGCAGAAGAGGGGCTTCAACTTCAGGAAGTGAGAGGGCAGGTGCAAGACTGGTGAGGATTTGAGAGAATTTTGAGCGAAGAATTGGGGCAGGGACATAAGCGGTTGTGAGATCGAGAAGGTAGACGACCGAAGTAGCCAATTCTTTATTGACGATGCCTTGTTCGGCGGAAAGAGACTGTGAGAGCAGCGCGAGGAGGGCTGCGAAATAAGCAGTAGGAGAAAAGTCTGCCTTTTGGTCGCGAAGAGTATCTTCCACTGCAGAAAGCACCACACCAGTCTGTATAGGTTAGAGGATGAAATGAAATCTTGAAATCTACCAGCGATAATAGATACTTACATGGTGCTGACTCTGCAGCTTCGGAGACTTGATCTTCTCGAACTTCTCCGCCAGAGTCGCCATCGTGACAGTGGACGACGAGGGGAGAAACTTGGAGGATATAGACGTGCGGGGAGGCTTGTTCTGGCGGTGATGGAGAAAACTCGAGGAAAAAAAAAGGTACGGCGGCTCTTGGCGCACTTATCGATAAGGATCTATAGAGATTTACTACGGATTTCCATTTTTATTTTATGATAATTTTTATTTCTTGATTTAATTTCATATTTTCATTCTCTTCTTGAATTAATAGTATCTCATTTTTCAATAATAAGCATAAAGGATCTTGACGGTGGTTTTGTAGCATTCACATATCTCGTTCAACAGCACTTGGAATGTATCGGACGCGTAAATCCAGAGCGTATTTATACGCTCATTATTACGACTCCAGCATCTCATATCAAAAAGTACTTGTGGAGATGAAGTTATTCAGAGCCGCAAGGGCTCACAATCGTGGTGAGGACTTTCCTCGTACCTGCTATTGTACATTAAACAGGGAATCCATAGTCATCAATTTTCTTGGACGCTTAGTATTCTTCCATATGGAACTCAATGGCTCCAATCCAAGAACAAAACGTTCAGTTTCGAGACGCCTGACCGCACAATCACAAAAAATCCACTAAAACAAGATCTCACCGCTGTGCTCGGGCTCAAATCCGAGAGAACGGAGCGCAGCAGCTCTTATTTTATCTTCCTTCTTCCGTCGAATGTCCTCCTCATTCTTAAGCGCAAGAACTTCTTCGTATGGTGCTTGTGCCCATCCAGCGGGAATATCGTCCTCTCGATCAAGATCCTAAAGCAAGGTCACATTAGTTCGCGGCTTGAATTGGGGGGTCAGATGGACCATACAATTTCGCCTAACAAAACCACGTTCTCACCTCGCACGAGGAAGAGACCAACGTGTTTATCGGCGAAGAGCTTCCCGGCATAAATTCGTTCGATAGTATCCTGGAACACAAGGTTTGCTGAGGAATTGCACGTAAGTAAAGGTTATTTAAGTAATTTTTGCGACTTCGTACCGAATTGATCCCAGCTTCGCAAGACACCGAAAAATTTCCGTCCATCGCGCATGACAAGGAGAAGTTTCTCTGTTGAAGATATCTGGATTAGTGGAATGTAACTTCGGAGTCGCTCTGTCCGCTCAACATACTATCTGTCATGTCCAACAGCTGTGCGGCTGTTGTGAACATCTGGGGTGGAAGTTGCGGTGGTCCACTCAATGGACCAAGTACCTGGGACTGCTGGCGATCGTGCTGAGGATGCTGGCGGTCGTGCTGGCGATCATGCTGTTGGGGCTGCTGGCGGTCATACCCAGCAGCTCGGTCCTGCTGCTGGGGCTGCTGATGATCATTCCCAGCACCACGGGCCTCCCGACGAGCCTGCTGTCGTCGCTCATACGACGGTCCGTCGGTTTGGGATTGCTCCATCCTTTCGAGGACTGTGGAAGTGGGGGTGGGGTTGGATGAAAACGTGATAAGAAGCTGAGAGGTGCGAGGAAGGAAGGTTGAGACTGAAGAGATTTATCTGCTTTATCTATGAGGGTTAAAAGGCGGTTGCGTTTTAATTGAAGCAAACGAGCAGCCTGATCGCGGCCTCGAGTCCGGCGTCTGTATCAAAAGCGGTGTGTCATGATTCTTTTTAAGTGGCAGAATATGGAGTACTCATCGATTTCATAACTAACAGTGCAGTTGATGTCAGATGTTGTTTCGGTTACAATTAAAGAGGCAATTCTTAAATCCAAGCTAGTAGCCACAATCCACTGCCTAGCAAATACTAGCATGAGTTAAGTATTCAGGTCGAAAGAGACTGTTTGTGCCAATTGGTTATAGTTCCTGCCACACCTTCTTTTCATCCCCTTGGGTTCATGCCAATTGGGCCCATTGTCTGAGATTTTCCTGACAAAAGAGCACTGGATCATATGTCTTCAATTGACTTGTCATGTCATCCCCAGTGGTCAACTTCCTTATTTGAATCACCGAGATATCAATTCCAGACTCCCACCTTTTTTACTCGAGAGCCATTGACAATAGCTATGCAGCCTGGTTCAATGCTTGAATATCAGAAATAGCCAAATTCACCATCTTGGGCTGTTTCAGAACAACCACACAGCTAGCATGGCTGCCAAACTGGTCTTACTAGCAGACAAGACTGATTCGAATATTCAAACACCACTCACCATAGTCTGTTCACTCTCAAGGGATAGTTCCCAACCTGGAAGTAGCACCCGATCCATCTGTGATAAAATGGGCTCTCCCAAGGTTATTCCTAAATCCAGGTATATACAACAAAATCACAAAGGAGAGAAGGTCACAACCCATGAAACCCCAAGGCTAGGTTGAAAAGGCCCTTGATAAACCCGAACAAATTCCAAAATACACAGAACAGAGTCAGCAAACACTAGCTCCACCCTGCCCCCTCATCCTTTCTTCTCGCCGACGGCTATACGGCGCGCAATATGGCTCATCCGCCGAGCCTATACTAGCACGCACACCATCCTGCGAATGGTGATAAGCAGGGCTAGACGGCGCTGGCGCAAGCTGCATAGCCTTGAACTGGGCGTCTGAGATTATCCGACACCCGTACAGATAGCGCATTAGCTCGAAGTCTGTTCGACTACCTGCTAGCGTGTGGCCGTGTTGAAAGTGGTCTGTTGCGACGTGGTTGAGCAGTCTGTTCCAAGCTGTTGCCGCTATACTGCGTGTGTCCTCGTGAGATGGTGGTAGTGAGGGCATGTCTGTCGGCGATGAGGTCCGACTGTAGGTATCGCTGTCTTCGCTGTCGCCGTCGTCGTCGTCAACAAACTTTGTGTCCGGACACAGTGGACACCGCGCCATTCGGGGCGGCGGGTGTTTCTGGAAATGAGCTAGAACGTGAGTGTTCCAGTGCGCGACTTCGTCGAAGGACTCGTGGCAGTCTAGCATGTGGAACAAACATGCATAAGGAGAACTGAGACTTTCTAGTGAGTGCACTGAAGATGTCGGCGCAACGGAACTCCATGATGAAGCGTGTGATGAAGCGCGTGATGATACAGCTGCAGCGCTTACGCTAACCTCAACGCCATCGCCATCGCTATCTCCATTTATGGTGATTACAGGCAGCTTCGTTCCATCTACGACATGAAACCCGTCCATGTCAGATGTCTCCACCGATGAGATCGACATAGAGGCCGACCCGCTCGAGAGGCCTGGTCGTGGCGAGGAAGAGCCGACGATCGTCACGGCACTTTGCTTTTGGCGGTTAGACTCCGAGACTTGACTCGTCCGGGGGGACGACTGAGACGTGACATGAGATCCTGAATATGACATATTCACGGTATCTCCTGCTCTCCAAGTATCTAGAGTCCGAGACTAGCAACGGGACGGTCAAGTATGCAGAATCTCTGCGCTGATCGGGCTCACTATCAGGGCTTACTGCGCTCCGAGATGCTCCGCGCGGGGGAAACGGGCACGGGGTTTCTCGACTAGATCGCGTCAGGTCATGAGGATCGATCTTAGACGCGTTATCCGTGCTAGCTAGCACCTAGGAGCTACTGGCTAAGGCTTATTTTTATTTCAATTTCGAGCCTCCAAGTCTACTTAGATATATAAATAATGATCATCCAACCTACTACAGATGCGAGAGACAGGATCAGAAACCTTCACTAGGATATTTACTAGGGCATTCACTAGATCCATATTTTGGTCCGTGTGCGATACTGGATCTAACCACGATCGAGACAGCTTATATTGCGGATACGAGTATAAACTTTGATCCACTTCGTACCTGTACCTAGTTAGGTATGTACACGCTGGTACATATGTTCTAGGTGTCGGCCAAGTACAACATGAGTAGCCGCATGTACCGCATTGTTTACTTGGATATGGCCTGATCAGTCTGCCCCCTGCAACCCTGAAGATAACTAGTTGGGGGCGGAATACGATTTCCCAGATGGTAGCTACTCCGTAGATATCTTCAGCCGTAGAGCTTGTAATATTTCGGAGATTACCTAAGTGGCTTTGTGCTTTCTATTTCCAAAGGTACCTAGACATGTGTACGACTCTTTCAATGTTCACGTCTGGATTCAGCCTATGTGCATGGTATCTACTTGCCTTGGTATTTCCAAGGCCAGTATCGCCCATGGATATAGACGGGAATAATCATCGAACTCGGGGGAAAACCTGGTAAGCTTAAGGCAACTTCCTAGGTGGGTATAGCCCTGGAGTATCTTCTCCGCATATGGACCATAATGAAAATTCCTGCTTTCACGCTACTGAAGGCGGGGCTAGAAGGTGGACTAGTTTTCAGACAGGATTTCTGTCGTTCTCTGTTGGGGGCGCTAGCTACGCAATTTCGGTAGGACATCTGGCAATTCCAAGGTTGACTAGATACGTATGAAGGATTCGGATTGTAGAGTGATATGAGCCCTACAATACCATGGTATTCCTGAGAACGGATGTCCCGAGATAAGTATGGAGGGGTTGATAATCCTAGTATTAAAAAGGTACTTCTGCCATATTGAATATTTTGGTTCTCCCATGCGGTCAGGCCAGCAGATTAAGGGATGAGTAGATTGGATAAAAGAGATAATCAGAAGTAAAAGAAGGCCACAGGCCTCAAGAGAGGAGTGAACGTAAAGGATATAAGAAAGAATTTTGGTCTCGAAAGAGTCCGTCTATGGTAGCAGGAAAAACGCCTTGTCGACAAATAAAAAGATGTGACCAATCCCAAACCGACACCGTGGATGCCTTGCAAAAATAAAGTGAAAAGAGAAATGCACAAGTCTATTCGTTTCGTGATGCGCATAACAACTGGCATGAGAAGAAGCAAAAGTGGCGAGAAAGCTAGAAGCGATCTACCAGGTCACCACCAGCAACGGAAGTGGCAGCGGATGAAGGAAGGGAAGAGAAGCCGCCGGGCGGATTTAACATGTCCTGGACTGCGACTTTTGGCACCTGCGGCACAGGCAGTTTGCGTTGTGTTCCGTCGGGTTTTGACATGATGTCGGTGATACTGGGGCCCATTTTACCTTGGCCAGGGCTGTAGTAATTAGGACCCTCGGGCTGAGGCTCCATTGGTGCTAAAGCGGGAGTGTGCTGAAGGGTAAGGTGGCGGATCGAAGGGAGATGCAGCTCATTGGGTCCAAGAGGACGTAGACGGGGAGAGTGAGCTGGAGTAGCCAGGGGAGTGTGGTCGGGGGTAGGAGAAAGAGAGTCGTGTGAAAATGTGGGGGAGGAAGGGGCGGTTGAGTTGGGGGAATTGGGGCGCGAGCGCTTCACACGGTGGTGGGCATAAGGGTCCTCTTCCTCTGCATGACCTCGTGAGATAGCGTAGGCTGAGAGCGATGGAAGACCCCGGCCGTTATGATGACGTGATCCGTACATGGAAAGTCGTGATCCGTGGAAACCCATGTAATCATCCCGCTCGACCTGCGAGGCGGCGGTCGCAAGTAAGTTGATATCCATACCTGATGAGGCGCGATCAGTGTTGCGCGAGTAGGGTCCCAGATTTGAGCGCATGTGGTTGGCATAGTTGGAGAACGAGTGCGGGGGAGAGACATCTGGGGAGCCGACTTGCGAAACCGGCGCAGAGCGAGTAATTGGTTTACTGGGAGGAGGCATCATGTTGGCAGCGTTTGCCATGGCGACATCCTGGCTCGCAGCTGCGGCCGCGGCCGCAGCAAGATGTTGAGCCTTGTTACTGCGACGCGAGTTGGGGTTGTTGTGAATGCGCGAATGGCGAGTCAGTTCGTCGGAGCGGCTGAATCGCTTAGTGCAGCCAGGGAACTGGCAGGCATGAGGCTTCTCGCCAGTATGTGTCCGAATATGGCGAGTCTGATGTTCCAAACGGTGGAAGGCACGGTCGCAAAGAGGACACTTGTAGGGACGAGGTAGATCCTGCCTCACCTCCTCAGTGACGGGACGGGCACCCTTCATGAGGGGCGGTAGTAGACTGACAGAGGACATTGGTGAATCCGAGTCCACGGGAGATTGAATAGAATCAGGGGATTGAGGATTGAGCAGGTTGGAGAAACCCACAGACGAAACCGGGAGCGGCATGTGAATGTGAACTTCAGAAAGAGAGTTTAGGCGGTGAGTGTAGATCGATATGAAATGACGAAAGTCAAGATGATCAATCGAATTGATGCAAGGATGAGAATAAATCTTGGGGTAAGTTCTTGACAAGGAATAATCTGGGGAGCAGGAGATAATAAAAAAAGGGAAAGGGGGGGGGGGAAGTATGAGGAATGGAGGGGAAATATGAGGGAAGGGAGAAATCGGGGAGAAGGGTCGGGATCTAAACTTGGGGGGGGGGGGGATGAAAAAAAAAAAAAAAAAAAAGGAAAAAAGGAATAAATAATAATAAATGTGAGAAAATAAAATTAAAAAAAAAGACCAAAAAGAGTTGTGCTATCGGATCGTAATAAAGGTTGGAAGTAAGAAAGGTTGTGTGGGGGAGAAACCAGAAAGGGAAAGGCTTCCTTTTTCATTTTCAATTTTTCCATTTTCCATCTTCTCCCTTTTAGTCATTCTCTCTTACTTTCGGCTTTAAACTGTTTCCCATGTTCCATATCTTCTAGTAATACATTTTATAGCATATTACGTAGACATTCTACAGTCTATTATTACACTTTGGAATACAGACGAGTGGAGACCGGAGTAATCCCGTGTACTTTTATCCTGAAGAACTGTGGCGTGGTGCGTGGTAACACCATCCGGCTAACGCGGGAGTTAAGGAGAAAGAGTCAAGTTCAAGACATCTGATATCAGCAATCTAGACTGATCTACTGTACTGGAAGTATAAAAAAAGGAAAGATCATCATGCCGTGTCAAATGATAACATGATTAGGTCATCTGGAGTAAACCTGGAGTACGGAGTATACGGAGTACAATATCTGGGGTCATGGAACACGAAAAGTATTCGGAAATGATAGATAATACTAAAACTAAAAATACCCCGGATTCCATCCGCATTAAGATCAAAAGTACGAAACATAGGGTAGATCATCCAATTATTGATGGCGACGATGCATGCAGCCGAAAAGCCGCATCTCAGTGCAGATTTACACTTACGTAGTAGATACCCTACTTTGTAGTTACTCGGTGGTACTAAAAAAGGATAATGGATGAATGGGTAAATGGATGTATGGATGTATGGATGTATGGATGTATGTATGAGTGGATGAATGGATGAAGGAATGTACTACAGTGCGATCCTATCTTAGGATACTAACTATTGGGTATTTCCCGGAGAAAGACCGAAATAAGCGCCAGGGATAAAAGAAGAAACAGAGGCTTACTTTGTACCGAGCTGAATTAGATCGGCTATTGCGGCCGTGATCAGATCAAATATCTCAGGTAAATTGGTTCCGTTAAATGCATTGTAGATCTACTAAGTACGGAGTGGAATATGACCTACTAATTATGCTCAAATGGTCGGTTCCAAGGTTCATTGCAACTCCCCCAGATTACTCTGTACTAGTAGATAAGATAAAAGCCGATTTAGTTGCCGATTACGCACAAGTGGGTTCCTTTCACCGATCCTACACTTAATCTAGGTTATCACGACTTAGACTTACCTAGGTAACTTTCTATCTTGCTAATTCTCCGTTTCCCCGGCTTCCTTCTCCATTCTCAATTTCCCGATTTGGAGAAGCGAAGAAGCTCCCAATCTGGTAAGGGCGATGAGTGAGATGAGTGGGATGAGTGGGATGACCAAAGCAGGTACGAAGTACCATATCTTCCTATCAGGTTCCAAAGTAATTTACCCGCTTTCTGCCGAAACATATTACTGCTACTCAAAACTCAGGGCAAAACAGGGATTAATGGTTTCATGTGTAGATAGTCGGGCACAGTGCCTAACTAGTAGGCAAACATCTCGCTTCACTTTCCCTTTGTTGATCTCCCCACAATCCTGTAATGAGATCGACCGGCAGCAATGGTATACCCTACATTCTACTATATCTAATATCCGGGGGAGTGGCAAAAAAGGATAGTAAATAGCAAGACTTACCGACGTGAAGTTTGAACCCATCGACGTAGTGTTTACTGTACCTAGATACCCCGCAATCTTAATCCCCCGCCATCTATCTTCCGCTTTCTCTCTCTCTCTCTCTCTCTCTCTCTCTGTCTGTAAATTCTTCTCTATTATTAGAGGATTAGAAATTTGAGATTTGATTTGAAGATCGACGAGGGATGATACTAGGGATACACTAGAACCTACCTTACCTGGGGTCATTAGGGCTTATCTTGATCGAACGCACATTCCGACATCGCACAGAGATCACCCTCGCATGGATACAGCTCTTATCACGCCATTCCTACTGGACTTGACCACTTAACCGGACTCCAGTGGCAAATGCACAAATACAAACATCATACGTTGAAGTGTCTGGTATGGTCCCAGCGCTAACGAAAGTAGGCTGAAGAAAAAAGTGTTTTTCTAAATGCTAATAGGATATTAGCCCACAGGGAACTTCAACCTTCATGCAGGAAACCCCCGGATTTCCGGATTCCAATTTCAACCTTGGGCCATGTTGAATTTCATATTTTATATCATAGATAACCAGGGAACCCGTGTTTATATACCGCTGTTCGTTGTAGGTAAAAATTAAAATGTCTAGAGTCATGACGTGATGGCTCTCGGTTATCAGCTCTCGGTTATCAGCTCTCAGCTCTCAGCTCTGACGTGAGTTTATTACTTTACGCTACATTTCCAATCGATCTGAGTCTACAGTGCCTAGAACATACATCCATGCAAAGAAATAGACAGGTCTATTATCAAAGGTCCTGGGGGCGAAAGAAAATCCAGTTTACGGAGTACTCTTACCCCATACTCCTACTCCACACTTCATATCTATGATCGACGCCTCTGTATTACTTAATTGTACTTTGTAACAGTACATGTCAACATAGTGTTGACAAACCTAAGAAAAATAACATAATGTGAGCATGACACAGATAACTGAAATTCAAATACGAAATATGATGAAATCCGGGGTACTCACTTTCTTACAACCACGGTCTCCTTCTATTCTCCACGCACCTCTCCAAGACGAGAGATCCATGATCCACAGCTTCTGGAACAGGACACTTCATTATCCAATAAGCATTCTTCGGCTGATAGGCTGATATCATTCTCCATATTCTGTAATTATGCGGGGCCGCTTTCCGGGTCTCGGTTTAAGTCCGGGGATAAAGAAAGAACACCTTTCCCTATTCAAATCCGGAGTGATAGTAGAGAGAATGTGGAACTAAAATTCTAGTTTACATCAAGACTACCTATGTAACGTAAAGTGGAAGAAAGAAAGCGTGTGCTTAGGTAATAAATAAAAAAGGGCGAAGTCGAGTGGGTTCAACACCGTGTGTAGTTCTCGGTGAAGCTGAATTTGATACTTGAATTTTATTGTCTCCACTATCAACAATACATTCTCTCTTACCCCATACTTCTCTCACTCTGGCACTGGCTTCCTTTTGGGAACAGGATGGAGTCATATGTCCTAATCTGGTAAGTCTGATAAATTCTCTTTTATTATGTTCCGGGGGAAAATGTTATGCCCCTGACCATCATTGGATTTTCAGCCCGCCCACTAACTACTAATTAGATTAAAATGAGCACGAAGTAGCAATCTGAATATGGGCTTATCTTCCAATGGTAGTGTAGCCCTCTTTCTCCTCCGCCCCCATCCCCCCACGCCCTTGGGGAACTGGACACTTTATCCCGCATCTAACTAAACCTTCGCCCGGTTCACATTGCCCCAGCTGGGGAATTAGGCGCAGCAATATTATAACCTGGGCACACATGGGCACAAACCTTACATACCCTGCAATACCTTGAACATGTGTTCCCGAGATAGTCCACCAGCAAGAACGACTGATAGTCTCACGTGTTACTCGGAATGATCTGGGCCCAGAAACCCCACAAAAATCCAAGCAGTTTCACAAATGTGCGATTGTTGACGCTCGTCATCAACCCAGCTTACCGGGTTTAATTACTCGGCTTCCCGGTTTCCCATATCGGCCCGAGTCTGTGTACTCCGCACTATCGTAGCACTATTGACTTGACTATTACACGGAATTACTCCGTTCTCTGTACTCATGATCATGATCTTCATGGGGCCTGTACCTGATCTACGTATACATTACCTGACTATTAACGGCTCGGGAAAAATATACGGAAAATATGAAATTCTCCATCTCCTCCATATCCCCGGTTCGATGCTAGCGTGAACTATGGGATTATTATGGGATTAGGGGAGTGAGGGGTATGAGGCCAGTTATCATTTCTACTCTGTATTATTAATTCCTACTCTACGCCATCTAGCCCTAATTCGGCAGGTAGATTTCATCTGCAGGTACGAAAAGTTCGCTGGTCTGTCAATGGCCTAAACTCACCGGAGTATCTGTATGTAAGCATCAGCCCATGAGCTAAATAGGGCTGGGGCAAAAGAGGGCAAAGAGAGAAGGATCGGGTGAAATCGGACCGCCAGGATGGAAGTGAATGAGGGGTCCATTGTGCCATCGAGAGAGCCAGAATTGGACTTGCGGGGCTTAGTGCTGGAGTGAATGGCTTAGTGCTGCTTCACTATTGGACTCCACGATGAGCTAGGAAGCTTTTTTCCCTCTTTTATCCCCCCTCTTCCCATCTCCAGGATCTCTTGATACAACGAATCAGCAAATCATCCAAAACCACCTATCGGGAAAAGTTCGGCTTGCATTCTGCAACAGTGGACCAATTAGGTAAAGGATCGTAGCTAATTTTCAAAGTACGGAGTAAGCCGAAAATTTCAAATTTTTCATTGTGAGATGTGGTTACAAGACAAAAAGGGGGGCCTCGGTGAACATTGAAGACGGGGTACTTCCGTGTCTTTCTTCCCCCGACGTTCAAATCCTCGGCTTCGTCCGGCATTCTTGTTCCGGCCCGGTCAATGTGCGGTTCTCACCCTCGCTTTGTTGGTTCTGGGGAGGCGATTCTTTTACTTAAACCTCTTTAGGTCAGCTTCTCCACTAAATTTACCCATCTCCACACTCTTTCTTACATACCGATATCCTTCCGAGGGCCGGATAGTTAGTTCCAAAGTTGGCTACAACTAAAAACAGCACGGGATTTTTAAATGGGAAATTACACTATACGAGAACGGATTATCTTCGTAGATCACTAACAGTCTTCAATCTCAATAGCTGATACCCCGGCTTTTTATCACTTTGTCGATGATGCTTGTATACACCGGGAGATCACAATCTACCCTACGGCTGCAGTTTATTCTTAACTAACATGTACTCGTCTCTCTATCTACCTTGACTGTGTAGAGAAGATCTGGAAATCGGAATCGCCGACGGAGTTGGTTCATCCGCGGTGTTTATTATGGTAACGCAATATCCTCCTGAAATCACCTAGCGGTGTGTTTCGATGAGAAATCCTGAGTTCGAGAATCAAGATTCAAATGTATGAGTTCAGATTCCTGATGGATTCTGGAACATGTTACATCAAGCTGGAGCAACTGGTCCCTTCTACTCTCATATTAAGGCTCACTGTCTAGCTAACCAAATGTAACTGACTATGAATTCTAAGTACTATTCTCGGACCGATGTCCGGCCGCGCCCAAAACGGAATAATGCAATTCCCATTCTGCCGCGTCTCCCCGCTCACCAAGCGGAGAATCTTGAGGCTAACCACGCTGACCACGCTGACTCTACTACAGCCTATCAATTACCTAGCCCACTGTGACCATCCAGCACTCTCCTCTAAGCCCATTGACCAAATTTCGATACCTGATCTTCCTCCTAGCCGGGCATTCAGCCATGGCCCCTCCACGTCAACGCACCGCCGCCGTAGCGGACGACTCTCGCTCTGAAGCTTCCAGCGGCACACGCGAGTACAGAACAACCGCAACAAAAGGCCGTAAGGCTGCCGTGAAGGAAAAACCTCCTGTGACCTCTGCTCCCATCCAAGAACAACCAGAGGACCAACCAAGAGTACGTGCAGAAAAAAAAATCTTAGGAGATGACGACGTCAGAGATTAAAAATCCAAAAACCCACAATGAACCCTTTTCTTACCCTCTTCTTTTGCTTCTGTTCATCTGTTAACGTTTCTCGTCTCATATCAGGTCCCTTGGTCTGATCTTCCCCTCGAAATCCTCCACGCCTACCGCCACGTCCACAAACTCCACACCCCGAGCGCCTTTTCAAACGATTACTCCAGAATAGTCCTAACACAAGGCATCGGCCTCCGCTCTCCCACAGCTCTAGCTGCTCGCCGTGCCCAATCCTCTCAGTCACATTCACATTCCAATGTCCACCCGGCCAGTCGCACCCGCCACACAACGACCTCGCACGCTGACAGCGGCAGTAGCAGCGGTAGCGGCAATAGCAACGCGAGCGAGCATGGCACCTCTCTACACCGGATAAACGGCCAAGACCGCGTGAGCAAAGACAAGTTCTCGCTCGTAGTGCGCAAGCACTTTAATAGCGCGGGCTTGTCGGAGCAAGAGAGTATTGCCCGGTTTCTGTATACCGTTCGTGAAGAGCGGCGAGGTCATCAATTTAGGTTACGGTTTCAGCCGTAGTATTTTTTTGAGTTCGATGCTTGCTATGCTACATTGGCTACTCTAATCATGATAAATTGCGTTCTTTTGGCTTCGGCGCGAACTTGTGATACCCTTGGGCTTAATCGTTATCGTTTGGAATGGGTGGTTCCCTTTATTTTTCTTTAGTTTATAGATTGTTATGACTTAGAATTCAATAGAATTCTTTCGGGTTTTTATATGTTCTTATTTTCCAACAGTAAGGTTGTTACTAAATTAATTAACATACCCCAGAATCGGTCATTTACGCGAGTCATTTTCTCTTTTCTAAGTGGCCTCGGGATGGCCGTGAATGCATGATGTGTGGCTGCAGCTCTGGTGTGTTATCATTGGGTATATCCGACACTACTCTATTATCCGAGATCCTGACCTCGGGAGCAAATTACAGCCGTGGACTTTTGCTCATGAACAATCAGATGTCATAATTTCTTGATCTCGATTACACACCGCCTTTTTTGACCGCTTTTATAGAGACGGGGTTCACCGCCCTCTTCTCCTCACACCTATTATACTACTTTTTCCGCATAAGCTCTCTTGTTAGGTGGTACTTTATGCTCCTACCTTCAAATGTTCTTCTCTCTTGTTGACTTCAGAATTAGCCCTGCGTCAACTTTCGGCCTTGGAAGCCGTTGACTATATAGTGGACAAAGAATCATGGTTGCATACCCAGGTAGGCTGTTTAGAGATATCGTAATCCCCCAACTGGCAACTGGGCACCCAATAACTATAGAGCCGTTGAAACTTGGATTTTATTTAGAGCAAGGCCACATCACTTAAGACGGGAAAAGGCCCTTCTTTTTGAATTTTTTTTTCTATTTCTTTCTCACTTTAAAGTGGTGGTAAATCTAGGTAATGGCAGTTATTAAGAAACAGTCACACAAATCAAGAAGATCCTTATTTTGAATTAGCATCGAAACAAGTATACTTCAGGGCTCAGAGGTATTCTCTACCTTAGCAAAGGAATTATAACAAAATTTTCTTCATCTTGTCCGCGTTTATCTGAAAATATGGCTGTTTGCGTATGATTCTTCATCCAAGGTTGTTATATAATAAAAGAACCTTGGAAGACTCGAAGTACGAAGAGTATTATACATTATTGTGAGCAACCTTGGAAGCTAGTTCAACGCAAAATTAGACAAAGGAGAAACCCTAGAAGAAAGATTGATTGAAATCAGGAAGTAGCTATGAAGGAAGCCATTGAGAGAGTGGGCCTTTTGACCCAACCCATTGCCCATGTCTATTATCTAACTCCATTTTGAAATAGAGTATGGATAGTTGACTGAACACAGGTATGATATAAGAGAGTACCTAGGAAAATACGTTGTCCACGGGTGTATTATATTTGCACTTTAGGTATACTTCACAAAAGAATTAGTCTAGCTCTGAGCTTTCAACAATTTTTAAAGGAGCTCCCTCATCTGTAAGTAATCTTGATAAAGCATCTTCCGCGATACCATTACCTAGATTCTCGGCTTCCCAGTATCCAGGAGCAAACTCATCAAGCTGATCGCGTATATCTTTTTTTCTTCGCGAGTGCCCGTCTTCCCCAGAGTAAGCCCCTACTTGATACACATCCATAAAAGGACGTCGCATATTGACCCTTCACAGATATATTCTTTAGTATGACTTTAATCTTTAATCGTTAGAATGGAAAAATTTAGTGACTCACGGCTGATCTTCCACAAGAGGGTCCTCGTTTGAATACTCCACATTTTGTTGTAACACATCTTCTAATGGGTCATTGTTTGAATACACCGCGCGGAAATGGTCAGGGAAGTCATCCGTGAGTAGTTGAGTGCGGTAAACTCGCTTCCGAACGCCATTAGTCGTGAATTGAAGCCAAATGGCTAGGCCAGTTTCAAGAGTTCGATCGTCGATTATCAGTTTTGGCGAGACATCCACGAAAAGCACTGTTCCATCTAGTGCCATACACATATCTAAGAAGTTTGGCCGGACTACGCTTTGGCGAAGTTTGAAGTTATCTATAATATCTCCTTTGTTATCTTCAAGAGGCATAAACAGTGACATATTTTGGGTAAGATGCTCGTCATTGTTATCCCAGTCGAATAATGCAAGGATACACTTGGCTAGGAGAGCTTGCGTCCTAGTAGACCATTCAGAGATCAAGATAAAGACATCATCCAGGTAGAAATCCAAATGTCCGCGAAGGCAAGGATCATGAACATTTTGGATTTCGAAAGGAGGCTCGTCCTCTGCTCTCGATTCATAGCCCTATCGACCTATTAGTTTAATCTAGCAAAGTAGTAGATCTGCTAGTAGCAAATTACATCACGGAATTCTTGGTCCGCAGTGGCCCAACGCTCAATCAGATTTCGTCGTTGTTCATCCTCATCCACATCGTTAGTCCACTGTTCACGAACAAAGCGCCTCCAAGCTCGAGTGGCATATTCCACATCATCCTCGGGGTGCTCTTGACACTTAACATAAGAGGGTATACCTCTCTGCCAGTGCTTATGCCATTTAATTAACGGCATACTGGGAAGGGATGGGACTAGCGTGTTGCATTTTATTGAGGAACTTACTCAGTGAGCAGATCAGGGAGCTTGTAATGCTCAGACACGTGCTCAGTTCTACTCATGGAGCAAAAGCAGCGAAGGGGTGAGCACTAATACGGAAGGGGAATGCCAAGAGCTGGCATGGAAAAAACGGTACGTAGGTAGATATAAATGTTATGGTGACCCAGCAGTATCTCAGGTAGTAGGTACTTGTAACTACGGTGACTACCTTCTCGAAGTCACTTCCAAGGTTCCATCTCGCTGGCCCACCTGCTAACCTCGATTGAATTATACATTGGAAGATAGTTTTAGAAATAAATAGTACGAATGTCGGGAAAAAGCGAAGAGTAGAAATTGAAGTATGTGGCAATGGAGAATGGAAAAGTAAAAGTAACCAGGTGAAAGAGAAATATGTATCGAGTAGGTACAACCATCATAGTTACGCCTTCATTTGACCTTCAAACATCCATGAATCTAACCTTGGAATAATGTCTATCTTTCTGAATATAGGTAGAGATGTCAAAGAATACAAATATTGTATTTTGATATCTCTACTGCTCTCGTTATCCGATACTTCCTACAAATCCAATTTCATTCACTCCTAAACATATCTATGACCAGACACTCTTCTTGGAAGAGTAAGGAATATGAGGTCGAAGGGGTGGAAAAGTGAATGGAGAACTGGGGACGTTGTGCCGAAGAACCGGCTGAACTGATTGCACTCATGATGTAAGATGACGGCGAGGATGAATCAACCTGAAGAAAGAGATCAGCAGAAGTAGGTTTGTTTTACTACCATTGAGAAAAAGTTGGGAAAGCCCATAAAAAAAGGGGTGAAATGGAGTTACAAGAGGTCGGAAAGTGTAGGATATTCTGGATCTATCCTATGTTTTATTCAATCAACTTAACTGGAGGTCCGGGCTTAAATTAAAGTACAAATGATACATAGGCACCTACGTACTCTAGAAGCTGTTGATACCATATACACTTACGCCCGTAGCTGCATACTTCTCCGAGTCAAAGATACAAGAATAGACATAGGATCCATCCAATCCGATCTGAATCAAATGTTCAGTCAGAAGACGAAATGATAGTTCAAAAGCCATAAGCAAGGACTAAAAAGACTTAGAATGCTATAAAACATCATCACCTTCTATACTCCGCCTTTTTGCCAAGACCACTTCCTAATCTTCTATTTCCATGCGTTAAGACCCGCCCAAGGGTCATTAGAGCCAGGCGGCTGTTGAGGCTGAGACTGAGACTGCGAAGGGGTCTTGTGGTGGCCATGTGGTCTGCTCTGCGCGTAGCCGCCAGGCCCGGATGGATACATGCCACCATTCGAAGGTGGGTAGTTGGTTTGCTGCGGGCGTGGGGGAGGCGGGGGAGGAACATAGCCCTGAGGCGCCATATAGTGTGAAGGTGTCCCTGTAGAGGCAGAGGGTGCCGGGCTGGCACTGGGGTAGCCGGCATAAGGAGCTGGAGTGGAAGAGAAGAATTGTTGGTTCGGGGGTGGGGAAACCGGAGTCTGATAAGGATATGCCATTGGGTTGTAGCCGTCAGACAGCGGTGCAGCAGCACCTTGCTGGAATGTTTGACTAGGTACGTATGGAACGCCTGGATTGGCACCCATGTATTGCCCATAAGGTGCTGGGGAGTGTGATAAAGGTACGCCGTGAGAAGGGGTTCCTGACATGACTGGTGGGTACCGAGGCGACATCTGCGGAGATGGGCCTGTTCCATATCCTGGAGCCTGGATAGGAGGTGGCGGTGACTTGACTTTCGAAGGCGGTGGAGCCATTGTAGATGGCGAGGCCTGTTTCGGTTCGGTGGAGAGGCGCTCCATTAACTGGCGGAGCTTTTCTCTCTCTCGGTTGTCCTGCTCTGAGGCACCACCGGCCCTGTCGCGCTCGATTTGGCTCAGTAACTGGGCGCCCTCAGAGCGGCGGTTGCTAATGAAAGTCTCAACGTTCTTCCGCAGGCTGTCAACGTTTTCGCTCATCTCCTTGTAGAAAGTTCGAGCCTGAACGATGCCAGACGACAGACCATTGAAGGCTTCGTACACCTTCTTATATCGAGCCATCACGGAACTTCTTTGTCGTGTAATACCCTCGTACTTGGACTGCTCAGACTGAACTCGTTTGTCCTGTAGCAAGTCACCATAGGTCTTAGTAAGTTCTTTCATCAATGACGACTGCTTGTGATTCGCCTGGAGGAGTCGATTTTGATGAGGTCGAAATTTCTCCAATTCAGCCTCAAATAGTTGGTTTTCTTGGCCGGCGATGGTCTTCTTGTTCAGAATCAACACATTCGAGATATCATCATTGTGGACCTAAAAGTTGTTAGTGAAAAAGTCCAGCGAGAGCTTCATTCTAGTTGGTTTCTTTTACCTTCTCTTTAAGATCTTTAAGCACTTGTGACCGCTCTCGCTTGACAAGATTGAGTTTCTTCAAAATCTCCTCTACCTTGTTGATCTGATCCGAAACAGATGCACCTCCTTCGTCATAGATATCATCAAGTAAATTACCTTCAGCCGGGCTGGTAACTCCATTCTTGCCCTTGCTATGCTTGGATCCAGCCTTGATAATTGCCTGTTGGAAGAGCACATCGGCCTCATCAGTCTCACCCGCTGAGCGCATCTGTTCGAAGTCGTCTTCATATTGCCGCAAAGTGGCAGACAACTGAACATCACTGGCACTAGCCTCACTAATTGTATCTCGGTATGCGCGTACATCACCGCGAAGCGTAGTATTTAGGCGGGCACTAGGTTGCTGGCTCCAATCTGCGCCGTATTTAGAACGCATCTTCTCACATACGCTCTCTTCTAAGTCTAGCTGCTTTGAGCACTGGTCAAGCTGTGCCAGAACCTCTGTCTTGCGGTCCTGCATCTCGTCCAATACCTTTTTGAACGGTTTATGACCAGCAAGCTCTGAGCACCAGCGACGAAACTCTTCATCCACAGTCATCTCTTGATCCATGCCGCCCTTGAGAATATTGAGACTGCCTGGCAGCTTTAAGTAGTCTAGACTAGCAGCCATCTCACCATTGGCCGTCTCAACCTTCTCCGTCTCGGCACGGATCAACTTGGCCTTCTCCTCATCGTACAGACTAGCGTTCTCCGTGACGGACATTGGCACGAGCTTCTGGAAAATATCGGGACCGATGATGCGCTGGATATCCTGTCCTTGATAGAGCTCGCTGACTGGGATTGCCTTTGCCGCAGGTAGTTTAGCAACTGCCGAGAGTCCTGCCTCATTGGGGACAGGCTGATGATAGATAAAGTCATTATCTTTGATGAGACTGGCGAGCTTGGTCTGCACATTTTCTTGGATATGTTTGGTTTCCTCCACCAAAGCGGGCCCAGATTCTGCGGTCAGATTTGAAGTCGCGGGAGCGTTCGAAGGGAATGACTTGGCCCACCCAAGAGCAGTAGTAGCTTGCTTATCAGCCATCTGTAGTCGAGCAATGGCGACTCCGTGTGACCCATTATCACTATCCGCAATCGCCTGGTAGTAGGATGCAACAGCACTCATATGCGCCGCCTTCGCCTGGACCACTGACGACCACACTTTGTCGAAGACGTTCTTACTGACGAATTCCTGCATCGTTTCCGATCCCTGCGAATAAAGGTATGCAGCTTGACTAGCCAATTTAGCCAAGAATCCGGGTTTTTTCAAGTCTGTGATCTGTTTCTCTAAAAACACCTCCTGGGCCTGGGCGAGTGTAACATGGATGAGTGTTTTGACGGTATCTCGGTTGAGATCAGTCGACGGAGCGTGCAAGAAATTCTCATTGATATATGTGAACATCCCAGCTGAAGCCTGGAAAGAGTGGTATGCCGTCTTGACACCGGTATCATCGGCTCGATTCTGATTTGCGGCATGACAGGAGAGGACGGCGGAGATATTGAAGATGATGGATGCTTTCTCAAATGCTAGGGAGTATTGGGAGGTGGGTTTGTGCGTGAAAGCATCGTACCTGAAGAAAGTGAAATATGATAAGTAATTATTACAGATGCGACACACTAGTCAGGTACCTACCATGTAAATGATATCTTGATGTGATTCTCATCAACAGGGAACCGGAGGTCCAGTAGCTCCAGCTGGCCGTAGTATCGATAAAGCAAGTCGCGCCCTGTAGCGCTATCCTTGCCAGCGCCTCTCACGTCTTGCCTGAGGCGGTTTAAAGTCGCACATTCTTGACTATAGCGCTCAGGGTCCTCGCCATAAGTCTGTCGAATGTAATCCTTGAGGGGCTGAATCCAATCGATCTCGTTGGTTTGCTTCAGCGGGCACGAAAGCATTGGTGCCTGCACCATATTCGCGAAGTTTACAGGAGCGGGATGCTCCCCCTCCACTAGTAGAATATGGATGGGGAAGACGCGAGGGCAGGGGGTGGCACGTTGAGTATCGGAATCAACTGTGGGGTAGTTGGAAAGTTGACGCCTTACGATGGAGCGTTAGTTCAGCAATGACGTAAGTCAATATGGGATCCACAGATTAAAGCGACAAGAATTGTAACACAGAAAGAGGAGGAAGAAAAGGAAAGGGGGAGATGGGGATCTGCGGGTGCGCTCAAGGTGACAGGTGATATTCAAGACTGTTGACTGGTGTACTGTTCTGGCGCCAAAATCAAAACAAACCAAGTATAAATTTAAATGACTCCTGACTTACTTAGCGAATATATTGAACCCGATAAATGATAGCAAGCAAAGTTCTATGTGAAATTTGAGATCTATAGAAGTAGAGAGCTTCATGGCAGCCTGAATACATGGCAATTCTTTTTTAGTACAGTGTCCACCCCGTTCCGCCGACGCTATGACGAGTAAATACAGCCCAAATGATATAAAAGTACACGAAGATTTACAGGTTTTCAGCTTGACTTCTTCGAGTCTTTGCTGGTATCATCTTGTTTGGCATCCTTTGGGTCTTTAGCATCTTTGCTGTCCGACTTAGGAGACTCAGAGTCTTTATTGTCTACCAGTCGGTGCCAGACTGACTTTAGGAACCCTTCGCCCTTGGAAGAGTCCTCTGAGTCTGTAGGAGGGCTGTTACGACGAAAATTAGGATCGAATATCATGTTGGAGCTCCAATAGAGAATCTTACCTATCCTTGCTAAAATTCATCGTGCGTCGAGCCGTCTTGTCGCCCATCTCATCGGCCAGGACCTCCAAAATGGTTCTCTGATTGCCAGTCAAGTACCTTGGCATGGTTACCTTAAACTCGACCTTGAGGTCGCCTGTGGGGGTGAAGCGTGAGCGGCCACCGCCCAGCTTCTTCATACCCATCCCCGATAGAGTGATTCGATCACCTGTACCGGTACCAGTGGCAACCTTGACCTTGACCTCATTATCAAGAGTTGGGATAGTCACTTCTCCACCAAGAAGAGCTGTCGTGAGTGGAATCGAGGCAGTGTAAAGAATATCCGAGCCAGAGCGGCTGAAGCGGTGATCCGGAGCGACTCGAATGGTGACGTAAAGATCTCCAGGCTGGGTGCGAGCGCCAGCAGCAGCAGTGGTACCCGCCGGGGGTGCATCTCCTTCACCAGTAACTCTCATGCGCATGCCATCTTCCACTCCAGCAGGGATCTCTACCTTGAGGGTCTTCTTTTCCCGGACAACGCCGTTTCCATGGCAAGTACCACACTCGGAACCACGGGGCACAATCATACCAATACCTCCACAGGCGTCGCAAGTAGCGGCGACTTGGAAACCTCCCTGCATGACATGAACACGAGTTCCAGACCCATTACATTGCTTGCACTGGGTCCGTTTCGCGCCTGTCTTCAATCCTTCACCTTTACACGGTACGCATTTCGTCAAGGGAGTGATGACGATATCCTGCGATGTACCCTTGGCAGCATCCATGAAGGAGATGTTGCTCTGCACCTCGATATCTTCACCCACGAGGATCTGCTCCTGGAACGGATTGCGCCGGCCACGAGGGCCCCGACGAGCACCGCCAGTAAAGGCACCGAAGAGGTCCTCGAAATTGATATCCTGAGAAAAGCCACCACCTCCAAACGGACTGCCTCCAAAGCCACCACCAAAGCCGTGGAAACCACCTCCACCAGCGAACGGATTGCCTCCGGTGTTGGGGTCGAATCCACCATTCTGGTCAAACGCAGCTGAGCCAAACCGATCGTAGTTTTCGCGTTTCTTAGCGTCAGAAAGCAATTCGTAGGCTGTTTGAGCCTCACCGAACTTCTCTTTGGCGCTAGGGTCCTTGTTTGTATCCGGATGATATTTCTTGGCCATCCCATAGTACGCCTTTTTGATGTCACTGGCCGATGCGGTCTTGTCAACACCGAGGACTTTGTAAGGATCGGCCATCGCCGAGAGATGAGAGGTAGTGTGAAAGGGCTGTCGATGATTAGCTATGGAACGTGGAAAAGTAAGGAGAGTACAGGGGTGGCGTACCCTAGCTGCAATCATATATGAGGCTTTCGGCTTGCGACCATCCCGCAGCCGCCTAGCGGAAGAAGTAGATGTAACCGCATGATAGCCTCGCTCCTGCGTCGTAAAACAGATGCCAGAACTAGCCGTCTGCTTCGCACATTGGGGTGTTCGGAGAAGGCGCGCGGGAAGGGCCGCGGCCTTCGGGAAAGTTGCGGATGCGTTCATGAATAAAAAAAAATATGATATCTGAGAGATTGTTAAGGGGACGTTGTCCTCTTGGAGTTTCGACAGTAGTAGTAAGCGATTGTATGAAAGAGCGTAAAAATAGAGGTAGAGGAAAAAAGACTCCAACACCAGTCTTGTAGTTTACAGAGCCATGTCGAATCGACCAGAACATTGGCTCCAGATTTATCGGATTAATATAGTGCCGACCCGGCATAGAGCTTACCGATCAAGTAATGACGGGCTCCGACTCCGGACTCTTCGTTCTTATTACCTCTTTTTCTCCAAGTTGTATCTTTTCTCGAAGCTGTGCCACGGGTACTTAGAGCTTCTGATCGACAATTACCACCCCCCCTCGCCCTTCACTCCACCTCTCAATTCCCTTGACGTACCCGTTTCGGAGGCTCAATTAGCATGCTTCGCGGCCAGACCCTTCCCTGGAGAGCTGCGCTCCATCAAACACCTCGGCCTTTACTTCGCAGACCATTCCTCGTGTCGCCGAGGAGCAATGTAACCTTCCGATCGGTATTATCTTCGACCCGCGTTGGGCATCCATTCCTTTTTAATCCCCGCACCTTCTCTTCTAATTCTATCCTACGGAAAGAGAAACCCTCACCAGAGGAACAGAAGGACGAGCCAGAACAGAAGGAAGAGGATGGGACAGAACATGATGCTAAGGCAGATCAATCCCCGGATGCCAGGAGAAAAGCGCCTGACTCCGGACGTAACGCTGCGACGGCAGAACAAACGGGTTCCTCGCGGAGGAAGGACCGGCCATCGAGTGATAAAGAGGATCGGGCATTAGATTGGGAAGCGAAGAAGGATGCAAATGCACAGGATAGCAAGGGAAACTCAAACGACGCACCATCTCCGATTCCGCCTAGTGATGGCCCGACTGATTCGAAACCCAGTTCCGCAAGCAGTGGTGGTAGTGGCGGTAATGATGACAGTGGAAAGAGGGGGAAGAAAGGCTCTGGAGACAAGGCTCTGCAGAAACCCTCTGTTCCCGATGTATACCCGCAAGTGATGGCGATCCCCATTGCCAAGCGTCCGCTGTTCCCTGGATTCTATAAAGCAATCACTATCCGTGACCCAAATGTTGCAGTTGCGATTCAGGATATGATGAAGCGGGGTCAGCCGTACGTTGGCGCATTTCTGTTCAAAGATGATAATGCCGATGGTGACGTGATTGGAAACCTGGACGATGTGTACGATACTGGAGTGTTTGCTCAAATCACGGCTGCATACCCCCTACGCGGTGAGTCTAGTGGTGTGACGGCTGTTTTATATCCCCACCGTCGCATCAAAATCTCTTCGCTTCTTCCTCCAAGCGAGACTACCAAGGGTAGCGTCCCGGAGGACAAGACTACCGAAAAACGAGGCGATGTGGTGACTAGTTTTGAAGAAGGAGCTGTCGAGAATGCTCCCAAGGACCACTATGAACCAACCTCCTTCCTTAGGAAATACCCCGTCAGTCTGGTCAACGTTGAGAATTTGACCGAGGAACCGTACGATAAGAAGGCTGGAATTGTTCGTGCCGTCACTAGCGAAATCGTCAATGTCTGTAAAGAAATTGCGACTTTGAATCCACTGTTCCGTGACCAGATCTCTGCTTTCTACACAGATCAGTTCCCTGGAAACCTCAGCGATGAACCCTCTAAGCTGGCTGATTTCGCCGCGGCGGTATCGGCTGGTGAACTCCACGAGATGCAGGAAGTTCTTGAGACTATGAACATCGAAGAACGTCTTCCTAAGGCGCTTGTCGTTTTGAAGAAGGAGTTGATGAATGCGCAGCTACAGTCTAAGATTACAAAAGATGTGGAGGCTAAGATTCAGAAGCGTCAGCGCGAATATTGGCTGATGGAGCAGATGAAAGGCATCAAGAGAGAGCTCGGAATCGAGTCAGATGGTAAGGATAAGTTGGTAGAGAAGTTTAAGGAGAAGGCAGAGAAGCTTGCGATGCCAGAGGCTGTCAAAAAGGTCTTTGACGAAGAAATTAATAAGCTGGCTCACCTCGAGCCCGCCGCATCGGAGTTCAACGTGACTCGCAACTACCTGGATTGGCTAACCCAAATCCCCTGGGGTCAGAAGAGTGTGGAGAACTTTGGCATCAAGAACGCGGTCACCGTCTTGGATGAGGACCACTTCGGCTTGAAGGACGTGAAGGATCGCATCCTTGAATTTATTGCCGTGGGCAAGCTTCGCGGAACTGTCGAAGGAAAGATCCTTTGCCTTGTTGGACCTCCCGGCGTGGGTAAGACCAGTATCGGCAAGTCCGTGGCTCGCGCTTTGAACCGCCAGTACTATCGTTTTTCCGTCGGTGGGTTGACTGACGTTGCCGAAATCAAGGGTCATCGACGAACCTACGTTGGCGCACTTCCTGGTCGAATTATCCAGGCCTTGAAGAAGTGCCAGACCGAGAACCCTCTAATTCTTATCGATGAGATTGACAAGATTGGCCGTGGCCACCAAGGCGATCCTTCATCTGCCCTGCTGGAACTCCTTGACCCGGAGCAGAACTCTTCTTTCTTGGACCACTACATGGATGTTCCCGTCGACCTGTCGAAGGTGCTTTTCGTCTGTACAGCAAACGTCACCGATACTATTCCTCGCCCATTGTTGGATCGTATGGAGTTGATTGAGTTGTCTGGATATGTGGCTGATGAAAAGATGGCTATTGCTCAACGATACCTTGCACCCGCCGCTCGAGAGTTGGCTGGCCTGAAGGATGTCGATGTGGATCTCACACAGGACGCGATTGAGGAGCTGATCAAGTCTTACTGCCGAGAGAGTGGTGTCCGCAACCTTAAGAAACAGATTGAGAAGGTCTACCGAAAGGCAGCCTTCAAGATTGTCCAGGATCTCGGAGAGGAGGCGTTTCCCGAGGAAGAGGCCTTGACGGACGAGGGCAAGGCTGCTCAGGAAGAAGCTAGGGAGCACGATTCCTCTGATCCTGCCAAAGCCCCCGCTGATCCCGAAAAGTCGACTGCTGAGACTCCTCGTATTGCCCTTAAGGTTCCTGAAAGTGTGGAGTTGAGCATTGGCAAGGATACTTTGAAGGACTACGTCGGACCTCCCGTGTTTACTTCTGATCGTCTGTACGACAGATTCCCACCAGGAGTCACCATGGGTCTTGCCTGGACTAGCATGGGTGGTGCGGCACTTTACGTGGAGTGTATCTTGGAGAATGCCTTGACTCATCGCTCGCGGCCGGGATTAGAGATTACTGGCAATCTGCAAAACGTGATGAAGGAATCGACGCACATCGCTTACTCATTCGCCAAGTCGGTCATGGCCAAGCAATTCCCCGAGAATGAGTTCTTTGAGAAGGCCAAGATCCATCTTCACTGCCCCGAGGGTGCTGTTCCTAAGGACGGTAGGCATCACAATATCCGTTTATTCTGATAAATGACCACTAACACATCTCTCATTATAGGCCCTTCGGCTGGTATCACCATGGCTAGCGCCCTACTCTCATTGGGTCTCAACCATCCGCTTAACCCGACTGTTGCCATGACTGGTGAGTTGACTGTCACTGGTAAGGTTCTGCGCATCGGTGGCTTGAGAGAGAAGACAGTGGCTGCTCGCCGTGCTGGTGCTACCAAGGTTATCTTCCCTGCCGACAATACTTCTGACTGGCTTGAACTACCCGAGGTGAGTCTTCAACGTCTATAATCATTTGAACCCATGACTGATTTTGAATCCAGAACATCAAGCAGGGAATTCAGGGCCATCCGGTCAGCTGGTACTCCGAAGTGTTTGAGATTCTCTTCCCCAATCTTGATCAAGAAGCTGTCCGCACTGTCTGGCAGAAGGCACTCAGCAAGCCCGAAAAGGGAGAGCGTGGTGATGACGATTGAAATGTGTCAATCACTATTATATAAGTATGGAGTATGTTTTGTATAGTTTCAGGGATGTACATTGGCGTCTGTCTTCCACATCGGAATGCATGGACTTGGAGTTACGGGGATTAAATGTTTGATTAACCGTAAAGACCTACTTTATCACCTCTCTCCAAGAATTGAAGAAACCCAATTATCTATCTAGGTATCTAGGTAGTAGATATACTGGAGTTTCAATGCTTCAATATTGCCGTCCTTCTCTATGTATGAATCCCACCCGTTCTAGTTCTAATCAGGCATTAGTGTCAGGCCGCCACGCAGCTTTTTTTTTTTTTGTCTCTGTATTTTTTTTTTCTTCTATTCATTTTTATCTGTGCGGCGTTAGATGAATCATATTTTGTCTCTTCTCTTAAATCTCTGCCTCTTTTTCTGATTGATTCCCTGCATTCCTTTTGCTGAGATACCGTCTTACACCTTGCAGAGTACCGACGCACATCTGTTGTGATTTGAGATTTGAGATTTGCGATCTTCAGATCTCCTACTCGTAGTCGCGTTGGTAACTTCCAATCTCTTACGTACGAGTATCATCGTCGTCGTCAGCTCTCTGAGCTTCCACTGCAACCCGAAGTTGTGTGACACGCCTTTGATTTCACCTCTGTTTCAGTAGGAGATTGAATAGGAGCTATCATAAAAAAGAAATTTACAAAGCCCCGAAGAAAAAGCAAAAAGCAGCACAAAAAAGCAAAGAAAAGGAACAAGAAAAAAGAAGGGGGAATTAAACAATACCCTTACCATATCAGGCTCTTATACTACCTGGAACGGGCTTCCAGTAGGTGCCCAGGTGTTCTGATTTTCCCGCTTACAACCCCTTGGGAACTTTGCCTCGTTCTCATATGGCTGAGGGTCAACCTCCGGGGTGATTGAGTCGTTCCTTGTATACTGAGATGCGAATGGCCAACTCTACAGATCCAAGCAGTCCCACGCGACTTGAGTTTGACGAAAAGGGGCAGAAACAGAGCATGTGGCATAGACTGGGATTCCGACGATGGCTGGGCCACGATCGGGATACTCAGGACACTCAGGACGAGAACATTCCGAACAGTCACAACTCACTCACAGACCGGAACAAGCAGGATAAACTCACACGTCGGCTCTCTCGTCGAGTCGGTGTTGGCCTGCCACGACCTACCACATTTAAACGTCAGCTTTCCGAAAATCGTGAGCGGTTGGCTCCCTTACAATCTGACCACCGTCGAGCCGTATCCGTTGACCGTCGACCACAGCTTAGCCTGGCCCAACGACTCAGGTCCCCACCACCAGTGGGCCCGCGTCAATCTGCACCCGAGGTCCAGTGGCTCGGCCCGCCTGATATTGCTGCCAACACTGCCAAAGATGATGAGAGCCTTTCCTTTCTAGAAAACGAAGACGTGATAGATAGTACCCCTGAGGAAGAGGTACCGGTACCTGAACAGAAAGTCTCACCAGACACTCTCGAGATGGAGCTGCAGCATCGATGGATTCTAAATCTGAGTATGCACTTTCGGGATCGATCGGCGCGCGAGAAGTTTTTCGTCACTTACGCACAGAATCCAACACAATGGCGTCGCGTTACAATTTCTTGTGATTATCGAGATGCGCAGCCGGACTCGCTCGAACACGATCTGAAGGAAATGCGGTATCAGCGAGACAAATGCGCGCGAATCTACGAGGCTATCCGAGAATCACTACCCGAAATCCAATTCTACGATACCGTCACGAACCTCAAAGTCGAAACGCGTGACGGCCGTCTACATGTGCATGTGACAGAAGATGTGAACGAAACAATTCCTTATCCTCCGATCTCGAGTATTCGCCATTTAAACGCTCGATGCGTCTCGGAAAACTCTCTTCATCTCGATTCTCATCTATCGGGGTTCGTGTACAAAGTGAGCATTGGTGGACGTCCATACATCAAGAAGGAGATTCCCGGGCCAGACACTGTTGATGAGTTTCTGTATGAGATCAATGCTTTACACGCGCTTATTGGCGCACCGAACGTGATTCGGGTGGAAGGAATTGTGGTCGATGAGCGACAGGAGAAAGTCAAGGGGCTTCTGATCGACTACGCCGACCAGGGCGCCTTGGTTGATATACTGTACGAGGAACGCGGGGAGATCTCGTTCGCCAGACGGGAACGATGGGCTTTCCACATTGTCCGAGGACTCTGCGAGATCCATGAGGCAGGCTACGTCCAGGGGGATTTTACTCTAGCCAACATTGTGATCAATGCAGACGATAATGCTCACATAATTGACATCAATCGCAGGGGGTGCCCAGTTGGATGGGAGCCACCAGAGATTGCAGCGAAGATCGAGAGCAATCAGCGAATCTCCATGTACATTGGCGTCAAAACGGATCTATACCAGCTTGGTATGACCCTGTGGGCACTGGCCATGGGGGAAGATGAACCAGAACGACAACCTCGCCCTTTGATGTTCCCCGTCCACTCCTATGTACCCGAATATTATCGCCGGGTGGTTGACATCTGTCTCAGCCCAAATCCACGACGCAGAATGTCTGCCAGAGACTTGCTTATGCTGTTCCCGCAATATCTCTCATTTTCCACACACCGGCCTCAACATTTGCCCGACCATCCATTGATCCCTCTCGTCACAAAAGGGAACGATTCTATTCCTGAACAGATCTTTTTAAGACATCACGATGAAACCAAAGAATCCACCCCCACTCTTGCCGGCTCAAATAGAGAGGCCAAATTCCTTTCTCGGCCTTCATCAGCATCCACTTTAAACCAACATGAAAGTGACTCTAGGATTGAAGAATTAAGCGTTCGGGGCCTACAAAATCTCGAACCCGGATCCGAGCTATCTACAGAGAGTACAGGACCACAAACCGTGTCCGATTGGATAAACAACGATGGATCAAGGCCAGGACCTCTGACAATAGATGAACGTGTGCCTCCGCCAAGTGAACCAGCTGTTATCGAGCCCTCCTATTCAGCAGAGTCCCTTTTTCTTTCAACCCTTCCCATCAATCCTTCTCTACAGGCTCAGCGCTATTCATTGACAAATGCAATGGATACACTGCCTCAAGCCACCCCTTCCGCACCAGTCACATTCGATTGCGGACCCATTGGGCATCCCTCGGAGTCCAAACTACCTATCAACCCCGCCATTCCTTTGTATCCCACCAACTTCGACCCCGCCAGTCCTGTCATTGAATGTCCCTTGCCGAAACTGCCCACCCTTTCCGATTCCTGTCTCCCCATCAACCCAGCCTGTAGAGAGGGACCTACGCATCTTTCATGAGGCCCTTGACTTTTTTTCTTTTCCTGGCACAAGACTTCATCTTCTTCTCACCGACTCGGAGTATTTTCTTTTGTCCAATTATCGGGACTTGGCGTTCGATACCCTTTCTAATTCTTGTGTAGTTTATCCGTCATTATTATCGTCGCGTTTGAGCTCAGCTTTTTCGGACATGAGCGTACATGTTGGCGAACTCATGGCGTCCCAAAAAAAGTCCTTTTCTTTTGGTGGAGTTTCGCTCTTTATTTTTATTTCTGAATTCTTCCAAAACACGTCCAACTGTCAGGAATTTGGACATCTCGCAGCTGGTTTTGGCTCTATCTTGGATTTTATTCCCTTCATTTTTTATTGCTACGGCTGTATTATTTTCTATATCCATTTAACAATGCACCATTTCCTTGAAGAGCCAAACTCATTGCTCCTTTACAAAGGATTCGAAACTCTCTTGCCATGGATCAACACTCGATCCCAATCCTCTTCCAATCAGTACAATCTTGCACTGGACAGTCAGTGGCTCATCACCCTGAGATGGTTCTGAGTCCCTGATCTCAAACATATCCCGAACAGCCTGGATAATCTTCCTTGATCCATCATCAAGTGCAAGAATCCCTTTGAGACGATGAATTTCGAAATCAGTAGGTTGGGATTTCGATAGTGAATTACTGGGTACAGGTAAATTTGATTCCCAAAGCACCGAGCGCAGCCAAGCATCGACTTGAGGCACTTTGCTCACTGGGATTGGAGGCGTGAGAAGAGCAATGGTGGAAATAGCCTATACAGCTATTAGCGAAAGAACACGGATAAAAAGCAAGAACCCTCTTACCGGGTCCATATGACTATGCCCCTTTTTAGTAAAGTCCAAGTTCGCCAAATGGTCGTAGGCATGCAAGTCCAAAACAACGCCCTCGATCTGTGGTGTGCGACTGTGGTCTGTGACATGAATCTTAGCTAAGCTGTTGATGGATGTGATGCGGTTACGGGCGACATCCAGTTCATCCGGCGTTACTAGATCTGTTTTGTTAAGAATAATCACATCGGCATGCGAGATCTGCATATGCGCCATGGAAAGAACAGGTCCAGAGCCGTGGTGGCTGTGTTCTTTGTGAGTATCGGCCTTTTCTTCGGGGGCCGGCTCGTCGAGTAGACGCAGGATGTTCTTCGCATCGACTAGTGTGACAATTCCATCTAAATATATTGAGCTACCAAGGCCTTCATCCATCCAGAATACAGGGGCAATATTTCCTGGATCAGCGAGCCCGGTTGTTTCGAGAAGGATGTAGTCAAAGTTGCCGCGGCGCTCCATTAGGGATTCCAGAGCCATGACGCCAGAGTCTCTAGATAATGTTAATACTGACGGCAATGGAAGAGGGTTTAAAACTGGGATTGGATGCGTACTTGACAGAGCAGCAGATGCAGCCGTTGCCGACTTCCATCCATTCAGTTACTTCCTGTCCACCTTCATTAACTGTCAAGGGCTTTTCGATGTCCGTTGCTTCATATAATGTTAGAGCCATAGAAGTTGTCTCTTTTGGATGCAGCTTACAATCACCAAATTCTAGAAGTTTGTTAGTATTAATATCAAATTTGCATTTGATAAGACAACAGACCATTCATGATCACGGCAATCTTTTTGCCATGCTTTTCTGTCAAAATGTAATTCAATAGAGTGGTTTTGCCCGCTCCCAGGTAGCCTATCAGTAACTATTAGTAACTGTGATATAATGTGAAGGAACTATCCATGCCATACCTGTGACTAAGGTTATAGGAACTCGACTAACCACCTCTTCCTCTATAGAAGTAGGCTGATCTGTTGGTGCAGATACATCGACCAGGTCGGGAGGTGCCTCATCATCAATCATATCGGACATAATCACGAAACTGAGTCTGGAGAAGAAAAATAGAAAATAGAAAATGGAAAATGGAAAATCAAAACCCGAAGTGTACTATCAACTCCAAGTCTTAGCATTGGAGAAGTGAAATAGGATTTATGGATGACGTTGTTACCCAGAGCGGATGTTAGGGCTTAGGGTAATGATAGGTCAGTTGTTGTTGCTTATCTGACTCCTGCTTCATCTCCAGAAGTGTCTATGCTTTGTTTCATTCATTCTTAAATCCTTTCGAAGGCGCGGGGTTTCCATTTCATTCCTTTACTTCTCCCGGTTTCTCTCGCTTTCATTTCGCGCCTTCTCTTTACCCCGATCCCTCCTTTACTCCTGATACGCGTCATGACTGCAGCGGGAGCCTCCCCGTCTAGTTCCCCACGACTCCCTAGCCCTCCCCCGTTCGCTGAAGACCAGATCGGCCCCCGGTCACCTGCAGTCGGCGAATACTTTGGCAATGATAAAGATCAGCTTCTAGGCGGTGCAGCTGCAGAAGACGATGGCTCGACGCGCAGGATCCGCCCGGGAACAAAGGCGGCCGACATGGCCTTTGGGCCGCCACTGATTCCCTTGTCGCAGGTATGCAAAAGTACATTTTTAAAAGCCGTGAAACAGGTGCTAAGATTTGCAGCTTGACTCCCCTTTCCAGCTACAGGAGCATCTCAAAGCTTTGTACCACCATTTTACTAAACCAGAAGGCTCTGAAACCGTCGTCCCGATCAATCGCAAAGTCGCAAGTCAGCTCGCCGAACCCCCAGAGGGAATCGACCGATCGCTCTGGCTTTATGAATTATGTCGCTTCCTCACTATGAAAGTCAACAACCTCATCATTGCTTTCTTCGCCGAGAATCCACCTTGCTCGTCGAATACCTGCCCGGAGATGCGGGCGTCAGAATGGCAGTACCTATGCGCCGTACATGATCCACCTAAATCGTGTTGTGCAATTGACTACTGCTGCCATACACTTGATTGGGCTAATAATACCCTTACCTCTCCGAAATATTTCCCTAGTCGTCTGACCCTGGGCTCGGAGGCTGGCGGCGGCCCACAGGCCAGCATGAGACACCTTACCAACATCTTTCGTCGGCTATACCGGATCTTCGCGCACGCCTGGTTCCAACACCGTGACGTTTTCTGGGAGGTAGAGGGTCATGATGGATTGTATGTTTTCTTTAAGACAGTCTGTGACATGTTCAGCCTCATTCCAGAGGATAACTACACTATTCCCATGGAAGCTGAAGGCCCCGATGCGGTGCTACCGCAGGTAGAGGAACCGGTCGAGAGTAAACGATTGACGATTTTACGTAAGGATAACGAGAACCCTTTTGCTGATGTGGAGGGCTTAGACCCCTCGCTCGGCACGGGTGCCACCACCCGTCGTCACAAGCACAGCCCGTCCACTGGATCTCGCGTCACCACTATCACTGAGAGTGCTGAAGATTCTGAAGATTCTGCTAATGCCGCTTTATCTTCGCGTGAAGTGCTGCAGCACTCACCTGAGCTGCGCCCTTCGACTGCTGTGGAGCACCATCCCGAGCCCGAGCAGGCCCCTCAAATGCAGAGTGACGAAAAAAAGTACCGACACATACTGGAACTTCGGAAGCAGAGACAGAGCAGGCGGATCGGCCGACCGAGTCTGAAGGTACTACCACTCAGCCGGAAGAACCCGTAGCTGAAGAAGTCAAAGTTGAGGAGATCGTCGAGGGGGCAGCTCAAGAGGCAGCTGAAGAGCCCGCCGAGCTAGTTGAGTCACCAGTCTCTGTGTCAGCTGATGCGTCAACTGAGGAACCAGTTGAACAAGTTGAAGCAGTTGAAGCGCCAGTTGAAGCGCCAGTTGAAGCGCCAGCTGATGCGCCAGCTGATGCGCCAATTGATGTGCCAGTTGATGTGCCAGTTGATGTGCCAGTTGATGTGCCAGTTGATGTGCCAGCTGATGCGCCAATTGATGCGCCAGTTGATGTGCCAGTTGTGGATTCCGCCGAGCAGCCCGCGGAGCCAGTTGAGGAACCCGGAGATAAGCCCCTGGAGGGTGAAGATGTGACGTCTTCTGTCGACCAGGATGCCGAACAGGAAGCTCAAGAGCTTTAGCTGACATTTGGCTCTTTGTCATTTTTCTTTTACCCTTTTTGTGTTTCGATATCATGGCACAGCCAGGTCTGGCTGCCAGTTACTGATGATACTGTATTGTAATTAATAGCTCACGATACTCCTGTTGTAATATTAGCTTGTCATTCAAGCAGCAAAAAAGCACACATCTTAAATGTTCTGAAACTTCTCAGATCTATATCACCATCCCATAAGATAAGTCAATTCTAGCCAGTTACCGATGACTAGAAGATATTTAACTGTTCATTTGGTCTGTTATTAGTAAGTTGTTTACTTCTAGATATTTGATCTTAGCGGGGTCAATCTTATCCCCGCAAACCTAATTTCAACCCTCCATCATCTCCACATACACCTAGGTACAGAGTACTCTGTACTGAAACATAATGTCCGCAGCAAAGACCACAGTGCCGATTTACTTCGGCTCCTTTCTAGTCACACCACAGGTAACGATTCTTCCTCCGAGTTCCAACGCCCGAGCATTCCGATTCAACAGATCTATCTAACACATGAACCAGGTCTTCTTCCAAACACCACTATCCTTCGCCCTCGTCAATCTCAAACCAATTCTCCCCGGTCATGTCCTCGTCTCACCACATCGTGTTGTCCCCCGCGTAGCAGATCTCACACCAGCCGAAACAAGCGATCTCTTCCTAACAGTCCGCCGCGTGGGCCGGATGGTAGAGCGGGTATATGGCGCCTCAAGCCTAAACATCGCTATTCAAGATGGCGTACATGCAGGCCAGAGCGTGCCGCATGTACATGCGCACATTATCCCGCGTAAAAATGCCGATCTAGACAGCCGAGGTGGTACAGATGCTGTTTATGATATGCTAGATGGGGAGGAGGGGAATGTCGGAAAGGCGTTGCGAGAGAGTCAGGCAGAGGTAGATGAGAAGAAGAGGTCACGCTTCCCTGTTGTTGATAATGATGCGCGTAAGCCGCGGACTGCTGAGGATATGAGGAGCGAGGCTGAGATACTTGCGCTTGAAATGGAGAAAGAGGTTGTTGATTGATATATTATTGATGTAGAATAGAGCTTAGCGCTTTTTAGCTTCAGCTAGTCTGTTTTATGCTTAAATGATAGAAGACTAAATGTAAAAGTGATTGTATTTGTTATATAAACCCTGAAAACCCGTGTTATTATATCAAATGACACCCCCAACCCCATCTTCGTAAACGTGCCGTGACTCGTTTCAGTCTATAATATCGAAGGTATCCCAAAGCCTCAAATGAAAAACCCGCTTCTCAAAACGAACTCAAGATAAAAGAATACCGGTGTTCTAGGCAGTGTTCTGGTACTTCGGGCGCTCCTTCACCACCTGTGCAGCCCAGACCTTAATCTCAGGAAGCTGAACGCGGGAGGAGACCTGCTCGAATTCAGTAAGGTCAACCTTATAAGCCCGCTCGTACTCCACCATCTGGAGTAACAGTTCCATCTTATCGATATCGTGGACAAACTGGGCCTCTAAAGTAACGTTGTCCTCGTATTCCTGGAAAACGCGCTTGATCTCTTCAGCAGGTAATGCTGCTCCGGGTACATTGCCGAGGAGAGTCTTGGTGATGTAGTCCATGGTGGATGCCTCGCGGCGAGCTTTCTCGGGCTTCGTCACGTTTTCATCGACGGGGGTAATATCGCCAACCAGTGACTCGGCCATATCGTGGATCAGAGCCATCTTGGTGCAGTGTGGAATGTTGAGTTTGGCGGCGAGCTCTGGCGGGGCAAGCATCGTCATGATCGACATGCGATACATGTGGTCGGAGATGGATTCACCCTCAATGCCAAATCGGCGCCATCCCTCACGCTTGGTAGTCTTGAGACGCTCAATAAGGTGGAAGAAGGGAATGGGCGAGGTAGAGTTCTCCTCTGGTGCGTCGGGGAGGGTCGACAGCACTGAGAAGGAGGTCAGATATTGGAACGGTTTCTGGGCTTAAAAATTGTTGCAACATACCTGTCTGTGGGGTCCAGGAAGAATTTTCGGAACTCATAGCTGCAATAATTGAAGATGAAAAAAGAGATCAACAATCGCGTTCGAAGTGAAACAAAACCATGGAACCCAAGGTGGGGAACTGTTTGCCGATGCAAACAAAACAAACCCCCAAGTTCGTTATCGTTGTTTACGCATTTACCACTCCAATCATTCGCTGGAACCAAGCTAGAGCTCCAATTACAGTCATGACGACTCCAAGGCCAGCACATCCTAAACCGCTGGGCTGGTTGGCCCCGTCGCATCTGACGGTTTTTATCCGCAACCTGAAACTACTACAGCTTGACCAGCGCGAAGATTGGCCCGATATAACACTCCGCTCATTGTCGCCGTCGTTGCAAAATCAGCGGCAGCGAATTCGCCTTGTAGAATGGGCTCTCTACTATCTTTTTACTATCTATGACCCAGAGGGAGCTCAAAGTGTACTTGGATCCATACATCATCAGAGGAATATTTAAGCTAATGGTTGAGCAGAAACTCCGGCCTTTCTTCCCACCTCTGGAATCGCTTCAGTCAGTCAATCTCCGTGCAGCGTTGTTTCGCGTCCTGGCCGATTTGAAGAAAAATGGTGATCTGGGACGAGAAGCCATTCTCCGCAAAAGTATGCTGGATGACTGCAAGGGCGAGAAATTTGATGAGCTTCTTGCCATCTTTTCCACCGCAGTGCTACGTAAGCTGGTCGCGGTATCCACTTCAGATATCGTCAGGAACCCAGCCATGAGTATGGCAACCGCCACTGAGATTACGCCGACAGATTACCAGAACATGGTGCCTCTTATTCTTACGCATCAAGTATCTCTCAATGCGGTGGGGACACGCCGTGCCTGTGTACAGACGACCTATGACGAGTTCTCGCAGCTACTGGATAGCAAAAAATCTGAGCTGACAGTGCGGGAAAATATGGTGTCGGGGCATCACAATGACTACAACGAGGCCAGCACGGCGGAGAGACTGGCTGGTGAGCTTCGAACAAACTGGCTGGGAAGCGAGGAGTGGGCGACAGCACTACTGAATGGTGGATCACAGAGCAGCACGGATAAGTTCTTGGAGCTTCCTTTCTCGCGGGCCTTGGCTCGCGCGAAAGAATCAACCGTTGATGCTCTTGGAGGAGGCGCCAAGGAAGACCTTGTCATTGACTTGGAAGCACGAGTTCTGCGGTTACGGAGTCGGCTACGCAGATGGCATGAATTCAATGATTCAATTCGAAAGGAGCGTGACAATAGCGGGATCTCAGAGGAGAGGAAGCCTCAAGAGCCTCGTCTACGGTTCCGGGACCACCAATCGTTGACCGTGGCAAGTATATCTAAAGCTGTTCGACAGTCCGCGGAACGAGGGAAAGTTCTTCGAGATGCAGATCAATCATTTTTGGCATCTGTTCATGACGCTATCAGCCAAATAAATGGTACAACCCGTGTCAGGGCTGGACACGATGTGCACATTGAAGCACCGAAAGCGAAGTCAATACCTCTACCTGCAACGACCCCCGAAAGCCCACCTTCACCAGCAATCAGTATCCCTGAAATTCCCAAAATCCCCAGTCTCCCCGATGATCCCCAGAAGCTGAGCCCGATCCCCGCAGCAGCCCCAAACCCCTCTATCCCGGAGTTTCTTCTCTCTCCCGGCCAAGATTTCGAAGAAGACAAGCAAACAGACCCAGAGCCAGAACCTATCAAACCAACCACTTCCTCGAACTCCAGTATTGTCGAGCGTACCCGTAAATCAATGTCTCTCCTGCCACCACCTTCATCATATGAAGCTCAGGCGCGGCCTCGCCGCCGTGGCCCGCGCCCATCTTTCCCCACAAACCAATTTGAGACACCTCGGAAGCTGTCTGGTCCACTAGAACGATCGGGTGCATCTACGCCTCATGATAAACTGTTTGAAGAGGATGCGGAGTACTCCAGTGTGTTCAAGTCTCGGCCGCGCGTGGCTCTGAGTCCGATCTCGTCACCGGCAGTTCATGTAAGTCTGTCCGACGAAAGCGAAGATTTCGAGCTGGATCAGGATAACTCTGAGTGGGATGTGGATTCGCCGCTAGCTGCCCCGCGGTTCAGAGCTTAAGAATACTGCTAGCTTGCATGTAACCTACTATAGCAGAGTCATTTAGGTCATTTTTATCTTATTCACACTAAAACGCAGCCAAAGTCATTATTCAAAGGCATTAAGTATTCTATTGTGGATAGTACCCATATAGAAGTAGAGAATAATTGTGGTATATTTATGTAGCAGATATTCACGAACCACCTTGTAATTCACGTAGGTAACGAACCACTTAGAATTGGATAGTAGCCTCAAAGGTCTACAAATCTTTTACCGAGCCAGGGTTCGAACCGTGGACACTGGGTCCACTTCGGAATAGCTTTATGGTCTCGGACGCACAAAATTAACAAAATAACGTTTATTCTAGAAGTCATATAATGAACTTCAAAATGATTGGCAAGTGAGCGGGAAAAGAGCGAGATTTGTGTAAATTTTGGCTACCAATTCCCTTCTACGTACTAGTAGTAAGAGTTAATGAGCTTGTAATCTGGTATCATCAAGATGCTTTTAATATGCATTAACGAGCATGTCTCGAGCCCCCGATCTCTGGTGAGTATTATCCCAGGTTACGATTTGAACCACAAAGTCAGGGAATAGTAATCCACCAAAATTGATCTTATAAACCTGATCTTCCACCTGAGGATTTATGTAAGCTCCAGCTTTGCACTGATCTCCTCTATTTAATCACCCGGGCTATAAAACTGGGTTAGCTGGGTTTGATTCAATGTACTGCGAGCGAGTGCTGGATGTCACTGTCCTTGAATGGTAGCATCAGGAGGTGTAGAATCGTGGGGATGTCCGTCTGGGAACGGCTTAGCGTGTCGAGGCTTAAGCCACAATCAAAGTGTAAACAAATGCACGGTACGCGGATTCTGATGTTCGAGCTCTCACCGACCTTGATTATGTCAGGCCACGGAGCTGTGAGTAACTACTTCAGCTAACACGTTATTGGAAGATAAAAAGCATGGGGAAAAACAGGGCTTATAGAGCTTCCAAATCAAATGGATCGGACCCATGGTTTCTAACGTCATGGGTTGGTTCACAAGTCCCCGGATTTCACCCGTAGAAAAGTGGGTTGTTCCCCAGGTAGTCAAGTTTTGTGTACGAAGTAATGTCCTATACAACCTATAACTATTCATAGAGACAAATAAACTGAAATTGAACACCTGTAATTGTTTCATAAGGAATCAAGGTTGGGACTAAGCTATGCTTAAATATCACCCCCACTAGGATCCACCACTTTATTTAGTGGGTCCAGATGTCCCTGCCAAGAAAACCAACCCATCTTAAGTACCGAGCCAATCTCGAATAACTCTTTCACTCTCTGAAGTAGGTTCGAACCCTATCTATACATATATTTAGAGATCTGTGTATCAGGGTATATTTCTAGGGATACCTAGTTAGGTACACTAGATACGGAAAATACTCCCAAATGTATACTCTTAAATGGAGCAGTAATGGATACTTAATAACTGAATAACAGAAAGCGGATCTGGTCCACTTGACCCGACAACAGCAGCTATACAAAAGACGCAAGTGACCCAGCAGAGATCATTGATCACCGCTAGACCTATTGTGCCTCTAGAGATGTTCGTGCGTCTAGCCAAGGCCCACAGTTTATTTGTGTGGCATCGATACGATATACGAGACGATCGTAGCGTCCAGGCAAGAATAATTTTACTATTTTACTTTGCACTACGGAGCGCACTGCTTTAGTCCCTGAATGCCTCTTGTCATGTATCACGCTCCCCTTATAAAAAACAAAACAGGAGGTAAAATGGAAAACATATTCAATAAATAGTAATAAAAGGAAGTTAACGGCAGCGAAAATCAATTCCTCATTCTTGTGAAAGATAGTGGGAAATAGAAACGAAATTATTCCATCAAAAATACGGTGTAATGAATTAAACTAGGAAATTGTATGGACGGATTCATTTTCACGATAGGTAGATATGGAATTCTGTTTTTTTGTTGATGCCCATACCATGCGTATCCCTACTGATATCATTCAACCACCTCGGCGACGACGGTGCGGGTTTCGAGGCAGAGGCGCATAATCGGATTCAGAATCTGCAATATCATTGTCTGATGGAGATGAAACTGATACTGGAGGCGACAATGCTTCATCTGAGTCTCCGACCTCGATCATATGTGCAGGCCCAGCACGAGACGCATTGCCTCGTTTTTCAAAAGAATTGTGCTCAACAATCAGATCACCTTCTTCGTGTTCGTCCTCGCCCTCGCCTGGGAGGAGAAACCCGCCACCATGGTCGACAACATCGTCCTCGCCCTCTCCTGGAAGGAGAAAACCTCCACCATAATCGGCAGGATCATGTGATTCTTTTTCCTGATAAGCCGTGTGGCTATTTTCTTCCTGTGTCTTGGTCTTGTGCGACGAGAAAGGGTTGCGAGCATCTTTTTCTTCATCTCCATCTTGGCCGCCGTACTCCTCACGAACACGCTCGGCAATGCGTAGTCCAAACAGAATCTTACGCCATGTTTGAAAAACAAGCTTTTCTGCTTTGAGCTTTTCTCGCTTGTGCTTTTCAGCAGTTTCGACTTTCCAAGCATCGCGAAGCAGACCTTCGTTCTCAGCTGCAACTACTACGCCCTGAATCACAGGGACAGCCATTTTAGATCCAAATTCGAAGCCCGTGACTGCCTCGGCGTAGTCAATGCCTAGTTTCTTGCACACTCGTACAGTACCGGGCAGGGGGACATGGGCGGCACCCTGAGGCACCATGCTCGGGACAAAACAATCCATGTTTCCATAGTTGTTCTTAGGAATGACTCCATCCTGGATCGGTGGCGGGATGATATACTCAGTTTGGTCAACGGAGTATAGACCCTGCATCGGCTTCTCTCCTGTTTCACGTTGCATCTCTTCCACCGCGCGCTTGCGCACCAGGGTCACTGCTCGGATCGGTACTCTTTTCAGAGGTACAGCCCCCGTCTGAATCTGCCGCCCTTCCTTATGCCAGCTCTCTGCCGACAGGCATTTAACAACGTCTGCGCGCAGATAAACAGATTCTTCCTTGGCGCGAGCGCCTTTTCCAGCGACAAAGGTGCGGACTGGCTCTGCTCCTGGCTTCAGCGCCTCCTCGCGGCGCAGAAATCGCTCCAAGACAAACTCGGTCGATGTACGAAGGGTTGTTAGCGTGTCTCCTGTCTGTGTTGACTTCTTCTTTTCGGGTTGTTTTCGTTGGAGATCTTTTGCATCTTCAATCTCATCTACCTGGGTTCTTTTCGAGGGGTCTCTTTCGTATCTGCGCATCGTCACCCGGAACCAGTCGAATTCGATGTATTTTCCTCGTTTGCCTGGGATTGCAATTTTGTCTACGGGTATTCGAAACCCTTTGGTCTTGCTAGGCCATGTTTGCCGTCGTAAGTATCGCGTAGTCACGTCTTTTGCAGTGCCGTCGGCTGAGTGCGCGACTACATAGCAGATCACTTGCTTCGCACGGTCAGCTTTGATGCCACGCGGCTCAAATGTCGCTTTCTGTTCCGGTGTGGGCGCAATCGGGTTTTTAAGTACTAAAGGGTCCACCGAGATGATTTCATTCGTGATTGGAGATGCCACTTCAGTCCAGTAAATAGGAAATGGCATGTCCCCATCATAAGACTTTTTCCTTTGACTCTTTGTAACAATCTTGTACTCAGACATACTGTCTACCTCTGAATCCGACCCCGACCCTGATCCTGGTTCGGCTCGAGGTTCTTCCTTCACCTTAGGTGGTGTATGTATCTCAGCTTTGGTCCAGCCGAATCCCAAGGGTTGTAGACTAGCGACCAACCTGGCCTCGATTCCTAGTGCTCGAATTAAGGCAGTAAATAGCTGTGCGCCAAGATCTCTAGAGCCCTTCATATTTTTAGCTGATGCACGAAATTCATCGATATCGGCGATACGTTCCCCATGGAGTTCTGGGTCACTTTCCTCTTTGAACTGATTCAATATAGCTTCGAGTGAGGAGACTGGTCGGTATCCCTGTTTCCTTAACCCTGGGGCTGTGATGTCAAATCGATCTTCCCAATATGCAGCCAGAACCTTCAGTAGAGAAAGGATGGGATCACCTCGACTCATATCTGGCTGACCCGGTTCCAAGCGCTCAGAATCTTCAGCCCAATCCTGAGTCTTCGGAGCCTTTCCCTTCTTCCTCTTCTTGGGGGGCTCGGGCTTAGGCTCGGGCTTCTCTAATCCCGATGCGATCCGCCATCTCTTCACCTCATTCTGAACTGGTATTGATAATTTATCACGCAGGGTTTTGTGAACTTCGGCGTCGTTGACCCATGAATTGCGAATGGTATTGTGGAAAAGTAGGCACTGAACATGCATACAGTGCGTCTGGATGCGGATATGACGTTCAATCTTGCTTGGGCCTTTCTTACTATCCAAAGTCTCAGGTGCGTGTGATTCATTCTTTTCTAGAGTCAACTCTAGATCCTTTATTTCTGGTACAGCGAGCGAAGGGGTTGTCGCGCTCATAGTATCAGGACCAATCGCGTCTTCCCAGTCAACCTCGTCATCATCTCCATATTCTTCGTCAGAGTCATCTGTAGCTGCGATAGCTGTGGGTGCTTGAGGTGTATTATCCTCCTCGGGTACTTCACTTAATGAGGAGTCAGAGTCGGCATCAGAGTCGGCATCAGAGTCAGGAATTGTGTCAGAAGACTTGGCATTATCAGTTCGGGCCCGACGCTGATGTTTAGCTGGGGGCGGGTCTTCATCGGAGAAACGCTTGCGGGGAACGTATGGCGGCATGCGCAGGACTTAGACACCTTCTCAAAGGTCGGGGTCGGGTAGGGTCAGGTAGGAATGTTCAAGGAAAGGGAAAGTTCGTAAATTTGGGGCAACTTGAGTGGATGAGAATGAGGAGATCGAAGAATTGGAGAAGGGAAGGGACATGCCGAACTCATTTTCGCCTCCTCATCTCCATTTTCTACTCTGGACCAACTCTGCTTTTGATTTCTCTAATAATTTCACTCAACTTATTCAATTTATATCTATTAAATCATTCTATTCAATATGGAAGCTGTGGTGCGCTTCTTCTCTTCCCCGCGTTTCGCTGTAGCGGGCGCAAGCAACGATACAAATAAATTTGGATATAAGAGTATGGAAGCATGAATCATGAATCATGAATCCAGGACATCACTCACATTCTCTAGTCCTCGCATGGTATCATCAACATTCACTACCGGTGACCCCAGTCAATCCAAGAGTAGCCCAGATCTCTTTTCCATCGCGTGCCTATTATACAGTACCTTCTGCTGCTGGACTTCCTTCACCCACTCGGACTTCTTTGTCGGTGGTGACACCTCCATCAGTAACCCTACAGCTACTGCAAGAAGCTCATAAAATTGGCATCCCTGCAGTCTGGTTGCAACCTGGTACCTTCAACGACCAAGTCCTGGAATTTGCCTATGGTCACTTTGAGGCTGTGATTGCGGGTGATGGAGGGCGGGGCGGCGAAGGCTGGTGTGTACTTGTTGACGGAGAAGATGGACTCAAAGCTGCAGGAGTTAAGTGGATAAGTCGACTTTGAGTAGAATAAGAGAAGATATAGTAAATAGGCAAATATGAGAGAGGGAGATAAGGAATCATGAGGCAAGAACTCGGAGAGTAAATATATGTGAGGGGGAAGTGTTTGTTGTAGGTAACAAACACAAGCCCCCCAAATTATCTTCTTTCTTCCCAACACTCTTTGGAGTGAATTCTTTCATTCCCTTTGTTTCTTTCATCCCCACAAAATGCCCGATCCCTTTTTCCAGGCTTCATCGCCTGCACAACTAGATCTTGCTAGTGCTCGTTCTCAAATTTTTCAAGTCCCCATGTCCGCATCTACATCTCTCTACTCCCTCTCCGTCAGTCGCAAACGACCCCGTCAAAACGAAAAGATCTCATCAAAATTTGATTCCATCGACGCTTCATCTGAACCTCTTGCCTCACCATTATTTCCCGAGTACCGTCAGATGAGTGGAGTCGATGATCTCTATCGTCCGAACCGATACCGCGAATCCTTCTTCCCACCTTCTCTTGAGGGTGTCGACTGCACAAACTTATACGGAAGTCGCAAGCGCAGTCGGTGCGATTCATATATCGCATCACCGACTGCCGATGATGCAAACTCATCCCCAGAACGCATGGGCTGGGGACAAACAGTGATGAACGCAGTGGGAAAAGTCTTGGATTTCTGTTGGTCTGGGGCGTTCAAAGGCTTCCACGCCGGCGGTGGACCGGGATATGACTTGCAGGCTGGGTCCCCAGTACACGTACAGTTCAACTCAAATTGTTCGGTACTCGACCCTGTGGAGAAAGACCCGATCTTCCATAGCCCTATCCCGGGTCAGTACCCCGTTGAGGATAAGGATATCGATCGGAGCTGGGTGGTTGTCCCCACCGAACCTACCGACATGTTTGTAGGCCCTGCCTCTCCTGCCAGTCCGTCAATTCGAGCTCGCCGCATGCATCAAGCGTCTAGTCCACGTCGTCGACCGGCAATGCCACGTTTGGGCAAGAGAGCTTCCCTGTTATCCACACCTTCCCGAAGCCCCGGGCTGAAAGAGACTCCAGGATCAGCGGAGATGGCAAAATATGCAGCTCGGATACGCCGTCGGGAACGGGAAGAAGATGCGAGTATTCAGCGATTGAACAAACAATTGCAGGCCATGATTCGCCAAGGCAAAGAGGCCCTGGGTACGACTGTGGAAGTGGATGACCTGGATATGGATATTGAATTTGACTCGTCATGATTAGCTCGCACTTTGGCTCTTAATAATCGTTCTTTTTGTTTTCTCGCTTCTGAGCTTGAATTTTGCTTCGTTGAATGATTCGATACCCCGATGCACCGGTTAAGTTTGGAATGATCCATCCGGCGCTGAATGATTTATGATCTCGGTGCTTGTTTTTTTATTTTTATTTTATCTCAGATCGCACATGCAATGTTGCATTCGCAGAATACCGTCTAGCAAGGCCATTCGCTCAAAATGTCATTAATGAATTAGCCTTTTAAGATGCTCATGTCCTTTGCTAGAACTACTGATATCCGAAGTCAGCACCGTGTATGAACTTCCTACACTTCATGGCTGCCCAGATGATATGGTAACGGAGGTAAAAAAGAGAAAAAAATATCGGGTGTACACTGGTATTCACGGAAGGTGTGTTGGATAAAAATCCCACGAGGAAGCCAGATATCAAATAAGACTTCAGGCATGGGCGCATAGAAATTAAATAAATGCATGTCAAATTGAACTGCAGCTGCATACTAGCACTAAAATAATAATGAAATAATAATAAAAAAAAATCTCACTTTCTGAAAAAGTACAAAGGACCAAAACCCCGCGTTGCCAACCTCTGCCTCACTTCCAAAGAATTATCAAGTAAGAATAGCATCAGCCGTGTTAGCAGCAAGATTAGCATTGAAACCATCAGTATCAACATCCCCAGGGAGAGCACGAGCAGCAACAGGAGCAACAAAAGGAGCAGCAGAAGGAGCAACGGAAGGAGCAGCAGATGGAGCAGCAGATGGAGCAGCAGATGGAGCGGCAGATGGAGCAGGAGCAGGTGAAAGCATCTCGTGCAATTTGCCCAGGATACCACCGCTCATCAAAACAGACGGTAGATCAGCACCCTCGATAGGAGCTTCACGGCGTTCCTTCATCTATAAATCCATCAACAGGTGAACCATAGATCCAAGCAGGAATTTAACTCACAGGAAGCAGACCAAGTCCATGGCCAGAAGTGGGTGCAAAGAGGGAACCTAGGCCCTCAGGGCCGGTAAGCGCAGCCATAAGACCGTTGGATTTATTATTGTCTTTCTTGGCGTCCTTGTCACCAGAGGTTTCGCTAGGGCTTGGGACACTGCCAGCCTTAGTAGGGCTCTCAGGCTTAGGCGGGAGTTCCAGATCACGACGGATCATGTCATTGAGAGTAGTGGGATCTTCAGTGGGATCTTCAGTGCGCTCTTGAGTCATACCATCGCCTGCGTCGATCTTATGGCTCTATTTTTTGTAAGAAATTATCATTTGACTGACGGCAAAAAGTTCCTACCTTGCCTCCTAGCAAACCACCCACGAAGGGCACGGTGCTCAAGTGATCTTGAGCGTCGGCGAGCTTTTCAGTGACGTCTTTACTATCAAAGTCCCGCTTGTGGTTTTGGGCGTAGTTTTGACCGGCATTCTGTCCAGCATTTTGGCCGCCGTTTTGCCCGTAGTTCTGTCCGTAGTTTTGCTTCTGCTACTTGTCAGGCTTTTCCAATCAAGTCTTTACTCAAGGGCAGACCTACGTGGCTGAAGTATTGGCTGGTGTGGGATCGAGCTTCATGTTGCTTGCCGCCTGTGTTTGTGGGGTGAGCTTGGTCCTGATATTCTTGTTAGGATCTATGTTCAGGAAGATATTAATGCCGAAAACATACGCCGCCAAACAGTTCACCCAGCAAGGGCAAATTGCTCAAATCTCCAGTCAATGAACGCTTAGTCACACCACGAGCCTCCTTCTTGCCCTGCATGAAGAAATTAGATCAGTTGCCGAGTATTCAGCAAAACCCAATGTATATACTCACTTTAGTCTCGAAGAGTCCACCAATGAGAGGAATGTTTTTTCCAAGATAGCTGTACAGAGAGCGTTCAGTCACATCACGCTTCGACTCCTTGCTCTGTGCGATGTTAGACTACTTATCCAATACCCAGCACTCATCTGAGAGATCACTTACTTTGCTTCGAAGGAGGTCATCAACGAGAGGAAGTTCATCAACAATAGGCATGTCTCCTGTGAGAGGAAGGTTGTCGATGACATTATGGCTCTTAGTATCCTTGATCTCACGTGGAACGATCTTTCCAAGAAGGCCTTCTACGGCACCTTCCACTGCACCATCGATAGCACCATGGGCCTCACCGGCGCCAAGCAAGTTACCAGTACCACCACGGCGCACATGCTCCTTGCCAAGAGGAGCCGCCAGACTCACGGCGGTAAAGAGCACAAGAGCATAAGTAGTCTTGACCATCTTGTCAAACTGATTCACCAGTAAAAGAGAGTAAGGTTCGACAAAGGAACAGGTGCAACAGACAAGGGAGGGATAGAAACGAGAGCGAAGGAATGCAAACCCTCCAAGAACCTTGGCTTATCCCCTGTCTTTATACTCCTGGCCTTCTTTTGTCGCATTCTGGGATTGTCGGGAAGGGATAGAGGCTGGTGGACTCCTTGGTCGATCTGTTGATACTCACCCTGGAATGCTAATCTTAAACCATTGGTGCTCGGAGTGCATGGTTTGGCCCCTTTGTATGACTGGAATGCTCTGAAGCTTCGAGGTCGGCTGGAGAAATAATACGGAGGATATTGATCTATTAGGTTGGAGGATGGATGCAAGGGATGTTGCTGGTCGTGGTGATGATGTGTGCCTCTCCACCATGTTTAATTCAGGTTTCTTATTGATCCTTACATGGGTGTCTCGATGTTAGCACTAACTATGAAACTATTTGACTCGTTGCTGAGTACATCCATTCCACGCTCATTTTCATTGATTTGTCTCTCCAGCGGTCAAGGCTTAGTATGTCTCTAGGGCTGGCCTCTTGTAATCTGTTTCCCAATATTTCGAAACTTTTTGATGATGTGATGGATTTGCGGGTGCAAAAGCTGATCAATACCTGACTTGACTCATTATGTTTGCATAAATCTAAGAAGAAAAATTCAAGTGAGATGTTGCGCTTTGTGGTCTTACTGATATCCAGATTATCAGTGTGCTATAGGAATAATTACTCATCAATCGGCCGGCTGGCCTAGTGGTAAGGCGTACGTTTCCGGTGCGTAAGATCGCAGGTTCGAGCCCTGCGTCGGTCGAATTGAATTTTTGCTCTTTGATCTCTTAAATCTCTACAGAGTAGATTGGTATGAACATCAATCCAGGGAGCAATTATGTTCTTGTATATGAAGAAACTACTTTGAAGTTATCTTGAACAGTTTGCAATCATTCCGTTCCCAATGACCTTGATATCTGTCGGTATCTAGTCACTAAAGATTCAACAATAGAAACGGTATTCTCGGTATTGAATGTGTAAAATTCGGAACACCTTTTAGCCGGTATTGCCCGCAATAGTCGGACATTGGAAGAAACTACGCTACTTAATTCTTAGGTATTTTTATTTTACGAAGCATAAATACTCATTCTTAGATGCCCATACTTGCTTGGTCTAGCAACCCAAACCCGGAGGAAAAAAAGTCAATTGTACAACTAACTATATATGATCCAAAAATATAAAAAGCAAAAATTTCGACCGACGCAGGGCTCGAACCTGCGATCTTACGCACCGGAAACGTACGCCTTACCACTAGGCCAGCCGGCCGACTGATTTGATGGTCTGGCCACTTTTGACAATATGAACCATTTCTAGTTGATCATGAATTTGGTCTGAAGTAGGTTGTTGGGGATATCTAATTTTCTTTTTTGTTATTTTTAGATGAGATCTCGAGTCCAGGGAGCGACATCGAGAGTATTATAGTTCAACCCGATATAATATATACAACTTCGATTCAAAAAAGCCGTGTCTAGGTAAACCGCTATACCTCCGTAGGGAAATACTAGTAATTTCTCAAAGAGGAATACTTAGGTATGCATCGAGCTGCGATACAAACGAGCCGAGTTCCTCGCAGAATGAACATCCCAATTGAAAATGACTTTGATCTGACCATTAGCCAGCTCAGATAATTTCTTCGCCATAGGAAGATGAGACAGTTGTATCTCAGAATCACTCTGCATATCCCATATGGTTGCCTCCTGCTTCCAGAAGTTGCCTGGAATGATTTCGGAGCCGTGCTCATCTGCCATGGATGGAGAGATCGTTTCTCTGAAAACTTTTTGGATCGTTGTAGATAACGTGGGTAGACAGGCGATTATTATAACCACCAGGAGCACGATGCTCGAAAATAGGGATTTCAGTGCTGTGTTGTAGGTTGACTCTGACTGGGAGAGATATAGATCTAGATTTAGATCGAGCTTGAGTCGGAGTGTGATTATGGCAATAATTCTTCGGACATATTAGTGCTGTATTTGGGGGTAGATCCTAGGGCTTGTAGACTCACCCGAGACCGAGGATGTACATCACTCCCAATCCAAATTTTCTAATCCATGAAAGCCTCATATTGTACAAGGTCGGTATCGGGAGTAGGAGAATGCATCCGTCAAGAACAATCTCGCTGATGTTCGAGCCCAGATGTACTATTTGGCGATTCTTACGATTGACATTTGCGTCGGTTGTAGTTCCTTTTGGTACGCAAATAATCGCGGTTGCAATCAACCTTGCAAACCATACAGCCAGACACAGCGCCATCAAACCATATGTCAGCCCTTTGATACCACGCTGTTGGAATTTGAAAAGAAGGTAGTGTAGAATTGACAGCTGGACCAAAGTAACGATTGTGATATACATCAGATCGCCCGCATATATAAGCTGATGTGGTGTTAAATTATAACTAGGTATATTCGCATGCAAGGGCTATGGGGACGGAATGTGCGCAATGCTCACCTTGCTGAGTTGTACAACAGCCTGTGCTCCTCCAATTTGAGCCACCGCCGCTGCAGGTAGACCCATCCCGTACAGGAGGATCATAGTGAGCTCTAGAGCGTAGCGGCCAACCATTAAAGTCTAGCCTTCGGCATTAGTAAACTGGAGCTGTGTATCAAACTGGATATCAAATATCAAATATCAACAGTCCAGGTCTCTTACTATTGCTGCTATAATCATCCAGTCGCTTCCCTGCCATCTCCCTTCAAAATACCGAGACCATAGTCTTAGTCCCACAGCGAAAGAACAGATCGCTAACAAAATCGTTACAACAGCGATATCAACCTCTCCAAGCCTGTTTCGGCTAAGGGTGTGGACGAAGGTCGCCATAGGCTGTATGGGGCTGGTCTTCCAGAGTCAATAGGACTGGGCACCGTGAGAAGTGGGATCTCACCAACATCATATACTCTACCAAGTGTCTAGCTAGCTCAACACAGACTATGCTGTTGAGACCGGGGCATTTAAAGCTAGTGCTGCAGGGCTTTGGCTCGGCGTAAGAGGATGAACATGGAATACGATAGCGCTAAAATAGTAACAATGCGGTGTAGGACTCTCGAAGAAATGAGTCTGAGTGATTTAATTCCAGCCCATAAGTACAAGAATGGGTCAAAGAGTCAGGAATGGCTGTCCATAGTCCATAGTCTCCCAGAGGCCGGCGCTGAGCATCGGCCTCTTAGGCTGAAACGGCGACTCCACTACACTATATTTCAGACGTTTCATTAGAATGGCACCGCTGTCTAGTAGGCTATTATCGAAGAGATCCTGAACTGGTTGGGCAGCGATGGAGATTTGTTTTGGAATTTGATAGCTTTCAATATACCGTCCATGTGTTGCAGATTCATCCCTGTAACGGCAATTTACGGAGTACCTAGATACCTACGTCGTAGGTAGGATAGCTTAGGGCGCTTGATTTTATTGTTCAAATATGATACAATTACATAATACCCTTGTCTGTCGCAAAAATCAAACAATATGCTGACAAGCTAATCCTCGTGATTTTTCCAATAGGCGCTGCTAGCGATGCGTCGTATTTGCCGGTCGAATTAAGGGTATTCTACCTAGGTATCTCTATCAACCACCTCGATGAGTTCCATTGGTGAAGTATGTCATGTCCACCGCTAGCAGATGTTTACTGATTCGACCTGAAACAACTCAACTCAGATACTTCACAACATTTCTTTAGTTGTCGGAAAGGAGTATCTTTGAGTAAAGTCCAACAGGGCACAGGCAAAGCCTGGTGGGGATACTAGTAGTCTAACTAACCTTGGAAGGATCCCTTATCATCATTGTAGCAGGGTGGATGCTCCATTCTAGTGGCTCAGTATGTGTATATCTCTCAGATTATATTGAATTCTGACACATTTCGGTCATCAAGCTCATTATCAAGTCCTGAAGACTTTCATTTTTTTTTCTACTCACACAACAAATCCATTTCAATACAAAGCCTATATGGTTTGAAAGTAATCGCTGATTGTGAAATCAAGTGCTTTTCTTCTGAGCCTCACGCTCAGCCTTTCGCAAAGCACGCTTACGGATAGATTCGTGCATAGACTTGTTTTGCGAGAGAACGGTCTTGTTCATGGTGCCAATGGAAGTAAGGAACCAAGCCATAAGGCCGTGAGACCAGTATGGCGAGGAGCTGTAGGCGTACGTAGATGAGCCACCGTGGCGACCGATCTTGGACAGCACGGATCGAACAAAGGCACGAGGAGTCGGGATAGAGGCGGAGGCACGACGGACCTTAGACATGGCAGAGGTAATCAGATAAGCCTGAACGAGCTCAACCTCAATGCCGTGGGGTGCCAGCTCAGCGCCCAGGGCAGTAGACCACTGCTGGAGGAAGGCCTTGCTACCGGAGTAGGTAGCTAGAAGCGGAGTAGGAAGCAGACCACCGAAAGAGCCCATTGTGAGTACTAGGCCGCGGTGGCGCTGGATCATACCGGGGACTACGAGTTGGGTAACGCGCAGAGTTCCAGTGCAGTTGATGGTGATGATGTCCGCGACCTCGGAGGCGGGGGTCTGAGCGAATGGAACGGGGATGGAGTGGCTCTGTCCAACGTTGTTGACTAGGATAGAGACGTCCAACTCGGAGACGAGCTTGTTCAGCGCAGCGTAGTCCTCGTCCGCGTTGCGCGAAAAGTCCATAGCCAGGATCTTGGTCTGCACATTAGGGGATTTCTTGGTGATTTCCTCCGCGAGGGTGACCAGTTTCGATTCGGTCCGTGAGACGAGCACGATGTTAAACTTGGCCCGCGCTAACTGGAGCGCGAACTCCTTGCCGAGACCATCGGAGGCACCGGTCACCACAGCCCAGCTACCAGGGGGGCCAAAGGATTGGAGCTATATAGAAAACATGATCAATCTCAGAATTCATTATAATCTCGAAGTATGAAGGAATTCTTACCGGTTTACCCGGAAGCACGAATAGGCTGAGAAGAACCCGCACAAATGTCCAGACCTTACAGGTGACAAAGAGACCACCAGTTGCAAGCAGTAACAACGCACCAATGGTGGGCAATCCCGGGGCCAGGTGGGATGGCCATTTAGAGAGACATTCAATATGCTTTGAGATATCCATGGCGTGGGTGGGGTGAAGTGTTGTGGGAAGCTAGGAAAAAAAGATGTAGATTGTTGAGGTCGATCACCGCCAAGAATCCCCTATTACAACAACCCTACTACTCAATTCATCCAAGAAAGCTCAATCATAAATACCAGGTTACACAAACTTGGATCATTGCATGACTTGAATCATATTGATCTTTTATATTGAATCAAAAGACCTTGTAAAATATACATATCGATGGATATTTTGGGATTGTACCAGGGTAATTAGCTATGGTACTCTTCAGATGAGCTGGTCTAATGCGATATCACAACTCGAGGAGACCTTGCATATGAGCGTACCTAGGTATGCTGCAGTAGGAAACATCATGTAAATCATTAAACCCCCAGTAAAGAACATCTAGACCCTGTAAAACAGCTTATATGAACCCATTCAGTACCTGCTACACACTTTCACAAGTAACCTTGGAATTAATTGGCGGAGTCTCGCATTGTCCAAATCCCGAAATATAGATACCCGAACTATACCTAGGTGGATAGAGCTTACTTGTATACCCAAATAGTTGCCCAAGTAATTGTTTTTCCTTGTGGTACAATTCCAAGGCTAGGATATAGGTACCCAAGCTAAATAGTATAAACTGGAGTGTGTATACATCATCGGGTGCAAACGGCGGGAAGGATCGGCGATAAGCGGGAACATATCCCATGTAAACCTCCTAATATATGGGGAATCCATAGAACATAACCAGATGAGGAAATAAACAGATTCCGAAAAGATCATGAGGCAGAAATGCCGACTCTGAGTCGTACAACATGTGACGTCACTAATCAGGCAATCAGATCTATTGGTCTAAAGCCTATAGAGTCGAGACCATTCCATATCTTTGATAACATCTTATATTCCTCCCTTTTCCCCCTCTCATTCTGATTAACTGTATGTCAAAAACTGAAGCACATTCACCTTTATGGTATCCACATACTGCAACTGCTACGGGGTGAGTCCCATCACGATAAGTACATTGCCTAACGAAGTAAGAGAAATGGCCCCCATCGATTCCAGAACTAGTTCTAATTTCGTATCTAGATTTTGGCCTATATTCTTGGAGAGCTTCCAACAAAGTCATTGCTCTCTCTAGTATCAGTGTCACACCACTTCTTAGCCAATGTTTCTCAGATATTACAAACTCGTCTACGGGCGATTACAAAAAAGGATACCCGGCTTGTCTTGCGCTGGTTTGCACCAATGCATGCGTTTATTGACCCGGTATACTTCTGTGAATACATCAGCACGGTTAATTCCCATTCCAGTCAGAATCACACCATCACAAAAGAACACTCAGACAGGTTGACAGGCTCTTATTCACACTTCCGGATCCAGTCCTCTTCTGACGGCTTCGTCTCTCCATCAGGTGGGAGGTTTTCGTGGAGGGATGTGGTCGGATTTCTACAGGCTGACTTCTCAGGTGTTCTCAAACCAACTGGGAAAGAGGAAGAGAGTGAGCCTGTCATTCTGGAGTGGTTTGAATACTTCTGTCAATTCTGTGTCAAACTGGACATGGTAGGAGTGCGGATGCCAGATAAATTCTCGTCTGTGTGCGAGAGACTGGAGGACCTTGTTGTCCGCCTTCCGAGAGTATGGCTTCGCGAGCAGTCCGAAAGGTTGAGCTCCACAGTCGAGCCACCTGTGATTGAAAAGGACGACCAAATCGTGTGGATTGACAACCAAAAAACATTAGGGCTAAAGATCAGGGTAGAGAAGATATCAGTTGAAGAGAATCTTCCTGCCCATTTTTCAAATGGAGAGGATCGTCTAGAGGCATTTACTGTTCATCTTGAAGGTAAGAGATTCTATCTTTTATGAAAAAGGGCTTGCAACTGACTAGAATGTTAGAACTCATTCTTCAAACAACCCGCTTCCTAGCAGCAGCTGAAGTGGTAGATGATCCACGTCGACAAAATACGAAGAGTGCTTTTATCTTCAAAACTTTTCATTAATGAATGAAGCATCAAATAATAATTATGGGCGGATTTATCATTTCGGTTGGAGTTCAAATGTACAACACACGGAGCATGATACTATCTTCAAATGGGCTTGTGGGTCATTAGATAAAGAATTAATATTGAACATTCTGATCCTTTGGTATGCTTGTCTCGTCCGGAAAGGCCGCTACCATGGCATGGGTGGAACGCTAACCCTAACCGACTACCAACGTCAAAATTGCTTATCAGGCACTCACAGGCGGAATATCATATATGTTACAGACGAAAAGAAAATACTCATGACCTATGCAGCATTGAATTGTCAATTTTTATTTTCTCAGCTTGGAGCTAATAGGCCATAATGCAGAGGAGAACATGGTTGCCGATAAGAGGAAGGGAATCTGCGAACGCTTTGACGTGGTGAAGCAATTCGTATCCTGAATCCAAGGGCTTTTATCCGATGGGATTGCTAAATGACTGGTCGCGTTGTTGGTTTATGGATTCGTGGTAAATAGCGACTGGATACAAGAGGCTCCCAAGCGCCATCCTCCCGGCGTCCGGGCTTTGCACGTGATAATCAAGTCTCTCCCAATAACAAGTGATTGCGCCATCATCGGCTTTTAGGTCCGGGCCTAATTTTGCTAACAATAGTTGCCAGAAGAAATACTTGGGCACCTCAAGTGGGGGCGTTAAAATTCCGCAAGGTGTCAGATTCATTGCTATCCGAGCCCCAAGCGACCTCAGCCTCAGCCATATTAACTTACGCCTTTTCTTCATTTCGTCATTTTGTTCAAGTGGTTGCCAGTCTCGCCCGTGCCCCCTGGTGACGCGTTCATGCGCTTGCACTGTCGCATAAACTTTGATGTGTCAAGAAAGAGGATATAAGACTTTTCGGCATGTAAAACGAAGAATCAAAGATCGAAGTGGATTATATGGCCCACATCTCGATCATGCTAGCCTATAAAGCCCAGCCAGCGGGCTCTATCATATTTATTTCTCACTTCACTTCAAAGGTTCGCATTTTACTTTCACCTCGAAACTCGAAACTCCAAGTATAATCACCCTAGATAATGCCCAACTGAGAACGGATTCAAGGAGAGAGCTTCATTCACTGATGGGTATGGAATACAAGACCCACTTGATTATTGCAGGACCCAGGTGCAGGCCTTTATTCCTGGTACGATGACTATTATGAGACCTATATTGATACCCAAAGTTGTTAATAACGAATGATCTTGGACTAGGGCGAGAATTCAGGCCTCTATCTGTGGAATCCAATTACTTTGAGGATCAGTACAACGTTCAATATCACAAATGAACGTTGGAATGTGTTGTATTGAGTGTCATGAGTGAATGCAAGTGTTTCATCTTTTAAGTCAAAGACCTTTCTATCTTCAATAGCACTAAGTTACCCTTATGATACCACTGTCCCCTCGAAGTAGCATATTCCTAGTGCAGAGCCAACAGAAACATTTGAAATATACTCCTACATCCCACCATTCAAGCTTGGCTGAGGGCGGTGTATATGAGTTGGTTTTAATCTCCAAGCAATCACGAACACGAGCCATATTGAGCATCGCAGTTTGCGCTGGAACAGTAGTCCGACGAGCTCCCACAATAGCCGTAGTTACTACAGCAATCGCCAAACTGAGACCCCAAACAAGTCCAGCCGGAACTAGATACGCCATAAAGACCATTTTCTGAGATGGTACTACTTGGCGAGGTTACAGCTGTGGTAGTGGAAGTTGTGGTAGTGGAAATCGCAGTGGTGGCCGTAGGCGATGCGTGGGGGCTAGCCGTTTGGCTAGAGGTAAACATCGTTGAGCTTCCCACACTTGAGTCATCGGTCAGTGTGATGCTGAAATTGAAGCCAACAGTCGGGAAGGTGCCGTTGGTGGGCAGATAGCAGACGCGCTCGTATTCACTCATCCAGGCTTGATATTCATACATCTCGTCTGTCAGATCGTCCTCAGTGATGTTGTACACTAAGTTGACCTGGTCGCAGAGTGTGTAGGATGCAAGGGATGCGAGGTATGCAGAGTCAGGCGTCCAAGTCGAGGTAGTGGTCAGGTCAGAAGGGAATGACCAGAACAGTTATGTGGTACTATGGTTGGCTGTACGGGTAGCATTAGCATTAATGGTGCTAGCGAGAGTGGTGCGAGTCCTGGTAGTGTTCGATATGTAGCCTGTATAGGTATTGATGTTACCCACGGCTTATACACACTATGAGTGTGGATAGGTTAGTCTGATAGAAACAGTGTGTCTTTGTTATCAAATGAGAAGGAGACGTACGTAACTATTCCCTTTCCACAGGCTGCCACAGCTTGAAGTTGTATTTAGTGCAGCCTGGGGGTTCAAGAAATCGAAATCATACTGCGAGGTGCTAAACTTGCTGCATACAGATTCACAGGTATCACTAGCTTGGATCTGATACTAGTGGCCATAGTCGGTGTTTGAGCTAGTAACCGCGTCTGTAGGAACAGAGCTATACATTTAATTAGCATTTTCATCTTCCGGGATATATAAGAGGAAAAAGGAAAGCGGAAAACATATATAGCTGTGGTTGCGGGCTTCAGAGCCAGGGTATCGGGAAGTGTGAGAGTACCTGGAGGACTGGCATAGATGTACTTCCCCGTAATGGCAGTCAGATTCTCCGAGCTTTGCACTGAGTTAAGATTGGCATTCCATGCAACAAATTGAGGTACGGAGACTTGACGGGATAGGCTATCAACGATTTTATCGATGGTATCCGTCTCCTGAACGCGATGGATTTCACAAACATCGGGAAGGCAAATTTCCGCCCCAGCCACTATGTGTGTACATCCTATATCAAGGCTGTTCAAGTTAATCAAGGCTGAGGTGGATACATTTTGAGCTGCTGAGATAGAAACACAGGTATCTCCGGATTCAACCTTATAAACAGTCTGGTCGGGGTTAGTCGTGTTGCAGCGACTAGCGGTAACGGTGGCTGAGGCGGAGACTATTGAAGAGGCAGTAGAGGTCGGGGTATAAGTCGCAGAGTATCCGCTGGTCGAGCAAGAAGATACTTGACTCTCTAGGGCCGAAGGACTGAGCAAAATATCCTGACCCCACTTGGAGTTCACTATAGTTGACATGTAGTTCAAATAGCATGCGCTACATTTTACGTTTGTTGTGCCGTTCGCAATTGCATTCTAGATTAGAGTGTTACAATAGGTGTCCGAAGGCGAATCAGTTAAGCAGGTTGCATCATAACGCCATTGCATTCTTTTCCTCTATCCGAGGCAGTTTGCGAGATGCCAGAAATGTTGTACTGAGTACTTATGCCGCAGGCTTCATTCACAGAGGAGAAATCAGTGGTGCAAATTTCTGAAAGTGCACTGGCTGACCATGATGTCGTCTAGGTGACTGCCTGGCTCAAGCCCGCATAGCACGAAACACTGCCGACCATGGCATTGACATATGCTTCTGAGGCTGAGATATCAGCCAGACTATCAGATATGTAGATGTAGAGAGTATCTGCATTTCCCTAAGCACTGGTATATTGAGCCTGTAGCGTCAGAACTACTACCAATGTAGTCGATGTCCTCCAAAAGACCATTTTTTATGGCCGGAGGAGATTTTTCCACAGTGAACCTGTTCCTGTAGACACGAGACGCAGACAAGGATACGAAAGGAGAGACTAATACCTGCGTGAATTAATGGTTCAGGCAGTTTCTAACTTGCTCAAGGAAGCTCGAGACCTTCGTATTGACTAGCTCGTATCAATGGATATATCAAATATGAGATATAGGTCGACTTTCTATGCTATGAGATGTTTCAATATGTTTCAGTTTCTCGTAAGCGAGGGGAAAACGTTATCATAATTAATTGAATACTAAATATACCATGTGGAACAGTGGATCTAGCTTTACAATAAGAGTGCTGAAGCAAGCCCCACTCAGACCCATACAGAGACAAATATTTTCCGATGGTTACCTCCTGGTCATATCTTGGCTTAGTGGCTTCCAGATCAGGCCCAGTGTCAATTCTGGATGGTAATTGATATCGAAATGGCAGGATATTGAAATTGAAAAGGGAGCTTGAAACAAGAACAGGTTCTGGCACTGCAAGACATCCAGCTGAAATTTGAAAGACCTACTCCGCTAGAGAATTATTTTGAAGCTAGTTCAGGGCATATTGAGATTACCCGAAGGGTAGGAAAGCACCGGAACTAAACGAACAACTGGCTGTAGGGGATTGTGATCGTATACATGCCATGCTACAGGCGAAGAAGGATCAGGAGCGTATGCTTGCTGAAGCTCGTGGCGAGGTGGATAGGCTGAAGGAGACCTAAACATATTCCCTCTTGGATTCAATTATCTTCACCGTGAAATGGGAATCCCTTGTAGCATAGCATCTTCTCTTTTTTCTTTACGACTGTATATCTGAATATTTATTAAAATCGTTCATAGATGTGCACATTCCTCCAAGTATCTTGTCAGGTCTTTACTTTGCAGAACACGCGACTTTATTCTTCTATAATCTTTAGAGGGCCTCCATCATCTGCAAGTATCCTTTCCAAATCATATCCAATCGCCAAGCCATTGCCTGCTTCTGCCTCACGAAAGCCTGGCGCATACTGATCCAGTTGCTGGCTATCTCCTGGATAAATTTCCACGAATGGCCGTCGCATATCAACCCTATAAGCTATTAGTACAATCATTAGACACTAAATATTGAACTCACGGCTCATCTTCCAAGATATGCTCTGGGTCTGAATCCTCCTGGTAATCTTCCATGTATACCAACACGGAGTCTAGCGGGGTCATATTAGGATAAGCATCAAGAAAAAGGCCAGGAAACTCCTCTATAACCATTTGAACCCGCCAAGCCCTCTCCCTAGTCCCATTATTCTGGAATTGAACCCAAAGACATAATCCAGTCTCAAGAGTGCGGTCGTCAATAATAAGTTTAGGCTCGCACTCTGAGAATAGTATAGTTCCATCTACCGTCATATAAATATCTAGAAAATCGGGCCGGGCGACACTTTGGCGGAATTTGAATATTTCGAGGATATCGCCTTGGTTGTCTTCCATAGGGAAATACATCGACATTTGATAGGCTAGATATTCATATCCGCCATCCCATCCGAATAGTGTTATAAGACACTTCGCGAGCAGAGCTTGTGTCTCTGGGGCCCATTGTATGATACAGATATGGACTGGATCAATTCTGGTATCAGAAAGTCCAATAAGACATGAGTCCTAGTACTGATTAGAACCTTGGAATCATTTCAAATAATAGACCTTAGGAGGGATATTCATACATCTTCGGGGTTTTCAAAGACACGTTCATCCTCTGGTGCTCGGGATTCATAGCTCTATCTTAGTGTTAGTAGATATATCCATCACTTGAACATTTGAGAAATTACACATCACGGAATTTCTGGTCTGCTGTTGCCCATCGCTCGATCAAAGCTCGCCTCTGTTCATTCACAGCGGCGCCGTCGACCCACTGCTCACGGACAAAGAATCTCCATGCACGAGAGGCAGTAGCCATATCTTCCACAGGTTCTCCGCGTCGGCAAATATAGAAGGGGATGCCTCCAGGCCAATGATTGTGCCATTTTCTTAAGGTCATGTTTCTGGGAAAGAAGGGAACGGGAGCACTTGAGGGGGGTCTTATAGGACCAATTCCTAAATTTACTAATACCTTTACTAATACCAATTGGTCCCTTGATCTGGGCTCCACTCAGCGAGATCTATGGTCGCCGACATATCTTTACTATCAGCTTCGCATTCCTGACTTCTTTTAATGCCGGCGCTGCGGGCGCGCAGAATATTCAGACGTTGATTATACTACGCTTCCTGGCTGGATGCTTTGGCCCGTCACCCTTTGGGAATGCAGGCGGCACTATTGCCGACATGTTCCCCGCCTCTCAGCGCGGCATCGCAATGAGCCTTTTCGCTGCTGCCCAATTTCTCGGTCCGACTATTGGCCCTGTCATTGGGGGGTTTCTTACTTCGGGCGCCGGCTGGCGCTGGGTGGAAGGTCTTCTTGCTGCTCTCTCTGGTGTACTCTGGCTATGCATAATCTTATTACTTCCAGAGACATACTCTCCTGTTTTTCTTCGTCGATGTGCACAAAAGCTCTCGCAGATGACTGAGATGGTGTATAGCAGCAAACTTGATATCGACCGCGGCCCAACCTCTTTAGGCACTACTCTCAAAACAGCCCTCTCACGACCATGGACTTTACTGTTTCGAGAACCAATTGTGCTATTATTATCTATCTATATGTCTATAATATACGGTAGTCTGTATATGATGTTTGCTGCATTCCCGATCGTGTTTCAAGAAGTTCGTGGCTGGAACGAAGGCGTGGGCGGCCTAGCATTTTTGGGTGTTCTTGTAGGAATGGTCATTGCTGTCATATACATCTTCCCGGAGAATATGCGCTACGCAAAAAAAGTGCAGAGAAACTACGGATAGACTCCCACCGGAGGGAGCCCAAATCCGTCAGCGGTGTACTTTCGCCGCTGAAGCTGACGCGTTTATGCGCCGCCTCACGAAGGACCAGGCCAAGATTAGGCGGGAAGAAGTTGAGGAGAAGAGAGTGGAAAGGACTGCTTCTACTGAAGTTGCGGGTGATGAGCATGAATCTAGTGATAGCGAGAGTGTGCCTACTCTCCATTCGCATCGCATTATTGGAAGACTTTCCTCTCATGCATCTCGCCATTCGGGGCGATCGATACATCGAGTCGCTACTGCCACGCAGTATGAAGAGAATCCGTATGATTTGGATTTGGTCAATACCCGTCAGTCGGCTCTCAGTAGCCACCGAAAGGATTAAATAGATTCACCTACTGCCTTATAGAAATTAGATTTACATATCATGTGCACTAGGTATGATGTCTGATATTGACGCCTGTTGTTACCAAATGACTAATTCAGATCCTGGATGGATACACTTTCTATCTTATTCTTATTCTTAACCTCAGTTTTCAATGGACTGTCAATGATTGCATGTGATTTTTCAAAGAATTCCAATATCGCCTAGGTAGTGAAATAACAGATTCGTTGATCACGCATCACAGCCGAGGCCGACACAAGCCTCGGCTCAAACCATCTTGGTTCAACCTAAAATTTACCAACTCCATCCACTTAGTATCACTTAATCGCAACAATTTTTCTAGTAGTCATCTAACTATTCGTCATGGTTGGAAAAATAGACGCCTACATCGATTGTGGTATGATTCCCTCCTAGGATCTGGCCCTATATCTAGGTCGCGTGTTAATGAGGGCCAGTTTCCCCGTATTCATACTACGCGACGTTATACCTAAGACGCAATCGCAGAGCACTAGATTCATATGGAGTTGAAATCGAGTAAGTTCTTAGAAACCAACCACTAGACATCTACTGACAGCATGGAGATTCCATCCCGTTTTCTTAGGCGGTATCAATGTTGGATCAGGTATGTCAAATCCATACCACCTGTACGAGCTCTTCTCATGGATCAAAAACTAATGGTAGTTTTAGATAATAAACCTCCATGGACACTCCCAGCCAAAGCTGCATATTCCAAATTTGACATGCAGCGAGCGTGTACATACTTCGGCGTGCCGCCGATCAAAATACCGGAATTCTTTCCGATCCTTTCGATAATGGTATGCCATGAGTTTAATCCTAATATAATCTGGTACTCATACTTCAATTTACAGCCGCAGCGATGTATGATCTATATCAAGCGACATTATCCACGTGAGAGGTTCGAAACAACCTTCATCTCATTGTGGGAGGGGATGTATCACAAGAACATTGACATTAGCAAGCTGGAGAAGCTAGTAGACCTGCTCAAGATACAAGAGTACTCCGATCAGGAAGTCAAAGAAATCCTGGCTGCTGTATCTAATCCTGAGTATAAGCAGGCGCTGATTGATAATACTCAGAAAGCGCTGGACCTAGGCGCGTATGGTGCGCCGTGGTTCTGGGTGCGGAATGAGAAGGGGAACGAGGAGCCTTTCTTTGGAAGTGACCGGTGAGTAATTATTGTGTCTTTTTTCTCTGTTGATTTGAGGGCTGGTTCTGATAAAATGTAGTTTTGCGTTTATGTGGCAGTACTTGGGAGTGCCGTACCATGATATAGCTATCACTGAGAAGGCGCGATTGTAGTAATGTAATTTGACTTGCCTCGAAGTAATGACCGTCAAGTTTTCAGAGATGTCTGAGATGACAGATGGCAAAGATAGAAAGAGGGCTAGTTAATGATAAAATAGGCTAGTTAAGACGTTTAACAGGCAGAGCAATTCTTGGGGGCATTATAAGAGGACGTTCTGGGAGCAATTTCACAATCTCGCGAAGATCATCGAGAAGGATTCTCATGATCTATCAGTCTCTTGGTACCAAATATAGTATTGGACCCCTGCTTCAAAGATAAAAATATCAGGAGGGGTGTACCTGGAGTGGGAAGGCCGAATTCCTGAAGGAGTCCCTGGCCCGCCGAATCGAGGCCATCCCAGTCCTCAACCAAGGAAGTGTTGGGGAAATTCTTTGGCGTACTCTATTTTGGGGGGGAGCTCAAGCTAGAAAAACATAATAGTAAGTTAACTTAGTTAATATAATGAAAGGGGTTCTCACTTCAGAAAGGGAAGGACGCTTGGTAATAATAGGGCGTTGGATGTCTTATAGGGCGTTGGATATCTTATATGGCGTTGGATGTCCTGAGGCCCAGCGAGAGACTTGGGATTATCTTTGGTAGTAGTAGTGCTAGGGATTGAGCTGGTCACTATGGAGATGGTAGCCATCATGGTGTTGATGTGGGAGAAAATGAGTCAACGTCATCCATAGTACAAGAACAAGGCATATAACTATCTTCAGGCACCAATCCACTGACTGAATTTACATCAGTACACGGAATCATTTCCCAAACTAAGTAGAAAAGATAAGTCGAAGATGCAGGACGTGCAAGACTTCATGGAGGAGGCAGCAAACCAGGCTGTCTTGAAACAAGGCATTTGGAAGGATGACCAAGATCATTTCCTATTCGCACGCCTAGAAAAACTAGGAAAAGCAACTAAAAAAATGCAGAGCGAGATGGAAAATCAAACAAAAACTTTGAGAATGAACTAGATAGAATTTCCATCTCATTCGCAGCTCCATGTTGGCCCGTGGAATTATGCAGTTCATCGACCCCGAGATGAACTTGCACACAGCTCGGTCCTCCATGAAATAAGTCCCTTATAGCACCCCTGCGCAGAAACTCTGAAAGTTGAGTGTCTACAAAAGACTAGGGAGATAATGGTATTGCTATGCATGATAGCATCTATCGGGTCCGAATTTTCCAGAGGTCCTTACAACATCTCAATCCAATATAAAATGAACGATATCAATGTTGTTAATCTCCGTTATGGGCACCAAGCTCACAAAGACTTCGATGAGTATGACAATGATATTCGTGTCAAGTAACAATTCCTTAAGAAATTGACAACTGAATGGACTTGAGTGTTCCTGAGCCTGTTCAATATTCTCCCAGGGTGAATTGGAAAACCCTTGAGCTACAAAGGTTTTCCAGAAAATGACAGTACTGTTTAGCTGGTCTATCTAGACACTCAATGCCCACTAACGTCAGCTATGTAGCTAAGACTCATGGAAACAAGCAGAAACAATGGCGCGGCGCGGAAGTCTAACTAGAACCTTGGATGAATATATACCAAGAAATGCTCAGGTGTTCAGGCTCACCTATGCACCTTACTAGACTCAATTCTCGTACCATCACTGCCATCATCCTCAAAGCTGTCGCAGGATCCTGACTATTCGTCTGCGACTGAGAATTAAGAGGTGCCATCACATTTCCTGGTAGTGTGACCCACGAGTCCCTTGAAGGTGACCTTCGGGATGACTCCAGCTCACTGTACGGCTTCAATCTCTCCAACGTTGTTTATGAAGATCAAGATATCCAATATTGCTATCGTTAACCCCATGATACTTGCATGGTCATCGCCGATGTACTCGTCGACATTGGCGGCTCGATGCTCTATCGTGCTAGATGTCTCTTCAAAATCTACCTAGCATATTCTGTAAAAGAAACCAACAGATAAACACGGCTTCAAAGTAATTAAAGCACGTGTAGACCTAGGCTACCAACATTGAACAGATTCAACGTGGTTCCAGGAATAGTATTAGCATAGGTACGAATAATATATGTGAATTGATATGTATTCTCATTGCAAAGGAAATATGATATGTAGACCTAAGTACCAACACCAACAGCACCAAGAACAACCTTCTGCACACCCCACCTAGCAATCTGCCCAGCAACAGCAACAGCCACAGAACGTAAATATCCACACCCGAGCAGAATATACAACGCTTCAATATTACTCAAAAGCGCAAGATGCGTATCCACAACGCCAAGAGAGATCAATGACGCCAGTAAATCAAACAGCCACGACAGATAGCTAGCCGACAAATAAGGTCGTAGCCAGGACTCTGGAGTTGCAAGCCAGACCTCACGGAACGAGGACAAAACTTCAGCTCCGTGGGTTGAAGGATAGCCCGCTTTCGACGAGCGGTATAGTCCCTGGGACATTCCTGCTATTTGCTCAATGCGGTTCCCGGATTGGTTATTTGCTGAGTTTCCCGTCCTGTCCGAGCCCCAGATGACCAGTAGGATGGGGAACATTTTCGCGCAACTGCTTACTAGCAGCGCGGTGCTGATGGCTGTTGGGCTCGCTGCTGTGGGTGGTGGGAGGGGCTGAATGTTCTGTAGTGGCGCTGTTGATGTGCGCTTGAGAGGGGGTATGGATCTTTGCGGCGGGGCTGTTGCGCTCTGTGAATTAGGCGATGGTTCACGTGGAGATGAGGCAGTAGCTATGACATCTGCAGATGAGCCCGGATTTGGGATGACTTTCATTTGCGGAGCACCTATATTCGTCTGTTGTCCAAGCAGTGAGTTTACGGGCTGGCATTGGGGTGATGGCCGACTGATTGGTGTGGAAGGCCCGGAGCGAAGGGGAGTTGTATCAGTCATGTTCGCGGTGGAGGTGACATTGCTGGTGGCTGGGGTTTCCGGTGCGCTGTAACGATGTGATTTCGGGACGAGGAACCGAGCAAGGAGACGGACAGTTAAGTGGTGCGCTAGAGTGGCCGCTGCGTTCAGCGTTAGGAAGAAGAGGTATTGCACGACGATTGGCGCGCGCGCGATGAAGGTAGTGGCGAGTGAAGGGTCTTTCTCGAGACGGGCCCAGGTTAAGTAGACATCGAAGAGGAGGAGAAGAATTCCCAGACGAATTATAGATCGCTGATCACCCCATCTTGTCAACTTTGCTTGTAGTTATGCGTGGGAGCGTTACATACGTCAAATCGATTATCGTCACGTCCGAGTCGATTGAATAGGAGGTGTCGGTAGACCTGTTAAGAGATGTATTAGCAGATAGTCTCCATGTGCAGTTCAGGGCGACTTACTTGGGGTTTTATAAGGACTAGGTCGATAAAGATCACCACGAAGTCATACTCGACATATTTGTCGGCGAAGCGTTGGCAGCGTGGACACTGCGTCAATCGCACGCCTTTACCCTGGGAACGGTCATCGGCGCGACTATAAGCGCTGTACAGGTGCGAGACCGGGTATGAACACTCGATGCAGATGGGCATCGTGTCATGGCGCTAGGGGAGAAATAAGGTGTGGGATAGTTGTTACTAAATAGAGAACTGGCCTGTGCGGGGCGAACGCGATCTATGAAATATGGAGTACCCCAATTTTGATTTTTTAGCTTACAAGGCAAGTTTCCTTTAAATACTGGTTATTTGTTTTTGCCGTCATTACGGACTGATATGCAATGAGATCTATTGAAGTTCTATGTTTAACGCGTTAATCAATAACGCTTTTTTTGTCTGCCCAGCTTGGCTGGATGGATCGACAGACAGCCTCATAATCCTGGAATCGCTGTATGTCCTCCGGCAGACCTGGTGTAGTCCAGAACATGGTCCAGTTGCTGTCATTCAGCTTCCAGCTTCCGCACGACCGCTCAAAATACCATTTGTTGACCGGATTGTCCTTACGGCTACGCCAGCAGACCCCATTAGGGAAGCAGGTTCGAACCATGGCATTGAAAACCACATCAGCCACGCCACCCGCTCCTTGGCTACGCTTAAGGACAGCAAATTTGTCCAGATATGGTACCATACGGGCAGCGCTCTCCGGACTGCCATCGTCGATTACGCCGGGTGGGGTTTCCCAGGTCAGGATTGCACCACCTTCATACTCTCCGGCGATAATTAGACCGGCAATGCGGTCATTAACTCTTTCCAAGTAATCTTGGACGTCAAGCTTTCGATCAAAAGAGTCGTCAATGAGGTGAACTAGTCGTGGTAGGTCAATGGATGGTCCATTGAGTTGTAGTCGGGGTAGGCTTTGAGCAGTCCACGCCTGCAGGCGTGGATTTGGAAGAAGCGTCAGGGGCATACCCCGCTTGACGAATGTTGTGGGCGTTGCAACTTGGCTGATTGAACTGAGTTTGCCATTTGTAGCGCCGCGACGCCCTGGAGGGAGAGAGGACGAAAGGAGTGGTTTATCAGTAAGAAGATTATGGATGAGAGGGTTACGCTGACGTCGGGTTCCAACAGCAGATACATCTGAAGGGGAGGTCTGTGGGGTATTCGCGGAAGTTGCGACCTCCTGTGGAGATGTGATTATGCCCGAAGCGCTTGCCGGCAGCATAGCAAGTGCTCGCTGTGATAAGCGCAGGTTGGCCAGGTGGCTATCGACGATCGGTTTCAACACCACCGTCTCAGGAAGCTGAGTTGACTGCTCCAGTAGTGGCGAGGCTATTTCCTTATTCGTGAATTTGGAGAAGGGATTGCTGTTCAGCAAGGAAATCGCCCCTTGGATGTTTTTACTGGTTGCAGAATCGTCCTCTATGGAACGCTGGACTTCGAGTAGCTCTTCTTCAATACCATCGAACTCCTGTTCCATGTTGATGAAGGCGTGTGATGCTTGGACATATCTGATGGCCGGAATACCTCCAAGGGGATGTAATAGAATCACCCGATCCAGTGAGACCTCCTTCTGCAAAGTACTGATTCTCTCGGCAGTGGTTGCAGGGTCCTCATCTGGATCTGGACGAATCGAAAGCCCGGCGAATTCCTTGGTTAGTGCAAGCACGGCATCATCTCCTGAAATTGGAACGGCTCTTGGGGTTTCTTCTGTATACGCAATTGGAGTGACAATGACAACTTGCCCGTTTCGAAGTGGTCTCAGAAGATCATTACGGGACGTAATTAGAGGAAGCCCAGGCACTCCATCCGATATCGACAAGGCCGAGTCCAGACGGAGAGACCTTGAGTCAGGCTGTGCATCGACTGCTGTCGAGATCCGATTAGCTTGTTCGATGGCAGTTTGCCGTAATGAAGCGACATTATCCATGCTTCCTGGGTCGATCACAACGCAACATGCCATTCCCAGACGGACCAGCTGCGTCAATGTTTTGGCCACTCCATCGATAGTTTGATCATCAAGAGATTGCGGTGTGGCGATTTTAATCAACGCCAGATGCAGTCGTTCTGGTAGGTCCAGTTCATGGGGAGCTGGTGTAGAATCTTGTCGGAATACAGGACTGTCATATACTGCCCTGGAGGCACCATAAAAAGAGCCTAAATTCACACCAGACTGCAAGGATTCCGGTTCTGATTCCAGAGTGGGCTCCTTAGGAGATTCATTGGTGGGCTTGGATGTAGGTTTGGAAGGATTGGCTTTAAAACGAGATAAATACTGCTTCACCTCACGCTTAGTCGCCGCCGAGCTCAAAAGACTCAAGAAGAATTCCTAATTGGAGGCATAAATGTGAGTGGTGGTGTTGCATGCCGGCGATTGATAGATATCACATCACATACTCGGTCAAGTTGCTTCTCTTTTGCACGGCGGCCAAGTCGTTCATTAGATTGGCTGGAGCTCGAGAACTGAGCGGATTTGTGGCATTGAAAGCTATGCGCTTGGGACAAACGCACCAAATAGCCACTGGGAAGAGTAGGGTGCTGTAGAAGAGTCAGCTTCATATACCGTGATTGTGTGACTAATTTACCGTCAGTGAAGAGCGAGGCAAATTGAGTACCCGAGAGCCCATGGCTACCACAGCCTTCTTGAGGAAGCAGATCCAACCTTATACAATTGTATGGCTCGGCTTTAAACTCCAAAGAATTGATTAAAACAAAAAAGAAAAAAGAAAGTTATGATAGTGGTACATGACGCATCTCGGTTGGGGCTCACCGCCCGGAACCTCCATCGGGCAGACTTGGCTCATCTCCACTTTGTTACCGCGGTAGTACCCCACGAGACTGATATGAGTTATATACTTCTGACCAGTCCCATATGATAGGTTGTAATGACTTTCGAGGTCTGCAGACCGTGTTCAGGACAGGTGCCAAGGTCTCAAAGCTCGTTGGACCACCCATTGGAGCTACCGCGTATCGGAAGATGGTAAATGCCGCACGCCAAAGTACCAACAGCCTTGGAAACCAGTTTCATCAAGTTGAGCTTTAGTTTGACCCTGGGCGGTGTATTATTAAGATCGGGATTGCGCTGGATCTTATAGAAACGAATCGGGTTTAGCTCTACGGCATGAGAGTAGACCATGAAGACCACCTCAACCTGAAGTACAAACGATGTTCATATTTACATGACGATAGAAGATGAGAGCGTAGGTACTCAAAGTGAAGTATAATAGGTACACTTGGGAGGTGAGGTTATCGAAGGCATGAGTAATAGTACATAGTAACTAGATGCTATGGGTTCGGCTTAGGACTGAACCATGACATTTTTCAGTGTATTTGAGTAAAGACAAGAGCAATTTCCACAGACAGCAAGGTGTATCCTTAACCAACTATACATCAAGGTATATTTTAGAATCAGTCAATCTCTAACGATGGAACTATGAGAGATGTACGAAGTACTCCGCTTTACTCCGAACGGGACTATGTAGCAAAGAACGGTAAGCCAAGAATGAGCAGAGTACTACCCCTGCATCATAATTCTGTCCTTAATTTTACGATTGGCTCAAGTAGATATTTAACGAATAATTCTAGAAATTCTAGAACAATTAAAAAAGGCAGGCGGTACCAAAAAAATGTGGTTCATGGTTGAGAAGCGACTTCCGCTTCCAATGATACAGTACCGTACAAGTTTCTGCTTTTATCCCCGCCACCCTCCTTCCCTTCTTCATTCTTCCTATCCTGAACACTCTTCACTTCATTTTCAAGCTTTGCTTCAAGGTATGTTATGTCCTTTGGTTCCTTCTGTTCCTGCCTTAACAGTTCTTCATCAATTCCCCCACAACCCCTCCTTGCGTCCAGACTCCCAGACTTCAGACGCATATTCCTCTCTGGAAACTGGATTGCCTCATAAAACCCCTCATAAACTCTCTCTCCGGCTTTTGCGCTGATTTTCTTGAATATTTGAACTTCATACACTACCTTGTTTATAAAAGCTAACCCCACCGATCTAGACCTGTGTCTCTCGATACCCCACTGCCTGTCGAACCGGGTCTCATTTTCAATATGTCTAATGGTGCCGATCGAATTGAGCCTCCATGGACTCCGCCGTCCCAATTACCCTCTAATCATGAAAAAGGCGCTGGTAACGAACTGCGCGACAACTCGCTTGAATACTCGCGTGAATACTCGCCTGACGACTCTGGCGACTCGGTTGAAGAACTGAGCATGTCCGAAGAACAGGACAAAGTAGACAATGACGATGAAGAGGTAGACACTCGTCCCAGTGATCTAGTTCGGATCATGAGCCGCGCTGGCATTCATTTCGCCAACGGATTCGCGCTGGATGATGATCACGAGCCTCGTGATGCCCCGTCAGCGCATGGTGCCGACTTTGATACATATGCGGACGATGATTACGACTATCCTTATTGGCAACGCCGCCCTCCTACCCACAATCGCACCAGCTTGGATGAATTGCATCCGTTCGTGCAACTCCTTTCCGCTTCAAACGTTGATGACTGTGTAGAGGTGGAGAAAGCTTTTCCCGAGGCCGAGCGTTGCTCTCGAGATAAAGTATGTGTAGATCTGAAATTACCTGGGAAGCTTGACCTTTTTGTCTGATAAGCGTTGAACTAACTAAAGCTGCTTCACTAGTTCCTCTATCGCCTCAACCGATGCCCCGAACTCAGCTTGGGTCTGTTCACTCTGCCTCTCAAGGATGATACAAAACCTAAACCTCGGCCGACTCTAGTCGCACATCTCATTGCCACCCGCACGTCGGAGACTCTGGTGACAGATCGCTCCATGCAACTTCCCACCAACTGGCAAAATGAGATATTGTCTACTAAAGACGGAAAGGTGATCGGCCATGAAGTTGGAGGTCGCACTATTGCTATTCACTCGCTGGCTGTGCTGCCAGAACACCAGGGCAAGAGGGTTGCCACCACCCTGATGAAGTCTTACATCAACCGTATTCAAGATGCTTGCATTGCCGATAGAATCTCAATCATCGCTCATGACAATCTTGTCCCTTTCTATGAGTCATTGGGCTTTAAATCTCAGGGACCTAGTGAGTGCCAGTTTGGTGGTGGTGGCTGGGTGGACTTGGTAAGTCGACTCATATATAACTTGATGCGTTGAAATACTAAAATATTTCAGGTTCTGGAACTCCCCGAAGAGCAGTACCAGAAGTAAGGCGTGTCTTTCCCCGATATGCTGCTTCTGTCTGGCTAACCAGTGTTGTCTGCTTATTGTCCCCATTTTCCTACATTTCTTTTGCCTTATCTATATTGTTATTCCCATATCAGCCTGTCCTCTTGCTATGTATGAGGCTTTGGAGTTTCCCGATGAGCAGCAGAATGAAGGTGTGTCTTTCTTGATACACTCGACCCAACTTTTCTGTATGGATGATCAGTTCTCCGCTTGCTCTCCCCCTTTTTTTCTACCTTATCTGCTTTTTCTCTATGGATTTCCCAGACTTGTTCTTCCCATATCATTTAATGTCCCCTGCTTATGTCCCAGTTACGCACGTTCATGTCCGGTCATCGAGTTGGTCCTCGGGTTTGAAAGAAAATGGAGTTTGTTTTTCTCTCAGTGACGGTCGATATCATGGACCAAAAGACTTGGCCATTTACCAATCACATGTACCATAGTAGCAATGTCATGAATATCAGCAAATGCCAAACTGCTCTCATAGTTAATTCTCTATCATAAACCAAGCCTACAATATCAAATATCGTAGACATTTACTCTCGGCTACCATCCAATCCAGGTCCCCGCATTTATTCACCGCCTGGCAGAAAGAAAAAAAGTCCCCGACCACAATTTTTTCATGGAGAAACAAGACTTAACATCCTCCCACTCCAGAGTCACTGTTCAAACCCCGTTTGTTTGAACTTTTGTGGCCCATAATGAAGACTACATGGAAGGATGTGAGTACATTTTTGGTTCAATCTGAATCTTTCAAAAAGCCTCTAACTGATTTCACCGCTAGATTGCGCCTGTGCCTACCAGCCAGGAATTCCTCGATATTGTCCTGAGTCGCACTCAGCGCCAACTACCCACTCAGATTCGTGCTGGCTTCAAGATTAGCCGTATCAGAGGTATGGTCCTATTCACTACTTTCAAATTTGGCGTTATGTTGGGGGTGGCAATCTCCAGAAAAAAAAAATAGAAAAAAGTATCATTATCGATAACGGGTTGCTGATCAAAAAATTTTCCCAACAGGTTTCTATACCCGTAAGGTAAAGTTCACCCAGGAGACCTTCTGCGAGAAGTTCCAGGCCATTCTCGATGGATTTCCTCGTCTGCAAGATATTCATCCTTTCCGTAAGTCAACGATTTTTCGCACGATTCAATATCTCGAATGGGGCTAACCTTGACTAGACAAGGATTTGATGAACACTCTTTACGATGCCGACCATTTCCGTATCGCTCTCGGTCAGGTTTCCACAGCCAAGCACCTGATCGAAACTGTTTCCCGAGACTACGTCCGTCTCATCAAGTATGCGCAATCCTTGTTCCAGTGCAAGCAGCTTAAGCGTGCCGGTCTTGGTCGCATGGCCACCATTTGCCGTCGCCTGAAGGATCCTCTCGTCTACTTGGAGCAGGTTCGCCAGCATTTGGGTCGTCTGCCCGCTATTGACCCCAACACCCGCACTCTTCTGATCTGCGGATACCCCAACGTCGGAAAGTCCAGCTTCCTGCGCAGCATCACCCGCGCCGATGTTGATGTTCAGCCCTATGCTTTCACCACTAAGTCTCTGTTCGTCGGTCACTTCGATTACAAGTACCTGCGCTTCCAGGCTATTGACACCCCTGGAATTCTCGACCACCCTCTGGAGGAAATGAATACTATTGAAATGCAGTCGATCACTGCCGTGGCCCATTTGCGTTCCGCTATCCTGTACTTCATGGATCTTTCCGAGCAGTGCGGTTACTCCGTCGCGGATCAGATTAAGCTTTTCCACAGCATCAAGCCCTTGTTCGCCAACAAGATTGTTTACATTGTCGTTAACAAGATCGATGTTCGCCGCCCTGAGGACCTCGATCCTGAGCAACAGCAGGAACTGCAGGAAATTCTGAAGTCTGGCGATGTGGAGATGCTCCAAGTCTCGTGCACCACTACCGAGGGTGTTACCGCAGTGAAGAACGCCGCTTGCGACAAATTGCTTGCGGAGCGTGTTGCCCAGAAGCTCAAGGCCGGCAGTAACAGTGCCGGTACTCCTGGTGGCCGTCTCGGCGATGTTCTGGCCCGTATCCACGTCGCCCAGCCTATGGGCGGTGTGCGTGAAACCTTCATTCCCGAGGCCGTTAAGAACCTTAAGAAATACGATAAAAATGACCCCAACCGCCGCAGACTCGAGCGTGACTTGGAAGAGGAGAACGGCGGTGCCGGTGTCTACAGCTTCGATATGCAGCGTGATTACACATTGGCCAACGATGAGTGGAATCACGATAAGATTCCTGAGGTGTGGAACGGCAAGAACATCTACGACTTTGTGGACCCCGATATTGAGGCCAAGCTGGCCGCTCTGGAAGAGGAGGAAGAGAAGCTGGAGGCAGATGGATATTACGAATCCGAGGAGAGCGTTGAGGATGCTGAGGATGCCGATAACCGTATGAAGGCAGAGCTGATCCGCGAAAAGCGTGTTCTGATGCGCAACGAGGCCAAGATGCGCAAGTCACTCAAGAACCGTGCCCAGATTCCCCGCAGTGCCAAGTCCAAGAAGCTCTCCCAAATGGAGCGTGCTCTGGACTCAGCTGGTTATGACGTGGATGCTGCCGGTGCCCGTGCCCGCTCGCAGAGCCGTGGTCGCGCTCCCACTCGGAGCGAGCCCCAAGACGGTGACGCCATGGATCTTGACGATCCTTCCCGGTCCATGTCTCGCGCTAAGAGCCGTGCTCGCAGCCAGGCAGCTACTGATCGTCGTAACGATGGTGTTCCTGATGAGGTCAACCGTACCAAGGCTGAGCGCATGTTCAAGTTGGGACAGAAGCAGATGAACCGCATGGCACGTGCCGGTGAGGCTGATCGACACACCACCGCCTCTCTCCCCAAACATTTGGTAAGTCACGCCGCCCTATACCTCATTTCAGGTCTAGCCTATTCTAACACTCTCGAAATAGTACACCGGCAAGCGCAGCATTGGCAAGAACCAACGTCGTTAGAAGCCTCTCAACTATGGGCCACAAAAAACCCCCCATTTCTAATCATTATCGATTGGTTTTTATACCGGGTGCAAAATGGTGTCGGGCGTTTGTGTTTACATCTCTTTTTAGATTGTTTTCTTTCTTTTACTCACTTACGTACATTCATGTCTTTGAATCTTGATTTGACTCGGGATTTCCATCTTCCACTTGCTCACCCTTGTTGGATGATCGGCTTTTTATGATGTGTGGGGGGTTGTCCTCCCAGTCATTAGGACCAAAAGTTCTTGACTTGATGATGCTGCAGATACCAATCCAGATTTATGAATGAACCTCTTTTATCCTTGGTCCGTACTATGTAGCTATTTATTTCAAACTTCCGCCATTCAAGTCATTTAGAATTCAAGAGTTTGACTGAACAAGCAGCCATTGTCTTCTGTGAAACCATTCCAGCCCTGGAGATTCTCTGTTCATCATACTGTTTGCTATGTTTGTATCAGAAGAAGAACAGAGAAGATTCTCAACGATTTCGTGTGGAGAATACCGGAAAATTGTACCTCTTCGTTTATATTTCAAGATTTTTTTTTTAAAACCTGGTGATTACATGAACATGATGACTATATGACCCCATAAGTAGCTAGTCAAGAAGTCTTTCTGCACACATCTCAGATTTTGGGAGTACAAGATGACCATATCATTCCCAATGTTTATGTAATGTCTTCGCTAGATGTTGACGAAAGTATAGCAAGTTCTGCTTCTCGTATCAACCCGTGTGTCACTATACTAACAAATCGAGTCCACGTGGCAACTTTTTTAAATCAATTTACAGCCTAAAATTCGCACAGGTCGAGAAGAAGTCACAAGAATACGACGAATTGGCAGCTTCTAGTAAAGTCTAGGAGGACTTCTTTAGGCATGGAGACATTGAACCTTACTTGCAAGCTCAATGAGACTTCAAGCTGATACTAACTACAATTGATGAGTGGAAAGAAGCTCATCAAGAGGCTCGTGCGAAATGGAAGTGCCCAACTCGAGAGCTCGCCAGCGATTGTACTTACCAAAGCACATCTATTGAGCTGAATCCTCTTGACCAATTTGACTCAACGGTCATATCCGGCAAATAGAACCGATTGTTCTGCAATATTAATCATCTACATTCAAATTTAGTTAACACCTTACCTACACCACAAGAACTTCTACTAGGCAAGGACGAGGCCCAAGTCACTGGGCTTCAAAATCACATTATCAACAGCTGTTGCGTCACTGAAGTAGCTCTTAGATAGCTCATAAAGAAGGGTAAATCTGTTTAAGGGATTAAAAACCTCTCTTGGATGCTGCTTCCAGGAACTGATGCGGAGGCTCTATGAAAATAGTTGGGGCAAACGCGTACGCAAGTTCCTATTAGCGTGAAATCTAACTCAATGCGGAATAAGTTCGTGCCTGCATAAACCGCTATATTAAATGGCGTCACTATCATCACATCAGCCAAGTTCTCCATCCAATCATCTTTGCAACTCAACTGTCCGGCTACACCCTTCAGATACATCCTCTCCTAGTTGGAAACGGTATACTTCGTATTCGAAGAACTTTGATGGCTGATTACTTGATTAGTCAGGGATATCTCCATTGATACTTTGCTACCTAGACCGTGAGGGTTATATTCAGTGATGATTATATTCAACGAATTTCGCATGCACAGCATGTAAAGCCGGGCAACCGCAGTATCCAATCCGCTCGTGTACAGCTCCAGATGTTATAAGGTTAGGTATGTTCCATAAGTGGGCGGAGATAAAGGCCTTCAGAGCTAGCCCATAACCTTGAAATATTCATAATGCTATTTCTAAGATCCTATATGAGCGCCAAAGTGTCGATTTATCTGTCCAGTTGGGCGAGTTTACGGTGTTGGATATCCACCTTCCAAGGTTACCTAGGGTTTTCATCCCGAGCTCCTGGTTACGCGATCACGATATCGGGAATAGCTTTGATAACTAGCCTTCCAAAGTTCCAAGTTGTCGGTAGGTAGGTGTCGGTATACCAGTACCAAGTGTAGAATAGCTATTCGATAGGCTAACGCTCACTTCTGACACCTATCACAGGTAACGCTTTACGCCCTTATGATATCTATGTGTCCTTTTGAAGTGGTTGTAAAGTCTGAGTTTCATTCTTATTTTGCTATAACTGCTTTGCTCCATATTCCAACAGCAGGTATCAAACGAGCTCTCCCTGATGGTTGAAAAATATATATTTCAAGTCTACGAGTTAGGTACCTCTAGAGCTTCAACCTCCGAGCCTCTTTGGACCTTGGAATGAAAGAGTTCTGGACGTGACCTGACACGGGAGATAAAGACTTGCCCAGGCGTTGAAAGTTTACCGGAAATTCAGGATTTTATCATGGCCTCATTCCCGTTCTTCAGGTGCCCAAGTCCACTAGAAGATCAAGTTTGATGGGAAACTTGAAAGCACCTGCTTGGGTCCATCCCGATTTCAGTCCAAAACACTGATAGAGCTCGTAAATTATAATGGCCCTCCAAGTATCTGGAAGGCGTCGGATCTATATTTATATACCCGTGGACATCCAAGTTCAAATTTTTGAATACCTTATGGATTTATTCGTGGTCAAAGATGGACAGATCTCATGTCAGGGATTCCATCAAATTTTTAACTTGGATGATATTTCATTGCATAGCTCACCTCCAGAACTACTATAAGCTTCCAAGGTTGGCTTTACCATCGAAACAGTACATAGACTCGGAATTCCAAGGCTATCGGATTGACGAGAGCAAGGATATGAGGTCATCACAACTTATTTACCAAGTAACTCCAATCAGTCTTGGAAAATTAATTTGGACCCGTTCATCCTACCGAATTTTCACACGTCCCCGATGTAGATGTGATCAAACTCCGTATAAGGTTGATCCATCTCCCCGAGATCCAGGATCTCAAAGCTCAGGCCTCGAAGTTTAAACCGATAAAAATGCGACGATTCTCCGTGTAGATGCCGACTCTCAACCCCAGACCTTTCAAAGTTATGGGTCTATCCCCACATGCCTCCATATAAAGTGGATTCAACGTTCTTGACTATCTACTTACTTTGTAGTATGTTTTAAACTCAATCGTAGAAGATCTTATTCGTTATCTTGCTTGATTCATTAGTAGCATTGAAGGTTGTGCTGTTGTTAATTTGATTACAGCTGATAGCCCTCGGCACATAAGCCTTTCAGAAAGCATGTTGCCGTCGAGTAATGCGGTTTTCTATTGATCATCTTAAAACTTTGGAATAACCTCCAGGGCCGTCAGAGCTGAAAGATACAAATCTTAGAGGTATTTTGGAACAGCTCCATGAGGTGGGAAGTGGGATGTGAAAAGACTTGTGGACAACTAGGCTAGACAAAAACAACAAATGAATCATTGGAATAAAGAAGCTAGCTTAGTATACCATCACTTGAGAGCCCCGTACGTATTCGCTCTTTGCGCCTCAAAGGGAAAAATAGCCCGATAGAAGTTTCCACAAGGAATACAATGTACAGCTGGACAGGCAAAATTTTCACTTACTCCATACATCTCAAAAGAATAGGCACTAGGATACATACAAAAATCAGGTGTCTCCGGAAAGTTCCGTCGGCATTACTATCACGGCTTTATGCAAAGATGCAAAAATCAGCCGATGTTAAGCCGACAATAATCGCATCCTAGCATCATTCCTTCTAGATGTGTAGATCGCATGACCTGGGCTTTGAGTGGGGGCGAGTCACTGAAGATTATGCCACGTACTTAGTTCCTACCTACCTTCCTATGTGGGAAGAGGCTTGAAATATGCTTGGTATCATGCAATATTTGAAGTCGATTCTCTATTTACACCGTACGGGGTAGATCGTGAAAATGCGGAGGTTGGATTCGTATGACCATTGGAAGATCTCCTTAACTTGAATGAAGCATCTGCCCATGATTTTCGTTTCAGGTCAGGGGGCCAATGTGGGTGGGAGGATGATTCTAATTACATATGCCAATTCCGAGTTCCACATCTTGATTTTCATAAATATTTCTGTAACTGGTTAGAGGCCTGGAAAGAATTAGCAGCACGACAGAATAGCTGTTCGCAGTTATCAGAGCTTCCAGATAAATCCCCAAACTTGGAAGCAATTGAGGTTATTGTACTATCTTCTAGCTTTGGAGTGATAGCATTGGAAGTGCATGTGCGAAGGCTCGATCAAACTACCTATTTAAGGAGGAGTATTTAGGTAATAATTCCAAATTTAAGTGGCTGGCAACGACAGATTACCTAAGTTATAAAAATAGAATGATCACTTTGGTAGGTACCGCATATGCAAATGTCTAGAAAAGATACTTTACTGTGTAAAACATCGAACATTCAATATACTGTGTAAGCAATAACCTACTAGAGAGCCATACAAAATACTATTGGTGTAAAGTACCGAAGATATACCGACGATACGTGGCGAATCAACCAACACCTTTCGTTGACGGGCCCCCCTTTAAAATTTCTATGCCTCCTCGGGGCCTTTCTGTGAGCTGATGAAAATTTGTCCGTGCACTGTGGGTCACAAGGGAGCTTAGGTGGAGGCTGGCGAAAAGTGAGATTCGGGACACACTTCGCAGTCTGACCCGTTGTGTTCGGGATGCCGATGTGCAGAGTTTGAAGAACCCGAGATTTTTAGCTGTCAATGTATTACACATAGCAACCCTTGGAAAATAGAAAACTCAAAGAAAATTCAATTCAATCGGAAGAGATCTATCATCTATACATTGAACTAGGAAATGGGTCGAAGCCACCCCTTTCAACAAGTCACAGCATTTATCGGTCGGAACCGGGCCGAAGGACGGAGAACAAAAGGCAGTCTTCGGTGTGCCGATTAGGGTAAAGTGGAGCCGAGCCGTAAACCGAAAAACTCTGCTCGGGATTCGACCGAGAAGGTCGGGTAGTGGGGCTAGCCTTTTTTTCAGCAACAAACCTCGAATCCTTGCATTTTTCTTCTGTTATCAGGTATTTAAAATCACGGGCCACTTCATACGCGGTTCGAGAAACTTCAATTAAAGATGATTACTGTCCCATAAGACCCGAGATTCTTGAAATGTCACTTTTATAGAAGGTGAAGTCATAAAAACCTTAATCACTCAAGTATCCGAGTGGCGGGCTATTTATTCTGGGCGTTGAGCCGCTTTTCCAATAGAGTATAGGAATTGACCCACACCAACAACGTAAAACATCAATTTTTTTTCCTCAAGTTTAAGAAACATTTTTATCCCGCACAATTAGCCCACCTCAACAAAAGTACCCCTTTCGTAATCATCAAATCTTGAAAAATCTTGTAGACCATGAGACTTTAGCCAGAAGGCCGCTGAAGATGTGTAGAACCTCGGGGTGTCAGCACTGGTCATAGTTCCGAAGCTGTCCCATGATCCACGGATGTCCCGTTCCCCGTCAGGCACAAAGTCCTCATTCGCTCAGAGCCCCATTCCCTTGCTCCATTCCGGTAGTTTTCTAGAACATCAAAAGGAAATTTTCCGGAGTATCGCATGTTCCCCATGTTGTATGGGGAGACTTACTACCGACTATCGCAAGTACCGCTTCTGGATCTATCCACAACAATACACGGGGTATACATTTCCTAGTAGACTGGAGTTACCCTAGGCAGTAATGAAGTGGTTCTTGATATTCCAAATCATGTAGGATATAATCCTTCTCTCGATTGACTAAAAGTAAACAACAACTAAATCCTGTCTATGTTTCTAAATTTTGATTGAAACAAATTCACAAATGCGGAGATTATCGGTCTCACGTGGACAAGCTCACTCTGGCCTTACAAAATGAAATATCATTCTCCACATGCTCCACTCAGTGCGTCTGGAGGGTCTACGGGGTATTCTCTTGCCCATGGAGTTGGTGTACTAGCCGAAATTTTTGCCCCATCCAGGTCCAAACGTGGGACATGAAATCCGGGCCCCCATTTTGTCTATGGTACTACCCCGAGGGGAGAAGCCGATTTCCCGTTTTTCCCCTTTGCTGAGTTTGGTATAAAACTGTCTTCCTCCCCGTCCTACTACATTTTCTCTCCATCATCATCTACAATCATCCACACAATAACCTTGGAAACCCTTTCCTCCTTCACCCGGATAGGTTTTCTACACTATGGGCTTCTTGTCCAAGCTTAAGGCCGATTCGGCTTCCTCACATTCCCACCACGATACTCACCTTGAGTTCGATGATGGTAACACTGTTGACGGACCTGTCAAGTTTTTGACATGGCGTTCGTTTATCATGGGTCTGTGCGTCTCTATGGGTGGTTTCATTTTTGGTTACTCCACTGGTAAGTTCCCCATTGCAGATCTATTGATTCAGTCAATATACTAATCTGCTCGATTATAGGTCAGGTCTCTGGTTTCACCAGTATGGACGACTTCAAGGAGCGTTTCGCTGCGTACAACGATGTCACCGGAGAATATTACTTCAGCAACGTCCGCAACGGTCTTATTGTCGGTTTGCTATCTATCGGTACCATGATTGGCGCTCTCGTTGCTGCCCCCATTGCTGATCGCATTGGCCGCAAATACTCCATGACTTTCTGGTCTCTCATGAACATGATCGGTATCATCATCCAGATCGCCTCCAAGGACGGCAACTGGGTCCAGGTCGCTATGGGCCGTTGGGTTATGGGTCTCGGTGTTGGTGCCCTGACCAGTATTTGCCCCATGTACCAGAGTGAGTCTGCTCCCAAGCAGGTTCGTGGTGCCATGGTCAGTGCCTTCCAGCTGTTCTGTGCTTTCGGTATCTTGATCTCCGATATTGTCAACTTCGGTACCGAGCGCCTGCACAACACTGGAGCTTGGCGTATCACCATGGGTATCGGATTTGCCTGGCCCCTCGTTCTCGGTATTGGCTGCTTTTTCCTCCCCGAATCTCCTCGTTACGCCTTCCGTCACGGTCAAACCGAGTATGCCCGTGAGACTATGTGCAAGCTTTACGGTCTTCCCGCCAACCACCGCATCATCCGTGAGGAGATGAATGAGATGAAGATCAGTCTCGAGCACGAGCAGGCCATCGGCCAAGCTGCCTGGTACGAGATTTTCACCGCACCTGCTATTCTCTCCCGTACTTTGATCGGTATGGCTCTCCAGTCTATTCAGCAGTTGACTGGTTGCAACTTCCTTTTCTACTACGGAACCAGTATCTTCGCCGGTATTGGTATCAGCAACCCCTTTGTGACTCCCATCATTCTTGGTGCTGTCAACTTCGTTATGACCCTGCCCGGTCTCTACGTTGCTGACCACTACGGTCGCCGTAACTCTCTGATGATTGGTGGTGTCTGGATGTTCATTTGCTTCATGATCTGGTCTTCTGTCGGTCACGAGATCTTGGAAATCAACATCAGTGACAAGCCCGCCGGTACCGCCGCCATTATCTTCACCTGCTTCTTCATCTGTGGTTTCGCTACTACTTGGGGTCCTATGATTTGGGCCATCTGTGGTGAGATGTACCCTGACCGTTACCGTGCCACTTGCATGGGTCTGTCCACCGCCACCAATTGGTTGTGGAACTTCCTCATCTCCTTCTTCACCCCCTTCATCTCCAGCGCCATCGACTACGAATATGGCTACGTTTTCGCCTGCTGCTCTTTGCTGGGTGTCTTCATTGTCTTCTTCTTCGTGAACGAGTCTCGTGGCCGTACTCTTGAAGAGGTCGACACCATGTATGTCTTGGGTGTCCGCCCATGGCAGAGCGCCAACTGGGTGATGCCTGACCGCAACAACCTAGCCAAGGAGACTGAGCACAGTGACTCCACTGCTGCTGAGGTTTCTGAAGAGAAACAGTAGATTGATTCTACTTTACGACTGGTCTTTTGCTATTCTCCAAAAAAGTTTATCAAGACAAATGGTTTCCGCATAATAATTTGTACAGTTTATGATTCCATCCGGATGCATTATGAATATCCGCTGCATTGTTGTTTTACGATCATTTAATTCGAGAAGAGATATCTGTATATAGCCACTCATTTTCAATTGAAACATACCTATTTACCACATTACCGAAATCACTCGTCCTCAAACTTCATTCCAGCCTCCTTCCTAGCCACTCGATGCAGGGCTGCAAGATCCCCCTTCTATCCCCTCTCAGCCTTGACAGGCTGCAAAAATAGGTAACTTGAAAATTACGCATTGTCCGACCACTCTCCTTTGCCAGACCAGATGCATGTCACAGATGCATGTCACAAGTCTTTTCGTGCAATATCAACAGCACACAAGGTCTCCTCACGTTGGTAACACTCAACGTCATCCGGTTCGCATAGTTACTAAACGGACCGGGCGAGGACAAATTCAGCCACTATAGGGTTATAATGTTGTAATATCCGATATTGTAACTTGGAGGGACGGTGAAATCTCCATGATCATGCGTGGGCTTGTTGTAGAAAAACTGTGGTGTTTCTACGCAGTGGAGATAATATGAATATCAGACTCTATTGTTTCTTGCGTCTTTCAACCCCCATCTAGCCCTAGCCTAATAGATTAGTGAAAAGAGTACGTTGTTTTACTGTAATACGGTATCAAATAGTTACGGAAGGCGGTTGGCTTCATTGAGTGTCACGACCATAAGTACCGCGACGAAGTCCATGCGATATTCTGGAAATCTTAGAAGATCAAAGAATTTGGATGGTCCCTCTCTCTTCCCCACTTCAGGAAAACCATCTTTACAAGATACGCCTCTTTTAGTCCATTTTCAACGGTTAAGAGCTAATCTGTTTTTCTAAAGATATTTCTCGGGCTTTCGTGACCGAGCTCGCTCTTTTACTTACGGACGCGACTTATGCCAACTAAAACTTAGCAGAGCAAAATTTAGACGATGGTAAATGGTATCTGAACATCCAAGACTGGAAGCGAGTAAACCTGGAAATTTTACATAATCTTTACTCTATCCTCTTGGGCTCATGAGGTACAGGCTTTGGTGGCAGCTTTGATCCTCTTATAAAGAGCTTCTCATGGAGAGAGAGAGAGAGAGAGAGAGAGTCCACGAGTTAATGGTTGTAGATTATGTCTCTTTGTAATAAAATATGCATCAATAATAGATACATTAAGAAGCTAATAGAATATTAGTTACTAAGAGCGTACCTGGGTAAGCATTTTCTGTGCTTCTCAGCTTGCGCGGGGCTGATGTATAATTGTTGGAATATGGAACAAAGCAGTCATGTGATCAAATTGTTACTTTATAATAGATAGCAAACTAAGAATGAAAACCAGACTTTACAACCACTTCAAGAGGACACAAAGATATCATAGGGGCGTAAAGCGTTACCTGTGATAGGTGTCAGAAGTGGGCGTTAGCCTCATCACCTTTATCGAATAGCTATTCCACACTTGGTACAGGTGTACCGACAATAATATTAACAGCTCACATTTGTTGGTTATAATCATTGATTAGATGAGAAATAGGGAGTTGCTTCTAAGATATATCTTAAAAGGGCTGGCATTTAATATTTCCCACGATTCCTTCTATAAGATATCAGTATTTAATCGTAGTAGGGATAAAATTGAGTATATACCTATACATCCTAGGTACTAAGGAGCTCCATGATAGGGGGAAAAGAGGACAAAGGGAATCAAGACGTCTTAAGTAAATTTTCAGATGTTTAGTGAGAAGTTCCCGGTGCTTCTGCGTCAAAACTATAGGATATAGTACTGATAACACCCGATGCGGAGGTGACGCATCGCCCTCCCTAGTAGACTAAGTAGCCGTAGCCTACCTTCCATCCGTGCTTGTTGTGCTCGGAGCCGTCCGAGTATATTGTGATGTCTGTGCTAGAGAGCGTAGCGGCCTTTTCCTTGAACTGCGCTGCCGCTTTGTCTTTATCTCGGCCCTGTGCTGGGTCCGTCCTGCAGCATAGGGAATAGTGGGGGGCTGTGAGTATTGGTTGTGGGACTAGGAGTATAAGAGTTCCTAGGCACTGGATGATGATCTGGAGCCTTTATTGTGTGCCGGCGCCCGTCCTCGCGGTATGACTGGAGAGAGCGCTCTTTTGGCTAGGGGGTGTTGGGCGTCTACTGTCTGTAGGCGGAGTGCGAAGCGAAACTTAGCCTCTTCAAGGGCCACCTCTACTGAGGGGAGGTCAGCGTCTCTAAAGAGGGTTGGTGTCAGGGTGGTCCTCTAGACTAGGAGCACCTCTCTGACTGCTGTGCTTAGGATAGTCCTGATTTGTTGTATGTGCTAGCTAAGTCTAGCCGATATTATTGCTATAGCTGCTATCGTGGGGTTAGCTAGTAGCCTATGTCTACCTCTGTGCCAGACCTCGTAGCTATAGGGCTGATGGGAGGACGCAGGTGGTGACTAGTTTGCGAAGGGCTGCGGCTAGCGGGCCATCGATGGTCCTTGCGAGGTTCTTGATGTGTCCTGCGACGCGCTGAGCTTTGTGGGCTCTAGTCGCTACGTGTCTCTTGAATGTGAGCTTTCTGTCGAACAAGACGCTAAGCTAACGAACAGCTGGCTGGTCTCTGGATACTCTCGCCATGGTTGTTAGGAGGACTGTTATCGTATCGTTGACTCTGATGGCTGGTGCCTCTGGTGACTTCATCCTGGTGAGGTGGATCATCTCGGTCTTTTCCGGGGCGAATGTCACCCTGTTCTGTCTGCCCTAGTCTAGGATTTAATGTATGTCTGCGGCTAACAGCTCGTAGTTCCACTTGAGCGTGATGGATGTGCGTACTAGGCTAAGATCGTCTGCGTACCCGAAGGATTTCTCTCCTAGCAGGAGTAGTAGCTCTGCCATGTAGAGCATAAAGAGGACTGGAGAGAGGGGGTCGCCCTGCGGGGTGCCGCACTCAATGTCGTACTGGGGGGTCGTGGACTGCTCGAGCCTGACTCTAGCTCTGCGGTCTCGTAGGAAGCTATCGATGAGGGTCACTAGCCGGTGAGGCCAGCCCTGTTCCATCATCCTTTTAAGGAGGCGAAGCCTAAAGAGGGCGTCAAACGTTTCCTGCACGTTATTTGTGACCATGGTGGCGTGCTTCTTGTGGTAGAGGGCCTGCTCCACGTCGTGTGTGAAGGAGGCAACATAAAATGCCATAAAACTTGTCAAAAGAACATTTTCACTTCTCTGCGTGGTTGTGGCTGCTGAGTGCTTCTTTAAGAATGGCGCGGAGGTTCTTCTTTTTTACAAACCCTGTCAGTGATTGGAGAAGGTGTTCGTCAAATATAGATGATCGAGATTGCTCTCCGTACTTGGCGACAACGGGCGATCACATTGCCAGTGGAATATGTGCTCACTGTCAGCTAGGGATCTGGCTATCTTTCATCTGAAAAAGAACCGGTCAACTCGTTCTTTGCCTGTTCCACTCGTGACTGGATAGCTTGAACTCATAGAGGGAAGATGTCGAATGAGAAATGAAAAAGTTGAGGCATCCACCCCTCACAATCAGCCTAGAGCAGTCTGCAGAGTAGAAAGTATAAGTATAGATTATTCGAATACTCTTCATCCTCAAAAAGGCCATTTATGGTAGATCCAAGCTCGGCAATAACGAAGAACCGGCGCTACTAGCGGCCGTATAAAACTTACAGAACTCGAGGGGCCCTGGTTTTTTGGTTTCCAGTCTTGAAAGCCTGGTCACGCAGACGGTAGTTATAGTTGCCTCGCAATTGCCCATAAGCTCTAGACTTTATAGTATGATAATAGTCATTATGGTTGAAGTGTGGAAAGGAAGGGAATAGGAAAAGAAGATGAACAAGGCTGAAGTGCATTTGGACCGAGTATTGACTACTCGGTGTATACCTCACTTTTACTTCAGTTTCGGTTTTAAATTTGACCATCTCTGCAATACGCAGATCACCTGCTATGATAGTGACTAAATAAATAAGCTGTGGCGTAGAATAAAAGCCCTCGTACCCCACTATGTCATCATAAGGCATCTAAATAGTCGGACTAGATCGATCTACGCACTCTCAACCGTGTGAATCTACAGCTGTGATTTGATTTTTCTCCTTTCTCATCACTTCTCAACTTGAACTCTCACTTCACTTGGGCTCTCACCTCACTTCAACCCCCTTTCCTCTACTTTATTTCTGTGGTTCCGTCAGCCCCGTCAGTCGCGTCATCCACGGTTCTTTTCCGCTATTTACCTCATGTCTCGTTACGACGATCATCGTTCGTCGACTGGGACACTCGACTACCGCGATCGTTACAACCGATATTCGCGCGGACCCTCAGTCGCTGAAAGAGCCCGCGTAGTCGATGATGAAAGGTTTGAGCTTCGTCTTCGCGAAGGCGAGCGATATGGTCCTCCTGCGCGTGCCCCTGGACGTCGCTACGAAGACGAGCACCTGATTCATACGTCGGGTGCCCTCGTCGCACCTGACCGTCGCCGTCGCCGTGATGAGAGCGCTGCCTTCGCCAGGCCTCGCTTACTTAGACGCCAATCGTCCCTCGATACATTTGATCGTATCCCTCGACACAAAATGGAGACTCTTGAGATTCGCGATCGGGAACGCGTGCGCATGCCTCATGTGCCAGCTCCACCTGGGCGGCCAGGTAGAGTTCGAGAGGTCTATGAAGATATTCGAATTGCAGAACCAGATACCTATGGTGATGAGGAGTTTCGTGAGATGCGTCGGTCAAGAAGTACTGTTCGTCACCGCCATGAGGAGAAGCCTTACCCACGGAAGGGCAAGACCAGAATGCCTCGGCATATGGTGCATCTCCATGCCATTCTAGATTTGGGGTATCCGTATAAGGAGGAGGTATGATTTTGGGTCGTGGAGGTAGATATTGAACGGTTGCTGATTTTTACTCTAGGAAGAAACGATTGTCATCCAGAAAGCACTGTCGAAGGACCAGATCGATGAAGTTATCAACCTCAGCCGCGAGTTCCGACGGCCTTCCCACAGAGAGAGTGAGTTGACATTCATGATGGTTCGCCCAAGACAACCAACCCGGCATATTAACTTGCGCCCAGCAGAGTACATCGAGGTACCGTCTCCCCGACGCACCACAGAACACCTTGTGGTCGACTCCTACTCGCCTCGCACAAGCCACGAGACAATGATCGTGGAGCCATCACGCAATAGAGATGATTATCGCGATGTAGAGTACAAAGAAGTGGTAGAGCGAGTCGAGCGACCAGTTCACCATCATCACATCTCACGACCACGATCAGTCTCCATTCATACCCACCGAGTTGCATCCCCTGTTCGCCTGGTTGAGCCCCGAGGATATATTGAGGAGCGGATTGAATCGAGACCCGCTGGATCTATGGTGTTGGTACGACCGCGCCACAGTGAGGTTGAGGTTGCACGCGAGATTCGTGATCTGGAAGACGAAAGAAGGATGTTGCGGTTGGAGCGACATGGGGGGATCGAAATCACACGAGAACGCGATACTGAAATCATTGACAGTCATGGCCATGCGGAGGAAGTGACCGAGGTCCGCCGAGAAGAACGCAGGGGTAGGTCCATTTCTCTTACGGAAACGTGCAGCTATTGACATGATTGTTCTAGAACCCAGCTCACGTGTGATGCGGGCCATGATGGCTACTTTGACTTGAGACCAATTACTACTGGAAACGATTTTATGATTTCGACGCGCTATGATTCTTCGATTCTCTGGTTTTGACTCTTACTGATTTATTACTTTTTATTACTTTTATTATTTTCATTATTTTCATTTCCGTTTGCATCAGTATTTACTCTTCATACTATTCAAGTAATCAATGTGACTCATGAGAAAGGTCCAGATCACGTAAAGAAAGTGAAAATTTCAAACACAGCTGGGTAAGAGCGTAGAATGGTCTAGGTAAGAGCAGTGGTAGTTACAGGGTAGAGAATACATACTATGTAGTATGACAGAATGAGAAACCGTGGCTGGTGTAGTGGGGCGGTGCATCCTATCGAGAAGTCGTCGAGGCCCTTGAAACTCCACTACTTTCGTACTTTTCATTCCCCTCAATTTTACGCATATTTTCACCATGGATCGAGTGCAGGCATTCGGTAAGAACTTCAGGTGAGTGTGTGCTCTCTAAACAACTCCCATATCGCTACATAGATCGCAATCGGATCTGGTTTACTGATGCAATTTACAGCGCCAGCATCACGCCTTTTGCGCAGCGCACCCAGCAGTTGATATTGGAGCAACTGGGCCAGGCTGAGGACAAGACCCAACTTCCCGATGAATACGTCGAGCTCGAGAAGCGCGTCGATGCGCTCAAGCTTGTCCACCAGAAGTTGCTGCAAGTGACGTGAGTATCATAGCTAATCTCCTTTATACCAGGGCCATTGATCTGATGTACCATATTACAGCTCCCAATACTCCAACGAGGCCTACGACTACCCACCCAATATCCGCGAGTCATTCAATGACCTGGGCCGCACTATCAACGAGAAGGTCTCTCTCCTATCGCAGGCCGGTTCGCCCGCCGAGGCCCAAGCCGCCCTGACTGCACCCCCGAGCGCGAAGCCCCAGCCCAAGACTTTCAATCATGCTATCGCACGCGCCTCGCTCGCCGGTTCGCAAACCCTCATGCAGAGCTCCGATGTCGAGGACCCCCTCGCTACTGCTCTTCAGAAGTACGCCCTTGCCGAGGAGCGGGTTGGTGAGGCTCGTTTGGCCCAAGATGCCCAGATCCAGTCCCGTTTCTTGGCTGGCTGGAACACTACACTCAACACCAACTTGATGTTCGCTGCCAAGGCGCGCAAGAACGTTGAGAACTCCCGCTTAATGCTTGACTCTATCAAGGCTAGTAAGAAGGCTGCGGCCAAGGGTGACCTCGACAACCTGAGCGAGGACGCCCGTGCAGAGATTGAGCAGGCCGAAGATGAGTTCGTCGGTCAGACCGAGGAGGCTGTGAGCGTGATGAAGAACGTAAGTCTTATCTGAATCTCTAAACTTTACAATGCATACACTAATGTCTACCCCCTTGCAGGTACTTGATACCCCTGAGCCCCTGCGCAATCTGGCCGACCTGATCGCTGCCCAGCTGGAGTTCCACAAGAAGGCTTATGAGATTCTTAGTGAGCTTGCTCCAACTGTGGATGCTCTGCAGGTTGAGCAGGAGGCCAGCTACCGCAAGAGCCGCGAAGGTGCTTGAGTGTCTTCGTTAATCCCGCATGTTGTATTCTCTTCGTTATTTGAACCCGGATTAGTGATGTACTAGTTAATTAACTGGTAGTTTTTATTCGTACTTGCCCTCGTTTTCTGCCGTCTTAAGGATCAGGCCCGAATTTGTCATCTTCTTGCCTTCTAGATGCCGTCTAAGCTGATGAGAAGTCCTATACGTCTGCGTAGCTCGGAATACACGTGTATAATGTCATTAGTTTCCATTCAATTCTCATATGGACAGGTCAGAGTAGTAGTCTGTTGTCGTCAGTGACCGCCCTGATGCCTGAGGCGCCAAAGCTAGCTCCAGGAGCTCCGACAACCGACGCCGTTACTTAACCCCACGCTTGTCAATCAACTTCCTTACCGTTGCGACAAAGTCAGCGATAATACATTGACAGGGATAACGACGCAAACCCTCGACTCTTCCTGTTCCGAAATCTCAAACAATCAACCCGAATCGCTAGTTAATTGTCCCGCTGTCTGCAACTCCACTGGCCTGCCTGCGTCTTTTACAGAAGACCACTCCACCCGCGCTCAATTCGGCACGAATTACACTATCCTAGAAATAAGGATATTTAACTCTAGATTGCGCCCATCTTCGAGATTGTCGTAGACCCTCACTCCTACCCTGCCCGACGTGTCTAGTTGGTGCATTACGATCACGAATCTCGCGCCTTTGAATACCTTCTCAAAATGGCAAACGGGTATGTCTTTCCATGATTAGCTCCAAGATCTGGCGGTCAAGCTAGGACTCTGCTCTACGGCGACAAGGTCGGCTGCCCGCCACGTCAGATCAGATCCCATTCTTTCATGCATGTCAATCCAACCCTCAGTAATAGATGCTAACATGATATTGTTTAGCTGGAGTCTCCTCGTTGGCTTAATTGTCATCATAGTAGCTTCCCTGGCTGCTTGGTTTCTGAGCCCGAAGGGCGAGAATCAAACGTTAGTTTCATTACCGCACTTTTTCCAACGACAGAACAAGACCACTTCGGCGACACTTGTTCATAAGCTAATTTTCGATTTTCAGCGTCACCCGTAACACTCTCATTCTCACTTTCATCGCTTGTTACTTAATGTGGGGTACGTTATCATCTTCCGACCCTATAGCCATCGCTCTCCTTCCTGGAGATCCGGTGGAGAGCCTAGAATGTCAGTGCTGACATCCATTCTTATAGCTATTGTCTTCCTTGCACAGCTGCACCCCCTCATCGTTCCAAAGAGGGCAGATATTCGACCGGACCGAGTCCCGAGATAAACTGGTGGTTTATTTACGTTTCTTTGATTTTCCCTCCGCTATTTCGGGCTCATGTTGATTTGTTTATGTGACATATTATCGTGGCTTTATTACTTTCATACCCTCGGACAGAGTCCGTAGAGGGCCGGGGCCCTTGTTGAAAACCCGGTTTTCAAGTGGATCATCTTTATGGCTAAAGAGCAAAGAGTTTTGATTCCTGGTGGTCTGATCTGAATATTGGCTACTTGAGAAATGTATGCTTAGGTTTGCGGGTGTTTTGTATAGTTTAAACGTTTTGCATTTCTGCACTTTCACTTCGCTTGGGACTGCAAGGTTGTTTCCTATTTCCAATTCTTTATCTCTGTTCAAAGTTGGCTACCCATAAACTACTTTTTCTCTTTATTCTCTGCATGTCCAGCGTGTTATCGTTCATTATATTTCCAGATTTTGCATGTCGCCTTCTAGGCTCAGCAGGCCCATTGCCAGATGTGCTCGATCAGGTGGGTGCACGACCATAAATCGCCGGTCATCACTCTCATTCACTTGAGCTCTGATGAGGACATCGTTATGCTTTGAAGGAGTTAGCTTGAATCACATAAATATAAAAGATAGAGCTCACAAGTATTTCACGATTCCGGTCAGTCTGGAAAGATCGCTCATATGGAGGTCCCCGGCCCTGACTAGCTGCAATGATCCAAGCCTTCTCACAGCCACCGGCGATGGCGTCGGATGTTTTCCATCCAGTCAGGCGGGACACGTCCCTTAGCTGACTAACTATCCAATGTCGCTGTGCAGCATCTATATACTGCACGGCAGCGAAGAAGACAGGCATCGTCATCTCCGTCAACGAGGATCCAAGAGTTGGACTCAAACTACCAGCCTGCAGGTTAAAGCTCTGTGGGGAGTAAATACCTGCGGTGATCCGGCCTATTATCTGCGCAAGTTCTGCTGTTGTTGGGGCTGCCACGCCAGCAGCCATCATCATGGCTGGGGGCATTGAAGGATGGAATCGGTGCAATAAGATCCGTCCAGCGTAGTAGAAGCCCAGGATCACCGCGATTGTAGTTGTGCGATATTGCAAGGCAGGGCCGAATGGTGATGGGATAGTTGCTGTGACGTCTGCTGGTAAAGGCTGAAAGTCTCGACCCAAAGCCCGAAAAAAAGTATCCATGGCAACTAGTATCTCTTCCCACTCTTTTTCTGCATCGTTGTAAGTGGTATCTTCACTGTGATCCTCTTCCTCGGGGGTTGTTGGTTGCCCGCGACGATCTTCTACGAATTCAACAGGTACACGAGCTGGGCCACTGGGAGGCACCATTCCATACATCGGTGGACTTGCTTGAGAGGAAGCCGATGGAGGTCCAGATGCAGGTCCAGATCCTGGGTTAGGCGGACCTGATGGTGACGCTTTTGGTAGCCCAGTAGGCCTTGAACCCCCCGGAGGACCTGGGGGACCACGTGGAGGTCCTCCAGGTGGTCCTGAGCCACCACTGAAGCGACCCATGAACCGGAACATTCCCGGAGTTGGTCTCCAATCTGTGCCCGCAGTTCGAAGAGCCTTGAGCTTTCGCTTGCGGTCACGGTGGCCAAATTCAGATACTCGTGCCAACAGCAGCCAAAGATGATCAGAAGAGCCATAAATAGCATCTATGCGACCAATACCTGCTCGTGGTGGGCATTGACCGTGCAGGTAATATGGCAAGCTAAATATAATATCAGCAAAATATCAATCATAATTAGCTCCTTGACTCACAAGAGTTTCTCCCCACTGATCAAGCTATGGAAGACGTCCTGTTTCGTGAACCACCAGTACAAGTCGCACTGGATTCGGTACGTCTCAATATCCTTCCGTGAGAAATTCTTCTTGAATGGTGTGCTATATCCTTCGTCAACATGTCCAAATTGGTCCCAATCTACAACTCGGCCCAGAATTGCACTAATGAGGACTTGGTCGACTGTGGCTTCTTTCGCAGCAAAAGGGTCATCCTCAGATACATCCGCCCCGAGGGCGTGATGGTAGTACATGGAAGAGTCAGTCCAACCCATTTGACTTCGCTGCTCGTTGATTATTCGCCGATAAGCCCGGATATCACGAGTGGTACCAGCCCAGTCCACTTCTCGGATCAAATGTACGGCGCCGGCGATGTGGCTATTCCATTTGGTGTGATCGGCCGAGATAACCTCATAGTAAGCTAACAGCTGAGTAGCAGCAAGAGTCCCGATTTGCTTGCGTCGTGTTGGAAGGCCAACAGCTCGACCGATCCGCTTCAAAGCAAAGTGGTAGTGCTTCAGGGAGACAGTGGTAGGGACCCCTTGGAGGTATGCAATGTGCAAACTGGAAATTGCGAGAATAGATTGGAGTAAAGCCGGATGTTCGAGTGCCTTGAGTGGTAAAGTATATGCCCAGAGGCTACGCTGAGCAGGTGGAACTGGGGCTCCTAGATCAATTGAAGCGTCGGTTGGATGCCGTTCGAACATCGACAGGGATGGACCCGTCGAGTGTATGAAATGGGCAAAAATGCGAGCCGTTTTGGGATTGTTAAGTGGAGAAGAGCTTAGAGTTGGATAATAGGTGGCGAGGACATTTGGTTCGTTCAGGTGAGTAGTGAAGGAACGAAGCCGGCCATCATCACGATTTGCAGAGGCCATGATTAGATTTAGCTGATTAAAGCCTTCAGTTTGGGTGTGGTCAAAGATCTCTTCATCGGATTCCAAATCGTAATGGTCTTCTGCCTCAATATCCACATATATGACTTGTGGTTGAGATGGTGGAATGAGGGGACCAGGACTGAAAGGTGTAGGCAATTGAGCATGTTGTTGTGGGTACTGGTATCCTGTCTACAAAGACTATCAGCACGAATGCAACGATATAAACCCAACTATGTACTGACCTCGCAAAAAATGGGCCCAGATTCCACATGGTTTGCATCAGTCTGTGGTAGTGGACCAGCAAGATAATCTTGACTTTCGATACTGTCCCAATTAGTGATTGGATGTGGATATTGCTCTGGAGCATGTTGAGTATTTGATTGATGCACTATGCCATCTGTCGAGGAGTCTTGATTTAGATCTTGCCATTGTTGTGGAGCGTGTATGGGAGCAGGATAATAGAATGGAGTAGCTCCCCCATTTGCCTGTGGGTCAGATTGAGCCGATGAATAGGGATCGACAGGCCGTGGGGCCAGCATTGGGTGCTGAGCGGCCGCGGCGGCATGTTGAGCGGGGAGAGGAAAGTCTTTATGAGACACTCGACTTTGTTGCATTTGAGCATCTTGACCATGATGACCGTATGAACCAAAGACACCAAGGGGATTTTTAAAGACGACGCGTTGAACATAGCCCTCGCAGATCCTCTTAGATTTTATGCAGTTGTTGCATATTGGTTTCTCCTCACCACACTTGATTCGACGTTTCCGACATGCTATAGAATGGTCAATTACCTGTGTATACAAATCGAGAGAGGGAATCGTCGTCTTCAAGTGCACATACTCAAACATCCAGTCTTGGCCCGCTTTTTCGGAAGCTTGCGGGGCTGACTTTTGGCGGCGGAAGAAGGCCCATCAGAAGTTGAATCTTTGAGCTCTAGCTGATCGGCCATGGTAACAGACGAGAATGGGGTTTCAAGGCAGGAACAGAGTGAAAAGAGAAAACGTCAGGATAGAACAAGACTAGGTCTGGATGCAGTTCAGCTCGACTCCACAAGGAAGGAGCTTCCGATGCCGCAGATCACCTGCGCCCACTTGTATGTGCGACCACTACGGGGTTATTTCAAGGGAACTTGGGAAGATGAAGACTCCATGAAGAAACTTATTGCGTGATTTTATGTCCCGACCCTTATTCAACGGGGTAATCTACTATGTATATGAACTGGGCACAATCTGACACGAGGCCCACCGGGCCCAAGTCTGGGGAACCCCAGCAAAGTTAGATGCCGATTGAACCCGATAAAGCTAGCTGCGTAAGTACTCTGTAGGTACCTAGAAGATGCGCATCTAACAGGCGCTAAATATTGGTAGATAGACTAAAGTTGAGATTTGGGACAGCAAACAGGATTCATAATATAAGCTCGACACGAGGAAGCTGAAAGCTGAAAGTGGATTGCTTGGTCCTCAGAGACTCAGGCATTTCTAAGAGGTTGTTCGTCAGTAACCGGTTGATAAACGACAGTCTCCCTAGATTGGTTGTAGATGGAGTTGACATTAACTGGCATCTACTCCTGATAAATACGATGTATGTAATAAACGTAATCTACGTACCGGGCGAACCGCGGAGATGGTAATTTTGCCGATAACATTTTTTTTTTTCTGCGGAGCTCGTAGCTTTTCAACTCCACCCTTCAGGACACCTCCTTGAGTCTAAGAGCCCAATCAAGCCAAGAGGCTAACGAAAGTTTCGAGCCTTATCCTTGATCAAAATGTTCGCTGTTCCAGGATGGTCAGTCGAGAACTCGGCTCTAAAGAAAGAGACCGATCCGTCTGTGCAGTCTAAAGACCAGCCAAAGAAGGACTCGCAAGGAAAGAACAACAAGCGCAAGCGTAATGACCATGTTACATCAGGCAATGTCGGGGATATGTACCGCAAGCACATCGAGGGCCATAAACCTAAGCCCGCAAAGCGTACAAAGCCCGAGAAGAAGAAAGAAGAGGGCGAGCTGAACGAGAAGAATGCCAAAGAGAAGTCATCGCCCACAGACGACACTGCCCAGCCTATTCAAGAAGAAGAGAAGGCCCCCAAGAAGAGACAAAGAAAGAACAAGAAGAACAAGGAACAGGAGAATCAATCCGATGAGACCCAGGCTCCTGCATTGACTGACCCTTCCACCTCCTCCATGGCTGCTGTGGCATCTGCACCACCAACCACCTCCGCAACACTTACCCCTCTACAACAGGCAATGCGCCAAAAGCTCATTTCCTCCCGATTCCGCCATCTGAACGAAACCCTGTACACCACAGATTCATCCAAGGCCGTTGAGCTTTTCAACAACAACCCCGAACTCTTCTCTGAGTACCATGCCGGTTTCTCGCGCCAAGTGAAGGAATCATGGCCCTCAAACCCGGTCGATGGCTACGTCAAGGCCGTCCGCACCCGCGCTGCTGTCCCCACTCCCAAGCGAGGAATGAAGCCAGCACCAAACAAGCCAATGCCTCTTCCACGCAGGCCCAATGGCGCATGCACCATTGCTGATCTGGGCTGTGGTGATGCCGGTCTTGCGCGCGCTCTGACACCATCTGCTAAGAAGTTGCATCTCAAGCTTACTAGCTACGATCTCCAAGCTCCGGACCCTCTCATCACCAAGGCGGATATCTCCAACCTTCCCGTGGAAGATGGATCCGTCGATGTAGCCATTTTCTGTCTGAGTCTGATGGGCACGAACTGGGTCTCTTTCGTTGAGGAGGCCTGGCGCGTGCTCCGCGGTGACGGCAAGGGTGAGTGCTGGGTCAGTGAGGTGAAGAGTCGTTTCGGCAAGGTCAACCGCAAGAAGTCTCAGATCGGAGCTCAGAAGCCCCTTAGCAAGACCGAGCAAAAGAAACAAAAGAAGAAGCAAGACGAAGAAGAGATTGACGAGGCGGACATCTTTGCTGAGGATGCTCGCCCGGCTGCTACTGATGATGAGACGGATATCACTGCCTTTGTCGAGGTCTTCCGTAGTCGTGGATTTGTACTGAGACCCGAATCGTTGGATAAGTCCAACAAGATGTTTGTGAGAATGGAATTTGTGAAATCTAGTGGTGCGCCGTTTAAGGGTAAGCATACTTCAGCTGCTCCTGCGGCGGCTGCGGCTGCTGGAAAGAAGCGATTTGTGGACAAGAAGCCTGAGAATGGCATGACAGAGGAGCAGGAGGCTCAGGTTTTGAAGCCTTGTGTGTATAAGATTCGCTAGTCGAGGCCGGGTTATCAAAAAGTATCATTTATCTAGTCCAGTGCTTTACTGGTCCGAACCGCATATTTAAAGGTGGCATTTCATATATCCAAACAATATTACATCTTTACTTACGTGTGAAACCTGACCTGTATGTTGTCTTTCTAGTGCTTTTTTCAGATAGCGGGGGCATAAATGTGTGGAATTGATATCCGCGACCAAAAGACTAACAATTACATCGTGCTAGTTACTTCATTTATTGGTTGCTGCCCAGCTGTGCCACAGCCTGGCCCATCTCCTCATCGTTGTAGATTTTGAAACCCTTCTCCTTGGTGACACTGGCTAACTGGACGTTCTTCGAGTCCAGCTTCTCCTCCATAACCTGCTTCAGTGTCTTCAAGACCAGTGACTCGGCCTCGGCAAGCGTCAAAGAGCGGTGGTATTCGTTCTGCAGCTCAGCCTGGGCACCTTCACTTCCGGAACCGATAGCCTTGGCGTCATATCGATAGAATGTACCAGAGGGTTCAGCGTGATACAGCTGTGGCCCATCTTCATCGAATCCAGCAATTAACAGAGCAACACCAAATGGCCGACTCATAACACTCTCTTCATCATCACCGCTCTCTCCAAATCGGAGAGCCAAATCGCAAATCGCCTGTGTGGTACTCTCAACGCGTAGAGGTTCGGCATAGTGGAAAGCGTGGTTCTGACATTCAACACGGGCATGTTCGACAAGGTTACGGGCATCTGCTTGCAGACCGGACATGGCACAGCCGATATGCGAGTCGATTTCGACGATTTTCTCCACGGACGAAGCTTCTAGCAAAGTAGATGTGACACGCTTCTCAACTCCGAGAATGACACCTTCGGACGTTGCGACCTTGATAAAAGCGAGTCAGATTGTTGGATCTTGAAGGGTCTTGCCCCTCTGGACTTAGAGTGTAGAAGGGTAGCTCGAATAGAGCTAGATACACTCTCGAGGAACGTTATTAGATGGAGTTGGGGACTTACACCGATAGCTGTGGAACCTAGTTTGATGGCCTCGAGGGAGTATTCAACTTGAAAAAGGCGACCCTCAGGGGAGAATGTGCTGTAAAGAGGAAAGATTGTTAGATAACTCGCTCCTGAAAAGTAAGAGAGAGATGGTTGTACTTGATTCCACGGTCTATTCAACATCTGTTAGCGATGCCGGGCGGTGTTGTCAGATAGTGATTAAGCTTACCATATTCAGATCGGGCGATGAACATGTTGGGCGATGGACGTGAACCTGGTAGCTCAAAGTAGGAGAAAAAAGACGGATTCGGGGGTCAGAAGGGTGATAGTGGTGAACAAGTGGAGGACTGAAGCGACTGAAGACCGAGCTCATTGCGGGAAGCTCAAGTACGGCAAGTCGGCGTGCCTGGTTGACACCTCAGGCGATAAGGCAGAAATAAAGAAGCCCAAACAACCTCGATGATTGAAGGGCGACTTGAAGTACTTTGTTCCACTTCTATCAAGTTGTCGGGGTTGAATGGACACAAATTTGAAATCTCGGAGATATGAAATGTTAGAAATAACTTAGATTCCATTTTCAATTTTCTTTCTTTTTCCTTTCTGAGCAAAACAATTGCATTAACGCGACAATGAGTGCTCCACGACCCCGCGCCCTCTCCAGTCGCGTCGACCCCGGACTTGGTCGCAGTCCCATTTCACCTTTACAGAGTACAATGGATTCCATGCGCTCAAGTACAACCAGTCCTAAACAGAGAATGACCCGAGATCTGAAAAATACCGAAAAGCGTACTGACCGCTCCGTCATCACAACAAAAGAGAAGATAATACGAAGGAATACAGTTAACGCCTCCAACCGTGGCGATCGCGAAAAACCACGGTCTCAACCAGCGAGTTTCTCTCATCCATCCAGCTTTGATGGTGCAAATGTAGGACCTCGACAAACAGAGCAGCACCCTGGTGAGTTGTCTATCCTGCTCGCGATGCATTATATTTACATAGCACTGACATCACATCTTTACAGTAGCAGTATGGAATCCTCAAGCATCTCTAACTCCTCACTCGTCGGCCCCCCTTGCCTGTCGTGTATCCGTTCCTCCTCCAGCTTCGACAGTACCGCAGTCCCTTCTCCCCCGACATTTCCGAGATCTTTCACCCGACGACCAGGAAGCGGCGATCCTAGATGATTTACTCTTTGTGTTCATGGGCTTCGAGGGCCAGTACATCCACTACCATAGCTCTTATGACCCGTCGGTAGAAAAAGACCGGCTAGGTGGCCCGACATTCCAATTGTCGCCTGGCTTAGATCCCACTTTGCGCGATCTTGCACAGTCGATGTTGAAGATGGCGACCCACTACAGCGCGATGGAGGCCTTTGTGGAGATTCAGAGCCGTGCCGAGTACGGTGCTGTCAGTCATGCGCTTTGCGCATCTATACGAAAACTCCTGAAGGACTATCTGATCCTGATCGCGCAACTGGAAAACCAGCTACTGAATAATCCTACATTTACCCTCCACCAACTTCACCTCCACACGATGCCCACTAGTCAGTGTCTAGCTCAGTTGTATTCTCTGGGGCAGGAGCTTCTTAAGAATAATGGTCTTCTGGACCAAGATCTCGATGACACAATTGACGATTTCGACGACGTTGACAATATTCTTGAACAGCTCAAAGAAGGAGGCAATCTATTGCCGGGATCCATGGCGAGCCAGAAGATCTTCAAGGGAGGGAACGTGCTCAGACTACTCACGGAGCGCCTGGCTACATTTTCTGGCGACCCGACAACAAAGAACCTCATTCAGACATTGCTACGCGATGCCAGTCGACCGTATATGAACATGTTGAATGAATGGCTACATCACGGTGGAATCAGGGACCCACATGCAGAATTCCTGGTGAAGGAACAAAAATGGATCAAGCGAGAAAAGTTGGAAGAAGATTACACAGATGAGTACTGGGAGAAACGGTATACGATCCGTGAGAATGAGGTTCCACCGCAACTCCACAGCGTAAGGGATAAAGTCCTTCTCGCCGGGAAATATCTCAATGTTGTCCGCGAATGTGGTGGAGTAGATGTCAGTAAAGCTGTGAAAGACGCACCCAAAACCCTTGACGACCCACGCTTCTTGGAAAACGTCAATGCCGCTTATACATATGCCAATGCCTCTTTGTTAAATCTCCTTCTCACTAAGAACTCTCTCACAACCCGATTCCGCTCTCTCAAACACTACTTCTTCCTCGACCGTTCTGACTTTTTCTCTTATTTCCTCGAGCTTGGAGCATCCGAACTGCAGAAGCCTGCCCGAGTGGTCAACGAGGGCAAACTACAGTCACTTCTTGATCTTGCGCTGCGTCAACCTGGCAGTATTGCTGCCCAGGATCCGTTCAAGGAAGATGTAAAGGTCAAAATGAACAAGATTGGGCTCACAAAATGGTTAATGCAGGTGGTCAGTGTCTCTGGTATCGACCAAGATCATCCGGAGGCGGCACTTGTAAAGCAACAGGCTTCGGCTGCTCGGGCTGCAGATGATGATAAGAATATTTCAGGATTTGAGGCACTGGAGCTGGACTACTCAGTGCCCTTCCCACTATCTCTTGTCATCAGTCGCAAAACTGTTCTACGATACCAACTCATATTCCGACACCTTCTATCACTACGCCACCTGGAGACGCAGCTGGTCGCATCTTGGGCAGAGCAGAATAAGGGGGCCACCTGGCGACATAAATCATCCGACCCAAGGTTAGAGAAATGGAAACGACGTACGTCGAACCTACGAGCGAAGATGCTCGTCTTCATTCAGCAGATGTTGTATTTCTCTACGTCTGAAGTCATCGAACCCAACTGGGTGGCGTTGATGGATCGAATCAATGGAGCAGATGCCAACGGATCCGAGGTGACCGTGAATGGCACGAAGCAGGGCAACCGAACTGTTGATGAATTGATGCAGGATCATGTTGACTTTTTAGATACCTGTCTCAAGGAATGTATGCTCACAGAAGCCAAACTGCTCAAGGTATGTGATCAACCTGCTGAACCTTTGCAGTCTATTCCGTGGCTCACTCTTTTTACTGCAGATCCATTCCAAGATAATATTATGTTGTACCATGTTCGCAAGTTGGACTACGTCCTCTTCATCCTCACTCACGCGCTTCCTGGTCGTTGCTGATCCTGAGCTGGCGCAAAAAGCACCGGGCGATAGCGGAGGCTACGACCCTGCAAAGCTCCAAAAGCTTGAAGACACATTGAAGAGATATGAGGACCACTTTCACCGCCATCTGCGGATTCTCCTGGACAGGTTGGTTATTATCCATCTGTATTTGAATTTGATGCTAACTCTGAAGCAGCATGAACTATTTTGCTGCCACTGAAAGTGTAGTGTTACTCAAACTTGCACACTCGCTCAGTTCTATCAACAGAGAGGATTGAGTGATCATGATGTTCTCATGTTCATGTCTTATGGATATTTTCAACTCTATTCCTGAGGGATGATGGGAGTAAAGACCTACAAACGATGATATTCATAGATCCAAATACAAGGCACCTATGAAATTAATTTTGTATCATGAATTCGGGGATTTCTGTGTTATTCCTGCGTCTTATTTTTTATACAGCAGGATTGTAATATAACCTCTTTTTCTTGTACTCCGTAGTGCTTATTTACATCAGACCAAATCATTGGAATGTAAACGGAGTTGTCGCGCGAGTTCGCGCCGAATCCCGAACGTCAGCCCTACAGTCAGCTCCAACTACATATTTAACAAATTCAAATATCCAATGACGCCCTCTCAACCTGAAACTCCCTTGAACATTTCTGTCTGAAAAGTAAGTTTAAGTGATATCTCCTATACAGCGTGCGATAAAGAAAAATACCTCAGGAATCCAAATGCCGTTCACTAACTCCATCGCCTCCTTCCTCCATGCTGTCCCATCCCATCTCCCTCAATCTCAACATGAGCGCCTTGCTCTCGCCGTCGGCGCAGCCGCCCTCATAGGCTCTTCAGCCCTCATTATTCCCGCCGCGTATCGCGACTATACTATCTTCAAATCCTACGGCCCGGGTGGCCTTCCAAACAATATCTTCGGATGGGTGTTTGTTCGCGGTCTATACCAGCACTTTGGGCGCGAAATGCTCAGCACAGAGGAGTACGACAGACGCAAGGACGCAGCAGAGGGACATGGGAAGGAGGATGAGGGCTATTTGACTTTGACTCCCGAGCAACTTGCTTTGCGTCAGAAGGATGGTAGGCCGGTTATCGGTCCACATGTTGTACCGCAGCGTCAATTGACGCAAGTCCCAGATGAAGATGTGATGGAAGTAAGTAGGAAAACTGACAGTCTCAAGTATATCTCAGCTTCGACTCTGATATGAAAGCTTGCGCCTGGGCTTGATGCACATGTATCTACTAGACGGCTAACAGGTCCTTACAGAAACTCAGTACGACTTTCCGCTCGTTCGGGCTGCGCAATCACCATCTTGTTAAATCCCAGCGCTCAAATTTGGAAGCTCATGCCGATGCTTTGTTCCTCGCAGATAATCTGCCGGCTACTGACTTGGCGGTACAAATGAAGGGGGAGATTACGCATCTACACCAAGGGAATGATCACTCTGCTCATCTCATCCTTGCACCGACCGACTGTAAGTCCTTGTCCACTGTCTGAAACTCTTTTTTTGCGGCGTATGTGCTGTGACTTTTTTTCTTTTATTCTGACTGTACTTCAGGTAAGAGAGTCATTGATGCGGGCTGGGGCCAGCGTCACGCCTTCTCAGGAATCTCGGCTATGCCGTTCCTTACCTTTGGAATGGTGAATAATCTCCCTTCGGAGTATATTCTCATATATGCGCCCCGTAACGAGGAAGAAATCGAAGTTGTTATGCAGATAATTGCAGCTTCAGTGAAATTCATGACTGGGCGGGAGAATGTGCGGTAGATTCCTCGATTCCAAGGGATATTGATATCCTTGGCTAAACTCAGGCTGTGGTTTCATACTTCGATTCACGTTTATTATTTTGATATCTAGGCTAGCTTTGTGTAAAGGTACCCCACTCCACTCACTGAAGAAAAAGTAGAACCCTTGGAATAGAAAGATGCGGAATACATGTACTTTTGCCCTCAAGTATCATGTTCAAGCTCAATCTCAGTCGTCCACCTGAGCAGGAAATGATGATGAAATATCCTTGATACACGGCCAATCCTTTTGTCCCGAAGGCATGCTATTTTGACAATCCAGATACTTAGGTGTGCATCGTCGAGCTTTTCAAAAAAGTACTCTTATCAGGTTCATGTTAGTGGCCAAAATCTGCGTTGTTAGCACTCATCTTCTTTAGTCTCAAAGCAGATCAAACATACCAAGGTCTGCCTTCGAAACCAAATTTACCTGGAAATATATTTGAACTTGATTGAACGTTGCTCTGAAAGACAAAAGCCCCGAGAAGATGATTGAGGACTATTGATTTTCCAGTTGAGCAGGAATCAATCATTGTGTACAGCATGGCATTGTCCCATTGAATATATCATAGACGACCTTGAAGCCGATCACTCTGAATCAAGAGCAGGCACAAGCTAGACAGAGATAAAAGATCCCACCGGTGAAGAAGAACAGACTTGGCAAGAAGGTCAATGATATGCTGAGACACATCAGGATGCGGAAAATAGCATTGACGATCATGGAACTTGCACAGAGCGCAGATATAGCCAGTATCTGTCACTTGTGTGCAGCAGTTAGGGCTTTTTCCAGCGATTCTTTTGAGTATGGTCTCATCAACGATGATGGCCCAAAGGCAGTACATGCAGGGAATGCTATATGAAGGAATGATGAGGTCTATGGAATCCATGACAGTAGAGGCTTTGGATGGTTGGATTAAAGGAGTCGATGCTGGTAAATATGCTGTATGGTGAATGGAAAGTTCAAGGTAAAAGGAGATGGAGAAGTAAACTTTGGAAGTGATGTTTCCAAAAGAATGAGAAAGATGGTGATCCTTTCTGATTCTATTGACACTGATGCCTAATTTAGACCTTCAAGGCTCCTTCCTGATACAATGTCTAGGGAGCATCAACCACGTCAAAATTCTAATCATCATTACCCTTATACTTCTGGGCGAATTAGTTCAAAAATAATTTGCTTCAGAGGACTTGAACATTGGCTCATATGCAGATTACAATATTGAAAGGTTGCGAATTGTCCTACCCTCAGAGCCCCAACTCAAGGCATCAATGGCTTCCTCCAGAAAGACCTCCACGTGGAAAGACTCAACAAAATCAATTACTATCTCTGGCCAGCCAGTCGACCGATACCATCTCGGTCTCTAGACTACCAAATTGCCACGTCGCGGGACATACTCGTGGATGAGCGAATCGACATGCATCTTGTCTGGGAAAATTCTAAGCACCCTCATTTGAAGCCTCTCTCAAGATATCTCCTTGGTGCTGAATTCTGGAATTTAAATCTCATCCGCGCTCGAGAATGTTGCACTGGACCACCAAACTCCGTCATTTAAGCCCCGAACCTCTGCACGAAGAATTTGCACAGTTGTGCGCTGGAATTTCTCAGCTCCTATATCGCACTTTTCCAATTTAAAAGTGATCTATAGATCGCTCACAGCCTCCATATCTTACTGCGAGAAATCACCTGGAATAATTGGATCAAATTTGTCGCGGAGCTATTAGAAAATGGGGCGACCCTACAAATCTCAATCCCAGGTATTTGTTCGGCGAACTAAGACTATAACAATTGAATAAGATCTACGTATTTCGGTACAGCAAGATGCAGGGCTATCAATTCACATATCAAACCTATGGCGAGCTGTTTAGGGACTACCGTACACCGTTTTCCACGGCTACAATCTGCGTCGCTTTGGTGCTAGCTGACATGCAGGTAGGATTGACAACCAACTGCTTGAGTGGCAGCGGAGACTTCCAGCTCGCAAATAATACTATGGATGCAGAGAAATTCAAACGGGCATAGCTTGCATGTTATGGGATATCGTCGTCACAGACATCTTGATTTTCAATTGAAATGAGCGACGAGAGGCTTCTTCTACAGGCGATCCTGAAGTTATTATTGAAGAAGTCTCTCTTCGATCAGTGGACTGCCTTCCATGATCTTGGCAAAGTTGTGGGCATCGAGACATGCTTGACGTGAGCCGAGAAGGCTGGGCCTCACACGGGTAAAAATTGTCCTCTCGTACGCTTCAAGAGATGCAGCCAGCGTTTCCAACTTGAAGGACCTGTATGTTAGATATAGTTAGCATTTCAAATTATAAAATATCAGGACTTGACTGCCTACTCAGGGTTTGTCATGTCCACTATCTTCACTAGATCTTGAACGTCAATGATAGAATTGTTAGCTCCCTCTCCACGATCTGAAGCCTAGTCAGTCACGCGAACTACATTTGGGAGTAATGCTTAACATACACATAGTCATGGTATGAGCCGAGTCACCCATTAATACTGTTCTTTGATGCACATGTGTCCGATTTGGATGAAACATCCAGTCCTCAATTCGGATAGAACGGGCAGCAATATCATCCGGAAGGTTGTGCACCAGCGATCGGAAAGGCTCCGCCCAGTCTGCGGTCAGTTTTTTCATCAGAGCTATGCGTTCAGAATCACCATCTGGAACTGCAATATTCTGTGTGTCATCCCAGGAAACAATGACCTGGCAGTGATACTTGTCCTTACTGCTTTCTTCGAAGTTGGCCGGCGTGTCCAAGACTGTTCAGAATTCAATATTATGAGACAACATGATGGAATAAGAACATACAGCCGAAGAAGAGAAATATATTGGTGTCGGGGTGAGTTCCCATGAAAATAAATGGGTCGATCGACTGCGCACCTTTCATATCCTCGACGGAATATAATGGTGATGCCCCGAGAAGTTGCACAGGCAATGAATTCATCTGATAGCTAGGATACAAGATCTGGCGGGCACGCGATCGAGCTCCATCACTCGCAACAAGTAGTCTCCCTGTATACGAAGTACCATCCTCGAACTGAGCCGTGATGGAATCATCGGAAGATTCCATGCTGACAAAATTTTTGTTCCACTAAATTTCGATATCAGTATATGGCAAATAAACAATTTATTCTCTTAGAACAGACCTGAATATTGATTCCAGCCGTCAAAACCTGTCGCAGACGGCCCCGATTCACTCGAATGCGCTGGGCAGCAGGGATATTGTAGATTGACTCGCCGGATTTTAAATCGAAGAAGTGGAATCGCCCAACATCGCCCCGTATTGCTGCATCTTTGTTCACAAAACACTCCGGAAATTGTTGCACGACGGACTCTGGGAGCAACTCGCATAATGCCGGAAGCGCCCAGGTTAATGTAAGCCCCCACCCACCATTTCGAGTATCTTGAGCTGAGTCGCGCTCAAATATCTGGTAGAGAACTCCTTTACTCTGAAGGTACTGGGCTAGTACCAGACCACTGATGCCAGCACCGATTATTAGGATGGGGTCTGACATGTTGATAAGTATGATGGTTGGACGTTGGAAGGAGGGGTTTCTTTCCCACCAACATGCTTCATTTGTACTTCACTTGGCATTTGCTATTATTTACATCATCTTTTATTGTAACAAAAACAACATTGAAGCTGTTTTTCACATTGGAAATCTAACGGGAAATTTCCTAGATATCAATTGAACTAGCTTGTCATTCACATAGGCCTTTTAAGAGATGTCCATTTTTTCGCTACTTAGGTATAGATAATGTACTTTCGGAATAAATTACTCGTAATATGAGAGCATCTCTGCAGGTATATCTTCAACCAGAATAGGAAAGATAGTTCCAAAGTTAATATATAAGCTCTCTACCACCTTCTCAACTCGGAACCATCAGCAGATCGACTCTGGACATATTGTGGTCTGTCGTTGTGGTCGCGTTAGTGTGGTAGGCTATATTAGACTAGTTCAGTACTGATTTAGTCGAATGGACCAGTAGAGGGTATTACCTCAGATATCTTACTGATAGTCCCAGCCTTGGAAGTTTGATTCCTTACCTACGACTCCATTTACATGGCAATCAGCGACGGGCTTCGAGGAGTCGCCAACCTATTCTTATGTATGTAGGTAGGCCTCTGGCTATGGCGAGCGAGTGCACCGATATTAGGTCTACTATCATTTGTTCTTGACCACCAACAATACCATGTGAGCCTGTCTGTTATGTCGGGTTGTTACATCGAGTTATGGTCATCTTGCCATCGGTCAACAGCCACTTTACTTTTACTATGATTATCATTCTCAATTTACTTTGCTTTCACTCTGACTTCTACTTCGCTTTATCCTTATTCACTGCCTGGGTCCTCACTTGCCTTCATATTCCAACTTCCTCCTTTATTTATAAGCCTCACTTCTTCTCTGCCTGGGTATTAATTCCTACCTCTCACCTGAGAGGTGCAATCCCACTTCTTCGGTGCTCAACTTACAATATGTCTTCCTTCCAATTTTAGGTGTGGTGATCTCAGGAACAGGATCCATCATTTCGTTTTGTGGTGCATAAGATGGCGTCCATGCTGCTGAGCTTATTCAAAAGTCTCATTGTCTATTGCGGGATGTGCGTTTGCAAGCTGTCTCCATCATCAATCAAAGGAGGCACGTCGGCAAACTGTCTCTATCATTGAATACTGGACGTGAGCTCGCAACCTTGCGGCAAGTACTCCCGGCCGGGGAAACATTCAGTACTTCGCTTTAGTCACGCCCCAACAAGGCTGTTTGACCAGATAGATGATGTCTATATTATCAGTCTTGGACGCGCATTTGCAAGTGACTGACCAGTGGCTTTAAGCCTATGACAGGTCTGGTGGTTATTGTTCATGGTAGCGTGAGCTTAAAACAATGGCCTCACAATAGAGAATGGTGATGTTATTCTGGTTCCAATGCAGATCCCCCAACTCAATCTCGAGTCTTCCAGTCTCAAGCTCGATTCGATCAAGGTGGGGTTTACTACCTCCCACCCCAATCTTGATTCCTTCGCTTCAGATGAATCAAAGATCACAATTGGATCAATTCATATCCTCCTATAATTGCTATAGAATATTGAAATTGATTTTGACCGAGCACCTCGTAGAGGTAGCGAGAAATCAACCGACAGACCCGAGCCAACGCTCCATGGCGTAAGTCACATACAAAAGAGAGCAAGGGGATTTCTGCCAATGAACGGTGCGCATGGCCAGTCCGCCTGGAATTCTTAGCTTCATCGACGATATTCCCAAGGTTGTAGCGGACGATAAATACCACAATATCGGGGCAGATCTTTATCAGAACTCCGATCATCCCGTTTGTGGACCTATCGGAACGCCCGCCACACTGTACGCTAATTATCTGTCACTGACTTCCCTAGGCAGGAGCCGGTCCAGTTACCACCATATTATGGTATTCTTAGTTAGAGAGATCTCTTGAGAATGGAAGTCGATTCTTTTTCGGAAAATGCGTCGTAATTGTGCGGCCCGGATCGTTACTGAGGGCTAGTTGAGGACTCGCAAATCACGGCGACATGTCGATGAGTTTATGACTGATCCCGGCATATTGGACGACATCGGTAGCTTTTGCCCTTCACGTCTTTGCCACAAAATAGTGACAATTAGCATGGGATTGCTGAAATGCGGAATGCAACCAATGACCGCGATGATGCCAGCTGGTTGGCATGATTCGAGGGGTTTGTAAGCGATCCAAGCTGGTCTTTCACTGGAGAAAGAGTAATACTATTTTTCCTGGTCTAGCCTGGTCTAGAGTGAAGTCTGCACCAGAGACAGGCTTTTTCTCTAGGCTCGCTGCATCGATTATCAATAATGCACTAATATGCCTGAGCAAATACCCGGGTCGATTATACTTTTTTCTTAAATTGGAAGTCATTTCAAATATTGGATTAAGTGGATTAGCTAGTAAGGATAGATCAAACCCGGATCCTTGTTTCGAACAAAGAAATGGAATGTTGTCCGAAAGAGACCAGTGGGCCCAGCCGTCCGCTCCGCCCCGACATCTTCCCGAGCTGAACCATGGTTCTGGTACGGGTGTATTTCGTGGGGATGTCGGGAACCTTGGAACCCGACACATCGGATTCATTCTAAGGACCATTTTCCCCATACGTATATAAATGAACCCATTACTGCCAAGGGGCTGGACAATTGTCAATACTCCGTAGTTACTGACGTGGTCATCTGGAGACAGTCCCCACCTTCTCTTCGGTGTCCACTTCTATGAACATGTGTTGGATTTCCTGAGTACTCCGTAAACTCAACACCCCGCGAAGGCCTATTCGGGCGATGCACATGCACATTCATGTACTATGCAGTGTGGGCTGCAGCCCTTTGTGGTAAAATCTGGCTTTTCTTTTCTTCCCGGAGAATTCTACCCCTTCAAGATCATATATTGGGCGCGGTAATGCATGTTTACGGACGTAGTAAGCCCCTAGTTCAATTCAAAATTTCACGGCCATCTGCCGGAATTCCCGGGATACTGGAAGTGGACCAGAATAGAAAGGATCTACATGATGGATAGAAAAATGTGTAACCGTATTTTTCACCCTTTTCATAGATTTGTTCTGTACCCAAGGTTTATTGAAGTAAAAAAGTACTTCGGTAATTCGGGATAATGAACCCTCATAATATGTGTACTTTTGTCAATTAAGATCAAGATCATCGCTTGAAATTGAGATAAATCCCTTTGAATCTGTGAACTAGTCACACACCTATTTGACAGACCCCTTGGGATAAGCGGTGAAGGGCAAGGAAATGAATTGATCCACCTGAAGAATCCCGAGGGAGTGGACGTCCAACTATATTAATAATGCTTCTCACCCAGTCCCAGAACAGACTGAGTGGGGTTTGGTGGGGGTTGCCATCGTCACAGAGAAAGAACAAACTGAAAAGGGAGGAGGTCACTTGGCATGACAATACTGCAGGCACATTGGTCAAGTAGTCCGAACTGTGAGATTATGCTGTTAGAAACTCGTCAGTGAACCCACTGGTCCAATTGCTTCTTGTTTTTGACAGCGGGCGAATATCCATTTCTGCGTCAATGGAGCCCGCAATGCGAGGCCCTTTTTTGGTCCTGCGTCCAGTAAGGGCTAGATGAGAGTCCAATAAACCTCGAAATATTTTTGCTTTGACTCCTTTCTAATGCTCATACATCCATGCATAGAGCAACTATTCCAAAATTGCCATGTTCCATGTGATCTGATGGAGTTTTTTTGGCTCTTTAGCGTTTCGTATCTTTGCTACTTCTTGGTCCAGTATCAGTGTGACACCGTTTTTGAGTCTTCATTCTGTCACACTGGGCTTTTCCAATGAAGTAAAAGATGAAGTTAAGACAAAGTCGTTGTTTTCTTTCATTATCTTTCTGTACACTCACGCCTCAATTGATGTATTGTATGCACAGTAGGACTTTCAGTCCATGTCAGCCATGAAATCATGGATAAAGATGGGGCCGAGGATAAAACTGTACCTGTAAGACTAGATTTCACTCGATCCACAATGTCGGGCACTCGCAAAAGTAGGTCATATGCATGTCAGTCTGCTAGACCACAATGCATTAGCTGACAGTACGCCTAGGCTTGAGATTTATTGGCGTGCCCTAGAACGAAATGAAATCAAGCTTGTTTTGATACTTGAAGTTATAGGGCACTCCTGGTGCCTTGAGCTCCGCAGTTCCTCAAGGTGACCCGCCCTTTTCAATTTTAGCTTTTAACCCTATGTTTCAACCCATACATCTGGAAGTAAGAATCAATGAAGCTTGCCTATATTCCAACTGAGTACAATTCACCTATGATAAGAAATCAGATTCTTTCCGGGTTGATTGTCTGGCAGAACAAAGAGCTGTCCAAGAGTAGATAGGCCATCTTGGCCCGTATTCGGTCAACGAGTACACAGACGCCCCATATGGGAGCAGTAAGCCGTCACTTGAAGCTCAGCTCGGAGTGTGGTCAGAGATTTCTGAATTCAAAGGAGTTGAAGTAAGAATTGTGCGGGTTGAATTGGGAGGCCTAGCTCGTCTTTCTGCTTGCACAATTAGTACGTACGTTTTATGACTGGGCCCTGATACGCAACCCTTTTGACAGGCGCCCGGAAAGCGTGTATGATTCTGAAGCCGCCATCAAGCCCTTTGCCGCCGGCTTGACCCCCCTCAAGCGGCACCCGATCGCATCCATGAAAATCACAGCACTTTTAATTTCCTTTTCTCCCACCCCCTCTTGATCATAGAAGTCGATGCACCCTTGACCTGACAATTTAGTGCCTCTCCAGAAATTCGAACAAAGAGTATTCGTTATAACAACCGGCAAACAGAAATTTGTGCACAACAAATTCTGCAGAAAAGGAAGACTTACAATGACGTACTGAAATGCCGATCTCCTGTTGCTTATTCTCTTCAAGCTTCACATAATGCTGACCTTCATCTCTTGATATTCAAGAAGCCCAGATTCGCAGACAGCAGAGTTGGACCGTCAGTTCCTCGACACTGTCACCATCCAGGGCCGGGAGTATCAAAAGTACTCTATCGACCACAACATCTATTTCGGACCCGTTGACGACGTAAGGGGAAGCCAATTCGTGAGCTGTATATCACACAAAGCTCTTTAATGACAATGAAGATAGGAAGAAGCCCAGAGTCTGGATCATCAGCAAAAAATCTTCCAAAAAATCTTTGACGACCGCCTAGTATTTCCACCAATTCCACGGCTGCGAAGAGTGTTGGATTGTGGACATGGATCCGCCTCGTGGGCTGTGGACGTTGCTGAACAGTATCCAAATTGCGATGTAAGATGTTTCTATCATTTCGCTCACTTGTCATATAACACTGACTGTTCTCAAAGGTCATTGGCGTAGACATCGCACCGCAAATGACCCCGGATGATGTGCCTGAAAATCTTTGGCTCCAGGTGAGTGTTAATTCCATTTAAGGTGTTATTGATCTCTTGATAGAAGGGATCCTGTAGAAGGGATCCTGGTCTTGAGATTCATATCCGGGAAGCACTGAAATGCTTGCCGGTGTGTGGTGCTGATGAGGACGGTCGCTAACACCACAATGTGTAGGTCGATGACCTGAACCGAAGATTCACATTCCCCTCGAACCATTTTGACCTGGTCCATTCTCAACTTCTTGCAACGGGCATCCACCGTGCGCGATGGCCATCTTACATCCACGATATCGTCAGGTGCGAAAATTCTGCTGCTTCCAATCAACCCATTGCGTTCACCCGCCATCTTTGCAAGAAACTCAGTACTAATGCCTGAATTTTTCCCAAAGGGTATTGAAGCCGGGAGGATGGATCCAAATGGTCGAAATATACTTCAACGTTCAGTCTGACAATGGCTCTCTCACTGACCAGCATGCTTTGCGAAGGTGGAGTACGCAATTTATGCGTGCATTGGAAGATCAAAAAGACCTCCGTATCGGATCGAGACTGCAAGATCTGTGCATGAGGGAGGGTTTGGAGGAAGTTGACAGCAAGATGATCCCGCTCCCTTTATCTGCATGGCCGACTGGTGAGTGGTTGCTGTTTTAGCTTAATAGATGAAGAGCTAATACAATTCAGATTCAAGGATGCGATCTATCGGACAATCCAATGGTGATAACATCCAACAGCTTCTTCGATCCCTGGCGCTACATCCACTCACCCAGCGTTTGCACATGTCGAGAGAGAAATTTGACTTGCTGGTGGAAAATTCCCAGCAAGAGGCGATAAATCCTTCATTGAAGGCATACTTCCCATTGTACGTACTCAATATTTGGAAATCAAAATAGTTACCAGCGTTCTGATCGGCTCAGATACATTTGCATTGCCCGAAAGCCGGCATGAGCGACGAGACATGCAGGCCCGCTGCATGTATTCCATGTCGAAATGACAAACTTTGAATGTTTTGACATATTTATTGGCTGCCAAGGTGTTCTCAGATATGCATCTTCGATTTTGGTTCCAAGGTTTCCCCACTACGCGCCTGCATAGATCAACGAGTTAGCTAAGATACGGTCCGTCAAACGCGAATCTTCTTCATCCCATATACCTCAGAAAGTCTTCTATATTTCATTACACCTCGTGCTCACTATTTGTAACTGCTCTGGGCTCCAGTGAGTGTGTCCAGATCTTTGAAAGGCGAAGTCGTGACATGGAAAGGTGGTCGTACAAGGAGATGCAGCCGGCTGAGGAAAAAACTCAATGTATTCTCCATCGCACACTCGCCAAAAATGAGAGTTTTCTCCAGCCCAGATTACATCTATGTGTTCAAAGTACGTTCCCGAGGTCCATACACTGACAGTTCCAAGGTGGACAGTGGATCGAGGTTTGAGGTGAACCGGACAGAGATCTGCGATACTGAGATGCGAAATCTCGTCTTTTTTCGATATCTTGGTTAGACGTCAAGAAAAAGTGATAGGTAGCTTGACAGACAGAAAATCGCTTAATAGAGTCACGGGAGAGGAGACCATACTGGTTGCTAACCTCGATCCGACCATACCGACTTCGGAGATATTGTGGGTAGTTTCAAAGCCCAAGTACCAGCCCAGCAGTGAAGTGAGACTCTGCTATGGATTATTAAGAGAAGTAAGTTCTCAAGGAAGAAGAATGGAAGGCGAATGGAAGGGTTGTGGAAGGATGGAAGGTAAATGGAAGGAAAGAAGGGGCTCCAGGGCCACGGGACGGCGAGACCGGGGGAACGTTAAGCCCTGTTGCCCTCACTATCAACTCTGTTTGCAATGCTCTTGGAATCCAATCAACCCTCGATCCAGAAAAAAAAGGTACCATTGCACTGCTTCAACCACCAATGCACCGATATTCTAACGCTGAAATGACTCCATTTAGGGTCTAGACCCTGTCCGATCACATCATGTCCTAGTTCTAACCCCTGATAGCCCACCTCGGAAGACAAATCCAGAATAACTACAGATAAAAACAGACAATCTCAGCCAATATGTCCATTACATAGAGATATCTACGAGGTCTCCGTTATGCCCAAACACAAGTGACCTGAAAAAGAGCTATGACCTACTCCGTATCCGTGAGGCCGCATCAGCCGACGACATAGGAGAGTACGATTGACAAGACGTACTTCGGGCTGTGGACATGATGCGTCGATCCCCGAGGCCCGTAATGAGAATATGGCGCCTATGACATTCAAACACAAATCAGAAGATGGGCTCGGGCCTGAACTAGCGCGTTGGGCGTCTCCTTAGGTATATATTTACTTGACACTGTCCTATTATAATTCATTCAGAATGATTATCCAGTGGCCATACTGTATCAGATGAAACACCTGATATTGTCTTTTTTTTAGCCTGTCCAAGAGGAAGAAACGCTTTCATCATAATCTACCCGCGATTGTCGCTTCCGAGGCCCATTATGGGTCTCGCCCGCGATAGAGTCAAACAAGTCCCCGGACCATCCATTAATCAAGCAGCTTTACTAAGAGAAAGAATACTATCTCGCTTAGGACCTAGGAAAGGAGGGCTAAGCCTTATAGAATTACTGTTGATGCCTTCTTCAAAAATGGGCCCTATGGAGCTACACCTCAGCTGTTTAGCCTTCTATACCTAGTTGGTCTAAATTAATAGAAGGATATTGCTCTTTTACTCTAGATTGGTTAATACTGCAAGGCAAATTTCGATGCAATACTTGTTGAAAATGAAGACAACTGAAGCGGCCAAGATAGGCGCCTAAGCTAGCGACCAAACACAGACACCTGATTTTTAAGGCATAAAACACCCCCATGAGGAAAGGCGCTGATTTCCATATCAGGAAGTCAGTGCACTTTGATATGCCAAATTAAAGCTCCTGGCAGTGATCCAGGTATTTTTGCCCACGTGCTGGGAAGCTATTTTCCCGCCACTCCATCCTTTTAAGATGACCTCTTTTAAATAGCCAACCGCCTTCTTAAGGAAGAAGCCTGGGTGCTGCACAAAGCTTAGCGACCCAGCTATAGCTGTCAGCAGATTTCATCGCTTGACGCAACTGCAGTGAATTCTGGCAAGTCCGCTATACTTTTTCCAGCTTCGGTCCACATTTGGATCGCTGTCTAAATAGTCGACGAATACCTCTTTTATTCGAATTTCTGGTTCATAACTATATCATACAGCCTGAATTTGAGTTAACGTTACAACATGTTTTCATACGTCAAGGGCTGTAGACTTCAATTCAAAGCTTGATAGTCTTCCCAATTCAATTGGAAATCTTGCACGCCTAACTTTGTACAACAGCCGAATAATTGCATTTCCTTTGCAACAAATGGAGCTCGCAATGCGAGACCAATAGGACTTTGAACGCCATCTTGTCAGCTTTACTTACAATTGTGCTCTATAGAATCAGGTCTCTCAGTTATTTGATTGGATGGGCCCTAGATCAGTAGCTGTTGCCATTGAGTAGAGCCTCCAACTTTTGGTACTTGCTGCTTGCAATGGCTTCTCTCGGCGAATATTTGTCTATTCCTGGAATTGCTATGTCAGTTGATCATATTCATGTCACAAGCTCCTATGCAGGTTTCATGGCTGCGACTTCTCTCCAAGCCAGATTTTCCTCAGACCAAAGCGGTGCTATGAAAGTCGCTATGGGAGGGCGTCACCCTCAACCTGGGCGAAGCTGCCGGTATTCTCTGCTTTGCTCAACACCCTGAATGGATGAACGGCTGCTGACTTATGGGAACTTCGAATGCATGATGAGGAGGGAGGTCATCCAATCAGTAGAGGCAGCTATTCGTATGTCCCAGATACCCCACGGCTTGGAAGCCATATCTGCAACGGGCCAAATCATAACGGGCATGAGCGCCATATGGGCACAATTTGCTTCTCGAGTACGTCGGGCTTTATTTGAGTGAAAAGATAGGAGCGAATTGTGAAAGAACCCAAGTTGCCGCCATGGTCATTGATTCGTCTTAATTTAAGCCGTGAGCAATATTCGTCAGAATATCGGCATTAAAATGCCTCCTGTCAATTTCTCAGGCGCATCAACCGTCATAGATGGGCCTAAGATGGCTTAGGTTGATCAACTGTTTAAATCCCTTGTTGATCAACCTCGTCTCGCGTTTTAGTCTTGGAAAGTGTTGTTATCCATTTCCGATCCATGGATATAGAATAGAAGCTTGATTGCATGATGATGAAAGCCATCAGCAATCACTCACATTAATAAATGTATGATTAACTTATAGCATATCGAGAAATACAGTAGTGGGTATCATCTAGTCCGCATAGTGTTGTTGGTTTAGCATAAACCTTACAGCCGGCTACCAAATATAGACACCTTGCTTTTAAGGCATAAAATCAATCCCAATGAGGAAAGGCGGCGGGGAGAAAAAAGTTGGCGCCGATTTTCATAGAAGCGGACCATCATTTCTTCTCCCAACTCACAGATCAGCCACGATGCCATCAACCTACAAGAAGGATAAGCCGTGGGATACGGATGATATCGACAAATGGAAGGTGAGAAGATGAAATCAGGAATATTTTGATTCAGCAACTGACACCATGTCGCAAATTAGATCGATGAATTCAAGCCGGAAGACAATGTCGGTGGAAACTTTGTCGAAGAGTCGTCGTTCATGACACTATTTCCCAAATACCGGGAACAATATCTGAAGGAAGCTTGGCCGGAAATTACAAGGTCGCTGGAGAAGAAAGGCATTGCGTGTACACTTGATTTGGTCGAAGGTAGCATGACCGTCAAGACAACCCGAAAGACCTACGACCCTGCCGTGATCCTGAAAGCCCGCGACCTGATCAAGCTACTCGCACGAAGTGTCCCCGTTGTTCAAGCCCTCAAAATTCTTCAGGACGATATCGCTTGTGATGTGATCAAGATCCGCAACCAGGTTGCAAGCAAGGAGCGCTTCGTGAAACGTCGCCAGCGAATTCTCGGCCCGAACGGATCAACCCTTAAAGCTTTGGAGCTTCTTACAAGCACATACATCATGGTTCAGGGTAACACGGTCGCAGTAATGGGACCTTTCAAGGGTCTTAAGGAAATACGCCGCATTATTGATGACTGCATGGCGAACATCCATCCAATCTACCACATCAAGGAACTGATGATCAAGCGTGAGCTTGCAAAAGATCCCACACTCGCGAACGAGTCATGGGACAGATTCCTGCCTAATTTCAAGAAGCGCACGCTCTCCAAGCGTCACGTGCCTTACAAGGTCACCGACAAGGCGAAGAAGGTCTACACACCGTTCCCGCCTGCTCCAGAGAAGAGCAAGGTCGATCTACAGATCGAGTCTGGCGAGTACTTCCTTTCTAAGGAGGCTAACGACCGTGCGCGAAAGGAGGAAGTGGTCGAGCGCCAGCGCGTGAAGCGTGAAGAGAAGATGCGCGAACGTGAGAAGGATTTCATTGCGCCAGAAGAGCATGCGCCTGCGGATCTGGATGATGAGAAGAAGAGAAAGAAGGAAAAGAAGGAGAAGAAGGAGAAACGGAAGCGCGAGGCTGAAGCCGAGGGTGATGAAGGCGCTGAGCGTGAGGAGAAGAAGAAGAAGAAGAGCAAGTCAAAGTCCAAGGACGTGATCTCTGATGAGGAATAAAAGTTCTCTATGGGTTTAAATTGTTTGGACTTTGGCGCTTTTTGGCAGAGCATGGGTCTGGCGTTTTTCCTGTCCTCTATTACTATCTCTTGCACTGCTTTTGAGATAATCTTTATACCTGGGTATCATGTAAAATGACACATGTTTGCATTTGATACAAACTCTGAGCTTTGGTAAATCAAGTGTGTTACTTCCTAGATTATATTATATCACTGCACTGAACAACTTTCCATCCACCTGGACACCCCAGTCAAGCTCTCATTTCTTATGAGAGTAGTAAGTACAGATACGATGGCCAATTATAATGACTCGGCAATATCATCAGTACAGACAGAACACTCATTCCCTATGAGAATGCATGCTTAGATGATATCGTGCTCCTCCAGGGTAGTAATATGACTGGGCTTTCGCTCATCGGAAAGGATATTAATCTCTGGTTGATTGGTCATGCCCATTTGATGCGCGAATGTGTCGTGAGGCTTCCATTTGGCACTTCTCATGGGAGTAGTCTCTTCGAACATCTTGTCCACCTGTTCCAGGGTGAGTGATTTCGTCTCCGGGATGACGAAGAAGGCAAACAGGCAACATAGGACGAGTGCGCTGCCCCAAACAAAAAAGACTTTTACCCCGAGGTTACCCTTGTCCTTGTCGACAATGAATGGTGTGATTACGGCAATAATACAATTCCAAAGCCAGTTGGAAGCCGTAGCAAGTGCGACGCCCTTTGCCCGGATGGGAAGAGGATAGATCTCGCCAATGACGACCCATGCGGCAGGGCCCCATGTCATGGCAAAAGAAGCGATGTAAAAGCAGGTGAATACGATGAGACAGATGCTCCTGTGATTGAGACTGTTAAAACAGTTATCTGCTAGCAACACGATATCTAGAAACTCACGCAGTATGGCTTCCCTCTTTGGCTACACCAACAATGGCGACAACAAACTCACTGAAGCACATTGCAAGAGCCCCCCATATCAGCAGAGAGCGGCGTCCAAATTTCTCAATCATGTAGAAAGATGCCGGAGTGGCCACCACATTGACAACATTCGTTATTGTAGAAATCAAGAAGGCGTTTTTGATCCCGACCTGCTGAAAGAATGTGGTACCATAGTAGACTAACAAAATTAGAGAGGAATCAAGTATTTTTTTCGAGTAAGCGAACCCATAGCTTACAAATAAAGTTGATTCCTGTCCACTGCTGAAACATCTGCAAGCAGCATCCAGCAATGACTCGACGGAGGTTGCCTCGGCGGGACATACCACCCTTGAAACAATCTGACCAGGAGGTGCTTGCAATCTTCTTTTCGTACTCGAAGTTGGCTTGAATCTCCGCAAGCTCAGCCTGGATGGCAGGATTGGAGCTGGGCTGACCACGAACTCTCTCCAGCGAACGGAGAGCATCGTTAATCCTACCACACCGAACATAGTAGCGCGGAGATTCTGGGAGCATAAAGAGTCCACCGGCGAGGATAGCTGCCCAGACAAACTGAAGTCCAATGGGGATGCGATATGATGCCGTTCCATTCCGATCTTTACAGCCTTGGGCGACGCCAGATGCGACTAAAAGACCTATGGTAATAGCCCACTGGTAAACAGAAATCAGCAGGCCTCGAACCTTGCGAGGAGAGATCTCAGAGACATAGAGAATCACAGTGGCAGAGACGCCTCCAACGCCAAGGCCGGCAATGAAACGGCCAACAACAAATGCAGACACTGTGTTGGTTCCAACTTGAACAGCAACCCCAATGGCGAAAATCAAGCAAGAGATCATGATTGTGATCCGGCGGCCGACGCTCTCAGAGATACCTCCACCAGCTAGAGCTCCAATGAATGTACCAGCAGAGAGGATCGATGTGATAAGAGACTTCCTTGAGGTACCAATCATGAATCCAGATGGGTCCTCGGTCATTGGAACGGGATGTCCATATTGCTTCTTGACATAATCCATGCCTAAGACTCCTGAGATATAGCCAGAATCATATCCAAAGAGGATACCTAGCGGTAAAAAATTGTCAGCTTTAGCGGAATAGACCTCAGGATAGCTCTTGATAGAACGACAAACCTCCAAAACTAGCAAAACCACATATGAGGTATGCACGCCAGGTGACAGCGGCCTCTATCAGATGAAAGTCAGTAGTTCCGACGAGGTGATTTTCGGCCATTGCGGCAATGAAGAGCCAATGGGCGTATTAGGTGTGAAGAATGCAATGATGAGAAGATAAATAAATAGAAGAAAGTGCAGAATGAGAAAGGCAAAAGATGAAGTATATCTTGAATTAGATAGGGAAAGTAGGCCCAAAGGCTTAAGAAGGATGTCGGCATAGAGCTGTCGAGGCAACAGTAACACATAGGCGCATTCACGGGGGACAACATCCGTGCTAAGATTAAGATTAAGGATCAATGATTAGCTTTCAACCTTGGAGCCTGCAAGACTTCCAAGGTTCTAGGATATTAAGGAATACTGAGTCGAGTGGCTTGAGTAGGGTCTATTTCCAACTTCCAAGCCTTATGTTATTTTGAAGTTGACTACACCAAAACACTTATTTTCTTCTCCTTTTCAGGGTCTCAAATGCTGAGTACAATGTAGTAGCCCGGACAAGAAAGGAAATTCGGTGGAACATGCCATCAAAATCTAGAACCAATGTGAAACGACCTTGGAATCCTCCATGATAAATCAATATCCAACGGGTACAAAATACCCTAGAGCCATCCATGGATGGATCTATGGCCACTTATCTAGAATGATACAAGGTTCTGTAGGTAGAGCTACCAATCTTAATTCGCCCTGTACCTAGGTATGGTTCACCACGCTTGATTGTCACTTCGGTCAGCGGCAGAAATCACACCTGATGAAAAGAAAAGAAAATAGAGCCGAACGGCATACAAGCCACCTGGTCGACAAGGATGTTAATGCCGCCAACCTTCTGCGAACCAGATAGTAGAACAAATCAAAAGTATCAGTTTCTTAGACTGTTCTTATAGTTGGATTGTCCTAAAGAAGATATATGGACCTCAGGAGGGGTTGTAAGTATATATCTCGGTGCTCTTTAGGAGCAAATCTAATGAGGTGTCCACAAAAAGAAGAGTATTATTGGAAGATCAGCTCGTACCGACTGAGCCTTGGTTATTTGGGCTTTAGGAAACGCTTCTTGGAAATACTAACTAGCTCAACATTTCCCCTTGCATACTGTTTTTCATATAATTGTACCACGCGAAGGGTGGCCAAGACCTTTTCGGACTTCATCACTAGTTGCGTCATCAAATCTTTCGCATCTCCTTCTACCATACGACCGATTGAACCAGTCGGTTCCGGCGCCGGTGCTGATATAAGTCTGGGGTCTGTCCCAAGCCTAAGGTCACCTACTTGTGGAGGTCAAACAGGGATAGGAGTCACAACTTCGTAAATGGGTACTGTACCTGGGGTAGTCCATTGAGATATGATTCTCTGTTCGTTGGTGGTATTGGATTAATTCACACGTCTTTGAGCAGAGACAAGGATTTATTTGTGGATCTCTTTGGTCTTGGTCTCACGTCGTTTAAGAAAACCAGAAATGTAACCATTGCTAAATTTGGGTGCATCATCAAGCTAATAGATTAGCATATTTGAACAAAACACTAGTCCAGGATAATCACAACCTTTGGCATCAAACTCGTGAACACAAATTGTCAGCTTTTAGAGGGCTGTAGGCGGTCAATTGGAATGTGAATGGATGATTGATCGATTCATTGATTGAGATTTCAAGCTCTATGGAGTATCTCGCTTAGAACTACAAGTAATTAACTAAATAGCAGTCATGACATAAGCAGATTAAGCCTACGTCAACACAAATCCTTAGTTTTCATCTTCAGCGTTAGCTCACCTCTGGAATTCTGACTCTGATGCTAGATCAGGTCATTTATCAATGAATGAATTTGAAAAATGGTAACTAGGTAAATTGTAATCCAGTAAATTCCAAATATATTTGCGAAGGCTCTTTCCCCAGAAAACTCACTCGGAGCAGTTATTTACCCAGAGAATCTAACCTCATGAGGTTAGTAGCACCGACATACCCCCTCTAGGAATCTTCGATGTCCATAAAGTACCCGGAGAAATATACTCACTACCGTGTCATTCACTCATTACAGCTGCCCTACATGGCTGATGTCATAGGCACCGTCGCATCTGTACTACAATTAGCCGAAATAACCGCAAAAACCGCATTGAAAGTGTACGACTTCTTCTCCATCATTCAAAATGCCCCGCACGAGATAACCGCTCTTGGAAATGATGTTCTTGCAATTTCTGTGCTGGTTCGTAATCTGGCAAATTCACTCGCAAGTAAATCTGTCGAAAAGGCAATTCAGAGGGATGCCGAGATAGAGGATGCTCTGCAGTCCTTAATTGACCCAATGAACAACTGTCAGGCCGCAGTTAAGAGATTACAGGACAAAATTAAGCCACACCTCACTGCGGATCTATCTTCACTCCAGGGTACAGAGTGCGAAATAGACAGCAGCCAATCAAACACATGGAAGATGAAAAGCAAAAACGTGCGCTGGTTTCTTCAGCGGAAGGATGTCTATGCTTCGGCAGCAGAGTTAGAACGTGCGAAGCTTACATTTGGAGGTGCGATGGCGAGTATTACATTGTATGCCGTGCAAACTACTCCTAACCTCAAAATAACTCATATTTTGTGAAAAATGATGAATTTTAGCTTATCAATAGCAGTATCCTCACATTGAAACAATCAAACACAAATCATCAAGCAGATTTGACGGGCTTCCAGAAACGCGAGTATGATGGTGATGCAGTCTCGTTGCCTGACCACGGACAAGGCGATTGTCAGCCAGGATCGACACAAACAAACAATGTGAATATCACATAATGTAAGTCTGTCCCGTGTATTTCTCCGCTGAGATTGACCTGACTCCATTTTGAGCCCTCACAATTGAGGAGATTGATCGATCATGGCTCCATGCCCTGAAATGTCCCGATTCACTTGATGTGAAAACTCGACTTGAAGCTAAGGACCGATTTCACTGGGAGTCCATTGAATGGATGATCAATTCACCCGAATATCGTGAATGGCAAGATAAAGATAAGATAAGCTTTCTCTGGATCAAAGGTGGCCCAGGCAAAGGGAAAACAATGATGTCAATCGGTATTATTGAGCAACTGCTAGACACAAAATACGATCGGACTCATGAACGCCCCTCCTTAGTCACCTTCTTCTTTTGTCAGAATGGAGATTCTGAGCTTAACACCATCGAAGCTCTGCTGAAAGGACTGATTTTGCAACTTCTGAAACAAAATCTAGAACTGAAAGAATGCCTAAGACGCCGATGGGATTCCAAGAAGAACCGTTTCCTTGACGATATGACTTCATGGCACGCGCTTTGGAACATATTCCGGGAAATGCTAAGTGAATGTCGACGTTATCAGGTCTATGTGATCATAGATGCTCTTGACGAATGCGTGTCTGACGGTGTTTCTGATTTCCTGAAAATGATTACGTATACGGGACTTCAGTCAAGCGTCAAATGGCTAGTAATAAGTCGGCCATTTCGTGACGCTGAGAGACAACTCATGGCGGGAATCAATCATAAGCAAGCCACCCTGGACCTTGAATCTGAAAATATCGAGTCGGGTATCCAAAAAGCCATTGGTGTCTATATTGCTTCAAAAGTGGTTGAGCTCCAGCATCTGAACGGATTTTCAGATGAGATCAAACATACAATCAAAAGGCAATTAAATGCAAAGGCAGATGGCACCTATTTATGGATAAGCTTGGTGTGCAAGAAGCTGGAGGGTGTGCACCCAGATAATACATTGAATGCGATTGATACACTACCGCCGGACTTGCATTCATTTTATCATCGTGTATGCTTGCAATTGACCAGTGAGTCCCGTGGTCTCTCGCAGAAATATATGCGAATTCTCAAAGTCATGCTACTGGCTTACCGACCACTTGATTTGAACGAGCTTGAAAGTGTTACTGGGTTCAAGCAGGGGGAATTTTCATTTGACGAGTTTGTGATTGCCTGCCAGTCGATTCTCAAAATACGAGGTAACTCAATTGAATTCGTTCATCAATCTGTCAGAGACTATTTACATGGGCGAGAAGGCGAGTCCCTTCTAGATACTTACGAAAGCTGGGGACATAGCGAGATCGTGCTACAATGTGTTGATTATATGTCTCGCCGACTCAAAGCCGATATTTTGGACTTCGCTCGACCAGATGTGACTCGGAAGGGCCTGGAGTACATCTCGAAAGAGCGAGCTGCGGTGCTAAGTGATCTTGATTATGCAGTCCATCATTGGACTCTGCACCTGAAATTTCACCTGTTAACCGATCTTATAGTCGTCCATGAGGCCATTGAACAGAAAGCAGCTATCAGTAACTTCGTCAAAACCTACTTCTTGGAATGGATCGAGTGTTTAAGTTGGCTGGATAGTATGCCAGATGTTATAATGGGGACGCAGAGACTGAGAACAGTGGCCGAGGTGAGACAATACAAAATGCATTCATTCATCAAGATCCATGGCCTCAAGCATATCATGGATTGGAAAAGCATATTCTAACTTCATAATCGTCATAAAGGTCCAAGACGAATCATTTCTGTTGGAGTTCACCCATGACGCAACTCGATTCCTGCAGCGTCATTCCTACACTTTGGGAATCTGGCCGTTGCAGATATATAGCTCGGCGCTCATTTTCAGCCCTGACAATAGTATTATTCGGAAGTTAAACCGACACAAATTACCGGTTTGGTTGAAAAATGCGCCCTCAAAAGTTCTTCTTGGGGATCTTTAGTACGAAAGTTTGAAGGGCACACAGAAGCAGTTTCAGCGGTCGGATTTTCGCCTGATGGTAAACACATCGCTTCTACATCCACTGATGGCGATATCTATTTCTGGCGAGTTAAAACGGGCGACCTTGAGGAAATCATTGAAGATGACGATCCGCGGACAAAGCAACCATTGATATTTTCGCCAGATGGCAAATGGATTCTATCGATCTGTCACGGGGCGCATCGCCTCGACTATATCAAAGTATGGAATATCGCCGCCGGTGAATTACATGCCACATTCAAGACTGAAGATGCAGATACTGCGACATTCACAGCCAACAGCAAATACATTGTCTCAGTGAATTATGGTAGATCGCCTGCAGTCGAGTTCTGGGACATTCAAGGTTCAAGAATCAGCTCGCAGCTGAAGATGCCCAAAAACGAAGGAAGAGAACATGGAGGTGTGGCGTTATCTCCAGATGGCAGGTACATGGCATCATGCACTAAGGACAACAAGTTCGGGATCTGGACCCCAGAAGGCGCTTTGATTAGGTTTATAAATGTCGGCAAGCACGAGGTCATCGATGCATTGGCGTTCTCTCATGATGGCATATATGTAGCCTCCAGCAGCGGTGCTGGAGACATCAATATTTGGAACACGAAAGATGGCACACTCCTCCAGTCACTACAAAAGCCTCCATCTGAATGTGAACTGCAAGTGCAATCTCTGAACGTTTCTCCAACTAAGGAGCATATAGTGGCTGTGTGTTATTTGGGGCCTGTTCTTTTGTGGAATGTCTCCACCGGCGCTTTTTTGAAGATATTGACTCTCAGCCCTGTCAACTCACTGGAATTTTCCCCGGATGGGACTCATATCGCATCGGCCTCTTCAGACCATACAATCAGTCTATGGGATATAGCAGAGGAGGATGATCTTTCCCCAAATGCTTCGAAAATAGTCGCCCTGTCGACGGATGGTGGCACGACCACAGTTGCAACCTACAAAAAACCCCACCTTACTGTGAAGAATTCCGACGACGAAACCCTAATCTGGAACATGGACTGTCCTGACCTGTTAGATTATTCTGTCAAATTTTCAGTGGACGGAAAGTTCATTGCATGGGCGTCAACATCAGATTCTCGATCTTATATTCATATCGCGGGCACGACTGACAGTTACAATATACGCTGGAAGGCACATCGAGGGTGTATCGGTGCACTAGCGTTCTCTCCTGATGGAAAACTACTCGCGTCAAGTGGAGCGGGCAAGCACTTGATCGAGGTGAATATGTGGACAACGGAAGGCAAGCACTTAAGAACGTTGGCCGCTCATAACACGCTACCTTTGCTATTGTCATTCTCTCCCGACTGCAAATTTTTCGCATCCAGTGACGAACATCACACTCATCTATGGGATCTCAGAAAATGCATCGACTACAAGTATCACTTTTCAGTATATCGGTCTTGGGATCGCCCGAGCAAAGGCAACGTCTATAATCTGAAATTTTCGACCGATGGCAAATCAATATATACCGACAACGGGGTATTGAGGCTTAAAAAGATCTTTCCTGAGACATCACGCGTTCGTTCAGCGACTTTGGATGACCTCGATCTCTGGGTTAGCGATCAGTGGATCCATCTTGGACCGATGCCGTTCATACGGCTGCCAGCAGACCATAATTGGGGACAAAACGATGCAAAGAAAAACCATGTGGTAATTAGTTTCCCTGATCGACCCCATCCAATTGAATTCAATTTTGATCGTGTCTTGATGCTCGGTGAGATCTTGTCGAAAGGTCTAGATGCTCTTTCTCTTTGAGGTAGAGGGTTACGTTCTCGGACGAGATTCCGAGATAGTTGCACAACGAAGGATCAATCCATGCACATGTGGATCCCTAGGTGGACAATATGCATCACAAGATAATCATTCATCGGACCGAACTAACCTTGAAATGACCGAGGTACTATACTTGCAACTATATAGGTAGTAAACAATTAATAACAGTGTTATTGCACAGCCCTGGTGCAATAATTGAATCATATCAAATATTTAGGTCTGAGGAGTCGGATTTGGAGCAAACCTTGAAACAAAAGAAGTGACTTGTGGAAAAGGTGGTTCATAGGAGTTGTAGAAGAAAAAACTTCATTGATTATGGTTTATGAAGATGAAGGTCAATGAAGCAAAAGGTAGAACTGTACGGTTGACCGACCCTAACTATCCACTAGAGGACTTATTTAGTCCGCTAATTGTTAGATCCGGCAGCTGCGTATTTTAAATATACCCGAGCCCAGAAGTATAAAGGTCTGTAGAACTCTGCGTTGGAAGTTCTATCATTTCCGTGTCTTCGTTAGGGACTTTGAAGTATAGAAAACAAGGTTGAATTACATCGTTAGACGCCAGAGCTTCTTAAATACTAAAATCACATCATGTCATGTATCATTCACGCGTCTTCATCCGAAGACGAAGCCTGTAAGCGTTTCCTCTTATCTACCAAGAACGCCTCCTGCTCAAGCTGGCTTTTCTTGATATCAACGAAGAAAACTAAGAAAGCACAACTGACCAGACTCAGAGCGAATAGGAAATAGAACGGAGTGGAGTTATTTCCCGTCGGACTCGCATCGATAATAGCGCTGGATACCAGGGGACCGATGAAAGATGAAGTCTTGCCGATGATGCTAAATAGACTGAAGAAAAGAAACTCATGGCCTCGGGGTGTGACTTCTGAGATCATGATCTGAGAGTAACTGTACCATGGGCAGACGAAAAGACCATAGTATACTTGGTAGACCTGTATCAAAATTAGTCTCTTTCTAGGTAGCAGGACGGAAGATTGTTATGATTTACCCAAACCTCCCATACGTGATGGAATCCGAAACGCTGGGTCCAGATTCCGATCATGCCCCAGCCATCAAGGATAACGATAGAAAAGGCAATGATATTGAACATTGTCTTGGTGCTGAGATCGAAACGCTGCTGAATCCACCAAAACGTATAGATACCGACCGCCTATTTTGAGAATTCTTTTTAATTTGAGCTGCGTTAGGGCCAAAGGAGCTTATACTTACTTGCGCGGCAATTCCAACAACGAGAAGATATGTCAGTTCAAGGGTATTGTAGGCGACGATGCTATTCTGCAAGGTAGAAATGACCGTCACAGTAGTATTGAGCGAGTCTCCTAGCAAAAAGTATCCTATCGTCCTGATTAGTCACTTAAAGCATAAATACTTGAAGTAAAGGAACCTTACCGATCAAATAGATCAAGCTTTGCTTCAAGTGCCAAATCTGCTTTATCGCGTGCCATAGATTCCACAGTCCTGCCACGAAGATGGTTCGCTTACCAGGATCCTGGCCTGGACGGCGCTTTTCGAGGAAGAACCAGGGTAAAGAAACCAGCAGCCAAATGCCAGAAGCAAATGCAATGAGCACACTAAGTCCGTAGTTGTTGTTGGCCACGCTAGCATTCACGTTCAAGCCAAACATAATTCCAATAATGATAGCAAGGATGATGATTTCGCCTAACGACTGAATGTAGAAGGAGATGTTGGCTAGACGGCTGCGCACCATCGTGTCGGCGTGGTCATACTCCTCACGAGTGATAGTTCCAGCAGCATAGGCATCCGCTTTATCTTTCATCTCAGCTGTATTGCGTGCAAGACCTGGAAAAGCAGCGGTCCAGAAGGTCAATGTTGTCTGGTAGGCGATCAGGCCGACGATATATAGACCGACACCGATGCGCCATTTACCCGCGTCGTGGACACCTAACCAGCCAAAACCAATTGCGTACGCGATAATGGACAACCCAATTAGAATGTTAGGTCTCCAGTAGCCAAAATCGGCAAAACTGCCGATAACCAGGAAGACGAAGATCTGGATTGCGAAGGAAATGCCATTGCATAGTAGCACAATACTATTGGTTGAGCGCGGTCTTCCAGCAAAATCTAGGAGACCACTGGCAGGTGCAGCCTGAGAAAGCAGGTTCTGGAATGCTGTTGGCGCAAAGTCTGGAACCGAGTTAGTTCATTTCTCCATCCTGGTGGGTTTCTTGTGTTGGGCCATACTAAACAGTGAGAGCCCATTGTTGCCAATGTAGTAGCTAGTAATGTTTAGTCGTCATCCGTTCATCAGTTCCATTTGATAGTCCCAATAGAAACGAACGAATAATAAGCCCAAATTTCCTTTCGAGAGGTGCGGTATTCTTCATCAAACTGGTCTGGTGGAACCGGACCCGACTCATAGGCCCTCTCCACCTGAAGTCCCTGAGGGTCCACCCCAATAGTCGGGGTTTTCTGGAACTGATCCATATCTCATGAAATCCTCCGAAGTGGCTTGAAATTTCAGATGAGAGATCAAGTCGAGTGGAAGAAGACGATAAACAAGAGAAATCCACAGATATTGAGTTGTGCTCCGGAATGCGCTGCCATGGAGAAAACCCACTTTCAGCCCCGCGAACCAAACCCCTCTTCGAAGGCTTTACGCTATCCTGGTTAGGCCTAGCGATTGTTTAGTGATACTCACCATGAGCCTATCATAATGTGCACATTGGTCTTGGTCTGATTAGTTGTTCAGTATTGGTTGGAAAATTCAACCACTACTTAACAATTGATAATATGTAAATCTCCATCTTGTGCTATTTGGGTATTATTTATACAAGGTCATGTGATTATGGTTATTAATTGAGAGCTCTTTGGTGAAAATGGCTTCCAGGTCCCCTCAGGAATGTCCATCCCCATCCAATTCCATGAACCCTTTGGGAGGTTTCAAGGCCACAACAGTGAATATCGCCTTCATTCTTATTAGGCTTCTGAACTTCAGCCAATGTCAATTGGCCTCTAAAGAGTAGAAGCCAAAACCCACCTCAATCACGTTATATAGTTCTGTCAAGTGGTGTTAAGGTCTATTCAACTTTCAGGTGCCTCAGGGTTGAATTTTAATGTAGTCTCGATATTTGTCGATTAATTAATTGATGCACTACTCAATTAGTTGAATGTATGGATTGTGAACTACCGTTGTTGACTGCCAAGCGTGTGTCGACGTCGAGGATACACCAAGAACATCCGTCATTGAGAAGCTTCAAGACCTTTTACCATGTTCTTGTGAAACTTTGTAAATTTAGAATTCAATATTCAGGGCCAGCAATTCCCCGGAAATTACAGGAACCAAGGATAGAAGATATGACATCAACTTCAAGCAACGTGTAGTGCCCAGGTGGAATTACGTACTGCGGAGCCAAAATAGGACCTCACTTACTAGTACCGCCACATTGAAGAATTGTCATCCGAAAATCACCGCCCATTCGCGATTAGTGGGTCTGTCAAAGCTGAGACGATGATTTGTGATCTGTATATCATCTGTGACACAATTGTGCATCCAACAGGTTTCAAGATTGTTATACTTCACTAGTCAATGCTTAGCTAACACGCGTAAAGCCCAGTCCTATAAATCCACCGTCACCGAAGACCCCTGAGACGAATTGCTGCTGAGAGGTGAAAATCGACCTGTACATACCTGGCATTGTGGGACTACACTGCACGTTCGGCGTATGCACAGATGAACCTGGAAATTGACGCAGCTATTCTCGGAGAAATTGAAAACGACTATGAGACGTTCAAGACGAACGCAAACCCCGAGCTCAGGTCTCCATGACGAAAAATTGGAGATACAAAGCTTGTCGCTGGAAAGCTTGTTTCGGTAAAGGAGGCAAGGAATTGACCCACCGATATTGCTTTTGTGGCCATGTTGATGTTCAGGACATCGTCGAGTTTTCCTCGAGACTCTCCAGAATAGTCACTGCGACAATGTCCAGAATCACCTTGAGCGAGTTATTGCCAGTGATGTTTGATACTTTGATCTTAATATCTTCTGATCATGGATCGATGGGTGGAGAACTCGCTGTCAGATAGTTTTCGAGATGAGTGATATCATTCTCCACTCTCTTATACCAATCAAAACCAGTCAATCGTTCCATCAAATTTGCGCTTTCACGCTAAACTGCTAAACTTCCTCTATCGGATGGAACGGAAGACCGGCGCTAAATTATGGATCGATCAATATCGAGAGTTCTCGTGCTTTGTGTCAGGACAGGAACTACACACAGATTCACAACTCCACTTAGAATACGAAACTTTTGGCGCTGATTGGGGAGATCGCGATGGCATAGAAGTTGCGTAAGATTGCCGGTGGAACTTGATCCGTAGGCCGTTTCTATATCTGACGGATCCCACGTCCTACGTTGATGAAATTACGGAAAGTCATCTCCACCTAAATTCAATAACTTCCTCTATAGATAGCTCATTTGAGTTGATTTGTGTTTCCATCTGGGTTTTTATTCCCCTTTCTTTCCTCTTTTCTCTTTTCTCTTACTTCCCTCGGAAAGTCTAGGTTTTCCATACTTTTGATCTTCCATTGTATAAACAGCCATGGATGCCGAAGAAGGAGACCTTAGTGGCCGACGGCCGAGAGCTTTGGTGAGTTCGACTTTAGATGCCTCATGGGTGTGTTTTCCAATTATAATTCTCCAATGGAACAGTCTCGAACGAGAATCGAAATTCCAACTTCACCTGCTTCGCCCACCTCACCACCGGCTTTGTCTTCACCTCTGTCTCCAACCAGGAGACGCGGTGTTAGTATATCCGAAGACGCAGTATCACCAACAAGAATTGGCTCACCCACGAAATTTGCCGATGCCATCGGTGAAGGTTTACGGCGCCGGACCTCGGCGGGAAGTTCAATTCCCAGTTTGGAGCCCCGAACTACCCTGGCTGATCGCACTCAGGGCAAATTCACCTTGGCCGGCCCTGATGAGACTCCACAATTGCGACTGTCTCATGAACCCTTCGTACAGCCTGGATATGCAGATCTCAACCCAGCATATGAACAGCCATCTAACGCTAAGCCGGTGTGGAGTTTGGCCAAACCGTTGCCCCGTGTGGTGCGGCCCGGAATGGTCCCCACCAAGGAAGAACTTCTTGAGAACCGTGCAAATGCTGTACTACCAGCTGAGAACTCGCAGCGTTATGGGCTGGATGTTGATCCCAATGACCTCGAACAAGGGAGAATCGACAAGACCACTGACCCACGCAAGATGGCCGCGCAGGTTGAGGATGCTCGGCTGCAGCGTGAAGCCAATTTCATAAACAAGATCATCAGCGGCGATACAGGATCAGTCAATCAAGGATCACGCCTATCGCGTACTTCATCCAGTCGCCCCAGACGTCAGTCAACCTGGGTACCGCAAGAAGGTCTCGAGACTGTGGATGAGGGCTCACAGACGACAGACGAGACTGCCAGACCCCAAAGCCCGTCAAAGTATTGGAATGATGATCCAATACGTCCCCCGAAAGAGGGTGGGATTCCGGACATAACAGATGACAAGTTCATTTTGCCCGACCTGGACCACCCCTCCTATCCCGACGATTTACACCCTTTAGTGCAAGAGCTGATCGAAGACGAGATCCACAACAACCACACGACCTGGTCTGTTATCCGCACTCATCACCGCGAAGCCCTAGCCGAAGCACTGGCAGTTTTCGTCCAGCTCACCATTGGCTTCTGTGCCGACCTTTCAGTCACCGTAGCAGATGCCGGAAATCCTAACACAACCGCCTGGGCGTGGGGCTTTGCTACCATGATCGGCATTTATATTTCCGGTGGTATCTCCGGTGCCCATCTCAACCCCGCCATTACAAGCATGCTGTGGTTCTACAGAGGTTTCCCCAAGCGTAAGATGCCCGAGTACTTCATAGCACAGTTCTTAGGAGCCTTCTGTGCTGGCTTAGCGGCATATGGTCTCTACTACCAGTCTATCCAGGAATACTCCAGCCTTAACCCCGATAGTGGCATTATCTCGAGTTTCGTAACCAGTCAGCGCCAAGTATGGATTGGTCCTGGCACAGCCTTCTTCACCGAGTTTATCGGCACCACCTTCCTCGCTGTCACCGTCCTCGCGCTGGGTGATGACCAGAATGCCCCACCAGGAGCTGGTATGAACTCCTTCATCATCGGCCTTGTCATCACCTGTCTGAGTATGACATTCGCATATCAGACCGGCGCGGCTTTCAACCCTAGCCGTGACTTCGGTCCCCGCCTCGCACTTCTCGCCTTGGGCTACCCTAATGAACTGTTCTTGAACCCGTACTGGTTCTACGGACCATGGGCCGGTGCATTAAGCGGCGCATTCATGGGTGGCTTTTTGTATGATTTCTTTATCTTTACTGGGGGAGAATCGCCTGTCAATTATCCGTGGGAGAGAACTCAGCGTGCTATGAGGAAGAGTCGTATGAAGTGGAGACGTCGTCTGCATATTGATAAGAAGGAGCCCAAAACTGCGACTGTTTCCTGATTTCAGCCCTTCGAGGGCTGAGTCTTTAGACTTTGTCATTCTGTATGATATCAAAATTTTATCATTTCTTTGGGCATTTATACCTTTCTTAGCATTTTACTAAATTTGATCATGTATAGCTTCAGGGTTGACCAAGGCCTATTCACCAACACTAATCTTGGAAGCAATATCACCTCTGACCCGCTTTTGTTTTGGGTTGAAAAGATGAATGTCAAAAGAGTGAATTAATCCTGAAGGCATACTTTCATTCCACGGCAAGACATTCATCAAACACATCGGGCACCTTGGAATCCTCCCAGATGCACACTGGCCCTTATTGTTCTGATACATATCCTCTAGGGCTCGGTATCCAAGTTTGTACCTCATCAACTACTTGAATGAATATATATATGTACTCGAATTTGGCTCGTCCGCCATTGCTTGACGCTGTCTGGTAGGAGCTTGTCCACTCATCTTCAGATGAGTGACGCCATTGAGTTTCAGTAGGAACTTCAAAATGTCAAGCATTTGCCTTATCTGACAAATACCAAAGTTTTGTGCTCATCTTTCTTTCATGCTTGCAAAAGACCTTCAAAATGAAGCGCTCAGTGCGGGGCAGTGCATCACTTTCGAATAAACGTGAAAGAAGAGATCGCGACTGGTAGTGCAGTCTAGAATGGCCTATGTTCACTGAAAATCTCTTAATGGCCGGGCAAGAGTTCTGGCTCGGGGCTATAGGGCCGTCTTGTTGAGGCGACAGTTAATCGTCTCACCAACAGACTAGTGATAGTGGTGTCATGCGTGCAGAGCGCATGGTCATTTTCGACTGGATTGAAATTTGAAATCCCGATGCGCATTCATCAGGACATTGAAGGCGCCGCGGGCTTCATTATGTGTATGGGCATTGTTCTTAAGAATCACAACATTAGGACCCGAAACAATAATTGAGTTCCCTAGGTCACCACACCTAATTTGAAAGGAGGGGAGACATGTAAGTTGAATGTCGAAGGAGTGGGGACTGCACTTCAGGTGCCCAGGTATGCAGGTAGCCCCGGAGATATGTAAAAAGAACAAATGGAAAGAAAAATAGGTAAGTTCATATATTATGGGGAAGATGGGATACCTCAAGGGCTATGAAGGCACGTAAGCAGTGAATAAAGAGAAAGAGAAAGAGAAGTGAGAGTGGGAGTGTAAGAGATATTTAACCTTGTTTACCTAGTTAGGTACCACTTCTAGTATTTGATGCATGTATGTACCTACGTAAGCACACCTGGGCAATCGGACGCCAAGACAGAGCTCCCAATTTCCTTTCTCTTCCACAGAATCAGACAACAAGAAGGATTTGTATGCTCTATCTACATACAGCGGAAAGAATGCCTGTTATAATTTGGCCTTACCATCCTCGATACTAGCCCAGCTTTTCTCATCCAACTTCTGATAATTGGTCCCGTTGAGCCAGTAGATGCGCCCATCGCCATCAGGACCATTGGGGTCCCATTTCTTCTGTACTAGATCACCCTTTGCTTGCTTGAAGGTGACTCCAGTAGAAACCCTGGTAGAGACTGGATTAGAACTAGATTCATTCATTGTCATGAATATGGGACTTACTTGTCGATGAATCGGACCAGCCGAGGCAAAGCATACGACGGTACACCGCATTTCTTCAGATCTTTATACAAATGAGATATGAACTCTTTCTCAGAAGCAGACGTGTGATCTTCCAGAGTGATACCGGCAGCACCAGCTTGACCGTCATATCTGTTAATGGAGATTGATCAGTTCATCAAGTTCTCCGCTAGTATGAAAATATAGGGAAAAATACTTACCCGGCCAACTTCACACCATAAACCACAGCATCATGAACACCTTCAATCCCACTAATATGATCGCGAATCTCGCCCGCGCTGACGTTCTCACCCTTCCAACGGAAAGTATCACCAACACGGTCCTGGAACTTGACCCAGCCAGAGTCCTCCTGCACAAGGAGGTCGCCTGTGCGCTGGAACAAATCTCCCTTTTTGAAGACATCACGCAGCAATTTGACCTCGGTAGCTTCCTTATTGTGCAAGTATTCTATCAAAAGTCCACGGTCACGCACACGACCAATCACCTCTCCTTCCTCGCCTAGCTTGGCCCGGACACAGAGTCCAGTGGCAGGGTCGCGCCAGGGCATCTCGGTCTCAGTATCATACTTAACGATGAATGTGTCATCTTCCAAGTACCGACGCATTGGACCCGAGAATCCAACCTTGCCAGCACCCCAAACGCCAGGACCGTGGTTGTCAAATTTGGCTACTCCCTCTGTCGAGCGGTAAAACTCGCGAATCTCGGGGATATTGAATCTCTCCTTGAACCGCTCCCAGATCTCGCCTCGCAACCCATTGCCGTTACCGACGATACACTGGTGATCCTTATCGTATGGAGATGGTGGAGTTGCGAGAAGATAGCGGCACAATTCACCAATGTACAGGATTCGAGTTGCGCGAGAATCGTGCACGTCTTTCCAGAATTGGGATGCAGAGAACTTCCGGCGCAGGCAGAGTGTTCCAGCAGCGCCCAGACAATAACATAGTCCAGTAAGGAAAGCAGTGCCGTGAAATAGCGGAAGAGGTGAATATGTGCGCAGAGGGAAGTACTTGGATGGATTGTTCAAGTCTCTTGATAGTGGTATGGAAGTTACCATTGTCAGCATGTTACGGATTGCACATGCCTTTGGCTTTCCGGTAGTTCCTGAAGTATAGATTAAGACTGTCAAGTCTTTCACAGTACGCTTAGCTGGTTGCAAATCGGTCGGAGAAGCTCGATGCAAGTCTTCTGTACTGATCAGCTCTATTGAGCCTGTGGGGATATCGTCAAATGATGAAATGTTGAATGCGAAGTGTGGCAGGTCCCCGCAGACAAACTGTGATAGATCGGGGGTTGAGATGATGAACTTGGAGTCAGAAACATTGAGACAATGGGTGAATGTGTCGTCTGGATATACTTGTTAGCCTTTTTCAGCTTGGATAAGAAACGAGCTAGGCTTACCCCGCAAGTTAGTATTGATCATAGCACCAACACAGCCCAACTTCGATAGTGCATACATCGTCACTACCATCTCGGGCGAATTTGTTGTGAATACACCAACAAAGTCACCAGTCCTGATGCCGCGGTCATGAAGTAAAGCAGCAAAACGATCGACCACTGAGTGCATTGTTAATCAATTGGCATTCTAAGACAAGAGCAGCAGAAGACTCACAATCCTTCAATTGTGTATACGACCAAGTCTTGTTCTCAAACCAGAGAGCTTCCGCATCACCGTGTCCATCTACCTCGACAGTACGCTGGAGCACCTTGTATAATGTGGCGGTATCGCCCAGCTGAGCCAGGCGCTGTCCGAGCCGTTTGCCAAAATCCCGGTCACCGAATATCTGAGAAAGATCTGTCGAGATTGCGAGCTTTGCATTGAAATAGGCACCTGCTGCTACAGAGAGGGCCGATGCCACGGCCACTGCGGGCGTAGCGGAGAAAAAGTCCATAACTGATGGTAGTAATTGCAGCCGAGTAAGGAAGCTGAAACTTGGCGAGGGGTGAATCCGATATTATACGACACTGAAGCGATAGTAGGATCTGCTCTATGACAACATCGCCGAGGGACAAAAGACTTAGAAACAGTATTTTTTAGTTTTTGTCATCGACTTTGCATTCCCCGGTTTTACGGGGCATTGATATTGTGGAGTAATTACGCAGTTCGGAAGAAATTTACCAATCACAACTCCTATAAAAGAGCCGAGGACTCCGACTCTCTGTATTTTAACAAATGTTTGGCCGACGGTACAGTACCAATACAAGAAATTCTCCCGGTTGGACTTCCGACTGGCTCTTCGGCTTAAAGCTTTTCCCATCACAAGCTGAGCCGCGGTCCATTTTCAACCCCGCGTGAATCTTCGGTATATTAAATGCTGGATCTGTTCTTTCTTTATTGCTTATTTTTACCACCCATTCTATCATGTCTACACCACAGCAAAGGCTGTCCTCGGTCGCGGCCCATTTGTCGCCTGTGAGCTCCTCTGCCAAGCAAAGGATTCTGGCTAAGAACCCAGATGATGTCGTAAGTCTATCAACCTATATACGATCGATCAGTCTATTCACATTCACAGGTTATCACCTATCTTGCGCGTACGCCACTCACCAAGGCACGTAAGGGTGGTCTTAAGGACACCACTGTGGATAACCTCTTGATCTCCCTTCTCACAGTAAGTATAGAATAAATTCATGAAACCGAAACAATGAACTAGAACTGATAGGTCCCTAGACTGTCCGCGAGCAATCAAAAATTGACCCGAACCTAGTCGAAGATATCTCGGTCGGCAATGTTCTCGCACCAGGCTCCGCCTACCTTGCTCGCTCTGCTGTACTAGCAGCCGGATTCCCAGTGACAGCAGCCGCCTCGGTATGCAACCGCTTCTGCTCCTCCGGCCTCCTAGCCATTCAGAATATCTCAAACCAGATCATAGCCGGGTCAATCGATGTTGGTATCGCCGTAGGCGCCGAGAGCATGAGTAGCACAGCCGACGGTGGCGCGCCGGAGATGGCAGAACGAATCGGCGCCCATCCGATCGCATCCCAGAACTACCAACCCATGGGTCAAACCTCGGAAAATGTAGCCTCGCAGTTCAACCTCACGCGTGAGCAACTTGACAAGTTTGCTGCTGGCAGCTTTCAGAAGGCCGAGCGTGCTCAGAAGGCCGGCTGGTTCGAGGACGAAATCGTCCCTGTCAAGACCCAGATTAAGGATCCTAAGACTGGCGAAATTAAGGATATCGTCGTTGATCAGGATGACGGTATTCGCTACGGGACTACAGCTGAGTCTCTTGGAAAGATTCGTGCCGCTTTCCCTCAATGGACACCTAGTGCCACTACCGGTGGCAATGCTAGTCAGATCACTGATGGTGCTGCTGCACTGGTTTTGATGAAGCGCTCGAAGGCACAGGAACTTAATCAGCCTATTGTTGGAAAGTTCTGTGGCGCTACTGTTGCCGGTTTGGAGCCTCGCATTATGGGCATTGGTCCGTCCATTGCCATTCCCAAGATCTTGGGCAAGTTTGGCTTATCTATTGATGAAATTGATATATTTGAAATTAATGAGGCTTTTGCCTCCATGGTAAGATTTTACACATTCCTTTCTTGTTCGTTTTCCATTTTTTAATTGTCCTTCTAGGGTGTCTACTGTGTTGGTAAGCTGGGTCTGGATGAGGCCAAGGTAAATCCTCGTGGCGGTGCTATCGCTTTCGGCCACCCTCTTGGTGCAACTGGTGCGCGTCAGGTTGTCACTGCTCTGGCAGAGCTACGACGTCAAAACAAGCGTGTTGCTGTGACGTCTATGTGTGTGGGAACTGTAAGTGAAATCTACCCTCTCCTGCTTGGATCAGTATTAATCATATTTAAAGGGCATGGGCATGGCTGGTATTTTTGTTTCTGAGCATTAGGGCTTTTCGATTTCTTCCATTCGATATTAGACCACTATTATCAGTGATTGTAAGAGAAAGTGACAGAGGTAAATATAAGAGAGCTAAAGAACCTGTAATAATTATCCATGATCAAAAATTCTCTTTAGAACATTCTCTCACCTAGGTTATAGGTAGCATATTACTATAATCATTTCCAAGGCTTGATATCAAGGCATATCTACATTGAAACTAAGTTTCGCTTCGAGATGTCATGATTATCTGACAGAACTTCCCCTGATATTCCAGAACACGTTCGATACCTATAATATCAGGCACCAATATACATATGTTTCTCCAGGTCTGGACTCTGAAGAAACATTCAGCGTGTCTTACATTTGTATGTCAATCCTTCCACTATTGATTTCTCCAGATATAAATATCTAGGACTAATCAGAATCAGAACTACCACGACCCACTTACTTGAATTAATTCATGCAAGGAAGGGTCTAGCTTACTCCCTACGTCGACTAATACTCCCCGACGGGGTACTCCGTCTCCCCTACTCCGTACCGAAGACCTACGAAAGCCTGAAATCAGTTCCACAATTCGGACATGGCTAAGAGACGCTATCAGACAAAAGTACTCCAATTGGATTGAAATCAACTTAATCGAATGGAATTTATTGATTGGAACCGTGGGAATTACATATGGATCTAAAAGTGGACCAGTGAGTCCCCTGAAGGAGATTGAAATTTCGGCTTCCTTCTAATGTATTATTCGCTGATCCTGATGGCCAATTATTTTTGGAACTGACAGGCCAATTATAACAGAATACATTAATCAAAAGGGGAGACAAGCAAACGTGTCCTGCTCCACAATGGTTCCACTTTTGACAATTGTGGTGGCGTATTCTAGACCTGTTGCCCTAAGTTCTTCGAGACTTCTTTTTCCTCATTTACAAGCACCTTTTCCTCCTTTACGTTCCATTTCTTACTTCCATCTTCAATTTCTTTGTGACAATCTTTAGTTTCATTTTTTCTACTTGGTAATTCATTTTATCAGGTGTCATTCTTTACCACACTCTCTGTATACACCAATTTTTATAGATCCTTACATTCATTACCAACACAATGTTTTTCAAGAACGAACTTCTTGCCCTCGCCTTATCGGTTGCTACCGCTGAGGCTGCCTACAAGGGTTTCAGTTATGGCGCTTCCAATACCGATGGCACTGCCCGCACTGAGGCCCAATTCAAGGCCCAATTCCAGAACGCCAAGAACCTGGTTGGCACCTCTGGCTTCACCAGTGCTCGCTTGTACACTATGATTCAAGAATATACTACCGACACCATCATTGAGGCCATCCAGGCCGCCATCGATGAGGAGACCTCCCTCCTACTTGGTCTCTGGGTCTCCGGTGGAAACGTTGACAACGAAATCACTGCTCTCAAGTCCGCTATCTCCACCTACGGCGAGCAGCTCGCCAAGCTGACCGTCGGTATCTCCGTCGGCAGTGAGGATATGTACCGTAACAGTGTTGCTGGTGCTGGAAGCAATGCTGGCCCTGGTGTTAGCGCTGATGATCTCGTGACCTACATCAAGCAGGTCCGTGAGGCTATCAGTGGCACTTCTCTAAGCAGTGCCCCCATTGGTCACGTCGACACCTGGGACGCCTGGACCAACACCACCAACTTGGCTGTTATTGACGAGCTTGACTGGCTCGGTTTCGACGGCTACCCCTTCTGGCAGAGCTCTGATAGCAATGACATCAGCAACGCCAAGGCTCTCTTCGACGAGTCTGTCGAGAAGACCAAGGCTGTCGCTGGCGACAAGGAGGTCTGGATCACCGAGACTGGCTGGGCCGTCACCGGAGACAATGAGGGTGAGGCTGTTGCTTCCATCGCCAACGCCAAGAAGTACTGGGACGCCGTCGGCTGCTCGCTCTTCGGAACCACCAACACCTGGTGGTACATCATGCAGGACTACGGTGACTCCCCCAGCTTCGGTATCGTCGGTGAGACCCTTTCCACCACCCCTCTCTTCGACCTGAGCTGCCCTTCCGACTCTTCCTCCACCTCCTCTTCCTCCAGCGCTGCTACTGCCTCCGGTGTCTCTGCTACTGCCTCCGGTGTCTCTGCTTCTGGTGCCTCCGCTACTAGCTTCGTCTCATCCGTTGGTCACTCCGCCACCCGCTACCGCAGCGGAACAGCCGCCACCGCTACATCCACTCCCCTGATCAAGGCTTCCGGTACCTCCCTCTCCGCCAGCTCATCTGCTTCCGGCTCCAGCTCATCTGGTGTTGCTGCTGCCTCCACTACCGCCACCTTCAACGGTGCCGGCCGTACCTCTAGTTCAGTCTTCGGCGCCATCGTCGCTTTCCTCGCTCTCGCTATCGCTGTTTAAAAACGTTCCTTTGGTCCATGAGGTGTGATTGGATGGGCGGATTGTTTAGATCCCTCCCTGGAGTTGGGTTTTGTACGGTTGTCAATTTCTTTGTGAATACTCTTTTCTTACCTTCGTTTATATTTTTGTATTAAGAATTCAACTTGACTCTGGCTTGATCCTAATTCTGGTCTTTTTTTCTAAAAAAAAACTTTCCATTTAATTTGAAATCTATTTTTACTCACCGGCCCAGGTGGGTAGGTCAACTGGTTGATCTTCACAAACTTGATCGACGTTCATTGCCCTGTCAATTCCAAGTCCTAGATGTTGGAACCGTGGGTTTATATTCTTCGGAGCGTTCAGCCACTGGCGTCATTCAAGGTTTTCATTCGATCTGTGCGATGTTTACATACTGGTTCACTAGGTACGTATTTTCGTACTTATCAATTGATAAGTTCGCCGCTATTTAGAGTACCTTAGCATGAACCATGCACACAGATACATATCTTAAATTAAAGAACCGATGTGACAGAAAGTGACAACAACGATAAGATGCTAAAGACCATGCACTTTCCACTTAGGGATCAATCCCGCAGCCCTGGAGTTAAGCCTTGAATGGACTTACCTTGGCACACTACATTCTACGGCAGTTGGTAAGGTACATAAGGAATCAGGATTAAAATTGTAATGTTACATTTGAATGAATATTATATACAGTAATTGAATTGACCCTGGAGAGTACACCGATCAAAATCAGACAGTCGGCCTATCAGGTTGGAACCGCTTTCAGTTTCACCCCGTCGTGTGAGCTCTCCAACACAATATTTAGCTTTCTTGATATCTCTTCCATTCCCCTCACAGTCGGATGAGCCTTGATAGGCGATGGGACTTCAACCATCAAACCCGAAAACAACAGAGCTAGCGGGGAAGACTTCCAGATATACTGATTCCTCGTGTGGGCTATCGTGACCATCAAGAAGATCACGCTAAGTACCACGACAATGATGGGAAGGATAAACCACCCCCATCGTACTCGGACAAACGATTCCACACTCCAGGCCTTGCCTCGCACATCAGATGTACAGACATTGGAACGCGCATTGACCGTCAATGAGGATGCTAACGATTGAAACACCAGGTTGATATCCGTATAGTTGCCGTACAGGCCGTATAGAGCTTCCAGAGTATCGGAGTCCCATCTTGGACGATTGCTCACGAAGAGCGATCCGGTACCTTTTAGCAGACTGTCAAGTGAGTTGGACATTGCCAGACGACTTAGCCAATTGACATTGTACACGCATTTCTTGGGATATTTGCTCGGATCATCATAAACAGTGCCGTTGGTGTAACACTTCTCAGGAGTGATGGCGAAGTTTTCTTCGGAGAAGGCGGAGTAGGAGGCATTGGTTGTAGCCTTTGTTGAAATGATATTCTCTGAAAGTTGACCATTAGATACGCTCGAGTTGTATGTTTGAACACAGAAGTAGAGTGTGCACTCGGTTGCACTAATTCGAGGAGGAACTCCGTATCCCGCAGCAGTGATAGCGGTAAAGTTGATAATGGGTGTTATATCTGTCGTGTCCAACTTGACCAGCTCTAGGCTCTCATCCGTTGTGGCATTCATCAAGTATATCGAGTTCATTGAGGTTGAGAAGGTGAAGTTATTAGGCAGCGTGTAGTTATAGATGTCCTCTTGAGGGATCGTGGGGACTACAACCGTTTTGGTGAGGGTAAGAGAATCGGTTATGTTGGCGCACCGACTGCAATATCCCAGCGTCTGATATGGAGAAAATGTGCAGTTTCCCGTTGGACAGTTAAATAAGGTATTCTTGCTGTTCGTTCCCTGTTCCTGGAAAATACCCGAGTAGATTGCCCCCAGGGTGCTAAGAGGTGCCTTGTTCATACCTGGTCCGGACCCTTCGCTATAATCGGTGTAAAGGCTTGTGTTGCAAGTCTGGATGAATGTCGAATGTCTCAAATTAACAGGTCGTGATACAGTGGACATGACTTGTTGAACGAATGGGTCGGTGACAGTCCCCAGTACTAGAATAAGACATCCAAACGAGATGAGATGGCTAGAGTTAAAATATCTTAGAAATTTGAAAGGTATGAAGAGGTATGGAGGCCAGTAGTGGTATAGTCGACTCACCGAGGCACGAAGCGGATCAGTACGTTCATAGCGCCCAAAGCACCACGACTAGCAGCGTCTAGACGTGCAAGATCACTGAGTTTATTTCCACCATGAAACCACGACCACTTGAGCTGGGCCAAGGATTCCATGACAATAAATGTCACTTGGGCCTTCATGATCGTACTTAGTACTGAGACCAGTGTATTGAGTGTGATGCCATGAGGCCACTCAGGTATTGACTTTCCATCGTAACGCAAAAGCACCACAGATATAGATACAACCGTGATGATGGATATGAAGCATGCCCCAATCTCTAGGGTCCAGCTTGTGCCCCAGAATGCGCGATTCTGAGATCGCAGGAAAGCTTGCTCGGCCGAAGACTGTGGATGTGGTCGTGTCTCTCGTGAATTCTGTGGTGGATCATCATTAAGTTGGATATAAGACATTCGGAAGCCGTCTTTAGGTTCCATCTTCGTATCTGGGATTGTCCGAGTGCAATAAGACAGAAGAAAGTTGTTACTGTGTCGATTGAAGTCGGGGAACTCTCCTTTTTCAGAAGACTATTTACTCTGTGACTCTAAAATTAAATTAGGAGGCCCCATTATTTAGGCTAGTACATCCGAATTTTCATAAAAGTAGGTTATTCTGAGACAATGCTATAAATTCTCCATATACTAGTGGGATTCTTAGAAAATCCATGCCTGGTGAAGTTTAGTGCTGACAACGTTATTGGTTCCAGACCCGCTCTGAACACTTTCTCAATTGTCAGAGTCAGCCAGCCAGTGGAAAGTCCCCTATTTAGGCGTAGACCTTCCACAGGATCGACACTATCTTTAACACGGCAGATTCTAACGTTATTTAGTAGAGGCATTTAGCAACTCCAAGCGCCGAGAGTATCAGCTATCCGATCAGTTATCGGTTATCAGTTATCAGTTGATCACTTATTGTGTGGGTCAAATGTCGGTGACAGACTCAGGAAGAGTAGATGTGACATGAAAAGGTATTTGATATCTCAATGAAAGAAACTGAGTAAACATTGATATATCATAATAATCATATATGGACAACTCATCAATGCCAGCTCAGTCTGTGATGTTGTTGTATGCAAGGAACCAGCTGATTCCACATGAGGCATACGGCGTATAACGTCGATCTATTCCCAAGACAGATAGGACGTCATCACGTGAATATCGTCATCAAGTGACCTTCCCCAGCCTTAGCTCTCATTATTCAAGTCTTCATCTCTCTTTCCACGCCTCTTCTGGACTTTTATCCATCTAAGTTCTTGAGAAAAAAAAACATATATCCCGAGGATATCACAAATAAACGCCATAATGAAACTCCTATCAGCTGCCACCCTGCTTCTCGTCGCTGCTCCAATCTCTACTTCTGCAGCTGCCTTCCGGTCGATCTTCGATCCGTCGCAAGCTCCAATCCATGTTGAAACCACTCAGGACTTCCCAGTCCAGGGTGACAACCCGTTGAAATACTGTGCTGACCCGAAGGAGCATGTCCTGCAAATCGACTCTGTTGATCTCTCACCCAACCCCCCTAAGGCGTATGTGAAATGCTGAAACTAGCTTACCTTCAATGCTGAACGAATGGGCCAATAAACTGACTGGTACTCATCTCACAGTGGCGAGAAGCTCACCATCAAGGCTAGCGGTACCCTGAATCAGGCAGTCGAAGAAGGAGCCTACGTAAACCTGGAAGTCAAATGGGGCGTCATTACTTTGATTAAGCAGACTGTCAACCTCTGTGATCAGATTAGCAATGTGGATTTGTCTTGCCCTCTTGATAAAGGAAAGTTGACCTTTACCAAGGATGTGGAACTTCCTAAGCAGATTCCTCCGGTACGTGTTCAATATTCTTAAATCGTCCTAGGGCCAAATGCTGACTCCGATTGTTGCAGGGTAAATACTCCGTCCTTGCGGATGTTTACACACCAGAGAATACCCAGGTTACCTGCTTGAAGGCCGATAACATTGAATTCAAGTTGCAATTGTAATGGGTTGATAATTTCGGACTATATCTCCACCTTGCGTGCTCGGTGGCTGATCTGAGCCCATCAACTAAATCCCTATGACCCTGTCTATGTCACGTTATTTTTCGAGTAACGCCTTTGTCTGTTCTGCCACAACTTTAGCTGATTTTGTCCTCATGTACCTGCTCTTCATGAACTCTTGTGCTTATTCAGATATTACTACCTTTCCAGTTTCGGTCCACTTCTCATCGCATTTTTCCATTGGCGATAAGCCTATATGCTCTATATGCTAGTAATTCAACCCGAGCCTGTTCCAGACGGCCGTTATGGTGAATATCCATATATTGATCGTGAATATCCTTGACGTATCATCAAATTCTGTAAACCTTCACCAGTTGACTGCCAGGCACATACCCAGGTACACATCCATGAATATAATTCAAAGATTCACAGATCCTTGGAGACCAAGCTTACATAGGCAGACAGACGGATATGAAGACCGGGTGACATGTGGAAGTTGTGGTATATGCATATTTCGGATATGTTGGGTATCTTGACACAAAATATCTGATGACCCCGAGATAAGGTACACATGGAGTGAACGAAACCCGAAAAAAGTTGATGAAATCACCGGAATATTTTAGCATGAAGAAGACATCTGGATGGTATGAAAACAAGGGACACAATTGAGAAATCTGAGTACAAGACGCCGAGGCAAAATGATAACCTTTAACGAGTTTATTCTCCGAAAAGACGGCGCACACGCTTGAGAACACTGTCCTTCTCTGGGTCATAGGGGTGGTCTTTGCTGGGGATCTCGAGAACAGCGGGGAAGGGATCTGTGAATGAGTCTACGCTGTGTCGGATTCGCTCCGCAACCTGGAGATACTTGTGAGCAGAATTCACGTATAGATGGCGAGGAGGCTTAAAAACAAACATGCTGGTTGATCAGAACGATGGCAATATCTTTTCTCTCCTGTGTGAAGTTCTGGAAGGCCTGTTCAATCGCTGAGGTTTCGGTCTTCGGGTCAACGACTAAGAAGTTGCGTTGCGAGTCTGGAGCATCGGTGACATGCTATTGAGAAGAAACAAGGGACCAAGTTAGCATGTTGGTCAAATCAAATTGAGATGCTATTTAATAGCCTGGAGCTCTAGAGGGTGACATACTCCGATGCCAGCGAGGAGAAGACCGGTGACGGAACTGAGAGTAGAGAGATCATTAGCTGAAGATATCCATGTGATAACACAAAAGTGGGCTTCACTGACTCTTCATCTCCGATCACAGCAAGGAATTGCCGGTCCTGTAATTTCAACAATTAACAATGCTATCGGAGGGGCAGCTGCTCAGCGAATTACCTTGTATGTCGCAGTCGTCGTCATAGTGTAAGGTTGAAAGAGGTGCGACTAAAAGATTTGAAAACAACCTTGGAACAAGGTACTTCAATCAAATCGAAGCCAAATGCGAAGACTCAAGAGCACAGCACAGTACGTTGAACCACTGATCGCCGCTATTGCGGCCGGGGAGAGCTACCGATGACTAAGCTGATGCAATTTTGTTTGGTTTGGTTTACTTATTGTTGCCGTCACTTCTACCTTAATGACTACTTTTCTTCCACATGGCTCTTTGTTTTCATTTTTGAACAAGACGGAGCTGGCAATGATCGGCCCTGTCTAAATTTCAAAACTTCCTTCCTATTATCATGGCTCCTCGTCTCGTGCGCCAGCGTCCACTCGCGGAGCGCATCCGCTCCTACCTGAACCCATGGGACTTTTTGCTTTGGTTGTCTGAGGAAATCGATGGCAATGACTGGGATCAGATGGAGAAAGATTGGGGGTTGACTATCGGAATTTTCCTCAACCTCATATTCCTCTTGGCGCGGGCAAATAGCCGATCGAGTGGAAGCAAAGCCATTGACGATGTGTTTGGAGACGATGAAGGAACTCATTATCTGGGCTGGTTTGTGAGTGAAATGTTGACTTCATGGGCTAAATCTGACAAATAAACTTGAGAACACATGCTAAAAGACGACTCATTTCTTCCTAGGCATCCCTCACTGTTCTAACACTAGCCATATCGAGTGTCGCCAATGCAGTCTACACCTTTGGTCGCAAAAAGCGTTATCGAATGTTTGAAGCGCCCATCGAACAAGATCTTGCTTCATCTTCGGCACATCGTGTGCGCGTCGATTCGAGCCCGATGACTGCGTCCCCTCTACAGTATCTAGCCAACGCTATATCTGCGGCATCTGCCCAGTCAAGGGCGCACCCCGACGCTGAGCGAGATGTATGGGAAGTTGCGATGTGGGACCCGCTCCCAATCTGCGTCCGTCTCTTCTCTTTGTTTAGCCCGGGTCATGTCTTGGTCTACTGGCTGTTCCTACCTACTCAGGTGTCCGACCCTCGACCCAGTGTGACGATCTTGACGACAATTCTTCTTACTACCCTACTCTCCGTGCAAATGTCTTTTATTGGATCATCTTACGTTCAGCAAGCAAAAGACTCAAACTTGGTGCATAAAGAGGTTCTGAGGGAATATGATACCAAATACGTGCACCCTCGGACTCAGCCTTTGATGAGAGACGTTGGCACCCAGTTCTCAGCGGGTGATTCCAACCAACCAGGCTCACATACCACAAACCAGGTCGACGTATACACGCCTACAATCATTCTTAACCATGGCTTCCAAACTAGCCCCAATCCAAGCTATGTTCGCCACGTCGATCCCGAAGGGCTTACTCCCATTCGCCCGACGCGGAACTCTACTCCTAGCCAGACTTCTATATTCCAAGTCAAACCATCGTTGCAAACTCCTATTATTCAACGAGATGCTTCTCCCCTGGTGAGGACTGCGGGAAATAGCATTCGACAGCCACAGTTCCGACCAAGCTCAACAACCAGAGGTGACGGGGGTAATCTTGGAGTGTATTCTCATGCCAACTCCCCCCTCAGGAAATCTGCTTCAACGGCATTTGAGCGTCGAACTCAAAACAATGGCGAATTTTTCTACAGAGAACGAGAGAGCGCATTAAAGAGACCTTCCAGTCCTCTCAAGAGAAGCAGTCTAGCAGTTGGAAGCCCAGCACCAGGCACCCCTTCAGCAAGTAAGCCCAGCGCTCGTCGTGAAATGGGTCGATATTAGAATTGGTCAATGAATGATCGTTTTTACATTATTAAATGAAATTATTTCCAGCAGTGTTTAGCAGAATCAGTATGCAAGGATCAAAATGCAAATTCATGCGCTTGATTATGCACACAATGGCTGATTGATGACACATACCCAAGTTCATACTATTACTAGAAACGGCAACATGTACGCCTCAATATCATCACTTTGCCAAGGCTTGCCACGCCAAAGAATGTGGACTGGCCCCGGCGATTTTGATATCGTATTCCATTTTTCTGACTGGAATATCTCTCAAGTTTTGCCGAAAAGTCTCTTAAAGCTAGCTATCAAAATCTGGAAACCTGTCTCGTCTACCTACCTACAGTGGACCGTTGAGCTAGCTTAAAGCTTTATCGCACTTTCCCACTCAACGAACAACCTAGACCTTTATCGTTTCTCCGGAATGATGCAATCTCAAATGCTGCAGAGAAATGGCGACTGTCATACCATCAGACGGCTGGTCATAGCTTGGGGCATTCCGGCGTGCTTGTTGTCATTCTTGATCCCGGGCATACCATTCCAACCAACCAGGCTCTTTTATTCTTACTTGTGGATGGCGTTCATTTGATTGATCAATTTGAGCATAATACCCCCCGCACATTCTTTCTGTATCATTATTGTGGTTTGGAAGAGAAATTTCCGGACCCTGTCTCCCTTTGTCCTGGACACGAAGCCCTAACTTTCACATCCACGCAACGCCAGTGCGACAAGTGTTTGTTTTCTTGACGGCATGGGCCAGGTCAGTACACAATTCTGGCCTGAAAGTCGGACTCTCTAGTCATTACGTGGCTCAGTCAACAATGGAGCGCGCCAACAGTGTCGAACTGCCTGATGGACATGTTGTAGACCTCGCACCTCGACCTCCCCAACACCAGGTACAATACAAGGCATATCGCGTAGGTTGTACGTCAAGCGCGCAATCAGCTTCTGAATCGACCGATACGCTCCAACAAATTCCAACACCAGAGCCTGAGGCCTCTCTAGAAACGATGCCTCGGAAAGGAAAAGCGACTAAGCTTCCGCTACCGAAAAGCATCTCGAAAAGAAGCAGGGACCTACTCAATCAAACTCCAAGTCCGACTGCAATTCCTAAGCCATCTCCCACTGCCTTTTCATCCGGAGGTTCGGGCGGCGGGGATCTATATTGGAGAAAGATCAGGGAAAAGTTCGAGAAGGAATCGCCCCTGTCGCAACGTACTTCTTATCACCGGACAAGAGAAGGTGACCGAGCTGCTTCTGCAAGTCTTGCGGAGTCTTTACAGAAGATCAAGACCTCCGTTAGTGCTGCCCACAACAAATCTAAAGAAAGCCATACTAAGGGTCGAACTGGTATTCCAAGCCCCAGTACTAAGATCAGAGTCGTTTCAAACCCAAGAAGCGAACGGTATCGTTACTCGGAAGGCAAAAAGAATTGGGTAAAAGAAGGGGATCAGTGGATTATTCGCGATGCCGATGATTCTGCACTACCACCATATGAATTGAAACAATCGGAGACTAAAGCCGAGTGGGATGGTTCAATATCACCTATCTCTACCGAGGAAGGCTCCACAGAATGGGAAGATCGATTTGTCGTGCACATGCCATCTGCCAAAGAACCCAACCCTCCGACGATGACCGAGGACCAAATTGCTGAATATCAAAAGAGCATCAGTTACTACCGTGGAGATGATCGTCTTCTAGATCCTACTGAAAAACCCAGTCGTCATGAATCTCCCGTTGTACAACACAGTTCTTTGGCGCAGCGAGATGGAGCTTTGTCCCCATTCAAAGCCTACGATGGACGGCAATCACCTGCACAGCAAGCTGATCAGCAGCCTCCTTCTCAATCTCAATTCCAATCTCCTGGACCCCACGGACAGGGTATTTATTATAGCCCAGATGAGATTGGCAAGAATCGCATCAGTACTATCTGGGAAGAATCTTCTGGTAAGGTCAAAGAAAAACGAACCTCACACGGCGACGGCTCTTTTTTAGGTTGCAAGGAGATCGATGCTGCAGCAACGAAGAATCCGGACGAAATTCTTCTTTTCGCTACCGGAGAAGACTCGACGCATCTGCAGCCTCGACCTCTGGCAGTAGGTGCGAAAAAGAGGCTCAGAGAAAAGAAAGTAGCCAATCGGCCTGCACGGAAATCAGAAGAGAAGGCTACTCTTCAAAAGGAGTGGTTACAAGATGCTCAGAATACGAGACATGCCCAGGGCTCGAAGCAGTCGTCCACGACGATATGCAAAGACCAGAATTGCCCACAACCCGACATTCCCAGGTCCGATTCACAGTACTCGATAAAGGAGAACTCTCTCCCGAGACAGATCATCGAAAACCCCATGGAGACAATACAAGAACCTCGCGGCGACGACGATGTGTTCATTATCACACCCACTATCACTCGTACGTTGATACCGACGCCGACACCAAACAACACTCCAGAAAAATTGATGTCTCTTCCAAAGCTGCGCCGCCTCGGGGGCACGGGTCAGACTGGCACCGGCAAGGCCGTCAAGGCCGTTCGAGCGAAAGCCCAGGTCATCACTACACCTTCCACTCCGAAACCCGCACCAACGCCCTTGCCGATCGAGTCAAGCGATCTCTCGCTCGAATCTTCCGAAACGATAGCCCTCGACGCCACTTCCCCGAGCAAAAAGGCGCAGGCAAAAGAAAAGTCATCAAAAGAGAAGGCTAAAGACACCGAGCGAAGCAGCTCAACGTCAAACGCCATCCGTGGCTTCATCCGTACATCCGGACTGGCAAGAACCACCGGAATGGTGAGGTCTCCAACAGACAGTCTGGCTCAAATACTGCGCAACGGCACTGAGTCTTTGCGCAACCGTGCCGAATCTCTACGCAATGGGACCGGGTCTTTCAATCGTAAGGGCTCTCCTGTTTCTCAGTCCTCGCTACCGACTAGAGATAACTCTGAGTCCTCGATATCTTCCAAATCTTCCAAATCTGATAAATCGGTCAAAGAGACACCGATTTCTTCGACGAAACCATCACCTGCCGAAGTAGAAACTCCAGTGTCGAAGAAGGTGACAGTGAAGGTAAAGCCCATGGGAGAAAAGCCTCCGCGAGACAAATCTACCCCGGAAAAATCTTCGAAAGAGAAGACTCGAGAGAAATCTCCAGCATTGAAGCCATCATCACCATTGGATAAACCCCTGCCTGTAATCAATACAACACCACCTCCGCCGGAGAAGCTGAGGAATTCAATTGACGAGAAGTCACCCTCCGAACAGCGCGAGCAGTTAAGCCGCGCCGAAAAGCTGGAGAGATTCAAGGAACGGGCACGAGCTCACAGGAGATCTACTCTCGAGATTGCAGAATTGGAAGGGCATCAAGTCACAGACCGCAAAGACCTCCATCCTAGCATCACTAACATTCGTGGTGATTTTTCAGACTTGTCAGAAACGGATAAAGATGGTTCTCTCAACGAAGGGTCCAGCCCTTTTGCCCTCACTTTAATACTTCAGATTTTGTTCCTCAGCGTGGCACAGATCCACAAATACGTTCTTCGATCGACTGAGAATGCATATGTGAAATTCCTGATAGTCAATGTTTCGAACATGACCAGTCATTGCTGCATAACGTTCTGTCGCGTGTACCGCATCATCTCCGTTTACCAGGCTACAGGCCAATGGCCCAAGCCAGAAAATGATCAGGCGATCGGCCGGTTCTTGATTGACCTTCTCCAAGCTGTTGTCTACGTATTCATTTTAGGCTTTGGCTGCATGATTATTAGCCGGGCCGCAGGCTATGTGGCTCTTGTTTGGAGCTGGATTATATGGTTTGCCAAACCGCTTGGATGGACATGTCATTGTGTTGGCCATTCTGTATTCGTGTGATGGTGTTCGACCGTCTATCTTTTATTACCAGTTTGAAGGGTTAGCCGTCTATTTTGTTCTCTGTATCATCCAAAGCAGCGTTTATCTTCTCCTAGCTTTCTCGTAGCTTATTCTTCCTCCCATCAATCGTCTTTATATGCACTTCTATCTATAATGCCGTAGACTTCAATTCCTATGCTGAAGATCAAATGGTTTTGAACAATTATTGCGCAGGTTTGTAGGTGTAACTAGGTACTCGTTAAAATGAAACGAGTTCAGTAACTAGGTAGAAACAGCATTGCAAGCTAATCTATCGTTTAAAACACTTGAATGCTAATGCTAGAATAATCTCAATGTAAAATTCCATGTTTTCAGACTGGTAAATTGCGCCGCTTGGGTGTTGAAAAGCCCTTTTGCGAAACAACCAGAAGACGGTAAGAAGCAAGACGCCACAATGATCGACAGTGGAAACGCTGTTTTGATGAAACCGAAAGTAAATGAAGCTGAAAAGAAGAAATGTTAAAATAACGTTCTTAAGAAGTGATCCCTGCCAGGGAAAGGGGGAGAATTGAAGCCTCGAAAGAGAGGTGAATTATGTTGAATTTTGAGTTCTTTTGGTTTTCTGTTTCCGTTGAACAAGATACCCAATCAAGAGTATATGTTCACATGCAAGCACCTGGCCTGTGGAAAGTAGAATAGCGAAAATTGAAAAGGAGCGATGGAAACGTCATTGTTAAAAGAGACGGGGTATCGTTGCGGTTGAAAAAGTCGGATGTTGAAATTGAGGGGGAAAAAATGAACGCTCAGGAAGAAATCGTTGAGGTTTTTTCATTCATGACGCCATGACACATTGCAGGGCAAGCCCTATATTAGTGTTGGATGTTTCGTGACTGGTTATCGTTGAGTATCGTTGAGATTTGTGAGATGTTGAATTAGGTAGAGGTTGAATAATGTGGTTAGTTTTGAGGTAGCCAGGAAGGGGAACTTTGGCATGCATTTGCGCTAGGCTTTCCCGGTTGAAGTGGGTTAATGCATTAGTTTTCGATCAGAGTACCGTTCTGCTCGGAGGTGCCATTTGTGTCCGGTTTACTTGGTAGTTCGATTTCGACATCGAAGTCCTTGACTTCCAGGTCCTTGAAAAGTTCGAAGAGAGTACTGGACCGGTGGAAGTCGTTGTCAACGATGTTGACCAGGTACCATGTGTCCATCGTCTGCTGGATGAGCTTCCGACTGGGACCAGCGGCATCGTAGCACTTGTACCAGTCATCGCCCAGTCGGTAAGCCTCATCCTTCCAGGCCAGGAAACTGATAGTCTCAACGATTGTAGGTTGGATGATCTCTCGTCCAGCGAAGATACCCCAGGTCAAAGCATTGGGGCTGTCAAGGGTGTTGGTACGCAACTCGCCTTCCTTTTTGATGGCGAGATAAGTGAGGTCTTCATTGCTGTCAATGCGGCTGATCAGCTCATCGATCAAGTAGGGTGGGACCAGAAGCTCGAGGTAAGCCTTTTGGTAAACGAAACCGTTCTTGGGACCCCAACCGTAGATGGGATGAGAAGACTTGACGCCATTAACGGCGGGTTGAGAGTTAATAGTCAAGAATCCACGGCTGTTCAAGTTGAGCAAAAGATCTTTGATATCGTTTGCCTCGGCGGAAATGGGGCTGTCACTCCACGGCAGTCGATCCAGCTTGCCCTCCAAGAAACGAAGGAAAATTGCAGATATATCTTTGATGGATTTTGGCTCGCCCCATAGCTTGATGTTCTGCTCATTCGTACCCTTCAATCCGACGCCGTATGCATCAAGCTCACCAAAGGCAGGCGAACGAGAATCAGTCCAGCGACCGTTGGGGAATTCGTCCCATGTTTGGGTGCGGGCAATGTAGGACGAGTTGCGGTTGCGCCAGAAGATGGGTCGCACATCTTCTGATCGTCGGCCCAACCCAAGAGATGGACGCCATGGCAAACTGCGATGGACAGGAGATCCATCAGATGGTGTAAGACCTAGCTCGTCAAGGACTAGCTTGGTTGCCTGTGCCAAATTCATTGTATAGAAATGAAGGTGGTTGATGCCAGACGCCAGGATCTTGCGACACATGTCGGCGATCAAGTGCTTTCCAACATCACGCACTGCAGAGTCATCATTCTTGACGGGCTCCAAGGCTTTCATCCACTCGGGAGGCACACGGGTCTTGGTCCAGGTAGACCTACGAATAAAAGAAGCATAAGTCTGGATTGGCATGATGCCTGGAATGATTGGAACACTAATTCCCTTGGCGCGGCATTTCTTGACCCAGTCAATGAAATGTTCAACATCATAAAACATCTGAGTGATGATAAATGAGCTACCTGCATCGACCTTCTCCTTCAGGTGGTCGATCAAGAGGTCAACATCCGGGTTGTCATCAGCACCCTCCGGGTAGCCGCCCACACCAATGTCAAAGTGATTGCCATACTTTTCCCGAATGTATTTGACCAAATCCTTTGCATAGCGGAATCCACCATCGGTAGCCTCCCAGGTTTCCTGGTCTCGAGGAGGATCGCCGCGAAGAGCCAGAATGTTGGTACATCCCGCCTTGTAGGCAGCCTGCAGGGCTTGATCAATTCTCTCCCGAGGCATGTCAGTACAAGTCAGGTGCATGCATGTCTCCAATCCATAGACGGACTGGGCCACACCGACCATCTCGCAAGTCAAATCCGATAAACGACCGCCTGCGCCCCATGTAATGTCGATGAACGAGGGACCTAATCCGTGCATGCGATCCATGCGGTCATAAAGGTTCTGAACACCCTGAGCAGTCTTAGGAGGAAAGAATTCGAAGGAAATTCCCGGCTCCCCTGCCTCCTCATTCTGGGCAAGCTTCTCTCGGATATGCATCGTGTCGCGTCAACCTGGAGATTTGTGGTCAGAACTTTTCTGAAACACATATATCCCATAATTACCACTCACCAAGACTTGAGGAATCGATTTCGCGTCACCAGATGCTAATACTGAGAATTGGGCTATTTAGGACGGCCTTCAATCAGGATTCCGGAAGTGAGAGCCGCAAGAAGCTCAAGGAAGTACAAGGTTGTCGAGAACAAAAGAGAAAATCAGAAAAAAAAGAAAGGAAACAGGAAAAGAAGGGGAAATAAGAGGGGAAGAAAGAAGAAGAATTGAATGAGATGATTTGATGTTGATCTGCCGACGATCGGAAGAGCACGTGTTCTGCGAATCAGACGACTTTTCAACAATTAATATAGATTTATTATAGAATGATTTTAGAATTGCAGATTTGTAGATTTAATTCGTTGAAAATGTGACTTTAAATTCATTTCAATGAGCTTCAATTGGTCTTGAAAATGGGTGATTTTCCCCGTAAAAGCTATAAGGATTTAGAGAGGAGCCCCTCTTGCCCCTCAGTTAGAAATTTATGGAAAAAAAAGAGTCTGGGGCAAAACTTGGCAGCTTCCGCCTTATCAGTTTTTTTTCCTTAAACCCAATCTACAGTTCTCCAACCTTTCATCCTCTCATCCTGCCATTCTCATCTAACTTGTGATTAGTTATCTATATTCACTATGTCGACCGATCAAGACTACAAGGCGACTCTGTTGCCCCTCCTCATCTCCAATAATGTTCTCTCTTTCGGCAGCTTTGTCTTGAAATCCGGTCGCGAGTCCCCTTACTTTTTCACCTCCACTCGACTCCATACTGCGCCCTTGTTGCGTGCAAGCTCTGCTGCATATGCCAGCGTGCTCTCCGCGGAGCCTTTTGTTACTCCTGCCGCCGATGGCACCTTCAAGCCTAACTTCGACATCATCTTCGGTCCCGCATACAAGGGAATCCCAATCTGCGCGGCTGTTACCAATGAGCTCGCTGTGCGCGACTCTCTATCCGGATCCAGCACCTGGGATAACGTGAGCTACTCTTTCAACCGCAAAGAGGCCAAGGCCCATGGCGAGGGTGGAAACATTGTCGGTGCTCCTCTGAAGGGCAAGCGCATCATCATCGTTGACGATGTGATCACTGCTGGTACCGCTCTTCGTGAGGCGGTTGACATCATCGAGAAGGAGGGTGGTATCGTTGCTGGTGTGGTTGTTCTGCTGGACCGCGAGGAGCGTGTCAGCGATCTTGAGCCCAAAAGCGCCATTGGCGTTGCGCAGCGGTCCCTTGGTGGCAACATTCCCATCCGCGCTGTCATCAGCCTGCAAGACTTGATCGAGAAGCTTGGTGATAAGATTGGCGAGGCCGAAGTCCAACGATTGAAGGACTACCGCTCCCGCTACGGCGCAGAGTAAATAATTGCATATTGATATATGAACCATGGAGGAACCATTTATGAGACCAAAGAGAATAGAAGAAATCCGATACCAGGGAAGCCTAGACTTACTCAAATCCATGATCGAGGCGCAAAGAAATCCGCATACACGCAAAAAGTGTCAGAATAATCAATTCATGAACTGAAACGGTAGTACGGATGTTCACCTCTTGAGTCCAATCGGTCCGAGAGGAACTCCAGGGCTATCTTTAGTTTCACATTTTGGACTTTGATGATAACCGGAGAATTTATCAAGCTGAGTCGCTATGGGCATAAGAATCAGCCCGTATAGAGTTGGAGTCAAGTATGGGTTCCACGTCCCCTGATTCTAGTGTCGTACCAGTCTCAGACAATCATACTCTGGAACTCCTGAAAAGTGTTGATGTCAAATGGCAGCATCTCTGCCCATATCAAACAGCCAAAGCCCTTATCAACATGGACACCTGTGATTTCTCGGGGGTTGGAACTTAGCTCTTCCACCTCGTACAAAACACGCTTTGCTACATTTCAGGATCTGATCGCGCTCAGACCAACTGTCGATAGAAAACTCCGGGAGTCAAACACGCAGATGGCGAGTTAAACGCCAAACGAGCAAACACGATTCCAAGTTCTGACTAAATTCCAATCTCTGAACCGAGACTTAGCACATTGTGACAGGTTTGGTGGCTATACTTCGTGAACCCCATCTGTTGGATATATCGCTTCCAGTGATCGACCAGGATCCCTCTTGACCAGATTAGAGCTTAAAAATTGAAGGGTCCGATCACTTCCTAGTGGTTGCTTAAGTTGCACAAACTTATTATGGTCTGAATTTTCAATCCAAAAATCAACCATAGCAAGACTTTTACTCCACTTCCATGCCTTTCTGAAGCTCAAATTCAACAGATGTTCTGGTAATATGGGAACCTACGAAATTCCATCAGTTTTCCAATCGCCACGAAGACCGTTGGCTTGAACTTCAGAAATGCCGATGGGCAATAGGCTAGAACCTTGGGATCGGAATATGTCGAACCTTTGAAACTTGGAAATCCAGTGCCTTGGGGGAGTTTTATGCCTGCCATGGCTGCTTGCATATCCCAAATCTTTGAACGATCGATCTTGCCACTAGTTATTATATACAATGATGAGCGGTGTGCTGCCTAGGTGGCAGGCTGCTCTAACCCGTGGATATTCTGTTTACGTTTCGAAATGCTGCACTATATACCAACATTCCAAGGCTTTGAGATGGCGTCATGACGGACAAAATTCTTGAACTACCATGCGGTCAATAAAAGAATTCAAATCAGGATCACATTCCTCGAAATCGAGCAGCAATAAATGCACTGAACCCTGGCATTTTCTAGTCCTTTCACCAAACATGGAGCTGCGTGAAAAATCCTTATTTGTATAAGAGCTTTGTAAAGGGATGCAAATAGCCTTATCTTGGCAATTTACTTCCAGGACTCCTATTGATCAATTATTTTCCGAGGGCATTGACCCTGGTGGATATTACCGTCACTCTGCCTACCTTGGTACTCGTCCAGTATGAAATCCTCAAGTCGATAATACGAAACAGCTACGAGATATTATGCGATAGCGTTCAACACAGAGCATGTCATGACACAAGTTTCCATCTGAGCACCCAATCGCTGGTCATTACCAATAGTGTCGCAGTTGTGATAGAAATATCGATTACCAACGCGGCTTTAGCGGATTGATATCAGCTTGTACCATCTCTAGTGTTGTATATGAATAAGCAACATCTATCAAATTCTCATGATAGTCAACGTTAAAATTGGACCGATCTCAGATCAACCATGCATCTTTGGCAGGGCTCAGCTCTCGTGTTTCTTGGTGTTGTATCACAAAAGCCTGTCTCACACGCACTGCATCTCTTGCACACTCGAGATTATCGAGCCACGGGTATTCCACATCGGCCCGTCATGCAAAGAGCTATGGATGTTGCTGGAAGTCCTCAAACCAAGCGGCATTTCGTGAGACAATCAGTGAATCCCTATTTCTAGACACACTATCTCTCGAAATAGCATTCATCAGCCCACCAATCAAAGCCTGGGAAGTTTCGGATATGTCCTGAGTTTCTTGTCTCCTATCAGCAATCTCTTCCATTTCTACCGCTAATTCCGGTGTCTACGGCCTCTAAGCCCAAAGCCTATGGTTGGAAAGGCAAATCCACAATCGGAGCATTTACATGAGGTACATGAAAAGGAACATAAGACCTTCAAATTATGTATCTACCCTCGAATTAGCCTTCATTTCTCCATAGGTTCTTTCAATGTTCTCTTGAAAGTTTTCTTTTCCTTCTATCTTACTGTACACACATCAATAATCTCTTGGCCTCTGTTCCTTCTCTATTGGAATCAATTCTCTGGGTTGGCTTTACGCCGGACTCACTGCCAAGTCTCATATCGCAGGTTTACTTGGTCTCTTTGCCGGCAATCGTTGGCTCAAATTACGAAAATTACATCACTATTTCGAACATTGGCCGTTGTCTCATCAAAAGTCAGTCACTTCCTCTCTTATATCATCAAATGTTCCTGCCCAGATCAGATGTCCCATTCTTTCTTATTAGAATGATATATGATCAAGTATTCGCTTCCAGGGCTTGAAAAAAGCTTCTTGTTTACCTTAATATAATGCCTATGTGGCATTTTCACTCGTCATTTGGTGTTGATATTGGAAATAACTAACACATCCGAATAGTAACCTAATGTTAATTGGATAGCCAATGCTTTGATAAAATCTCCATTCGGACTAAGGATACACCAGAGGCATATAATACGATTATAACATTCCCATTCTTTTTCTTCTTCGGCCAAGATGTATTGGATATTTTCGAGCGCTCTGGTTGTTCATCTCGCTGTTATAGGGTCTTGTTGGCCCTATGATGAAGCCCTCGTTGACTACAACATCAATGAAAATGAAACGGCCACAAACCCAGCCGATTACTGGGGGGAATGGCCGAATCATACCTATTTCCCTTCTCCTGAGAATTGGCGCTTTCCTATGTACACCCTCTTCCTTGATCGATTTGTGAATGGGGACCCAACAAATGATAACATCAATGGAACACTGTTTGAACACGATTTAAACTCAAATCAAATGCGCCATGGTGGGGATGTTGCTGGGTTGATTGATACTTTGGATTATCTCCAGGGAATGGGCATCAAGGTAAGAGCCATTTGCCAGTTGTTCCTAGGCACCAATGTCTAGGCCTATATATTCTACCTAAGGTTCCTTTTTTACATGCAGACCACTAACTTTTTTCTCAAAGGGCATATACCTTGCTGGACTGGTCTTGATGAATCAGCCTTGGGGTTCAGATGGCTATTCTGCGCTTGATACTACTCTATTGGATCAGCACTTTGGTACTATCCAGGCTTGGAGAGATGCGATCACGGAAATCCACAAACGTGGCATGTATGTCATTTTTGATAACACCGTTTCAACGTAAGTTTGGCCAGTTACATATCCTATGCTATTCCATAAATGACAAGTTTCCAGCATGGGAGATCTGATCGGCTTCGAAGGGTACCTTAATACGACCACCCCGTTCCTATTGACCGAGCATAGGGCACAGTGGAAATCAGACCGACAATATGTGGACTTTCATTTCGGCAATTCATATAATGAGACATGCGACTATCCTCAATTCTGGAATGAGACAGGCTTTCCAGTGGGGCATCACGTCTTGAATAAACTTAAAGGATGCTATGATTCAGACTTTGACCAATATGGCGATATTGAAGCCTTTGGTGTCTACCCTGACTGGCAGCGTGAACTTGCGAAGTTTGCATCTGTCCAAGATCGCCTCCGCGAGTGGAGACCTAGTGTTAGAGAGCGACTCATTCGACATTCTTGTATGATCATTTCCTCACTCGACATTGATGGATTTCGCTATGATAAGGCCACTCAAGCCACGGTGGATGCACTAGGTGATATCTCAGGTTCCTATCGAGATTGTGCCAGAAAGCTCGGTAAAAACAATTTTTTCCTCCCCGGAGAGATTACATCCGGAAATACACTAGGCTCAGTGTTTCTTGGTCGTGGCAGGCAGCCTGATATGCTCCCGGAGACTCTGGATCAGGTATTTCATCTGAATCATTCATCTGACTTTCAATACTTCCTTCGTGATGAGAACCAGCAGGCTATAGATGGTGCCGCTTTTCATTATTCCGTCTATCGGGCTCTCACTCGCTTTTTGGGTATGGATGGTAACCTCGCTGCTGGCTATGATATTCCAGTCAATTGGACCGAAGCTTGGTATGAGATGCTTCTGACCAATGATATGATTAACGCCAACACTGGCAAATTTGACCCTCGTCATATGTACGGAGTCACGAATCAGGATGTGTTCCGCTGGCCAACTATAGAACATGGTCTTGAGAGACAGCTTTTGGCGCTGTTCATTACCACGCTGCATCTTCCTGGGATTCCTCTGCTACTCTGGGGAGAAGAGCAAGCGTTTTATATTTTGGATGCCACAGCCTCCAACTACATTTATGGTCGTCAAGCAATGTCCCCAGCGACAGCATGGAAGACCCATGGCTGCTTCAATTTACCTTCTACTCAATATTTCCAATGGCCGATCAAAAAGGGAAAATTAGGTTGCCACGACGAGGCTGCCGCATATGACCACAGGGATCCATCGCATCCAATCCGAAATACGATCAAACATATGTACCAAATGCGACAAGATTTCCCGGCGCTCAACGATGGATGGTGGGTTCAGCAGCTCTCAAATCAGACACACAACATCTACTACCCTGGATCGAATGGTATCCCCACTGAAACTGGCATGTGGTCTGTTCTGCGTAGTCCATACTACCCGATGCAAGATCTTGGAGAAAAAGGGAGTCAAACTGTCTGGCTGGTCTATCAGAACGACAACAAAACTGTGACCTATAACTTCAACTGCTCGGATCGAAACTTGGCCCTCGTTTCTCCATTTGGCACAAACACGACCGTCAAAAACCTATTCTTTCCTCACGATGAATTTACTCTAAAGAAAAGTCCGACTCGGCTTAACCTCAACGGTTCAACGGAATGGAATGGCTGTCTGGACAGTTTAACTCTCAAACCTTACGAGTTCAAAGCGTACGTTCCCAAGCACAAATTTATACCACCGAAACCCATGATCACGAAGTTTATTCCGGGCCACGATGTTCCTGTTCTTTCGAAGGCACCTCCTGGAGGTAGCGAGGCTCTTGAAATTGGCCTTTATTTCTCTACCGAAATGAACTGTAGCATGGTTACAGATTCAATCTCAATCGAATCAACAACTGAAAAGGGAATGACCCCCTCAGTGGATTTTGACAGTGTCCAATGTGATACTATCTTTGTAGAGGGAGAGCCTGATCTTACCGGCCACCTTCATAGTGTCTGGGCTTGGACTGGAACTTTGAAGGGTGTGTACAACGGTATTCATCGACTGACTGTCAGAAATGCAACTAGTATCGATGGACGGAAAACAGAGGCTATTGATCACTTCTTAATTCGAATCGGTAAGGATGACAATCCGATGATCTTTAGCTCGGCCAACTACTCCAACAGTCTACTTTATCAACGTGAAAAGGGCAATCTCTTCATTCAACAGCATGCTTCAGGCGCAGATATGTATCGCTACTCAACAAATTGGGCCAGTGACTTCTCTCCTTGGCTCCCATACGAGGGTGGGAATCACACGATCCAAGAGCAACCTTGGTCAGGGACAAAACACCAACGATGGAAGGGAAAACATGTGAGGGTGGAGTATTGGAGCCGTTTCACAGGAAGTAGCGATTATGTTCAAGAAGGAGACACCCCTGATTGGAATCCGGCAATGCCGCGACGATTTCCTCATCTATTTTTTAACGGCCCATTCAACGAGTACGGCTTCGATGCCGGGTTACCAAACTCGGTGAAACAAGATACCGATGGGATTTGGAAATTCCGTTTCATTGCTGAGTGGCCTGCTCAAGGTCAGCTTAATGTCTGGGGTATCAATCCGGATGGTCAACCAGATCAAAACTACATATTTGGTGATTCTGATGGAGACTCGGTCTTGGACCGTATGCCCCCATCTTCACTCAGTACAACAACAATCAACATCACTGAACATCCGCCTGATCCATATCTAGCTTGGAGGATTCAACTTGATGATGCGACTTTGAAATTCCAGCTCGTACCTGCTGGCTCAAAGTATGTCCAGATGGCTCTGTTCTTCTTGCTATGGACTGTTCCTTTGATCACTGCAATCACATGCGCATATGTTTTCAAGAAGTCTTTCTATCGCATCAAATTCAACCAGATGGGAGTCAGTGAAAAGAAAACTCTGATCTCGTTGGAGTTCCTCGATCGACTCAAAACTCAACCTGGAGATTCAAGCAATCTTTTTGTACGTCTAGCAAATAAGTCGAAGTTTCTCCAAAGCAGCTCCGCATTTGGGAACCGAACGTCTCACCGCAGAAAGATCCTTGTCGCAACAATGGAATATGATATTGACGACTGGGGAATCAAAATCAAGATCGGTGGATTGGGTGTCATGGCACAGCTAATGAGCAAACAGCTCGGGCATCAAGATCTAATCTGGGTAATCCCGTGTGTTGGGGGAGTTAGGTATCCGATCGATGAACTAGCCGAATCAATGTTCGTGGTGATCTTGGGGAACTCGTACGAAATCAAAATTCAATACCATCATCTAAGAAACATCACATATGTTCTCCTGGATGCGCCTGTTTTCCGCCAACAAACTGTCTTAGAGCCCTACCCGGCAAGAATGGACGACATGGACAGTGCCATATATTACTCGGCCTGGAATCAATGCATTGCTCAAGCCATCAGGAGGTTTCCAGTTGACTTGTATCACATCAATGACTATCATGGCTCACTCGCACCTCTTTACCAGTTACCAGAGACCATTCCGATCTGCCTTTCGCTTCATAATGCAGAATTTCAAGGCATGTGGCAGATGCGAACGCAGAAAGAGAAGGTCGAGGTTTGCTCTGTCTTCAATCTCGACATTGACGTCGTTGCCCGTTATGTTCAATTTGGCGAGATCTTTAATCTCCTCCATGGTGGAGCGAGCTATCTGCGTCTTCATCAACAGGGCTTTGGTGCCGTGGGAGTCTCGAAGAAGTATGGCAAGCGCTCGTATGCGCGTTTCCCGATATTTTGGGGCTTGAGGAAGGTCGGCAATCTTCCAAATCCTGACCCATCTGATACCGGGGAGTGGAACAGAGAATTGCCTATAGAGAGCCAAATCAACGTTGACAGCGAGTATGAGATTCGAAGAGCTGAGCTAAAACGGCAAGCGCAAGAATGGGCTGGCTTAGACCAGATACCTGATGCAGACCTTTGCGTCTTCGTAGGAAGATGGTCAATGCAGAAAGGAATTGACCTCATAGCTGATGTGATGCCCTCTGTGTTGGAGGCTCGACCTCATGTTCAGCTTATATGTGTGGGACCTGTCATCGATCTCTATGGTAAGTTTGCAGCATTGAAGTTAGACCGAATGATGAAGCTCTATCCCGGTCGAGTTTTGTCCAAGCCTCAGTTTAATGTGTTGCCCCCATATATTTTCTCGGGAGCAGAGTTCGCTTTGATACCCTCTCGCGATGAGCCATTTGGTCTGGTGGCTGTTGAATTTGGCCGCAAGGGAGCTCTCGGCATCGGCGCTCGTGTCGGAGGACTTGGCCAAATGCCTGGTTGGTGGTATACAGTTGAGTCGACGACGACAAGCCACCTACTCAAGCAGTTCAAACTTGCTATTGATAGCGCTCTAAATTCGAAACCCGAAGTCAGGGCCATGATGCGTGCACGTTCAGCTAAACAGCGGTTCCCCGTGGCACAATGGATCGAAGACTTGGAAATTCTCCAGTCAACAGCTATTCGGGTTCATAACAAGGAGCGCGACAAGTCTCAGGCACCGTCGGCGATCACAGCCTCGGCATATAACGCTATTTACGGGATGATGACTCCGCAGGCTGCTGTGTCAACGAAGTCAGGTGCATCAAGTGGAACGCTGACCCCGCCACTACAACCATCTGGCCGTCCAGGAAGAGCTGCACCATTGCAGCGTAGCTCTGTGATCTACAGCCGGGATCCGAGCCCTGGAGGTGGAGGAGATGGTAGATCGAAATCTGGACTAGGTCGGCAAATGTCTTTTACACCTGTGTCTGCGCCATTTGAGGGGAATGGCAGACACGATCGAAGCACCGGTGACATGGATGAAACAAGTGTTGTTCTGGAAGATGATAGCGATGAAGAAATGATGTCCACTTGCTACGGCGAAGATGATTATTCAATGGGACTGGATTCTCAACTTCAAGATACAGGGCTTTCAATTACACCCACTCCCCACTCTCATAGTCTTCCTCTCACTCGAGAGGTTCTCTCAGGCCGCCAGAGCTCTCTTGCTGCAAGGTCTATTGGCACAGCTTCCAGCTCGACAGCACCAAGTATAAATGGTACAGAAGATACACTTCTTCCGCCATCGACGCCATGGGCAGAGCCTGGAAGTCGTCTCAACAGTGCATCAGCTTTATCAGTTGATTCTGTTGTTGGAGACAAGAAAGACTATAAACTGCAGAAGGTAGATCCGTTCTTCACCGACAGCAATGGCGAGTACTACAGAGCCTTTGAGAAGAAACTTGAGGATCTCAGCGGCACAAATTCAGATTCTCAACTATGCATTGAGCAATATCTCGAGAAGAGCGAAAAGAAGTGGTTTGATCGTTTCAGAGATGCACGTTTAGGACACAATCAATCTCCTGCCCCTTCTAGGGAATTTGGCAAGGCTGGTGGCGCTTCACCTCCTGAATCGATCACAAACGACGATACGACATCTCATGAAAGTGGAACGCAAGAGAGAAAAGGAGCTGGAGACGAATTTCTTCTTGGAGATGGCTATGTTCCGCCAACTGGTCTCAAAAAATGGATGCAGATGCGTCTTGGAGATTGGCCTGTATATTCTCTCTTCCTCGGTCTGGGACAGATCATTGCCGCAAATTCATATCAAATTACCCTGCTCACTGGTGAGGTAGGACAAGGTGCGGCAAAACTGTACGGCATCGCGACTGTATATCTCATCACATCCGTTCTCTGGTGGTTGTTTTTCAGGTTTTGCAAATCCGTGATCGTTTTAACAGTGCCATGGTTCCTATACGGCCTCGCATTCTTTATCATTGGTGTCGCACACTTCGAGTCCAACTCGTTCAATCGCGGGTGGATCCAGAACGTTGGAAGCGGCATCTACGCAGCTGCATCCTCAAGTGGCTCTATCTTCTTTGCGCTGAATTTTGGAGACGAGAGCGGCGCGCCTGTCAAGAAGTGGGTTTTCCGCGCTTGCTTGATTCAAGGTACTCAACAGATCTATGTTATTGCACTTTGGTATTGGGGTTCGATCTTGACCAAGGCGTCTAATGCTGGCATCGCCAACGTTCAGGGCAACATCACAAACACTTGGAAAATGACGTATGTGTTCCTCCTTCCAAGATTCTGATAGACTAAACCAGTGAAAACTAACACTGGTATGAATGCAGTGCAATCTGTACGCCAATCTCACTATTCTTGTGGACGATGGGCTTGTTGGTATACTTCGGCTTGCCGAACTACTACCGCCAAACACCAGGCAAAGTTCCTTCATTTTATAGATCAGTTTTCCGGCGCAAGATTGTCATTTGGAACTGGATTGTTGTCATTTTGCAGAACTTCTTTTTAAGTGCTCCTTACGGTCGGAATTGGAACTGTGAGTCTAAACATCGATCTGTAAGAAAAAGAATATACACTAACCTTGGAGCCTATCATCTAGTCCTCTGGATATCAAATCACGCCAAACCATGGCAAATCCTCTTACTTTGTGTGGTCTTCTTTGGTTTTGCCTGGATAGCAATTCTGTTCCTTCTGGGCTGGATATCCAAATACCATAGCTGGATCCTCCCCATCGTCGCCTGTGGCCTTGGTGCACCTCGCTGGGCCCAGATATGGTGGGGAACATCAGGATCAGGGCTCTTCCTTCCATGGGCAGGAAGTTACACTTCAGGAGCTTTAGTTTCTAGAAGTTTATGGCTATGGCTAGGTGTCCTTGACGCATTGCAAGGGTTAGGCTTCGGTATGATCTTGCTCCAGACCTTGACGCGTATGCATATCTGTTTCACATTGCTCGTCTCGCAAGTCCTTGGTTCTATTGCGACTATCTGTGCAAGAGCCTTTGCGCCCAATAATATTGGGCCTGGGCCTGTGTCGCCAGATATCACGGCTGGCGCTAGTGCGTTGGCTAATGGGTGGTTTTGGATTGCGCTGTTTTGTCAGCTTGCAATTTGGTAAGTTTTGCTCCCTTTTACCAAGCTTCAAAAGTGTATTTCGTCTGACAATTCTGTTCTTGGTAGTGGTGGCTTCCTTCTCTTCTTCCGCCGGGAACAACTTTCGAAGCCCTGAGATGGATGCGTGGACATTCTTTTTGTCTAGAAAGCCATGAACGGGGCAAAGTCATTCAATAGGATCGTATGGCTCAGCTGGGCACAAACCTCATTCTATGTCTAACTTTCAAATTGTCATTTGGTCTCGGATGCCTCAAGTAAAGTCATGGCCGTCTTTGATTTTAAGCAGAATGGACAAACTCAGAGAACCAGAACATTGTACTGATGATACTTAGTGATTTTTGGAAATTCATTAATTCATTCTCATTGATATACGTAGAGTATTGGAAACCAAGTCCAAGTCCCAAAGTCTCCGGAATGGGTAATTAAAAACATGGGGGGAATAGTGTTTTTGTGAGAAACATCGACAAAAAAGCAGGAACCAAGAATCCGAGTAATGACTACTTTTTTGTGCAATCGAACGCTGCGCCTAATTATAGAGGAATTTACCACTGGAGAGGCTCGTTCTTAACCTCGCCACGGTTGGTTTTAGGAACGGGAACTGCCTCGATCTTGGTAGCACCACGGATGCCGCGGCGGAGGTAGGCGCTACCATCCAACCAGGGAGTATCGAGGGTGCGCTTGGCCTCAAAGGTGCGGATCTTGCTCTCCACCTGGAGAGTTAGACCAATGTCGTCGAGGCCGTTGATGAGGCAGTGCTTGCGGAAGGCCTCAACGTCGAAAGCAACAATTGTGTTGCCTTGGGCATCCTTGACCTCCTGGTTGACAAGATCGACCTCAACCTCGCGGCCAGCACGGGCCTCGTCGGCGATCTTCTCGAGAGCGACCTTGTCAGAAACAACAATAGGCAGCATGCCGTTCTTGAAGGTGTTGTTGAAGAAGATATCAGCGAATGACGGAGCGATGATGCACTTGATGCCGAAGTCGAGCAGAGCCCAGGGGGCGTGCTCACGAGAACTACCACAGCCGAAGTTGGGCCCAGTAACAACAAGAATCTTCGAGTTGCGGTAGATGCCTTGGTTCAGGATGAAGTCAGTGTTTTCGGTACCGTCTGGGTGGAAGCGGAGTTCGTAGAACAAAGCAGTGCCAAGACCAGTGCGCTTGATAGTCTTCAGGAACTGCTTGGGGATGATGGCGTCGGTGTCAACGTTAGCACGCTCCAGGGGAGCGGCAATACCCTTCAATGTGGTGAACTTCGGGAGACCGGCACCGCCTGAGGCAGCAGAGGTGTTGGTGTGGGGCTCGTTGTCGACAGGGACATCTAGAACGCGCTCAAGCTCGTCCTCAGTCTGGGGAGAGTCGACCTCAGGCTGGATCTCAACAGTAGGCTGGACCTTGGCGAGTACGGGGCTAGAAGACACGTGCTCACGGACATCGGCAAGCTTACCGACAATAGCCGCAATAGCAGCCATCGCGGGGGACATCAAGTGAGTACGTCCCTGAGCACCCTGGCGACCCTCGAAGTTGCGGTTGGAGGTACTGGCACAACGCTCCTTGGGGTCAAGGATATCGGGGTTCATACCGAGGCACATAGAGCAACCAGCTTCGCGCCAATCGAAGCCAGCGTCAGTGAAGATCTTGTCAAGGCCCTCAGCTTCAGCCTGCTGCTTGATCAGACCTGAACCAGGAACGATCATAGCATGCTTGATGTTGGCAGCGATCTTACGGCCCTTGACAACCTTGGCGGCAGCACGCAGATCCTCAATACGAGAATTTGTGCAAGATCCAATGAAAACTTTGTCCACAGGAATCTCGGTCATGGGAGTACCAGCAACGAGGCCCATGTACTCCAGGGCGCGCTTGCAAGAGGCCTTACGGTCCTCGTCCTCAAAGTCATCGGGACCGGGCACAACACCGTTAATGGGAACAACGTCCTGGGGAGAGGTACCCCAGGAGATCGTTGGGATGATATCCTTGCCGTCAAGGAAGACCTCGACATCGTACTTAGCATCAGCGTCGGACTTCAAGGTAGACCAGTAGTTGACGGCCTTGTTCCACTCGGCGCTACCAAACTTGGGGGCAAGGGGACGACCCTTGAGGTAGTCAAAGGTGATCTGGTCCGGCGCAATCATGCCTGCACGTGCACCACCCTCAATGGACATGTTACACATGGACATGCGGGCTTCCATACTGAGGCCACGGATGACGGATCCGCAGAACTCGATAACGGAGCCAGTACCACCAGCGGTTCCAATGACACCGATGATGTGGAGGACAACGTCCTTACTGGTCACACCAGCAGGGAGCTGTCCATCGACCTGGACGCGCATGTTCTTGCTTCGGCGAGTAAGGAGGGTCTGGGTCGCAAGAACGTGCTCGACTTCGCTGGTTCCGATACCGAAAGCTAGGGCGCCAAAGGCACCGTGGGTGGAGGTGTGACTGTCACCGCAAACAACAGTTGTGCCAGGCAGGGTGAAACCCTGCTCAGGGCCGATAACGTGGACAATGCCCTGACGCTTATCGTCCATACCGAAGTAGGTGAGGCCGAAATCCTTCACATTCTCCTCGAGAGTAGTACATTGGAGACGAGAGTCGTTCTCCTTGATGAACTCTGCGGCGTTCTTAAAGTTCTTTCGCGATGAAGTAGGGATGTTCTTTGAGGGGAAAGCAATCCAATTAGCACTGAAGATGGTTGGGAAATTTCAATTTGATCGATACATACGTGGTCGACGGTCACCAAAGTGCAGTCCGGCCGGCGGACACCACGATTGGCATTCTTGAGGCCTTCAAAGGCCTGAGGAGAAGTCACCTCATGAACAAGGTGTCGGTCTAATGCACATTTTCAGTTAATTGGGCTATTCGATCTAAAGACATGGGTTTCATCGCATACCGATATACAACAGGCAGGTGCCGTCATCTTGCTCGTTGACAATGTGGTCATCAAATACCTTGTCATACAAGGTCCTCGGTTTTGAAGTGGCGGAAGGCATATTTAGGTGATATTTGTTTAATAAGCAAATTGCAAGGGAGTTGCAGACTTATATTTTGCAGCCACCGCGATGTCGCAGGGAAGCTGATCGTGGGGCAACGCCGACCTCGGTCGGTCAGCGGCCAATATTGTGATTCTGATTGGTGAAAGTGACGAAATAAGGGGCAACCGATATCGGGGGGAAAAAATAACATCGGCGGTTAGTGGCGCTTGTGTACGGAGTACGATATACTGACTCATTGATTCCTAGAATAGAATGGTATTGGCTCTGGATACTCCGTGATATGGCATTTCTATTATCATTTATCACTTGGTTCTAGTTCAGTTATCTGGACGAGATAGGATATTGGACTAAAGACTACTATGACGTGTTTTATAGTACGGGGATGCCGAGACTTAGTACGTATTTGATTGGCTGATCTTCTCGATGAAGTACTATATAGAAAGCGGGGGCTCTCATGAGTATCGGTCTAGGTACTTCTCTCACGGTCTAGATTTTGATGCTAATAGTAACAGTATTTCAAAGTTCAGTCAAAGGTCTACCTAGATCCAAGATACGTTGGAAATCAAAGGCATGATGAATGGGCACTACACTACATTCTTCCGAAGTCTACAAAGCTGTTTACTTATAGAAATCTATTAGTTTATGGCTCAAGCCGAGTCTTAGTCTTTTTTCTCGGCATCTTCTCATTTTTCACATTCATTTCCTGGTCTAAATCTATTTCAAATAATCTATAAATCTAACTGAATTTAAAAGCTAGACATTCAAAATCAGTGGTGGGCGGTCGAAGGTCCACCACAATTCTCTTCCCAGAAGCCTCCCCACTCCTAAGGGTCTCCAAAGCGGCATTGATACCCTCCAATCCACCATCAGCATGGATGATCTCTGGCAGAGTTAAGGTCCGTGAATGAAGAAGGTCTTCGAGCCAACACACCAAGCTTTCACCCACGGCAGGTGCTTCATGGAAAACCTTGATCGGCACAGTATGGTAATGGATCCTAGGATCTCTCTCCTTAGGTAACCCAGTAAGTCCCAGGAGATGGGATTTTCCAGAGGTATCCAGAGTCTTCTGCAATAGTGCCGCTGTTTGTGATCCAACAATGTCCAGCGCGTATCGAAGTCTGCCTCCGGTCACGCCACGGATAATTTCCACCGCACGCTCGGTATCATGCCTGTCTACCAGTAGATCGGCACCAGATTGTAGCAGCTTGGCTCCGTGTCGTGCGATATCAGCCACACAAATAACTCTTAGACCGGCGAGCTTGGCTATCTGCAAGGCTACTAGCCCAGTAGTTGTTGATGCTATCGAAGAAGTTGTCAGTATCGATACAACTCTCACAATCGAATTTGTAGTAAGTATCTCACCTCCCCAAATTGCAAGCCAATCACCACGTTTCGGCCGTTCTGATTTTGTTGCAGCAAACACCTCACTGTGAATATCTGCTGAAATCTGCTTCTTATCTAAATGACTAATGACGTCAATCATATCTGGTCCCGGCGCCTGGGGAATTTGAGAGAAATCAAGACCGAGTGAAACACCAAGGGCGAGTGCCGCAGCGACGAATGCGACTCCCAATGATGCAGAGGCGTGGATTGATGTGGTGGCAGGAATCCTGGCGGCGTTAAAATCGGTAGCTATCGCATATTCTTGGAATGCAGCTTTTCTAATATCTCGGTAGTCGGTCGATGGTACCATAACGATATCTCCCACACGGAGACGCGACGATTCATTGGGAACTTGAATTACTACTCCTGCGAGATCTCGTCCATTGATCCATGGCAGGCTGGGAATTCCAAAATTGAAGGCTCTAAGAAATAATTTTTGTCAGAAATGCACTCTGGCTATAGTTGACGGGTTTGTGCATACGGGGCTTTCCAATCGATTGGGTTCAGACCAACAGCAAGAACCTGCAAACAATAGTCAACAAACTGCCCAGTGGAGATTAAAGAGATTCAGTTTACCTTTACAAGAATTTCTCCTGAGTTCAATATTGATGGAATGCTATGATCATCGACAAGTGTGTATTGTTCGCGGACTCCTTTGAGAAGCAAAACCCTTTGTCGCGGTTCCACAGGCTTCAGAGTTTGAATCTCGCTCAATGAGGTCACTGAATTCACCGGACCCTTCTGTAGCTCAAAATGATCAAATGCTGAAGGCTTTTCTTGTAGCCCTTCGAGGAGAACAGTAGTGGTTGACATGATGCGGCAACCAAGGTAATGGATCTTGACAAATAATCCGCAAAGGTTCCAAGGAAGAGTCTATGTATAACTATTGAGTTGATTTCTAATAATTCGGCCCTTTTCTCGGTCGAGAACCGAAAAAGGAAAATACAGTAATCATCTTAGAAGCGGGGGCTTTAATATCATATCAACCCTGACCAAAAGCACGTATACAGCATGGCTGACGCCTTCACCCCCCGGCACTGCCTAATCAAATCGCTCCCAGCAGAATTATATCATCTCAGATTGGCACCCATCTCACCTATCCCGCGATTTGATCTGGTTGCTCATTACTAATGGCGGGGGTTGGATGGCGTGATGATGACTTCTTTCGCGTAACCGGGAATAAAAGGACGTCTACTGTGTAGAATGGAAAGTACGGAGCAAGTCCGTAGATAAAAGTTATTTTTTGAATCTCCCGCTAGTCGTTATCTTAGCTGGCAATAAAATATAGCCTTGGAAGCTGAAGTCCCTCCGCAAGGAAGCATATAAGGATGTAGCCCGCATACTTGGATGGACATCATGTATATAGCCAAGGTCTGACACCCATGGACGAGAGATTAAATCTTGGATATTTACATACAAACAAATCTTTTCAAGTTTTTGACTTCTATAGGTGAGTTTAGCAATACAGAAGTACGATAAGGGAATGATAATTGCGAAGGTGCCTTTTCGACTAAAGTTGATGTGATCCGGGGCTGTGATGACGAAACCCTGAAACTGCCAGGTTGAATCTCAAGCGCTGTAACTCAAGTCCTAGGGATTATGTAGGAGTTAAGCGGCAAATATATGCTAGTTTGATCCAAGGTTGTTTATGTTTGTCGATTGAATCAGAAAGAAAATGGAATATGGTGTTTCCTCCAAGTTTTGTGGATTTTATATACCTCTATAGATACCCGTTCAGGAAGCGGATTCTTTTCCGTGGCTCTGGAACCAACCTTTAAGCTATTATAGGTATCTGAGTAACTATCTATTGGTTGGAAATTATTTATTTGTCCACGATTATGTTGGAATCAATATTTTAGCGCGGCTAGTCATGGTAAATTCACCTAATTAGGTCCATATTTCTCTAAAACTGCTCGAAACCTTCAATATTCAAATACTGCAATGCTGAACCCTGTAGGATAAACCTTGGAGTCCGATCGACCAAGTATCTACCTAGTCATATACGTGCATGAGTTTTCTCGGCCGTAAACCGTAGAAACTTGAAGATCTCTGCCTATTTGTTTCAAATATGACTTGAAGATTGGCGCGAGCACGTAATCATAGTCAAGAACGACAACATCGCATATCGACCTACAACGTAAGTAGATTGGTAGTATTAAGAGCTAAGATTTACATGACCCTTAGAAAGGAAAGGTCCATGGGCTAAATTCCTATGTTGCCATAGCTGCACGAAATGCGAACGTTACATACTTCAAATGCTCTGGGCAGTAGTTCTTTCATATAGATAGAAACCCTGCCAGATGCAAATGTACACTGCAGGGCTGAAATCAGAAATCAAATCTGCAGATCTTCGATACAAATTTATGATCGCGAAAGCTCTAGTCATTTATCATGGCAAGCTTGGAAAAAGGCGTTCCACCCACGGATGAGGAGGTGACCAGTGATGGCTTTCGCGCCTCTACTGGAGAGAGACACCCAGGTGAGAGAAAATAATTATTGTAGGTAAACTTTCGAAGCTAAGCGACCTCATTTGCCAGTGAAATGGTATCGCTCGACATTCTATAATGCCCTCATCCTGGGTATTTGCAACTTTTTGGCCCCGGGCATCTGGGGTGCAATGAATTCGTTAGGAGGAGGTGGCGAGGAGAAACCATATCTCGTCAATACCGCAAACGCCTTGACCTTCTGCCTGATGACGGTATCCTGCTTTTTTGGCAGTGTTGTTGTTCGCTTCATCGGCATCAAGTGGACTTTGATCATCGGCACGATGGGATATGCACCTTACGCGGCCGGACTATACACCAACAATCGCTTTGGGGATACATGGCTAGTCATTCTCGGCGCAGCACTGTGTGGTATCTCTGCTGGCCTCTTCTGGATGGCTGAAGCCGCAATCGCACTTTCTTATCCTGAGCCTTATAACCAGGGTCGCTTTATGGGCTTCTGGCTGAGTTTCCGTGTTGGTGGACAAATCCTGGGCGGTGCCATCAATCTAGGGATAAATATCCATCGTAGCACTGCGGGCAGTGTATCATATACGGTATACATCATCTTCATCGTACTGCAAGCATTGGGCCCGTTTGCTGGATTATTTCTCAATACGCCATCTCAAGTGCAGAGGACAGATGGCATCCCTGTCCGCCTTCACGTGGATCACACCATTGGATTCGAGTTGAAAACAATGGTCAAGCTCTTCATCAACCGGAAATTTCTGCTCATCACTCCTTTCATTTGCCAGGCAGTCTATTCAGAGGCTGTAATGTTCTCGTACGAAGGCCTGTGGTTTTCCGTACGCTCAAGAGCTCTAGGTTCGTTCCTGTCTGGAATTATCGCCGTGATTGCAGGAAACCTTTTGGGCACTTTCCTTGACACCAAATCGATTTCGCTGAAGACTCGTGTACGGTCCGCATTTGTCTTTGTAGTTGCTTGGCAAGGAATGTGCTGGATCTGGGGATCGATTGTGACGACAGAGTACAACAAGACCAATCCTGTATATGATTGGACCGATGCAGGCTTTGGAAAAGCCTTCGCTCTTTTTCTGTTTTGGGTTGCTGGGTTTCAACTCAACTACATGTTCCTGTAAGTGCGAGGATGCTGTTATTTTTACATCTGTTTACTAACACTGGAACAGATTCTTCTTGGTTGGCAACCTGGCCGATGATGATGAAGAAGTTGTCCGCATCGCAGGCTTGTTACGGGGAACCGAGTCTGCTGCACAGGCTGTCTCTGTGAGTCTTTTCCCTAGTCATTATCAACTATATTTCTCTCCTTCAAATACTGACTTCCAGCTGTAGTATGGCCTCAGCAGTGTTACCGTTATGGCTGCTGTAGGAAGTATCTATCTCAACTTTTGCCTGTGGGGCATTGCCATCTTTCCAGCGTGGCTCCTCATCAGAGAGGTTGGAGTCGGGAAGTATATTGATAAGAAAGTTGAAAGAGAGACTCAGCAGCGTGTCGCGGTCGAGACCGAACAGTCTTAACATCGATCCATTGAAAATTCTCACGACCTTGGGCGATGGTACATAGGCGCACAATGCAATATGAGGACGTTTTAATCAAATTTAGACAGATATGTAAATATGTGCATAGAATAGAGTCCTAGGTCCGAGACTTCGAGCCCTACACCACAGATTCAAATGTCCGATTATCATGATTGAACACAAGCAATGCAAGTCGATGCCGTACAAAGAGGCCAAATAAGCCACATACAGTCTGAACTGCGACCATGTGCCATGCAAGTCGGTTTTCTCTCATTGGTCCCATCCAGACAAGCCAGAGGTTGAGAATGGTGAGGTTCGTAGACCGAACAATCTTTCCATTTTCATTCCTGACAACTCGCACCAACTGCAAGCTATGCAAGATATTCAAGGCAGTGTCAATCAATGGGGAAGGGGGGACTGTCCACTCTGTAACAGATGCATCCAGTAGCCCGGTAGAAGAATTGAACTTGGGCAGCCGATGACGGGGGCAAGGGATGAGATGAAAAAGTTGTGGTACCGAATAAAGAAAGTTGAAGATTTGCGGGATGAACAATAGCAATAAAGTTTTGCTGAAATGTCCCAAAATACCCACAACTGCAAACACCATTCCCGCAAAGTAGCAGTAGGTATCACCAACAAATACTTTAGAGGGATACCAATTGTGGCACAAGAGTGCCACTGAAACACCAATGAATGGCAAAAGGAAGTATATGGAGAACAAGTGCGAGTCTGTGGCTGGGTGTGGATATGGTGTGATAGGGGCCAGGTACAGGGCATCGTTGAATATTAGTAGAACCGCTATCACAAGTGACTGAGCAACTTCGATTCCATTAATACCTGCCAGCATGTTGATGGCGTTGGGACAAAATATAGCCACAGCTCCCATGTACATGTAGTACAGCCACCCAAGATCAATGAAATCGCCTAGGTATCGTTGTAGCGGGACTGGTACAACTACATGTGTGACACCGAAGTCCACAAAATAGACAATTAGCATAGGAATTGCGGAGAAGGCAGGAATGAGGACCTTGTGTCTCCAGCGAATGTCAAGAAGGTCATCTCCAATTCCAAGGATGACAATGCATTGCAGAGAAAGAAGACCAGACAAGTAGGATGCAAGCTTTAGAAGAGGTTAGTTCACAATTATGAATCAGAAGATGAATGAGAACCGTCCACTAACCTTGCCATGGGGAAATCTATGTAGGAATCGACCAGTCTCAACGAGTTGATCTTCGATCACCACGTCACGATTTCCTCCGCCAGATGTGGCTGTGACAATGTCTTTATAGAAAGCAAATGGAATGAAAACAATCATGCAAATCATATACACCACTGCGCATACAGCGCCCATTGTTTCGGGTCTAGATAAAACATAAACTTTTGAACTAATGCAGGTAGACTGAAGTAGATTTGGGCACTTACATTTCAGGCTTCTTTGGCTTGGCCATATCTTTCCCCTTCAGTCCGGCCTTGATAAACACTGGTCCAAGCCATCGGATCATACTGAATGTTATTGCAAAAGCAATGACCGATAATGCACTCGAAGCTAGTACGGGTGCGCCATCACCTTCGAATGTATTCACCAGAACGGCAAATCCAGCCCCGGCAAGGATCAGCAGGCGCCATGTCTCCGTCCAGGAAAGGGTACTTGGGTCATGCATCGTGAGCAAATGGCTCCTACGCCAGTACCCGGAGGGTTAAAAGCGACAAAATCTTAGACAGAATGAAGACTTGTTATGGAGCTCGAAATGTGGCTTCTACTCTGCCGAAAGCAGACACGATAGGCTTTATCGGGAAATGCCGGATTTTGCCTGACCGCTTTTAGGCGGTGAGGCTACTCCCGTGATGGTCGTCGAGAAAGATGAAGAAACACGTGCGTATTGGACGCCGAGACACCTCTGTTTCATGTCACAGCATGCATACGTGTATGTGAAGCGCGTAATTGGTCCACCTATCGGATAGTTTTGGCTCAAGTTCTCTAACTCAAATATCTGGCCTCGATGGGGCCTGTGGAGCGCCCGGAGATGCTAGGCGGCTTCGCCGACTTTGATGCCGGTCACCGGGACCTGGTTGCCGTCACCAAGTTCAACTTCTATGGCAACCGAATCGTAACAGCTTCATCCGACCATCGCATGAAAGTTTGGGATCTGAAGGATGGTCAATGGCAACTACTCGACACCTGGCGAGCCCATGATGCTGAGATTCGAGATGTAAGACCCCCTCCACAAAACGCCAAAGTGACAATGGTGGCGTGGGAATATGCACTAAAATGCTGCTGCAGGCAACTTGGAATGGCCCATTCACGGGTCAGCATATCGGCAGTGTCGGCGAAGACATGAAATTCAAAATCTGGCAAGAAGATGTGACGCAACCGCCTAATTCTGGTCGACGATTTAGGTCTATTTTCCGCATGACAGCGCCGCAACGGCATCCCTTTGTGTCGCTCGACTTCCGTAATATTGATTTAGAGTCATGGCTGGCTGTCATTACACGAGACGGTTACTTGATGGTGATGGAGCCTGTCAGTCCGGACAGTTTGGCCGACTGGCAAGCTCTCGACCAGTTCCGAGTATGCCCAGCGCCCGAGCGCGGTGAAGAAACAAGCTTCAGAGTCCAATTCCACCACGATCCAAACGATATCACACACTCTTTACTACCGGACTCTGATCAAAAAAGTTTGTCACTCGTTGTGGCTGCCATGGACTCGGTCAAAATCTATCGCACAGATGCTACTCGACGGTTCTACCACGCCATTGAACTGAATGTACATGGTGATCTGGTCAGAGATATATCTTGGGCCAATGGTTCGGTAAGGGGCTATGATCTCATTGCAAGTGGTGGTAAAGATGGCCTAGTTCGTATTTTCGAAGTATACACAACTACTGTGAACCAGTCTCCGAACTCCAATTCTCGGAAAGCGGAGCGACGCCAGCTTTCCTCATCATATATGCGTGCCACATCTCAATCAGGTATTGGGACTGCTTTGGCAAATCGTGTGCCTGATTCGGTGTCTAACCGTCAAGCCGCTGGAGATCCTCAGTTCCGCCATTCGTTCAAGATGGTAGCATGTATAGACAGCAAACATCTCGATGTGTGGCAAGTGGAATTTTCCTTCGCTGGTAAGTCCTTATCATTACAATTTACAGTCGCAATCTGACCGCAATTCAGGTGATTCTCTGATTTCCTCGGGCGACGATGGTGCTGTGCGGTTCTGGAAGAAATCACTGTCGGGCGAATGGCTCGAGTATGCTGAGACCGATGTGGCCTCCCAGTGATTCTATGGATATTTTGAGTGCAAGACTCCACACATTTAAACCTAATGATACCCTTACACATTCAATCACGTTCATGATAATTCATTTCAATGTTCTAATCGTTAATCGGGGTCGATGGCCGCTCTGAGGCTAATAATAGGGCAAGAGCGACTAGACTCCCACAAATCTGATACCTCACGACACTTGAAATATGATTCCTGCTGGAGTTTCTCTCCTTTTCATTAACCTCTTTCCTATACATATTATCTATCATGGCAGTTGGTCCGACTCTCGGAACAGGGTTGTTTATTGGCGCCGGCCAAGCGCTGGCTGTCGGCGGTCCAGCCTCACTGTTCATTTCCTATGTATTCCTATCATTCCTTACCTATCTCATGGCAACCGCTGTCGCTGAAGTTGCTACACATAACCCCTCTCGCCATGGAACCATGGTCACAAATGGCATCCGATATTTGCCTTCTAGCCTGGGATTTGCAACCGCCTCTCTTCGCTGGTATACCCTGTCCATGTTCATTCCCTACGAAATCACAACCAGTATGGTCAACCTAGGACTGTGGACACCCGATTCAAAGATTGCACTGCGCCTGACCCTCGTCACGGTCGTCATTGTTGGCTTCAACTTCCTCCCTGAACGACACTCCAAAATCTCGGAGGTGATACTCACTCGAATCAAAATTGGCACCATGGCCTGCCTTCTTATCTTGTCTCTGTCCATTGCACTCGGAGGCTCTACCGGTTACAAACCCTGGGGATTTCGATACTGGAATAACCCCGGCGCTTTCAATGAATATGTGGCTCATGGTGGGACGGGAAGATTCTTGGCTCTTATGCAGTGCCTCTTGTACAGTTCTATCGCATTCACATTGTCTCCTGAATTGATTGTGCACCGAGCTGAACTGGCTGACACGACCGATCAGCCTGCAACAACCGAATCTTTAGAGTCAGTCACATATTCTACTATTGCGAAGCAGGTTCATTATGATGTTCTCATGACTACAATTCCCTATATTCTCAGCGCTTTGGCAATGGGGATAATGGCTCCTTACAATAACACTCTTCTCTCCAACAACGAAACCGGAGCCGGTTTATCGCCTTTTGTCATTGGAATGAACACGGCGAAGATTCGAATCTTGCCAGTCACGGTCACCATTGCCATCCTGGTCTCTTCTGTCGCCTCGGGTCGCTCGTTCCTGAATATTGCCTCTCACAATTTGTGTGCGATGTCAGAAATCGGCCATGCTCCAAGCATATTCAAAATACGCAATAATTGGGGAGTTCCATGGGTGGCCGTCACTTTTACCTCAACCTTCACTACTCTGTCCTTCCTGTGCGCGGCACGATCAAGCTCTGTCATGACAACCTACTTCATCCTCTTCGTCAACAGCTCCGGATACCTATCATCGATGCTCTCTTGTCTCGTCTACAGCCGCTTCCGTGGTCGTCTGAATTATAATGGGATTACCAATGCATACCACTCTAGGATTCAACCGATGGGCACCTATGTGGGTTTCATCTTCAGCGGTATTCTTCTGATGTCTAATGGCCTGGTAGCGGCAGCTCCAAAGATTGGCGCTGGATCGAGAGGTACGCGCATTATCATGGCGTACATCAGTCTACCTCTTTTCCTCTTTCTGTATATAGGACATCGACTTCAGCAAGTTGTTCATTGGCGAATGCGTAGTGAGGAGAGCAGTGACAAAAGTTCAGACGAGGGATCCGTTCGGTACTTTCCACGTCAGGAACATGATAACCGGCCACTTGAACCACCAACAGTACTAGAATTTGATCAGGTCTGGACGATGGCTAGTGAGGTTTGATGGGAATAGCGAGAGTGAAACTCAGCGCTAGTGTTTACTTGAAATGAGTCTCTATAGTGCTTAGTGTTTAAACTGTTAATTTATTAATTACTTTTTTTCTTATACCTCCAGTCATTTCTTGTTCTCTTTGGAATTAGTTCTCTTTTGCTGTCCAATCATTTCCTGATTAGGTCGTTGATTATGTTGTTTGATTAGTCGACATTGATTATTTACCCCATGTCCTCAGGTCCTCATACTTCCTCCGTCCAACGTCGCATCCATATTATCCATCTCATCCATCTGACTATCAAGATATTAACCACCCCAGTCAGTATTGAATTTGAATTATTGGATATTCTCGACCGCAACCACCTCGAGTGATTAATTGTTTATGTTTGGTTTAGGTATTGACCAGCTGCAGCCTGTTATGACCTCACAACCTCACACTACATCCATGCATACATAAGGATGCATGTGCCATGGAGATCAACCCTAACCATGAGAACCAAATGCCAGAGTCAGATAATATCCTAATCCTTCCGAGTTTCAACCATGATAATGTGGATACAACAACGGAGGTACAAAGGGCGGAAGTGGGCCATTACCAGGTAATATTTCAATACATTTCAACCACAGGGCTTGATTGACTAACCGTTTCTATGTAGCCTTGTTCCTTGCGCACATCCGCTTCTTATAGTGGCAAATTCAAAAAAACAGCCAAGTCACCGCGCAATAACAATCCCCCTTTTACGTGAGTCTACTCCATACTCTTTCCCCCTTTATACAACTCTTATTTGATTCATGAATCCTTCATGTTCACGTTCCTGTCCCAGTTCTTGTCCTTGTTTCTATGTTCCCATATTAATGCCATGACTTTCTGTTGTATCACTGAAGTTGCCTCACCCTGGCCTGATGACCCCTCCCGAACCTGCGCCACATTGTCTTTCCACTGGGATGATCTTCCCTTTTCCCATGGCACTTCATTTTATCCTATAGAGTCAAATCTGCCCTCTCAGCTTTCACTTTTTCATACTTGAGATCCAAACAGAAATTGAAAAAAAAAAAAAAAAAAAACACCTGCTTACATGCTTACATCTTTATACACTTATCTCAGACTTTTGCTCCTTTATCATTTTTCAATTCCCCTTACCTATTATTCTTTGGAGCCTTTCTACCCCCGGAATGCTTCCCATTCTTCTTTGTTCTTTATATTCTTCACTCCTTGAAGGCTTGAGCCTTGAACTAACCTGGACTAACCTGGACTCACTTGAGCTAATCTGGGATTCCTCGATTCCTTGATTCTTGATCCCTTTGATTATGATGTTGGATGGCTACTTTTCACCCTACAACGTGCGTGGAGTACACATCAAAATATCGAAGTACGAAGTACACAGTACTTCAGCTGATCTCTTTCTACTTGATGTCCGGTCCAAGTTTGGACATCCATTACATGATGATATTGGATCTGAAATCCCCTAGATCCCTACTAATATGAACCCTCTAGATGCTAATCTCTTCCCCTCCATGTCCCCCTTCTCTCATTCCCGTGATTCCCTCCACCGGATTAGCTGTCTCCGAAACCAATCCAAGAACGGACTAGTTTTATTACCATGGCTAACGTCCAGTTTACAATACCGTTACACATTAACCCGCGAACTTGTTCTCTCACATCCTGACTAACCTTTCACCCCCTCAGACTGGTCAGATCTCGTCAGACTGGATACGTTTTCGGGTTGAGTCAAACCAACAGGTTACAGGCACCCTTCTACACTAGTCCTCTTTGGCTTCCTCGCTGCCTAAGGCCCCAGTCCTCTCCTCCTTCAATCCAGTTCCTCTCTTGAATTACCCTCTTTTCCCTCCTTTTCACTCTGCGCGCTTTCTTCGTCTTCCTCGATCCCCACCCCATTTCTTTTCTCTCTAGATCACCCTTCAATCTTGTTCCAGAAACTTCCCACTCCCCATCTCCTCTTTTCTTCCTCCCCTAACGCGATCTCGCCGTCTCACCCTTTTCGTCCTCAACTGGCCATTAGTCGTTCACAGCACTTTCTGCCACTCTCAATTTCTCCTACAACTTTTACGACTTTATCATTCCGTCACCTTAAATCGCCCTGGTTCCTTCCATCCACTGAGGCCCTCGCTTACCTCTCATCTTCCCTCCCTACACCTTCCACCCTACAGGACACGGGTCAGTCGCATTCGGCCAGGATTTTCCCATCCGCCCCGACGGCTACCCTCCACTGTTTTGAGTCCATTCATATTGATTCAAGGAAATAAGCGAAGGGTTTCCATCTCCCTTAAGCCCATCTTGCTGTCCCAACGGGCTTGCTTCCTCGGCGAGGTTGACGTCTCTCATCTCACCCAACTCTTTCAATATCCGAATTGACAAGAGAACAAGAGAGAACTATCATCAAACTGTTGACATGCTTGTTGAACTGCAATAGATCGGCAACGCGACTCGCATCTCCAAAATCCCTCATTTTGTCGCTACCCGAGAGGGGGTAATCTGTCAGACTATGACAGATACCTCCTCCTCCCTCGCCATCACGCACGCCACTACGGATCCGTTTGCGGTCCGCGCTCGCGCTCCTCTCAGCTTTCCCTCTCCTGGCGATGCCTCTGACTTGGTCACACCTGACGAAGAGGACTACACCATCAAATGCGTCTGCGAGTATCTGGATGATGATGGAAGCACGGTCTTCTGCGAGCGTTGCGAGACGTGGCAGCATATTTTATGCTACTACTACACTGACGACCTGGTGCCAGAGGTGCATAAATGCGTCGAGTGCGAGCCGCGCGATGTAGACGGTCGTGACGCCACTGAACGTCAGCGGGCTGAGAGGAAGAAGACTCGAGCAAAGGCTCAAAAGAAGAAGAGGGATGATAATTCACTCGAACCGCGTCATGAACGAACCGACTCGGTAGCTCGAGAACACCCACCCAAGAAACCCAAGATTTCCCATCGCGTATCTACCTCGATTAGCGGGCCTTCGGGTCTTCCTTCCCTCCAACCAGATGGCCGTAAACAGCGACGCTCCTCTACCTCCGTTGCGCCGAGTCCTACAAAACCCTCGGGGCCTGTCATACCCCTCTATTCCCCTGAATTTTTACACCTTTATGACCGAGATGAAGAACACGAAAATATGGATAGTAACCTATTTGTTAACATGAACCTGGTCAACGATATGGCTAACTGGGTCAAGAACCCAGAGGCTTTGGCACAAGTCACGGGGCGCTCAATTGCGGAGACCTTCAACTGGTTCTACAATGTCATGGATCGTTCTGACTGGCCCTCCTTGGCCACGGATACCATTACAGATCAAACGGTCGAAATTGGCGGTCGCCATCCGACATGGAAAATCGTAAAAACCCAGGATGCGGTGCGCAAGGACACAATAGTCGGGGAGATGATCGGCAAAGTCGGTCTCTTTGACGACTACTGCCGGGATCCTAACAATCGATGGTCGGAGTTGCGGCATCCGGAACCTATGGTTTTCTTCAGCTCACATCTCCCTGTTTACATTGACAGTCGTTCTGAAGGCAGTCTACTTCGTTATACCCGTCGGTCCTGTCGACCCAATGTTACCATGAAAATATTCCTCACTAATGAAGTTGAGTATCATTTCTGTTTCGTTGCTAAGGAGGACATACCTGCGAATACTGAGATCACCGTGATGTGGTACCTGGACTCCAAGTCATCAAATGGGTTGGTCAAACTCGAGTCCGGCGATAGCGAAGCCGCCGCTATCAGTATCAGCAATACGCTCGCCACTTTTGGTGGCTGTGCGTGTGAGGGTCCGCAGAACTGCTTACTTGCCAGCTTGGACCGCCGGCGCCCTCCCAAGTCACTTGACTTTAGCATGAAGCAACCCACCAAGAAGCAAAAGAAGGTCAAAACCAAGCCCCCCACATCCCCTGTCATTCGTGCCGGTAGTGAGACCAATAAAAATCATGACGACGATGATGCTGGGGATAGTATGTCTGCTTCTGGCTCCGCCCCTGGGCAGGCGAGTCCCTCATATTCATCACTGTCACTGTCTAGTCGTGAACGGCGCAAGCTTGTCGAGGTGGAAAAACAGTTTTCGCAGCTAGAGGACAAGCGTACAACAAAGAGGAAGAAACGCGCGAGTGGTTCGGCGGCCCCACCTACGCTGGTTACCAGTTCCACCCAAACCGGTTCAGTTTCGCGTATCTCTGGCAAAAAATTACGTCTGGACACCTCTGCCAGTCAGTCTCGATCGCCTACTGCATGTCTGTCACCTCGGTCTCTACCTGGTGGCCGACAAGCTTCCCCTCGAAACGTCTCTGGATCTGGCCACCGTACTAAGCTGAGCCGTCCCACATTTGTAGATGCCTCGACCCAAGTCGATATGGAGGAACTATCACAGCCACGCATTGGTGCTCAATTTATCCCGACGACCATACGACTCTTGGGTCGCTTCAAGGTGGACCGTCGGCGATCAATGGAGAGTGCCCGGCAGCAGCTGTCCTCGGCTGGGTCCGACAGTGTGGTCAGATCTTCCTCCCCATTGATCCAATCCCCAATGGTCTCGAGCGATATGGCGGATGCACCCGAAAACTGTTCGACTCATCCCATAATTGACTCTGTGGATTCTGAGATGCCGAATGTGGAGAACGGTCTGGACCCGAGCAGGCCAATAATGCCGCCGCCGTGGCCGTCCACCGCTGCCCATAACACCCGTATTCCTCTCTCTTTTGTATCCGGTCTTAGCAATATGCGCATGTCTATGCCTCCTCCCACCAGCACCAGCGCTCTCTCCCCCGCTGTGAGTCCTGGATCCGTCAGCTTCGCATCTCCTCCCAATGCCGACACCTCACCGCGAGCCCTTGTGCCGCCACCTATCTCGAGTGCGCCTACTCCTACTCCTACCAAGAAAAAGCTCAGTCTTGGTGACTATTTAAGTCGACGAGCCGACCAGACTCAAGCACCCAAGGGACCCTTGACCCCAGGTCCGGGTACGACAGTTAATGCAGACATTGCGCAGACTCACACTCCCAAACCGTCTCCTGAAAGCAAGGCTGACATCCTGGTAGGGCGTGATGTGTTAATGGAAGACGCCCCGGAGTCGATCTCATCCCAATTCCACTCTATCCCTTCATGATATCCCATTGCGTGCTACGATAATGGCGTTAATGAGATCCCCTTGATGGGATTTATGTTCTCTTACGATTCTTCAAAAATACCTTTCTTGTTTGGCATGTTTTAACCCTGACAAGGGTAGCAACGGCGTTTCAAACCGTGTGTTTGAGCGACACACCCTGTTTTATGTCTTTCTATTAATTCTGTTTCTTATTGTCTCTTTTATCTTTCCCAACGGCGTAACATGGCGTGGTGTTATGGAACTGGGAAGGTCTGTCTCGGTTTATCGGAAATACCAGGATTCGGGTTGGGTTTCAAGGCCTTTTTCTCCGGTGTGACATGCTCCTTTCTTTTGAGCTTGCTCCGCCCCCTTTTGTCTGGGATAATACTTGGATATCATTTGCCGAGTTTTCTTTCTCTTTGATCTCCCCTCCGAGCATAGCTTGTATGATGTTATCAACGTGATATATCAACATCGCTTGATGTATTGAGTACAAGGTCCAGCTTAGAACCTTAGCTTTTGACTGCTATCAACTATTCCCCTCGGCTTTTGATCTCTTGTTCTACATAGTCGTCTAACTTGGAATCCACCTAGCGACCCGACCCGTAGGTCTACCTGGGTACGGGCACGGGTATGCGTAAACCACATAGTAGTTGCGCGGCTAAAGGTCACGGGATACTACAATTATATTGCTTTCTGTCGTAAATAACATTCTTTGCTCTGGGATTAAGAATTGAAGCACCATTGTCATGCGATACGGTGGTGCTGGCGGCCAGCATCTACAGCTTGAAGTTATCCAGGTCCAATCTTGGAATATTGCATATGGTATCCAAACTACTAATTGGGGAAAGGCTCTCTACGAATGGAAACATTTACCGAGTTACTCCACATGTTGTTCTGGCAGAACAAGATGTGGACCCTTGTTGACGATCTAGGCGATCTATTTACAAGATGGAATCTGCCTGTACCAACGTCATATGTAAAATCTCGAAATCACCTTGGAATTACTGGTCTATTCACCCGATGAAGCCGAAGCTGCATACCTAAATTAATAAGTCCACGTAGAGCTCGGCGTCGAATAATATTTGACCATTTATGATTTGGGATCATTCGATACTCGATTTTATTCGATTTCACTTCTGCCACCGCCTATAATATTATAATATTCTATATTTTCTATAATTATGAGAAATTTTGATTCTCTTTGTACCAATCTCTGGATAGTTTTAAAAGAACGAGTGATATATGTCCCTAACGTGTTTCGAGACGAAACTATCATGCATTAAATGATGGAAGTGATGAAGAAGTCGATCTTATGAAGCTCCTATTCTATAAGAGATATAGCCTGGGTATGTAGATCTTTGGATCTTAGTCGCTATTTTTATGGATATACTATTATGCCCAGGTGATTAATCATTCTATGACCACACAAATGGATTAGCTAGTTATTCTTGTGGTGGAATTTTCATAAAGATGAACACCCAGCAGCAGCAAGGGTCTCAAGACGACGGGTTGCGTGTACCGGGGTCTTCTCCTTCCTTTAGTGTGGCTATTATTTAGTTTATATCGAAATAGTATTAATAACGAAATGGTTGTTGTAACCATTTCGTTACTATAACTATTCATACCTTAACACTATTATTTACTTGGTATTCCGTATACCCTGTCACCATTTTAAACCTACACTATAGCGCTAATACTTTAGTTGATTGGTTGTTGAAATTGTCATGGTTTTGTTTTGTCTTAGTGGTAGTGGTAAACTATACTTCCCCTACAGATTCTCTCCCTCTATTTACATGAGACCTTGAAATCTCCCACTTTCCCACGCGTCCTTTTCTCCCAATTTCCAAGGTTCTTCCTCACAACTTCTCTTTCCCATTTTCTCCGTTCGTCCATCCCAACCACTTGAGAATAGTTGAACATGTCGCTTCTCGCCGATAGATCTAAATCTGGAGTATTTGATGAGCACTAGCTTGGAGTGCTTGCTCCTGAGGTACTCTTCATCGACCTACAAGAAGAAAGGGAAATGTTCAAGAACTCGAAAGTGGGGGGGGTAAAGGTATGATAGATCAAGTTCAAAGTCCAGATGGAAAAATAACGAGTAAGAAAAGCCAAGTTTCTCGACTGGATGACAGAAATTCTGGTCAATTGGCTTGACTTCGAGGTATGCAGTTGCGGCTTCAATTTCGTCAGGTTATTGGGCCAGTTATTTGACTAGATCCAGTTGCACAGGCGGCGTCAAAAACTCGGAACTAGTTGGGTGGTAGGGAGGAGTGGAAGAAACGAAAGTTTAGAGTCCAGATGGGATAAAATATCCATGATCAGCGGGAAAAAGACTTCCATTTACTTTGAATCAATGAATTCAGGTAGACGGGCATACGCCTAGCTAGTACTTTATAAAACTAGCTATTTATATAGATCCACGACGAGGCCATCGAGATTGAAACTAAGCTCTATTAGTATTTCCAAGGTTATAAACACCTAGAATCTTGCCAAGGTGTAATTTTCAATCCAGATTTATACAGTTGATAAGAGAAGACTTCGCAGCGAGACGGATAAGGCGAGATGACGCGAGTGAGGTCAATAAAACTGAGGGTGATTTCTTATAAAATACAATTATTCAACAATCAACGTGAACTCTAGTCAAAGCATATATCTCAAGCAACTTCCAAGAAGGAAGATGTGAGGCTAAATTCCAAATTTAATCCCTGTGCTTTGATTTTGCAAACTATAGCTGATGCCTCAATCGATCGATCTATAAAAGTTGAATGGTGCATCTATGCTATTTGTACGACATTTAAACGAGGCGTCTTATATTCTATCTCGTAATTCATTCACTACTCGTGCTCGAATTTAGGCGATAATTACGTTAATACAGCGAGTTTTTCAAAAAACGAAGTGCAAGTCTGCGAATTGTGCGTACGATATCTCTATTTGCACAAAAAATCTCACACTTTCCCACGCGTCCTTTTCTTCCAATCTCTTCACCACAACTTCTCTTTAACATTTTGCCCGTTTGTTTTCCATCTGGACTTTGAATTCTATCTGTCATACCCTTACCTCCAAACCATTTGAATAGCTAGACATGTCACTTTCTCCTCGCCGGATGATAAATAGCACCCCAGAAGGAAGCACTTCAACCAAGTGTGTCTCAAGTCCTGCAGATTCATCGGACTGGAAACCTCTTGTTCTCGTGGTCTCTGAGGAGGGTCCTGGCCGTGATAGCATCACAAGTGCCGTTGCTGGCAACAAACACGCTAACGTCCTCTTCGATATCGCATCTCAGTCAACCATTCTCGAACTTAAACTCTCCGAGTGTGTTCATCACCTACACGAATATACTCACGCTATCATCGTCATTGATGAGTGGATCCGCAGATCTTGCAACATTCCCATCTGGGAAAAATTGATTGAGTATATGCAGGACGGTGGAACGGTCATCTTTCTTGGAGACTTCGCCCTGTTCTTAGACCAGGATTATTACGAATTTCTTCCTGCGATTGACTTCTTTGAGAAATCTGGAAACTCATGGGAGCGGGGAGAGTGTATGCGAACCACAGTGTTTGTCAACAACGAGGATGAGATCATTCCCAAGAATTATCAACAGCTTATCCCTCCCACACTCGATGTACATGGCAGGTTTTTGACCGGCGTTACGCCCAAGCAAGTTTGGTACCAGCCTAATTCAGTGTCAGTTACTGAGCCGCAGTCAGTCTTGGGTTACTACTCGCGACCCGTCGATCCCAAGCAGATTCCCGTTGCACTTGCAAGTGTCGGTAAAGGAAAGATGGGCTATATCGGGGCGTTCCACGACAATCCCCAGTTGAGCCCTGTCCTCGCCGTTATGTGCGATCTGAGTAACGTGTACGAGGTTCAGGAGGATGAGGAGATATTTTAAGTGACTATGATGGGGGCAAATGGCATTCTCTCCTCCAAATCTCAACAGGTGACTGTGGATCAATTGATTCTTACCCTTACTTATCAAGCTAACCGTATATCTAGTATATGATGTCGACATTCTGATATCGAGATTCTCATGCCGCGTTTCTGATGCCTTTGTTATCTCACTTCCGCTGTCCTAAGTAGGACTCGTCTTTTTTGTTTCTTGGATATCAGTGAGTGACTGTGGATCACTTAATTCTTGACCATGTTTATTAAGCTAATCATACTTACCTAGTTTCTGATGTCGAGTTTCATGTGGTCACATCTCACTGTCGCTGTCCCGAGTAGGACTCGACATTTTCCGTATCTTGAATTTCAGTAGGCGACAGTGAATCGGTTGATATTTGAGTATGTTCATCAAGCTCACTGTATAACTAGTTTCTTCCGGTTTTCGCACCACAGCACCGTTTGGTGCTTAGGCGTCATACATTTTTATTACTCTAAGTGTATGGTCAGTTGATTCTTGAGTGTACTCAGAAAGCTAACCATCTGGCTGCTTCTTCAGGACTCGGCCTTTTTTCCTATTACAGTTTTTCTCGCTGCAGTCCAGTTGGTGAATTGGGGGAGTTTTGTTCCTATTGAATTAGTATTAGTTCAACGATCTTCGTCCAAACTCTGAGAAGTTTGACCACCTACATTTCAAATACTGAAACCATATCTTGAGCTTTCAAGGATGAATTTCTCATGAAGTATAGTCTAGATGAAGCACCGATAGTTCTGATAAGGAAGTTCCCCGCATTGATGACTCAAGAAGGGCTTACTCTTGATTCTCCTTCAATGTTCATCTCTTTTATCTTTCTGAATTTTATAGGATTTCCGATATATAATTGAATTCTTCCAAGTTGAAATTTCCTATCATTGCGAATAATGAACTCAAGCATTGAGCCTGGTGAAGTCCTTTCATTGGAAGAGCTATCGCCGGTAAATGATACTCCATATGAGATCGAGCAGCTCCCACTGCCTCCTGCCGACGGCGGTAAAGATGCATGGCTAATGCTTGCTTCATCTTCTCTGATACAATTACCAGTTTGGGGTGCGATTTCATAACTAGCCTGCAATCTGGCAACACCTAACTTATAAAATAGGCTTTTCGCTGGTGTTCGGTATTTTGCAAGAGTATTACTCGACACATGATGTTCTCAAAGGTGAAAAGGGAGGTCTAGCAACCGTAGGAACTACATCCACTGTATGTTAGAGTGCTTGCACTTCACCCACTTTCTGATTTTGACGATTACAGGGCATTCTATACCTCATTTCGCCCATCACCTTCACTCTGCTGACTCGATACCCGAACCTGCAAGCCTACTGTGCTCCGGTGGGACTGTTTATCACAGTTATCGGCTCATTACTTTCTTCTTTTGCAGACAAAGTATGGCAATTAATTGCTACGCAGGGTGTAATCTGTGCAATCGGAAATGGTCTTATCTTCACACCGTCCACTCTTTACATAGACCAATGGTTCATACGAAGAAAGGGTCTTGCTCTAGGACTGATGTGGGCTGCGAAGAGTGCCACTGGAGTGGCTCTACCTTTCATCGCCAGTACCTGTTTGGACCGATTTGGCTCAAGTACAACGTTGAAGGCCTGGACTGTAGTCACTGTATGACGAAGTCCTTTGTCATTTAAACCCATTTTCTAAATTTCCAGCCAATTTTTCACACTAGTACTAATCACCCAGGAATAGATTTTGTCGACGCTTGCATCGCTGCCCTTCATGAAACCTCGAATTCCAGTGTCACCATCTACCTCAATCCGTCGGATTGATCTCAGTTTCCTTCGACTGCCTACCTTCTGGACGTTACAAGCAGGTAACGTAATCCAAGGTTTTGGATATTTCCTGCCGTCGATGTATCTCCCTTCCTACTCGACTGCAACGGTGGGTTTATCTGCGACAATGGGCACAATGCTTGTCTCGCTATTCAACGCAACATCTGTCTTCGGTGGCATTGCGCTCGGTACCCTCTGTGACCGCTTTGCCATAACCGACGTCCTCCTTTTTTCCTCTGTGGGATCGGCCGTATCAGTGTTTCTACTTTGGGGCATGTCATCAGCATCTAACTCGGGTCCCGAAGCCCCGATTGCCTTACTCACTCTCTTCTCCATTTTCTACGGGTTCTTCGCCGGTGGATTCAGCTCCACTTGGTCCGGGGCTATCACCGAGATCAAGAGAAATTCCTCTCCGTCTCTGGATACAGGATTAGTTTTTGGCCTACTTGCTGGAGGACGAGGCATTGGAAACGTCATAAGTGGACCATTGAGTACGGCATTGCTCAACCAGGGATCTGTGGCTGTTCACGGTGGAACTGGATATGCCACTCAATATGGGAGCCTTATCATGTTCACGGGTCTCACTGCGTCCTTTGGTATGTGGGCTTGGATATGGGGGTTATCTAGTAGGGTACAATGTCTCCACAGACAAAGTACTCATTCAAACTATACTGTGTGATAAGTTCTGGTTTTCATAATAGTTGGGATACTAGTAACGAGTTATCGAAGGGAACAAGAGAAGGAAAAGTGTTCCGTCTATAAGGTGAATATACGAAGCTACGAAACCAACTACACTATAGTACATTCAAATTCATCAGACTGTTACAAAGTACAATTTCATGGAGCAAATTATAGAGGAGCATAGCTTTGGAAATCGTTCTACAATGAATAACGGATCATTGAAGGGAAGGAAAGAGATATTGAATCTATCAATACCTAATGACATCATTCCCAATCAGGTTAGCGTAATAATATAGATCAACTCCAATTCTGATCACGTGAATGGAGCTTTATCGAATCCGCAATCCATAAGCCACTTCAATTCTGCAACCTTTAGCATCTAAACTCATTACAGCTTCTCCAGGGTCGCTGCTCCCTCAAACAAGACGATGGACTCAGCAGATCCAGCCTCACAAGACCCTCTCCTGTCGCTTCGGCGCGCTATTGCCTCTGGCAACCTCCCCACACCCACAACCTCATCTGAGCACTCAGACCAAGATGCGACAGACGACCTGGCAAAAGCCACACATCTTTATTTCTCACAACCAGTCTCCCAGTCTCTACTACTGACAACACCCACCCGCTTTATCTCTTCAACCACCGATTCGCCTGTCGACCTGCGCAGCATCTTTTTCGCGTGGCAGAAGAAAGATGTCGCGATTCCTGAATACATCGTCTCTGCACAGGAGCTGAGCGAGGCCCTCAAGCAAAAAGAGCAACAAGAGCCCGGAAAGGAGGAGACTGTTCAAAACTTGGTTTTTGTTGAACGCCTCGATCTCATTACCTGGCTGGAGGGCGCTTCGGATGACAGCGAGTATATCAAGCCTCTGGAGGGTGTTGCTGCAGCTGCTGATGCTGCCGCTACCGCTGTGGGAGCTACCCAGGCTGATCCTTCTACTGCTACTGGTGCTGGAGCTGCAGGTATCTCATCGGCGCCTAGCGGTGCTCCCGGTTCGGCGCCAGTTGGGAGTCAAGTCGGCCGCGCACAGAAACAGATTGATCCTCAATTGCAGGCAATTTACGCAGCAGAGTGGAAGGTCGGTGACCGGAACACATTGCTACGGGGAACCAGGCCAACTGTAAGTTTTACCAGGCGCAAACAGCCTAAAATATACCAAAAAAAATCCCATCAGAAATGGATGACCTAACTTATTACAACCCAAACAGGACTTCTCTTTCGTTCGCAAGAGCACCGAGAGCTTCCTAGGTAGCCGCTCGCGATCTGGTCAATCAGGCGCCAAACCGAGCAGCAAAAGCTCAGCAATGGTGCCAGCACCCTCAGCCGGACTGTCCATGCCCTCATCTCGAAAATCCAACTCCCGTCCCGACCCTATTATCCTACTCTCCCCCTCCGCTTCCTCCCTTATTCGAATGTCTAATATCAAATCCTTCCTCCAAGACGGCGTCTTCGTGCCGCCAGACCACCCCACCCTCAGCACCTCTACTGAAGCCAACTTTATGGAACTTCGGCGGCCGATGCGCGCTTCTAACCCCAACGGAGGCCCACTGGCCTCAGCCAGTGCCGGCCGCGGAAATAAACCGACTAAGTTTATCCTTGTCGATGGAACGACCAACTTTAAGCCTGAATATTGGTCCCGTCTCGTGGCCGTCTTCACTACTGGCCAGGCTTGGCAATTCAAGTCGTATAAGTGGTCTAATCCCCCGGATCTCTTCAAGCACGCCACCGGTGTTTATGTTGGTTGGCGTGACGAGGAGCCTCCATCTAGCGTAAAAGGCTGGGGCCACGGAGTTCGCAGTTTCGCCGTTGAGCGGTGGGATGATAAGAGTGGCTTGAATGGCACTGGACGGTGGAGAGATCGAGAGATTGTCGAGGGAATTTGGATGGCTATTGAGGAAGGCATGCAAGCCCGTGGTTGGGGGTCCAAGGGCTAACTAAAACCTCTTTGATTGACATGTTATCATCTAGATGGCTGTTTTATTCCAAAATCAACCATTTTTTGTACCTGGTAACCCTGGAGATCCCAAGTTTGGCATTCACTTCGATATACCCTATTTAGTTCGAATTGAATTGCCCTTGTCTCCCATCTAAACATCTTATCTTGCCTCTCAATACGCCATAGCCATAGTAATGTAAATTACCGTACGCATCGCATGAACAACTGCATATTCAATGTGGCAGTCACTGGAGGGTTTGACTGTCCTCTGTGCAGATCCACCCTAGATCTACCTAGTGAGCTCTGTTCCACTCTTAGAAACCTGCAGTCTATCTAAAGTTGATTTCGAACTCATAAATTGAGACCCACTGTCCTTGGTATGGTATCTAGGTATGTGAACAGTATTTGGTATCCATTCATACAGGTTCAGACATTTGGCTCCGGATTCAATTTCCGTCTTTAGAATCCATAAAACCTACATACTTGGTTTGATCTTACCAAGCAATAATCTAGAGCAGATCTAAATTTAGCCTGAATCATGAACATTGCCCCAGAAATTCCCTTTCCAGCACACAACCACAACCGTGGTAACAAGGAATGTCGGATAAAATAAATCCCCCAAATCGCCATCTAATGGGATCGATGCATCGATCTTTTAAACCCATGGTTCTCATTCCCGTCAACCCATGTACAACATCAACGCCTATAGCAATCTAGACTTGCAAAGACCCTAGTCTCGGCAGGTTGGTGGGCTATACTACTGATGGAAGAAATCGAAGAAAAATATGAAGCTGTGTCCATGATAGTTCCCATGGTAGGGGATAAAATGACATACAGGGTAAGAATTCACTCGCTGTGTCCCCCTCCCCCCTTCCCGCTTCAAGAAACGGTATGCAGTCATCAAAGTAGTGAAAACATCTCAAGATGATACTGCTCGGGGGGAAATCATGCAAAATATAAGGTAGAAATAGAAGAGAAGCCAATAAACAGGTAATAAAAGGATAACAAAGAATAGGAAAGAGATGGAAACATGCAAAGTTATAAAAATGAGGAAAAACGCCATATCTGATGCTCAGGAAAAAACCACACATGACTGAGGATATGCACAACTTAGCCGCCAATCTTTTGGATATTTTTTCATCTTTTGTTTTGCGTCTGGCTCAAGGCCGGCTTGGGATGTGGATATCATGTGAGTATCATGCAAAAAAGGGGCAGGACGCGGAGAGATAGGAAATAAAGAGAATGTCATCCAAATATTACAAAGTCGCGCCCAAATTCCGGCCATTTTCTATGACATGAAACATCGATCGTAACGTCTGGTCGGGGGCTGAAAGAGACAAAGGAAATAATAATAATAAAAGAAAAAAAGAAAAAAGAAAAAAAAAAAAAAGGAAAAAGAAAATCTCGTGTCGGAGGAAATTAGCAGCCCAGTGGCTGGACGCTATGTTGAAACAAGAGGCATTCGGTATTCGGCGTTCGTAGTCGGAATCGATCATAAGATTGGTGAATATCATGTCCGAAAATAGAGGGATTCGCACCATACGGAGGTATGGTCAATGGTTGTTCGAAGAAAGCCCGTTACGAGTGTCATCTCCGCGTTGCAGTCACACAGGTTATGAAAGTATAAAGCCGTAACTCAGGTTTCACAGATCATAACGGGGTTGAAAGCTTGGCGGTTATAGGCTGACAGGGGATGGGAGGAGACTCGAATCACGGTGAAGCCGGTCTAGTACTGTCTTGAAAGAAAAATCAACACTGTCGTTCTTCTATCATGTGCTGCGGGCTGAACGGCTCATAGTACGTTCTGGGCCGCTGCCTGCAGGGGTCGGTGAGTACGAACGAGGGCCTCCAAAAATATCAACATCGTGTTCTTGCAGAACAACAGAGTACTTAGGGTCACGAAGAAACTTCGGGACAGAGTCCTGCAATTTCACAAGAAAGTTAGCATAATTTCTAGGTGAAAATGAGACAAGAGGTGAACACATACACTAGACATCAACTTGAAAACTGATGTTTGAGCCAGTTCAAACAGATGTACGACCTCCTGAAGGCTCTTAAACATCGAATCATCGTCACCGACAGCCTTGGTCATGCGACTAGCCAGGCTGTTGCGCAGGGCGTGATCAATGTTTAGCTCACAAGGAGATCCAGGGGCCAGAAACGCGTTGTACAAGCCTAGAAACCTATTAGCGAAACAAAATATATAACGAATCGAAGTCAATTAAACATACCGTAGGCAGCAGCCAAGGTTTCCCGGACCGAGTCGACTTTGGTGAATGTACCGGTCTTCTCCGCCTTGTGGTAGCTGGAAGTAAATTCAGAGACGTCCAAGTAGAAGGACAAGTTCTCTTCGCAGAGGGAGTACCGGAGGAATTCACGGAACAATAAACGAAGAGCGGGGTCTTGCAGGATGTGTGTCAAGCGAGCATTGTTGGAATCGCGAGGCATGCCGCGGCTGTCGTAGGCGGTGCTCTCCACACGGTTCTTGTTATCACGGGCAATCCATCCACATACACGCTGGCCTCGATCGGTAATACAATAGATGGAGTACTTGGACGGTTGGAACAAAGCATTCGAGTCGGGGAATGCCTTATCGTCTTGAATCATGGTGATTAGGCCGTACTTGAGGAACAGCTCGGCAATCAAGCAAGTCTCTCGGCGCTCAATGGTGGTCGAACAATCCATCAACCAATCCACGGCTCCCTTTCCAGTAAAGGTGTTGTTGTAGACCTTGCCATCTAGCAATTTCCGTTCCCGAGCCATCTTCACACCCACCAAACCATTAGAGTAGTCGCTTAGCGAATCAGAATCGGAGGTCGAAATGCTGCTCTTAATGTTGGGGCCATCCTGTCCAGCAAAGCGGCGGAAAATCACTTCGATCGTGGCTCGGTCATGGGACAGCTTGTCAGAATCGGTATCCCGTTCCAGGTTCACTAATTGCATTGTGTTGCGGGGGGACTCCAGTACGTCCATCACGTGACGGGCAGTAATTCCATTCCGCTGGCAGAAACGCTGCAGAATGTTGATTCCCTTCGGTGTCAATTGGAAAAGAGCTCCCTTGAGGGGGAAAATTGCCAACGGTCTGCCATCAACCGCTTCGATGAAGCGAGCATCGACAAAACGTTGGCAGACTGAACGTGCCATTTCCTTGGCCATGGAGAAGGTGGTGGTTGTAGTGGTGGTGACAATACGTGACGGATCCTTCGGGTCGGGCATTCGGTTCGATTGGGAGAACTTGAGGGATCCCAAGTTGTTGATTGCCTCCTCGGAAGTAAAGGTGTGGTCATATCGAGTGAAACGAACACGATGCGAGTCCAACTTCAAGCTAACCATCAGAGTGGAGAACAAGTCCATGAAATCCTAAAGACGAGATAATGTCAGCTTTTCGATTGCAACTATGCCAGTATTTTCTCCAATGCTGGCTGTTTCCTGCAAACCTACCTTGGTAAAGGGGCGCTCATCTTCGGTCATGCGCAACAACCGAGATGATGTTTGGTGCATTTTGGGCGCGAGTTGCGCTGTTCCCGACGGGACAGAACGGTATTCTTGAGGAGGAGTAATTGGGCGCTGCAAAAATGAGCGACGATTTTGAATAGTCAAGGTATCGGCAAAGTCCGGTGAGATTGGACAAGAGAAGTCAGACAATGGCTCGCAAGAATCACTGTCTAATAGTGGAGGGGTCAAGGGGGAATGCTTGTAAAGACTTGTAGCAAAAGGAGAAGCGCGCAAAGAAGAAGGTTGACCGATTGACAGACCGGCCAGAGCACTTGTAGTCTTATGCGCAAAGGTGGCTAAAGAACGTCGATTGCGGCGGGAGATAGAACCGACGACAGATCTAGTGAAAGTGGAAGAGTTGAAAGGGGAGGGTTGATTAGTCGGGGAGATGGCAGGAACAGGAGGAATAGAATCAGGAACTGAAAGAGGAAGAGAGAATTCCCGGTCGTGGTTCACGGAAGGTAGGGTTGGCATTGAATGGTTTTGGGATTTGGGTGAACCAGACTTCGGGAAGAGTGTGAAAAGTGGGTAATTCAAACAAGGCCCACGATCTCTGTACACTAAGGGGAAAAGGTAAAATAAAACATAGATAATAAAAACCAGATAAATAAAAATGTAGAAGTGGGACACTCTTCCTTGGTATAGAGTAAGTTTTGAGGAGGGTAAGAATGGGGGGTTGGGAAAGTGGAAATTATACTATTATTTTTTTATAATTTTTATATTAAAATATTAAAATATTAAAATACCTTACATTTTTATAATTTGTATTTTATAATTCTATTTAATTCTTTACAAATAAGTTTAAAAGGAAGATACGGATGGAGGGGATAAGTACTAAGTAGAATAGAGGGGGAAAAGCAAGAGCGGGCCCCGGATAAAAAAAGTAGAATTAGAAAATAAAATATGTAAAATAGGAATATTAGAAATAAAATAAAATAAAATAAATACATTATTCTCATGAAGAATCACAATTCAAGCCTGTCATTGACCCACTTCTTGACCACGCGTGAATCCGGAAAGAGTTTGGTGTTATAACGTGGGCCAGAAGGGATTGCCTCATAGTGAAGATCGGTGTTCCCTTGTTTCGGTGCACGGTCTTCCATGTTCTTTTTAACCCTTTACTTCTTACGTTTAGTTATATTTTACTAGACTCAATAGTATTAGGAAGAGGAAGAAGATATAAAGGGAAAAAGAGATGGGAAAAAAGGAAAGAAAAAAAGAAAGAAAAAAAATAAGAAAAGAAAAACCTAGTCTATGATTCCACGACCACTGATTTCCCTTCTAGAACCCATGTTGTACCAAAACCAGTCAAGAATGACCGAACAAGTCCGAACGTGGTATCTTACAATACCATGTATATAATACAACATGAATAGTCACTGAACTAACCCTAAAGTAGTAACGCCCCTTATCACAAGAAATGTTGATCTAAATCTTCAAAGCTCCCACCACGTGGAATTCTTTTTCGTTACGGAGACCATGTTTAATGTCAACCTTATCGAAGTCCCAAAACTCCCGATCTTCCTCTATTATTCTCCGACATCTCTGCGACATTTATCTGACACAAGGAAATCCTGACATTATACTTTGTACTGTGTACATTGGATGTCCATATGTTTCACCGCCAAATCTCTCGTGTGAAAAATCAATTCAATTGTGGAGCCTAGCGCCACCTTTTCTTTGTTTTATTTTCTTTCTCTATACTCGTTTCGGCTAAGGCGGAGCCCACGTGGACAGAAACGACCTAATTTCCCCCAACCACTATCTGATTTAGTTTTAGTTCTGTCCTTTAGGGTCTAGCGGTTTATCTAGTCCTGGCTTTTAAAGTCTAGCGTGAATCACAATCGGGATATCAGTTCCTATGTCTAAAGCTAAGTACTCTTCTACAATTTCCAGCAGCCTTGGCAATTCAATCACTCCGTAGGTATTCATTAAATCCCAGTCCAAGAGGGGCTAACAAGGCCATCCTTTTCTTAGTATGCTTTGCAGCATTGGGACTAATTACTTTGCCATTTGAAGACACAAGCGATTGAGCCTCAATAGTGGTGCGATCTTCTATACCACTTATTCGCAATCTCAGAGTCTCTGTCACGCGCTTTATATTACCATTTTAGTAGTAGTCAGTTACCTACATATGGAATAGATCAACTCCACAATGGGCCGCCCGTTTCAAAGGATCTGTGAGGTCACTACCAGACACGTCAGCAAAACTCCGCCTTGGCAATTTCCCAAGTGGTCACGAATAATACTAAATAACATTGTAGTTAGTAAGAGAAGAAACTCCAACGTTGAAAGCGAGGTATCAGACGCTTTGGAAAGAACGTCAGTGCGACGTCCGAAATCCCTCTAGAATTGACTACACTGATTGGCTGAACCTTTGTTAATGATTCGAGATTCTATGCAGATCCAATGTGATACGTGGTACACGATACGTCACAAGGGATCTATCAAATTTCTCCAGCTCTTTTCCACGTGGCAAAAGTTCTAATGTTCCATGATAGTAGACTACTGCAACTAAAATGAAGATGCCCAGATGCATTGATAACCTTTGTACCTTTATGCCCGGGCAATTTACTGTATAAATTTTAGTGCTTAGTTAACGTGCTTACGACGACGGCGTAAAGGCTCTGGGAGCCGACCCCTCAACTTCCGAGGTCCCCATTGGAACACCAGACCTTGGAAGCGATAAAACCAAGTGTCTACTACTTAAAACATACTCCGTATTTTCTAGTATCTATTATTGAGCAACAACCTTAAACTACCTAGGCACAGAACAAATCCATGGATACTAAAGACGATCCCAGGTATAGTCGCTTCAGGAGCCATTTCTGTCCAGATCAAATGGGTTCATATCTGAAAAAAAAGGAGGGCCCGCTAGAATGTTCTTGGATAAATCACCATTCTGCCTTGAACTTGCGGTCAATGGAGACAAAAGAGCGAAAGGGCGAAATAGCGAAACTCAAAGATCCATTCTCGTAGCACTGATCGCTGATACACAGGCCAAGGGTTTGGAATTGATTAGCCTTTATTGATTCTTACCAGAATTCCATGGATCATTTTAGGTACGAGATCGAAAAGGGTAAAAATTGGTATCATTAGAACTTTATTAGTCATGGTATCCGTGTATGGTATCGGTATTATCATCTCTGACCGCCCACGCGACTAGGCTTTTGGGTTTGTTGGCCTGAACTGAACACCTTCATTGAAAATTCCAATATAAATATGAAATTATTCCTAAAACAGATTAGACGAAGAAAAATCAACTAATCCATTCCGGGGAGCAGTGCGGCTGAGATCGTACAAGAGCTTGTGAATCATGTCAATTGTGTGAGAAATGGGCTAACTTGCTTACTAGGCTCATTGCGGCTGCTGTGATCGTTGGTCTCAACTAAAATGAACGACCATACCACGCTAGGTTCTACAAGGCACATGTTCAGAGAGCCATGGACTAGAGCTCTGGAGAGTTCCTGTACCCATGCTCTCGTAGGACAAGCCCGTACCCGATCATCCACAACGAGCTCTCCCTTGCCTGTAGTTATCACGGCGAGGTAGCAGTAACCCTGGAACATTACTCGGCATAGGAATTGCATGTTCCTCGCGGAATGCAGCGTCCACCCAGCTCGAACGTTCGTCCGCAGGAATGTGGCTTTCGGCTTTGAGTTTCGGACTAGTACCATGGTCGGATACTCCTGCATCTCTTGACCTATATCGAACTCTCTGAACTAATTGCTTACTGATTACCGAGGTAGCGTTAGCGTGGCTCTGACCTTCATTCAGCCCCCTAATGCCAATACTCTGAAAGTTTGTGGCGCATACCTAATCAAGTATTATACCCCATCAGCCTATCTTTTTGATCTGCTGTAAGGAGATTATTTGCAATGCGTGCTATTCAAAGCACGATTTGACTAGTGGTGACAGATGGACGATCCTTCTGATCCTTGCCCCTTCCATATTACAAACTGAATCTAGTCTTTTCCCCCTTGTTAGCGTGTTCTATACCTACCTATGTCGGTATATATATTAGACTCCTAGAACAATATTTAGATTAGTTCGATCATCTCAAACAGTTCCAAAGTTGGCACACAAGTACCTGAAACTAATCAAGCCTAAATTCCACGTGGGAAGGTAGGTATGGGGTTTGGATCCTTACCAACTTGATAAGGACCCAACCAGTATGGTGGATATAGATGAGTTTAATGTAATTAAACCCAAATCCAAAGGCTTTTGCCATGTGGCCACGCATGGGCCATGGGCTTCCTCCCGTGTCCCTCTCCGTCCGGGACCTAGACCGGAACTTGAAGCCGGGACTTGAAGTCTGGACTTGAAGCCGGGACATTAATTACATGAAGTTTGGAATTACCATGGATACCAGAGCCTAAACACTTTTATTACTATCTACATACAATGGCATACGGAGGATATGTGAAGAAGTATGATATTCAAGTAAGAGTTACCCCAGTTCATGTACGGTTACCTCCAGTTAATGTACGGTCAAAGCTTCTCTAAAATGAGACCTATGTCGATCCCGTAAACTAGAGGGGACAAAAAGACTAGTCAGATAAGCCCGTCAAATTCCAAATACAAAATACCAAATACAGTAATCGGGACGTCCCGAACCGTAAAAAGACAGAAACCGTCACAGTACCAATCCGATCCATACGGACTTCTCCGTTAAGTGTAAAGATAATGGAAGAACTCATCCAAATAGATCACGTCATTGACTCTCTATCCACTACCATAGAGACTTTCGGAATTATGTTCCAAAGTTATTCCTATATATAGAAGAAAGGGAAAAAAAAATCGGAAATGTAACTATAAAGTATCTAGAACACAAGAGCCCAGACTTCCCCTTTTCCTTTCTTTTTCTTCGAAAGAGGATACCGTCCGAAGTATAATTTCAGATTCAGGTCTCAAATCCAATGTTCGCGCGTGGCAAAGCTCTGGCGCTAGAAACCTTCTAGAATGATTCTAGAAGACGCTAAGAGTTGGAGTCTCGCCCCACCACTCTGGGCGCAAATTAGCGATCCTTTAATTCTTACCAATCAATTTCTCAGGGTGGATTCTCAGCTTTTTGGTACTCTGCTCCGTACAAAGCTGAGACAGAGGGATCAATATGGAAAATAAGGATCGGTTCCTGAAACCCATATTTGAGACGGACTCTTGGCAGTGGGTATGAAGCTTTGCTGGTAACCTTTAGCCATGTGTTTTGAAAAACAATTTAATGTTAATGTAACGTTATAATGAAGAAAAATCATCTACTCGTGGAATAATGATCCTTTGAATGCACCTAGGTTAAGTAGGTAATTAGCCTCTATTCACCCTCCTTTGCCACGTAGCTCTGTATAATACCTTGATTTTGAAACCAACTCCACAAATTTCATGACACGGCTGGGGACCACACTTGTGGACGGGATAGAGAAATCAAAGAGGACCCCTTTCCTTCCCGAGGTCTTCCACGTGGAAGATCTACCTAAATTTGACAGGTTCTATTTTGGGGAGATTAAATAAGGACGAAAAGACCAAAAGGCCGAAAAAAGATATTATGAACGTTACTGTCTAGTGGCGCCCATCTTGATTTCTAGTGACTTGCATAAGAACCGAAGTGGATCTTGCCCATGTAGCTTTTTAAAGAATGTTAATTTTGGGACATTGAGTGTATACACGGAAGGTACTCGGTAGTGAGAATATCGAAATACCGTTAAATTCCGCGGAGGTAGTTTACTTGGTCTGTTTCTCCGCCCCGGGCACTTTCAGGGGTGGCACTGGTTATCACGTCCTTTGGTCATTTTGAACTTCGGATCATATTGGGTCGTTTGTTAGAAATGAATCCGTGTTTCGTAACCTGCAGGTCTCATGCATGCTGACTCTCTCGATTGAGAATAGTCGCCTGTCACTTGTTTGGGGGCCAGAAAGCTTGGAAACCCAGGCTTACCTGTTTTCTCCATTTTATCTACATTCCTCCGTTATTTCGTACACTTTGTACGGAGTACACACTGGGGATTATCACTGCTACGAGTATCTGCTGATTTTTGGTTTCATGCCCTTGGCAAAATAGTCAAACATCATACGGTCCACTCTCCGCCATTTAGGCTGTATAGGGTATAGGATTTGCAAGATCGGGATAATTTCCGCTCTGTGTAGCCTAAACGCTTGCAAATATACATAATCATAAGCATAGCTACTTTCTTGCTGTGATAGTCGCAGTTATGCATTCATAAAATGGATGGACGTCCTTAGTAGTCTTGGGTCTAACAGGGGTAGCGGCTGCTTAGTATGAAGGCGATCACCGTTTTCCTTGCACAGGCCCACAGACTACACCAACACACCCTGATCGACGTCTTGACTACTGCAGGACAGCGGAGAGGGAGTTAGCACTTGGGTGACGGCTTGGCAATTGGTACATATATATAGATTCTCGGACCAAATGAGCAAATGCACTTGGGCTACGGGCTCGCTATCAATTGCTATGGAAGTGTACGTGCGCATTCAATTTAGCACTTTTGATCCTGAATTATATACGTCTGTGTGTAAGTAGTCTTGGTCTTCTACTACGAACTGCTAAGCCCAATTCTGCAACAGAACTAAACAACTTGGGAACAGATCCATAATAATTCCGGTCGATATGCCATATTCATCTCTCCTCCGCACTCTGTTCAAGTTCAGTTTCCGAATTTTCGGTAGTAAATCCCTCAGCAGAGAAGGAGCTGCACGACAGTATCCACTTATACATTATATTACGAATCACCCATCTCCAGGGCTATTCGTCCATCCGTATGTACGTAAATAGCGACTGCGTACTCTCTGAAAGGAAAGCGCAACCATGAACGCCTGTATACTCCATACCTAGATAATGAAGCTCCATCTCCAGCTCTTTATAATGAGTATGGTGTAGATAAAAGAGGCTCATCTGAAACTTGCAAGTGGGGTTTATATTAAAGGAGACCTAGTTCAAACTAATCAGCACGGATCAGATTGTACTTGTATGCCGACTTCGGGACCGGCCTCGGATTCTTGAACATTTAGAGCGTGGAGTACTCTAGTCTACTATTAAGGGATAGTGGATAATCCATTCATGCTTCAAACATAATCCTGCCAAGGTGCCCACAGGTGGTCTTGAATATAGCAAATCTTCGACTTTAAACTTATCCCCTATAGTGGTTCACCCCTCCCGAGTGTTCCACAGCATAATAGATACTTCTAGGCAGAAACCAAAGCTGCAAAATCATCAGGAGGTGGACCTTTCAAGCTCTTAATAAAGAAGGATCAGCGATATCAAGGCATTTATTTTTCTCCCACATCCCGAGGTCTGGAAGGCAGAGGTGGCACTGGCCATCGCCGAAGGCATATACTACCTATCTATCTCCCGTCGTCTCATGGTCCGTTCTAAGACCTTCTCCCTTCAGGGCTAGGTAAATTACATAAGTTTAACTAGCTAATCTAAGAGGGCGGGGGGAGTCCTGATTCTTGTCGTTCCAAGTCATTAATGGAGTGTACTCCGTGAATACCATCTTGACTATCATTCTCTCGGATATTAAGCTGCCGCTAGGCTTCCAGGAGGGCTTCAGGAGAGCTAGACTCATCCTTGAAATATGATGAAAGGGTTGCTAGAGCTATTCCATAGAATTGTCGGCTCCGAGGCACCACCTTGACACTTTACCTTGTAGCTTGTCATATTTGATATGATTAGAGCAATACCAGGATAGATAGTAAATACTAGTTTCATGAGAAACCTTGGAAAGACAATATGATCTACATTCGGTACGTAGGTACGGAGTACAATCAGCCGAATTGAAGATTCACAACAGCCTATGTACCTAACCCCTGTCCTATCACCCGAAAGCCCCCTTCCATTCAAGAAACGGTCTAGGCATCAGTGGAGAAGACCAGATTAATAAGAAAAAAGCAGGAAGCTACCATGCAAGAAGTGCAGAAGTGTGGATTCCTGCAGCTAGTCGTTCTAGGTAGTTGATACAAAGGTTACCTACTCCCTATCCGGGTTAATATCCACAGGAGCTAAATTCTGAATAGTTGTTTGGCTGTTTCTTCTACCACGTTGCTCCACGCTCAAACATCTTCCCACCTGCAACTGCATGTTATTTCGTAGTCTCGATGCAACTGGAACTCGATAAACCAATGACTTGGAGCTGTTCCGCGATCCCATACATATACTCTGCATACCTGGGCAATTAGAGTCTGCAGTAACTAGCTGCGTAGGTAACCAAAGGACTTCTTCTTTCCAAGGTTCACTTCTTTAGTTGATCAAGACTGAAGCTAGTCCCGGAGATCTGGGATAATGAACTAGACGGACTTTTCTTAATACCTATGACCTCAGAAGTTGCATATCCTAACAAGGTGTCCCCGAGGCCCGATTTTCAATCCCGAGGTCCACGGGTCTCCTGTAGGGAGTAGTATGCTCATCGGCGGATCCGCAGACTACAAGGCTACCTAAATACTTAAATACCTATGTACATATGTACCTATGTACCTATGTACCTATGTACCCAGGGCTAGGTATCAGGTAGATCACAACAGCCCCTGGTTGCCACCCTCCTGCTTTTGGATAAGAGTTTGAGAGACATGCCATATAGCATGATGTCCCTTTTGACACATGGCGAGAAAACATTCTAGCCAATGAACAGTAACTCCTTTCCATGTTGTGATTTTAGTTGTGTAACGACACCTCACTTTTTTTTTCTCATAATCCCTATTGATCAGAATAGATTAACTCCATATCCATAGCCTAAATGGCCGTACATGTACGGTTTCACTTGGATACATAGGCAGAGAACCTTCTTGCGCATTAGGTATTGGAGACGTTCCTTTCCAGGCTAAGTGCCGAGTTCTATCTAGCCTTGAACATAAGATACCAGACTGGAAGTCATGTGCTGCACATGTGTGTCACCTTATTTGTTTGCCAAAATCTTGAAATCCTCGCTTTTACCATGTGGCCCATCTGCACATGTGTACCACGCAGTAGATCCTTACCCCCGCACTCTACTTTCATATACCTAGCCCCTTTCAAGGTTCTACGCCACAATCACAGTCTATCCTACAAACAGCTTGACATTGCTCCATCCAATCCTCGGAGTTCTTGGCATGCTAAACCGCATGTTAACACGGCAAGCTGCAGGACGTGAGACAAGGGTGGCATAGATCATCGATTCCTAAACAAGTATAACTTAAAGTTACTCCATATGCGTTCAACAATATCGAAGGAGTACGGAGTAGATCGTCATGGTTCCATTACTATTCTGCACGGGCATCTAAGGTTACTTACATACGAAGGCCGCCTGCCTAGTGATTATCGGGATTGACTGCAGGGTGCGTAGAAGCAAACATCCGACATCGAAAGCCGGTTACAGACTCTTAGGTAACTTTTTATTTCAACTTGTCTAGCCCTGGCTTATGCTCGAAGCTTAAACCGATGGCGGGGACGTGCTTTCCCTGATGTACCTTATGTCATTTGTGATCTGTCAAGTTTCATGCCTAGGTAGCATCGAGTGGAAGAAGAAAGAAATTATACCAGGTCATCGGTACTGCCCAGATGTTGGTATGCATGATATTTTTTGGTTTAGATAATGAATGAGGCTAATATTCTACCAAGGAATATGATAAAGGATGTGATATAGAAAAGGATATAGGATATATGAGTAGGATCAACTGTCGCGCCACCACTGTCCTAGTGAAGTACTCGAGCCAGCCATCTCAACGACTTCCTCGAAGCTCATCTCCACCCGGAACATTTGCCCATCAGCAGTACCATTTCCACTACCAACTGGGGTGACCAATCCCCATATCACCAACTTCTCCCACGATTCCCTTGCCACGTCTCGGCCCCAGATACGACCGGGGGTTGCAGCCGCACCAGACACCGAAGCAGATGTCTTGGCGGATGTGAGAAGCCGCACATACTCTGCATAGGCGGCTGGGAAAGAAAGTGCCAGGGGAGATAGGCTCTGGGACTGAACGCCATCGTGGCCTGGGTCGAATAGAGCTGCGAGGCGTGTTGCTGCGAGTAACAGAGCCAGTGGTAGTGATGAGGGGCTGGATGATGAGCCGCTAGATGTTGAGAACGGAAGCGGAGCTGGGTCGGGGCATGCGAGAGTTTGGGTGACAAAGCTCTTTGGAGTAGGAATCTGGAATGCCGCTGTGTCGGATTCCTGGCTGCTGAGGTAGAGTTCGCCAACGGGGATTAAGGCACTCGTGAGAAATTCCTTGACAGATTTGGTCTGGTTGAAGATTTTCCTCAGATAGTATTGGAAATCTTTGTCATTCCACAAATGCTGAAGGAGCAAAATGATTAGTTAGGCCGTGTAAAATCAAGGTGGATGGAGGCTGTTTTACCTTTAGGTATAGGTTCCACCCTTGAAGCAGCGTTTTCCAGCCATTTGTTTGCAAAATAGTAGTCTCATAGCCAATTGATTCTGCAATCTCTAAAGCCTCGCCATCCTCCAGACCCAGGCTCGCCATACAAATGTCCGAGAATATCTCGAAAGTTCTAGGAAGTGGGACAAATTCATATCGGTGACTAAAACGACTCTTGACACGCTTCTCTAGCATCTCAGTGACATCAACTTTGGTGGTGAGTCCAATCACGGCGATTGGAGCCTTCCGTGACTGAGCAATATCGAAAAGATTATACAATAAAGTCTGTCGCGGGTGGGTGACAAATAGATCAAATTCATCCAGAAGAATGACGATGGACTTGGCTGCAACCGAGTCTTTACTCCCAGACGCCCCAAACAACTCCTCTGGGTGGGATAGCAGCGCCAACAGAGTTGCCATCGTATCGGCATAGGAACTGACCTTTGCAGCGTCATCTTCAGTATGGGTCTCACGACCAAGTTGACGCCACATCTCCCGTAGAGCCAAACGGTCATCTGTGTGGAGGAAGCCGTTCAAACGGACAACATGGAATTCACTGCCATGTTGTTTTGAAATTGACGAGATAATCGTTTCCACCATTGCCGTTTTCCCGCTACCCCGAGAACCAAGAAGAAGCATTGAGTTACCTTCTCCCAATGTGACCGTTTGCTCGATCAAGTGGTTGACTTTTTTATATTCGTTCTCGAGGCCTTTGAGAGGGATCTGTCGTTTCCCCGACAATTTTTGGAGAACAATGTTTGACAGAGTGCGCATTTCATTCTGCAAGCCACCATTGCAAATATTTTGCAAGGTTTCGACGTATTCTGGGAGTGGCTCTGTAATCAAAGCATCCTCCTGCACGCCCGTTTGATACTTTTGAAGGGTTTCCTGCAGCTGGAGATCAACAAGTTCATCGAGACCATCGTCATCCTCCGGCGAAGGCGATTGATCCTGAGCCTTTTCTTTAGTGCGCACATTACTTGATCTAGGTTTCACGGTGCTCCTCTTAGATCTTGTTCTTGCAATTGAGGCCGTGGGTTGCGGTGACTGATCATCAATTTCCATATCACCTTCAATAGAATCCCCTTGGGGCGTTTTCACTGTTCTCGTTGCACGTGTATTTCGGGGTGTAGCAGCCGCTCTCCGACTCAGCATCGGAGTTAGAACCTCGTCTTCAAACCTTTTAGGTGCTTTACGCTGCCGTACACTGGACCGCTTCTTCGCAACTTGGGCTTCCGCGCGTCGGGCCTCGTTTGTGTCGTCCTGGTCTAGTGTGTTTATTCCTTTCGCAATTCGACGTCGCGATGGTTTTTCCTTAGGACCACTATGATCTTGATCTTCGGAATCGGGTTGGGCTTCTGGAGATGATGTTATCGAGTAGATATCCCCGCCGTTTTCCATTTCAATGTCTCCATCTTCATCTTTGGTAGGCTCCTCGAAAACACGTCTCCGTTTTGAGAAATGGGGGCTCATGGTTGTATTTAGATTCTATAATCGATAGAATATAGATGGACCGTGTGTGGAAAAGTGATGCGATGAGCCTAGGATCTCGAACAAAGCTTGTGTTGTATAGAAGGCTATTCTCGATCAAGGTTGTGTAGTCGTAAGCGATCTATTCTGGGACGCGCATTGAACGATTATATCGGAAGAAGGTAGGAACTCAAGTATTCCAAATGTTTCAAGTTTACCTTTCCAGGTTTGGTCGAGCGACTATAATTGTAGAGCAACTATTGATGTTCCGCAACAAATGTCCTCGATCTTGTTCGCCTGAGGCCAACACCGGACGCGAAGTCAGGTGATCGTTAGGAAATAAGTTACGATTTGAAAGATCTTGGTAAAATACAAGGTTGATCTGATAATACTGGCGTATTGATGATATTCGCCGGCCTTCTAAATTGAGGGATAATAGGCAAAATACTTATATAGTTGCTGGAAACTTAGTAAAGCGATTATAAATTACAGCAAGTATTCGACATGGAAAGCAATGAGACTTAGTACAAAAGATTAAAAACACCAAATCACTGATTTCAATGTTTCCATCTCAAAGCTGATAATCTCTTGTCGGTCATCATCCATCCGTGCCGAGGTTCGTCAACTGAGCTATGCGGGGGTGAAGAACAATCAAACACCTTCATATTGTTCGCGAGGGTCTTCTTTCCATACTACCTCACATATACAACATTCACAATGGCAGAAAACGCCATAAGCCGACCAGCACGAGAATTGGACGAGTTCGAGGATTTCGTTTACGAGAAAATAGGCCGAGCGGGCATGGGCCTGGGCAACAAACAGGTAAGAGCACATATTAAAATCGCCGTTCTTGAATGTAACCAACCATTAATCTTACACACAGCATTGGGACTTCAATGCGCGCAGTTGCAACCTGCGCTTTGAATCTGCAACCCGGGGACCCCCAGCCAAAGTCTCATTTCTTCTCAATATTATTCCGGAACTGAGCAACCCCATGGACAACTTGCATGGCGGATGTGCAGCAACCTTAATTGATGTCTTGTCAACTTCGATTCTTCTGGCTATGTCAAAACCTGGCAGATTTGCGTTGGGTGGCGTGAGTCGCAATCTCAAGACGACCTATATTCGGCCTGTGCCAACCGGGTCGGAGGCTCGGATTGTATGTGAGGTGATCCATATTGGCAAAAGGCTGGCGCTTCTCAGGGCAGAGATACAGAGAGCAGATACAGGAGATATCTGTGTGGTTGGCGAGCATGAGAAGGCAAATACGGATCCCGAAGTCAACCAAAAGATCTGACTACGGCGATTCTTCCAAGTCTCTAGCATGCATTCTAAGGTTATTAGAGCAATGTACTTTCCTGTATTGATATCGTTACGTTGCGAGCTTCGTGGTTACAGAATAAGATGAAAGGACAGACATGTACTCTGTACGTATATATTTGCGCCAGTCACTTGATTGACCGAACGGAGCATTTAATAGGAGACTGAGAGAAAAACAAAAAAGAACAAGGAAAGTCAATCATGTTCAAAGAACTATGGTCAAAACGGCTGGAAAAGATTCTGCTATCGATTTAAATTAAAGAATCGAACCATTTTTACTCCTGAGCAAGCGACTGGCCCTCTCGGAGACCCTCAACAACCAACTCCTCGCCAGTGGCCCGGCGGTACACATCTCGCACATCAACTAGAGCACAGAACGATTAGTTAAATAAATAAAAATTAGAAAGGCAGCACATACTGGTCGTGGTCTCAAAGTGAGATGTGGCATCGTAGCTTTTCGAGATGAAGACATTGTCCTTCTCGCCGTCCTCGAGGGGCTCGTAGAGCGGGATCGGGGGTCCCATGAATTTCTCCTCGATCTGGCCCAGACGCTCAAATCCGGCCTCAAGCTCCAGGTGGTTGTTGGTATCGTTCTCGGCGATTGTCGAGACAATGGCGATGTAGTAACCCTTGGGGCAGACGTTGTGTGCAGACGAGACCATTGCGATGTAGATATCTACTTATGTTAGTGTCATTTCATTTGTTAGAAATCTATTTTACTCACCGTGCTTGCGACCAATTTGAGACTGGGGAATTATCAGCTGCAGTGAATCGCTGCCATCGGTCTTGTCGATGGGGTGCTTCAAGATACAGATAGCCTTGAGCAAGTATCCAGAAACCTTGACATTTCCGGGGAAGTAAGAAGGATCGGCAATGATCTTCTTGGTCTTGGTCTCAAACTTCATTTCAGTCGTGTTTTCATGGGGATCCTTCATGGTAGCCTTGATACCAGAGATCTTTCCACCCTCGTAGAGGAACTCGTCGACATCGGTATTAAGCATGTAGGTACCGCCGTAGATAGCAGACAGGCGAGCGAAGCCCTGGGGAAGCTCTCCCAAACCGTAAAGGGGGTAGATGTAAGGAGACTTGCCGTAGCGGGCCATAGAGTTGACATAGAGACGGATACGGTTAATAGCGTCGATAGCCATGCCGGGCTGGGAGATGTAGCTGTCCTCGGGGTAGAGGGCCATGGAGTGACCAACGAAATCACGAGTGTTATCTTCGAGGCCGAAATTGTCATAAACCTCCTTCATGGTGCAGCTGACAACGGCGAGACCTATGTTATGTCAGAGGTTTTATTCAGTTGTAGGGTATGGACGGCGATTACGAACCCTGGTGGGTAGCAGGGTCATCCTCCTTGAACTCGCCAACCCATTCGAGGAATTTCTTGGCTCTACGCTTCTCAAAAAGGCCCATAAGAGAGGAACGGAGGGCTTCACCAGCGTCTGAGGGCACCTTGGCGACGGTCGCCTTAGCACCCTTGCCTTGCTGCACATAGCTGCCAGCGATCTGCTTGAACTCGAGGTATCTAGTGACATCGGTGGACACCAAGATATTTGTCAACTCTCCGTTGGCCATCAACAGCTTGGGAACCAGATCAATGTTCCAGTCATTGACTCGTCCGTATTTCTTCCAAGGCTCCTCGCCGGGGGCAACATTTCCGTACTTCTTGAACAGCTGCAGAGAAGATCAGGTCAGTATGTAAGCACAATCGTCAGGGCAGTAACCGTACAGTTTCGATGTTGACGGAGGCAGCCTCTCTGAATCAATTATTAGCCATTTGTACGCGCGTAGCGGGGGGAGGAGCTGGGAGCTGGGAATTCCGTGACGTACCCTCCATAGTGGTCGTTGCGGTCGATGTGCAGGACTTTGTTACCCTTGACACTCAGGACACTGATGAACAGTCAGTACAATTTCTCATCAGTGAATGTGCCTAAGAGTCAAGCTTACCCAGACAACACACACTCGGTCAAGCCTTTTAGAAGCTGGTCAGTATTGTAGAATCGCGGGGTAGCAAGCAAAACATACCAGTGCCGAGCACAACGACATCGTACTCTGGGGCAATCTCATCCATGATGGGTAAAGTATTAAAGGTTATTGAAGAGGTAGATACAAAGGGTAAGTCAAAAGACGGAAAAAGGGAAGAAGAAGGTTCTCCTGGTAGCTTGTCCCCGCGGATCAACGAGCGGTAAAGAAGGGGAGACTATTTGACGGCTCCGACACTAGTGACTTCTTTTTGACCTTAATTGGTTTCTTTTCATTTTTCTAGTTAAAACCCCTGATTTTGAATTTAGGTAGACACCAGTTCTATATCTTTGATTATCCCTTTTTTCCATAGAGCCCCTTTTACCTCAGGTAAAAGGGTTAGTTACGGACGGGATCCCATAGAGTAGGTCTAGCCTTCAGCTGTCAACAGAATAACTTTTGATCGAAAGTTGTCTTATTTTACAAGTCGAGAATAAACAGAAACATACAATTCAAACTATTCCTACATATCGTGGGCCGATTCCAACGATTTCAACTACACTTATTTGGACTCGGACTCCTCCACGAACTCCTCCACGAACGATGATGGTCGGGCCCCTTTCTTAAACAGACGTTCAGCCTCCTCCCAAGCATACCAGCGCTCACGTAAAACATGCTTGATGCTGCTCTGGGTGCTGCGGATCTAGAGAAACAGAGGCTTTGTTAGCATACAATAGAACCGAGGAAGGGGTAAGATATAAAGCAAGTGTGTAAAGGGACATGTATCTAATGCCATGATAAAGACATTTCAATATATTGGACATTTGATGGTATTGGAGGAGGGGGTGTGTATGAGTTGTAGTGATATTTCATCACTGTAAAGACATTCAACAAACTTACCGCATCGTCCCGCAAGCCAGCTTCGTGCTCTCCGTATCCAATCTTCAGGCGATCTCTCTCCATGTTTGTGCTGGCAATGCGGTTGCGCTCTTTGCAACAGACCCACCACAGCTTTTGGAGATCGTCCCAGCTCTTCCCACGAAGCTCTTGGATACCCCATGGACGGCCTAGTTTCACGATCAGTACATATATAATAGGGGGTAATCAGCTGGTATGGAGTCGGAATCCACTCACCGAAGTTCATATCGGTCTCGGGATTACCCAGTGCCTCGTGGGTCGGGGGGAAGAAGGCCCATAGTCCGTGATTGGGGGTTTGGGGTCGCGGCTGAGCTTTCTCGGGAGAGACGGGTTTGGGCAATGGGTATTTGGAGACAGTGAGCTTGAATCTCGGACCAGTGCGGTGAATGGCTGACACGCCACGGGTTCTGTTCATATCTCGTCCAGCGGCCACTGGACTCGTAGAGAAGCTTGCGATTTGGGTGGATCGGGCAATCGAGAAGTGAAGAGACGGGGCCAAGTATGGCGGGGGTAGCTCGGCGAGAGCAAGACCCCCGTATTGGGCCAGACGAGTGAGAGATGGTCGATGCATTGAGGCGCTTGAATTGGGGATTCAATCCAGGTCGGGTTGACGGCTTCCTTTTTTTCGTTCAGAACGGACAATTGTCACGTGACTGGAGTCTCGCGGCAACCAAGTAGTTCCCGAAGTCTTAACTGTTGTCCCTGCTACCATATTTCTTAAGCAAGTCAGCATTTTTCAAATCCCATTATTTCAGATTCAAACAGCTTTGTTTCAAATTGTTCGTGAGTCTTTTACTTCATCTCACTACAGGCTATTCCAGTAACACTGTTCAGCATGGCCTGTGCACGTCATCCGCGCGTCTAATCATCCAATCGATCCACTCCACCTCCAGAGTATTGCCGCATCAAGTCGAAGCCTGTTCATCTGACAGATTCACTCTTGTTGTGATATTGATATTTTGCCTCTGATAAAGCTCAGATCCTGTCTGAGATTGAGTTCTTGCCATCTTTAACAACCATTCAACTATGAATAGACCAGGTTCGTCGATTTCTTTATACCCCTCCAAGTCCTCATCCGCCCTACCACCAGCGATTGTGTTTGATTCCAAGTGGTACTTCCGAAATGGGAGTGTGTTTGGATAACGAACATGCTCCTTGACTCAAGAATACCCCGGGTCCATATTTTGGTGGTGCGGCAGATGGCTTCTCAATTAGCGACCGAGGCACATTTTGGGATTCAGGGTATTCCTCTACTGCCCTAGAATACATGAAGTTGGTCATGAGACACAAAGATGATGCTAACTCTCTCATTCTTTGCATTAGGACCCGGTCCACAGCCGCTACGAGGCATGTCCGGATTCCCCGCTCAACAGCCAGCTCAGGCTCGGAATGCGATATTGACATCTGCGCGATTACCAAATGGAAAGCTAGGTATAACTACCTTTTTCCTTGACAATTGAATCGGTTTTTCGGGAGAGACATGGCTGGTGCTAACAATGAGTTTGCGGTCTAGGTGGCGCTGCTAATTGGAACTTGAACCTTCCCGGAACTTCTACTTTACAAAACACTCAACAACGAACAATGGGAACCATGGGAAGCTTTGCGCAAAGTCTTGGTGGCTCCCAACCCGCAACATCACTAGATCTCTCGTAAGTTATGCTATATTCACGTGATTATTCACGTCGTTCATTCTGATTTGTTCAGTTGAACTATCTCGAGGACTGACATCGATCTCTATTAGTGAATTCCCTTCCCTTTCAGGCGCAGCACAGCAATCACAATCCCAAAATCCAGGACAACTTGTGTGGGCCAATGCTAGCCAACGAGCTGCGCAGCACACTCCGGTTCAAAGACAGCAACACCCGGCCACAACACAAGCCCCCTCTCGAACCTCCCAAGGTCACGATGACATGTTCCCTTCAGGCTCACAGTTTGCCAATCGACTTGATGATTTCAGAAATGGTGCCCAAGGCATCAGCGGCCAGCTAGCGGCGGGTAGCCAGCCCCAGACAGGCAATATCGACGAGTTTCCCCCTTTGGGTCGTAATGTTGCCGCTGAGCTTGGACAGGATCGCCGGACATCCATATTGCAAGGTACTGGGTTTGGAAGCTACAATTCGGGTATGTTTGCATCGCTATCCAGAATTGAATTGAAGCTAAACGCCATAGGTATAGGAACTTCACGTTCACCTGTGAGTCAAGGCCCTAACGGAGGTTTGAGCCAAGAAAAAGAAGTAAGAGCAGAAACGATCTTATTGCATGCATCATACTGAATAAAGTCACAGGACTTGAGCAGCACCCTGATGTCAGGTCAACGCAACTTTAGCGACTCACAATTGCAGCAACGACAACAGACAAGCGGACAAGATATTTCCGCGGTAACTGGGCAAAGTGCAGAGCAACCGCCTTTAGCTCAAATGAGTGAACTTGACCGATTCGGTCTGGCTGGACTTTTGCGCCAGATCCACAGCGAAAGCCCTGATGTTGCCAGTCTCGCAGTAGGCCAGGATCTTATGACACTTGGCCTAGACTTGAATCAGCCTGAGTAATTTCGTCCTTTCCATCTTAATTCTTTGGCATCTGCTAACGTTCTCATTTGATATAGACCTCTGCATACCACCTTTGCGTCACCATTCGTTTCCTCAACGTCTCTCGTACCTCTAGAGCAGGACTTTTCCCTGCCCGCTTGCTACAATGTCGCCAATATTCAACCTCTCCAGTCACGAATCCCCGGTTTTGCCGACGAGACATTGTTCTACATTTTCTACAGTATGCCTCGGGATATTATTCAGGAACTGGTCGCAGAAGAGTTGATGGGACGCAAATGGCGTTATCACAAGCTGGAGCGCTGCTGGTTGACTCGCGACGAGACATATCCTGGCCCAGTGGACGTGGAACGGGGCGTGAGTGAGCGTGGAGTTTACCTTCTCTGGGACCCCACCACCTGGAAAAAGATTCGTGTATCTCTCCCATTTCTCTCAAATTTGATTCTGATTCAGATGCTGACCATTTGTCTTGCAGCGCGAATTTTGCCTTCGCTACGATGATTTGGACAACCGCCTTGATCTGGGTCGAGGTCTTAGTCGACCGGTTGCCTCAACACAGTCATAAAAATGACATGAATTAGCTCACGCCATAATGTGGTTGATGCGCACCGGCGTTTGGTTCTTGACTTTCTGCAATATGTGGTCGATACAACATTGCTGTTTGGGGGGTGGCGCCTTGATGTAACAGGGATCTAAATGGGCTTAATGGGAAGCCCTAACATGACTTTTCAATCAATGGCAATGACCTCGGGATGATTGTACCAGTAATAGACTTCGTAATGAAGATCTAGCTCTACCTTCCAACTCAACTTTACCGGGGCATGAAGTGCTTCTAAAGACGGCCTTGAATAAGGTCTATTTCCCTCTTTAGACAATATATTGAAAAAATCTTCCAAGCTCGATTTTCATAAAAGAGAGACTTCCAACGTTGAAAGGTTGCTAAGATGAAATAAATCCTCCAGGGCTACACCACCCAAATAAATCGTCCTCGGGTCCGACTGCCTAGCTATCGAAGCACAACTTCTCACATATCAGAACAATCCATTGACTTGTACAGGTTCGCTTGGAGAGTCGGAGTTGGCCGAAGCCCATGCTAGCAATATCTGCGAGGTCATCACAACCTTGGAAATCCTTCTTCAATAGATTTATGGACTTCTTTAGACAGGTTATTTCTGTTATGACAATTTTCGAGGCGGATCCATGGATGCAAGCATCTAGGCATCAGGATCAGAGTTACTTGTACCTAGATAATCAGAGAGGGATTTAAAAAGTAGGGAGTCGTACTAAGTCAACATCCATAGATTAGAATTACCTGAACCTATATAAACCTGAGGGATCTCCCCAAGATTTCCAATACCAAGGAATAAATCACCCACCTACGAAGGGCATTGGTAGGTAGCGATTCCAGGAATTCGATTAGAGGTGGCGACACAGCCTCGATTGTTGCGAGTAAGATATCAAAGGACGAGAGATTGATCGCAGAAGCACGATGGTCAGGGAAATATCGAAGGAAAAAGGGAACTTTGAAGTCAGAGCTCTGTTGCTTTGGTGAGCGGATGCAGGCCCAGATGATGGTGAAAATTCTTGAATCTCACAGGCAGCAGTTCTCCGAGAATAAAATCTATATCTCAGGCTAAGAGCGATAGCTGTTGGTAATTTCTCTTGTAACATATGGAAACACAAATTATTGACGAGGGTCTACAGTGCGGCCAAGTTGCTGGCGCCGAATTTGTTACCCAGTCTGCAGTCTGCAAACTATAGAGGGTAGAGTCCATGTCGGGATGAGAAGTCATGATAGAACTCCCTCAAGTTTCCTGTTGTAGCACCCGTGGACTTGTATTTGAACTTCTTCATCTGGTTTTTGGAGATCTTCTACACACTTCATTAAAGTTCTTTTCTTGTGAAAGATAGAAGCAAAATGAAGGAAATGGAGAGAGACACATGTAGGAAGTCCTCACGTTTTGGGTAGATCGGCAATTCAGATCATGCTGCCTTATCGAGGTTTGGGCGATGAATGGGCCAATCGATCAGGAATGGTGGGATGATCACTAATGGGTTTCGTTCCATAACCTTAGAATGGAGATAATTATACGAAATGTATCGCGATCGTAGTCTTGTACCCACTGGCGATTCCTGAGAGAGAATGATAACGTTGATGAGGATAGTCCATTGGAGATATAGGGAATATATGGGAGAGAATAATGAAGGATGTAGAAATAGAAGTTTTACTGCATTTCCAAAGTTATATACCTACATTAGCACAGAGATGAGAATGGAAGCCATAGAGTGAAGTGAACTTGGAACCTGGGGAATGAAGTAAATTATCCCGGTAAAATGGCACTTGGGAAACGAAGTGAAGTAACTGCCCAGGCAGGTGATATTTTGAAAAGCTCCAAGGTTGAGAGACCTGGAAGATCTCCCTTTCTCCGTACCATGTTGACCATTCACCCAATACATGGTAACGGCTTCACCAGCGCAGTTCCCTAGTCGAAGGTGCAGGTCATATGGGATAAGGTCACGTTTCTTCGTCATCCATCCTGGTGCATGGGCTTGACGCATATCAATGAAGATCCGAGTTTACGTTACGGTTGAAAATCATTAACCTACCACTCCGGTGTGGTTTGCTGGCCAGGGAGTAAAATTCCTGAACTCTCAAGACCTGCCCAACTGAGTCATGGCACGACTTGATGTGGTCCTCCAAAAATGGGGTTACATCCAGCATCAAAAAGAGGAGGGTTCTTAAGCAATTGTGTTTTCAGGTACATAACGTCATATTTTCGCGCATTATCATATAGATGGTTCCATAACTCAGTTGGTTAGAGTGTGGTGCTAATAACGCCAAAGTCGAGGGTTCGACCCCCTCTGGGACCATGTATCTTTTTTTTAACTTTTATTCCACTACCCGTTAGCATATAAAAATGACCAAATGCAAAAATTTCAATTTCTCACACCTTCAATTGATCATCAAGCTCTACCACGATGTCTTTAGATAATAAGGATCAGAATGAATTTTTGAGGGTATCAGCGTTAGAACAGAATTTCTTAAATTGCGCACAAAACACAAGATCATCACATATTTTATCCCTAAAACAGATCCATATTTACATACCTCCTGATGTTTAAACATCAATTGTATAGCTTAGTCAGTTACTGTTACATCAGGGAAGCAATGAGCGCTGAGTATGTATTATTGGAAGTTGAAGTATTGTTCCACTAAGCGCGATGCGACGCCTGCCAATCTTACATCCTCGCTGGGCTAGTAACCCAAAACATTCATCGGCTTAATCTGGCCCTCTTGTTCATTCCTCTGGAATAAACTCTGTGCGATGCACCAAGCGCTTGCGAATCTCTTCCTGGGTAGGCTCGCAACTCACAAGATTGATCTGGTGGATCCATTCTCCTTCTGCTTTCTTCTTGTCCTCTCGCAGCTTATGGGGATCTTGGATTCCAGGAGCTGCAGCAACTCGATCGGGCTTCACGCGAACTTTTTGCACGATGGGATACAAGTAGGCAGCGGTTTGCTTGTCGTCGTTATTATTCGACTCGTAGAAGGTGATTGCGTAATCTCTTCCTCTCTTCTCGTCATTGTGTGCTATATCAGCAGTGCTGACAGTTTGCGAAGAAGTAACGTATCTGCGAACACGATCGTAGCGGTGACATTTGTTGCCTTCAGCGTTTTTGTGGGTGTAGAGCGATTCATCTTCACGATTCGGGTTGTTGGAATCCAAGCTAGTACGAAGTCTTTCCACATACTCAGGCTTTTCGGGAAGGTAAAGATCGTAGTCAAATGGAAGAGCACCAGGGTCGGGGTAAGTGTTGGGTCGGGACTTGTGAAGCGCCGCCTTAGACGCATGTTCTTGGCATGCGAGTTCGCTAGGAGCACGTGGTTCGAGTAGAGCTATGTCCATACGCTTGTCCCGCTTTCCATTCAAAGCTGGTGCTGGTGCTTTATCAAATTTGATTTGAATGAATCCACCAATATCGGTGAAGCACGACAAGTCGGGTACGACGGGGAAGAAGCCAACCGGCTTCAATCTTGAGTTCGAGGGGTGTATGGGAGTAGCCCATGCGTCATTCTCGGCTTTCGTGACAGGAAGACCACGAATCTGGCTCTCTGTATCTTCCCCTAGGTGCTTATTTTTCGGGTATGCGAGATCAAATCCTTTCTGGACGAACTTTTTGATGTATTTCGGGTCCTCCAATTGGGGATTTTTTGTTCCTTTCCTGGTCGCCTTAGGCTTTGCTTTGGCGGGAGCGGCTCCGCCACCCCAGTCTTGGCCCTTGGAAGAAACATGCTGTACGCGACGAAGGAAACTGACTTCCAAGTGCTTCGTCGCGGGGTGGCGCAGTTGGTCGAGTGTCATTAGCAGCGGCAAATCGGCAGGATCTATCAAATCAGCGGCGTTCGTTTGGTATTCCTGAGCCATGATAGCTAAAGTCTAGTTAGTGAGCTGCGTTGTGGCGTTTTGAAAGATCAACTTGCCACTCTCATCGCCTAAATGAAGACCCGGGATACCGACGAGGTCAATTGGCATACCACCCTCGGCATCAACATCAATATTTGGCTCCTCATAAGCGGCAAGATCTTCTCCAAACTCTGGCGTAATGAAACGTTCTAGACCCGAGTGGGGAATCTCGAGAAACTTTGGCGGCATGTTGGGAGGAGGAAGGTCATTGCGATAGCGAAGGGATGCAATGTAATCCTGGTGAAAGCCACCAGAAGACTTGGACTCTTTAGATTTGGAAGACATGTTATCTTCAGATTAGGATTAGAAACCCCTTTCGCAATCGTAGCTTTTGTTGGTTGGGTCGATCGGCGATTCAAGTCGTGCTAGGCGCGCTGAGGGGAAGGTCTGAAATGATTATACCTAGTTTAGTAACTGGTGTAAAAAAGATTGGCGAATAGAATCGAACAGATAGAAAATAGAATTTCACTTGGAGAATGAGGATGTGTGAAAGATGTCAGAGAGGTGAGGTGATGACTGTCTGCGCTAATTCCAGCTAATTATTTTGCCTGTATATACCGCCTCCCAATTATAGCCATTTGCACCATGACCACGTGATACAAACGTGACATCAACAGCATTAACTCCGAATCCAATAATCATCCATTAGAGGATCCTGGATCCTTCCAAGATTTCCAAGGTTATTTATAAATAATTTTCGTAGCTCAGACAAGGGCCTACGACTCAATTATTCTAATAGCTGCATAGAAGCTGTACACTTGTAGCTTCCAAGGTTGTTTGGTCTTGATTCGAAAAAAAATGATTTATCCGTCTGTCGGAGGATGATGATCTTGCTACTATATACGCGTTTGGTCGCGTTTTACTCTAAGTCAACTTTACTATGGAATACGAAGACGACCAAGGTTATCCTTTTACCAGCTCATCTATAGCTCCTTCTTCGCCAATCCGATCATCTCCGCCACTCATTGACCCAGGAGAACTTAGTCTGGATGAAATGAAGCTGGATAGTAAGCTCAACACGGGTTTTGAGCCTCTTAAGATGCCCTCTTTTGATGCGAAGACTGATCTACCAGACGGGATTCATATAAGCCCTCTGAGCTTCTTTTTACTATTCTTTACACCTGATATCTTCTTATTACTATCTAAGAATAGTGATAAGTATGCAGCAACTCAGGGTGCTGGAGGACACGCACTGGGGCTGTAAAGCCTGTAAAATTCCCTTATGTAGGCGTGATATAAGGCCTTGTTGGGATCGTTTTCATGCTGTACGCCAGCCTTTAGAGGAGAAAGGTGTAAATAGATAATAAGCTAAGCCTATTTTAGCTTGGCTTCTGCGTGGTAATAATAAAAATGCCGTGTAATTCATGTTTTTGCCAAGGCGCTAATGGTTACTATTTTGATAGTCAAGGGGATAATGTATATTTAATTGGCTAAGTAAACTAGCTCTATTTCAGACTAGTGTCAGGCATTATTAAGGCATTAAGGCATTAAGGCAACTAAAATACACATACAGGACCCATACCCAACCCATACCCATGCACATGTCTACTTAAAATGATATCTAACAGATAATGATAGATCTATCTAGAGTCACAATCACATTGATTGGAGATATACTTAATAGCCACTATGAACTTATTAATATATAAAAGGTATAAAATCAATAAATTTGCTAGAATATACTTGAGAATAACATATGGACCATACTCTACTGGGTCCTAGTAAGAACAACCATCGAAATTTCTTCATCTAAACTCCTCTCCAAAAAAAATTGAATTAGATCGACGTAAAGTGCCGACTAGTACATACCAAGTCTGTAACAGGTTGAATCCTGGTGAACTATCACGTGGTTGTACCACGTGACCCACCAACCGCATACCTCACGATTCCACCCCGAATTGTTCACGTTCTTCAAGGATTTTGTAAATAGCATGTGCCTAGCTAGTTCTGAATTTAAGATTAGCTTTAGCCCTTCACATACAAAATCCTTCCTCTAACGAGAGTAAAACCCACGACCGACGATAAGAAAAGCGCTCTCAGAAAGTATCTGATCGAGCCACATACGACAGACGAACGAATCGCTCTCGGAAAGAATCCGATCGAGCATACCAACGAATACGAAAAGCTCTTAGAAAGAATCTAATTGAGCGTCCTACGAATACGAAATCGCTCTTAGAAAGTATCTAGTTGAGCATCCGACAAACGAATTGAAGACGGAAAGCATCCGATTCAAACACGAGAAGAAAACGAATATCTTCATCATCATGACTGCAAGCGAACCGTCGAGCCCACCCGAGTGGGCCAGGACGTTGATGCAGCACATCAGTCAGACAAGTATTAGTACCGATGAGAGAATTAGAAGACTCGAAGAATTAGTGGTTCGGTCCTAGGAGCGAGCCGCTCCCGAACCACCCACGGAACCACAAGGGATACCAATCGAATCAACCAGCGATAATAACCAGATTCGACGACCTCGCCCTCGTCTCCCCGACCCCGCGATATATGCAGGAAACATCTCTGATTGGCCAACCTGGAGAATCTCGATAGAGAACAAATTGCTAGTAGACGGAGCTGCCATTGGTACCCTACAAGAGCAATTCCTCTATATATTTTCCCGCCTAGAGAAAATGGCCGCCAAGAACACCGGAACGTTTATGAAGACATAACGAAGCGAAGGCAACCTGTATATGCTTCTAGAATATCTTAAGAGGATGTATGGATGTGAAGGGCTAAAGCTAATCTTAAATTCAGAACTAGCTAGGCACATGCTGTTTACAAAATCCTTGAAGAACGTGAACAATTCGGGGTGGAATCGTGAGGTATGCGGTTGGTGGGTCACGTGGTACAACCACGTGATAGTTCACCAGGATTCAACCTGTTACAATACCCCCTCCTATTCTCCTGTTTTCCGGGGTCCATTCGAAGTCGTAATTGGTCCGTATCGTAGTTCAAAGGTGTCGAGAGCTGTGCAGTTTTCCATTGCGTCGATAGGTTCCCATGTCAGTTCTGCGTATCCTCGCCATTTCACTAATGCTTCCCTCCGCGATCCACGTCCAATTTTTCGCGTCCTTGCTTGTAGGATCTCTTCAATTTCGTATTCCAGATCTCCTTCGACTAACAGCGGAGGCGGTTGCGAATCGTCCACGATTTGTGACGGTAACGGGTCCGTTGCCGCGGGTCTTATTAACTCAACATGGAAGACAGGATGTATGCCGCTTGGCACATCCAGCTTCACTGTATGAGAGGATGGCACTTCTAGAACTGTGTATTTGGCGTGAAGCCAGTCTAGTTTCTTTGAAGGCCGTATCGTGCGTACATTCCGTAGGTTTAGCCATACTTTATCGTTGATATTATAGACTGGAGCGGCTCGTCTTGAACGATTCGCTTGTTCCTGTTGGCGTTCTTGGGCGATAGCCATCGCTGCATTTGCCCAATCGGTGGCGTCTTGTAGCCGGTTCGTGAACGTTTCCGCTGCGATCTCTGGTCCTTTCTCTGCTTGGACTTCTATCACTTCGACTGGATCGACATGGTATCCGTGTGTGAAGAAGAATGGAGATAGTCCAGTAGAGGTTGCGTCTCGGTTATTGATCGCCATGGCTACGATAGGTAGTAAACTTGCCCAGTCGTCCTGTGCGTACGTAGTAAAGGCGCGTAGAATTCGTTCGACTTCTTGATTTGCGCGTTCCGTAGCTCCATCAGTTTGGGGGTGGAATGCGGTAGATAATCGGCGTCGAATCTTTAGCTTTTCGCACACGATTCGCCAGAACCCCCCTACGAACTGTGGGCCGCGGTCACTAGTGATCGCTATCGGTAAACCATGATGCATATAAATATGCTTCATAAAGACATCTGCGACGCTTTCCGCAGTAATACTATGCATATCTATTAGGATCACTCCTTTAGATAGCCGATCAGTAATTACTAGACAATTCGTCGCTCTTTCTTTCCCAGTGGGTGGAAGTTCTGTGATGAAATCCATGGATAGTTCGGCCCAGATTCGTTGTGGAATCGGTAACGGTTTAAGTAGGCCTTGCTTCGAATCTCTCCAAATCGTGTTTCGTCCGCAAATGGTGCAATTCCTTAAGAATCTCCGTACATCGTTCGTCATTCCTGGCCAAAAGAATCTACGGGCCAGTATCGTATAGGTTGCGTCCCGTCCTGGATGTCCAGTCGTGTAGGAATCATGGACCTTCTGGATCAAGGTTGTGCGTAGTGGTTCGTTGTCTGGAATCCATGTCCTTTTCCTAAAGCGTAGAAGATTTCGTTCATCTAAGTCACACTCGGATAGGCTTATTTTCAGGTTCGATTCGGCAGGGATTCGTCGGTCTCCCTTTTCAAGTGCGAGTGCGAACTGCTGGTATATTTGATCTTCCTTCCGCGCGTTATTCCATGCTTCCTGCGTTTCTGCTTCTTCAAACATCGCCACTGGTATATCAAAGTCTAAAGGTGGACTTGGTTCAGTGCTATTGTTACGGATTGTTACTGATTCGAAGAGTTTCCGGAAACGATTCGTGAGCCTCTCATCAGAGATTCCTTTAGGTTCGTCTTGTCCTCGCCGGGATAGAGCATCTGGTTGGATCGCCTGTTTCCCGGGTCGATATCGTAGCTCAAAGTCGAATTCGGCCAGGATGTCTGCCCATCTCATTTGTCGTTCGCTTAGATCCTGCGCCTTATGAAAGTATCGTAGATTTTTGTGGTCCGTTAAGACCACGAATCGCGGGACCATCTTCAGCTCTGGCTTCCATTCCCGTAGCGCATGGATGATAGCGAGTAATTCCTTATCGTGTATCATATAATTGGTCTCTGCAGGTGAGAACTTACGCGAGAGATAGGCGCATGGTCTTAGTGTCCCATCTTCTTGTCTTTGTGATAAGACTGCTCCTGTCGCCCATCCAGATGCGTCTGTTTCCACTATTGTTTCGGTGTCTTCTCGGAAATGAGCCAATATTGGTGCAGAGATAAAGAGGTCCTTTAGGGTCTCGAATGATTCTTGTTTCTCCTTGTCCCATTTAAATATCGTATCTTTCTTTGTCAACTGCACCAATGGTGCAGAGACATCTGCGAATCGTGGTATAAACGTCCGGTAGAAGTTAGCGAATCCAACAAAACCACGTACTTCTCGGATATTAGTAGGTGCTTCCCATAGCTTAATGGCTTCAACTTTCTTCGGGTCTACACATAGACCTTCTCCAGCTCGTATGATGAACCCTAGGTATTTCACAGAGCTCTGTTCAAATTCAGATTTCTCGATATCGCATTGAAGTCCAGCATCTCTTAGCTTCTGG